GTTAAAAGAGTCTCTTGACACGTTTATGGGGTGCTGGTAATCTCCTTTACGTTGAACATTTTTCTCTTATTGGTTCATTTTCTCCTTCCTCATTTTCCATATCTCCTTATTTTTTTTTTTTTAATCTTAACCTACTAATCCACTTTTTTTTTCATATACTCTTTTACACATCCTTTATTACTATTCTATACACATACACCAGTATATATCTTTCTTCTTTCTCCTAATCCCTTTTTCCCCCCTTTGTATTTTTGTAAAATACATCATTTTGTATAATCTATTGTTCTCTCGTTTTCTCTCCTACTTTTTTTTTTTTAATCATACCTTGGTCTATTATTTTTATATACATTCTCAATTTGAATAATGCTAATAAAAAAAAAAAAGAGTCGGTCTTTAGATTGGCTTTTATATTTTAAAACGATGCATGAATTTTTGTCTAACCAACCATGTGATACGGATCTATAAACATGCAAGGGGAGATGATTATCCCAACCTTACTTTTATGAATGTGACGTAAAGATATGTATTGAATTCCTTTGATCATTCTCTCTCTAGATATATAATGGTTTCTATAAATATAAAAAGATAAAGATGTTTTTTTATTGTCTATTTTTGATGGTGTATGATAAAATGATGTTTTTGTGATAATGAAAGAAAAAAAAATATATAAGAAAAATGGTGATGACTAATACTAATAATGACAAAAAAAAAAAAAAAGAGAGAGAGAATAATATATATATAAGTAGAGTATGATGAAAATATAATAAATTAATCTATTCCCATTCAATGGTAGCAGGAGGTTTGGAGCTGATATCATAAACAACACGGTTGACACCCTTGACTTCATTGATGATACGAGAACTGATACGTTTCAAACAAACAAACCATTCGGCAGAGGCAAAGATATCGGCGGTCATAAAGTCCTTAGTTTCTACAGCACGTAAAGCAATGACTTGTTCATAGGTACGCTTATCACCCATAACACCCACAGCCTTGATAGGTAACAAAGCAGCATAAGCTTGAGAAATGTTACGATAGTATCCATTCTTCTTGATTTCTTCGATATAAATATTATCGGCCAAACGAGCGATTTCAACTTGTTCTTTAGTCACTTCACCGAGTACACGAATAGCAATACCAGGTCCAGGGAAAGGATGGCGCCAAACCAATTCATCATCCAAGCCTAAAATCTTACCAAGAGCACGTACTTCGTCCTTGAATAATTCACGTAAAGGTTCAATCAACTTGAGTTTCATATCTTCCAAAAGACCACCCACATTGTGATGAGTCTTAATAGTAGCACTGGGACCCTTGAATGAAATGGATTCAATCACATCAGGATATAAGGTACCTTGTAACAAATACTTGATTTTGCCTTCAGATTGTTGTTGTTCCAATTCCTTTTCAATCAATGCAGCTTCATCTTCAAACACATGGATAAAAGTATTACCAATAATCTTGCGTTTTTGTTCAGGATCAGTCACACCCTTCAATCGACCCAAAAAGAGATCAGAGGCATCGGCCACCTTAATATTAATACCCATCTTATCACCCAACATTTTCTTAACATTAGCACATTCATTCAAACGCATCACACCATTATCTACAAGTACAGCATGGAAACGAGTACCAATGGCTTCATGCATAAGACGAGCAGCAACAGTAGAATCAACACCACCAGAAACAGCACCAATGACATGATCAATAGGTCCAACCACATTGCGAATACGTTCAATTTCTTTATCAACAAATGATTCCATAGTCCAAGAAGCTTCACATTGACAGATATCAATCACAAAGTTGTGTAACAATTTTTGACCATCCACAGTATGAGTCACTTCAGGATGGAATTGAATACCTATCAAAAAAAAAAAAGTTAAATAAACATAGCCACACTATTTCCTTTTTTTTTCTTCTTCTTACCAAAGAAAGGTTTTTCTTCATGAGCAACAGCAGCAAAAGGAGCAGTACGAGTTTCAGCAATAGTAGTGAAACCAGGAGCAGCAGCAGAGACTTGATCACCATGGCTCATCCATACTTGAACATTATCACCATCCAAACCAGCAAAGAGTTTATCAACAAAGGGAAGATGAGGATGTTTCTTCACAGATAAGACAGCATGACCATATTCACGGTGTTCACAAGCATCGACCTTACCACCCATAAAAGTAGTCATTTCTTGAAGACCGTAACAAATACCGAGAATAGGGACACCAGTATCAAATACATCAGGATCAACACGAGGAGCATCTTTATCATAAACAGAATAAGGAGAACCAGATAAAATAATAGCCTTGGGTTTGAAATGAAGATCAGCCATCTTTTGAGTACAAGGTAAAAGTTCACAATAAACTCCTAATTCTCGGACGCGGCGAGTGATCAAATGAGAATATTGAGAACCAAAGTCCAAAATAAGAACAGTATCAAAAAGTTCATTGACTTGAGTTACTTTTTCTTGTTGAAGGGTCGACATTCTATTATGGAAAAATATATAGATATATATATAGTCGAAAAAAAAAAAAAAAAAAGAAAAGAAAAAAAGAGGATCAAAATTTTTTAATGATCTTTTTTTTTGAAAGGGTTACATTAGCGGAGTTGATGGTTTTCACCTTACCAAGCCACTTATTTTCAGTCATTTTTGGTCAACGTGTCAAAAAAAAAAAAAAAAAAAAAGCGGTTTCTGAATCAAAACTATATTCCATGTCTTTATGTAGATAAAAAAGAAAAAAAAGAAAACTGATCTATATATAAAAATAAACTCATATTTTTTAATATAAAACGTTTATTATCATTTACTTTCTTTTTTTCTTTTTTAATTTTTTTTTCTTTTTTCATTTTCATTGATATTGAATAATGCAAGGGTAACCAAAGAAAACAAAGTTTATGCGTAACCTATTCTTCGATCATTGGACAACCACGTTATTTTCAAATTCCGTTGAGGCACAGTCGCATTTTTTTTTCTTTCTTTTTTCTTTTTTCTTTTTTTTTTTTTCATTTATGAATAGAAATAATAATGGCAGATGATACAACTCTTACGGAAGAACAACAACAACGTATTGAACATAATCGAAAAAAGGCTTTAGAAAGACTTGCATTGTCTAAAAAAAGAACAGCTGATAATCAAGAAGAAGAACAGTCAAACAGTAGTCGAACCAACAATAAGAAAGCAAGATGGACAACTTTTTATGAATATGATCTTAGTACTTTTGAAAATACAAAAGGTGGTTTTATTATAGACGAAGCTGTAGAAGAAAAAGTTAATCGATTTAAAGAAGAAGCAACCAAAATTGATCCCTATATACGTAAATTATATATATAGAAAAAAAGATACAAAACTAACTAACTAACTATTATTATATATTAGCCTATCCTTTGGATCCTATGACTGCTCCTAAATGTAAAGATTGTCAATCAATGGATATAGATCCTATTTTTTTCCAAGTCTTCCATATTTCAGTATGCCGAGCTTGCAAAGAAAAATATCCTGAACGATATAGTTTGATTACAAAAACTGAAGCTAGAGAAGTAATATATATCTATATATATCAAATGATGATGATGATGATGATGAAATTTTAACTTTCTTTTCTATTTATGTATATTATAGGATTATCTATTAACAGATCGTAAGTCAAGTGATGAAAAAAAAAATGATGGTTGTATTCATTATCTTACTATCAATGCCGATTTTTTTTTCTTTTCTTTTTTTTAGCTGAATTGAAAGATAAAGAATTATTACCTCATTGGTCCAAGCCTAATCCAAGGAAAGCGACATGGAATAATATGATGCTTTATGTTCGTGAAATGGTAAAAAGAAAAAGAAAAAAGAAAAAAAAGAAGAAATGGAAGAAAATAAATAAAGTATTGAATACTCATCTATCTTTTTGATTTAAGGTTGAAGAATATGCATTCAAGAAATGGGGAGGACCTGAAGGATTAGATGCGGAATATGAACGGAGAGAGACACAAAAAAAGGAGAAGAAAGATAAAAAGTTCAAGGAGAAGTTGGCGGGTAAGATGATAATCAAATGAATAGAGAACCAAACTGATCATCCCATTCTATTTTCTATTATAGATTTACGGCGAAGAACAATGACAAGTAATCGTGAACGAAAACGACAGGAAGGTCCACATAAACATATATTTGGTGAATCAGAAGAAGATGAAAATGGAAATACCATCCAAAGATGTACAGAATGTAATTTAGTGATAGAATCAGAAGAATTTTAGTGAATAGTTTTTAGATGATAGATTTTTGTATATATATAATAAATCTTTTGATGATTATCATCTCTTTTTTTTTTTTTTTGGTTTTTGTTTTTTGTTTTTTTTTTTTTTTTTTTTTTTTTTGTTGAATCAGGATTCTTTTTTTTTTTTTTTTTGATAGTTGCTCCTCATTTCCCTTTGGTTCAACTCTTATACCCCTTGAATCTTTTTTTTTTGACCCTACACGGAGTTTTGCAAAGGATCCCCTTCTTTCCTAATTCCCTTATTGCCTTTTCTTTCCTTTTTTTTTTTTATTTATTCTTTTTTTTTTTGACAATAAAAATAATAATAAAAAGCATGAAAAATCTTTATGTTGTCAACTTTTTACGATGGATGGTATTTCTTTTTAGTCTAGTTGGATTTGGCTGTCATCTCGTACAATGTATTCTTTTATCAAATTATCAAAACTTAGCCTCCATACCTACTTGGATACAAGCTGGTCATTGGCAAGTAAGACTTATTTCTTTATCTATTTATTTAATATATCTATATATCTTTTAAACCTTTTTTTTTTGTCTTTAGTATTTGACTTGGTGGGTGGTATTGGGTCTCTCATTGATTAGTAGTTGTGTGATTATTATCCATGCCTTTTGTTTTAATAGAACCAAATTATTACGTGGAGATAAGATATTATCAATATTCAATATATTACCTTTACTTACATCCATTTTCACTGCCATTTTTTATGTGACAAATGAACCTTGGTCAAATGGTCTAGTGGACATCAAACGTCCTATGGTAACAGATCTTATTACATATTGTCATCAATTAGATTCACCCATCATTGATCATTTCCATCCTCTTCTTTATCAACGGTGTTTATTAAGTGATGCTACTTGGATTTCTGCTGGTGTCATTTGCCTTGTTTGGATATTCCTTTTTCTGGCCGCACTTCGTACTAACCCAAATGATGATGATGATGGTGTAACCAAACAATATATGCATGCAAAGGAGCCTCATTGGGGTCGTTACGTACCTGAACCTGTTGATCAACCGCGTCATTACAGCAACAAGAATAATCATGGAGCAATGTATCGTCAATCACATATTTCTGTTGAAAGTACAAGTACCGTCCAAAAACAACAACAACAGCAGCCATCACCACTTGTCTATGCACCTTCTTATTCTCCAACATCACCTGTACATGCCAATCATAATTATCAACATCAACAATATCTTGACCCTTCTTACTATTATCCTCAACATAGTCCTTTAGAATCAGAAAAAATCGAATTCCATAATACACCCTATCAATATGATACTCCAAGTCATCATCCTATGAATCTCCATCATCAATAATCCTCCTATACTATATTCTTTTTTTTTTTTTTTGTATTGAATAAACATTTATGAATGACTTTTTTATTTCGAATGTATATTTTCTTTTTTTTTTTTTTGTTTTCTTGATATCAATAAATGAATAAATGACTAAAATGAATTCTAAACTAAAATTATTCTATGCTAATACTATATATATGAACAACCGATCCATCATATCAAACATCCCAGGATATTTTCAGGATTTCCCTCTTAACTGTACTATCGCTTTCGAACACCTTTTCTATCTTGAATTTATCACCATCATCATCAGTAGCCTTGTTGATCAATTCACAGAAAGGTAAAATTCCTCCACCAACTCCAAAATATACCGTTTTCGCAGCAACATATCTATGTATGAAGAAGAAGAAGAAGAAGAAGAAAAGATAACTGTAAATAATTCAAGTTCTTACATTTACTAATTTTGCCTTCTTATCCTTGTTTTTTTTTCTTGGATCCTTACCCAACACCATTTGGCTTATGAAGAGCATTTTGAAAGACACGAATCAAGTCAGGTAACGAATGTTCAGAATATATGGTTTCAGAAGTAATCAATATATCGTACTTTTGTTGTGCCAGTTGGTTCGGTAACCCAGCCCAATCACCTACAAATGCCTTGGTACGTTGTTGAACTTGTTGTAACATATCAGAAACCTTGTCACTAGGAATTTCCGCTTCTGCATCGCATGTCACTGGATCTTCCATCACTTGGTCTTTTCCTTCTACCTCATCATCTTCATCGTGATTTTCATCATTGCCGGTTTTGTTATTCTCTTCATCATCATCATCATCATCATCATCATCATCAGTATCATTGTTTGCTTCTATTGTCGTTGGCTCTTGAGGTGATAAAACGGTATTCAACAAAATATTGGGTAAAGTAATCAATCGAATGACTTGATCATTGTAGTCTTGTACATCAACTTGGACTTCTTGATAACGAGCAAGTAAATAGAGAGAAGGTAAAGCTGAACCACATCCAATTTCTAAAATACGTTTTCCTTCTATATCTTGTAAAGTAGATAACCATTGAACCAAATCAACAGAACATTCCCAGGTCTTGAATCCACCTTCATATACCCCTCGTACTAAATCACTGTTGCCTGTCAAATTAAGCATGTCCAGTACCTTGTTTTCTTCCGTGGTATTGTTGGTATCACCCAATGTATCTTGTTCTGCCATTTGGAACTTGACATCGGCCAAAGTACGTTTATAAAGAGGAAGTGTCACATTGGGAATCTGGAGTATATCGGCTTGAATCACATTAGGTAAAGGTGAAGTCTAAATCATAAATATATAAAAGGTAGCATTATGTATTTGTATTAGCTTGTTTTGATATTCTTTTCTTCCCATATGTTTGTTTAATCAACTTACCATAATATCATATTCTTGACAAGGAATCTTATCACATTCGTCTTCTTTCAATTGTAAATCACCAAGTGAAGTTTCAAGATCATTTTGTTGCTGAGTGTCAGATTCTTCCAGATCGAGATCATCTTCCTACAAGAGGTCAGAAACAAAGAATTCAATAAAAAAAAAGAATAAGTATATCTATTATATGAATATTAGTTGCTGTTTTTTTTTTTTTTTTATTATTACAGTAAAGTTGAATTTGAATGCCATGTTGGAAAAGTTAAGAAAAGTAAAAAAAAAAAAAAAAAAAAAGTGTAGAAATATAGACAATTTTGTTTTCTCAATCTTTATTTTTTTTGTGCTTCCTTGATTGTGATTGGCCTAGGCACCTTTGGAATAAAAGATGACCAGCGGAAAGTAAAATGGGGGGCATCATGCTTTTTTTTACATTGGGGAAGAGCGCAGGAACTATCACTTTTCTTTTCTCTTTAGTTTACATTATACCATTATGACCGCAGTTATGAAGGATGCTGCAAAAGAAATTAAACGTACCAAACGTATTGAATTATTAATTATTCCTGGTAAAACTTTGGGTCCATTTCGACTTGGTAAGATTCAATAAGTTAAAAGAAAAAAATGAAAGAGGAGTGGGAAAGAGTCTATTCTTATCTTCTTTTTTTTTCTTTAGGTTCATCTTTATGGGATATTATACAATTTCTTCGAGAAAGACCTTTATTCTTTCCATCTGTAGAACTGAAGTATGGTCAATTGGTAATGAAATAATATATATCTATTTAAAAGATGGAATACTTTACATTATTATTTATTACTTATATCTACTATATAGGATCCTTTACGCAGTTCCTTTATTGTCTGTCTTCCTTATAATGGTATTAATCTTTGGTTCGATGGGTCTTTACAACGACTGACAGCAATAGAATGTTCTGATCCTAGCAAAGTGAAACTTGTTTATCAAAATAGTGATGTTAGGTAATCTAGGAAGATAAACCATTGAAAACAAAAAAGTTGATATTATTCTTTTTTTTTAGTTCTAGTCGGACTATACCTACATTTTTACTGATATACAAATGTTTTGGGTAAGTGATTTCTATTTATGTTACAAGATTTATATCTTATTTATTTATTAGACCCACTTATCTTGGTGAATTCAAGGCGGATCAAAATATATATATCCTCAATTATCCTGTAAGTCTCTTGTTTATAATAATAATGTAAACATATCATTCTCATTATTTATTTATTTATTTATTTCTAGGGCTTATCTTTTACTTTTCCAATTCCTCAGAAGTATAACCATTTGTATACAAATTCTACTGGTAAAATAATCAAAATAATTAATACTGATACTAATCATTATCATTTTGGTAGAGTTGCCACTTGAATTTCCTGATGGTACCACACCTATTGCATCTAAGATGTATCTGTTCCATAGCCAGAATTCAAATTGGGAAACAGCATCACCACCGCCTATATCAAAGACATTAGCGGAAATAAATGGAGGCAAATCAACAAAGTATGGAAAACTTGGTAGAAGAGAACTTGAGGTTGTCGTTGCAAAGGTAAAGAAAAAAAATAATTACAAAATAATATCCATCATTTATTCATTTATTTTTTTTTTTTTAAAAAAAAAAACAAAAAAAAACTAGCCATCTCATGGGGTTAAACTCTACTTTCCATCATTGACATCACAACATCAACGTCAACCAACACCTTCACCATCCACTTCTTCTACTCCCAATATAGTTCCAACAACAACAACATCATCACCTTCGTCTTCGTCATCAAAACAAGGAAAGGACAATAATGACAATATGAATGAAACTTCAGCGTTATCATCTTACCAAGAAGTAGAAATATTATTGCGGGTGACAGCATTACAAGATATTTTGGCCGATCTGGGGAAACCATCACGTGTGTTTTACAAAGAAGAAGATAAAATGAAAATTCACTCTGTAGCAGATGATGGTGTGGCAATGGGAAAAATGGGAAAATTGGACTCGATGATTGGTTTAACGAATAGCGAAGGTGATGATGATAGAGGTAATATATATGATTTTTTTTTTTTTTTTTTTTTTTTTTTACTGATGAAGATAATTAAATAATGACTATTTTTTTTTATATATAGATCTCTCTTCAATGAACAATGCAACGGATTATTTTTTGAATTACTTTCACTTGGGTATGGATATTTTGGTGGATGGTACTGAACATGTTTGCAAAAAGATTATATTACATGGGAATATTCCGGGTCATTACGACTTTCAAAGGTAAAAATAAAAACACATGGATGAATCAAAAGATCAAATGAAGTATTTCTATTTTAGGTATAAACGATGTCCATTCAAATTGGTATTTCCCAAAGAATTGGTAAACGGACAACAAAATCCCAATAAACTACTGGTAGATGTGGAATCTGATCCTGATGAAGATCAAGTACCTGCTCATATTGTCACTGCCAATATGAAGGTAAGAATGAAAATTGTATTTACCCTTTGATGATGATTATACTCATGATGATGATTGATTGATTTAGATCACAACAATACAACAACGTATCCCATGGAAATCAAGTAATAAGATTACAAGCAAACCAACGGATGAAACCCAATTGGAACAACAAAAGCCAGTTATACTTACACGTGGACCCAATGAACAAAACCCTTTTGGATCAACTTATTTGACAGGTTATAGTGAAGGCATAGTGATGGAAGTCATGAAAAATGGATATGTACCTACTGTCGTTCTTTTTTGATATATATATATATATATATATATATATATAGCTATAGTAGTTAGTCGCTAGGTAGTTGTAATAAACAATGATGGCCACCAATGAACATTTGGTTGTCATTTTTCAATATCCGATTTCATCTTTTCATCGAGTTTTTTTTTTTTTTTTTTTTTTTTTTTTTTTGTTTTCTTTACTTTTTTTTTTTTTTTCCTTCTTTTCTCTATTACTTTTTTTCTGTTCTTCAAAACATCAATTGCAGAAAAAAAAGAACTATAGAATATACTTTTAATTTTTTTTTAATACAGTCTCTTTCTCACTTTATTTTACACTTACCTCATAATGACAGCATGCCATTAAAAAGCGACAATTCTACTACTTCAACAATGGATCCCTCCGATCCACTTGCTTTGATGACAAGATCCTTACCTTTACTTCCATTTCAAAACCAAGTTGGAGGTCACTGTAGCTTCTTTCGATTCAGCAAACGAGCCATCTGCAAACCAATGTCCCACAAAGAACAAGACTTTTATGAACATTTGGAACAACATCATGCACCTTTATTACCTTTTACTTCTCAGTATTTGGGTGTTGTTAATGTTACTTACCGTTCGTCCCATGCTCAACCAATGTTACCTGAAGTGATCCTAGCGGAAAATCAACATTTGCTGGCCAATTGGAAAAAATACTGCTCATCTTCTTCGTCAACTCACCGACAACAAAAACCGCGATATAAACAACAACAACGAAGGCATTCGTCTTCCACCTTTATCAACAACAACAACGACAACAATATCCATATGTCTTCATTTGATTTGAATAGTAATCCTCCCATTGAAGATGACGATGACTTTATTTCCCATGGACAACCAAACGATCAATCTCCACTCACATTCAAGGAACAAATTCTTCGTGAAGTATTTTCTCCGGGTGCATTACAAGAACGTTTACGACAGGTTCAAGACTGGCAGCGTGGAATGCGACAACGTCAACTTGAACAACAGCAAGAAGAAACAATGAATCAAGCTTACAATGATGACATCTACAATGGAAATTATCATGAGGATATCAACATAGATGATCAGCAACACGGTAACTCTGCTCATGATGTTGGGAAGAAATCACTCTTACAAACTTCTCGTAGTGTTTTGGACTTCCGACGGCAATCATTATTTGATGATACCAAGTTGGCTCCTTTATCATCATCACCACCTTCACTTTCAAGACATATCTCCACAAACCAATTTACTGGCACCAGTGATAATAATAATAGAACCATCTCCAACGAAATGCATCCTACCGACAATGCTCTCAGATTACTGTCTTCTTCTTTTCCTATTCAAGATTCACCTGAGGACTCAGCTGACGACAACAACAGCAACGATAATAACAGCAATGACGACTTTGATTCTCTCGATCAGAACAATAAAAACGGATCAAGTGATCATGTCAATCCACCTGAAGTTACTGTACACCCTCGACGGCCTACTTTGATTGATACAACCACTTCGGCACCACAGACACCACGAATGCGGGAGACCAAGCTTCACAATCCATTCATTCGCCCTACTCCTGTCCAAACACCTATACCCCATCAATCAACACTATCATCGCCATCATCATCATCCTCATCTCTACAACAAATTCCTTCGCCTGTAACTGGTTCGAATACAATAGCTACAACTACTTCTACTGGTTCTGTTATGGCTGACAATGATGATGATACATGGACGTTTGACAGCATACAACAACAGCAACAACAACAACAGCAACAACAACAACAGCAACAACAACAACAACAACAACAACCGGAAGAACCATCAACATCTGGATCAGAAACACCTAGATGGCGACCACGACCTGCCCCAACAAACCCTTGGTCTGTTCAAATGTATCATCGCGATCTGGAAAAAGTGAATGTGGATGACATACAACAATTCATCTTGATTGAAGACCTGACTGATGAAATCAAGTACCCTTGTGTTTTGGATTTGAAAATGGGAACACGACAACATGGTGTATATGCAACGACAGCAAAGAAGATCAGTCAAACACGAAAATGTGCACAATCAACAAGTCAGCAACTGGGTGTCCGGATTTCTGGTATGCAGGTGTACAATATGCATGAACGACGATTCTTATTTGAAGATAAATACAAGGGACGTGCACTGACACCTCGTTCGTTCAGAGATACTTTGGTTCGCTACTTTGATAATGGAGAAGGTTGTCATATTGTACATCTTCCAACATTGATTCGCAAGCTGGCTCTGATTCATCGGATCATCAAGACAATGGATTATTATCGATTTTACGCCTCCTCACTCCTGATTATCTATGATGCTTTGGACACAACAAGAAAACGACGCATTGATGTACGGTTGATTGATTTTGCAAAATCAGTAACGAAACAAGAATGGCTATCTCAACATCATCTCTTTACTTATCCTCCCGATGAAACCAATGGTACGAATGAAGGTGGTCCTGATCAAGGTTATTTACTAGGTGTGCAATCTTTGATGGCTTGTTTTTTATGGATTTATCTTCAACATGGTGGCAAAAGGGAAGATTTGGCCGATATGGACGATGGACTTTTGGCTTCCGTGACTGATCATGCTTCTTGGTTAACTGATGATGGCACTTTTGTATTTTGATAGTATAGATGTAGATAGGTAGAAAACACACACACACACCAAAGTAGATTCATCTTTGTTTATAGTTATTTTCCTTCCCCCTTATTTGATACTCCCTTCTTTTATATATATATATTTTACTTGTATATTTATTTATTCACCTTTTATTATTTCTTCTTTGTTTTCTCATCTCTATCACCTTATCCCTATCTTGTCTTCTTTTTTTTTCCCATCTTGTATTATATATATATATTCTTTTTTTTTTTTTTTTTTTTTTACAAGTCTCATATATCAAATAAAAACCTATATTTATTGATACAACGATAAATGCAAAAAAAAAAAAAAAAAAAAAAAAAAAAAAAAAAAAGATCTTGACAACCATGGAAACAACTTTTAGGACTTTATGAATTTGAGAGATATATGATGAATGTCTTTGCCAAAAAAAAAAAAAAAAAAATACACAGTTCAAAGAATATTTGATTCTTCAAGTAGATCACTTTTTTTTTTATTGATTGATTACACATGTTTATAAATACAAATGAAGGTTCTAATAATAACTACACTAAAACATAAGAATCTTCGCTTTCTTGTACGTCCAAGTGGCCCAATTCGGTAAATAAATGATCCACAGACATATCTTGATCATCATCCTTCTTTTTGCTGGGGGAGTCATGTTGCTGTTGGTTGCCTGGAGAAGAAGAAGAAGTGGAGGAGGAAGATGGTGATACAGATGGTTTCCTTTGACGATGGAGATGAAGATGAGGTGCTTTGGCCAAACTTTTCCCTTCCGCAAACAAATTCTCGAATAATTCGCGTCCTAATGATTTTTGCCGTTCCACTGCCGATGCTTTTTCCAACTTGAAACTGTCTTGAAATTCATGATCAAAAAACATTTCCATGGTTTCGTTTGTCAGAACAACCATTCGGAAGGAAGGAAGCGTTAATTCACAAGACACAAGTGTTGATATGCTATCATTGTTGCCTAACAAAGTATCCAATTGATCCATGCGTTGTCGTACACTCATACCACCACTGATCGATAAACTGGCCAGTTGTTGTGTCAAATCATCTTTGTCGCTTGATTCACTATTTCCACCACGTACAATATTTGATTGTTCTAAACTTTGTGATAAAAAGTTGATGATGGTTTCCCAGGCTAGTGTATCATTCCCATCATTGAAGACTGTCAATAACCACCACATTTCCTTGGATATGGTAATCAATTCTTGTCCAACCAGTTTTTCCCCATCATGACTATACATTTGAAAGAATAATCCCATCAATGACATCAAATCCTACAAAAAAAAAAATCAGTTAATTACGTTTCTCTTTCTTTTTTTTTTTTTTGAATATATATATATATATATATTAACATACACCATGGAATATTTCGCTTAGACCAGTAACAGTATCTTGAAAACTAACACCCAAATTGGTTTCAGACTTGAAATGAAGATACAAACGATTGATAAAACTTTCCGCCAGGTTGCGTTTGAAAGTAATGTCTTGATTTGATTCATGGTCATCCTCAGAGCGTGCACGTACCAATTTTGTCCATGATGCCACACTTTCCAACCATCGATGAAAAGTATCCAAATCCAATTGTGTTTCTGATCGATCGCCATGTTGTTTAGCATAATAAAGAGCACCAAAAAACTTATCGTAAACAATAGCAATTTCATCCTTGGTAAATCCTGCTGTGTCATCCAAATGTCGAATGGCTGATCGTTTTGTATATGATTCAATACCTGCTGCCACCTTGAGCTGATTGGTGCGTCGCATTTCCGTTACTAATTCATCCGTCACCAAAGAGAATTCTCGATACTAAAAAAAAAATAGGATGGATGAAGAACAAAAATAAGTATTTAAAATAGTTGAGTGAAAAAAGTGTGAGAGAAAGAAGATAATGTAAAGCAACTTACTGCTGTCAACATGAGTTCATTGAATTTCTAATTTGTTATAGAAAGAGAAAAAAAAAAAGTATGATTAATCCATCTACTTGCCTACATTAGCTTTTTTTCTTTTCTTATTCTATTATCACTTACTGTGAGACGAGGGCCTTGTGCATTCTTTCCATTTTTGTCCCCAATAGAATTGTTCAAAGTAGTAAAGTAGTGTTTCAAAATATCTAGGAAAGCACCATCATCTTTTGTCTGTAATAGTTCTTCACCATTTAACTTTAAAATCGCAAGACTATAACAGAAAAAAAAAAAAAAAGAAAATCGGATCATTGTTTCTTTTTTTTTTTTTTATTTCTTATATTGCTTACCCGACTTGGAAAAGAATCCTTGGTCCTTCCATAAATAGACAATCCAATACACGAAAGGCAAACAATAATGGCATGGAATTGATATACAAGCTAAGAAACCACGGCAAACAAGCAACAGAAAGTTGAACATCGGTTTTCTTGAAATGATTCCAGAGAATAGGCATTGTTCGTTCCACCAATTGTTCAAAAATAATTTGATCCAATAGAGCACCATACATGGAAGTACTATAATAACCAGGACATAAGCGATCTACGAGGACATTGAGGATCCAAAAAGCTTGTTCTTCCGTAGCATAAATCAACAAGGCAGAGGTCACAATATTCATGGCTTGACAGTAACCTAATTCTGGATTTCGCCAAGCATAAGCCGTCAGTACACGTCGTAGTCTACCAATACCTTCAGGAGTTTGGTATGCTGCATATTCCGGTAACGATCGATTCAGATCCTTTTCAATTTCTTCAGTCGACAATGATTCTTGACCAGCATACATCTTGAGTAAGTCGTTGTATACATCACGGTTAGCAAAACGTAAATAAGCAGATCCAGAACACATTTCCCAAATTTCGCCACGAAGATCATTAGGTAGTCCCACCCTAACAAGTTTTCCGAATGTTGGTGTCCGTATCATCGTCAAATTTCGTCCATTTTCTAATATATATATATAACAGAGAGACGTGTGAGAGAAAGTATACCTTTTTTTTAAAAAAAAAAAAAATATCACTTAAAATCAAGTACCTCCAAAATAGTGTTTCCACAATTTCATTTTGCTTCGGTCCTTTGTTTGTTTTGGGTCACCAGGGTATCCAAAATCCAATCCAAGACCACCATGTTGCTGTTGATCTTCCTTTGTCGTATCATCTGTCACATCTACCAAGACAGGTTCTACAGGCTTTTTGGGTTCAAACATACGTTCAGATTCACAAGATGCCAAGAAAGGAATTAAACGTTTGAAAGAGGAAGTTTGTGCCTTGAGATGATCACGCAGTAAATTACAAAAGTTTTCAGCCGCTGTTTTCGTTGCCTACATTTAGAAGAAAAAAAAAATATCAGTTAGAAAAAGTCCTTTTTTTCAAACTTCCACATCATCATCATTATTAATTTATTTATTATTACTATTTTTTTTTTTTGTACCTGGAACCTGAAAACATGTTCGACTTGATGATAAGTAGTAATAGCCAAAGAAGTACTGTAAGATCCAACATTCAGTCGTTCAACACGTTTGATGGTATATAGTGGAAATACGAGCCAAAGTATAGGTTGATGCTGTTGAGGTTGTGGAAGTCTTTGTTGGGATTCATAGGTCATGAATGTTTCTGAAAGATAAATACGACCTCGTATATCCTTTGGATTAGATGATGGTGACAGTCGTTGATGTAGAGTATTTGGTCGAGTTTGATTCAGGGTATACAAAACTTCTAATGCGTCCGTTAACTGTTCTGATAGTGGTAATCGAAAATGTAGACAATAATCCATATTTCGTTTCTGTGCTGCAAGGTCTTGTTTCAAAGGTTTGATTAAAAGTCGAGATTCGGTAGAAGGATTTGGGCTAGGTTTGGTATCTGATGATGAAATAAAGGGACCAAAAGAATTATCATTGTGATTATTGGAAGCACCAGGGGCATCGCCACCAGAATTTTTGAGTAATCTTAACATCGCTTGTCCTGCTAATTGTACCAATAAATCATATACTTCGTCTCGTTTGAACATAGTGGTGAATACAAACTAGATTAAAATACATAAACAGATATCAGTTCTCGATCCTATTCCTCTTTTGTACGATAAGTTATTATACCACTGACTTACTTCTTGATTGTCCTTGGTAATAATACGGAGAGCATCAGCAAAAACGCTTCGCCTTGACTTTTCTTTCTTGATATCTTGTACATCTTTCAATTCCAATAGTAACTTTGTTTCCACTGATAAGAGGAAGGAGTAGAATCCAATATAATTTTCACTAATATACATCCATCCTTGACGAGAGTTGTAGGCACAAGAATAGTCTATTGATAGAAAAAAAAAAAAAAAAAAAAAAAAAAAAAAAAAAAGAGGAAGAGAGATAAATTCAAATCAGTTAAATGTTTGACAGGTAAGAAAAAAAAAAGCAAGAAGAGACATACAGCTAACCAAGCGTTCAGAAGGAGGGACATCGAATATCTGGCGAAATGATCTTGAAGCATTACGAACAGAATGGTCAGAAGACAGTTCATCCGTTCCAGTATCTATATATATATTATATAATAAGAAGAAGAGGTTAATAAATTAAAATTATAAAAGGAATTTTACGTTTTTGTTTACCTATTGTGGTGACAATCATATGAATCTTTTCATTCACCCATTCTTCTTTAGCATAAGGGTCATCCATACTTTCTAGTTCAGGTATCATATTTTGTTCAATCCAAAGCCAAGCGATTTCAGCAGCCTTTTCTGTTTCAGCTACGGCAATTTGAAGACAGGTGCTATTGGTATCACGTTGAAACAGAATGCGAAAAGGGGGTTGTTTGGTATCAAAGACATTGGCGATAGTTGTAATGAGACTTTTGAACATGCCTGCTGTTTGTGATTTCTGCATAATAAAACAATCTTCTTGTCGTATACTGGTCCAGAAAGGAGTCAGCGTGATATCAGTTGGTGTTGGTAACGTAAATGTCTATATCATACATTTTATATTAGTTTAAAATATATATAACTTTCGTTTAATACTTACATTGTGAGGTACACCAACATGTTGCCTTTCATCTTCTACGTTATTCATAGAGGCTTTAATAGAGAAGTGAAAAGTGAATGAGAGAAAGAAAGAAAAAAAAAAAAAAGCGTAGCTTCCAAAAAAAAACTTTTAGATCAGTTTACACTATGTAGGGCGGGCGGAGAAGTAAAATTGAGACAATTGAGGATGCACAGAACGATGAATGGAAAAGGTAGTGGTTAATGTAATTAAAACACCATAAAGGTTCACTTTTTTTTTTAACTTACAAAATCGTAATCATCAACGTGTATTCGATACATGGATAAATCATCATTGAAGAGGAGGTCGGGCCAGGTGACCAGATCTTGTTCCAGTAGTAGCCAGGTTGGAAAAAAAAAGGAGAACGGATATTTCTTGACGTGTTGATGTCGCGCTGCCACTTAGTATTGCAATGCCCACATATTAATACTTCATACATGCGCTTGGATTCTTCGCCAGGACCGGTGATCACGTCATTGAAGAGAGATCTACGCCCACATTTGGAACAAACTTGCGAAGTTAAAATATTCATTCATATTGATATGTATAAGCCGATCAGTCCTGTCCGCCTTTTTCAGTAAACGTCGACATTTGTCTGCTAAAGAGCTTGCACCCTTTTGGTTCCGTCCAAAGCTAGCATCTCCGAACACCACTAGAGGGCGATCACGATTAACAGCAATCTTTTTAGATTTTGTGAGAATCCGTGTGTTATGTTTGTTACGAGTATTTTTATTTTATCTTTTTTTTTTTTTTTTTTTTTGTTTTTTTGTTTAGGGATTGAATCTTTACCTCTAAAGGTAACGCTTTTTTTCCTTTGATAGCAAGAATATGTTATGTGATTGGTGAAGCTGGAACAAATAAAAACTTTATGCGTCGCCCTTATAAAAATCAGGAAAAAAAAAAAGTTGTCTTTTATTTCTCTTTCTTCTCTTTTCTTTATTCCATTCTCTTACATTACCTAGATCATTCTAACATGAAATCCATTTCACCTCAAGAAATAGCCTCTCACAATACCAAAGGTAAGTAACAATAAACACCTTCAAAGTACAAAAAAAAAAAAAAAAAAAAAACTTACACTTTTTTTTATATATACTAGATGATCTATGGGTAGTCATTCATGGTAAAGTGTATGATTTGACAGAATTTTTACCTAATCATCCTGGTGGACAAAAGATTATATTGAAGTATGCTGGTCAAGATGCTACTGATGCCTTTGAACCTATTCATCCTCCAGATATTATTACTCGTTATCTTAGTCCTGAAGTCTGTATGGGAAAATTGGATATTACTGATTCTGCTGGTGTCATGGTGAAGAAAGAATCCGAAGCTGATAAACAAGTTCGATTGGCTAGAGAAAATATGCCTAGTTTGGATGAAATGTACAACGCCTTTGACTTTGAATGTAAGTTTTCTTTTTTTTAAAAAAAAAAAAATCAATTCATATCCTAACCTCTTTTTTTTTTTTAAAAAAAAAAAAAAAATTGATTTAGCTGTTGCCAAAACGGTATTGAAACCTGAAGCATGGGCTTATTACTCTAGTGGATCTGATGACGAAATTTCCATGAGAGAAAATCACAATGCATTCCATCGTATATGGTTACGACCTAGGGTGATGATCAATGTTAAACAACTGGATTTATCTACTGATATGTTAGGAACAAAAGTCTCTATGCCTCTTTATATTACTGGTACTGCTCTTGGAAAATTAGGTCATAAAGAAGGTGAATTGGTCTTGACGCGTGCTGCTGGGCAGAAAAATATCATTCAAATGATTCCTACTTTAGCAAGTTGCTCCTTTGATGAAATTGTAGATATGGCTCAACCTTCACAAACTCAATGGCTCCAACTCTATGTCAATTCTGATCGTTCTATTACTCAAAAGTTTGTTCAACATGCTGAAAAACGTGGTATCAAGGGTTTATTTATCACTGTGGATGCTCCTCAACTTGGTATTATATATATATATAGAAAAGATAAGGAAAAAATGCTGATAGACTGAACTCTTAATTTTTCCTTTTTTTTTTTTATAGGCCGACGGGAAAAGGATATGCGTGTCAAATATTCTGACAAAGCCCCCGAAGAAATGAACGAGGATGCGAATCGTAATGAAGGTGCAGCAAGATATATTAGTACTTTTATTGATCCATCTTTGAACTGGGATGATCTTGATTGGTTGAAAGGAATCACCAAGATGCCAATCATGTTGAAAGGAATCCAAACTCCTGAAGATGCTGTCTTGGCTGCTAAACATGGTTGCTCTGGTATTGTGATTTCCAATCATGGTGGTCGTCAATTGGATTTTGCTCCTTCTGCTATTGAACTATTACCTGAAATCATGGATGCTTTACGTGCGGAAGGTTTGGACAAGCAATTTGAAGTATATATTGATGGTGGTATACGTCGTGGTTCTGATATTTTTAAGGCTATTGCTCTTGGTGCCAAAGGTGTTGGTATTGGACGACCTGCTCTGGTAATAAAAAATCTTTTTTTAAAAAAAAAAGTCATAATGATACAGATTCAATTCATTCTTTTTTTTTATTATTAGTTTGCGATGTCTACCTATGGTGACGAAGGTGTGAAGAAATTGATACAATTGTTTTATGACGAATTGGTCATGTGTATGCGTCTAATGGGTGCTCCTACTATTAAACATATTACAAGGGATATGGTGGATATTCGAAACTTGAAAGATCACTTTGTACAAAGTCCATTGGATTATCTTGGTCATCATGCTTATGAACAAATGTTACCCAGAGGTCGTATCAACAAGCTTTAGATGGATATCAAGTTTGGTTTAGTTGATAATAGTTTACGCTTATTATATAAAAATAAACATCTGCATTATTTGTTTATATTATTTTTTTTAAAAAAAAAAGATTGTCGTTAACCAATAGGAAAATAAAGAACACAAATGTTGCAGGTAAATGTACGTCTAAATTAGGAAAAAACGGGATAAAAAGATGTAGAAGTGAAAAAAAAAAACTTTTATTAAAACAATTTCAATTCTATCCTTGTCTTTTCTATTTTATATATCGTTACGTCATTATTATATATGATGACACATTCTAATTTTAGAATAACTACATACCAGTCTTCTTTATAAAAGAATGATCATATCAAACAGATGGAAATAAAGGAAAAACAACATCTATTGTTAAATTCAACTTTGCAAAGTAAAACGGTGTAACAATTCACAAGTGATGTGAATTCCTGGGTCTAGCAACTTGAAGGTAATGCTTGCTGTGATTGAAAATACGCTTCTCAGACTCTCATAAAATGAAATTACACTTTTGTTTTTTTTTTTTTTTTTTGGGTTTCTTTGGCTTCTTTTTTTTTTTTTTCTTCTTCCCCTTTCTCTAACTCACTTTCTTTTTGATGTCCATACTTTGATAATGAACAATGATAGTACAGCTACTACTAGTGAAAAGTATGTCTTGTCATGTCACTTTTACATCTAAGTTCTTGATCTCATTCTTCTTCTTATTATTATTTTTATTGCTAACATCGCGTTTCTAGGGTTCCATCTTGGGCAAAGAAACCAATCCTAGGCTTCTCTACATGGTCTACACAGATATTAGATAGTATACCAGGCTATGGTGGAAAACATATTAAACCATGGTAATGAATAATAAATAAAAAAAAAAAGGACAACTTCTGATATGACTTTCCTTATAGGTTTAATGATCAGGTACTCCGTGATATCTCCTTGGCGATGAAAGCGAAAATGCCTCAATACGAATATATCAATATGGATTCTGGATGGTAAGATAAAAAAAAAAAAAAGATACTTCACTTGGCAGATGGGCATACGTTCAAAACGGAATAATGTCAACTCAATGGATCTTTTTTTTTTTTCTGTTTTGTTTCTATTTCTGAATGCTTTTTTAGGTGCCAGACTTACGACGAATATGGAAGGTGGACATATTGTAAAAACTTATTTCCGCACGGACTACGTTCTTTATCGGACTACTTGGCAAGCAATGGACACAAATTGGGTATTTACATACTACCGGGAATTCGGAAAGATGCTGCAGAAGATTCAAGTATCATGATCAAGGGTACACAACATCCAATAGGTGACATTGTCAAAAATAAACGTGATGGGAATGGATTTTTGGGTACGACATATATGCCAGATGATGATCAAGATACATTAGCGCAACTGTATTATGACTCTTTGGGTGAATTATTTGCGGAATGGGGTATATCTTTTGTCAAGATTGATGGTTGTGGACCAGGTGGTGGTGATGCTTTACGACCTAATCAATCTCCAGATAATCGCAAATGTATAGCAATGATGAAAAAGGCCTTTGAAAAACACAATATTTGGATGGAACTTTCCTGGTACCTGGATGCAAGTCTTGCTGATGAATGGGCTACACTTGGTAATGGTGCTCGAATCTTCATTGATATTGAATCTTACTCGAAAAGATCCATGACAAGTTCTTTACGGGTCTTCCAACGTATCACACAAGCGGCCAATTGGGCAGATACTGGTGCAGTGGGTTCTCATCGTGGATTTTACATCGACCTGGATGTAGTGACAGTAGGTATGACAGTAGATGGTAAATGTATCGATGGTCTAGACAATGACGATGTACGACTATCATATATTACTTTTTGGGCAATCACTAGTTCGATTTTTTGTCTTGGCGCTGACCCTCGTTGTATTCCCGACAAATACTTGGCATGGTTCAATCATCCTGATATGTTGACTATACATCAATCTGGCATCATGGCTAGGCCTATTCAATCTGGAAATGCTTGGACTAATCGTCGACAAATCTGGTGGAAAACTTTACCTGATGGTCGTGTCGCTGTAGGACTCTTCAATACTAGTGTATTTATGTTTATGTTGGGCAAAAGTTATGATCTCAAGTTTACTATGAGTGAAGTGGGTTTGAAACAAGCAATCATCAAGGATGTCTGGACAGGTGAATCTTTGGGAAAATCATCAAGTCATTATACCGTTATTCTACGCCCTGGTCAATGTAAGCTTTTACTTTTGACTCCTTGTCATGATAATGTAGTTTTAGTGTAATTATTTGTTAGATATAGATATGTATATATATATATATATATATTTGTCTCTCTTTTTTTTTTATATCATTGTTATTCTGATATTATTTCAACCTCATTCAATCAATAAATACTTTTGAAATCAAAAAAAAAAAATTAGTGAATATTCAGTATTATAACATTAATGATTGATTAATTTGTAATTATGATGCTCGAACAGTGACAGTGATTCTCATAAAGTTAAAATGAATAAAAAAAGTATTCCATTTCAGTTGCTGTTGTTGTTATTATTATGTTTTATTTACTTAAATACATGTAAAATAGAAGAGGGCATCATACAAGTAGATAGACTAGGTATTATTAAAGTGGAAGTGAGAGGAATGGGTAAGGCTAAAGGGACTAGTGTTTTTTGGGTTTGACAACTAAAATTACAATTAATAATAGTATAATAAGTATAAGTAATAATATGAGTTTGCGTTTCCTTGTTTTGCTTTGATATTTGGAACCCTAAAATAAAATAGAATCAATATCAGAATTAATACTGAATAATATTTTTTTTACCTTATCAAGCTCAACAACAGCATCTTTGACTTGTACAGTAGTTTGTTCAATATTATAATCAATACGATCTAGCATGGTACCTTGATCAATCACTAATGTTTGTAGATCCCGAAATATTTCAGCTAATTGGTGTATAGATTTTGCAATTTGATTGACTTCTCTTTCCCGTTGATCGATCATCACATTGTTTGATTCCAAAACAGCCAACTGTGATTCCGTAAATCCCTAGTATAATAATCATGATCAGTCATCATCATTCTATTTTCTCTCCCGTATTTCACTTTACCACTTGAACATCTTCATCTAGTAATAATTCGGCAGCTTCATTGCTAAGATCTGATTCTAATCCTAATATATTAGCTTTCCTTGATTCTTGTCCCTGCATTTCTAAAATATTTCAATTCAATCATTAAAAAAAAAAAAGAGGGAGAGTTGAATAATCATGACATTGAAGATTTATCTTTTTTTTTTTTTGGATTTACTTTGTAAATAGTTGGATTGCTGTTTTCGGAATGAGCTAGATACATCTTGAACTTTGGTGGCAAGACTTGTCTGTATATTTTTGGCTAGTAATTGATCTTGTTCTGAGGCACCTTTACTGTCAGCTTGAATACGTTGGATATCCCGTTTGATTCGATAAAATTCCTATAGTAATATAACAGAGAATGAAGTTGATAAAAAAAAAAAAAAAAAAAAAAAGACATAAATATATCATCCAAGTTAATTTCAGTCTATCCGCTCACTCCATTTTTGACCTTCATTTCATATTATATACAAAGATATCCCCATTCCTTCCATTTGAATCTTCACTTACATCCGTGATATTTGAAGTGAGTCGTTCAATAGCAGCTTCATCTGAAGAACGATCGTCGAATCCTGGTAATAAGTGCTTACGATGCATGGTTTCCAATCTAGTAACTATGTGTATTAGATGATAACAAGATAAAAAAAAAAAGAAAAGGTAAGTTGAGCAGACAATGAGAAAACATGATCATCTTAATAACTTACTTTTATCTTTGATTTGTCCAAGGCTTTCGTCTACTTCTTCTACAATATCCACCCTGTCCATAAACCATAATAAAAATAACAAACAAAAAAAAAAAGTGAGTAAAACAAATGACCTTCAAAAAAGATCTCATTACCATTGTGGAGGTAAAACGGACATTTCTATGACACTATCCGAGTTCTCGATGAGTCCTTCCATTTCTGAAGCACCTGCAGTGAAGTGGGATGTTGTTTGCGTTCTGGCATATGAATTTCTATACTGTAAAAATAATAAGGTTCGACTTCGAGTGGCCATCTATTATACAAAAAAAAAAGGGGGGGAAAGACAGAAAAAAAAAAAAAAAAAAAAGGAAGAGTATGAAAGAAGTGAAAGTCTTTTTTTTTTTTTTTTTAATTTTGGTCTCTTTTTAAACCCAGAGAAGCATACACATTCATCCTGCCTTTGATTTATTCATTGATTCATCTCGCCACTGCTTTTTTTTTCTGTTTCATCAACTTATTGATTTCTCTTTTGGCATATTCATCAAGCATTAGAACCATTCCTTTTTTTTTTGCCTTCGCTTTGTAATCTCACGTGGGTAGATGTTCCTTCTCTTTATACTTTTGTATCTCACTTAGAATTCATCATCATCATATCAAATTTAGACTGAAGATACATGAGAACATTCTCTTTCATTTGCATTAATAGCATTTTGTACCTTACCTCCCAATTTATAGACTAATTTAAAAAAAATAAAGGTTGATATGATCATATCACATTCAATATTGAACATCATCCAAAAATATTATCATCATTAGATTCCTTTCAAATAGGTAATCTAACAATAGGTAAATAACTTTTCATTGATCAGGTTATCACATAATGAGAAAAAATGCTATTTGAAGTATCTTCCAGCCTGGTAATCTCTTTATACTTTTTTATTTCGTTTAAAAATGGAGATCATCTCACCAAATTTGGACTGAACATACATTAAATCATTCTCTTTCAATTGTATTAATACCATTTTATACTTTACCTATCCACGTTTTAGAGTAAAATTAAAAAAAGGTAAAAATAGGGCATAGCGGGGTGTGAAAAGGGTCCATACCACAATTTGCAATCGCACATAAAAAAAGGGGTATATATAGCTGGGGATTTACAGTATAGAGTAAGAAGGGATAGTATCCGTTTAGCGGTGGACGAAGTTACGGCGTTGCGTCGACGATTGTAGTGGTCTGATTCATTCTTTCGCTGCTAGAGTTTCCTGATGGTTTCCTGATGGTTACTCAAAGCACAACAATGGGGAGATATCACACAGGAGATGAACATCATATGGACCGAGTAATGGACATCGTGGCTACTACCCCTTCGCCCTCTTTTTTTTTCTTTTTCTTTTGTTATGGGTTTATTTGTTATTGGGTGGATGATTGAGAAAAAAAAAATATAGTTGATAATATCAAAGTGATGATATTGATGATGATTGTTCGTATAGTGAGCACCAGTTCTTTTATATAAAAAGAACAAAAGTAAAATAAAAAAAATAAATGTAATCCAAAAAGGTAATAGATTTCTTGATGATTTGATCACAGATAATGATGATCAAATAAATAACTTAAAAAAAATACTTGATGTTTGCTTGATAATAATAAAATAAAGATAAAACTTAGGATGATTTATTCCTTAAGAGTGGCCAATGTGATTTAGTTTTTTTAAAAAAAACCTTTTATTGAATAAAAATATATAAAATTTGACGATCAAAAAAAAAAAGAAAACTAAAAGATGATGACTATTTATATTAAAAATAAAAAAATAAAAAACATATAAATAAAAAAAAAACCATTGTGTTTGACATCTTTCAAACACAAGGTAGAAATTCAATTGTTTAAAAAAAAAGGATTAAAAAAATTTATTGGTCAGCCACTTTTTCATATCCAACACTTTTTCTTTTTCTTTTTCTTTTTCTTTTTCTTTTTCTTTTTCTTTTTCGTTTTCTTTTTCTTTTTCTTTTTCTTTTTCTTTTTTTTTCTTTAACAATACTAAGCATATCATATCATGACTTTTTGGTAATGAAATTATATTTATAAGATAAAAACATTTACAAACTAAAAAAAAAGTAAACTCACTTCAGTAATGGACCAATGAACAATTATCAATAAAGTAACTTTTAACTTTTATTATCTCATTAGGAAGCAAGCTTCTTTATCTATCTTTCTCAAACACAATCAAAATCAATCGAATAATACCATATAATGATCTAAAATACCTTTACACCAATCTCTCTAATAGGACTATGAAAGTAAAGTTCAAAAAAGAAAACTACGCGACTGTCTTCTAATCCTCTTCTTCTTTTTCTCCTTTTTCTTCTTTTTCTTCTTTTTTTTATATATCTTTTTGTGTATAAACTATTCCAACTTCTTTACTATATTCGCCCTTTGTTCTTGTAAACTACAATTACTATGATGAAAGGTAAGCTTTATTACAAAACAAGAAATAATAATTTTTTTCTTTTCTTTCTAACCTTACTCTTTTCTCTATCTCTTTCTCTTTTTGTAATATGATCATGTACTTTCTTCTGGTCTTTATCTTTTCATTGGTTCAGTATCATCTAGCCGTTATTCTTCTTTTTTCTCTTAGCTCTTTGTATTTGATATTCTCTGTACGATGATGGTAAGTCTGAAAAACAAAAAAAAAAGGAGATCAAAGGGAACTCTAGATACCACAAATACTAGCAACTGACATCTTTTTCTTTTTTTTAAAAAAAAAAGAAAGATAGATCTACAACTATGATAGGTATACAATAGGAAAAGTTGAATGGATGTACAACAGGATCAACAGACGGAAGGTAAAAGACGAGCAAACTGGATGGAATGGAGATGCAACTGGATCAACTGTTGTAGATGAACAGGCAATCAATAGGAATGGGAACACATACAGTCATAGGGTGAATAATATATGGACAACGATATCAACTGGATGAATAGATGATGACACTTTACTTTTCACTTTGGTTGTTATCATATTGACTCTTTGATGGATTAATAATTTAGTTATATAGTAATGCCTACATTACAGTACCTAGTATATCATCTTCTTCAATAAAATCATACTTATATTATATCATCATCACCATAATATCAAACTTAGACTGAACATAGATGAAAAAATTCTCTTTCACTTACATTAATGATGGTTTATATCTTATCTCCCAATTTATAAAAGTAAATTAAAAAAAAAAAGGTCAATATCGTCATCCCTCATGCAATGGCGATCATCATCCAATAAAATTACTATCATTAGATTCCTCTCAAAAAAGTAGTCTAATATCATTTAATGCCATTTTATCACTTATTTTGCGATCTAACGTACAATGATCACCAACAACATTTCTTCCATTTTTCGAAAAATTGCCTGATGGACCCCTGACGATTCGTTTTTACAGCCAAACTTTGGCTGAGGAGTTCGAAAATTTTGGCTGTAAAATCCAAAATATTCAAAAAAAAGAAAGATGAATCTACAACGCTAAATAGCTCTAATCATCTTTCAAATCAGATTTTTAAGGTTATATCTATCATCATAACGTGTAAGCATTATTAATAAAAAATGTTTATACTACCTATGATTACTTCTTTTGTTAGCGGATCAAAAACTCAACCTGTCGATAATGCGTAGAGAATCACTTAAAAGGGCTCATTTGACAGCTAATCTCATTCAAAAAAAAAAAAAATCTCCACATCTCATTTTGAGGTTTAAATCTCCAATCATATCATAAACTCATTACTAGTAAAACATGTGCAGATCATCTATAAGTATTTTTTTTATTAATGTATCAAAGCAAATGACCACTAAAAGAAGTCGCGTCAAAACTCACCAAAGAACGCGTATTTTGGTGAGTTGCCAAGACAGCAGAAAAAGCAATTTTTATTGGTTAATTTTTTTTACCTTATAAGAATTTCCCTCCAAAATCTTGTCGGATGCAAATTTTGTCATTTTTCTTTTTCCTTCTCCTTTTTTATATTTCGTATCAACATGACGGGAACGGAATATCTTCAACAACTCAATGAAGATCAGAAAGAGGCTGTACAATCTGATTCAAGATCGTTACAAATACTTGCTGGTCCTGGTTCTGGGAAAACAAGAGGTAAAAGAAGGACACGAAAAAAAAAGCACGTCTTTTCGTTGTAAAAAACGTATCTTTTGTATTCGCTAATTCATCTTTTTTTTTCTCTCTCTCTCTCTTTTGGAAAACTATGTAGTATTGACTACTAGGGTAGCTTGGCTTGTTAAGGAAAAGGATGTTCGACCTTCATCCATTGTTGTGGTAACATTTACGAATAAGGCAGCGAAAGAAATGAAGGAACGACTAGAACAACCTACACTACTTGGATTCAAACGATCAGCTTATTTACATATGGGAACCTTTCATTCATTCTGTGCTGGTATTCTTCGACGTCATATTGACCTGACTCCATTGGAACGTAATTTTGTTATCGCTGATGCTGCAAAAAGCAAACAATTGTTGACTGATATTGTCAAGGAACTCGAACCTCACTTACAGAATAAAACTGGTGTCAAGACACAAACTGCAAGTATGTAATAAAAGAAAGAAAAAATGAATTTGCAATCAAAAGCAATTTATTGAACACGTTTCCATTTCTTTTTTTTCCCGGTAGGTGAATATCATCTCTATATTAGCAAGGCAAAATCGGCAGGGATCGATCATCATACTTATATGGCAGAAAACAGGGGACATTTTTTAAAAAAATATACAGCAATGGTATATACGTACGTTAAAAAAAAAAAAAAGGTCGTCATAATATAGAATTAGATGCTTACTTTTATTTTATCCATAACATAGTGCTTATGAAGAAAGACTTGAAGCTGAGAACATGATTGTAAGTTATGATTTTATTTCAATCATCTAGCGTGTTGATTTTTTTTCTTTCTCAATTCTATTTAGGATTTTGATGGTCTTTTATTACAAGGTCGTAATCTTCTCAGAGATCATCCCCAAGTCACTGACTTTGTAGAACACGTACTGGTGGATGAGGTAAGTAATAGGATAAAATGTGTAAAAGATGATCCTTTTTTTGATGAAACTGGTATACTTATAACTGTTGTAGTTTCAAGACACAAATGCTTTACAATATGAACTGCTCCAACTTTTGACTAGACACGGTGAAAAAGCTTTTACTGTTGTTGGTGGTAAGTAAATGAGAAAAGAAAAAGACAACGAGTCTTAATAACATTTATTTTTTATCCTTGTTAGATCCTGATCAAAGTATTTTTGGCTGGCGAGATGCAGATAAAGCTCATTTTGGCAAGATGGAAGCTGACTACAAGGATACCGTCATTGTAGACTTGAAGGAAAACTATCGTAGTACTAAATTCATATTACAAAGTGCAAGTCATGTTGTCGAAAAAGGTATTGAAATAAAGAAAAAGAAAAAAGAATGAGATTATTTTTATAGTGATGATCATTTCTTTCTTTTTTTTTTTTTTTAAGACAAGGCACGACGGCCACGACATTTGTTCACCAACAACCACGAAGGTGCACCAATCTCTCTTATGAAGCTCGAAACTGAAGTTGATGAAGCCAATGCAGTAGCCATGGAAATCAAACGAATTCTGAAATATTCCAACGGTTTGATCGGTTATAAGGATATAGCGGTGATGTTCCGGATGAACTTCTTGACTCGTAACTTTGAAAAAGCGTTTACTCAAGCAAAAATACCATATGTTTTGGTAAGTAAAAAAAAAAAAAAAAAAAAAAAAAAAAAAAAAAAAAAAAAAAAAAAAAAAAAAAAAAAAAGATAATATTGATGACTCATTTACATCTGTCAACTTTTATTATTATTATTAACAATATCTTATTATGAAAAAAAAAAAGGTCAGTGGCACACGATTTTTGGATCGTATGGAAGTCAAAGATGTATTATCCTATCTCTCTTTCTTCTACAACAGCAGGGATTCAGTTGCCTTTACAAGACTCATCAATGCACCCAAACGAGGATTAGGTGATGTGTCGATCAAAAAAATCCTGATATGCTCTCGTGAAAATGGTTGGACATTATTGGAAACACTACAAAGGATTCTGGATAAACATCCTGCAACATCACATATACGACTTTTGGCAAAAGCAAGAGAAGAACTGAACAACTTATTGAAGTTACAAACCGAAATTCAAAACAAGCTGAACCAAAAGGTAAAAAGCATTATGAACGTCTCTTACGATTAGTGTCTCTAATTTGGAATACCCTTTTTTTTTTTTTTTTTTTTTTTGCTTTTCTTTGATCCTTATAATGGTACCGTAGGCATCGATCGACATTGTTTTGAAACATATTGTGGAATCCATTAGCTATTTTGATTATCTGAAATCCAATTTTGAAAAGGATTATGAATCTAGAGAAGCTAACGTCAAGGAATTGATTGTGTTTGCCCAGCAACATTGCGAAGATTTAGTAGATGAAAGGTAATAGAAACAATTGGGTGAAATTGATCTTGATGATTGATATTATATGTCTTTTTTTTTCCCTAGTGATACTGATATGATCGGTTCATTCTTGGAAGCAACTTCCCTTTGTGGAGATACAAAAGAACATGATGAAACTAAGGAAGGAGTAAGTGAGCCTTCTCTTTTTTTTTTTCTTTGATCCTGATACCATTATTATCTCACTGTATACTTATATTGATTTGTTTTTTTTTTTCTTGATAGCGCGTATCACTGATCACCATGCATGCTGCAAAAGGCTTGGAATGGACTTGTGCATTCGTTGCTGGATGTGAAGAAGGAATTATTCCAATGTCATCAACGACGGATACTGAAGAAGAGAGGTAAGTGTATATACTGTGCTGGTCATTATATTGAAGAATATTAATCCACATCATTTTATCATATTTTATTATGGATAGTCGCGTCCTCTATGTTGCCATGACTCGAGCCAAATGTTTCTTGTATATGACACATGCCGCAATGCGCCGTAGATGGGACGATTATGACAAACCATTAATCAGTCGGTTTTTATATGATCTTCCTACATCATCCTATCAAAAATCAACACCAGTATGGAACGCTACAATACGCCAATGGGTCGCGACTGTACTCCGAAAACATTATGTGGAAGAAAAAACCCTTCGACTCGAAGATGGTGGAAAGACCTTTGAAAGCCAGGATGATAGGTAAATTCATAGAAAATTGTCTTTTACAAGGGAAGGCGTGTTTGATGAAACATATTTATTGTAATATTTATATAGATTATTTTCTGAAATAGTGAATCAGCTCTCGATCAACCTTCGACGCAAACTTCTCTATTAGATGTCAAAACCCATGGTATCATTCCTTCATTTGCATCAGCCATCAACCTTTTATCCTCTGAACATCAATTACATCAACATCAACCACATCAACGCCAAAAAGAAAAACAATATTCAATATCGAAAAATACACCACACTCTTCATTCTCTTTTTCTCGACCGACTCTTACGATATCAACATCAATATCAATACCTAAACCATATAACAGTCCCTCTACCACTCTATCGAAATACCAAGATCAACTAACAAATGGCATTGGCCATAAACAACAACGAAATAATACTACAACATCATCACATCACCTTATCAAAAACGAATCACCAAATATGCATGAATCACTTACTACAAAACTTGGACAAAAGAGAAATATGAATTATTTTGATGGTATACAACAATCAGGCAAGACCAACAAAATCAACAAGAAACGAACAATCGAATCATCAGAATTCAATATAGAACAAATCGTTACCAAAGCAATACAAGGTGTGGCAGTGGGGAAGAATAGTTTTAGTCTGGATGAAGTGGTTATCAAGGCCCAAAAAGAAAACATTGAAAATGACCAAGCGGTGACAATCCAGAATCAAGTGATAAAACAATTGGACAACCTGGTGAAAACTGGTGCCTTATGGAAAACAAAGAAGAATGGTAGCATTAGATTCCTTGTAGCAGAATAGTAGATGTTATTTGTTGATACCCCTCCTCCATATTTATATATTCCAACTCTTTGTTCTTAGCCTTAACCATAGAATAACCTTTTTTTTTTTTCTTCTTTTCTTAATTTGTATGTATCTGATCATCATCATTTTTGTCATTCATCATTATCATCATTATCCTTGAATGTATCCGGTTTTTTATTGAAATGAATAAACAAATACTTAAAAAAATATATATATACAAATATAATAAACTAACTATAGGGATTGTAGTGAAGATTATGTAAATTTTTTTTTTTGTTTGTCTGTAAATATGTATGTGTGTATGTAAGTGTGTATTGATGGGATGATGAAATATAAAAAATAATAAGATATAAAATAAGAATACAATGATCAATAAGTAAAAACAAAAGAAACACAAAGAATACCACTACCAAAAAGACAATACAATCCAAACCAACTAATCCAGGAGATTCCATTTGACTAATTCTTCACGGAAAGCATTCAATCGTTCCATAGAGTAATAAAAATAATCAAAATCAATTTCACTTTGACTTGCTTGCACCAAACCCCAAAGACCCCAACCTAAATGAGTACCCATCAACCAAGCTTCCATTTCCTTTTGAATTTCTTCTACTGAGGTATCATCATCCATGCCTAATTCAGTTTTGTTGGTGTCCATATAAGCTTGAATGAAACGTACTTGTTCTTCTTTTGTCGGGAAAGGTTCAGTCATTGCTGCTGGTCGTTCGCCATGATAATCGTATCGCCATTCTACAAAATGGTTGGCCAAGTCAAATCCACGTGTGTTATATCCCGCGTATTCGAAGTCCACTAACACAAGAGCTCCAGTGTCGTCACGTTTCAAGATATTTCCATATTGTAACTAGGGGGGGAAGAAGAAGAAAAAAAAAAAAAAAAAAAGAGAGAAATATCATAAAAGTATTAATATCATTTCTTTTTTTTTTTTTTCTTGGATATTTCTCTTACATCATTATGACCAAAAACAATAGGACTTTTGATATCACTGAGAATTTCCTTGCTTCGTTCTATATCTTTGCCAAGTTGATCAAAATTATATAAATCCAAAAGTGGTATCCAATGAGGGTGTTGTTGTTTGAGAGTGGGTAAAAGTCGCATGACCAAAGCATACCATTTATCAACATTTTGCCAAATTTCCAATATATGTCTGTCATCCGTATCTTTCTTTTGCTGAGGAGGGTAGATCTTCACAATAGCATGCTGTCGAGCCATACACTGGGCAATTTGTTTTGAGATATTAGGTTCACGGATGTCATTATGATTCAAAGTAATTGATTCTACATATTCTTCAAATCTTCCATTACCGAAAATAGCTAATAAACGAGGGCCTAAATTGAGTCGACCTAATCGTGCAAGCCAAGCCAGTTCCTTTTCTCGATCAATCAATTGATCTACACCAACACCATAGACACGTAATAGTCGTCGTTTTCCTCCAGCATCAACAAAAAAGATGGCACTATAGAAAAAAAGAAATAATGATAATGATAATAATTTAGTCATTGAAATCCAAATATATTTTTTTTATTATTACTTTGTCAAGGCACCACTGATACGATTGATAGCAATATCTTCTTTGTATTGTATCCACCCAGGAAATAGCTCTTTGGCCATATTAAACACAACTTGAATAAGATCGTCCTGCTTCAATTTTCTATTCCAAAACTAAAAAGTAAGTATCTGGAAAAAAAAATATAAGTTTTGACTATTGTTACTTACGCCAGATCAATGATCGTGTTACATGTAGGTACTTTAAGAGTATCAGAGTTGGCTCGTATAAAATGATGTCCAGGTCTTTCATGAGAGGTAGAGTTGTTATGATTTGATAATTCAAGTGTGGTCATAATTGTATTATTATTTTAAAAGAAAAAAAAAAAAAGAAAAAAAAAAGAAGAAAAGGAAGGAAAAGAAAAAAAAAAAAGGAAAAAGGAGGATTTTCTGAGGCTAAAACAGATCATCTCAGTTTTACAATCTTATCATCTTATTGGATAAAACAAGGAAATGTTCAACACCAGTTGACTGTACCAATTTCGGAAAGTTCCCTAGACCCCATTCATTTCATATGATAACAGGCACACGAGTCAATGTGATGGGGAGAATGAAAAAAAAAAAAAAACTAGTGCGACTTTATTCAATATAATATATAATATATATAAATAAAAAAAAAAGAACTGACATAAACTATCGATAAAAATATCACTATAAGAAAAGAGACAGGAAGAGCAGGTAGAGAGATAAAACAAGCCAAGAAGGATCAATCCAGCGGTAACTTTGTATCATTGTCTTGCCTCTGTTGTCCAGTATGCCATATATTCAGCTTGCTCATGTTGAAGTTCCTATATTTCTATATTGACATATAATCATATTTTTTTTTTTTATAAAATAGAATAATAAGCGATCATATGTTACCTTACATGGACGACAAAGTCTACAACGACATCCTTTCAAAAAAAAAATATAAATAAATAAATCACACCTTTCGTCTGTATCAATGTATAATATAAACTGTCTACTTTTATTCATTCTTTCAAGTATACGGTATTACCTTTTCTTTGTCCTTTACTTATTCAAGTTCTGGGTGCTTTCATTTGATAATTGCCTTGAGATTTGGAAAGTGAATGATAAAGAAAGATTAAAAAAAAAAAAAAAAGGAAACAAAAATTGCTTTAACTCTTTTTTTTTTTTTATTCCGACACCAATTGTTTCATTCAAACACGCGAAATGAATCAACTTAAATAATTATTAGATCAGTCAATTGGAAATATATAATATATTAAAAATAAATAAAAATTGTCTTGATATAAAAAAAAAAAAAGAAACATCGGGTAAAAATTTAAACTGTTTTCCAGATGTATGAGATTCATATCCGGTAGACCGTGACGAGGTTGTACAATTTTCCAAATTAGTGGATATATTCACACTCCGACGATTGGAAATATAATGCACTTCTTGGTCTATTTTTCAAAAATGGTCGCTTGGTGTAGTTGGTTATCACGTCTGTCTAACACACAGACGGTCGGCGGTTCGAATCCGCCAGCAACCATTCAATTTTTTGCTTTTTATAAAAAATATTATGGTTACACAAGAAAGTTGAGGTTTAATTGAAGTGTGTTCTGCTAGGTTTTTTTGTTTTTTTTTTTTTTTTTTTTTTTGTGTTAAGTGATTTTTTTGTTTATGGGTTCAAAATTGAAAAAGTAAGACGGATGATTGAAAGTTAATAATGTTTATAGTGAGCACCAGTACTTGATTACGCAAGCACACGTATAAGTAAAGAGATAAAATAAAAAAGAAAAGTAAAGTAAAGAAAAATAAAGTCTTGTTCCAAATTTGGAAAATAGAAGTAGAGTAAAATTGTTCTGACTTTAAATATAGAACAAAGTGAGCCAATCAAAATAGATAATCCACAATATAATCAAGTAGGGATGTAAAGATGTTTTTATTTAAAAAAAAATATAAAATATTGACTGAACTGATTGAACTAACTAATAAAAAAAAAAGGAAAAGAAGGGGTATTTATACTATCTGAAATTTAAGGTTAAAAAAATAAAATATGAAAAAGAAAATGAAAACGAAATGAATAAGTGAAATAAAAATAAATTTTTTTTTTTTTTTTTTTTTTTTGTATGTGATGTTAAGGATTTTTTTTGTTATTTGTGTGATGATTGATTTATATAGTTGATGAATAATATTATTAATATAATAATATTATTGATGATTGTTCAGAGTGAGCACCAGTTCTTTTATAAAAAAAGAACAAAATATAATACAGTTGAAAAAAAAAGAGAAGTAATCCAGAAAAGGAAATAGATGTCTTGTATATATGATCACTCTTGATGATGATCGAAAGAATAAAGCAATTCGAATATAAAGTTTGATGATTGCTTGAAAATAATACAGATAAAACTTTTGCTTCTTTTTTTTTTTTATCATATCATCTTGTGGATAATACATCGCTATTCTTTTTCTTTTTTTTAAAAAAAATAACTGTGCTGAAGTGATGACAACTGAAAAAAGAAAAAAGGATAGAATTTGCTCATGGAATCAAATAATATGAAGACAATGGTGATGATGATGGTCATAATTGTCATTAATTCAATCATCATCATCATCATTCAACCATCAATGACTATGATAAGCTCCTTTTATCAAAAGATTTGTATAAACATTTTCCAAAGCATCCTTGTCATCCATTGGAACAATCATCTTGAAAATTATTAGTCTTCATAAGCATAATACTCATGCTTACTTACGTTCTGTATCAAATCACTAAGGAAATGAACTTTGATGAAGATGTCAGCGGCATTTGAAACCAACATGAACTTTGGCGACTTTTTTTTTTTTTTTATGTTTGTTCCTTTCACTCTGATCACAATTCGCACTCCCACTAAACAAGGTAAGTCTTTTTGAAAAGAGAGATCTAAAGTATGTATTCACAGACAATTATTTATTTTTATAATGTCGTTTAATGATAGATGCTAGAAAAAGATCTTTTTGCGGGTGTTGTCACTAGTCTATGTTTTCATAGTGAAAAAGTCATTGTTGTTGGTCATGGTCCATTTCTCAAACTATACAATGTCCTTACTGGAAAACTCTTAACTTGTCAAGAAGTCTTACCAAATAACCGTATCCATCGTATTACTTTTGGTAACTTGTTCAAACTAGTATTATCACTTTGAAAATTGAAACGATATTTACTTTTCTATGTCTTTATTATAGTCCCCAAGATTGACATCAATCAAGGCACTGAGACTAGAATGATGGCTGTATATGGATCCAAATATATTGCTATTGTGAAAATAACCATTGTCGAAGACGAAGATCACGCAAGGTAACATTGAAAAAAAAAGAGGAAAATCAGCTTGGTTATGAGATCAATTCTCACTCTTATTAACTTTCTATCCATTTAGTATCGACATTATCGAATCACTTGGCCCTTTTTGCGATTGGATCTTGGATGTACAATGGTTGAAAGTTGGAGTAAGTCATCCGAGTGATCATATCAAGGTGGAAGGAGAACCATGAATATATAATAATGTATACTGACAGTTTTTTTTTTTTTTTTTTTTTTTTTTTTTTTTTTTTTTAAAAAAAAAAAAAAATTGAATCTTAGGAACACTATAGTCAACTTGCTATTGCTTATGCTCACAACTTTGTAGAAGTATACAACCTGAATATGATGGCAACAACAACAACAAAGATCAATCTGGAACTAATTTATAGGATCCAATGTGAAGTAAGGTGTATATTATATTCAGCTCGATTTTATGGTAATACTTTGACGGAATTGATTCTTGCATCTGGAACAGTATTCAATCAAGTACATGTATGGAAAGTGACGGACAAGAATGAACAAGGGGATGGACATGTATGTCGAGAACTATTAGGCCATGAAGGCGTGATTTTTGGTGTACGGTTCAGTGAGGATGGATCCATGTTGGTAAGTGTCTCGGATGATCGTACAATTCGTGTATGGTCTATGGTGAATCTGAAACAAGCTCCTTTAGTGGTATATGGTCATACTGCTCGTGTATGGGATTGTCAAATTGTAGGCGAATATCTGGTTAGTATCTCGGAAGATGCGACATGTCGAGTTTGGAAGAACGCAATGATGGCAAATGACAACAAAGACAGTATTGATTTAGGTGATACAAGCATGGATTGCTTAGCTTGTTGGGAAGGTCATACTGGTAAGAATATTTGGAGTGCTGCTGTTAGTCCAGATCATAGGATCGTTGCAACTGGTGGTCAGGATTCTGGTATTCGTCTTTGGTCTCTTACATCTATCAAGGAAAACAATATTGGTAAGTAAACGAATAATTAGGAAAAACTCGCTTTTTTATCATGTTTTTTTTTTTAATAGTTTCGGAAGATGATTTGGCCTGCATGCGACTTCCTGAACAATACAAGGGAGATATGATTCGAAACTTTGGCTTGATCAATCATAAAACTCTCATGGCTTCCACGGATCATGGGTAAAGTTATTAATAAGGATAATGACAATGTAACTCATTCACCAGTACATTTATTTCCCTTATAGCCACTTAATCCGATTTGATGCTTCTACAAATATTCCTGGTTGGAGTGATGTTTATCAAGATGATGATTTACGCGGTTACTCCATATTACAACAATCATCCTGTGGTCGCCTCCTTGTTGCTGGTAGCATGAATGGTGGACTTTTGTTTTATAGTACTCAAGATGAATTCAAATCATTAAAGCTTGATATTCACTCGCAAAAGATATTTGAAATCTTCATCATTGCTTCACAAGGTGATTCATATATATATATATATATATATATATATATATGAAGAGAAATCGCATACTAATGAAAAAAAAATACCTTTTTTTTTTCTCTAGTGAACAAGGATCTGTTTTATATTGTCTCCTATGGCTATAATGGTGATATCTACTTTCATCTACTTGACACCTCGGATCCAACCAAGGTAATCATGACAATACATAAAAAATCATCAATATAATTTAACCTTTTTTATTTTTTTTTTCTTTTAGACTACTGTCAGCACACCTTATATGCTCAAACTTCCTGAATGTCGGACAACATTAGTATCAGCAGCCCTGGTCGAATCAAAAGGAGTATTGATTTGTGGTTCTAGAGAATCAACGATGCTAATCTACCGCTTACCCGATTTCACTATCGATCATTTTCATCACAACAATAAATTACCAGTACATCCAGCAATACAGGTTGATAAAGTCCATGGAAAACAATGCATCAGCGGAATCACTATCAAACAATCATCATCATCATCAATGATTTCTCCTTTTACTGAAGAAGATTGTATTACTTTTTGGACAACTGGACGTGATGGATGCTACATCGAATATCGTCTCAAGACTGCAAACGCTCGTAATTCTTCATTTTCTCCGGATCAACAAGAAGCCATATCTGTCAATCAAGATCTTATATTGGAAAAAGTGTATCGCAACAAGGTGACAAAAGGTTGGTTAGAAGGTGCTGTCTACGTGGATGATGAACTGTTATTACTTGGATTTTATAGAAAATCTTTCTTTGTTTATAACGAAACAAAGCACTTTGAGGTAAAACAACAGCGTGAAAAGATGATTGATTCTAACTTTACATGAATTTCTTTTTATAGATGATATCGGTAGCTTGTGGTGGTGCTCACAGACGATGGCATTTTAATACCTTGGACGCAAGACTGAATCATGCCTCTTTTGCTTTTATCCGAAAGGAAGCAGTAAGAAAAGAAGTTGACATATATATAGAGAGAGATCGGATTAATGTGTTTATTATTTTATTCTAGATTTATGCTTATATTCGTGATGGATCCAATAGTACCAACGGTTTCCAAGAAATCACACTTCAGGTAAAATACTGTTTTGATTGTTGATACAATAATAGATATGACCCGATTGTATTAATATCTCCTCTCTCTCTCTCTCTTTTTTTTTTTTTTTTTTTTTTCGTTTAGAGCAATTTCCATGGTCGAGAAGTACGGGCTATGAAATATTTGAGTAAGGAAGATTGATCATGAAAAAAGAATATATATATATATATACGTCTCTTACGATACCTTTTCTTTTTTTCTTTTTTTTTTTTTTTTTAAAAAAAAAAATAGAATTACCAGCAAATTCCGGGGATCATTCAAATCAACCAATTGTTTTTGCTACTGGTGGTGAAGATACTATCTTACGGATACATCAATGTAAGTTATGTCAAGATCAAATAATAATATTTCGAAATAATTTTATTGACACTATCTTGATTGTAGATATTCCTAAGGAATCAAAGTTCGTCACTCACTCTACTATTCGCAAACATAAATCAGTCATCAAATGCATTGAGTGGAGTCATGGAAATGAAACTCTACTTTTTACAGCTGGTGGAACCGAAGAATTCCGTTGTTGGAAATTAGAAATGTATCAAGATCATGAAAACTCATTAGTGGTGAATTGTTTGGAATGGGCTGTGTGTCCTGTTGTCAGGTAAAAACCAATCAGGATCCATTCCATTTTTTTTTTTTATCTCTCTGTCTGATTTCTTTCCCTATTTGGATAGTGATGAGCGGATCGAAACTCGTATCATGGATCTTACAACCATTGTCATTGATTCTTCTCGAGGACTTCACTTGGTTGGTGCTGTTTATTCCGATGCAATGATCAGGGTAAGTTTTCTAATAATTATCATTGTTACTGAAAGGGTTTATTTCTGACTTGATATCTCTTTTTGCTTAGATTTGGCTTTTCAATGAAAAAACTCGACAATTCTCACTCATTGTGGATGGTACTTGGCATGCAAAATGTATTCTTCAAATTACTCATTTGGTTCTTGCTCAAGAAAATGAGAAGAATCGTATCTTGTTCTTCACATCAGCAACTGATGGAAAGTAAGTTTATAACAAATGGTTGACAAAAGATGTTTAAGAATGTGTATACTCATCTATTTTTTTTTTTTCAGAGTGGCTATATGGGATATCAGTGAAGAATTATATTCTGTACTTGAGAATGTGGAACAAGTGGAAATGGATCCAACTAAACCAGCTATCAAATTGTCACAACCACTTGGATTTTATCTAGTACACATGTCCGGTGTCAATGCACTGGAAGTAATGGATTTCGACAAGGATCATATATTGATTTTGACTGGAGGCGAAGACAATTCTGTAGCTGCTACTTTGGTGAACAAACGGAATTGGAAAATGGTGGATGATGGACCATGTAATGTACCGAATGCACATGCATCTTCTATCACTGGTATATATCTTATCGATCATATGGATACACAAAAGAGAGCAATGGCTACAGTATCAACTGATCAACGATTGAATATTTGGATGATTGAGTCTATTGACAAGGGATCATTGGCAGTAAACTTGGTAGATACCGTATTTGTGGATATTCCAGATCCATCGGCATTGGATGGTATACGATTAGAGTAAGTTTTGACAAAATAAAAAAAAAAAAAAAACAAGGTGAATACTTACTATTTTATATTATATAGTGGTCAATTACACTTTACATCAACAGGCATCGGTTTACAAAGTTTCAAATTTATTCATGATCATTTATAGATTTGCATAATTATAGAAAATAGACATAGAATAATTCAATAATAAAACTTTCTTTTTTTCTTTATTTATTTTGTTTGACAGTTGGTTGGGATAATTTCATTGGTCGGCTGTTATAATGTTCACCTCCTCTTTTTTTTTTTTTTTTTTTTCTTGCCTTCTTCTTTTTCCTTCTTTATATCATGGTGGCCAGAAAAGGGTTATTCTGCCTTGGGTTGGTCTTCTTGCTTATCCTTTCCACAGTCATACCAACTGTGAAAGCTTGGGAAAAAGGTAATGAAAAGAAAAGAAAAGTTCATTTTTTTGTCAAATATCATATTCCTTTAACCATTTTTTTTTTTTATTATTTTGATCATGACAATATAGATGATTTTGAAATCTTTGATTTAGTGGATGAACTTGAAAAAGCGGAAGGAAAGGAAACAAACTTTTACAATTGGTTAAATTTGAAGGTACAAGATAATAGGAAAAGAATGCGACGCGAAGATGGCATCTCTGACCTTTTATTATTATTATTATTATTATTATTATTATTATAGCCTAGTGCCACTCAAGCTGAAATAAGCAAAGCATACAGAAAATTATCTATCAAACTTCAGTAAGTGATTAAAAAAAAACAAAGGATAGGAAAAAAAATAGATGAAGTAATGATACTTCTTTTTTTTTTAATGGGGTCTAGTCCTGACAAGAACAAACATGATGCTCAAGCAGAAGAACGATTTGCACGATTGGGTAAAGTGGCAGCTATTTTACGGAATGCTGGTACTCGTGAAAGATACAATCACTTCTACAAGAATGGAGTACCACGATGGCGAGGCACTGGTTACTACTATGCACGATTTCGACCGGGTGTAGGCAGTGTGATTGTGTTCCTAATGCTATTGGCGGCAAGTATGCAATATTTGGCGAAATGGATCAATTATTATCAAGAAAAATCAAAGATCATTCAATTTGTACAAGATGCTCGTGCTAATCTCAATGTCAATGTACCAAAAGGGTATGGTGCTCCTACCTTAGGTCGAAGTTATTTGGAAGTGGGTCATCGTACTTTACGTTGTGAAATCAAATCTGATCATTATATCATCATCCATATGGAAAACAAAGATGAAGAACCTGTGCATTTGAATACCGAATGGGTGCTTCCTCCTCGTTTTGCTGACATTTATCTGGTCAAATGGCCTCTTGGGCTTATCCACAAACTACAGGGGAAACATACTGATGACAATCAACAAGATAACAAGGACTCTCACAGTGATGAAGGAAGCGAGGATAAGCAAGTTCAAGACAAGACAAAGAAGAAGAAATCAAAGGCAACCGAACCTGTGAATGTGACCGGAACCAAGGTGGGTGGACGACGACGAGCACTTCGTAAATAAATGAATCATCAACATCATCCACTTCCTTAGCACAATCTCCATTCTTTATCATATTTAGGTGTAGCTAGTTCCCATCTGATTATCATTATAGACTTACTATTATCCTTTTTTTTTTATTATTATACACGAATAAACGCTCTGATATCCTGGGAGCTTTTCGAAATCAAACATTTATGTGGATGACTATTTTCTTTGTTGAAAACGTATATGCTCTCTCTTTTTTTTTTTTTTTTTTTTTTTTTTTGAAAATTTGGATTTTACGGCTAAAAGTTTCCAATTTCTCAGTCGAATTTTGGCTGCAAAACTGAATCGTCAGGGGATCATCAAGTAAAATAACAATCCATATTTGGAATTTAAAAGGTGGACATGTCAAAAGTTTGTTACACTACTGAATCTTTCGATATTTTGATCAAATATAAATAAATAAATTCTTGATATTACCTTTGAATCGCAGTAAGGAAAAATAAAAGATCAATAAACATTTTGATAACAAAAATTAATTTTTATTTCATACAAATGGGGGAAGGTATTGATTCTATCTGATGATGAAGATCCAGAAGAAGGGAGAAGAAGATCTATGCATACAAGAATATTTCACCTTCACTACATCCAAATAATAAAAGTTGATCGGCAGCTACTGTTGTAAAGGCACTGACTTGAGATTTCATGATGGATGACTTGAATTTAGAAGAATAGGACTGACTCTATATATAAAGATTAATTATCATTTCCAGTTCATCTAACTAATATAATTTAGTTTGATTTTTTTTTCACTTACATCATCATTGATAGGTATAAAGGAAACAGAGTTATTTCCATTGATGGTCAGAACTTCATCTTTGAAAGTATCCAATGATATAACATCCAATACGGTAGGTATTGTTTTCACAAGTGCTAATCGATTGACATTCCAACAGCAAATGAGATGATCTGCTGGAGCACAAGTTACCAACAAGTCATTCGCATAAAACTTGAGCTATTGTTATCATTAAAAAAAAAAAAGATGATTACTTCTCCTTCTTTTTTTTCTTCTTCTTCTTCTCTTAATTGCTATCATATTTTGTTTTGCGCTTACCAAAGTCACTTCAGTATCCCCACCTTTCCAATTGGCAATCAACGAACCAGTCCTTGTTTCCAACAGTGCAATAATCCCAGTTGAATATCCCACAGCAATCCATGTTTCCGCTTCATTCGTAACAATGGCTCGGATGGTACCAGTTGTTATAGATGCACTTGATTTCCATGTATGCAACAGACAATGATTATGAGTATCTAAGAAACTAATTTGTATAATACAGTATCCAATCAAACGTTAAAATAAGCATCTTTTTATCATTATATATATGTATTTACTTACGTCAAATAACCTTCCACAGTTGCGCCAATCAAACTGCGAGATTGAGAAAATGGTTTGAGAGAGATAATAGAAGATCGACCTGTACTAAATTGATGAATGGTTTTCCCAGTTTCCGGATTCCATAGCTTAAAAAAAAATAAAGAAAATAAGTCCATTTGTAAATTATCATCATCTTTTATCTTTTCTTTTACATGAACATGTCCATCGCAACTTGCAATCAGATCACTTTGACCATTATGTGCTGATAAAAAGTGAATATCATGGATAGCTCCACGTCGATGTCCAGTGTAAGTCACCAAGCTTTCAGAATAAGGATCCGTTTCCCAATTTTCGATGCCTTCATGTATATTCAATGACCATAGTTTCACCGTACGATCCTTTGACCCAGATGCAAATATCTTATCCGGTTCATTGACTGTGAGAGATCTGATGGATGATGTATGACCTATTAGGACAATAAGAAAAAAAAAAAAAAAAAAAAAAGAGAGAAAAAAGACGAGTTATTTTTCATTCCATTGTTCCTTTTTAAGCTTTTTTTTCTCCTATATTGATTGATTAACTGACCTGCAAATCCACGGAGTTTCAGATCATTAAATGAGAATTGCATTGATTTTGACATTTCCTCTATGTGAAAAAATCATATAAATTTTAGTAGATCCATCAGATAAGACAAACTATTTCTTACCTGAATTTGTAGATAGGAACCGATTCCAATTTCTAAATTTCAAATGAAGAAAATATCAATAAAAGTAAAGTGAAGATGTGAGTGATTCTTATTACTTTTTGTCTTCAGGGGATGGTTTCCATTTTGTTCTCCAAGGCAACACACTGGTTGGTATCTTGTTCTTATTGGCAGCACTACAGATCCAAAGTAATATATCAATACTCTATTTCATATTTCCTCTTTCTTGTCTCGATACCTTTCTTTTTCCAAAAGTTTTTGTTGAGTGGCTGTTGTTAGTAACATGGATGCAGAAGCTGATTTTTTGTTGTTTGTGCTGTTCGTAGTTTTTGTATTGGTTGTCAAAGATGAAGATGACGAAGTCATTGTGATAGGTAGATTAGATTGTTGATGATGTTCATTAATATTACCTTGAATACGTTGAACAGATATAGTCGTCAATAATGGTATAAAATTGCAAAGATTGTTGGTAGCATAATCATACAGCTTGGTCGAATCAAGTAAACGTGCACCTTCATCGGTAGTTGCACATCCTGTTGATGATATTGTTTTTTGCGCATCCTGTTGCTGCTGTTGATTTTGATTATTCTCCTTCTTTGATGATAATTTAATCCATGACATGAGCTTGTTATTGTTATTTGCATCCTTTCCAGATGGGGTAGTTCCACTAGATCCTTCTAAACACACTTCTCCTGATAGTTCTTCTTGTTGTGAGAAAGATTGAGTTCCATTATCGTCTTTTTCTTCAACGTCGTTTGTTATTGATGTTGTAGGTGAAGGTGAATTGGTTTTCAGAGAAAAGTCATCATACATCATTGTCTCAATTGCAGTGCTGATATATACAAAAAAAAAAAAAATAGATAGATTTAGTATATTTTCCTCATTTTTTTTTTATCATACATATTGTTCATTTACCTAGTAGGTATCAATCGATGCATTGTTGATTTTCCCACAATTTCGCATAATCTTGAATAAGCATACATCATCTATGAATATGAAGTCAGTATATTAAATATCTTGGTAATAATAGTGACGTCGATATTAGTACCTGGTAACCTTTTCGAGGATCTGACACGGGCATTTCATTTTGTACAGAGGAATCATCCGTTGGAACATTGGAGATAAAACCTGAAAAGTATTTTCGAAGAGTGGGAATAATCTATATAGTGATAAAAAAAAAGTTTAATAAAACAGTTAATACGAGTGCCATCATTTATTCATTATCATTTTTTTTTTTTTTGTCTTTTCTACCGTTGATTCCCAATCAGTTAGAGGAAGATGTGCAGTCAATTGTAGTATATATTCAATGGTGCGCATACTGACTGTTAGCTGTAACGTAGCCGAGGAGGCTGGATATCGTTGTTGTTCTCGATCATGGAAAGCAGTGGCTGATGATGGGGTAACAACTGGTAAGATAGGTTCCAATAACTTGTAAAGAGTTTCCATCAGCCCAGATTTCAATTCAGTAGTGATTGCTTGGTTAGACATGAATGGTAATAATTTTCCCAAGAGAACTAAAACCACATAATTCATTCTTGCATTTCTTTCATTGATCATCTTGTCATCAGTAGGTACAGAAATCAAAGTAATCAGATGGGTATATTGAACTGAGGTAAATGTTTCTCCGAACAAAGTACCAGCTATAACGACCACCGAGTTCAGAAGCACCGGTTTGATGGAGTCATCACGAAAGAGGATCTTGACTAGCTGACGTACAATGTGTTTGGATGTAAGAATAGGTCCTAATAGTTTGCAAATCTGTACCAGCGAATCACCAGCAAGTTCAGGCACCGGATTGATAGGAGGGGTTGTTATCGCATGATTTGAAGATGAATCAGTGTGATTACCATTGATTGCACTTGAAGTTGTTGGTGAGTTTTCTGTTGTGGTATTGTCCATTGATATATTTACAGAATTGGTACCACCATTCATTGCTAGAGCTTCCAGGTAACATGGTAACATTTGCTGAAGGAAAAGAGGAATACCTAGCCGCTTGATAAATTCTTTGATTACTTTTGCTTCGAATAACACCTTTGGGATGTCTGGTCGTAAAATCTATATATGAAAAAAAAAGAAACAAGAATCAACAATTGAGAATGTCATCATTTAAATTAATAATGATCATTTTCTAATATTACCTCAAACATGGAGATGATTGGTTTCAGTAAATGCTTGCGAGTGTTTTCTTGTCCCAAACGATGAGATAGTTTGGAAAACAGACCAACAGATCCAATTCGAGTTTCAGGATGAGTGAATAATTGTATAAAAGTCGGGAGAATCAATAAGAAAGCCTAATAACAAATGAATATGGTTAATATAAGGATGAATAATTGTGAAACATTCTTGATGTTGATCATTGTATGTTTTTTTGATTATTTACTTCATCTTCCAGTTCACAGATTCGATCAATCCATTTGTCCGCCAAATAAAGTCGTCTTGACCATTCACTGTAAATATATTAAAAAAAAAAAAAAGATGAATCCGTGGAATGGGAATGTATATATGTGAGAGTGGGAAATATCCCAATTTTACTTACGCTTGATAAAATGCAGCCAGATATTCATACATGTCAGGAATTTGATCCACCAAAGGAAAAGAGAACTGAGGATTGCGTACAGTCATAGAAGGAAATGAGGCATATAGAATTGACTTGGCAGTAGGACGTTCATACCAATTTTCAGATTGGAGGGCAGAGATAACACCAGTAACTTCAGGAGAAATCTGCATTAACATAAAATAGGGTAAATAAATGTCATATTACTAAGTTTATATTTACATTTGTCGTTCCACAGGAAGAGATATCATAAGATATTTCACCATGATTGGTTTCCAAATAAACGCAAGTTCCAGGACCACCAGTGCCAGTAGTACTACTGGTATCGCCGTCTGATTCAACCTTGACTCTATTTTGACTTCCAGCCATCAAGATCTTTTCCATCACCTGACCGACACAGAGCATATCATGAGCAGTTTCCATCGAGTAAATGTTGGTGGGTAAAGGAAGAGTGTCATTAGGATCGATATTGTAACGTCGTTTCATAATAGGATCGTCATCAGATAAGATTGGATTTTCAGGAATATTCACCACTTGATCCAAAGCCGCTTTGTTATTTACAGAGAATTTCATTGTATCTTCATAGTGAATCAAGTTTTCCATAAAATAATCATCAGGCATTTCAATCGGTAATCGGATTGGTTCTGTTCGTAATGCGGACGATATGTTGTTGTTTGAGATATTCACTCCATTCAATCCTCCTCCAACACCCATTCCAGTATTTTCAAAAGATAATGATTTACTGCCAACCGAGAGGGAAGTATCGATGGATGATGTTGTTGAATGTACTGAGGAAGCTCTATCCCTTGAACTAAGAGTAAAGCTTGACGGACTTTCGCAAATACCAAGCTTGTTATTTGTTATCGGTAACGGAGAAGCCGGTTGCGGTTGCTGTGATTGCTGCTCTTGTTGTGATTGTTGTGATTGCTGCTGCTGCTGCTGCTGCTGTAATACCGCTATTTGTTGTTGTTGTTGTTGCTGTTGTTGTTGCTGCTGCTGTTGTTGCTGAGAATAAATACCTAGGTACTTTGTGTTCTTTTGAGATAAATGTTGAGTGCTGACCGACTGTTCACTTGATGAAGTCTCAGTAATAAGAGGAGATAGTGTACTGTTTGTCATGTCGTTCATTTTCTTGGAAACACTTTTTTCATAAACTCTAAAAAGCCAGGTAAAAAAAAAAACTATGAATTCACAAATCAAATAACTACTTTGTTTCTACCTTTTAGCATGGTTCCAATTACATCCACGCTGAGGATGATTTTCTTGAAATAATTGAATAATACCGTGTTTCATAAAACTGTTTTGGCCAGCCAGAAGAGGTAATGCTACATTTTTCGATCCAATGGCCTCTTTGCCTATGACATCAAAAAAAAAAAAAATCAATCAGGAAACAGTTCCAAATCTATTCGAAAATCAGTGCGATTTATTCTTCTTGATTATTACCAGTCAAATGGTTTCCAAATGTAAGATCGATCCAATGATGTAACATAGAAGAAACATGATCAGATTCAAGAGCTCTTGCGTGCTGTTGAATAAAGTCTTCGGGAGAAGTAGACCAACTAGAATAGATTTCAAAATGGGCAAGAGAATAAATAATATTGTATGGTTTAAATATAAGAATGTTTGACATACCTAGGAATTTGAAGGTCAGGCATATCTTCGTGAATAGATTTGAAGATACTAGGATCTAAAATATAAGAAATAAGTAACGTATATTTTCAAAATAAATTGTAATAACAACAGCAACAAAAACTCTACCTGTATAAAACTCTGGAATACATTCATCAGGTGTCCACTGGTATAGACGTTGCATAGAAGATGGATATTCGTTGGGTTCATATTTGGATCGAACAAATTGACATAGTACCTAGCAAAATGATATATAATAATGAGTCAATCATTTCTCTTACATTGGTCCGAATCATTTACCGGAATGGGTGTTCTTCTAGCAAGATAAACGTAATAAGTGATATCTGACAAAATATCTGTGATATGATGAGGCACTGGACCATCAAATGTAAAATCCAATTGTTCATCGCCTATTAAAAGAAGGGTATATAATGAGTATTTGTGTATTGGTCAATAGAGCCACATTTCTTTTACCTTTGTTGATTCGGAACTTCGTTTTTGTAAAGTCTCGCCAGCCATCTTCAATCTTTGAACCAGAAAAATCAGTAATCCATGGAAGTATAGGATGAAAATTTGGATCACCTTCCCGTCGACCTAGATGAATAGAGGCGATGATAAGTACCTACTATTATATCTTTTATTTCTTTATAATTCATGTATTTTACCTGCCAAACTATTGAGAACCATAAGGTAAGAGTAATTTGATATTTCGCCACGGACCCACTGCATCACTAGAGGATCTTGTTTGACTTCTATTTAAACAAGAAAAGTATATCATATAATGAGCCATTTTATATATTATTGTAATTGTTTATCTCACCTTTATATAAAGGGTATCGAAGAGATTCCGTCTTGTTCTTCATTACAGTGTCTATTTTAGAGAGAGAGAAAGAAAGAAAAAAGAAAGAAGATCGTTAGTTCTTTGTTTTCAATTCTTATTAAGATAGTTAATACCATTTTCAAATGTATGCGATCCATATTGTATTCCTGCCAATTGTATCCAAAGATTTTCATCCACCAGTATATTGGAAGCTCGTAAATTACCATGTAAGACCCCACGACTGTGTAAACTGGAGATAGTTTGAAGTAATTGATAGATGATAAAGCCTTTTTTGAGATTTGAATCAAGTACTCCTGGATTATATGTAATGAGATCTTGAAGTGTTGTTCCACGATAAGTAGCCAAAAAATAATATGCCGTATCCGATTCCACAATTGCAAACACATCCATCAAATTGGAATTGGATGTATCAGTTTGAAGAACGTGATCTATTTTGGTCGACTTATTATCATCTTTGTTGCTTGATGATAATATCGGTGAATTTGTTGTCATTGTTGATAGTTTGTTTTCTATCTGTTTTAATACCAAATCATTACGAAGCCCATCATGTTGATCTGCAGGTACCACTTTATATAATCGACATTTTGGCCAGAGCATACATCGAATACGTTGTATGAATTCCTTATAAAAAAAAAAACAAGTATCAGAATCTTTTTCTAAAATATTAATCCATTCCTCTTTTTTTGTTCATTTTACCGAGTTTCGTTGTGTCAAAGTCATATCACTTGTATCAAATATAGAATCAAAATTACTAAAAGAATCCACCAAATTTTGCATTTTTTCATCCTTGTCTTTGCCTGCTAATAAAGCATGAATACAACTTGTAAGAGGCCATTGTTCTTGACAACTTGATGCTTGATTCTGTTGTTCGTTCAAAGCATGTGACTGATGATAGAGGGATAATCTATAGAAGAAGAAACGATAAAATGTTAAAACTATTCTTTTCTTTTCTTTTCTTTTTTTTTTTTTTTTAGTTAATCTTACTTTTTAATTGACATGACTTCTTTGGAAAGAACATCCACATATATGTTGACTGTAGGTGCCTTTTTTTGTTGGTTTGGATCGGTGGGTATATGACGCACATATGCTGGTGTTTTCACCTTGATGATGTTGGTATCGTTTGTTGATTGGGTTATAGATGTATTACGTATAGTATCTATCCATTCTGTATCAACCTAAAAATTCCTCCAAGGTTTACATAAAAGAAAAAGATATAAGAAATAAATCATCAAAGATAAAAAAAAAAAAAAAAAGAAGGTTTTCCTTACCACACAACAGGCTGTTGTACCTTTGTTCTTGCCAAAAGAGAAGAAAGGAAAGGCGACATCTATTTTGAGATCTTTTGCAATGCGTTCCTTGAGTACGGAGGTAGTAAAACCATTATCCATTGCCTTTAACCTAAAAACAAGTATTTGTTTGTTTCGGAATGAGTGAGAGAAAACGGAAAAAGAGTGAGAGAAAGGCACACCATTAAACCACCGCGGTTTATGCTCTTCGGCTCATTCTTTTTTTTTTTTTTTTTTTTTTTTTTTGGGTAATCGCTGGTTTCGAATCCTCGCACTGTGACTGACTGAAAGATAAAATGTGTCATTTTTTCATTTTTTTTCTTCTTCTTTCTTTTTACTCCACCTTTTTTGTTCTCTTACAATATTGAAACAATGAATGCTCAAAAAGTTGGTATTCTCGGAGGTAAAGAAACAACAGATCATTATCTTATTGTTTTTAAAAGAAAACTAAACCTTATTTATATTCTTTTTTTTTTTTTAAAAAAAAAAAACTAGGTGGCCAACTTGGTCGTATGATGGTTGAAGCAGCATCTCGGTTGAATCTTGAAGTGGTTATTCTTGATTCTCCCTTGGATGCTCCTGCCAAACAAATTGAAAATACTCAAGCTCATATTGCCGGGGCATTCAATGATGAAGCCAAGATCCGTGAATTAGCAAGCAAGGTGGATGTCTTGACAGTGGAAATCGAACATGTCAATGCAACTGTCCTCAAGTCTTTGGAAACCCAGGGGAAAGCTATCCATCCTTCTCCTTCTACTGTTCAAATTATTCAAGACAAGTTTACACAAAAAAATCATCTTACTGCTCATGGGATTCCCGTAGCTGACTACATGGAAACGTTGGACCGTCCTGGTGTGGAAGCTGCTGCTAATAAGTTTGGTTATCCTTTTATGCTCAAATCCAAGACAATGGCTTACGATGGTAAAGGAAATTATGTGGTGAAATCTGAACAAGATATTGGACCTGCTATGGATGCTTTGAAGAGTACTCCTTTATATGCTGAAAAATGGGCTCCCTTCACCAAGGAATTAGCTGTGATGGTGGTTCGTCGTGCCAATGGTGAAGTGCGATCTTATCCAGTTGTTGAAACCATTCATAAGAATAGTATTTGTCATTTAGTCATTGCACCTGCTCAAGTGGATGGCTCTGTTTTACGTCGTGCTCAAGCAGTTGCTGAAAATGCTATCAAGTCCTTCCCTGGCGCTGGTGTATTTGGTGTTGAAATGTTTGTGCTTGATGATGAATCCATTTTGTTGAATGAAATCGCTCCTCGTCCTCATAATTCTGGTCATTATACCATTGAAGCTTGTGAAACTTCTCAATATGAAAATCATCTTCGTGCTATTTTGGATATGCCTCTTGGATCTACTGCTATGAAGGTACCTGCCTCCATCATGGTCAATATTTTGGGACAATCTGAAAGTATGGAAGAATGCTATCGACCCTGTCAAGAAGCTCTTACGGTTGATGGTGCCACCATTCACCTTTATGGTAAGAAGGCTTGTCGTCCTGGTCGCAAGATGGGTCATATCACTGTTGTTGGTGACTGTATGATGCAAGTACAACAACGCCTAGCTCCTATTTTGAATGTTATCGAACCTGGTGTGGATCGCTCTCTCTCTTTACGTCCGCTGGTCGGGATGATCATGGGATCTGATTCTGATCTACCTGTCATGAAAATTGGGGCTAAAATTTTGAAGGATTTTGGAATTCCATTTGAATTATCGATTGTATCTGCTCATCGTACCCCACTTCGTATGGTGGAATACGCTAAATCTGCTGCTAAGCGTGGTTTGATGGCTATTATTGCTGGTGCTGGTGGTGCTGCTCATTTGCCTGGTATGGTTGCTGCCATGACTCCTTTGCCAGTCATTGGTGTTCCTGTCAAGGGTAGTTCTTTGGATGGTGTGGATTCTCTTCATAGTATTGTACAAATGCCAGTAAGTTTGATTTTAATTTCTTTTCTTTATGTTGATACTAATATTTTTTTTTTATCTTTAGCGTGGTATTCCTGTTGCAACGGTTGCCATCAACAATAGTACTAATGCTGCCTTATTAGCCATTCGAATCTTGGGTGCATCTATTCCTGGAATCATGAATCAAATGGAGAAATACATGGAAAAAATGGAAGGTGAAGTTATGGCAAAAGTGGACAAACTTGACAATGTGGTAAGGACTAAGAAAAAAGAAAGATAAAAAAATTTAAGGTATTGGATGATTGCATACTGATCACTTTTTTTTAAAAAAAAAAAAAAAAAAAAAAAAAACAAACTAGGGCTGGGAAGACTATTAGTTGTTAGTTTAATTAGTTATTTTTCATTGTATATAATAAAATAAAGAATTTTTTTGATGCTATTATGATATTAAATGATGGATATATATATGTATATATCAACTGGATCAACTAAATAGATAACTACAACTGTTTGTATTGGAATAGTACCGACGTTAAATCAACTATAGATTCCAATAGTTGATGAACAAAAACAGAGTGGATGATTGCGCTTCCCATGAATTCTTTCCATGAATTCTTTTCATATATACTTTTTTTTTAAGCTTAACATGTGGATTTCCTTTCCGGATGCTCCGATCATGACTATTTTGGTTCTCCTCAAGAAAAAAAAAAAAAAAAAAAAAGTAAAATCCCGGGGTTCGCTCATAGCTATCTATCTGATCATGGTAATAGAAAGAGTTTGAATTTGTTATGATCTTTGCTACGCCTCTTTGTTCTTTTATGGATGATCGTATTCTATTTGTCTTATGATATCCTTGTAGTCATCATCATTATTTATATTATATAATTTCGAATTTTCTTTGGATTCTGTCACCTTTTTGACATTTCCATGGATCTTGGATTTTTTTTTTCTTTTTTTTAGTTTAGGTTTATGCAGGTACTTTATGAATCATCATCACTGACCACTTGATTTTCAACATTATAGAGAGTAAAAGCATGATGACTTGCCAAACAGGTTGCTACTTAGGAAACAACAATAAAAGTGGCATTCTTTTCGGGTTGGTGGGAATAGAAAGAGAGGAACACTAAACGTGTAACCCTCATATGCGCGGTTCTTTAAATAAGATAATAATAATAAAAAAAAAAGTTAGAAAAACCAACCAAAGTATTACTATTGTTTTACTTCTTCTTGATCATCAATAATAAATATAATCAAAGCAATGAGACCTTTACCATCATCATCATTATCTCTTTTTCTCATATTATCCTTCATCATTATGTTTTGGACATGTAAAATCAATGCTGCTGCCATTGACACACCATCATCACCAATAACAAGTTCATTACCAACAGTAGATCCATGTCCAACAGATATCCATCAACAACGACTATTTTATGATGATGGTATGACAGGATATTCATCCAAAGGATGTCAAGAAGCATGCGCAGCACAATCGTCCAATGGAGATGATAGTAATGGTATGTGTGTTATGGATGAATGTTATTGTACTGACGTCGGTATTGGTGATTGCCGTGATAATAATCATGAAGGATGTGATGCTATTTGTCAACAGCTTTCCTTGGATTGGATTGGTGTCTGTTCTAATGGTGGCTGTCACTGTCTCTACTAAAAAGAAAAGACAAAGTCCTACTACTTCAGAGAACGAAATTCCCTTTTTTAGAATCACTTTTTCTTTCCATTCATCGTATCCATGTACTCCTATTTATTTATTTATTTTTTTCTGGTCATCTATCCATAATCAATCACTACGTTACCTATTAAAATTTTGCATTCCATTTTATTTTTACTAACTATTACCTCCCTTTTAATATAATCCCTACTATTAATTCCTAATAAAACCGATTTGTATACCCTCCTCCAATACCTATTTTATAGTACCTTTTTTTTTTTATTATTATTATATTGTAAAATCCTACAGTAGATGAATACCACTTGCATAACAAAGTAACAATAGACTTCATTGTCAGTCTTAGCCATTTTTGTCTAGGCTGTTAAACAAAAAAGAAGTATAATAAGATATAATATAAAAAAAGGATAGTTTATAAAATTGGTTTCTTTAATATTGTAACAAAAGTCCTTGATGCATAAAATGAATAATAAAATAACTAAAATGATACTAAATAAAAGACTATATGAATGTAATAAATACATATAGAATGATATATAGACTAAAAAAAAAAAAAAAGGAGATATATATATATAGAAAAGTCAGTAACGTAAGACAGTGTCATCTTTTGTTTTTGTTCTTTCATTAAGTATTGTCTTCATTTTCTTCTTGTTGAATTCTGGGCAAGAATGAGCGATCACCAGCCGTCTTGATATAGCTCCATTTTCATCATCTTCCTGTTGTTCGTTTTCTATTTGATTGTTGTTCTTGTCATCGACGTTATTATTGACCAGGGATAACATCAATGCCAAATCCAAGGAGTGAGCATGATCATCTGTGGACGAGCAATCGAGAGATGAATGATTCCATATATCAGAGACTTGTAATTTTTCTTGATGAGATTCGCATGAAAGATCGTTATCGAAAGCATAAGATGAGTTGTAAGTGGTAGTTGCATTACTGTGAATAGGTAAACAGAGTGTATCGTCACTTTCTCGATGTAATGGTGGTAATGCTTTCATAAGTGAAGAGGTCAACCGTTCTAATCGTTTTGTTGTTGGTGAAGAAATTATCGTTGAAGGGGAAGTTGTTGTGTCCAGATTCTTTTCTTTAGCCGCTATGGAAAGAAGAGAACATGTTTTTGATAGTGATGGTTGTTCCACTTTAGATTGGGTATCAGGAATTTGATATTTGTGAGAATGTAAACGTGACAATTTCAATGAGGTTGCTGATACAGGTGAGAACCACATAACAAAAAACATTGCCAACCATAAAAAGCAAGTCAATAATCCAACTAGCCATGTCGAGTCCAGTAACACACAACTGTAAATCCAAAGGGAAAGAAAGAAAGAAAGAAAGATAAATTATTTGTAAATATAATGTGAGTTATATATATATTTACGTCTTACCGATAATATAAAGCTGGATAGTTGGGATCATGATTTGTATCATAAAGGCCACAATGAATAAATATGCCAGTTAAATAGTCGGTATAAGAGTCTACTTTCATTTCTATCCAAGGTTGTTTGTCGTCAAAGATAAGACATGTCGCCAGAGTGATAAAGAAAAGTAGTAAACAGGCGGCATTAAGGATTCGAGGTTGTTTTAATATTTGAAAGATAAATAGGTGGATCGGAATGACAACTGACAACAAAATAGATAAAGTAAAAGTTGCAAACCAAGTCCAATACTAAAAAAAAAAAAAAAAAAAAAAAAAGTTAGTTTACTATAATAAAATAAATGTTATACAAGTTACCTGCCAATAGAAACCATTGAATTGAGTTGTCTATAGAGGAAAAAAGGAAATTAAGAAAAAAAAAAAAAAAGAAAAGAAAAGAATGAAGAACCATTTTTTATACTAAAAATTTACAACTTCCGCTTACATGTATTAGGAAAGTTGTGATTATATCTGTGGTGAGACCAGAACAACTTGTTAGAGTAATTAAGGCACTTAATACTAAAACAATCTGCATTTGAATCACTATAATAAAATAAAAAATATGAAAAGAAAAAAAAAATAAATAAATAAGAAATAAAAAAAGAAGAAGATTCTTTTATACTACCAAAATAAAAAAAAAAAAAGGAGATATTTGGTTCTAGTAGTAAAGATGAAAAGAAACTAAAAAATGATTAAAAAGGGTTTCAATAGATGATTTTTAATTTATGGTGGAATTTTCAATTTGTTCTAGTCAAATGAATACCACCAAACTATATATATAAATACACAAATGATTGATGATACCCACACAACAGTAATTCATACATATTTCAAAACCTTTCTATAATATAATAATGAATACTAACTTCATTCCTTTTCTTTTTTTTTTCAGATGATCTTTATTGAATAGTAAACAGAAGAATAATAAAGATAAGAGTTGATAATAAAAATATGTAAAAATAAAGAATAAAAAAAGAAAAAGACAACTAAATCATAAGACTATTTAAACACGAGAAGCCATATCGAAGTAGTTGGTAAGAGCACCCTTTTGAGGAACGAACTTGACGTAACAACCATCAGGAAGTAGTTTGCCTTCAGCACGAGCAGTAACGTAGTCTTCACGAGAAAGAGGAGTGAAACCCCACTTCTTGGAGATGATGATCTTTTGTTGACCAGGGAACTTGTACTTGCAACGTCTCAAAGCTTCAATGACAGTAGCCTTGTTGGAATCCTTGGTACGGACAGAGAAAATGATTTGACCAATGTTAACACGAGCAACCAAACCATTGGGTTTACCGAAAGCACCACGCATACCAGTTTGCAATCTATCAGCACCAGCACAAGACAACATTTTGTTGATACGGGTCACATGGTAAGGATGGACACGGATACGCATGTGGAAGGAATCTTTACCAGAGGTCTTGGTAATGTACTTGTTACAACAGATACGACCGGCTTCAAGAGCTTCAGCAGACAATTGTTCATATTCGTTGGATACCAAGTGGACACAGAGAGGGAAGTCATCAACATGAGCCTTCTTACGACCGAGATCATAAATTCTAATCTTGGCATCGGGGACACCACGACAGTATCTAGACTTGGGGTAAGGCTTGTTTTTACAATAACGGTAACAGCGAGCAGGACGACGACCCATTTTTTTCTATTAAAAAAAATAAATAATATACATATATAATGAGTAAAAACTATTTCCTTCTTTTTTTTTCCTATCACTGATATATATATATATATATATATGAATGTATACACACTAAAACGATGGATGAGAATGTATGGGAAGTTTTCGAAAATAATAATAATAAAAAAGATCGTTTTTCAATTATCGAAATAAAAATGTCGAGCTTTTATAATTACAAAAAAAAATAGCGAGTAGTTGGCGTAGTCATGTTTAGGGTTGGTAACAATGTAACTGCTGACAAATCCAGTTGGTAGTCCAGTATGTTTCAGTGATGTTCGATTCTATTATTGCGGTACGTAGTTGATATCATCCATCCATCCATCCATATTTCTAGTTGTTCATCCATCCATTCATTCATCCATCCATCTATTCATATATATATATATATATATATATATATTTCGCTTGTCGATTATTCCTAGTTTGATGGATAACTTACACAAAATAGATAGATTGAAGAAGGAAGGAAAAAAAAAAAAAGAAATCGAAAATAGGGGGAAAAGTAAAAAAAATGCTTTGCTGAATAATCCAAGACTCCGACTCCCCCATCGTATCGGCTCACAACTTAAAAAGCGTGCTTCAAAAATAAAAGGGAAATCCTTGATGTTCTATCATACACAATATAATGAAAATCATCATTTATCATATAAAATCTACTACAAATATATTTCTTTTTACCTTGTACTTTCTGATTATTCCTTTTTGATAATAATGCATATGAGAATGATAATAAGAATGATAATAATGTCTATGAAGATGATAATGTTCCATATAAATAAAAAAAAAAGGTTCTATAAAAAAGATTATATTTTCTTTGCTTTTTCTCTATTTTCAATATTCGGCTTATGCTGATATATATATATATATATATATATATATATATATATATGCCATAAACTGTATAGACGTATATTCATCGTTTCCTCAATAACGATGACCTGGGTTCCAAATTCCTTTTTTGTTCTTGAAAGGCTGACAAAAAAATAATAATAACCCCTTTCTTTCTTTCTTTCTTTCTTTCTCTCTTTTTTTTTTCTCTCTCTCTCTTGGATGTCTGAACAGTCTTCTCCTCGTATATCGAGGTCTGATTCCATTCAAAATCTTAAAAAGACTAAAGTAAGTGATATTCTCTTTTTTTGACAACCTTAAATATTTTGATTGATCTAGTATTTGTTACTTTAGGATTTTTCTTCTGCACCACCTTCTCCATCTTTGAAACCTCAAAAGGAGACTACCAACGATGATTCAGATGATGTACCTACTGCTGTTGTAATCAAAAATATTCCCTTTTCTTTAAAAAAGGATGCTTTACTTTTCATTATGGTAAGAAACTTTATTATTTTTATTATTTTTATTATTATTTCGGAACCATATATTTGACATGTTCTCTCACTTCCCGATATAGAATGCCAATGGTGTCCCTTTACCTTATGCCCTTAATTATCACTTTGATAATGGTGTATTTCGTGGTCTAGCGTTTGCCAATTTTCGAAATACAGAGGAAACTATGGATGCTATGAATGGACTGAATGGATTGGAAATCGGTAGAAGAAAACTTCGTGTGGAATTCAAAAAACCCTTACTGTTTGGACAACCATCCGTTTCTTCAAGAGACAATATACAACAACAAGGATGTATGTTTATATATTTTTTTTTTTTAAAAAAAAAGAAAAGAGTACTGACTTATTTTCGTTATTTTATAAATAGATGGAGGACACGTTAATGACAGCAGAGTAACAGAACTTTATGAACAACTATTGATGTTTTGTGATGATCCTAGTCGTGAATCATTTACACCTGAAACTTACTCTGGCAGGGAAAGGAAAGACGTACATTTGATGGCAGAAAAATTGGGCTTATTACATCATTCGGTTGGTATCTATCCTGAACGTCAAGTGCAAGTCCGGAAGAAGGAAATTCATCTGAAGGCAAGTAAAACTCAATATAGACATAAACAAATATATTGAACTATTCTCTATTATTATTATTATTAATTTAGGCAACGACAGAACTTGATAATGTAAATCTATCTCCAAAACCAAGTTTAGAATATTCTCCTGATTCAAGACCTCTTGTAGAAACATTCACCAAAAGAGAAAGCGGATTATTCCGAAAATCCTTCAAGTAAGTTCAAAAAAAAAAAAAAAAAGAGAGAGAGAAAAAAAAAGGTATATTTGACTGATGAGATATATATTATTTTATTGTGATTGTAGTCAAACGTCTAATAGTAACCAGCAACAAGATACCATATTATATCCTTTTCGACAACCCCGTGGACCTGATTTGACCAAGAACTTTGAATCTAGAAAAAATTTGCAACAATTGTCTTTATCTGATATCTTATTACGTCAACGTATGGCTAATGTATTCTTATAATAGTGATTAGTTTTCTTTGTTGTCTACAAATAAAGTTGTTCATAATGCTGTTGTCTTTTTTAGGTATTGGCCTGATGGAATGATATGTAGTTTAGAACTCAGTTATATTTTTCCCTTTCTTTCTTTCTTTCTTTTTTTTTTTTTTTTTTTTTTCGTCTCTCTCTTTTCGCTATCCTTTTTTTTTTTCAAGTGTTTATATTCCCAATCATCTACAATTGTTAAACCTACTTGGAGAAACAAATAAATAGAACACCATGTCATATTCTACTTCGGCTTGGGAAAGATATTTGACTCCTCAAGAAACTCAAGCTTATGGTCAATTATTCAAAGCAGCTTCACAATCAAAACCTGGTATCGTTACTGGTTCTGAAGCTGTTCAATTCTTTGCTTCTTCAGGTGTTCCAAATCCAATCTTATCAGATGTAATATTAAAAATAAACCATTATTTTTATACTAAATCTTCTTTTTTTTTAATACTTATTTTCTCTAGATATGGGAAACAGCTGACCGTGACAATGTGGGATATCTGACTCCAGAGACTTTCTCAATAGCTTTGAAATTGATTGCTTGTGCTCAGCATGGACAAGAAGTAGCTGACCCCATTATATCAACAGGTAAAGAAGAAGAAAAAAAAAAAGAAGAAGAAGTAGAAATCAAAAAGAATGTTATAGGGAGATTGGGAAGGATGAGGAACATAGGGAGAAACTTATAATAGAGGACTAACATCGGAATTTCTTTTACATAGTTGTGGCCTTACCTCAATTTAAGGGAATTCAAACCGACATTGCTGGTGTGACAAGTCCAACCATGAATTCAAACAATGACACTTCTTCAGCAAACACAATTACACCAACGGAGCGTGAAAAGTATTACAGCATCTTTCGAGCTCATCAACCTACCAATGGTGTTTTGGATGCTTCAAGGGCAAAAAGTGTATTTTTGAAATCTAAACTTCCTACCGAGACATTGGGAAAAATTTGGTAAGCTTTTTTTTTTTTTTCCTTTTTTACTTTATTTTATTTTATTTATTTTTTTATTTTTCTAAAAATTAATATTAGGGCATTGGCCGATGTTCGTCAAGCTGGTACTTTGACTCAATCAGAATTTGCTATTGCGATGCATTATATTGCCAAATTGATGGATGGTACCTTGACAACTCTTCCAACTCAATTACCACCTTCTGTTTACTCTTCAGCATCTGGAACAGCATCAACTCCTATGTTATCACATCAACAATCACCTATCTTGCGACAAATGAGTGGGAATAGTGCTTTAGGAACACCAACTATTCAACAACAACTTACTGGAAATAGAATGATGATGACACCACCTCAACGTGCAGCAACTATTGATTCTCTTGGTAACATGGCATTCTCAAATTCGACCGAAAGTATTCCTCGACAATGGGATGTTACTGCAACTGAAAAAGCTCAATATGATTCCTTTTTTGATAAGATTGATATCAACAGACTCGGATTTGTACAAGGGAAAGAAGCTGTGGAATTCTTCAAAAATTCTCGATTACCTGATACTGATTTGGCTCATATTTGGGATTTAGCTGATACTTCACAACGTGGTCGACTTTCTCGGAATGAGTTTGCTGTGGCTATGCATCTTATTCACAAACGTCTTAGAGGTGATACTCTTCCTCCTGCTTTACCTGCTTCTTTGGTACCACCAAGTCCTCTTCCTGTCGCTGCTAGTCCTGTGAATGTCCAACGGTCTGCTACAACGATAGGTCGTTCCTTCTCACACGACCCTTTTGATCAACCGGCAACAGCAGCAACAACAACAACAACAAAAGGTAATGAAATTATTATATGGCAGATATTTACTCGGTTTGATATATACAATGTTTATTAACGTTTTCATTCTCTCCTTTTTTTTTTATTATTATTATTTATGTATATGTATAAACATAGTTCAATCTTTAATTGAAGAAGATCTACTGGGTGACTTTGGCAATAATGATCAATTGACACAAGAAACCAATCAGGTCAATCAATTACAAAATCAAATTAATTCCTTGAAATCAGCGACAGTAGATGTTAAGAATCAAAAACTGACAACTGAACAAACATTGGAACAATTGGCAAAACAAAAGCAAGAACTACAAGCACAAATGGCTCAAGTACGAATGGCTCATGAAGCTCAAGTGAAAGATCTCAATGAATTACAAGAAACATTACGTCGTGAAGAACCCGAATGGATACAAGTACGGAATGAATTCGAAGCAGCGCAACAACAACTGGCAACTACACAAGAAGAAATTCACCAATTACGACAAAAACTTGAAACTAGCCGCAAGGAAAGTGAGGAATGTCGACGTCGCGTCCATGAAATTCAAGCCGAAACAGCTGCATTGGAAGCACAACTTGATGGTCTGAATGGTCAAGTCAAACAACAAGATATGATGCTAGATATTAATCGTCGACAAGTGACAGCGTCTGAACAAGATCGTGAACAAGCAAAGCGAAATTTAATGGATGGCAAAGAAGTACAAGGTCTTACTGAGTCTGCACGTAGCATGAACATCACCAGCAGCAGTCCACCCTTATCCAATAAAAGTTCTTCACTCCCTCCCAAAAAGTCAACCACCGACTTTTCTATCGACAATGGTGATGATGATTCTTCCTCATCCGACGACGACAACAACGAGGACGACAATAACAATATTCCTAGCACATTTGGTCATTTTACATCATCTTCACCTCCAGCTACCAAGTCCACTCATGAAACAGAAAACAACAACAACTTTTTTGATATCTTTTCGCCTCATCAAGAACAAGCTGAATTACAAGTCAAACAACAAGCATCTCAAAAATCAGATGCAGTGGATTTTGATGCAGTATTTGGCGATTTAGCTGGTGTCTCTTCTTCTTCACCTAGTGACAATAGCGATTGGACAAAAACATTCGATAATATTCCAGCAACGACAACAGATTCATCTTATTCTACACCTTCTCAAGGTAATGATGATTCGGCTTCAACGGTAAAGAAACATAGAACACCACCTCCACCTCCTCCACCAGCGACCACAAAGAATGTAACAGAGACATCAGAAAATAAACAAGAAGCACCGACTATAGATGATGATTTTGATTCAGCATTTTCGGGACCTTTATCGGAAGCAAAAGTGATGGGAAGCGGCAGTGGACAACAAACAACGACCAATTTTGATGATTTCGATGAAGCATTCGGTGTATTCGATGAAGTTCCATCTAATTCCTTGCCAGTCAAACAACAAAGCAATACTTCTTGGGCAAATAATTTTGGTGGATTCAATTTTCCAGATATGGAAGGCTCCACACAACAACAACAACAACAAACAGCAACGAAAACGTCCACCAATTCACAAGATGATTGGGATTCTATTTTTGGTGGTAATATGATCAATGATGGAGCTCAACAACAGCAACAACAACAACAATCAACAGCTAGTATTGGATTTGAAGATGCTTTCTCTGGATCATCAACGACTGAAACAAAACAAACCAATCAAGGAGAATCATCATCTAGCAAAATATTCACAGAAACCAGTATTGTTGGAGACGCAAGCAAAGTGGACGAACTAGTCAAAATGGGGTTTGAAAAACAAATGGCCAAGGATGCATTGGAAAGGTATGATCAAGATGTCACCAAAGCCACAAACTTTTTATTGGATCAAGTCAATTAGGTTGCCTTAGTTTAGAGTTCCTATATTCCTTGACATCTATTCTTGTATTTCCTTATTTTTTTTATTTATTTTTTTTTGCATTGATTCTATATTGAATGAATAAAAACCAAATCTATGGATGGATTATTTATATGATATATATGATTCCTTATGATTTTTGGTTGTCTATTCGATGAACAACTCTACATTTTAGTGAAGAATTTTCTTGTTTGTATAAACAGGTTGTTTCTTTTTGTCTTTTTTTTTTTTTTTTTTTTTTTTTTTTTTAAAAAAAAAAAAAATGGGAAGTGTTGTCACCTATACTCCATCATTTCATGCAACTTCCCCATCTTTTTTTTCTCTCTCTTTTTCTTACTTTGCATGATGAGATTTCTATGTACGATGACGTTATTTATCTCTTTCTATGTTACCTATCAATGTCAATCATCAATGTATCAACACAGATCTCCTATACCCATTCAATCTTAGCGGAACATCCTCTCATGAATTCCCCCCCGTGACCTATGAGAGAATGAAATGGGGCGGGGTTTTTTTTTGGGGGGGGGGGGGAGAACATTGATATTACTATGAACTGATTTTTTTCTCATCATCCCTTTTTAGGAAACTTTTTTTTTTGAAATAAACTTGTCTATTATTGGCAGGAACAAATCAATGTAGTACAGTGCGTGAAGAATAATAAGATCAATATCCTTTTTATTTTATTTTTTTTTTTTATTCAAATGCTTCAAGAAACCATAATCATCCTGATATTCAAAGAAAGAGATAAAATAAAAATAATATAAAATAAAATAAAAGAGGGGAGATGATAGACAAAAAATTGTTGAAAGGTAAAATGAGTGGGAAGGGAATTGTGTTCATTGATCAATGGGCCAAAATCATATACAAATATAAAGATAGGTTTGATTTTTTTTTTCTTTTCTACTACTACTACTACTACTATAAAGGAATGAGACTAATGAATAATAATAAAAAAAAAAAAAGAATGATAAAGAAAAAGTGATACAAAATCTAACTAAAATAAAGATAATAATAATAATAATAATAAAAAGGGAAAATCAACCTAGAGCCACCAAGAACCTTTTTCTTGACTATGGACAAACATGTCAGTATCATCATAATCTTCTTGTTCATCTTCTTCTTCAATGATGGAAGACGATAGAGAAGAATAGCCATGAGAATCCGCCTTTTGGAAATCTTCTTCAACCATATCAGACCAAGACATACCACTGCTTGTAAGAGAGACTACACCAGCACTGAAGATGGCCGAATCGAAACTTGCTTTGTTGGAAGACTTGGGTACTATAGGAATATCCACAGGTAATCTTGCATCCAAATACCAATCTTCATCATCTAACAAATCATCATCATCATCTTCATCATTGATCAATAATCGATCCAGTTTGAGAAATTGTTCTTTGACTTGAGTGATAGAAGGACGATCAGCACCATCAACAGTCAAGACATTTTGTAGGAATTGAGCACAAGCAGGAGATAAGGTAGGAAATAATTGATTTTTGAGTATAGAAGGATCACGACGATATTCAACAAAAGATGGATCCATACTGGTAGCTTCTTGCCAAGGATTACGTCCAAATAAAAAGGCCAATAATAAAATACCAACACTCCATACATCAGAGGCAGCTGCATCATAGGGTACCAATTCCGTTGTATCACCGTCAGTAGCTTTTGTTGAAGTAGTAGTAGTTGTATGATGATCATCATCAAAATGTTCAGGAGCCAAATAAGTAGTAGAACCACAACCAAATTCTAAAGAGTAACGTTCACGAGTGGCTAAACCAAAATCAGCGACTTTACAAGTAAAAGTAGAACAATCATCATCATGATTATCAGATTTGAGCAAGACATTTTCCAATTTGAGATCACGATGATAAACACCTTGAGCATGCATATGTTCCACGGCTTCCAATATTTGAATAAAAGAAGATTTGACCACATTTTCATCAGATTTATCTTGTTGCACGACAAAGTCAAATAGATCACCTTGATCACAAAGTTCCATCACCATAAAGACATGATTCTTTTCATGAATGACACGTTCAAGACCAAGAAGATAAGGATGTTTGAGAGAGGCTTGAATATCAATTTCTAGTTGTTGTAATTCCAATTGTTGATTATCCAAACCAAGTTTACTAAGGACTTTGATAGCAACGTATGTATTGTCGGTTAAGGATTGTCCCAAGAATAGACATCCATAAGATCCATGACCTAATTCTTCTAATAACTGATAATCATTGTCGATCACTTTGTCCACCATGGATAACGAAGTTTGAGCCCAATAATCGGATTGTGTTTGTGCAACCATTTTCATTTGTCGTCGTCGTCAGAATACAGAAGACTTGTTGAAAGGGGGGAGGGAATAGGGAAAGAAGAGGAGAAATACAATATATATAAAAAAAAGTGAGGGGTTGCCTTTTTGAGACTTAATTGAAATAATAATAAACGTAAAATAATAATAATAATAATATCCGTGATACAAAAAAAAAGAGAAGGGATATGGTGTTATTCTTCTTGTTGTTGTTGTTGTTGCTAATGTTATTTGTTGTTGTAATAGTTGTCGTTGTTGTTGATGTTCAAATAGTCAAAAAGCGCCAATATGCCGAGGATCGATAAAGAAGAGTAGAGTAAGAGCCAATAATCATGGTTTGAGAGTATAAAATAAAAAAGAGGTTTCTGTCAAAAAGACAAAAAAAGAAAAAGTAAAATGGTATAAAGTTTGAAGGAAGAAAAGGAAATAAAAAGATAAAATAAAAAAAAGATTATAAAAATTGAATGGCAAGCATTGTAGATACAAAAAAAGAAAATAGATGAAGTTGGAATGAAAATATACAAGAAGAAGAAAAGAAGAAGAAAAAGAAGAAAAAAGAAGAAGAAGAAGAAGAAGAAGAAAAGAATAAAGTGGAGCTACAAATAGCTTTGAAGAAGAAAATGAAGCAACAACAAAATAACAAAAAAAAAAGTGAGAGAAAAGAAGAAAGAGAAGAAGAAAAGGAAAGAAAAAGAAAAAAGGAGATTCAGAGACAAGGAAAAAAAGAAAAGAAAAAAAAAAGAAAATTGGAATTCAGATTTAAGTATGGGAAATCAATAAGCATGACGAGTAATAGTTTGAATTCCGAACCACATGACGAAGAACATATAAAATAATATTAAGAAACAAAACAAATCATTTTTATTGAGAATGAATCGGACAACCCTTTCCTAATGAAAACCAATCATGAATACAAGAATGATGATAACTACATAAACAGCCAAGTCTTGCTATCGTATCACCTAAAATAATAATAATAATAATAAAAAAAGGGGAAATCGGCATTATTGGATAATTTGGGGAGCAAAAAAAAAAAAAAAAATAGAGATCATTTTTTTTTACCTTCCACAAATTCGTCAAAACAAATGATACACTCTTGTCCTAATAAAGTCCAATGGGGCGGCGCTTGATATACTGCATAATAAAAATAAAAAAAATAAAAATCGTGTGAGCACATGATCAAAATCATAAACAAGTAACTAATTCCAATCCAAATTTTTACAAACATAACCAATCCTAGTAATTGATGTTGATGATGAGAACCCTGCATTCAAGCAATTTTGTACATGTTGTTCCTGTTCATCGATTGTAGTAATCAATTGTATTCCACATACTGGACAATATGTATTATCCATATTACTAGTTGAGCATTCTTGTTGTTGTAAAGGTCGAGATATATGTCTGAAACAATCATCACAAATTCTTTGTGGTTGTAAGGATGTCTTGTACATTTCATCCACACTCAATTGAGGATCATGTATAATACCTGAAAAAGATAGTTTAACGCGCTTTGTCGAACATCTACTACAGACTACCAATCCACATTGTCTAATAATAATAATAATAATAATAATAAATCATTCAATTCATATGATTCATTTGTTTCACCAAAACATACCTACAATGATGTCTTCGATGGACAAAATTGAACCATCTCCCACAACACCTACAATCCAAAGCATATTCATTTTTTTCCCATACCCGGGCAGTACCTTGACGTGTTGATTCATTTCTAGTAACTATAGTTGTTTCTTGTTGTTCTTCATCCATGATTGTTTCTCCTGCTACAAACGTCGCATTGGTTTTGGTAATAAACGTACTACTTTTAGGCCGACTAGCTTCTTCTTGACAATGTTGGTAATTAGTCCATTGGTCCAATGTCCTATTCTGATGTTCCTCTTTTAATATAATAGATATTAATCGGAGATTCATTGTTTTCCCATTTTTTTTTTTTATTATTATTTGATTATTATTATTATTACCTTGTGCATTGCTATTATCATCTGTTGCATCCAAATCGATGATTGTTGTTGTTGTTGGATGGTGGTTCGTTTCAATATCACTATCATTGATGTTGTTATCATGGATGTCGGAGGATCTTTGTCGAGTCATGATACGTACCCATCGTCGTCTTCGAACATAGGAGATACGTCTGGTAGATGATTTTGGTAATTTGTTGCTCCAATTTTCATCAGGGGTATCAAGATGAGTTGCATATTGCCATCCATCCATATCTACATTTGGGTGCGTATAATCTATTTTCCAATCTGTCAACCACATCCATACTTGCTGATCTGTCAAAGGTGGAAGACGGACTTGGTTCTTGGTCATATATTGGTTATTATTATCATCATCCCCTAAAAAAGAAGACGAAGAAGCTAACATCCATGGAATTCGTTGATGTTTTTCCCAAGTTGAAGGTATATAACTATTTGTCATAAGTGAGATTACAGATTGTTGATTTTCATAGAGAATGACGGGAATTGTATAATGTTGTCTTAATAAGTCATAGCCTATAAATGGTTAAAATCATCATTATTTATTAATTTATTTATAATCTATATAATTTTAATTCTTTTTTATTTTTTAATTTTTATTTCCTTACCATCTTGTATCCTTTCTCTTTCAGCCTTTTCCAATTGTTCACAGATATAAACTTCACCAGCCACAGCAGCTGCATCGTAGGCAGTCTCTCCAAACTTATTTTTGATAAAAAGATCAGCATTCGCTTTATATACCAGGTGCTGTACAATACGCAGGTGACCTTTGGAGGCTGCATTGACTAGACAAAATAGTTGCATAAAATGAGATCCTTTTTTTTTATTTTTATTTGATAATCACTTACTAAGAGGAGTGTGATCCATTTTACTTTGTAAATTGACATTCAAAAAATGATCGATCAAAAAGATCACCATATCCAAATCACCATAAGAGCAAGCATTATGAAGAGCAGACCAACCATCTTTATCTTCATGTAAAACATTCGCACCAGCATGTATAATCAGATATTCAACCACAGAAAAATGACCAGCATAAGCAGCTTTGAGGAGTGCTGTCTATAAACCCAATTAAAATATTATTAATATTATTATTATTATTATTATAAACATTTACGTATATATTTTTAATATTTTACCTCGCCTTCATGATCAACAATATCGACGGTAACATGACAACAATCAATCAGAAACTTTACTATTGATAAGTGACCTCTTGAAGCAGCATAATGAAGAGGTCGTAAACCATCAGGAGTACTTTGTAAATCAAAATCAAAATCTTGATCCCAAAGTTGTTGTAGTCGTGTCAGGTCACCTTGTGCAGCTGCTTCCAAAGGAGATCGCAGTTGTGTTTTGTTGTTTCCAGTAGTGGATGCAAGTTTATTGACAGAAAAGGGTATAGAAAAAGGTAATTGTTGGAAAGTGGGCATCAATACAAAAAAAAGAAAAAGGTAGAATAGAAAAGGAGGTAAGGTATAAATATATATATATAAAAAAAAAAAACAAATGAGAGAAAGAAAAAGAGAATCAAATAGACTAAAAATAAAATCTTAGGAGACAAGAAAAACGCTAGTCGGCGACCGAAACCAATAAAGGTGATGGTCTTTTTGAATGCATGAAAAGTATAGATTCACTTGAAAAGAGTTTTGATTGTTTATTAAAACGATAAAGTAAATAGTAAATATAATAATTAATATATAGTGAATTACATCACAACACAACAGGAATTGGTTTTCTTAGCAGTCTTGTAAAACATCTTGGATTGGCTTGATAAAGCTTCGGATCTATCCACCAATGAATCAAGCTATTAAATAAAAAAAAAAAAAAAAGAAAAAAATTAGATATATATCAGAAAATTCATTTACTATTGATTACCTTTTCACCACGTTGAAGTACAGAGTCTATAGTTTTATGCTAAGATATAAAAAATTATCAATAATGTCTATTCTTTTTTTTTTAAAAAAAATTTTTCTTTTTCTTTTTTGAAAAAAAAAAGTCTTACCAAAATCGCAGTTGTTTCATCCAGTTCATTTTGTACTTTCATAATTGTATCAGCTTGTTTGGGATCTTGATATTTTTGCAAATAACCAGTCAATTCAGGGTAGTTGAGAAGTTGGTTGGTAGACCATTTTTCAGGAGGAAACTTGATTAAGAATTCATCTAATACCTTGTTCAACAAAGAAAAAGCCACTCTTGAAGGATATTCTTTATCACTGAATATGACACCAGTAATACCTTGAGGATGAGCATATACATGAGCAACATTGTCTAATAAAAACCAATCAGTACCCAATCAGTTTCATAGTTGAATTCAGTCATTTCATTCCATAATAAAGAAAGTATAGTGAGTATAAAAATAGGTTTACAGAATATTATATATAGTGTCATCCTTTCAATAGACTTACTTTCACTTTCCACACTTTGTCGTTGACCTAATTGAGTTCGTTCCACAATAGTAATGGATGTAAAATTCATAAACTCTTGTACACTAACAATAAATAAAAAAAGGATGATTAGTTTAATTCATATTGTTTTTTTTTTTTATATATATATTAAGAATTTCTTATTACCTGCTACGTTGAAAGTAACCAAAACTTGATAAATCGAATTGGGAAGCTAATACCTTGGCCTTATCTGCATCTTTCTTCAATACTGAAATAGAATACAACTTCATACTATAGGGATGATGTGACTATAGGATGGACAATGGAAAGAGGAAAAAAAAAAAAAATAAAGATGAGGAGAAAAAAAAAGAAAGGATATAAAAAAAAAAACAAAAAAACAATAAAAAAAAAAAAGAAAAAAAAAAAAAAGAAAAAGAAAAATTAAAAAAAAAACACACGCACGCACACACATACATATTGAGCAGATGAGATGATTTAAGGGTCAGATTTGAGGAACACAGAATTGAAAAATTGACTTTTTATAACATATATAAATTTTTATTGACTAATAGAAGATATATTAGGGAATGGATCACCTTTACTTAAAACAAGAAATAATTTTTCATGCGATAAGTATCCTTTAATATATCCTTTGTAAATCATATTTGCTAACATCCATTCAGTTTCTTCCATATCTACTTCTAATCCTACAAGTTCTAATGCTGCCTTGAATTTTGGTATGGCTAATCTACTACTATTTCCCATCACTTGATATCTAATAATAATAATAATAATAAAAGAAAATCAATAAATCATAAATAACAATTATAAAAAAAAATCACTTACACTTTTCGGAAGAGTTGACGCATGGCAATACTTTGAGCCTTTTCTACAGCAAAGTAAGTACCTTGACGAATCAATGTCGTTTCAGATCGTACCAGAGCTTCATTGAATGCCTTTACATTTCCACATTTAATAGCCTTGGCAATATCACCATATACTTGATTCGTCTTTGGATATTGCTCTAGTAATGCTCTTGATGGTAATACCCCTCGAATCAATCGTACTGGTAAAAGTGTTTGTAGAATAAGTCTAATGACATGTTAGTTAGCAGTATATATCATTATCTTTTTGTTTCATATAATACATACTCTTTGTTTTTTCTTTGACTTTTCATACATTCACGGAATGCAAGATCTAATTCATTTTCGGCCTATTCAAATTTGTATATATAAACAAAAAAAATCACAAGGGTCAGTCCAATGTATTTACTTTTTTTTTTTTTTTTTTTTATTTTATTGGTTACCTTTGCATAATCTTCACCCAAGAAATAAAGTCTTCCGAGATAATATCGAAATGTAACACGATCACTTTTTGGGAAATCTTCAATAGATGGCATATCAGTGGCTTTCAAGGCACGTAAGATATTCTTGCATAGATTTTGTTGTTTTAACTAGATAAAAGAAAATTATTATTATTATTATTATTGTTACATTGGTCCAATTCATTTATACCTTGAAGTAAATACGAAAGAGTAATCCAATCATAAAATATGTTCCAAACTTTTTTGATGTCTTTGTTACACTCCTATATAAATAAGATAAAAATAGTAGTAAAAGAATGAATTATCCATTCGACATAGTAATATGTATTTTCTTTATTACCTGTCAGTGATACAATAAGTAAATGACTTGCTAATGATATTGGCAGCTTCTTCTAGTTTTTTTCGTTTGCCTTCGTTTGTTTCCAAAGTGTCATTGTCCACCTATAAGAAAATGAATAGTTCGGTTAGTTATTTCATTAGGTACCAAGTAAAAACAAATAATAATAACAGTATATTTTTTTATACACATTACTTTTGTTGCAAGGATACGCAAGTCATTATTGATAACATAAAGAACAGGTAAACACCATCGAGTCAACCCAGACATGGCTCGTTGAAAAAATCTACAAAACAAAAAAGGACAGAGGAAAAGTTAAAATAGATAGGTAAGTAATTCAAGCATGGAACTCCCTTTTTTTTTTTCTCTACTACATACTGAACTAAATCCTTTTGAGCATCATAGGCTTGTAAATGAAGATCTTCATCATTGTAGACCAAGGCTTTCAAATGGCACGCAGCTATTTCATCCCAAGGTGATTCTAATCGATTCCTACAAAGTTCATCTACTTGATCAAGCTTTTCATAACAAAAAAAAAAAAAAGAGGTCTTTTATAAGAATATTTCTTTTCGTTTCTTTCAGGAGTTTCTTTGTTTTGCATAATAACTTACAGAGATATGTTGGTTCAATAAAGATTGGGTGTGTTTATCTTCTAATGATAATTGACGAGCTAACTGCTTGCCATTGGAATTACGTGCCAAATTGTGAAATTTAGTCAAGTAATAATTGAGTGAAGCTGGCATGTTTTAAAAGGGAAGGAAGAAACAAAGAAAAAAAAAAAAGACTTGGGGAAAGTCTTCTTTTTTTTTTTTTTTTTTTTTTTTTTTTTGGAAATGAGAACTCAAAAATGCTCGTGACTGGCGGACAGTGTACCCAATTTTTCCTTTTTCTTTTCCCTTTTTATATTTTAGATTTCATAGATGATGCAGGAAAAGGTAATAACTAATCATAGAATATTACTACATTCCCCAGATCTTATTCTCTTATTTATCTTTTTTACTTTTTTTAAAAAAAAGGATGAAGGTAGTGACGCGCGAGTTATAGATCTAGAACCGGATAGTGAATTCCGTTTTGAAGTCGATTTTAAGACACAAATACAAATCAAGGTAAAATTATATTCCTATCACTATTATTACTACTTGCTCTAATCTCTTTCTCTCTTTGGTATTTCTTTTATATAGATATTGAAAGGAACGGCTGAAATATTTGGAACTGAACTGGCCGAAGGTGTTGAATATTCTTTTTCAGGTCGTAAAGCAGCTGTATATACTTGGCATGGATGCTCTTTAGAAATATCCTTTTTTTTTTTAATCATTTTACATTATTAAATATAGAATTATATTATTATTATTATTATTATCCTTAACGTATTTTATATTTTTACGCGAGAGGAACTTTTTTAGTTGAATATACAGCAAATGAAACACCAATGACAAGTTACTTAAACACACACCTTGCTATCCAACAATTACGCTCAACAGCAAAAGCTTCCAATGAACTTGGTCCTAGAGTAAGAGTCATACAATAGAATGAGGACAAATCATTGATGCTCACCTTCTCTCTCTCTCTTTTTTTTTTTTTCCAACCACTCAAGGTATTGGTTATTGGACCTCATGATGTAGGGAAAACTTCATTATGCAAAATCATGGCAAGTTATGCTTTTCGACAAGGAGAGAAGCCACTATATGTATCTTTGGATACTGCTGAGGTAAGAACCAACTCGTTTTTTTTTTTTTTTTTTTTTTTTTGTGATTAGATAGTCCTTTAACTTTTTTTCCCCCTTTTTACAAATGTATATATGACGCGATATTTCTCTTTTCTATGATAGGGATCAATCACAATGCCAGGTGCTGTCACTGCGACAGCTATTAGTCATCTTATTGATATTGAAGAAGGATTTGGATCATCAGCAACTACTGCGGCCTCCATGGGATCTACGACAATGCCTCTAGCTTATTATTATGGTTATGAAAGTCCAAGTGAAAATGTCAAAATGTACAAATTGGTGGTATCTCGTTTAGCCCGTACTGTCAAAAGCCGTTTGGCAGCTGATCCTGAAAGTCGAACATCTGGTATCATCATTGATACTTCTGGGTTGATTGATCCAATTGGTTATGAATTGATACAACATGCCATAGATGAATTTTCAGGTACAACGACAAAAGACAAGAAAATTTAGTGCTATGATTGACTTTCTTTTTTTTTTGATCTATATTATAGTTAATGTAGTGGTTGTTCTTGGACACGAACGATTATATAGCGACATGACCAAAATATATAAAGATCAAAATAATATCTCGATTGTCAAACTGAACAAATCAGGTGGTGTGGTAGAAAGGGACAAACAATTCAAGATACAATTGCAAAGGAGTAAAATACAAGAATACTTTTACGGTACCTCAAAATGTGAACTTTCTCCTTACTCTATGCTGGTCAACTTCAATGATATCAATGTGTGGCGAGTGGGCGAAGCCATTGCACCCTCTTCTGCACTCCCAATTGGAATGGAAAGCAAGGACAACGAAACTGAGGTGGTCAAAGTAGATAGTTATGATATGTGTTTACATTCAATCATGGCTATCTTGAATGCGGATGATTCTGAACATGATAACAAATTATTGGAAAGTAGTGTGGTTGGATTCATATATATGTAAGTTTTGGAATAACAAACAACGATGATGATGATTGTTTTCTCATTTTTTTTTTTTGTGTATAATGAAGTTCTGATGTCAATGAAGACAAGAAAAAGATGACCGTCCTTTCTCCATCACCTGGGCGATTACCAAGACGACATGTACTTATGGGGGCATTCAAATGGATGGAAACTTAGTTTAGATAGACCTTAGTTCATTCAATAAATATTCTTTGTATTATTTTATATTTCATTTTAAATGCATTGCGATTATAAGAAATATTTTATTTAAACAAAAGGCATCTTTACAAAAAAAAAAAAAAAAAAAAAAAAAAAAAAAAAAAAAAAAAAGACATAAAAGAACACTAAATAATAACAATAATAAAAACGTTATAAAGAGTACGTACAATACTGATGATAATGATAACAATAATATTGATGATATAGGCAGATAGCAGAGATATACAGAGAAGAATGACTTCAACTCCTGTGCCAAAATATCTTGAATTAGTCCCATTATCAGCCATCAATCATCGATTTCACGCCATTCATTTTCCGTAATATAAAAAAAGGATTACCACAAATATATTCAAATGCAAACAAGTGTTTAACCGTAATGCAGAAAAAGAAAAAATAAACACGCTTCACATGAAAAAAAACCAGTAAATGTTATTTTCAAACACCGGACATGGAGAAAGCGCAGGGATGCAAATAAGTTCTTTCTTCTTCTTTTTTTCTCTTTTCTTTTGTGCTTTCTTCTTTTTTATATTCTTATATTTTTCTTCCTTTTTGTTTATATTCCTACCTATCATCAATTTATTATTTCGACTCTCTCTATTCAGTATATACCAACAACAGCAATGTCCCTACGACGAAAACCCATCAATTTTGAAAAAAAGTTTGCCGAATTGGAAGTATTATTGGATGCCATCTTCTCGTTTTCCGCGCTTAATGAAATATCTGGAATGAATATGTATCAGTATCCTTTTTATATATATATATATATATATACCAGTGTCATTAGATCTCGTCATGATATACGTAATGTACTAATTGAACCTGAATCATTGCATTAATCGTATCTAGTTACGTGTTGCTATGATGGTTCGGGATCAAAACTTCCGATAACCGACTCTCCTATATAATCCTTCACTCCTATATTACTTTGTTGTTCTTTGTTATTATAGACTTGTATACGACATGTGCAATGCTATACCTCGACCTTTTACTGATAAAGTCTTTAATGGAATGGCGGAATATATCGACAAACATACTACTCAAGTCTGCCAGGTAGAAATAATATTCAAAATATTGACATTGATATGGTAATTTTTGTTTCTCATTTTTACTGCTATTCTTTCATAGTCCATTCTTGCCCATGATGATATTGTGACATCTTATGCAAAAGCGTTTGAACAATTTGAATTAGCAGCTGATGATGTTTCACGAAGTTGTTATTATTTGAATCGTATTATTGCACCAAAAAATTCCACGCATGCTGGCCCTGATCATCGACCTTCTGCTATATCTGGTGGCAAATATAGAAAACAAAACATAGAAGCGGTAACGTATATATATATATATGAAGATAACATTTTTTTTTAAAAAAAAAAATGATATTAAAACGATTTTTTTTTCCTTTGATTATGTAGTTGGCCTTATCATTATGGAAATCAAATGTACTGTTTTATATTCGAGATCGGTGTCAAAATCGACTATTTTATCAAGTATTTGAAATGATTCGAAGGGACCGGGACGAAGATGATGCACTTCACAGTACCATAAAGACAGTTATCACCTCTCTAGTCAATACCAATACATTCATGGAACAACCTCTTCAAATTTATATTGAAGAATTTGAACGACCTTACCTGGTACATACAAAACGATATTATGAAGCGGAAGCAGCTAGGGAAATAGCGGCAGGTTCCATCAGTCAATTCATGAACAAAGCATCACAGCGACTTTCTCAAGAAATTATGCGAAACAATCAGTATTGTCATTCAACATCTCATAGTAGGATCATCAAAGAATTTGAAGCACAATATATCGCCGCCTATCAACATCGTATTGTTGATGAATTTCACAACATGTTGGAAAAAGAACGATTTGATGGTATGCACGAAAGTATCAATACATTGGACTCATACAGAGAGTTGGGTGTTACTAGATGACATGATTAGAAATGAAGAACAAATTTTCTCACACATTTATTTTTTTTTTTTTAACAAAATGATAGATTGTACTTTGGCATATAATCTGTTGAACCGATTACCGGATGGACTTAAACCTATTTTGGACGTATATCAGGACTATATTTGTGGCCTTGGGAAAGATATCGTCTCTAAATTAGGCTCCACAGTGATGAAGGTAGAGTAGAGAGAAAGAAAAAAAAAAAAAAAAGAAAGAGGAAAGATAATGAGAATTTGAGAAATAGAAGAGTGAAGATGATGAAAGAGTTTATGGTACTGATTCCTTTTTTTTTTATTTTTATTTTTATATAGAATCCAAAAGCTTATGTAGACCAATTACTTGCCCTACACACCAAATATTATCAAATCAATCATCAAGTCTTTTCAGCTGATCCTCTATTTACAGCTGCTACCGACAAGGCTTTCCGAACCGTGATCAATGGAACAATAATCAATTCATCATCGGACGGTCCCGAAACACTGGCTCGTTACTGTGATATGATGATGAAAAAGAATGCTGGCAAACGGGAAACGACATCTACAACAGCAACTGCGGATGGCAAGAAAAAAGGGCCTTTACGAAAAACGGATATAGATGAAGGTGATGCAGAAGAAAAACTGACAAGAATGGTAAGGAAATAATAATAATAATAAAAAAAAAAGAATATAAACAAATATCTCCTTTATTCTAAATCAAATTTATATATTTTGCATTATAGATAACTTTATTCAAATACGTCGATGACAAGGATGTTTTTCAAAAGTTTTATTCCAGGATGTTGGCCAAACGCTTGATTTACAATGCATTGTCATCTGAAGAATTAGAAGCAAATATGATCTCTCGACTCAAAGTAAAGAAATGAAATGAATGAGTAACAGTCAAAAATTCTAATAGTATTCTTTTTATATATCCATTTAGGAAATCTGTGGTGTGGAATATACAAGTAAACTCAATAAGATGTTCACTGATATATCTCTAAGTAGTGATCTCAATGCCAACTTTAGAGAATATGTCAAGTCACAGGCAGATACAAAACCAACAAAGGGTAAATAATAGTAAAAAATGTAATCCATTTATATTGAAATCATATGTTATTCTTTTATAGTGAACTTTGATATTCTTGTTCTCACTGCTGGTGCTTGGCCATTGAATCAAAAGGATGATCAAAAATCTTCGCAAATTCAAAAATTACATATCCCAACTGAAGTAATGAACTAAAAAAAAAGATAATGAGAACAATAAATACTTACCATTTTTGTTTGAAATTAGTTTGAAAAAGGAATTACTCTGTTTGAAAACTTTTATGGGAAACATCACAATGGTAGAAGACTTCTTTGGCAATGGAATTTGGCAAGAGGTCAGTATATAAGTATCCATTTCATTTGGAAACTAACATTTGATTTATTTTATATAGGCGATGTTAGAATGAATCATCTAGATCGAAATTATGAACTTCAAGTTGGATTATATCAAATGATGATTTTACTTCTTTTCAACAATGCATTTTCGCTTACGGTTAACGATATAATCGAGCAATCTGGTTTATCTCAAGCGGATGTGACACGAAGTTTGAAGGTAATTTCTATATCAAAAAAAAAAAAAAAAAAAAAAAAAAACAAAAACAAAAAAAAACAAAGAAAGAAATGGAAAAGTAAAAATAATATATACTAATGGTATTGATTTTGTTTTGTATTATATATGTAGCCTCTTATTGACCTACAAGTATTATTATGCAATGATGCTTTACAAGAAACATCTGAAATTCGGTTAAACACTCAGTTTACAAGGTAAAGACGATTTTCTTGATATTGAAGGAACTTGAGATCTAAAACAATCCGTTTTTATATATGATAGCAAACGAACCAAGATCAAAGTGACGGTGGCGGCTCAACAAGAGACACAACAAGAAACTCAAGCAACAAGAAAGGCAGTGGATGAAGATCGAAAGATGTATATTCAAGCGGCCATTGTTCGTGTTATGAAATCAAGACAAACATTAACGCATGTACAATTGATCCAGGAAATCATAGATCAAGCTAACTCTCGCTTCTCGCCTTCCGTCATCATGATCAAGAAATGTATTGAACAACTTTTGGAAAAACAATTCATTGCTAGACATGAACGTGATACCTATGTCTATGTTGCTTAGTTTTATATGTATATCTGAAATAAAGTTTATCCTTTTTTTTTTGAATTCTATATAGGAAGAACTTTTGACAATCACATCATTTTATAAGCACCAATAGGGTTCCATCACTAAATGATCTGTATCAAATAATGAACGTAGAAAATAATACATTTTGATTTTGAAAAAGTTCCAGAGAAAGTATCAGAGGATCTTTCTTTATTTACAACATAAGGGAAGAAAGAAAAAAAAATATAGACTATCAATATCTATGCTTCATCGTATTCGTCCAACTAGAATATTTAAAAGAAATCGAGTAAGAGAATGATACCATTGAGTAATTCTTCATATTCTTACCTTCAAAGTGAGAGATTTACTTGAGTTAAGATCATTGTCTCTATAGATACCAACCAAGCTTTGAGCACGTTCGTATAAAATATTTTTGAAAGAAATGACAATAAACTGGAATTGATCATTTGCATGTCGTCGAATATATCCAACCACTTTCTTCACATTGGTATTGTCCAAGGCAGCATCCACTTCGTCCAAAACAAAAAATGGAGAAGGTTGATAACTGTTCCATACATAAAAAAAAAAAGATGAATCATCATGTTTATTTATTCATTTTTTTTTTTTTTTTTTTTTTTTTTTACCTTCGAATAGCAAATAACAAGGCTAAAGCAGCCATACTTTTTTCACCACCAGATAATTGACCCATATCTCTAAATCGTTTCATAGGAGGCATAGCATGGTACAAAACTCCTTTCAGGTAAGGTTCATCCGTATCTTCCAGTGTCAAGTAAGCAGTACCACCCAAGGGGAATGTTGACGTTTTTGTCAGTTCTTTGTAAACTTGATCAATATGTTCAGAGATATGAGTAAAAGCAGATTGAAAGAGTGAACGACTGAAAAAAGAAAAAAAATTAGTTACTTCAACATTAATTTTGTTTTCTTTACTTACCGTTTGTTTTTCACCTTGTCGAATTTTTCCTTTGCTGTTTCTGCCACTTTTCTTGCTGATTTATATTCATCTTCCATATCACCCAAACGTTGTTCTACACCTTCCAATCGATCAATTGCCTTCAAATTGGGGGCCATTTTTTCAATCACTTCATTTCGGGATTTGAGATCATCTAGGTATCGTTTTTCTAGTTGAGCACTATTGTCATTGCGTTCATCATCATCTAAGACAGAGTAATCCACTTCAACAATCCAATCCGTAGATAATATCGCTCCATTGGTTGGATCATCGATATCCATAGAACTTGTATCCATAGAACTTGAAGTACTTGCATCTGACGCCTGAAAATACATACCAAAAAAAAAAAAAAAAAGATGAGAAGTAAGGTCAATGATTCCATTTTGTTTTTCATTTACCACTACATTAGCATCATCCATAAGAACATCATCCATACTACCACTAATCAAAGGTAATCGAATATCCTCCAATTTGCATTTTCGGAAAATGGCAGCACGTTCAGCACGAATCTTTTCAATTTTGGATTCCATCTGAGCCATTTCCTTGAGATAAGCGTCCATATCCTTTCCTCGTTCTTCTAAAGAAAGTCGAATATCATCCAACTCTTGTTGTTTACTCTTTTCTTGTTCAATTTGTTTCTGTAATTCCACCTGATAATTTTCCACATCGTTGGTGAGTTGTTGCTGAAGCTCGCCCAGATTGACCAATTCTGCCTCATATCGTTGCTTTTCTTGTTGTGATTCTTGAAGGGATTCCGTCAATTTCACTAATCGTCCTTGAAGGTTTTCCAATTGTTCTTTATCGAATGATAATTGTGTCTGTAATCTTGATCGTTGTGTGTTAAACTTGGCCCTTTGTTCCCGAACTTGTTCTGGTACAGTGAATTGTGATGCTTCATATTCTCGAATATTGGACAAGCCTAATACACTGCAGAAATCACCAAAAATACGATCTTCCACCACGGCCACTAATTCCTGGACTTGTTGTATCTGATTATCTAATGCGGTGAGTGCTGATTCACTATGAGCAATTTGTTGTTGATGAATGATCATATTGTCTTGAATGCTTTGCAAGGAGCTATCGATATCTTTGAGACGTTGTTCTTCAATTTTCTACAATCATATGTTATATATATAAAAGAAAGGAACGGGAAAAATATATTAGGTAAATAAATATGACCATCTCTTCTTTTTTTTATTATTATTATTATTATTATTATTTATTCACTTACAATTTCATCAAGAATAACGGATAATCGACTTGACAAACCATCACAATCACTTTTGGCAAGTTCTTCAGCACTACCCATACGTTTGTTGCGACAGAGTTCATTCAATTCAGCCAAAATCTTGTCACGAGTACGCATTAAACCTATTGAAGAGGATCATCATTATCAATCTATCCTTCTCTTGATCATTGTTCATTTCTTTTATTCATACCTTCAACATCTGTTTCGTCCCATATCTTGTCATTTTGTGAAGTACTTGGTCCACCCGTCATCAAACCACTTCGATGAATAACACTTCCATCCAATGTCACAGCTATACATATATATATATATATATAAAAGAAGGTGAGATTGATTGATTTTGTTTTCTATTATATTCTTGATTTTTACCTTTGACATCTTCACCCATTTCATAACAAATTCGTTTTGCACTAGCTAAATTGTCACAAATAATACTATTTCCACAAGCATATTGAACAGCAGGAGCATAAAGATGGTCACATTGGATCACATCCACAGCAAGACTTGCTCGAGGTAAGTTGCGAAGTCGATCATTGATAGGGGGAATGGATAATGTGTTGAGTGGTAAAAAGGTGGCACTACCTAAACGTTGTTCTCGTAAATATTGAATACAATCGATGGCGGTCTTTTGATCATCAACAACAATAGCATCTAAATTGCGTCCTAGAATTGTGCTGACAGCGAGTCCATATTTACGTTGTGTTGGCTTGCATAGTTTGGAGAGTGCACCGTGCACACCTGGATGAAGTTGTTTCATTTGAGCCAAGCTTTCCTTGAACTTGGTATCCTTGTCAGATTCTTGTTGCATCACCTTGGCTTCCATCAATTGGTTAAGTATGCCTTGGAGTTGTTCATTCAATACCACTTCACGTCGATGTATATCAACACGCTGCTGCTCAAGACTAGATAGTTCTTGTTGTCGTACTTCCAGTTGTTTTGATATTTTCAATTTGTCCTCCGTCAAAGCGTTTCCATGTTCCATCACTTGTTGTCTGTCGTCCTTGTATCGAACACCGCTGGCTTCGAGTTGCGCCAATTTTGATTTTTGTCGATCTATTTCTTGTACCACCAGTTTTCGCTTTTGTTGGAGATTTGAGATTTGTTCCTGCTCTTTATTGGATTCCACATTCACTGCTTGTTTCCTATGAGTTAAAAAAGAGATATATATAACATGAATAAAACAATCATCAATCTTCCTGATTTTTTTTTTAAAAAAGGACTTGCAGTTGTTCATAGGTCGTCATTTGTTCGGCAGTAAGATGTGGGCCTTGATCATAATTGGTCTGTGCCAGTTCATCTAATGGAGAAACTATTTTTGAGTATTCTCATTTCTTTTTATGTATTTCTTTTCTTACCATTATATTTGGATTCTTCAGAATGTAACAATTGGAGAGCATTTTCAATATCAGCGACATGTTGTTTCTAGAATAGATGAAAGATGAGCAATAGATTCAAAGTATAATAGGCATCATACCTGTTGTTCAAAATCATTTTGAGTGCGGTTTCCATTTTGTTGAATTTGCTCAATCTTCTTTTCCAAATGTTCGACCTTTCCTTGTATCATGATAGAGGCTGGACGCTAATAAAGATATAGCAAAAAAAAAAAAAAAAAAAAAAAAAAGAGAGAGAGAGAGGGAGAAAAAAAAAAGGTAAGTCCTTTAATCTATGCCTTTTTTTTTCTATTACCTTTTCTGCAAGATCGTTTTTGGCCTTCTTGATTTGTAATTCCCGTCGAGTTCTGTCACGATGGATCAAAGCTTTTTCCTTTCTGACAGACTTGAATTTGTTCTCCAATGCCAGCTAATAAATATATTAGGGAATTCAGAATGAGTATTTATTTTGTTTGACATTGTGTTTGATATACCTGATCAGTAGTTACTCCATTAACAGCAATTTTCTTGTTATTAGCGTCTTCTTCCATAGCATGAATCTTTTGTTCCACATGATACAATTTCCAAACCAAGTAACGAGCTGACATTTCTCGACGTTCCTGTAAGAGTTGAGTAAATCGTTCGGCTTCTTCCTTTTGTTGTCGATATTGTTTGACTTCCAATGTAATACCACGTTTTTTGTTCAAAGCATGAGCATTGTTTTCTACTGCAGTATCAAGTTGAACTTTTAATCGATCATACTCTTCCTTGTATTCCCAAGAACTGTACCAAAAAAAAAAAAAAAAAAAAAATTTAGAGAATATTTATTTCTTTTTTGTATATATTTTCACTTACCCACTAATTTGTTCAATAAGCTTTGTAAGTTCATTGGGATTTTGACTTGCTACTGATTCAACGTCACCTTGAAAGACTAAAAAGTTCTTTGCCTTGACCAGAATACTTTCCTTTTCCAAAGTGGCATTGTACTCCGAGTATGGTACTTGCTTGTTGTTGATTCTATATTCTGATTGTCCAGTTTGAAAAGCAGTACGCATAAAACGAACTTGTTGACCATCATCCTTTTCGAATACGGCAGTAACATGAGCTTGTCGAGGACCCCTTGAGGTAGTACGAGCAGTTGTAGAGGTGTTATCATCTTGAGGTTGTAGAGCACTTGCACGATATATCATATCCTTGATAGAGTGTGAACGCAAATGAGCCGAATTGACACCCAATACAAAAGAAATAGCATCCATTAAATTGGATTTACCTAGAAAGAAAAGAAAAAAAAAGTATAAAAAGTCAATTCAATGGTCTTGATATTCATACACCAATATTGTACCTGATCCATTAGGTCCAATGACAGAAGTAAAATGGTGAAAAGGTCCAATGATTTGATGACCTTTATATGACTTGAAGTTTTCTACTTCGATTTGAAGAAGTCTACCCATGATAGGATAAAAAGAAAAAAAAAAAGTTCAAAAGAAAAAGAAAAAAGAAATAGAAATGCGAAAGCGTGTCCTACCGCGACTTTTTTTTTCTCTCTGGTCAATCATCTCTTTCGCGTGTTCAGGACGAATGCGGGGATCGAATGCTTTCAATTTGGCGTGGCTTGACTTACATATTAGAAAAATTGTGCTCTTTGCATTTTTTTTTCTTTTCTTGACACTTTCCAAAATAAAAATAAAAAAATGGGATTTCGTAAAGGAGCTCGTTGGAAGAAGAAAGGAGGGAATCAAGTAAGTGAATTTAATTAATAAAGAATATTATTTACTAACTATGGTTTATACGAATAATTTAGGAAACCAAGCCAAAGTCTGATGGCCGGAACGAAAGCAACTATAAAAAGCAAGAACTTAATAATGAAGTCTTCAAAATGTACTACAAGGTAATAATAAACTAGTAGATTATGTTTCAATTTTGGTTTGGTAACAATATTTTCTTTTTTTTTTTATAGAGCCAAAACCTAATGCCTGAAGAAGAATTTGATACATTTATCGAATCTTTGAGGTCACCCTTACCAAGTACTTTCCGTATTACTGGGACAAGAAGGTAAGAAAGAACGAGGAAAAGAGAAGAAACAAAGGGTTACTCATCCAAATTTTATTTTGGTTTATATAGTAATGCTATGCAAATCCGCAAGTTTATTGAAGACGAACATGTAGCGAAAATGCAAAATGTCATTGTGGACGGTGTGAAATATGATCCTCCTAAACCAGTATCTTGGTATCCTGATCAACTTTGCTGGGAAATCACTTGTCCCCGTGGTGTATTGCGAAATTCTCCTGAATATGCAACCTTTCAAAAGTTCCTTGTGGCAGAAAATGAAACGGTAAAGAACTGAATAACTGGGAAAATAGAAAAACATTGACTTTTTTTTTTTTTTGTTTTGATAGGGAAATATTAGTCGACAAGAATTAGTTAGTATGGTGCCTCCTTTACTTATGGATATAAAACCTCATCAAAGAGTTCTCGATATGTGTGCTGCTCCTGGATCCAAGACTGGTCAAATTGTTGAAGCTGTTCATGCCAATGACAAATTGAATGAAATGCCTACTGGAATGGTTGTGGCCAATGATGCTGATTATAAACGAAGTCAACTTTTGGTCCATCAGTTAAAGCGTCTACAATCCCCTTGTTTTGTGGCTACAAATCATGACGCTGCTCATTTTCCAAACATCACTATCAAGGTAAAGTTATTATTCTATCTCTATTTTTTTCTTTTACTTACAAATATCTTTTTTTTTTTTTAATTAGGAAAATGGTGTGGAAACTCCCTGGCAATTCGATCGTGTTTTATGTGATGTACCTTGTAGCGGTGATGGTACTTTACGCAAAAATCCAAAAGTATGGAATGAATGGTCTCAAGGAGCAGCTATTGCTCTTCATAGGTAAAAAAAAAAAAAAAAAAAAAAAAAAAAAAAAATCAAAAGAAGATATACTACATTAAATGATTGATTCATTGATTTCATTTCCTTCATTATATAGTATTCAAGTTCAAATCTTTTTACGTGGTGCACAATTGACCAAAATGGGTGGACGTATTGTTTATTCTACCTGTTCTTTCAACCCTATTGAAAATGAAGCTGTTGTTGCCGAAGTTTTGCGTTTAACCAATGGTACAAAAAAAAAAAACAAAATACAATAGATTATCATATTCATCATATTTTTATACCTTTTTGTTGTGTCTTTGTGTAGGTGCTCTTGAATTAAAGGATGTGTCTGATGAACTTCCTGGACTTATCCGTCGACCTGGTCTCAAGACATGGAAAGTGATGACCCGTGAAAACAAGTATATTTCCTCTGTGGATGAAATTGACAATGCTCGCACTCGACGTAAATTCCCTACTTCTGCTTTCCCACCTGAAAACACAGATCATCTGCATTTGGAACGATGGTAAATATGAGAAAAGAAATGAATATAAATCCCATTCTAACATTTATGTTATTATACTTTAGTTTACGAATCTATCCTCAAGATCAAAACACTGGTGGTTTCTTTGTGGCCGTTTTTGAAAAAGTGAAACCAATGACTGTTGCTGATCGTATATCCATCTCCAGAGATCTTGGAAAGTCAGTTACTACCACTGATATACAAGCTGGTGAAAATGAAGATGAATCTCTTGTTCAATCCGTTAATGCTTCTGCTGCAAGCCCACCTCCTACTGAAGCTGATAATAATGATGATGATATTAAGGTGACTACCGATGTTACTGAAGAGGATTCTGTACCCAGTAAGCGTACTGCACAAGAAACAACTGAAGAACCCAAAGTGCCAACTAAAAAGAAAGCAAAGAAGGATGTACAAGCAATGAAAGAAGCACCATTTGATTTGATGTCACCTGACAATCCTGATTTACAAGCAATCAAGTAAGTTTTGATGAATGAATGATATATTGAAAAAAGCTAATTTTTTTTTTTTAATACAGAACGTTTTATGGTCTCAGTCCCAATTTTCCCGTTGATCAATTTTTACTTCGATCAGACGTGGATACTCGAAATCGTCAAATTTATTTTGTATCATCAGCGGTGAAATTAATATTGGAATCCAATCAATTCAAGCGACTACATGTTGTCAATACGGGTGTCCGATTATTTGCTCGACAAGGTTCATTAGCCGAAACAACCGAATGTGCCTTCCGTATTTCATCTGAAGGTGTTCCTTTGATTCAACAATATATTGAAGACCGTCGTTCTGTTCATGTTGGTTTGGCCGATCTCAAGATACTCTTGGTCAGTGCGTTCCCTATGATTACAGACTTTTCAGAAACTGCTCAAACTGCTTTGAACAAACTTTGTAAGCATCAAAAAAAAATAATAATAATAATAATATTAATAAAAAGGAGTAGTTGGTTAATCTAATTCTTTTTTTTTTTTTTTTTTTGATTAGCTATTGGTGGTATTATCTTTATCATTGATGTTTCTGAAGCTCACTTGCCGTAAGTTGTGATAGAAATCAAAAAAAAGAAAACATCATGATTGATTCATCTTTTTTTCTTCCTTCTTTTCTTAGTGCTGATACACAAATGATGCTTCCTGTCTGGCGTGGTAAATCATCTGTCAATGTATTATTGAACAAACATGATAAAAAGTAAGTCAAGCATAAGAATGAAACCTTTTTTTTTATAACTCATCTATTGTTTCTTATAGATCATTGTGTCAAAGGTTATTTGCCATGACACCTGAACCCATCCCTGTCCATATCAAGGAAAAATCACAGCCTCCTTTGATCCAACAAACAGAAGAATCAACGGAAGAAACAGCTACTGTAGAATAATTTATCATCATCATCATCGTCATTCCATCCTCGTAGTAGTAATATACATCAATAAAATGCATTTTATTCTTCAATACAATTTATATAAAAAGAGAAATCTGAAAAAAAAGAATCATTGGTTTTTTTTTGTTTTTTATTATTCATATACAAGAAAAAGAAAGATGAGTGTGTGTGTATGTGTGTGTGCAAATGGATTTGAGAGAAGGTATAAAAAAAATAGATAAGTGGATAACATGAAAACAAACAAAAGAAGAGAAAAAAAAAAAAAAAGAGAGAGAAAGATGACAAGGGGGGAATAACAGTTTCTATAAATATTGGAGGGACGAGGGGGGGATCATTGAGGAGGAGGGGAAGGAGACAAATAAGCAGAAGTAGCAGGAGAGGTATAATTGTTGTTGGGTTGAATGGCTTGTAAACGTTTCCCTTTCAACATGTTTTTTAAGGCACGTAGAGCAAATACCGTCAAACCAATACCAGCCCAATCTTCATCATGTAAATCTCGTAAATCACCCACAGTCATGATATCTTGATTTTGAAGTTTCTTGATCCATTCATGTGCTTTTTCCAAACTTCGATGTACGGCCATGGCACAATCTTGTACAAACACTTCAATATTTGTATCATCACCATATTCTACATACAAAAAAAAAAAAAAAAGGATATATCATCAAGATTTTGATTACATAAAATAATAAACTTTCTATTTTTTTTTTTTTTTTGATTACCATCCACAATATGAGATACTAGAGCATTTGATGGTACACCATTATCGGTATGTTGTTGTTGTTGTGGATGATGATGATCTTTTGTTTTGTCATCATCAGATAATGTCATATATACGTTGGGTTCAGGAGTAAGTCTTGATCCTTCTTGAGATAAAGATGATTCCATAAGAGAAGATGATGATGAAGGAGGTACAGCCACGATGGGAATCGGATGTAACAAAGTAGTAGTAGTAGTAGATTGTTGTTGTTGTAAAGAAGTATCATCTTGTTGTTGAAGATCACGTAGGTTCCTCATAGCATCACGACATTTTGATTCAGCCGATCTTGCTCTTGCCTCGAAATCCTCACATTTGGCTTCCATTTCAATCACATGTTCCGTTACTTGTTGTAATTCCAAACGTGTCTTTTCAAGTTCCGAGCGGATATCCTTTTCACGTCGCCAAATAGAGGGTTGAGTCGGGTCATCATCGTCACCATCGTTTCGTTTGTTAGATTGCTGAGATTCGTCAGTTTTGTCCATATCCCTAAGTATACGGTTAATTTCCTTGGTGATATGTTGTTGGTATCTTTCTGGTAGGACTTGTTCTTCAATCATTTCACGCACGACTTGTTCTGCTGTATCTGTTTCCACATTGAAATCAAATTTCACTGAAAGTTTATCCATACCTTTGAATACTACTTGAAGTGTAAGATGGATGTGATTCAAATCGGTAGCTAATAATACAACGTCGGGTTCCACTGCCAATAAGGAATGTTCCAAAATATCTTGAGCTGACATACGTTCATCTTCGGGTCCCAAACAATTTTCAATTACACTAAGGACTTCAGGATTGGTCACTTTAGCCAAACACGCAGGCTTGATACCAGCTGACACCTTTTTATAGATTTGAGCCGCATTTGTACATTCACCATAAGGATATTCACCTGTCGCCATTTCCAATAGACACATTCCAAATGCATAGATATCCACCTTTTCACTATAGCCTTGTTCTTCATACATTTCAGGAGCCATAAATTCGGGAGTGCCAATCACAGTATACTTTTTGCCCATTTTCATTTCAGCTGTACCCATATCACCAATCTTGACTTCACCATGTGCACCATTGATGAAAATATTATCGCATTTGATATCTCTGTGGATGATAGGTGGATGATGATCATGGAGATAAACCAAACCCTTGAGAATTTGTCTTGACCATCGCTTTACAATCTTGAGGTTGGGTAAAGGTGATAGTTTGCGAATATATTCACGTAAAGTACCTGAAGTCATCAATTCTGTCACAAACACAAATTCATTATCTGTGTGCCAAGCATCATGAAGAGCAATGATATTGGGATGCCTAACTGATTTCAAAATTTGTATTTCATGATCAAGTTCTTTGTTGCTGGGTGTTCGCATTGCCTATTCAAAAAAAAAAAAAAAATCAATAAATATATAACTATCTTTTATAGATAATAATAATAAAAAAAAAAGCAATCATCATTTTTTAAAACGTACCTGAATAGAGTTCCATGCTACTTCATAACCTTCTTCTCGATCAATAGCTTTATAGACCACCTTATAAGCACCTTTTCCAAGTAAAGTATTAAGACGAATATACCTTTCATTGGGAGAGACTTCAATGACTTTCTCACTATCAGGGAGAGATGATTGATCGATGATTTCATTATGAGGAATTCCAAGGCCAGTATATGGATCATTAGAGCGATCAAATGTAGTTGGAGGGGCAAAGTTATTGATACCATATGCATTATTATTAGTATTAGTATTATTGTTGTTATTGTTGTTGTTGCTGTTGTTGTTATTGAATATAGTATGATTGATATGATCAGAATGGTTTATATCTGGTGATATTGAATAACTGTCGTTTCTTCTTCCAGAGGCCATAAGTTCTTCGTCGTCATAGGAATCATATCCAACACCAGGACTAAAAGAGACATGAGCTTGATGTTCAGACATATGATAAGTTTGTAATAAAAATAAATAAATATATAATAAGAAAATATGAAGAGAGAGAGAGGGGTTATATAGTTGATATAAAATAAGTAAATAAAAAAATGTACAAAAAGATATGTTCAAGTATAAAAATAAAAGTATATATAAGAGATAAATAAAAGTTTTTTGAATCAAAGGGAAAAGATGAGATAAAGGGGAAAATATATATAAAAAGAGGTTATTGTTTTTCTTGTTGAATAAAACAAAACAAAAGAAAAGAAAAAAAAAAGCAAAAAATAGACTTCAACACCAAAAGAAACACGGTTGATGTATATAAATCGTCTAATGCTATTTCTGTATATGTTGGATATTATAAAAGAAAAAAAAACTAAAGAAAAAAAAAAGGATAAAGTAACAGAAAAAAAAAAAAAAAAATTCGGTGGCCGCTGACCAGTTCCAAAAAGTCACTCGCTTCTTGAGGCTGAAAAGACAGATGATGATGATGATGATGATGTTTCCTTCTAGTCTCCGGCTGAAAAAAAGGTCATGATATCACTCATCAAATAATCTTCCTTTTTTTTTTTTTTATTGATATATATATATCACGTGTTTTTTATAAAAAAATGTAAAAAGATGGATTGGAAAAAAAAAACATATAAACTTGATCTTTTTACTGTGTGTTTTATTCACACACACACATAAAAAAAAAAAGAGGAGTTAAGATGGATGATATCTTGTACCTTTTCCATTATTATTATTATTATTATTTTCCATAATGCATCATTAAAAAGTCATACATGAAGTGAGAAAATCAAAACTTGATAGATAACGAATGAATCCAGGTTTTTACCTTTTTGATCTTTATAGAGAGAAAGGGGGAGGGATGGGTAATGCTAAATGATAGCGGAATGGTGTGATCAACCTTTTGCAGCATTTTAGAAGGTATGATTCCCTATTGTTCCTTTTATTACCATATTTAGAATGAAAACAGTGACTTTGATGAAATATGATTGGCGCCTTCAAGGTGCAACAACTCACATTATTAAATAAGATGATATCTCAATCAAAACGGGGATTATTTTTCATTTATGGATGATTATTTTTTTTTTTTTTATGTTATGTCAGCTAATGATTCCTTTTTTTTTTTTTGGTTATTAATAAGTCGATCCTAGAATGTATCAAAACAATTCGGAATAGATAGATAAAAAGAAGAGATTATATCAGGGACAGTTTTTTGTCAATTGGGGTTGCTCACATGACGAAATAGGAAAAGCTCCTTAAGATCCTGCGCACGCCATTGCAGTTAAGTCTCCGCATAAGACTTTTATGGTATTTAAAGATATCAAGTTTTCCTTATTCATTTCTTTTTTTTTTCTTCTTCTTCTTTTCAATTCTTTTTTTTTTTTTTTATTTCTTTGTTTTTGAATAAACATATAATATATATCCATCATCCATTTTATACCATAAATCAATAATACACATTCCTTCTTTTATTATTACTCCTATTTTAGAATGACTCAATACGGATCCATATCAACACAGAAAAAGATACATCATCTTACTCAAGCAGAACGTGATTTATTACAAAGTGATCGTCCTGGTTATGGTACTAGAAGTAGAATAGAAGTTGCTTTCAATCTTGTTAATGCCACCGTCGGAGCAGGAATCATTGGATTGTACGTATTTTTTTTTTATCTCTCCTTATCTTTCTCTTTTTTTTTTTTTTTTTTTTTTTTTTTTTTTTTTTTTACTGATACCATTTCTCTCTTCTTCTTATTATTCTTTAAAATGGAATAGACCTTTTGCTATTTCCCATTGTGGTTTTATTTTGGGTTTTGTCGTATCTATATTTGTTGCCATTCTTTCTCAATTGGGTCTCTACATGGTAGTCCTTGCTGGTCAACGATTAGGAATCTATAAATTCGCATTGTTAGTAGAATATTTATTTGGTCGTCCTGGTTTCCATTTCTTGAATCTTATGATCTTCATTCAAGCTGGTGGTGCTTGTATCAGTTATTTTATATGTAAGTTTCAAATTATTACAGACTGATATATAAGGCTTACGGTATTTTTCTGCTTTTTTCTTGAACTTTTTTCCTTTTTAGTATTGGGTGATACTATACCTATTTTATTGGAACCTTATTTACCTGAACTAGAGATTGTATCGGAAAGAACTCTTGTTATGGGCTTTATTGGGATATTTTGCGTAAGTGATTGGAAGGGAAAAACTACTAAATATCCTTTAACTCATCCAACCACTCCTTTTTTTTTTTTGGGATTTATTATATCACTTTTTATAGATTTTACCATTGAATTTGGCAAGATCTATTGGTGCACTTGCCAAGTGGTCTATCCTTTCTGTCATGTTATTTCCTGTGGTTCTTTTGACTATTATTATACGTGCTCCTTCTTACATTCCCGAAGAACCTATTCCAGTGACTTGGATTGGCACCGATGTATTTGGCGCTTTAGGTGTATTTGCATTTGCCTTTACTTGTTCTCAAGTTGCTTTCAACAATTACTTGACTTTAGAAGATCAATCATCTCAAAGTTGGTGTCAATCAACCACTTTATCGACTTTTACTAGTTGGCTGATTTCCATGGTATTTGCCATCTTGGGCTACTTTTGTTTTGGTGAAAACGTTCAACCCAATTTATTCATGAATTTTGCTACAGATGATCTGATTATCAATATAGGTCGATTTATTCTTGGTTGTACTATGATCTTAACTATTCCGTAAGTTGAAGAAACCAAAAAAAAAAAAAAAAAATCAATTGACTAACACTCATTATTTCATAAATATAGACTTGGCTTCTATCCGACAAGAGAAGCCGTACAGAAAGTACTTGGATACGAAACAGCTACTAAACAACCTAATCAACTACAACATTATACCGTCACCTTTGTTCTCTTTTTCGTCATCCTTTTTGCTGGAATCACTATCCGATCTCTTGGAAAAGTTTATGGTTTCGTTGGGGGCATTTCTGCAACAACATTAGCTTTTATTTTACCTTCCGTGGCTTATTGGGTGGCAGCAAAACAATATCGATCTAGAACTTCTTCTTCTTCTTCTTCTTCTTCTGAAGCGACAACAGCAGCACTAGCAGCAGCAGCAGCGACAATATCGATTGAACCTACTTTGACGCAAACATCAACATTATATAATGGGATCAGTAATGGAAACAATGGCTATTATTATTCTACAGTGGAAGACAAACAACTTTTATGGGATATGGCATCTACTTCTTCTTCTTCTCGTAGCCCATATTATGTAGATGAAGAAGATGTATCTACTGTGGATGGTGGTCTAGACGATTTAGATGGTGATGATGACCTGAATGATGACTATATTGGTAAGCCAAGTGTTTTCTTGGATATCATGGCAGTGGTTCTTTTCATTTGGGGATTCGTGGTCATGATACTTTCTGTGTCAAGTGTGTTATTACAAGACTAGTTAGATAGATTCCCTTTTTATTATACCCTTTTTTTTTATTTCTTTATATTCCCCCCATTTTTTTTTTTATCATTCATATTTGATTTTCACCTTCCCCCCTTTATTTTATCCCTCACTGGATTCCGTTATCTATCTATTTATTATTTCACCTCTCATATTCTACTGCTGATAAACTATCTTACATATACATCTATGCATATACATACATATATAATAAATAACATTTGTTATCATTTACCTGCATATATCATTTTCCAAAAATTGGTCCTCCTTTTTATACATATATATATATATATATATAAATATTTCATTATGGTTGATTGCTCTTTCTCTCTTTCAATGAGGAACAAGATGATAAAAAAAGTTTGATTGACATCATTCTTCTTGAAGGTACCATTATGATTCTATCATATGCAACCATTCATTCGGAACGATAAGACCATATAAGAAATGACAATGCTGACAAGACAACAATGGATGTGATGATATCATGTGAAAACGATCCGTTTGGTCAAAGAACACCAGGTTTTAAAAACGATACGTAAAACGATGGAAACATATGATGCATACTGACTGATTTTTTTTTTTGGAAACTAAGGATAAAAAATAAGCCCGTGACAAATTGAATGTCATTTTTTAATGTATATACATAGAGCTCCCATCCTTTAAGCTGCTACATCATCATCATCATCATCATCATCATAAGCAATCATTACCATTGTACACTAATATCATCGTACCTTCCCATCATTGTCATTACCATCATGTGGCATCACCCCTTATCATCCTTATGGTTGATATGAAAGACGATCTTGGCTGATTGATCATCTTTTGTTCGACATATTATTTCTTTACCTTTGCTAGTTTACTATATGGTGATATATTTTACTCAACAAAGTGGATACGTAGATTTAAAAGGAGGATGGAACAAACGATCATATCACTTTCAACTTGTTGATTCTTTTTTTTTTTTTTTTCAAGACTTTCTCTTCCACAGTGATTTGCAATATAGAAAAATGAAATGGATTCTATCTTCATGGTAACACCCCAAAAAGGCAAGGCGAGACGGAGAACAGAAAAAAAAATTAAGTACTACCATCTTTCTCCACCCCCGCATTTTTTTTTATATAATTATGTGTGCGTGGGATGACAATGGTTACCCATTATATATTTATATATATTTTTTCCTTTTATCACCAGTTTTGATGCATAGAACACTCGGAAATGAAGCACTTTCTCCTTGTTCGATCGACGATGATTCAGAAGGATCATCATGACCACTAATCATAATAAACAAAACAATATGATTAAAAAAAAAGGATTATTTTTTTTCTTTTTATTTGTAGGCAAAAATAAATGGGAAGAGGGGGATCATCAAAATGGATAAAAAAAATTAAGAGAAGAAGTATACTGTTGCATAACAAGGGCTTTCAATCAAGAATAAATAAGAATACATAGACAAAAAAAAAAAAGGAGGTAATCATCAAGGGAGAGCCGGTGATTAAAAACAACAGTTAAGTAGTAAAAAAAAAAAAAAAAAGGATAGGAGTGTCAAAGAGAAGAGAGGAGGATCATGATAATCATAATAATAATAATAATAATACTACAAAAAAAAAAAGGCATGAAGGAAACTCTACAAGAAAGAAGATACAAGAGAGATAACCAATAAAGCCGAAGGGATAATCATCGTTGTAGTAGAAGAAGCACCAGAAGTCAAAGAATCTTGAGCACTGGAAGAACCTGCAGATTGGGCACCAGCAGAAGAACTAGGATGATTACCAGAGGAAGAGCCAGATGCAGTGTTGTTGTTGTTGCCATTAGGGGGGCCTACAGGTTTATCAGTGATGGTGATCTTGAATTCAGAAGCAACGGCTTCAGACTTGGCGACAATCCATTCAATCAAACCAAATGAAGCTCCACCTCCATTATTGTTAGGAGCATTCACACCTTGGAAAAGATTTTGAGTGACTTGTTCGAAAGTCCATCCAAAATTAGTACCAGGAGATTGTTGTTGAATGCTACGATCCCATTGTAAATCAGGTAAGATAAAATCATGGTAAGCCAAAATACGGTTGGTGAGAGTGACGTTGTTGAAGAGCACTTGGACAGTATCCTTGAGATAAGTTTCAAATTTATTCTTCATATTAGCATTCTTGAGCAAGTTGTTAATCAACACAGCACCAGGATAACGTTGAGGGAAGGCAGTATAAGATACCTTTGGGAATTCTTTTCCTTCTGGCACATCCAAATTGACACCAAAAGTAGCATCGAAATCTTGACCCAAGTAATACCATTTTTTATCAGTAGGATCTTGATAAGCACCATCATTTGTTTGTTCCATCCAGTAACCATCCCATTGACCAGCTAAATATTCCATCACCATGAATCGGATAAAGCCATCCACTTCAAATTGTTTTTCAAAATTAGCCAAGGCAGCATCATCTTGATAGTTAAGTTCACTGAATGCTTTACAAACAGGATCCAAAGCATCCACACCAGCAGGACTCTCAGGATTGGGGATGAATGAATAGTAATCACCAGTGGGAGAATAGGCAAAGGATGCACCAGAAGCACCATCATATAAAGGACCCTTTTCAGCAGGAGGTTTACCAGCATACCAACGAGCATTGATATAAGAATATTGAGTAACATCATCCAACAAATTAAAAGTACCAAAACCTTGACCATTAATAAAAAGACGAACCATATTGGCTTCATTTCCATAAGAACCCATGGCTTTCAAAACATCAGCATATAACTTTTCACGCATTTGAGTAGGATCTTCTTCCATATGTCGAAGCTTGAAGTAATTGCGATTATATAAAGTATCAGATCCAGATAATGACCATTTCCAACTTTGTTTTGCATTGTTCTTTTTCTTTCCAGCACCATGAATACCAAATGAGACATTCTATTTATTGTATATAAAAAAAATCAGATCAGGTCAGTTAAGACGCGGCAATTGAATCTAAAACTTTTTTTTTTTGTTCTATAAATGTCATCTACTTACGTTAAAAGAATGTACACCTTCAGCATCCACCAAGGTAAATTTGACAGTAGTAAGATCTTTAGGGACATTTTTGACAAGATTTTCAAGTTGAGCTGTATCACCATTGATGAACACAGTAGGAATATAATTTGAATCAAAAAGAGCAGTTGGTTCACCACCACGAGTCCATTGAGGCTAAAAAAAAAAAATTGAAACGAAACAACAAATAAAAAAAAAAGTGAGTCGATCTCATTTCACTTTTTTTTTTTTTTTTTTTGATAAACCTGTTTTATATACATACATTATCCTTAATAGGCCATGGTAATTGAGGAATGTTGGCATAAGTAACAGGACGATTGAAGAAATCATTTCTAGTACTGGTACGACCTTGTTCCAAAGTACGATCAAAACCTTCAGCAGTACCGCCTACAATATACTAAATATAGATGTCAATAAAATTTCTTTGAATCAAATCATAATGATTTACCTTGTATTTAGCATTATCAGGTGCATCCATTTGACCAGAAAAGACAGGAATATCGGCATCTTTAGCTGTTAACTTTGTTTGTTGACCATTGACAGATACTTGAACATCAGTAGCACCTGGAGCAATAACATTAAAAGTGATAGAGGCAGCATTGGACATAGCCACCATACAAGCTAAAGCTATATAGGTGAGTGAATGCTTCATTATACAAAAAAAAAAAAAAAAAAAGAAGGTGAATTGAATATAATTAAAAAAAAAAGAACAAAAAAAAAAAATGAAAAGAAGAGAAGAAAGACAAAAAAAAAAAAAGGAGAGTTTAAGTTTTTTTTTTTTTTTTATTCTCCAAGATCGGTGATTGGCTGATGTCAACTCAGAAAAAGTAAAAGTTAAATATGGTGATTCTCCAGGGATACGTTCAGACCAAATTTACTAAAAGCAGACAGGGTTCAAAAAGAATAGTTGTGTATATTTTTAGTTTCTTTTTTGTGAGGAAATATTACCTTTTTTCCCTTTGGACTAATTTCCATGTTATCGGTTACCTTTTGTTCCATTGTTATTTTTGGGGGTTTGGTCCACACTTGTCATCACGTGTGGTCGTTCGTGTATACTTAAATAATAAAAAGGAACTTCCTAATCATTTCAATGCAGGAGATAACATCCATTTACTTTTAATCCCGGGTTAATGTTCAATCCCCTTTTTTTTTTTTTATAATTTGATTTGATTTAATCATTGACTATCATTATCATCCTTTTACTATGATGATAGAATAAATATAGAATAGTTGTTTATTCAATTGACAGAAATAGTAGGTAACACAACATTGATGCTTTATTTAGGTTCTAATTGTAAACTTCGAAGCTTAAGAATGGTTTATGCTTTCTTTCCATTCATCATTTTTATGTTCCGAACATTAATATTTACTTGCAACCCCCGGTCTTTTTCTTTTTCGCGGTAAACTTTTGCCGCTCGTACCTCTTTCTTCTTCACTTTCTCTCCACCAATCATTTTCTTTTTTGGGTGCGCCTTTCGAAACTTTCTATTCTTCACACACTTCTTTTTCTTTTTATACTATTGACATTCTTTACTATTCTATGGATAGGAAATCTCGTACTTCACGTTCTGCATCTTTAGAAGAAACAAATGAAGAATTAAGTCTATGGAAAGAAATTTGTACTTCTTTGGTCAAACTAGAAGGCATTCAAAAAGAAGCTGGTGATGTTATTACCAATATCAACAAAGTTCATACTTCTGGTTATATAGAAAACTGTAAGAAAAGTAAATCATATATATATATATATATATATATATATATATATATATTACTTACTAATAAATATATATTATTTTATATTAGCTATTCCTACTGCAATTCATCAACGACTAAAGGATCATTATAGAAATGGAATAACATTATCATCAAGTGAAATAAAGTAAATTAAAACGAAGTAAAAAAAAATGTATATGCGATCATATAACATTTTATTATTATTATTATCATTATTATGATAAAATAGAACAATCAATGATATTATAGAAAAGGTATCAGTCCTTATCGCACTTCGAGATGCATCGGAATACAATGGTAATAAAACAAAAAAAAAAAAAGCAAAGAAAAAAAATGAAAGATCATTGATTGATATATTATTATTATATATTGATAGTGATTGATGGTAAACGGAAGAAACGAAGAAATGAAACTGAAGATAAATCGATAGTCAATGGATCAACACCAAGTAAAAAAGTGAAAACGTAAGTCATTATTTAAATGCATGAATGAATTTGAATTTTTTTTTCTTTTTATCACTGATTTCCTTGCCTTTTCTTTGTCCTGAATAAAATAGACATATTTTACCACCAGGCACATCAGTAGGTCACTGTTTCTCTCTCTCTCTTTTGGTATTACTTGATGATATGGATATTGATTAATTGATTATTTTTTTTTTACTTTGATCTTAGGTTGCTGCACGACAACCAACTCAAAAGGATTCAAGAAATGAAGAATGGATATTAGCTACTGTACTTCAATTCCATCCTGACAAAAACAAGTAAATTTTTTTTTAAAATACTTTCCCTTGATTTATAGTTCACTTATTCTCTCTCCTTTTCATAATGTTTATTGTGTCAGATACCATGTTGAAGATGTCGATCATGATGAATTTGGGCAAACTCAGTAAGTTGATTATTATTGTTGTTGTTTTTTTTTTTATAATTTTGCTCATCTTTATATATATATATATATATATATATATATTGTAGACGTTACATGCTTCCTTCTCGTCAAGTGATTCCTATTCCTGATGCTATTGAACATCGACCTGAATTTCCTCCTGGTCGTCATGTTTTAGCTTTATATCCTGGAACAACATGTTTTTACAAGGCCATTGTGATGTCTCCTCCAAGCAAGGTAAGAGTTGTCATTTATTAAATGAAAAAGTAGGGTGTGATGGGTTCATGTGTAAACATATGTACATATATATATATATTTGTGTGTGTGTGTGTGCTGTATGTGTGGATGTATGTTGATGTATGTAGATGTGCGTGTCTATAAGAGAAAAAGAAAAGGTGATATTAAATGACTTATGATCCTCTATTATATAGAACAAAGATAACAACGCTATAGGGATGTACAAGGTTCAATTTGAAGATGACAACAATGAAGTGAAATATGCCAATCCAGAACGTGTGTTAGAAATGCCCAAGATATCCAAATAGAATAACCCAAACACACCTTTTCAAGTCGCTGGTCGCTGATCCATGTATATAAATCAATAATTATTTCTTTATCTATTTTGTTATCTTCTTAGTTTAGCTCAACAATTCTTTTTTTTTTCTTTATCATTCAAGATCATCCAAATAAAACAAGGAATAAATCAAAAATATGAAGATTTTATTTATTACAAATTGAAAGAAAAAAAAAAAAAACTACTATAGTAGGGTAATAAGAGATTTATGCATAAAACTATATTGTAATGGTAATGTGGGTAGGGAATTGGTGCTTTCTTTTTTTTTTTAGAAAAAAAAAAAGAGAGAGAAAGGTGGTAAAAAGGAAGGAAGTATATATATGTATGTGTATGTGTATGTATGTGTGCGCGCGTATGTGTGTATGCGTGTGTGGGTGAGATCATCATGCCCATATCTAAAAAAAAAAAAAAAAAAAAAAAAAAAAAAGAAAGAATAAGAAAGTAAGTATGTTAATTTTTCTTTAAATGATGATGATAACTACTAACCTTGAGGAAACCATCCCAACTACCACTGCAAAGAGCCTTTCCATCAGCAGAAACACCTAAACAAGAGACACGGTTTTCATGAGCACGTAATATACCTACTCTTTCGGCCTTGAGGGTATCCCACACATGACATTGATAATCATCATAACCACCAAATAAGAGTCGACCTGAAATAGAGAAAGCCACCGAAGTAATTCCACAAAAGATTTGTTCATTGGCAAATATATTGAGTTCACGATCCGCCCGCAAATCGAATAATCGGCAACTAGCATCATCCGAGCCTGTTCCCACTGCATTACCGTTCGGAAAGAATTGAACAGCATTGACGTCGGATTCATGACCACTAAACGTTTGTACACATTTACCTTCTCGTATATCCCATACCTTGGCTGTAGCATCACAAGCACCTGATACAAATATATTTGGATTTGGTGAAACTGATAAACTAAGTATATAAAAAAAAAAAAAAAAAAGATGAGAAAAAGAATAAACTTTTTGAATGAATAACTTTTACCTCATCACATCCCCTGTATGATCAACAAATTCTTTCAATTTGGTATTTGCATCAATATCCCATAATATACAAGTTGTATCCCCACTAGAAGTCAATATTTGGCTATCACTAAGAAAACGACAACAACTGAGATAACCAGCATGAGCAATCAATTCCCTTGCAGGTTTGGATACATCGATATTGTTTGATATTTGGTATTGATAATTGCTGGAACTGTTGAGTCGAAAGATAGAACATATATTATCGAGACCACCAGAAGCCACAAAGTTTCCAGAAGGAGAATAAGAGCAAGTCATGACCCAAGAAGACCGTAAAGCAATGGCAAATATTTTGTTTGTTGTATAAGCATCCCATACCAAAAGTTTTCCGTCTTGTGAAGCTGAAACTAAATGTCGTTTATCATTAGCCCAGTTCATGGCATAAATCTTGGCTAAATGTCCTTTCAATGTACGTCGTACTTTTGTTGTTAATCTAGGTATACTTTCCACTTGTTGTGCTTTTTGAGCCACTAATAAAATAAATAAATAAAATAAAAAATAGTTAATATCATTAATATATAAAAAAAGATATTAATTACATGTCGTATCGGCTAAAGCTTCTTTCTTTTGTTTAATTCTTTCTTTGAGTCTTTCAGCTTCTTGTCTAGCTGCAGCAATACGATCGGCAATATTGTCGCTGTTTCGGCTCATGGTATTATATATATGTTATATATACAACAAAAAAAGAAAAAGATAATAAATAATAATATAATAAAAAAAATAAAAAAATAAAAAGAGGGTGGAAAGAGAAGAAGAGGTAGGGGAGGATAAAATGGATAAAAAAAAAAAAGAAGACAGAATTATTATATAATGTTTTATTTAAGGTTGTATAGAGAACTGAACCCCAATGTATATATTGTCAAGGAGAGTCAAAAAAAAACCTTATCAAAATGTAATAAAAAAGTGAAAGAAAAGAGGAAAAAATAAAAAGGAAATTTTTCTTACGAAAACAACCGCGTCCACACACACATATATTATATATTTAAAGATCAGAATAGCATAATGGAAAAGTTTCATACTTGAAAAGAAAAAAAAATAAAAATAAAATAATAATATATAATTATATTATAATATAAATAATACTTTTTCTTCTATTATTATTATTATTATTATTATAATCATATTTACTATTTTACTATATAAACACTTTGACTTTTTGATACTATCTTTTTTTGCATTGATGCTAATCAGTTCTGTACGAGAGTCACACAAACCAAACTTTGGACGGTATTTGAAATGTATGGCTTCTTTTGATACATTCGACCCAATCAAAGTCGTTTTGTATCAAAAAACCTTTTTTTTTTTTTTTCTATTCTTTTTTTTCTTTCCATTCTCTTCTCAACTTGTTGTTGTACCTATCAAAAGTAAGTTATATAAAAAACTAGATATTCATATTTAGTTAGTTGTTGTTTTTATTTATTATTATATTTTATTGAATCCATTAAAAAAAACCCCCTTCCCAATAGTTTATTATTTCTACTCTATCTTGAGTTATGGATTCTGAACAGGTAAATATATACTTTATTATAATAATAATAATAGAACATATATTTACTTCATTTTATTGAAAATAGCGTACAGCTCTGACAGCTACCCTTTCTTCCTTGGTTGTCCCTGAGATCAAAGAAATCATCAATCAACTCAATAAAAGGCTTTATCTCAGAATGCATCGTTCAGGACGGAAATCCAATCTTATCGAAAATATTGTTAATGAAGCTCAAGCTTGGTCACAGAATAGGAAGGTACAATCCTTGGATGTATTAGTAGATGCTATCAATAGACAAATTGGACTGTAAGTAAAAACTTTTTATTTCTTTTTTTTTTTTATTTTATAAATAATAAGAATAACAATAATATAAGATTAATATAGGAATACTCTTCTAACGAATCTATCTCTTTTTTTTTTTTTTATAGTTCTACTTTTATACGAGAAGACAATTTTATCAAAAGAAATGCAACTGCTACTCCTCTTGTATATAATCAAATTAGGCCGCCACCAGCAACAATTCCAAGGTCATCACCTTCAAGTATAATGACCACTCAACCTCAACAATCACCATTATCACATCCAAGACCTATAATAGATCATATCAATGTTCAATACAAGTCAAGTCCATTTTTTACATTGGAATCTCGTTTAGTCTCTCCGAAACTATGTACAAGTAAGTTTTAATATATGTGAAATAAGTGGAAAAAAAAAGAAGGAATATTGATTCTATACTATCTATATAGGGAATCTGAATACTCGATCAAGCAAGGTTTTCTCTTTTAGTTTGACAGCTGAACAACAACAATTTTTCCATCATCAAAAGAATAGTAACAGAGGTTTATATCAAATTCGATTTTTTTGCTCTGGATATGATGAACAAAACCAAGGTCGACACAATGAAATGGAATTTCCTCCAATATGTGAAATGAAAGTAAATACGGAACATACTATTGCTGGAAGTGTAAGTACTATACTACTTCATTATTTACATTTAAATGAAATAATACTTTTTTTTTTTTTTTGAATAGACTCTCAGAGGCATGAAGAATAAACCTGGTACAGTAAATCCTCCCGATATCACTCCTTATTGTCATTTGTTTGGAAGAAAAAATATGGTAGAACTTGTTTATGCGAATACAGTCAAGGTAAAAAAAAAAAAAAAAAAAAAAAAAAAAGACAAGTTTTTGTTTAGAAATATTCATTATTATTATGTTAGTCATATGTTGGAACGATTGAATTGGTGAAACGAAGAACTATACCGGACATTGTCAATGGTTTGAAAAACTCAAAAGTGATATCAAAGAAAGAAACATTAGAGAGATGTAAGTATAGAATAAAAATAGTGATTCATTGAAATTTTATTTATGATTTTATTTTTGATAGTACAAAAACGTCAAGAAGATACAGATATTGTATTAGAATCAGAAACTATTTCCACAAAATGTCCTGTAAGTTCACAAAAAAAAAATAAATAAATAAATAAATAAAGACAATAAATAAATAATTTTTCTTTTTTTTTTTTTTTTTAATCTTAGCTTGGTTTTACAAGAATTCAGACACCCTCACGATCGATATACTGTCATCATTTACAATGCTTTGATGCCACTACATTTTTATTGATGAATGAACAAACGCCCACATGGTCTTGTCCAGTTTGTAATAGAAAAATGGAATCTTGGGAGGAAATAGGTGTCGATGAATACTTTCGAGATATACTGAATTCGGTGTCTAACAATGTGGAATCTATACGAATAGAAGAAGGTGGAAAAATCAAAGTGATAGGACAAGATAATGATGAATCCGATACTGACGATGGCAACAATGACCGTTCAAATATTCATACCAACAACAATACACAAGTAAAAAAGGAAATCGATGACAGTAAAGATGCAACAACCTCAGTGGATTCTGTGACGATATTGGACGACGACACGGATATAGGAGAAGAGAATGATAGCGATGATATACCCTTAGCAAAACGACAAAAAATCACAATACAACGTCCAACCATACCTCCTCCTAAACAAAACCAGGTGATTGATCTTACTCTCGATAGTGATGACGAAGATGAAGTTAACAAAAATAATATCAGCAGCAACAACAACCACAATGGCAGTAGTGATTATAGCGACAACACTCTGATTGGAGATGAAGGACGTAATATGGCATCTATATCACCCTATCAACAATCAGTAACAACTGTGACAAGTCCATCTTCACCAAATACAACAAATGGATTGAATTCTTTACCAGATCCACCAAGAAATTATATACGAATACCATTATCATCTTTAGGCAAACAAACACCACAACATCCTCCATCATCTAGTCAGAATATGTTTACTTCCCCTTTGACTCCTAGTGATTATAGTCCAAATAGTTTAGTTTTACCACCATTACCCTCTACTGCCCCTCCTTCTCAATCATCATCAGATCCTTCATCATTTACTTCGAATTCATTAATGAAATCCTTTTTACACAAATAATAAACGCCCTACTTATTATACAAATCTTCAAAATAAAAAAGTGATCCATCTTGATTTCCGTATTTGGATAGACTAGTGATTCTAGAGTATGTCAATTTTATCACTGATTATGAATGATCATGCAATTCTGACTCAGATCCAAATCCCCTTCGTATTTCCTCACCTTCTCTCTCTTTTTTCTTCTTCTTCTTTTTGTCTCTCTATCTTCTTCTCTATCTAACCTTGATAGTTATCTTTTCTTTTAGTTTGTAGAATAAAAATACATTTGTTTATAAATACATTCGTTTATTTTTAAGCTAATAAGGAATTACCTGTTATCCTTGGTCAACATCTAGTCATTACATTGACTTACGTATACGTAAGCATATATATATATATATATATATTCAACCCTGTCTATCCTTATCATAATATTTATATCTTTTTTTTATTATTATTATTATTGTCTTGACATCATGAAGGTACAAGAAATAGCCACGTCTACATGGTGTCGCTTACTGACAACATCGGAAAGACAACGAACTTTGGACACAGCAGCAGCGAGAAAAAAAGTAGCCTATTCAGCACTTGTATGATCACGAAACTGTAGAATAGGTGCTTTTATGAAGTAATCTATGCCTCAGCGAATACATCATCATCCAAAAAAAAAAAAAAAATCCTGCAAACGCGAATCTTCACCGAAACAAGCAAACGAAAATATAATCAAAGGGATAGAACGATACGGCTCAACAAATGATCTAAAAAGGTGCGACTTTGCGTGATCTCATATGCTGGTCTGTCAAACGATCCAGACGATGTCCTGGAATTCTTGCGGTAAGGAAAAATAGAAGCAACACACAAGCTGATCTTTTTTTTTATATATATTATCATCTGTAGGGTGTGCCGTACAGTGAAAGCAGTAGTTATCGATCACGACATCGAGCGACTGGACCGTTATTCTTTGGTACACGGAAAAAAACTCAAGTTGCTCAAGTCGCGAAATGGATGCATAAAAAACTCAAAATAAATTACAACAACAAGTAATGGATCAAGAATACTTATTAGGTGATACTTTTATTTAGTTTCCCCACACAACCTTTGTTTTATTCGTATCATTGTCTTATTATTACTATCTTCTTTCAATTATATTTGTTTTTTTTCTTCCATACCACTCTCTCTCACTAACCAAATGAGATACTTGTGCAACTATATATGTCAACCATTATAAAAATTATAAATGAAGATATCTATATATCATATTTTTTTTTATTGAATCAAAAATTATAATAAAAAACTATTTACAACTATTGATCATGAAACAAGTCTTCTATTTTACCATTCAGTTTCTTATATCTATCACTATTACCTATATTTATTCTCTTTATCCACATGAATAAACTCTTCGGTTTCAAGTTTTATTCTCTGTTGTTTTGTCGTTCCTATGCTTAACAGAAATACATATTGGTTCCTGCTTCTTCCCTCTTCCTTCATTATAAATATTTCAAATAATATATACAGATATCTTTATTCACTATGATATATATTGTCTAAGGATAAAAAGAAAAAATAAACCACGCTTCACATGGAAAAAACCAGTAAATAACGAAATATAAATTCCCCCTTTTGTCACTTACCTTGTATGTCTTATGATAAAATGATGGAAGACTTTTTTTTTTTAAAAAAAAAAAAGACTAGTCAGTTGTATCACCTTAGTAATTGGTTGCATCACTTGGTAGTTGGTTAAAAAGACGTGATTGGAGTAAAATAATAAAAAAGTTTTATTAAACAAAGTTATAACTACCAAACTAAAGCTACAAGGTACAGAAAACAAGAGAAAGAAAAGAAAAAAAAGAAAAAAAGGGAAAAAAGGGATATAGAAAAAAAAATCACGGACTTCGAATACTAGTGTGGCCAATGAATGTTATGAGTTATTCGATTTCAGGTCTTGAAAAAGCATCACAAAGTTTATCTATTCAACATTAAGATCAAATCACATATGCTAAAATATGTATATTGGATTCAATAGTACAGCTGATTGGGAAAAAAAAAAATACATTGTCAATTTTGTCACACAAAAGGTCATTGCGCTAACACAAAAAAAAAAAAAAGAAAAAGTATCTAAAAAAGAAAAAAAAATGAATCCCGCTCTTTTTTCTCCTCCTTTTTCTTTTTCTTTTTTTTTTTTTTTCTCTTTACTATCTTCCCCCTTTTCTTTAATCTCTACAATGAATTATTACTGTAGGCGAATGATATGGTTATATAGTGTACTAGTCTATTTCATCAGTTACAACTCCATTCAAGCTCAAGTAACCAGTTTATCATCAAGAGCACAATCATTAGGTTTGACACAAACCTGGGCTTATCCATTCCCTAATACGACCATGGATACAGGCAGTACAGCATCTTCATTTATCACCCAAGGATGGAACAGAGCCTCGAATCAATTCTATGCTAGTCAAGATGTCTCATTTGTCAATGATCCTATTAATAATAACAGTACTCAAGTGATGCGTGTGGTTTATGGTATGGGGTCCTATGCACCATCAGGTACTAGAAGTAATCAAGGTAGTCAGGGCGGTACAGAATTCTTCTCAGCACCTTTTGGTAACAAATCTTATGACAGTGTCTTGGTTCGATATGATTTGGCCTTTGATAATTCTTTCCAGTGGGTTCAAGGTGGCAAGTTACCTGGTGTTTTCGGCGGTGTCCCCGGTTCTGGTTGTAGTGGTGGTAATGCTGCTGATGGTTCTAACTGTTTTTCAGTCAGATTGATGTGGCGGCAAAACGGTAATAAAAAAAAAAGATTTAGTGTATATTAACAATGTCTAGTTGGAACTAAGCATTTTTTTATTTTTATTTTTATTTTTTTTTATTTTTATTTTTATTTTTTTTTTATTTTTTATTTAAAGGTGCTGGTGAAGCTTATGCCTATATACCCAATACTGGTGATGTATGTAAACAAACAGGAGTGATGTGCAATGATCAATATGGTACATCCTTTTCTAGAGGGGTAATCCAATTTACTCAAAATAAATGGACAACCATGGAAATCTATGTCAAGATCAATAATGCTTCAAGTTCGAATGGTATCCTGACGGTCTGGCAAGATGGTAATATTGTAGTGAATCAACAACAACTTCAATATCGTACTTCCAATGCAATAGCCGTATCATCACTCTTCTTCAGTACATTCTTTGGTGGTGGCGATCCTTCTTATGCATCCCCTGTTGATACCTATACCTACTTTAAGAATATTCAATTTAGTGTTGGTAATCAAGTCGAACTGAGCAACAGTGGTGCTGAGCTCTCTTTCAAGTCTCCTATCTCTTGGATCTTTGTTGTAGCTTTAGTTACTCTTTCTATCCTTATCTAGATTATTATTACTTTGTTATATATTGACCTATTTATTCGTTTTTTTTTTTTTTATGTATTTATATATGTACGATGTACTTTTTGAAATAAACGAATTTTTACTTCCCGGAATATGTGTTGATCTTCAAATAATCATATGTGAAAACCTTCAATTCGAGCTATTTATACTCCATCGTTATATATCATCAACCATTATCCTGATTACAGATCATCCGCTATTACCATCATACTATTTATCTATCATCACCCATCATCCACTACACCATTATCCATCATCATCCATCTACGTCGTTGAAAGTCAACCATCATCGCTTTATTGATAAATCAATTTCAGTATGTCATGCATCTAACCACGGGCCATCTGTTTTCAAAAAAAAAAAAAAAAAAAAAAAAGAGTCTATATTGTATTGGATGTATGTTTTCTTTTATTGGATGGTAAAAAAAAGAGAGAAAGAGAGAAGAGTAAACAATAAACAGAGGAGAAGGAGTCAAAAAAAAAAAAAAAACAAAAGGACTATCAGTGGTGGGATAAAAAAAATGCGTATGTAATAAATATAAATATAAAAAGAAGACGAAGAGGGAATGTTTCTATTCTAAATTATTGTTGTTCAGGTACAATGACATAAGAAGGAGCATTGTAATATTTGGGATTGTTGTAAACGGATTCACCAACCTTCCAACCTTCCACATTCTTCATAATATCGGATTCACGAGCCTTGGCAGCTTCCGTACGACGATAAAGATCACGATCGGCTTCGGCTGTCAACAATGGTACTAGATGAATGCGAGACCAAAGATTTTCACGAGCAAGTTCCCTAAATAATAAAAAAAAAAAAAAAAGAAAAATAGAATGAATAATGTTCTTCTTGTCTCGTCCCGTGCGCGTTATCTATATCATTCATGTTGAGTGTTGATGGTAATATCATGATGTTCGTTGTTGTTATTACTAAAGCTGTTGTTGCATTTCATTGTTGTTGTTTGTTGTAATAAAACGTCTATATTGTATTCCCTTTTTTTCTTTTGCTTACTTTTTTTCAAGATTGCCTTGAGCTACCTTGTAAAAACCATAGGTACAGATGGCAGTGATACCGGCAAAGATAACAGCACCAGAAGGACCACGCTTAGGTAAATAACGACGGTATTTGACTTCAGCATAGCCTCCACTGGGGGGAAGGTCTTGACCGCCTCGTTGGGACATTGTTATATATGATGGATAAAAAAAAAAAAAAAAGAAAAAGAAAAATAAAAAAAAACCCAGTGTTGGATTCCTCCAAAAAAAAAACAAGTGACGTCTCTTACAATCAAGGAAAACCCAGTATGTGCTGTATTTGAAAAATAAAAAAAAAAAAGAATTGCCCTATAAAAGGCAATCATCGTTCTTGCTTTATTGAAGAGATGATCCTGATAGTTTTTAACGATTTTATGACTGGTGATTGATCGAAGATAAACGGATAGAATGAATGTCCAGTATGGCTGAATGTAGGAGTGATTTATTGTCTCGAGGTTGACGTATGATAACTGCCTCTTTCTTCATTATCTATCAGTATCATAAGTTATTTTTGTAAATCACATAAGCATGTAGATCATTAGAAGCTGTTACAACAAATCATTATATAAATATTGGAAGATTGAATCCAGTAAAGAGATATACGATGGACAATAAACACAACCGTATATACATTTTACAAAAAAAAAAAAAAAAGGTGATGGATTTATTAAATATATATATAAAGTACATGCTATATAGATAGGAGAAAGAGAGGAAATCTATTCTAATCCATAACGATATTGACCCCAAGGGAAATGAGTAAAGGAAGCAGCACCAGTGAATTCCACCACTGTTGATTCCAAAATACGTTCAAGGAAGGTGACATCTAAGAATCGACCAAATTTGTAACCAACATCATGGAACTGACCTGCTTGTTTGAATTGATAACGTCCAAAGAGTTGAATAGAAGGTGAATTTTCGGATGTGATACTAGCTGTAAAGATAAGAAAATGAGATTCACGTTGATCTTTTTTTTTTTTTTGTAGCTTACCAATCAAACTGCGTAATTTCATTTTTTCGGCGATAGCAATCATTTCTTCTAAAAGGATACGACCGAGTCCACGGCGATGATGATTTATATTAATATAGATGGAGATTTCTGCTGTCCTAGATATAATAAAAAAAAAAAAAAACATAAGGTTGATCCCTTCTATATTTATATACTTACAATACATAAGCAGGGTGAGGTCGATATTGTCCCAAGGAAGAATAAGCAATCACAGTATTGGTTTCCTTTTCTACAGCCACAATCACAGGGTATCCTTTGGCTTGACAATCCTTGAGCCAAGTTTGACGGTTTTCGAGAGTGACAGGATCGTATACGAATAAAGAAGTTGAATTGAGGACTCTTTCATTGTAAATGTCTAGTATTTGAGGTAGATCGGCTTCCGTGGCTTCACGAATGGTGTATAATTCCAAAGGATTAACTTTTTGGGACATGATCAGAATGAAAAGAGAAAGAGAAAGTGTGTGTATACGTGTTTAATAAGGAAGAGAAGGAAAGAAAAATAAGAGTGAGCCAGAAAAGAAAAGTAAAAAAAAAAAAAAAAAAAAAAAAAAAAAACCCTTTTATGTCGGAGAAGCAATAATTTGCTTTTCTTTTCCTCTTCAAACTTTTATTTCTCTTGCACACACACATAAATATGGAAGAACGAGCTGAAGAAGCACGACAAGCAGAAAATAGAGAATATAGAAAAAGTATACAACAAAATGACGATTTATTACGACGATCAACAACATTTACCGTCTATGAAAAGAAACTGGTGATTGGGTTTCTCATCATTCCATTTGCCATTGCAGGTGCTTTGATCCGAGTTGGTCTTCAACAATTGGAAACATACAATGGCGCTCCCGTATTCCCTCTCATATATGCGCAATGGCTTGGTTGTGTTATTATGGGCATAGTCACTATTCACAAACATTATCTCTTCTTTCTTTATCATCCAATACAAGCAGCATTGTCTTCCGGGCTCTGTGGCTCCATCACCACTTTCTCTTCTTGGCAACTAGCGATCTTTGAAGCATTTGCTAATACAGCTGGAGCCGATCATACACGTGGAAAGAACATTCTGGATGCCATCTCTCAATTGCTGGTCACGCTTGCTATGTCTTTCACTGGTTATCAGTTTGGTCATCATATCGGTATCTGGTTGGAACATCTTTTCTCATCACTACATAACACACAGGAAACAATAGATAAGACGCCTGCTCCTCATATCGTCTCTTGTGGTTTCTCTTCTGATCGACTTGATGGCCGGGATTACCTGATCATCACCTTGGGTGGACTATGTTGGCTTGGTGTAGTATTAGCGGCTATCTTTGCACCAATGTCAGGAAAACAATTAGCATTGACTTGTGTATTCGCACCAGTGGGTGCCTTGATGCGTTGGTATCTCTCTTTTTACAATGCTGTTCGGTTGGATTTCTATGTTGGCACATTCTCTGCCAATCTTTTGGGTACCCTTTTTCTGGCTGTTCTTTCCTTGTTACGTTCTGGCATTCCTATGACATCCATTTCTTGTTTTGTTCTTGGTGCTTTAGCGGATGGACTATGTGGTAAAAATAAAAAATAAAAAAAAAAAAATAAAAATAAAAAAAAAGATAGAACAATGATGTTGACTATATGATGATTTTTTTTTTCTCTTCTTCGTCTATGATTGTTATTAGGCTGTTTGACAACCATTTCTACCTTTGTGGTAAGTTTCCTCCTTCATATGCAATCTTCAACGCTTCGACCATCTCTTATTCATTACTTTTTTTTTTGTGACGAAATAGGTTGAACTGACTATTTTACCTAATCGACAATCCTACATCTATGGTGCAACATCCATTGTTCTAGGTCAATGTCTCATGTTCCTTGTGTTTGGATGTTATATTTGGACTCACGGTGTCAATCCTACTTGTTAACTAATAAAATTCCCTTCCTACTGATACCACTTTTGTAGATAGTTTACTAGATAGATATAATCTTATAATTTATTAATAAATGTATGATGATGATGATGATGATGATGATGGGATGATGTGTGATCGGAATGATGAGCATATTGACAAACATATCAATTGATATTCAATAGGACTTGAAGGATATATAAGGTTCTATAATACAAAATATCTACATACTAAACTATTGTACTTTTCTTTTTTTCATTAAAAAATCTAGCTGTTTTCCCCATTGCTTTGCCAAAATTGTCGCAATGTTCTATACTGCCTCCAATCCATCCAGGTAATTTCTTTGATATCCGAGGAGAAGCATATCTTTTGTCCAGTAACACAATAGAAGCATAATCCCCCTTGTGACGAATGGCCCGCCCTACAAAAAAAAAAAAAAAAAAAAAAAAAAAAAAAAAAAAAAAAAAAAAAAAAAAAAAAAAAGGAGAGAAAAATCAATATATGAGATGAAAATAAACTTGAAGATCGATAGATATTTCTTTACCAATGGATTGATTGACTCCACGCATACAGAGATTTTCATAATATTCTTGACCCATATTGTTAGATTTCTCCCCATTGGATGGCTACATTATCACAAATAAATAAAAGATGGTATGAGTCTTTCAAGAAAGTAAATTTTTTTTTTCTTTCAGTCAATCTTTACCACATGACTATCGGCATATTTGATCTTTTCATTCAATTCTACAGAGAATCGGTTCGGAAAAGGTAATCCAACCATCACTACACAACTGGAAAAAAAAAGAGTTTTCAATTATGATAGAATATAATTTGTTTTATCATTCACTATTAATTTACCGGCCAAGACGATCAGAAAAGTTGATTCCTTCTGACATTTTTCCATTGACGACAGATAAAAGGATGGCACCAGTGGTTTGATTTCGAGCCTAAAGATAGACCAATGATTAGATCCTGAAAATATGATCTATTCGATTTTTTTTTCTTATTTATTGTATTTTACCGTCTGTGATTCTATATGCAAAGAGTAATCGCGTAAAGTTGAATCCACCTTGTTGCTTTCCCGAGGTTCTTTGAAAACCTAATATAAAGTCAATAATGAAAGAGAGAGAGAGAAAATGAAAGTATTAGTATATGATTATTTTGATTTAGGGAATTTATCTACCTTCTTCTTTTTGTTCAATCTTTCCAGAATATTGCCACTTTCAACTGTATTCCATCTTCGGTATACAGTATCAAGATAAGTGAAACTAGCAAAAAAACATACCAATCCATCAGGTACAACATTACAAAGATTCACCAAACATCTTCCAACTTCATCAATCTATAGAACAAAACATGGAAAAATTAATTAGCATACTTTGATTATCTCCAATTCATTCATAGTTGCAACGGGAATCATTACCAATTGAGTGTCTTCACGATTTGCATAATTGAATAGCATTGATTTGCCAGTAGGTCCTTGATCGATAGTCATAGTTAACAAGTTGTCGGATGGAATAATATGTCCACATGAGAAGTGATGAATTTTGTCCACAGGTATAGATGGGAATAATCCTCTTGTAAAGTCGGAGACCTTCACCAATAACACAGTACATATATAAGAAGTATATCATCATAGTCAGTGTATCAATGCTATATTCTTTTTCCTTCTTTTTTTTTTTTTTTTTTTTTGAACCTACCGGCTCCATAGTACCACCTGCCAAAATGATACTTCTCGCTTCATCCACAATAGGTTTGAAGACATCAGCTGGATTTAATAACATATACTTGATTTGCGGTTCGGTAGAAGAAGAATCATTACCACTAGTACCAAAAGTAATCACGATACGACCATCATTATCTGGGTGAGTAAGACACATCATAAACGATTCCACTTGATGAAGAGTAGGTATTGATGATGATGAAGTTTTTTGAGCCAGAAGAGGTGGTAGTATAGCCTTGGGATTGGAAACAAGTTGTTTTTGGTAAAGTTCTTGTTGCTGTTCGCGTACCTTATCATAAAATCCATTCAATTTCTTTGCTAGTTGACTTGATTCCAAATACTTTTGTAGTTTGAAGAGGTTAAAATGATCAATGCCAGTGAGGTGTACAAAATCGTTTACTGTCAAAACGGTATCCTTCTTGTCTTTACTTTCTAAAACCTTGACAAATGCTTTCAGAATGGTGATCATTTGTTTGATATATATGGTGTTTTTGCCGAGTAATCGAGACAAGTATTTTTCGATGTACATTCTTATCTGTGATAACGCCAGTAAAAGTTGGCTAAGACTGATTGTAACCGTATGTATTGATGAGATGGTCTCCATAAGGTTGTGTGCTTCGTCAATGATAATAATATTGCCTTTGAGAGAGATACCAAGACTTTCGCGGGTATTTGCATGGAGTAAATGTTGATAAGGTAAAACCACAAGCTATAGATAAATAAAATGAATAAGTTCCTTCCTATTACTTTGATATTATGCCATAATGATTGATTTACCTGCGCTGGTTTTGTCGTTTGTCGAGTGCCATAGTATGGGCAGATATGAAGCTCTTTGCCTTTCTTGCACAGGTCTTCAATATCTTGCACTTGAGCCTACAATTTTAAGAAAAAATTATGAATCCTCTGCTCGCCTTTTATTCTTTCATCTATTCCATTACCAATGCATGTTCCTGAAATGATTGCCATTGACCCTTTTCTTTCATTAATGGTAAGTAAGAACACCTTTCGGATTCCGTACCTATAAAAAGTAATGGAAAAAAAAAGAAATGTTCAATTAATGACATCAATCAAAAACGTTATCATTTTTTTTATTACCTTTCTTCTGAAGATCCAGACAAGCCTCGTTAATCCTGTGTACTCCACCGAGTGATCGTACCTTTTCATTGATGCAAAGATTTTTTCGAGATCCAAGAGCGACAATCCATATATGTTCAGCGTATTTTGTCTTACCAATTTCATGAATGAACTGAGATAGTTGCGAGTGTGTTCGTGAAGCATAAAATATCTATATCAGAATGGTGATCAGTGTATATTCTTTTTTCTTTATCCCACCTTATTCGACAATCATTTCCTTTTTACCTTGCGTTGTTCAAAGTCATCTTCATCGTTCGCACCATTCAATCCATTTGCCAATTCCTTTTGTTCAGATGCGTCTAGACTCTTTTCATTTAAACTAAATTTTAATACATAAACATGTATCATCAATATTCAAGTATTCTTTTTTGATTTTGGTCATACGACGTTACCTTGCAAGCAGATTAAGTACTTCTTTTGATAAATTACTGTTTGAAGAACCCACGGGAAACGTTTTGCGTCGTTGTCCATTTCTACTACCACCAAATTCATCATCCTCACTATCATAATCATCCAAGAGATATTTGTCGTCGTTATCGTCGCTGCTGTTGCTACTCTTTGACTAATAATGGAAAAGATAGGAGAGGTCAGGGTTTTAGATTGGATCCATCTTTTTTTCCAACAACAAAAAGTATATTGATATGCCTGGATTCTTTTTTCTAGATACCTTTTTAAATTTTTTCTGAATGAAAGAATTATCCAATTCTGTTTTTCTTTGATATAACGATGCCGTTTTTTCGTACAAGCGGACATGATCAATACGTCGTTGTAGATCTTGCTTCTTCTCCAGTTGTCGTTGATGCTGGTGTTGCTTCTTATCTTCCACTACAAATGATCGAAGCCAATCTGGTTCGTTGTCGTCGTCTAAATGTATTAAAAATGAAAACAAAGAATGCAAGTTAGTTTGGCAATCAATTATTTATGTCCATTGGAATAGATATTACTTGCCTTTTTGTGATGTCGTTGTACAAGTAGTCATTTCAGTTGTTGTATCCAATAACTGATCAGCATGATCAGTCAGCCATTGTAAGGAACCACAGATCAAACTAAGAGATTTTCCCTAAAGAAAATAAAGTCAACGAATAAAATGGGTTTTCAGTAACATATTCCTAGCCATAAGGAAGAGGTTTTTTTTTAACAGTTACCGTTCCCGTTGGACTTTCAAATATCCCGATCTTGCTTTCAGACAGAACATCATACAAGGCCTTCATAAAGTCTTTCTGAATATCATAAGGTTCATAAGGAAACCCGAAGTTATCATTCGACATGGCGAGAAGCAAAAGAGAACGAGAAAAAAAAAAAAGAAACACGGTTGACTTTCAGACGCGCCCTTATTTCTTCTTTTGTTCTAGTGGATGATTTGATATCCCGCTTTTATTTTATGGGATTTACATACAATAAAAATACAAACAGTTTATTAAATATACATATGAAGTAAAAATTTCCATTGAGAATGAGAAGAAAACATAAAACTATATACTAAAATTGTGAATCGGTAACCATGTGTCGTTTTGCAGTTGTCGTGATATATCCAAAGTAGCTTGTAGTTCCTCCATAAGTCTAGTCTGGCTACCTGTTTGATACTGTTTTCGATAAAGTGTTTGCAGTGATGCCAATTTATCATCAAGTTGTTGTTGGATTTGATAAGAAGATGTTGTATCTAGAAGATCATTTCAATCATCACATAAATAAAAAAAAAAATCATCGTTAGCATTGAATAACATTGCTTTTCGTCTTCATTCACTTACGTTGCTTTTGAAGTTCATCATCCTTTTCTTCTAGAATATATGGTTGCAATCTTGATAATAGAGATGCCTCTATCTGGACCAAAACAAGCGGGTTGATACATTGTATCTGGATAATAACATACAAATCCTCTTTGATTGGACCAGGGACTATTAAAAAAATATACAAAAAAAAAAGAAGAATAGTATCAGTTAGAACTCTTGTCATTTTCTTTTCTTTCATCCTACCTTTGGAGAGTGTGATAGCAACAGGGTAAGTGGGATGTGTCGCTAAGGTGAAATAGGCGCTCTCAGCATTGTCTATGATTCTGCAAATATCTTCTCTAAAAAAGAGAGATAAAAAAAAACGTGATTAATAATTGTTTGCTGCTTGCTTATATTTAAAAAAGAAAGGATGGTTTATCACAACTATACCTTGATTTTCCTTCAGAAAGTAATGTCATCAGTATTGATCTGTACAAGTCATCGTTATTTTCTGGTGTCACGAAACGTAATTGCACAGTTGAATGTTCTAGGTAAATTGTGTCTAGTGGGATCTAAAGAATGAGAAGAATAATAATATCAATTACAGCGTCATAACATCTTAATATATTTTCCTACTTTATCATTCAGTACATATAAATTGCCTGATCTTGATTCCTTCAACTTCGATTGCATGTATTTTGTTACATCCTTAATACTACTTTGCTTCAATTTTTTCAGTCTAAAACTTGAAAGTGGCGTTGCAAAATGTAAATGATCTAATGTCGTAAAGGATACATGGAAAGTAATACCACTATCTATATATTCAAAAAGGAAAAGTAGGTTAATTTATTGATCGACCTTTTTTTTTTTTTTTTTTGGTTGACTTACTAGTGGCATTGCTACTTGATGGAAGATATTCCAGGAATGGTACATTTTCATCTTCATCCAATTTTTCAAGTGATCCCATGTTCATAGTCAGACTTGTATTTACGTTCAATGGTAGAATACAATGACGGGCATCCAATTCTATATCACGTTCCCTAGAGAGTAAACAGACGCACTGATTTAGTATCCATTATAAAAATCATGTTATGTCATCTACATTACCATATTTGTATGATACCGCCCACATTATCTTCCTCGTTTTCCATTGTATCAAGAGGTATATAGAATGATTTTCCAAGACTATATTCAGATGTACCAGAAGATTGCGCGTTGGATTCTTCCATAAGAGTAGGTTGATGACATATATCGATGTTCACTATAGGATAAATAAATGATATTAAATCCAGTACTGAGTCACTCATATGACGGTGATGATTATGAAAAAAGGAGGAAAACTTACATTGCCAACTAGTCCAATTTAAAAGTAATTTTGTTCGTATCTGTACACGAAGGAAGAGTTGTTGATGACCTGTAAAAGGGGCAGACCTTACCAAAGGCTGGATATCCAAATCAAAATCTTCACAACTGCCATGATTTTTTTTCTTTTTCAAATTCGAATTCTGTAAAGTATATAGAGTCTTATTCATCAACATCAATTGTTGATTGATTTGCTAAATAGAAAAAAAAACAGTGAATATTACGTCTCTATTGCATATATGTACATATGTGACTTATTTTGGTTACCTCGTGATATGCATCCAAGATATTTTGATTTGTTTCCATTTGAGATAATTCAGTTAACGTGTTTTCAATAGCTTTTTTCAACTCATCGGAGCTGCGAGTGATTGTGATTGGGGAAGAACTAAGGCATAAAACAAGACTAAGTGTCAGTAATACTTTATTTTGAATGTTGATGCAGTGTTACTTACTCGAAATCAACTTGCACACTAGATAAATTTCCATTTTTGGATATAGCTTGATAGGTAAGGATGTTCTGGTGTTGCTTGACAGATTGTAGTTGGTATATATCGTTTGGGGATTGAAGAAGGATAAGATCCATTGTGACATCTACGCTCATAATTCAACATCAATATAATATCCAATTCATTCTATTTTTTTGTTTTCATACCTTGTTTTTTTGGTGGACCTTTGGTTATTGTTTGAGTAAAGTTCACCTTGTATAAAGAGTTATTTGTACAAAAAACTAGTGCTGAGCATGTTCCCTAAAGAAGAAAAAAAAAAGGTACGGATTAATAAAAGAGTAACATCAAGAACCACATGTAGGCACTTACCTTAATAAACGATATACTTATCACTGATGAAGGTAATGTGAACTCTTTAAACAGAATAATCTGTCGAGCATCTTCTAAAGCTGTCTTGATATAAATTTGAATTGTACCTTTCGACCTAAATTTATAACCATATTAGTATCAAAGAAAATATTAAAGCCTTTTTTTTTTTCTTTTGATATAACTTACCCAGCAACTATGAGCGTATCCTTGGCTCTAATATAATCAGCAGTAGCAACATTAGTAGTAGAAGTAAGATGACAAGCATGGATACCAGCGATGGATTCAAACTAAAATTTATTGACCAAAAATAGAAAAAGAAAAATTAATAAATATATATACACTTAGATATATACAATAACCTTACCTGTAGTTGTAATATCATTGCTGTATCATTCAATACATCACGACATGGTACAAAGAAGATACATCCATTTTCAAAACCAAGAAAAACACCATTTTGCCTAAAAAGAAAAAGAATCAATATTCGTATTTTATAATTTTTTTTTCTAGTCATACCAGTTAATGCCAAAGTGATCAGCAAATACAGGGTCCAATTCAGTAACAAGGTCATTTCCAAAATCAACATAGATGAAACAAGTAGGTTTACTAATTGATAATGAGCGACCGAGTTGTTGGGGTAGAGCTATTGTTTCAGGATGTACCGAGTCAAAGTCGTAAATATAGATGCAATCAGATGCCGTTGAAAATGCATAAAAAGTAGTATCATTCACGTGTTGTACCCAGTCCACTTCACCTTTTGTTTGAAATAACTGTTGTTGATTACTATTGGTATCTAATTTTGGTTTCTTTGTAACATGCCTAGTTTTTATTAAAAAAAAAAAAAGAAATAGTAACTTTCAATATAATATAATATATATATTTGTTATATAATGAGTTTATTCTTACATTGTTGTCACGTCTTGCTTGGTTTTTTTGGTGCTGTAATAATTGATAAGAGGTTCATAAAGCCAAACGATATGATTTGAAGTCACTACTACCAATTTCCCTTGAGAGTTAGGATAAAGTACCATCGTCATTACTGGATCAATATTGAATGTTTTTGTCTGTAATGTAAAAAAAAAAAAAAAAAAAAAATAGTTAGTATTAGGATCTAACTTAAATGTCAAACGATACCTCCTGTAACGTGGCATCGTGCCCAAAGAAGTAACATTGTTTCGTGTCTTGGTAATAAACCAAAGTAAGTTCATATTGTTCAATATAATATAGTTGAGAAGGTATACAAGACAATTGATAATTACCAATAGTTTTGGTAGGTAATAGATGCATGACAAAAGATCAATTTTATATATCTTTTTTTTTAAAGAAAAAAGAAAAAAAAAAAAGTAAAAATCTTATCAGCCCGCCTACGATTTTTTTTTTTTCAATGCATGTGTATAGCACACTCTTATACACACACGAAAAAACAATAATTTTAAACTCCCTTCTGTTACTTTTTCGTTCCTTTTTTTTCCCTTTTTTAAACTATTCTATTTTTTTTTTTTCTCTCTTTCCCTTTTTTTTTTCTCTCTCTCTCTTTTATTCCTCTTTCTTATTTTGTTTTACTGTTTTCTTTTTTTTTTTTTATTTTTTATTTTTTTTGAACAAACCATTGTTTTCAAAATATCCTCCATATGAAGTTTGTCGCACCTTTTTGCGGAAACTCCTTGCGACGAGTAAGTAAAAAAGAATAAATCCATCACTCTTGTTATTAAATTATTTATTTTATTGATATATTTAGAATGACCAACCCGTACTAGAACCTGATGCATGTATACGAGAAACGTAAGTTAAAGTCTTTAATAATAATAATAATAAACTGATCTCTTTACTATTTTTAGGGTAATGGATGCTGTCTTACCGTTGACCTTTTTACTTTTCTCCTTAACTTGGAATACCTGGCGTCATTGCAAGTCTCGTCGATTCACTGCTGTTGATTCTGATTATCTACGTCTACCTACAACTCAATCGTCTTTTTTATTACAAAGGATCTTGTTTATGCTCGTATTCGTTTTATTCGAAATCAGTACTTGGGCTTTCCTGTTTGCCTGGCGCCTGGAAAGTGTTATCTTGGATCAAGCCACCGATAATCACAGTACAGCTCTTTATCAAGTCATCGATCCCAGTCTAGCCATTATACCAAGAGTAAGTTTTCTTTTTTTTTTTAAAAAAAAAAAGAAAAAAAATTATTATTATTATTAACTTTATGCTAATTAAACCCATGAAAGATTTATATACTTATACTAGTGCTCAAATCATTTACAACACCATCTGATCCTCTATCACCTTCCAAGTTCACCTTATACAATTATCACTTTTTATTATTTTTTTCTATGGCTATTATCTCCTCCTTTCTACGGTGTTTCTCTTACTTTGTTATCACACATGGCGATCACTGGGTAACATCTTGGACTATAGAGACATCATTTGCTGTAACGAATCTGGTGATCAATTTGATTTTATGGGCCACAAGTGCTACGGCGCCGTCTGAACTGGATCAGGGGGAACTTTTGGATTTTGATGATACGGATGATGGTGTCATGGTACTTCTTGATGGTCGAGTGGTACGAAATGTAAGTTAACTAAAAAAAAAAAAAAATCTTGCCACATTGACCAAAATCGATCATTTTTTTTTCTCATTTACTCTGATTGTTATTTTTTAGGGCCGCATACTTAGTCTCGAAGCAAATGCATCCGTTTTATCCTGCATCACTTTTCGTTGGATGAATTCTCTTCTGCATGATAAAACCAACAAACAACCCCTGACTTCTGATCAATTATGGTCTCTACCACTTCGATTACGATCTCAAGAAAATGACAAACATTTTCGTGCCGTCTCTAATTCGATTTTATTATCATCAATGACAACAACTACAACAACTACAACTGGAACATTATCTTCCTCTTCCTCTTCTTCTCTGTTATCATCATCAACATCACCTTCTTGGTCACTAGCGTATCAAATCTATCGTTCGAATCAACAGGCTGTTATGCTACAATTTGTAACTGCCATTACTGCTGTTCTATTTCATTACGCCAACCCCTATTTCCTACGACGACTTTTACAATATATTCAAGATCCACAGGATCAACCTTATTATACTGGTTACCTTTACTGTTTTGCCATTTTTGGATCAAGCATTCTTAGTACCCTTGTGGCGTCTCAAACTTTACTATGGGGTAGACGCTGGCATGTCTCCTTGACCAATATGCTCGACTCCTCTATTTATGCTCATACCTTGAAGATGCCTCATTATGGAAAACAAGGGATAGATGGGACAACACTGGAATCAGATCGACATGATACAAATGTTCGACTACAACATGATGCGAAATTGATGAATACGGATGTCGAACGTCTAGCGGAATTGGCATCTCATTTGCATGTAAGTTTAAATAGAAAACAAGGACAAGAAATACTTTTGTTATTGATATACATATTATTATTAATATTATATACATATAGATCTTCTATACTTGTCCTTTGGAAATTTCTGCTGGTATTATTTTTCTTTATCATATTCTTGGTAATTCGTTTTTTGTTGGCTTGGTGGTGATGACTGTAACATTACCTGTGACCCATTTTATTAGTCGGAAGTTGGCTCGAATACAAAAACGGCTGGCTGAAGCAAAATCATGGCGAATTCAATTACTACGTGGATTCTGTGAAGGGATCCGAACTACCAAATTTTTGGCTTGGGAACGAAAATGGGAACAGATGATTATGGTAACCAAGGAAAAAAAAAAAAAAGAAAAAGTTAAAGATGGTTTGTCTTTCATCACCTTACTGATTTTACTTTTTGAAAACGTTAGACTGCCCGCGGTGAAGAGCTTGTTCAATTAATCAAATTGTATAGTCAAAATGCAATTCTGGGTTTGATATGGTTTGCCACACCTATTTTCGTTACCACCATCTCTTTTGCTTGGTATACTTTAGTTCAAGGAAACAAGTTGGATGCAAGGTAAGAGAAATAAAAAAAAAAGAAAAACGAAAAAAAAGTGGATGGCTAAATATGATCTATTTCTTTGTTGCTTTTTTTTTTTCTTCAGTACTGCCTTTGTTAGCGTTGTTCTTTTTGGTATGTTACGGGATCCTCTTAATATTATGCCTCAAGCATTTATGGCTTACCACGACTCCAGATCCAGTCTTGATAGAATTTATTCCTTCCTGAACTTTACAGAACATTGGAACCAAAACAACAACAGCAATAACAACACCAACAGCAACAACAATGACAATAACAATAACAATAATTCAATGACTAGGTCTCTTTCTTCACTCTATAGTATTCAGCACAGGTCATATGAGGAACAAGTCAAAGTTGGGTTTATAGGTGGAATCATCAAATCGGGTCCAGATCCAAGACAATTTCATCATCGTCATCATCATCATCATATACTCGATATAGTAACGACAGCAACGACTAGAACGAGCAACAACAACAACGATGCCAGTACACCCGCTACAATGGTTGTTCCGACATTTGATTTTCCACCGGGAGAACTTTCCGTGATTACAGGCTCAGCATCCAGTGGAAAAACACGACTTATTTATTCTCTACTCGGTGAAGATGAGACATCTTTTGATGGGCAGGCTATTTTACCGTCTCGATTTTTGGCAACACCACGTGCTCATTTAATCCAAGATCCTCATTATCCTGGATTAGCCTTGCTCAAAGTGGCTTATGTTTCTCAAATTCCTTGGTTGGAAACTGGTACTATTAGAACCAATATTCTTTTTATGGAACCTTGGGATGATGCACGTTATCGATCAGTACTTTATCAGTGTGATTTGATCAAAGATTTATCTCAATTGGAAAATGGTGATTTAACTACTGTTGGAGAAAATGGGACTACTTTATCTGGTAAATACTATCCAATAATTAAATATAATACTGACGTTTTTTTTTTTTTTTTGACTTATGTTGAAATAGATGTATTGAAAGGAAAGATATCATTAGCTCGTGCAATGTTTTCTAAAGCCAAGACGGTGATCATTGATGATATATTCTCAAATCTGGATATGTCCATGTCCAACCTTCTATTGGAAAGATGTACTTTGCATGATGGTGGATCTGCAAATTTGATGAAAGGTCGAACATTGATTATAGCTACACGTTGCGATCTTGGATTATGGGCACAACCAGCGAAATTAGTGATATCAATGTCAACATCAGCAGCTGCTGTGAAAATACGCATTGTGGATCAAGAACAATATATCAAGGCAATGATGATTAAGCAGGATAACAACAAGGAACTTGATAATCTACAGAAGAAGGAACTCAAACAACATTTTATGGATGATGGCGATCGTCGTGGTACGGATACATTGCTGGAAGGTACAAGCAGCAGTAGCAGCAGTAGAATGGTAATGGATGAAGATTATTTTGACGAAGGATCAGTGATGCGTGATTCGATATTGGAAACAGATGATGAATCGCAACAACATGGGACAAGATCAAGAGATTTGGCATATGCAACCTATTTTACAGCATGTGGTGGATGGTTCTTTTGGTTATCAGCGGTATCTTTGACAGTATTGACAAGATTATCTTCTTTAGGTGAAAGCTATTGGCTAAAGGAAGGTAACACGTGCCAAACTTTCAAGAACTAAAAGGAAAAAAGGAAAAGATGGGGTAGACTAATCTAAATCATCATCATTTTTTTTTTTTTACCAATAGGTATGGTCAACTTCATCATTTCATTCACCAAGCATAATTCAATTCAACATCAAAGGATTGGATTCATTGACGGTACAACAATTTATTCTCATATACCTTGGACTTAGCTTTACAACTATTGTATTCAATTTCATCCGAACTATGATTCAATATCGAGGATCTTTACGGGCATCACACCGCCTATTTCTTGGATTATTACAATCAGTCAGTCGTGCGCCTTTACAATTCTTTGAAACAGCATCATCTACCAAAGATATCATGTTACGATTTGGGAAGGATATGGAAACAATTGATACCAATCTGGGACTACACATCAATTTTTTACTTCAAACAGTGGTTGGCATAGTGGGTATTGTGGTGACGATAGGGATCATTATACCTCAATTTTTCATTGCAATAGCCATTGCTTGTCTCTTTTACTGCTTATATGGTGCAACTTATATTGATGTTTCTCATCGACTTAAAAAATTGGATACAGATACAAGACCTTTAGTATACAATTTATATATGGACACGTTGACTGGATTGGTGACTATCAGGGCCTATGGCAAGCAACAACAAATGATGAAAAAAATGTATCAATTACTAGATGATACAATGCGACCTTTTTACTTTTTATGGACAACTAATAGGTAAACAAAAATTATATATATATATACTTCTATTGTATGGATGACTTGATTTTTTTTTTTTTTTTTTGATAGATGGTTGTTTGTACGTGTAGAATTCATTGGTGCATCACTATGTCTCTTTCTTGGATTGATCTTAGTTTACAAAATGGAACAATTGGATGCAGGGTTGGCTGGCATTGTACTGACATTAGCATCCAGTCTTTTAGAATATATCTATTGGATGATGAGACAATCAACAGCAGTTGGTATGCATTTTGATGCTGTGCAACATATCAATGAATATATGGATATGCCTCAAGAACCACCAGGTGTATTAGATGGATCACGACCTCCTGCAGCGGTAAGAATGGAAATGATTGGATGAAATTTTGGGAGAAAAAATTTCTCACTTTTTTTTTGTTCATTAGTGGCCAACATCAGCGGCAATTCAAGTACGTGATTTGATGATTGGTAGTACGGAAGAATGTATCTTGAAACACGTGTCCTTTACTGTGCTTCCTGGTGAAAAGATGGCCTTGGTAGGTGGCGGTGAACGAAACGCGTTTCTTCTTTGTCTATTTCGATTCCTTGATCCTTTACGTGGCTTTATCAAGGTGGATGGTGTGAACATTGCTTGGGTAACCAAAAAAAAAAAAAAAATTATACATAAATGAATATTTTCGATTTCCGACCAACATTTCATTTAGATTGGAGTAGAAGACCTTCGTTCAAGAATCACGTTTATTTCTAAAAATTGTGATTTTATCGGTGACACAGTAAGTAACAAAAAAAAAAAAGAATATATTGATTAAAACGATTTCTTTTTAGGTACGTAGTAATTTGGATCCATTTGGAGAATATGATGATTATGAATTATGGCAAGCACTTTATCGAGTTCATTTGGCAAGTCCAGAAGATGGATTAAATGAAGGAATGATTTATGATTTGGATATGGTGATCCGTCAGAACAAAATGATGTTTTCGACTGGTGATAAACAACTATTGGCTATGGCTCGTGCTTTTTTACGTGATGCTGTCAAACTTGTGGTGATTGAAGAGGCGAGTGAAGATCATCTTAAAATAGCACGTATCATCACGGAAGAATTGATGGATTCTGTAAGTTTATTATGTTATTCATTACTATTATTGACTCATTTTATTTCATTTAGACTGTACTTTTGATTGCTCATGGTTTAGATCATGCATTGGAATATGATCGAGTAAATAATTAAAAAAAAAACGTGATTTTTCAAAAAAATGAGGAAATAATGTTTTATTATTATTATTATTATTATTATTATTAGGTGATTGTCTTTGATGAAGGTGAATTAGTTGAAATTGGAAGACCTATGGAACTTTTAAAAGACACCAATAGTAGATTACATATGTTCAAATAATCTTTTATTTTTTTTTTCATATCTATTATATACAAATCTATATTTTATTTTTATTTTTTTTAGATTAATAAAAAATTTCTTTTAAAAAATTTTACATGAAATTTCATCTCTATTTTGGTAATAAAATGTGGGTGTGTGAATCTCCACCAATGGTGTACCCATCTTTTTTTTATTTTTTTATGAAAAAAAGGTCAAACGTGGGTACATATCGGAAAAAGGGGGGGGGTGAAGGAGGTTAAGAGACCGAAAAATGGTTGAGGATCAGCAATACATCATTTTTAGCCAATGAAACGAATGAATGGGCGTGGCATCATCTTTTAAAGAAAAGTCGACCAAGATATTCAGGGAGCGTGAATAGAGTAACAAACCTAACAGGCACGGTGTTTAAATTCTCAGTCTGGAACCTATTCTTGGAATATAAAAATGACCAAGGTTACTTTTTTTTTTTTCTTTCTTTCCTTCTTTTTATACTTTATACTTTATACTTCTTTGTTGATTTTTTATTTTATTTTATTTTTTCAACAATATATAATTTTTATTTTTACATATACAAATAGACAACAACAATAATAATAATAATGAGCGATTTACAATGGTGTACTACTTGTGATAAGGCTATTCAAGCTTATTCGGTAAGTTTGCATAAGTCCCGCTTTATTATTATTATTTCTTCAAAACTAATATTTCTTTTTTTTATTATTATTATTATTAGAATTCATTATATTGTTCAGAAGAATGTCTTCGTCAAGATGCTATCAATCACCACCCTATGCTTGGTTATGATTTTGCCGAATTCAAGGATTTCCCTCGACGAACAAGTTTGTCTCCATCTATGATCACTTTATCTCCAGCATTATCTACTACATCCACCATGTCTGCCGTTTCTCCTACATTGTCTCCTTTGCCAAGTACATTTGCTCTTTCTCATCCAAAGCATTCATCTGTATACCCATCCTCACTATCAGATGATGTCTTACTTCTTGAATCCAATGAGAACAAGACATCAAATAATAATAGTAGTAGGACCACAGCATCTCAACTTCAACTCAAGTCTCATCAAAGTATCTTCTTCGTATGATCCTTATTTTATCTATCATTTATCATTGTCTATACTTTAGTTCCATCTATATCCCTTTTTTATTATTATTACACATCTTCATCTTCATGCCTCTCTTCCTTATGTATATACACAAAAAAAAAACTTCATTTTATGATGTCCTCCACTTTTATCTTCAATAAACAAATAAATACGATGGATGATTCTGATAATGCATTATCAGTAAAGATACCCCATTCTTTTATATCACCTACATGATTGGTCTACTTTTTTTTTGTTTGTTTATTTGTTCCATGTACATATAAAAATGTCAAAGCTCTCAAGTGGGAAAAAAAAAAAGAAAAATCTTAATCGTCTAGCCCATTTACACTTTAAGTTACTGTCACCATATTTTCTAGAATCATGCTTTAAGGCCATAGTCTGGATGACCCACAAAAAAAAAAAAGATGATGTCAATTTTCAACCGGCATCTCAAAGTTACCCCTTAACTATTTTTTGACACAAAACTATTTTAGTATCCTGTACAAAGAAAACGTTTTCCCTTTTTTTTTTTTTTTTTTTTGAACCGGAGCATCAAAATAATGCCAACAACAAAACGTTTATTATGATTGGAGGGGAATGTATGTACAAACAAGGGTGGAATAGCATAAAAGATATGTATTTCAACACTAATATACTAAAAAAAAATAATAAGCAGAATAAAAAAAAATATATATATTATTCGGTAACTAAAGAAGACTTGGTTGGAGTCATAGGGACTAAAAGAAGATCATGAGAAAAAGAAGAATCCGGTAAGATTGATACATCATCTTCATTGTCTTTTTGATCTAAACGAGGAGGGTCACACGGTTCAAAACAGGTTTGCCAAATTTCCATGGTTTCCTTGTTAGCCACTTGAATATATAAATCATACCATCCTTGACCATGGATACGTAAGATATAATTGCCTTCATCTTGTTCCAAGGATGTTCTAGAATATCCCATCACCGTGCCATGAGATTTATGATGTGCGAAATGCGATACATAGCCAAGCCAAGGAAATACCATAATCCGCTGCATTTGCCACTGTGCCAAATAAGGAAAGTACCGAAACACCTTCCGCACAGGCATTTCACCCTATCACAAAAAAAAATAAGGTAAATAAACAAATAATCACAAAAAAAAAAACAGACTATTCCCTTTTTTTTTTTTTTTTTACCTCTTGAATCATTTGTAAATGCTTATATTGATCTAATTCATTATCTCCTTGTTGTTGTTTTGTGAGTCGTCTTCTTCCGGATGAACTTGATGTTGTTGTCGTGTCACCTGAACAGGAACCATCCGTATCCGGCATAGGCTTTAAAAAGGAAGGTTGATGATCCATACTATGAGAGTTTTGTTGACGACTACTGGAAGGACTAGTTTTTTTGTCGCGGACATATTCAAGTCGATAAAATGCATACATTTTAGGTACAAATAGGACAAGAAGAGAAAATGTGGTTGCCCAAAGAATCGAGATTGCACCCATATAAAATCGTGTATAGAAATCCGCCAATGGATTGACCAATGCTGAATAACCAACTAATGCTGAAAACAAAATGTTACTAATAAAGAAGTATATGTCAATTATTATAATTATTATTTCCATTCTTTTTTTTTTTTTTTTTTGCTTACTAAACTGAAAGTCCCATTTGTCGACATTCACTATAATTATTATATCGTCTGTCTGCCAGTCTTGTTTTATATGCAAGAAAAGTGGCCACAAACAACATGACAGCAGCATATGCACTTGGAATGATCAAAAACACCAAACGAACATTACTACTAGTAGAACATTCCCAATAATATAATGATGTTGATACAATCACCTTGGTGGGTCTTGGTTGCGTCACTGCTAATCCAATAATAAGAATCACCATATCAGTCACAACTACCATCGATGTAGACTTAATCAGCTGCCAATCAGTAATAACATTTCTTGTGATAAACACGTTGTTGAAAATACGATATATCCGGTAGTTCTTGGCAATCATGTTCCTAGAAAAAAAATAATTAGAATTCATCCACATTCTTTTATATATATATCCAATTTACCCCAATACTAGTAAAAACCCTAATGTAAAAGTGATAGGCGAGAAATAACATGTAAACTGAGTAGGAATATCTAACATTTCGATCACTGATAAATAGGTCAAGATAAATCCAATCAATTCCAAACAACAAAACAATGGACTATCAAACAAAATAAAAATAAATAAATACAAGATGTATTATGTTCATATTTTTTTTTTTGATATTTACCTGGAAGCTTTGAAGACTTCATTTTTCCTAAATATAATCACTATACAAAACATAGCAATGGATACCAAGATTCCCAATGCTGAAAAGGTCAAAATAGCCAAAGATACCGGTGATGAGTAACTTGGATTCAATGCTGTACTTGGTGGTGAATCTAGTGGAGGCTATGAAAAGAAGAAAGATTGCTTAGTTTCTCAAGTTGCTTCTTTTAGCAACAACCTACTTTGGTTGTACCATCGTGAAACATGGGTAATTGAGTCAGTTGTAATTTTCCACCTAGACTATGACCAATATTGACAGTGGCACCATGTTGTACGTTGTAGATAAGGAAGTTTCTAGTTTGTTTTTTTTTTTTTTGTGAAAAAAAAAGATAAGATTATGTGTTAGTTTCATTTTGATTTTTTTTTCCCTAATAGACTCATTTTTTACCCAATAGAGAGATCGCCATTAGAATCGTATATCATGGGTCCATTCGGTCCAACATATCCAACATTAAAAGCAGGAGGTAACATTGTTTCTCCCAATTCACCTGTAGCCAATAACTTTAAACCTGTTGATTGATCCTTTTGTGTAGATAATGTTTGTCGAAATCCATTGGCCATCACCATCATACATGAATAAGCTAGTCTATTTATCATATGTATATATATATAAAAGAATCAGAATTCATCAATATACTTATCCTATTTTCCATAGTATTTTTTTTTTCTATTTACCCTTCATTGGTAGAGATTTTGGGAGCACCAGCTCTTGGATACCTATAGAAAAGAAAAAAGATGAATAAAAAAAATAACAGGATTATAATAAGGTCACCTACGTGTTTGGATCTAGTGAAGCCCATTGTTGTAAAAAGGCATCAAAAGGAGCATATCCATTGAGAGATAGCCAGCTGTCAAACATAAAGAGACCATTGTAAGTAGAATTATAATCCAGAGGAGTAGAAGAAGAGTGGTTATGATTATATTTCAGAACATCCTGTTGTAGTCGAGTATCGCTCACTCCTAATAGTAACCAGGTATAATCATTTGTCATATAACCCAAGGAAGCTGCTTGAAGCATCAGAGAAGTTTGTGTATCATCAGTGGCTGCTACAATAATCACTCGAGTATCGCCTTGTGTAACATTCTGTAATGCATAAGTCATATCATCCACATCGATGGCAGGATCAAAGGAATGTGATTGTACGATTTCTAATCCTTGAGAACTGGCTTGAATAAGTGCACGTTGAAAAACTATCAAAATAAAATAAAAAAAAAATTGAGTTTCTCATCCTACTTATCCTAAGATAACCGTACCGTACATTGTTGTCCCAAAGCCGAATCAGAATAAATAATGCCAATTTTAGACCAGCCTTGTAAAGCAGCAAATGATAACATAGGATCAGCAAAAATAACTTGAGTAGGAATGGTACGAAAGAAGTATTTATATTGTGTTTTGTCAGATAAGGCAACTATATGAATAGAAAATAAAATAAAATAAAATAAAATAAAATGAATAATCTACTTTTCAAAGGATATATATAACTTACTCGTTTTGGAAGCAAAAGAACATTGTGGAATTTGTAAAGTACTTGACATGAGAGCGCTTAGACTTGTCCAGGAACTAGATACATCTCCAATGACACCAATAACCCCATTTTGCATTAAAGTCACAGATGAATATACTGCAGAAGTGACTGAATTTTGTTCCTTAGCATCACTATCAGGGTAAGAATCCTTTTGTATCAAAGTAATATATACACCAGGAATAAGTTGATTGCGATTGATATCGTTGACTGCCATTCGAATAGCTGATGACCCTCTATATATGAAAAAAAAAAGATAAATAAACGTGTAAACTAGTATCCTAAAAGGAAATCATTTTATTTTCTTACCCCCAGACAATATTAGCAGTAAAGTTATCACCTTTTTGACTAAATGGTAGTAGCACACCGATCTATATATATATATAAAGAGAGAGAGAATAAAGTGAGTCGTAGCATAACAAAAAAAAAAAAAAAAAAAAAAAAAAAAAAAAAAAGAGGTCATTACCTTGACCTCAGTCAAACCAGTAGTATTCATGTTAGGTCGTATAATGTAAGTATCATTGTCGATGCGGGTAATAGTACTGTTACCGTCTTGAAGTATGGGTTGGCCAAAGACATTGATGACTGACATGTAAATTAATGAGAAAGAATAAATACCACACTAGTAGTAAAAAAAAAAAAAAAAAAATGAGGAGAGAGAGAGAGAAATAATGAGAAAGAAAGGAAAGGAAAGGGTGTGTTTTAAGGTATAATATATATATATAAATAATATAAATTATATATATAATAGGTATATGAATAAAGTAAAAAAAGAGAAGGAGTGAAGAGGAAATAAAGTGATAGCGTTGGAATGCACTGACAAGATCTGAAAATAGTGAGAGAGAGAGAGAGGAAGAAAAGAAAGAGAAAAAGAAGAAAAAAAAAAGAAGTGAAAAGATAATACTATTTTTAAGGGGTGAGATGATAAAATGATAGTTTTTTTTTTTTTTTTCTTAGTATCATTCATCAAAAACGAGATATATGACCAACAGGAGCAAAAAGGGGGACAAAACACTAGAAACTAAGCGGGATATAAAAAAAATGGAGACAGATCCCAAAAAAAAAGGAGTTACTTTATTTCATTGAATTCATATTCATTCGTCAAGTATAAACAAAAAGCTAAGCAACTAACCTCCCTAGTGCGTTTATCTATTAAAAAAAAAAAAGACCAACAATCATCAAACGAACCAGAAAATCGTAGTGCATAAATCATATTCAAATCCCGCGTCAACCTTTTTTAGGTTTTTTTTCTTTTTATTTTTATTTTTATTTTGTTTATTTTATTTGTGAAGTTTTTTCTCTAATCTATCTATCAATTTGTAAGGAAGACTAGGTATACGAATAATATTTCCTTTCTTTTCACGTTCAGCTTTTTGTTTAATTTCTAAATACATGGATTCAGATGATAATGTTGTAACATCCTTCATATCATCTTTTTGTTCTTGTTGTTGATTGAATGGTAATATATATCGACTTTCCATTGATCCTTTTTCCATCATTTGTAATAAATCTTCTTTCTTGTTATTTTCCACATATTTCCCTAATAAAAATGATTTGAGTTGAGATAAATGATGTGTCATCATCGGTCCTTCACTGTTGTTTCCTTGCCACCATTGAACGCGTAGATTCACCCATTCTTCCACATGTTTTGGTAATTGCGATTCCGAGATTTCATAACGATAATGACTAACACAACGTTTGATATGTATTGGCGATAACCAAGTTAATTCTTGACAAGTAGATCTAAATATATCCACATCGTTCAATCCAGATAAACATTGAAGTAGTTGTAATAATTGAGTAAGTCGTTCCAGTCCTACCACTTGACTGTTATCTCCATCACGTTGCCATTCTTCTTCAAGTACAGAGATATTTAAACGAATCGATAAAGCCTTGGATCGACAAAGGTATTTTTTATTTGCCAGAATTTGATTGAATGATTCACATAGAATGTAAAATTTACATTGCGCCATCGTATGTTGTACCAAGTATCCAGGAAGTTCGTATATTGTTATCATTGTATCTTCAATGTCACTCAGCAACTTAATAACAGTCTTTGGTCCATCACTGCCATCATTGTTTTCATCCCCATTCAAATTTGTTGTTGTTGTTGTTGTTGTTGTTGTTGTTGTTGTTGTTGTTGTTGTTGTTGTTGTTGAAGTATTAATACCACCAGTATTGCTCTCCATTGATGTTCGCATAGATCCTCGGCGTTGAAAGAACTTGGACCAATCATTAGAATCCACAAAATCAACAGATGTCCTATCCTGTATAGCTTGATAATCCAGCAGTGCAATACTCATTAATTTATCCAATCGTCGTTCACAATCTCTAAGGAAGAGAGTATACAATTCTACCATCAAATCCGCCAGCTGTTCCTGTCTCTGCTTTGTACCGCTTTCCAATCCAGTATCACGTCTGAGGTATGCTATGAGTTGATATATGTTTGTCATCCAGTAACACAAAAGAGTGGTATCCTTAGCACATTGCTATTCACAAAACATATATATACAATTAGATTGAAAACACTTACTTATAGGACCAAAAAAAAAAATTTTTTTTTCTACATTTATTTACCTTTGTCACCTTTGAGAGCCTGGCTATAGATATATCGAAGAATTGCATCAAGACATCACGAGTAGCATAATAATAAGCAAATCTTGCACATAGAAATAAAAGATTGGCTGGAATCCATAGGGTGTCATCCTTGTTGTTGATAGATATTGTTTTGGGGATTGTTTTCAAGTCCAAAACTACATCCAAGAGAGAATTAAGATCATCCAGAGAGAACACAAACATTTGATCCACTTGACAATTATCCCAAACAAAGGTATGTGTCGATCGAATACTTGCTTCCAATTTCTTCAATGTTTCTTGCCTTTCACCATCATTGTTATCGTCATCATCATCGTCGTCATCATCATTCGTGCTGAATCCAGAAGAAGAAGATCTAACAGATTTGTTATTGTTGATATTGACAAGAGCATCATAAAAAAGCTCATGTCGTTGGGTTAATAATCGATGTCTTTCTGATTCTGCCGTCATAAAATGAGTATACGCATCCAAGCCTGAATGTTGAAATCCACTGATTCTATTTGAAGAGAGTTTATTTGTCGTTGTTGAAGCTGAGGTTGTCAAAACGGGAGTCGATTGTCTACGTGCTGATTTCACAAGGAGTTGATTGCTTTTTTTTCTTTTGACCATCCGATGGACCGAAACACTATGTCGTCGAGAACATTGAGATGTTGATTGGAGTAATGCTGTCAAAGTCTGATCATCGCCAAATACAAAGTCCAATGCAGTATTTCCTTTGATCGATTGTATTTCTGGTGTTGCCCCATGAGATAAAAGAATTTCCACTATGGTATCATGATGGTTCACTGTTGCCCACATCAAAGCTGTCCACCCACCTGATTGATGTACGCAAAAAAAAAAAAAAAAAAAAAAAAATAGATGAGTATTGATTTGATCAAAATAATAGATACACTTACGATTATCTTGTAGATCAACAATAGCATTTGCTTCCAGGAACCATTTAACAGTAGAGAGATGACCAAAACAAGCTGCATAGATTAAACCAGTAGTGCCTTCTTCATCATCAGCTACATTGATCAAATCCCTGCATTTGTGTCCCAAGGTCTTAACCAAATATGTGTCACCATTGGAAGCGGCCCTTAGAAATTGATTCACCAATTGTTTGTCTTGTACAGTCGTGTTACTTTTGCATACGGGAGGAGTAGTCAGTAATGTAGTCTGGTCATAATTGTTATTCATTGGTTGCTGAAGAGGACCTAATGAAGGAGTGTTAGTAGTAGAATTGTTGTTGCTTGTAGGACTTGTCATTGAGATGGGAGATAACAAGATATTCTTGTTGCTTGAAAGTCGTTTGGAGTGATTGTTTGTATCCAAAGTAGATTGCTTTTTTGTTGTTTTTTGCATTTGATTTAACATGGAAGAAAACTGTTGAAAACTATCAGCAATCTTGGCCGTAAGTTCATCAGGTGACATGACAGGATCTGAGGTATAAACTGAACGAGGTCGAGGTTGGTGAACTACACTACGATTTCGTCGTAACTGAGGAGTATAAGCATTTTGAGCAATAGTAGTGTCTATGGTCATACAAGTCCTTTGAGTTGGATTTGGTTTTTCTAATGAGCGTTCCATTGCTCTATTAAAAAAAAAAAAAAAAAAAAAAGGAGTGAAGGAAAAAAAAAAAAAAAGAATAAAAGTGGGGGAAACTAAACAATTATTGTTGTGCGACCCTAAAAAGTATATTTTGGATACATCTCCGCCTGCATTCACTCAATATCTTCTAGTTCATTTGAACCCATATGACTTGCACACGCACACTACATTTATTGACCTATTACTGCTTTTTTTTTCCTTCTTCCTTTCTTGACATTGTAAAGAAAACTCTCTATAATCATATACATGTCACAAAAAATCTATACCTATAAGTGGATACCTTTTTTATTAAAAAAAAATGTCATTGTTTTTATGCTGGTAATGAATGATGATGATGATGATGATGAGGAGGAGGAGGAGGAGGAGGAGGAGAAAAAGATGGATGATGAGACTGAGGTTGATAAGGGGTGGCATGATATTGATTAGGATCATATTGTCTTTGAGGATGACGACGGCGACGACGACGACGGATGGTTGACATAGCATTTTGTCGATATTTTGGATCAGACCAACACTGTGCAGAGAAACAAATAAATCCAATCAAGAGGAAAAAACTACTGATACCCAACATATATAAAGATGGACCCCAAGTATATGTTAAACCGAACAATGTTTGTAATGATTGGAATAAGGTCATGTAGGAAAAGATAATCATAGCAAGTCCACAAGCACTACATACAAATCCTACAATGCTGAACATACCTCCAAGACATGGTAAAATATCAGATGTTCGATGTGTAAATATTGCAACTATATATTAAAAAAAAAAAAAAGATGGAAAAAGGTGATGATCAATAATTCGAAATAAAAGAAGCATTTTTTTTTAAAAAAAAATTATTTTACCGCAGAGTGAAAGAAAACACAAAATAGCTGTTGGTAACACAACAAGATTGGCTTTATGAAGAGCCAAAGGTTTACTTGTATCGATTTGAAATTGAAGTTGTTGAATATTGGCAGCACCGCTAATCGCCACTAATTGATCAAGATCAAGATCATAGGATAAACTGGCCTCGGTACAATTCATCATCATCTTTGTGGTCGTGACGTTATGGTTATCCTCCATCAGGCAAGAATTATAGGGACCATAGACAATGGATAAATCACCTAAAGGTTGAATCAATTTTATGACATATACTTGAGGTAAGATACTATTTGTAAATGTAACACCTAGGTTAACAACAATCATCATCCCCAATGCAAGTGCAGTGAACACTAATGATACAATGGAAGCCTGCATTATCTCCCTCTTTCACCCTTTCTGTTCTATCTGACCTCCTTCACTATATAATAATAAAGGGAAAAGAAAAGAAAATAGAAGGTGAATGAATTAAAAAAAAAAAGGTTCGAGTTTATATTTATTTTCACAATGTAGGACAGACAAAAAAAGAAAGTATGATTTATTTTTGAATACAAAGGTAAAAATAATAGTATATCTATAATCTTAAATAAACTATGGAGCTATTACTCCATCACTAGTTGTTGTGGGCTTGTTTCGTCTAGCTGATGATCGAGGTACACTACGTCCGTGATTTGGTGTATGAGGTCCCAAAGAATCATTCGCATAGAAATCCATAGGATAAACTTCTTGCCATTCTGTTTTACCAAGAGCAATAGAGGCTTCATAAGGTGTCAGTAATGGTTTAGGGAAAGCATAACCCCAATCAATGGATAATCGAGGACAAGCAATTTGGATCCATCTATGTATATATATAAAAAAAAAAAGGATTAATGATTCAATTTTTGATTTTATTCACGTGTATACTTACGCATCAACGTCATCAAACTGAGCCAACTTTCCCGGGAATATTTCAGACAATAGTACTACTATAGATTCCTTGCCTTGATCCTGAATACAAGATTCCAAATATTCCATCACTTGAGGTTTTCCTTGGCGTCCCAGTGTTCCCAAAATCAATCCATATTTCTTGGCTTCTTTTCCAACTTGCACAGAATGTTTTCGTAAAGATTGCATTTCTTCATGATCATAACGTTCTCGAGTGAATCCTTTATCATATGGATTGTATCTATTATTAGAAAGAATAAAAAATCATGCTTCAATAAAGAGAGAGAATTTATCTTTTTGACTTACTGGAAGGCTGGTATATCAGGATTATGGATCATAATGGATTCTAAATGGAATCGACCATCACCAATATAACTATATATCAAGATAGAGAAAGAAAGAAAAAAAAAGATAATATGATAATATGAGTATATCTATTGTTCAAGAGAAGCTTTTTTTTTTTCATTGACTCACATGATAGCATCAATGTCATGTAATTTGGGAGATGTGCAACCTAATATTTCACCTGGCGACAATGGTTTTGATTGAGGAATTTGTATAATGTAATCATCTTGTAAAGAATCCCTTGCCGCTTGTAAGGCAGCACCGAATTGAATCACACATACTAAAGCCAATCGTTTTCCTTTTTCGAAATTCTTGCGTACCGTGTTAATAAAATGTTGATTGTCTATACCAATTTCCACAAAGACATATAAAGTGTTGATGGTTGTAATATCCACAGGAATTAAACAACTATGTCCATAATGTACTAAAAAATCACATCCAAGTGCACGGGCCGAATAATCATCAATACAACATGCTCCATAAGTTACATCTCCCATAATCAATGTTTCCACCTGACAAAAACTAGATTATAGAGACCAAATTAAATAACTTTTTTTATATTCTTTCATATATAATGATAATTAAGTATGACTTACACTTCAAGAATATCTGATATAATACATGCAAACATCAAAAGACCTTCGGGAAGTTGAAGAGCGACTACATATATTAAAAAAAAAGAAATAAAAAAATAAAGGAACAAAATAAGATTAGTTACTAATGAGAAAAAAATATAATCCATTCTTTACCTTTTTTTGCTTCTGCTTTTTTGACTCTCCATATAGTTTTGTGGATTTCAAAGTTGTAATTAGAAGGGATCTAGATATAAAAGACGATGAGTATTTTAGTTGGATCAAAGGTTATCATGAATATTCTTACTTGTTCTATAGCTTTGTTCAATAATGGATCATTCAAGATTTCATCGGGGATCTGATGTACAGCACGTCCATTTCGATTACGAGGTGTACCTAAATAGTAATTTGTACAATGTATTAGTAAAAAAGAAGATACGATCTCCCCCCAACTAGTTTCCTTATTTCTTTGTTATTATTACGAGTAAAGCCAACAGCACTGTCTTCAATAGCATTTCCGTCTTGATTTGAGGGTGTTTTCTTGGATCTTCCAACAAATCGTTTTCTAGGTTTTTCAACTTTGGTTTCTGTGGGTAAATCTGACATTTATGTTTAAAAGTAAAAACGAACAAAAAAAAAAAAAAAAAAAAAAAAAAAAAAGAAAGAAAAAGATTATCTTTCACCTCATCCTCCACCGATTCGCGGCATTTGAAATGAAAAAATCATACCATACAAAAAATTTTATATTGTCCCTTTTCTGTTTTTCTTTCTTTCTCTTTCTTGTTGACTATTATCTCCAAATGACTTTATTTCGATTTCTTAGAGTGGGAAATAATGGTTCTCGTACGCTTTCTAATTGCTTACATACCACTTCAAGATCATCCATGCATCCATTTTTAGGACGTTTATCTCGACCTACCACCACCCCTTTGACACAAAACCTAGTTTGGAGTATCGGAACCAACAAGTCAGTTTCACTTTCCTACTTGTCAAAACGTCTCATGTCCTCAGCAACAGTGACAGCAACAACAGCAACAACAACAACAACAGCAGCAGCAGCAAGAGCAACAACAGCTACAAAAGCAGCTGGCATTCAAGTGACGAAACCTATAGTGGCTCATTGGCTTTATTTTAATGCTGGTCTTGTTTTCGCCATTGTAGTTGTTGGTGGTTTGACTCGTTTGACAGAAAGTGGTTTGTCTATCACAGAATGGAATGTTATTTCTGGTATGAAACCTCCACGATCTCAACAAGAATGGACTGAAGAATTTGAAAAATACAAACAGTTCCCTGAATATAAACTGTAAGTTTGTTTTTTACTGTCAAAGAAAATTAAAAAAAAAAAAGGAATATGTTTATGGAAATATGGTGTGACAAAGTAACAAGGAACTATGGATAAGCGCGGATCTACGGAAGTATTCAACAAATTCCCTTTTTTTTTTTTTTTTTTTTTTTCTAGATTGAATCGACATATGACTTTGGAAGAATTCAAGAATATCTTTTACTGGGAATGGTCTCATCGTATGATTGGTAGATTTATTGGAGCCACCTTCATCATCCCCGGTCTTTATTTTGCTTCCAGGGGATACATGACTCGTCGGGTAGCGAAACAAGTGTTTGGTATTACATGTGTTCTTGGTTTTCAGGTATATTTTTATTTTTATTTTATTTTATTTTGGATTAATGATTCCTCATTATTTTTGATTTTATTTTAACATAGGGATTCATGGGTTGGTACATGGTGAAATCTGGATTATCGGAAGCATTGATGAAAGAACCTGGAGCAGTTCCTCGTGTTAGTCAATACAGATTAACAGCTCACTTCGCTACAGCATTGATGATTTATGGTTCAACAATCTTTGTAGCGGCTGATATTCTTCGACAAAACAAATTGGCAAATGGCACTTACCCCAAAGAAATAGCAAACATGATCAACCATCCTGCATTGAAAAGATTCCGTATTTTGACACATTCTTTAGGCGCCTTACTTATTTTGACAGCACTCTCAGGTGGTTTAGTTGCAGGCTTGGATGCTGGATTGATTTATAACGAATGGCCCATGATGGGTGAAGGCTTGATTCCCCCCAAAGATGAATTATGGTCAGATCATTATGTCAAACCTCATGACAAGGGCAAATGGCGAAACTTTTTGGAAAATCCAACCACAGTACAATTCGATCATCGTACTTTGGCAGAAACTTCAGCAGTGGCAGCAACAGCTTTATGGTTCTACGCTCGACGTCTTCCTTTACCTAAAAATGTACGATTGGCAGTCAATACTATGATGGGTGTAGTGGTAGTTCAAGTATCTTTGGGAATCTCTACTTTGATTTATATGGTACCTATTCAATTGGCAGCTGCTCATCAGGCTGGTGCTCTTACTCTCTTGACTAGTAATTTTTGGTTGATTCATGCCCTTCGAAAAGTTCCCTTATAGTTAGACGTTAAATAGATTCTAGAGTTATTAGTAGCATTGATTGTACACATATTTTTCCATTATTATATAATAAATCGATTATTATTATTATTATTATTATTGTTATTATTATTATTATTATTATTATTATTATTATTATTATTATTATTATTATTATTATTATTATTATTATTATTATTATTATTATTATTATTATTATTATTATTATTATTATTATTATTATTATTATTATTATTATTATTATTATTATTATTATTATTATTATTTTAAACATTCATGAATTATGTCTAAATATCGATGTTATATATGAACCAACGTTAATACAGGACCTGATGATGATGATGATATCTAAAAAACTTCTTACAGTAAAGTGTGTTTATTATGAGGATGATTTCTATGATGATTACAATAATCAAGACCATTCTTATGAGAGATCGTGATTAATAATGATAGGGTGACCCTTATTTTTTTTTTTTAAAAAAAAAAAAAAAAAAGATTTGGTCTTCCTTGGATTCGATACTAGATGTCATTGCCCGTTTGGTTCCAATCTCCTATTCAATGACAATGTAGAAACATCATCTCATGCAGACAATGGTCTCCGTGCACCACTGCATTTTTTTTTCTAAGCAGATCTATCAGGAACTATAGAATACTTAACTCCTCTTTCCCCTAATAAAATCCTGTGCCCTTATTTTTTCTATTTTTTTTTTTTCTATTGTGATCGAAAACACACCTTTCTTGCATAAAACATCGTGCCAATGTATCTACCCGTTCTTTTTACTTTTGAAGTCAAATAAGGCGATCAATAGTTTAAAGTCCTACTGTTGCAAACAGTTCATCTCCCTTCAATCTTAGAAAAGGATGAAAGTATTTCTTTCATAACGTCATAGTATTTTTTTTTAAAAAAAAAAGAAAAAAAAAACTGAACTTTTGTGTGTTATGCCATAATGACTGAACAAATACAAATGGTCCTTTTACTCTCTCTCAAGAAGATCTTTTTATATTTATCTCTTTTTATAGTTGGGTTACTGAAACACAACGAAACTATTAACTAACTCCCCATATGCAAACTAAGGAAACATCGGCATTCAACTGTGCAGGGTTGTGCAAAGACCCTTCTCCCTTTCATTAATAGTTGATCTAACCACTCACTGTTTTCTTTAATTTAGTCAAAGAGTTGGTTTATTTATATCACTATTATGATCCTATGATGATGAAGGCATGATGTTATATAAAACGATGATATTCTATTTTATAAAGATGACGGTATGATAATAGTAGTTGATGATGTGATGATATTTGATGATGGTAGTTATAGGATGATGATTGCTATGAAAGGAAGGATTGTTCTTTTTTTTTAAGAGTCAGACATTAAACTGGTCCAAACTCATGCATCTTATATAAATACTGATTATCATAACGAAAAAAAAAAAAAATGGGAACTCCCTCCAAATAAGAAAGATAGTGTTAAATTAGGGTGCCACTCAAGGGATTTATAGTAAAATGTTTCTGGATGATAAATGGGAAAAAAGAAAATAACCAAGTAAAAGGAGATTGAAAGAATTCTCTCACTTTTTTTTTTTTTTTTTTTTTGAGTGACTCCAACATCAAGGGTAAGATCATAATAGAAGAATTTTTTCAGGTACACCCAATTTCGTATGAAAAAGAGGAGGGGAAGAAAAAGAAGAAGAGAAAAAAAAATAGATAATATGGGAAATGATTTTTTTTTAAAGCAAATACAATAAATATTAATTTAACTATGTGTGTTATGCCATGTTTTAAAATCATGGTGATCTTGATTGTTGGTCGATGCTTTAAAAAGATAAGTAGTAGTACAAAAAGACAATAGATCTCATGTCAACCTGCTCAATTTGTAACTCAACAGCTTGCCACTTTGCCCCTTTCAGGTTTTAAGAAAAAGGAGTTTTTTTTTTTTTTTTTTTTTTTTTTTTTTTTTTTTTTTTTTTTTTTTTTTTTTTTTTTTTTTTTTTTCTTCTACAAATACCATTTTTCTTTCTTTCCTTTTTTCTTTTCTTTCTTTCTTTTTACTTTCTTATTTATTCTTTTTTTTTTTTTTTTTTTTTTACCACGATTACACACTGACCTTTCCACACTTACCCCTTATCACGTCACGCTATGCGCCATAAACAGAATCTACCAGTTCATGATATGGATTGGGATGATTCTTTATCTTCTCGTTATCAATATGGCTCACCTTTAACAATGCTTCAACAACGTCAACAACACAATCGAATACAACAACAACAACAATACAATACTATATTTAGTGATGACGAAGACGATCCTGTACCTCAACGATGGGCAAAGAGTTTAACAACTTCTGCTGTCTCTTTAACACCTTCTACTACTGCTACTTATGTTGACCCTCTACTTAGTTCAGGTACTTATCATATTCACCAAGCAGAGAATGCATTATCAACTCTTAAACATATTGTACTGGAAGACGGTTGGAAGAAAGCTCTCAAACATAAAAGTGGTGTAGTTGTTCATATGATGAATGGACTTCACAAGGCTGATAAAACTCCCATTTTTAAAGGAGAGGCGATCATACATGGTTTTTCCCCTCAATCTATCTTTTATGTCATCGGTATGCGAAAACTATGGGATGAGCAGTAAGTGATGATTATATTTATTTATGAAACAGGTGCTAAAAACTTTAATATATATATATATATATATATATATTATATAGATATGAAGATGGAAACTTGGTGGAAAACTTGAATGACACGACTTCTTTGACCTACGAAGTGACCAAACCTACAGCGACTTCAAAGTAATTGGATGATCATCACACGATTTTTTTTTTGTTTATATTATTTATTTACTTTTGATTTTATTTCTCTCTTTTAGGCCTCGAGATTTTGCTCTTGTGGAACGAATCGAATGTACTCCTAATGGATCAATTATTTTTGCGGCAACTAGTGTGGAAACACCAAGATTACCACGTATTCAAGGAAGAACAAGAGCACAGATCAAAGTAAGTAAAAAAAAAAAAAAAAAAAAAAGTATTGTATGGTTACACCGTGATTATAACCAGTTTATCAGTTACAAGGTTGGATCTTGGAACCAATTCGTGGGAGCACTCCAGCTACTAGAGTTACTTTTGTTATTCAAGAAAATATGAAAGGATGGGTCCCTGGATTTGCCAAAAAGTCACTAGCACGTCGTCCTTTAGTTATTGCTCTCATCAACGATTATCTACAAAAGAAATCTGGAAGAACTAGATTACAAGCCAAACCATCTCTCACTCCTCTTACTCAAGGACATAGTCGACGACCTTCACTTCTTGGTCAATTACTCGATCCATCTATAAATCAATCTCAGCGGAACAGGTAAATATAAGTTTTTTTTTTTTTTTTTTTTTTTTTTTTTTTTTTTTGCGTAATTTATTGATAGAGTTTTTATTTTTAGTGGTAGTCCATCACCAACTCCATCCAATCGATCTATTTTAATTGGTTCTAATGGATCCATCTTTTCTGGAAAAAAACGAATTACCTTTGCTGAACAAGACACTACATACCCTGGAGCAGATACAACAGCGGATGGTCAGTCTGAAACAAGTAACACAAACTCATTTCCAACAATGGCACCAGCAGGATTATCACCATCAACATCATCATCAGCGGCAGCAATACAACAACAACAACAACAACAACAACAACAACAACAACAACTACAGTTGCACCCAGTATATCAACATCATAATGATATGTCTTCTCCTATTCCAACATCAACAATAGTACCTTCAACGCAAGGATCTCTGGCGCCATTGCAACCATCCTCTACTTCAATATCTCCAATAACCCAACTACCACTACAAAGATTATACCCAGCTCACAGACATGCAGCTAAAAAGTCAGAGTCATTGAATATGATCAAACAATTATCAACATCACCTAGTGGTTGGACATTTACACAAGAAAAGGATGGAATTCAATATTATTCGAATGCACAATATCTTCGAGCTGATGGAATGATTTATGGTGGCTGGACTCCTGAACAACTTTGCTCTGTTACTCATTGTATAGGAGCACGAAAGACATGTAAGCAAACAATAATAATAATAATAATAAAGCTGACGGAAAATAAATGTCATGTTAACATCTTTGTTTTTATTATTATTAATATTGTTACTATTATTAAAAAAGGGGATGAGCAATTTGAACACGGCGATGTTTTGGAAAGATTCAGTCAAAAGGATTACCTGGTACGATGGACTATGAAAAATGGAGGAAGTTATACAGTGACATCTACTATTGATACGGATACAACTCTGGGAACTATATATACAGCAAGCACTAGCGTAGAGGATACACAGGTGGTATCTGGAAGTCTACGGTTTCAACTGTATGGATGGATCTTTGTTCCTATCAAAGATGCTCAAGGAAATCGATGTGTCAAGACAAGTTTGATATGGGATTCGAGTGGTATGTTTAGTCCTCATTCTATACAGGGCCTTAATCAATTCCTATCAACCAATGGATGCCCTCCTTATATTCGACGTGTTGCTGGCAAGGTCCTTCATGAAGAATTATTGATGATGGAAGATAATTATCCTATCAATGGATATAGTGGTAGTGATGATGATGCAGTGGTTTCCCGAAAGATGAACAAGAAGAAACCTATTTATAGTATGACGTATGTGGTCAAGCATGAGCCTTCCAGCTCTTATCGTGCTCGAAAATCTAACCCGGAAAAGAATTGGTGTACCGATATTCGAATCCATTCTTCATCAATGTATCCTCTTGGTTTTGAGGTGTCAGTGTCTCCTTCTTCTGGTACTCGCGTTGACGTATCTGAACATCATATCAAGATCTTCACAACTATGGCTGAAATGGATGGCAAACAAGTATCTGTTTCTTTGGCTGCTTCTCATACTGGCAAGGTGACATGTAATGGCTCATTGGTATTTATTATGAAAGGTAAGAAAGACAAATAAAGAGATAATTTCTGTGATGTTGATTTTTTTTTTTCTTTCTCTCTCTCTTTCTCCGTTTTTATGATGACTTGGAAATAATAGATGTGCCAAATGTTAACGATATCAGTACGGATATAACTCAAAAGGAAAAAGGACTTCATGATCTGACAGGATTAGAAGGTGATCAAACGGAATCCGATATCCAATCACCATCATCACCAAACACAACTCAATCTACAGTAAAGCCCCATCATGATCATGACACTTCAACTATATCTCCACCAATTATTGTAAATCACCAAAAATTTGTAGCGGAATCGAATCAAGAACATGAACAAGTTATCCACACTCCTATCAAAGGTGTACAAGTCCCTGAAGGTTACATTTTAGTCCCTCAGCAACAATATCACGTAAGCTACCAAAAAAAAAAAAGATGAATGAAAAGAGGGATGGAGGATTAATCATCGTGTCTTTTATATTTTTTTTAGAACAACAATATTGTGATCATATCAGACGATTTGACCTTCAACGGACAACAATTAGCAGTTGTATTTGTAGCTATGGTTTTATGTTATTACATGGGCAAGTTTGCATGTGGATGTTCCTAGTTTATCTTTCTCTTTCTGTTTTTTTTTTCCCTTGTATCTTTTAGTTTTATTTGTTTTAGTTTTACTTCCCTACTCTTTAGTATTGTTCATTTTACCTTGTTATTTATAATATTTTAATCATTTAGAAACACATTTACTTTTAGCCTTCTTTTTTTTTGCTGGTAAAAATAAAGAAAGTAAAAAAAAAAAAAAGTCATTGGTTTCGCAACAAAAAAAAAAAAAGGATTTTATCGATTTATTTGATTTGGATTGATTTGAATGAAAACAATATTTTCAAAAAGTGAATCTTCAATAAGATAATCATATCAAGAACTAACATTGCAATTGGTTGCATTGGACACAAGAATTTCTAATACCATAGTCGCAAGAGGCTTGACCATTGTCACCACATTGGTAAACATGACCTTGGATACAGTTGTAATTACCTAGATATATATACATTGATAAATCATCATGTCGTATTATGGATCAATAACTTTTTTTTTTCTTTACCATCTCCACAGAACAAGCCATTGGGAACACCGTAACATTTACAAGCAGTGGCCTTGCAAGAAGCTTCAACTTGAGACATCAACATAAAGAGAGCAGCAAGGATCAAAGTAAAATACAAAAATTTCATGATTAGGGAGTTTAGATTTGGAATAAAGAGAGAAAAAAAAAATCGATAGTTTGTTAGCTTTTATATTTTTTTTTTTTCGTATGATTACATATGTTGTCAACTTGTGCCATCAATGTATCGTTACACTACAACAGTACAAAAATCCAATGAATGTTTTAGAGTTGTACACCTTTTTTTTTTTTTTTTTTTTTTTTTGCTTTTGTTCATTGATGATCTATCTGTGGATGATGATGATGGTTGGAAAAGAAAAGAAATAAAAAGTATCAATGACGCGTTTGATTCATATCATCGTTTTGAAAATTTCATTTGTCTAAATGCATTATTAAAAGAGGTATTCTATATTTGATATGGCAAGATGAAAGAGCGTAGATCATGATTTCCTTTTTTTAATTCATCATGGTGGTCAACATAGCCGAACCGTCTTAAAAAGACTGGATAATAAAAATTACCTTTAGTGAAATCAGATCATTCGTAGATGGTTTCTTTTTTTTTTTGAAAAAAAAAAAATGACTGTGTATGTAAGTGATGGGAAAAAAAAAAAGGATTGGGCAATACAACAACCGCATTTCTGTACTCTACTGACTGAAGGACAAGACGAATTTAGGTAATAATATACCATATTCCCACTAAAACATTTGGGTAAAGAGGTAGATCATATGTTCCAGGTATTACCAGGGACGCCACATATTTCAAAGCATGACAACTTCTTCCATTATTAACACTTCTTCCCTCCCGATCAGTCCTTTATTCTGTATTAGTATTGTTCGCATTCCCTAATTAGGATGCTTTTTTCTATTCTTCTTTAATACGTAAGGTGTGAATTCGTTAAATATCAATCGGATGATCAGTTCTTCTTTTTTTTTAACTAAAAAAAAAAAAAAAAAAAAAAAAAAAAAAAGACTCCTTTTTCATGTTCGAAGAGGTTCTCGGCCAATTTGCATCCAAAGAGGAAATAGATTACCTTGTAACCAAGGTGACCATATGGATGACTTCCTTGGAAACAAGATAAATCGCTCTCAAGAAGATTGGAGGGTTTTCCAGTTATTTATACGTTAAGTTACACAAACATTTCGAAAGTTCCATTGTTTGGTACAGGTAGGTAAGGAACGCATTGACAATGATCATTTTATATGGTAAATCTAAAGTGATGATTCTTATAGTGATAATATTATTATAATAATTCCTGTATTGACAATTCAGATCATGATTTATAAAGTATGATGATGATTTTTACATGGCTATGGCTCGTGTAATATTCGATGACTCAATGATGATTTTTATAATTAAACTATTTTGATGATTTCTACCTTTGAAAATTTTTACAGTGGTGATTTCTTCCGGTTGATGATGGCCTGGTCATGGTATCCTCAAAGCATGTGCCATGGAGACAACAGTTAAAAAAAAAAAAAAAAAAAAAAAATGCTGAAATTGAATCTCAGTGTCAAAGTCAAGTAAGAGATCCATTGAATTTTTTTTTTTTCTTCTTCTTCTTCTTTCACTCTCCATTCTCTCACATCAATCCGCGATCATGACTCAAATTAGTGTCCTCATGGTAAATCCTTGAATAAATACTTGATAGATTATGAATATTAATGTTTGATTGTTTGTATTTTATATAGGTAGCGGAAAAACCCTCACTTGCCGATGCTCTTAGTCGATTGTTAGCACCAGGAGGTCACGTAAGAAAGAGAAAAAGCAAAACGTTAGACATTATCTCTTGACTGATTATTTCTTTTTTCTTTTATTAGTTCAAAACACGAAAAGGGACTACACCAGTGCATGAATGGGAAGGTGTCTATGAATCACAACCAGCAAAATACAAATTCACCTCAGTAACAGGTCATGTTTACAATACGGACTTTACACAAGAATACAATTCATGGGAGATCGATCCTCAGAAACTATTTACGGCTCAAATCAAAAAGGTGGAAGCTAATCCCAAGATGCGAATAACTCAACATTTACGGAACGAAGCCAAGCACATCGACTATTTGATCTTGTGGTTGGATTGTGATTCTGAAGGTGAAAATATTTGTTTTGAAGTTATTGGCAACTGTTTACCCTCTATGAAGGTATCAAAAATGTCTCATGTTTTGCGTGCAAGGTTTTCAGGTAATCAAATAAAGGATAGCGATAATAAAAAAAAGAAAATACTAACTTTTTTTTCCATTTATTATACTTAGCAATTACTCAACAAGACGTTCGACGAGCCATGAATCATCTAGTGAAACCCAATGAAAACGAAGCGAAAGGTAAATAAAAAACTTAAGTAAAATATCGGCATTTGTTGACTTTTTTTTTTTTTTTTTTTTTTTTTTTTTGTAGCGGTGGATGCTCGACAAGAATTTGATTTAAAAGTGGGCGTTGCTTTTACTCGATTCCAAACTCGATTTTTTCAAGGAAAATATGGTGATTTAGATTCAACAGTGATATCTTATGGTCCATGTCAAAGTCCCACTTTGGCCTTTTGTGTGGAACGTCATGATCGAATTCAAAGCTTCCAACCTGAACCTTTTTGGACAATTACTCCTACTATCATTCAAGCGGATCTACCTGTCAAATTGACATGGATGCGTGAACGACTTTTTGACAAGCAAGTGACCAGCGTATTTATGACCAATGTGGAAGAAGCTCAAAAATTAGGAGCAAAGGTTCTTCAAGTATCTGTTACGAAAAAATCAAAAGCCAGACCTCATGCCTTGAATACTGTAAGTGAAACCTTGAGCAATCAAAAAAAGGAAATTCAATTTCTTTGATGATAATCATTTCTTCTTCTTCTTCTTTTTATATATATATATATATATATGTATAGGTTGAAATGCTCAAACATGGATCATCAAATCTTGGTATTGGGCCTAGTGAATGTGTAAATCATTTTAAAAAAACCAAAAGAGACAGATATATAACATATTAACGTCCTCTTTTTTTTTTAGATGAGTATTGCTGAACGTCTCTATATGCAAGGTTATATCTCTTATCCTCGTACAGAAACAAGTCAATATCCACCGAACTTTGATCTTCATGAAGTATTACGGGAACAAGCAAAGCATCCACAGTGGTAAAAAAAAAAAAAAAAAAAAAAAAAAGGATGATCTCAATGATATTAAGTTTAATTGTTATAAATATATATATACTTTTAGGGGTGATTATTGTCAAGATTTATTGAAAAATGGATTTGATCGACCAAGTGGCGGTACCGATGTAGGTGACCATCCTCCAATGTAAGAAAAGAATATGACTTGAATAGGGAATAAATATTAACTTTTTTTTTATTTTTATTTTTATTTTTATTTCATTTACCATACTTTATATAGTACACCTATGCGGGTAGCAGATGAAAGTGAACTTTTTGGTGATACTTGGAGACTGTATGACTTTATTGCTAGAAATTTTATTGGATCCATTAGTCAAAATTTGAAATATACATCCACTCATGTTGTTCTCGCCATTGGTGAAGAAAAGTTTGAATGCAAAGGTAAGAATATATCAGGAAATAAACTAAACAAAAGAAAATTAAAAATTATCTTTTTCATGATAGGTTCCCAAGTTACTTCTCCTGGATTTACATCTGTGATGCACTGGTAAATACTCAATATTATTTACATATGATGATGTATTTTATTTATATATTGCTTTATAGGGTTAACAAAACTGATGAATATATACCAGAGTTCAAGCAAGGTCAAGTAGTAACTGTCAAATCTGTACAAATGAATGAAGGCAAGACGAGTCCACCTGACTATTTGACAGAATCAGAATTGATTGGATTAATGGTATGTCGAATTTGTAGATAATAATGGAATTATGAATATTAATAAATACTCTTTTTTTTATTATTATTATTATTATAGGAACAAAATGGCATTGGAACCGGTATGTCAGTAGTTTATTTATATTTGTTTTTATTTCTAATATTCATCTTTTGTAGACGCTTCTATATCAACTCATATCAACAATATCTGTCAAAGAAACTATGTCCAAGTCAGTGGTTCTGGTCGAAAGATGATACCTACCAATCTTGGTATTGTTTTAATTCATGGGTAATGTCCAAAAAAAAAAAAAATACAATGATTGATAATGATATACTGATTCTGTTTTTTTTTTTATATATATAGATATCGTAAGCTTTCTTTTTTTTTTTTTCTTTTTTTTTTTTGATTCTTTGTGAATTAAACTCACATGTGCTTTATATTGTTTATTAGAGAAAATTGATACAGATTTATCACTCCCAAGAATGCGATCTGATATGGAACAACAACTTAGTTTGATTGCGTCAGGAAAAGCTGGACACAAAGAGGTGCTCGATTACTTTTTGCGACTCTTTGAACTTAAATTTGCCTACTTCGTAAAGCATGTAAGTGGTAAAAAAAAAAAAAAAAGAAATGAGAATTGCAAATCATTCAACTTAAATCTATTAATATTTCTATAGATCTCGTCTATGGATGAATTATTTGAAGCAACATTTTCACCTTTGGCTGCCACTGGACGACCCTTATCGAAATGCGGGAAATGTAAACGTTATATGAAGTACATCTCTCTCAAACCAAACCGATTGCATTGTTCAACATGTGATGAAACATATTCCTTACCTCTCAACGGTACAATCAAACTTTATAGGGAATTGACTTGTGTATGTACCTAAATAATGGCAAAAAAAAAATTGTATTGACCGGTTTGTTGTTTTATATATTTATTAGCCATTAGATGATTTTGAATTGGTTTTGTATTCGACAGGATCTAAAGGTACCGGTTATCCTCTTTGCCCTTACTGTTACAATCACCCTCCTTTTGAAAATGTCAAGAAGCACATGGCATGTAATCATTGTCCTCATCCTACATGCACTCACTCTATGGTCAAGAATGCTGTCTGTTCTTGTCCTGAATCTGAACGACCTGAAGATCCTTGTCCTGGGAGTTTAGTATTAGATGCCACTTCAGCACCTCGATGGAAATTAAGTTGTAATGAATGCAATATCGTTTCTTCCTTTGTGGATACTATCAAAAGTAAGTCATAAAATATAAAATGAATAATCTACTCACCTTTATCTTTTACTAGATGTTTTATTGATGAATGAAATGTGCGAATGTGGTACTGTGATACTCAAGGCTGAATTTCGAGAAAATCAAAATCGTGAACCTCTCACAGGTTGTATTCTTTGTGATGATGATATCGATGCTTTATTAACAACTAGGTATACCATTTCATCCCATGCTGACTCAAAAGAAATCTCAATTGACTCTTTTTTTTTTATAGATTTGCTCGGAAATCCATTCGACGGGGAAGAGGCAAAAAAGGTGGACGAAAGAAAAGAAAATGGGTAGATCCAAAGATCAGAAAGTTGTATGCCGATATGCGATAGGTGGATGAAGACTTTTCTACCTTGGTGATCCTATTGAAATACCGCTTAGTATATATTTGTATGTAATTTGTTTAGTTTTCCTCTTCTTTATTTTTATTTTTTTAATTATTTGATTCATTGTAGCATAGACCTTCCCTTCCTTTATTATGAAACTCTTCCTTCTCTCTCTTGTCATTCTTCTGTCACTTTTTTCTGTTACTGAATGTTTTACCAGTTTTGAAAAAAAGTAATCAAAAAGGAAACAAACTGCACCGGCTTCTTTGACATTAATCAATAAAAAAATGATGAATATATATATAGGCATATGGACGATACACATCATGTCGAAATATCAGACGAAGTGACTTTTTTCAAACTACATGATCTCGATGGTGATGGTTACTGGACTGACCGGGAACTGCGTTCTCTCTATGGACTAGAAAGAGATGTGTCGTCGGATGCCATACATGTCAACACCATTGTTCACCGTGCATTTCAAGATCTAGACACTAATCATGACGGTTTGATATCTCTTCAAGAATATATGGTTTATCATCTTCCTGACTGGACAGAAGAAGAAATCTTGATTGAAAAACAATGGCGATTATCCCATCCTTCTCCTGAATTATTGGTCGATCATCATTCTCCCGCAGCCTCCTGGGAAGAGAACGACAATGACGATGATCATATTCCCAACAAATTCAAAGTACAATAAATGGATAGATACATGTTTTACTGATCATCTTTTAGTATAGTTATCATCAAGTGTACATTTTACCCCTTAGTTCTTATATAAAAGTCATTGTATATTATTAACTATATATAAATATATTTTATTGATTTGAATTGGGTTACGAATACAGATAATCAACTATATATATAGGAGGGGTGTATAGGGAAATAGGATATGAGAGAAACTAAATGGAAGTGATAACTACAATACTTTGTTGGGATCAACATTCTTTTTGTATTCCAGTTTTTCTACTTTGACTTCATCATCGATAAGCTTGTAAACATAGGTCACTACCGAGTTACCTTGAATATCCATCAAGACAAAAGAAGGGATAGGTTCGCTACCAAAAAAAAAAAAAAAAAAAAAAAAAGGAATAAAATGAAAATGATTACGTTTGTTTTGAAAAGTAACTTTTTTTATTATTATTACTTACGCATTATCAGGAGATGAAGAGTAAGCACCAGTAGCACTTCCAGGATTGATATAATATCGTCCATTATATTCATATGCTTCAAATCGATGAGTATGTCCACTTAACAGTAAGTCGGCTTCCATTTGTCGAGCTGTAATATCCAATGATTCAACATCACCCCAGGGTATCACTTGATGTCCGTGTAAGACACCTACACGGATACCTCCAATTGTCAATAGCTTGGCTTGAGGAAGATTTGTATTCTAATCAAATCATTTTATATCAATATTTTATTCTTTGTAATATTATTTTATTACCTCGTCATAATCACCTTTGACAAGAGTAACATCGCCAGCAATGGTTTTCAAATAGTCCAAAGTTTCTTTATCACAGATATTACCGGTACAAATAATTTGTTGGATTTTGCCAGGTACCTACAAAAACAAAAACAATGTCAATTACTCTTTCTTGGTCTTTTTTTTTTTTTTTAACATGATGACTTACTAATAACTTTTTGAATTTGAAAGGTAAATCATGTGCTCGGTGAGGAATATGCAAGTCACCTATAACAAGAACTAACTAAAAAAAAGAAGAGAGATTAGAATAGTTGTATTATTTTGTTTTCATCTTGAACTTACAACCATTGTATCCACGTATAAAAATAGCAACAAAGGGAAAAAGAGAAAAAAAAGGACAAGAAATCCACAACCATCGAGTTTTCTTGCCAGCAGACAATTTCCAATTCCGCCAACTTTTGAGTTTTTTTTTTTTTTTTTTTTTTAAAAAACGTTCCTTTATTCTCTGTTCACTACTTTATTCTGTTCCATCCTCAGGTTATGAATAAAGTATATATCGATGAAACAAAATGTTTTTCATTATGCTACAAAAACAAGGTAAAAACTGCAGCTAATATCACCAAGAGAAAAATTAGACGTTAACTTACTATGATTTTCGTGTCCTCTTCTATTTCAGCCATTCAAGTTAAAACAGAAAGCAACTCCCATCATTGCATCCTCTTTGACTTCCTCGTTTTATTGTATTCAAAGATGTGTTTTTGAACTGACTTATCTCTGATATCAAGGTGCGTTGTGATTTTCTTTCAAGTTTCCTGCTTACTTTGACACCGATTTGTTACAACTGTTACTACCATGATCAATTCAACAATGATAGCTTCCATCCTCATTTAAATATTAAGTGTCATTTTCAATTCACTTAATATGATTTTACATATGATTATTAGCATCTCTTATGATCAAACGTCGATAATATATATTGGATTAAGCAATAGCAATTTGATGACAGGCAGGTGCTTATGGAAGCAATGCAAAGTACGTGTTTTTTTTTATACGACTTGTTTTTTTATGCATTTCTTAGTGACTTATCCCAAGTTGAACTGTTACACCAATATCCAAAGAAACCATGATCATGCATAGGCCATCTTCTGATAGAACCTTACCTTGGCAAACGAAGAAACTACCTGCAAAAATTGGACTTGGAACAAGTCGATGATAGGTGTATTAATTCAATCTGTTGATTAAAAGAATACTATTAGTACTGCGGGCAGATAGAGGTATATAATGCAATAATTTGAATGAAAAAATTAGACCTTGTCAAACAAGCAAACTATATTGTGTCAGTATTACTAACGTCATTTTTTTTTTAAAAAAATAACCTCATCTTTTCTTAGTAATATGACTGTCAAGTGACTCCTGAACATACGATAATGATGATGATAGTTATTCAACATTAGAACTTCTAGGGTACGAATTTATATTGGACTTTCAACAGGTATTCCAAAATTTGGCCATCTTACTGCAAACGAGAATTGTTACAAATCTTCTACGCATACTCCTGAAGCTCTTATACTGTCAATTGGAATATGGATTAGTCATCGCTGTTGATCATTTTGCCCGTTTGCTGGATACAATAAAGATATTTTATCTCTGAAGGATACTATTTGAGAACATACCCTGATCCATACAAAAAAAAAAAGCAAACGAACTGACCATCCCAACCTGCAGCTTTTTGGTTAAAATGTTATTCCACAATCAATCCAACCAAGATCGATAGTTTATATTAGTATCTTTATTCTTAATCTATTTATTGATTAAAATTAATAAAAAAGAAAAAAAAAAGGTAGATATTTATATAATGAAATCTTTTAGTAAAGAAGTATAGTGAGAATATCATGATTATGTTGCACATTTTTCTTTTTTTTTTTTTTTTTTTTTTTTTTTTTTGTTGAATCGTTAGTTGTACCACTGTCCTATAAAAAATGATAATGTCAGATTAGAGATGAGATCATTGGCAAGTGATGCGGATCTCACGCAATTGTGTAAGGCATTTAAAGTTTTTACCCTTTTTTTTGCATGAAATTGTTGCTCAGCTAATAAAATGAGACACAACATTTATCTTAAAAAATGAGCCTAATTTTTTTTTCCCTTTCTTGTCTTAAAAGTAATTTTTCATTGTACGAAGAACAAAAAAAAAAAAAAAAAAAAAAAAAAAAATAGGATGAATTAATTTTTCATCATCTATTTCATTGTTTCTAAGAGTTATCATCCCTAAATCAACTCTAAATATTTCTTTGTTACACTCACTTTGATTTCTTTTTGTTGGGTTGGATAAAGGAATAAAGAACCGATTCAACTCAGATATAGATATAAGGAACCATCCGAGAAAATACAGTATAAATGTCAATCTTTTCTTTCTCCATTTTTTTTTTCTTTCTTTTTTTTTTTTTTTTTTTTTTTTTTAATTGGAGAATATGTGTGGATTTACAGCTTATCTTCATTTTGATACAGTTTCTAAAGATGGTGGTGTCCATTTACCAGCTTTAGATCTTGAAAGTTCACTTGATTTGATTCATCATCGAGGTCCTGATTCTCGTGGTATTTACATCTCCTCGGATGGTCGTTGTGGTAAATCATAATAAAAATAGATCATCTTCAAAGTCCACTTATATTTTTTTTTTTTGAAAGGTCTTGGTCATGCTAGATTATCTATTATCGATCTTGAAGGAGGACAACAACCTCTTAGTAATGTAGATAATAATATTCATGCTGTGGTCAATGGAGAACTTTATGATCATGATCGTCTTATGAAAGAACTCAAAGAACAAGGTCATCATTTTAAAACAAAATGTGATAGTGAATTAGCTTTGCATTTGTAAGTAAAATTCTCAGACTAATAATAAAAATCATATAATCAAAATCAATCGCTCCTTAAATCTCACTCCCTTTTTTTTTTTATTTTTTTTTTTTTCTTTATTCTTTTTAGTTACCAAGATTATGATACTGACTTTTTGGAACATTTACGTGGTGAATTCGCCGTGGCTATTTGGGATGAAAGAAATAGTAGATTACTTCTTGCTCGTGATCGTTTTGGTATCAAACCTGTCTATTATACTATTATTAACAATACATTGATGGCTGCTAGTGAAATCAAAGCATTCTTGGCTTTTGGTTGGAAACCTGAATGGGTAAAGCTTTTTTCTTTCTTTTTCTTTTTTTCTTTTATTCACCATTTTATTTTATTTTTTTTATAATAGGATGTTGACTCTATTGTGAACGATGGTCCTTCTGCTGATGGTCGTACTTGTTTTAAAGGTGTCTACAAGGTAAGAACAAAGAACAAAAAAAAAAAAAAAAAAAAGAAGAGGTCAAACATTACATATATACTGACATGATTTTTTTTTTTTTAGTTACCTGCTGGACATTATCTGACAGCTACCTCAAGTGGAAGTATTTATTGTCGTCAATACTGGGATGCTGAATATCCTGATAAGAATGTAGAAGATACGCGTACAGTAGAAGAAATGGTGCAAGGTGTTCGTGAACGTCTGATTGAAGCTGTGCGTCTTCGAATGCGTGCTGATGTTCCTCTTGGTATCTATCTTAGTGGTGGTATTGATAGTTCTGCCATTGCTGGTGTAGTCACTGACTTGTTACGTAAAGATAATCCTGATGCTAAAGTAGATACTTTTGCCATCTCTTTCACTGGTAAGTCATTATAATAAACAATATAAAAGAATATCTTTTGGACATTATTTTTACTTACCTTTTTTTTTTTTTTTTACTTATTAGATGGTAAGAACTTTGATGAAGGTGATATTGCTGAACGAACAGCTGCTTTTTGTGGTGCTAACTTCCACAAGTTACCTGTATCCCAACAAGATTTAATTGATAACTATGCTGATGCTGTTTGGCATACTGAACAACCTTTACCTAATTTGAATGCTTCTGGAAAATTTTTACTCTCAAAATATTGTCGTGATGCTGGAATCAAGGTATGATATTATATGATAAAAAAAAAGAAGAAGAAAAGAAATAAAAGAAAATACTATTAACATAATGATGTACTAACTGATTTCTTTTTTTTTTTTTATGTGATTATAGGTTGTGATGACTGGTGAAGGTAGTGATGAGCATTTTATTGGTTACGAATTCTTTTATACTGATTATTTACGAGAAGCTGACAAGTCTTCTCCTGGTGGATTTGGAACACCTACTGAAGAACGCCGACTAAAGTTATTCAAGGAAAGAACAGAAAATCCAACCATGATGCACTTCAAATTGAACCCTATGGCAGATTCCCCTACAGCTCATCGTTGGAACAACATTGTAATGCAAGATTACTTTGGATCATTGATCAGCTTGCCTAAAGATGCTTTCACAGATAAGGTCATCAAACGTCATGGTCCTCCTGGTTATGGTACCACTTATTTGGAATTCCTCAGTCCTATCAGTAGAGCTAAAGCTCGAAAAACCTGGCATCCTGTACATGCTTCTTTGGTATGTTTATATAAAATGATGAAAACAGGAAAATGGATGTATTTAACAAATACTTTTTTTTTATTATTTTAGTATTTGGAAAGTCGAACATTTCTTCCCAATATTTTATTGAACTTCCTTGGTGATCGTACCGAAATGGCGCACTCGATTGAAGCTAGAACTCCATTCTTGGATCATCATCTTTGTGAATATGTCAATAGTCTTCCACCGTAAGTAATGTCAAAACCTTTATACTTCATCACCTCCTTGACATTTTTTTTTATCATTATTATTATTGCTATTTTGTAGTTCAGTCAAGCTTCGTGGCGATGGAGAAAAGTTGAATGAAAAATGGATCCTTAAGGAAGCAATGAAACCATACATCACCGAAGAAGTTTACAACCGCACCAAACATCCATACGTTGCACCACCTAGTACCAACAGTGCAGACGCACCGCCATTACAATTGATTAACAAGTATCTTACAAAGGAAAAGGTCGAACAATTAGGATGGGCCAACTGGACTTTTATTGAATCGCAACGGGACTATTGGATGGCTTCAGGAGATCGCTTGGCTTTCAAGGATATCTTTGTAGTTATCTCATATGTGATTCTTAGCGAAAGATTCGGTGTAGCTCCTGCCATTTTTTAGTTTTAGAGTTTATTATAGTGTTTAGTATAGATACGTTACTATTATTACTTTTTTTTTTATTGTCTATTTTACTCAATAAAATAAATTTTATATGTCACGATACTTTTTTTTTTTTTTAAGAAAAGTTGGATGGATCGTTTTAATGCTTTGTATCACCTTCTTATTTTATAACATTACATTGAAGGAACATTCTCTTCTTCTTTTTTGGGGATTCTTTTTTTTTTCTTTGCGACATCCGTTGTCGGTAGTTTTTTTTTTTTTTGCCCTTCAAAATGGAAGCTATCACCCCATCATGTTTTAATTGTCGTACGAAATAGTTCACAGTCTTAAAAAAAAAAAAAAGGAAATCTTTTTATTCTTACCCTGTTGGATGTTTACTTTTGACACTACTATATAATAAAAAATTAGCCAATAAAATTGTTTTTTTTTCTGTTTTCACCAAAATGCATCAGAATTTTTACACTTTATTCAATAGTAAATGACAGAATTCAAAAATAAGTTGTCGCAAAAATAAGAAATAAAATATAGAAAAATAGATGACAGAATGGCATTCTTTTCCATTCGCATTAATAGCATTTTATGCCTATTTATAGACTAATTTAAAAAAATAAAGGTTGATATGATCATATCACATTCAATATTGAACATCATCCAAAAATATTATCATCATTAGATTCCTTTCAAATAAGTAATTTTAACAATAGGTAATAACTTTTCATTGATCAGGTTATTACATAATGAGAAAAAAATGCTATTTGAAGTATCTTCCAGCCTGAGAACCTCTTTATATTTTTGTATTTCGTTTAAAAATGGACATCATCTCACCAAATTTGGACTGAACATACATTAAATTATTCTCTTTCAATTGTATTAATAACAGTTTATACTTTACCTATCCAAGATTTAGAGTAAATTTAAAAAAAGGTAAAAATAGGGCATATCGGAGTGTGAAAAGGGTCCATACCACAATTTGCAATCAAGGATAAAAAAAGGGATTTATATAGCTGGGGTTTTGGTAGTCTGGGTGCCAAGATCTTCGGATCCTCTGAGCAAGACATTATTAAAGTCGAAATAAAAAAGAAGTGGGATGTATTGATGGACGAAGTTACGGCGTTGCGTCTAAGATTGTAGTGGTCTGATTCATTCTTTCGCTGCTAGAGTTTCCTGATGGTTTCCTGATGGTTACTCGAAACACAACAATGGGGAGATATCACACAGGAGATGAACATCATATGGACCGAGTAATGGACATCGTAAAATACTACCCACTTCGCCCGTTTTTTTTTTTTTTTTTTTTTTTTTTTTTTTTTTTTTTTTTTTTTTTTTTTTTTTTACAACTATTCAATCCATTCATATCTTTTTACTTTTTTTTTTCTTTCTTCATTATTCAACAAGTCAACAACTATCAAGGTCATATCATTGTCATGACTTTTTGGTAATCAAATTATATTTATTATAAGATAAAAACATTTACAAAAAGTAAACTCACTTTAGTTTGGACCAATGAACAATTATCAATAAAAGTAACTTTTAACTTTTATTATCTCATTAGGAAGCAAGCTTCTTGATTTATCTTTCTCAAACACAATCAAAATCAATCGAATAATATCATATAATGATCTAAAATACCTTTACACCAATCTCTGTAATAGGACTATGAAAGTGTAAAGTTCAAAAAAGAAAACTACGCGACTGTCTTCTAATCCTATTCTTCTTCTTCTTCTTCTTCTTTTTTTTTTTATATATCTTTTTGTGTATAAACTATTCCAACTTCTTTACTATATGCGCCCTTTGTTCTTGTAAACTACAATTACTATGATGAAAGGTAAGCTTTATTACAAAACAAAAAAATAATTTTTTTCTTTTCTTTCTAACCTTACTCTTTTCTCTATCTCTTTCTCTTTTTGTAATATAATCATGTACTTTCTTCTGGTCTTTATCTTTTTATTGGTTCAGTATCATCTAGCCGTTATTCTTCTTTTTTCTCTTAGCTCTTTGTATTTGATATTCTCTGTACGATGATAGTAAGTCTGAAAAAAAAAGGAGATCAAAGGGAAATCTAGATACACAAATACTAGCAACTGACATCTTTTTCTTTTTTTCTAAAAAAAAAAAAAAAAAAAAAAAAAAAAAAAAAGATAGATCTACGACTATGATAGGTATACAATAGGAAAAGTTGAATGGATGTACAACAGGATCAACAGACGGAAGATAAAGGATGAGCAAACTAGATGGAATGGAGATGCAACTGGATCAACTGTTGTAGATGAACAGACAATCAATAGGAGTGGAACACATACAATCATAGGGTGGATAATATATGGACAACGATATCAACTGGATGAATAGATGATGACACTTTACTTTTCACTTTGGATGTTATCATATTGACTTTTTGATGGATTAATAATTTAGTTATATAGTAATGCCTATATTACATTACCTAGTATATCATCTTCTTCAATAAAATCATACTTATATTATATCATCATCATCATATCAAACTTAGGCTGAACATAGATGAAAACATTCTCTTTCACTTACATTAATGATGGTTCATATCTTATCTCCCAATTTATAGAGTAAATTAAAAAAAAAAAACAAAGGTCAATATCGTCATCCCTCATGCAATAGCGATCATCATCCAATAAAATTACTATCATTAGATTCCTCTCAAAAAATTAGTCTAATATCATTTAATGCTATTTTATCACTTATTTTGCCATCTAATGTACAATGATCACCAACAACATTTCTTCCATTTTTCGAAAAATTGCCTGATGGACCCCTGACGATTCGTTTTTACAGCCAAACTTTGGCTGAGGAGTTCGAAAATTTTGGCTGTAAAATCCCAAATTTTCAAAAAAAAAAAAAAAAAAAAAAAAAAAAAAAAAAAGCTACAACGCTAAATAGCTCTAATCATCTTTCAAATCAGACTTTTAAGGTTAAATCTATTAACGTAACGTGTAAGCATTATTAACAAAAAATGTTTATACTACCTATGATTACTTCTTTATTTAGTGGATGAAAAAGCCAGGTTGTTGATACTGCTTAGAGAATCACAGAAATAGGATCATTTGAGAGCTAATCTCACTCTAAAAGATCAAATCCATTTTGAGGATTAACATCTCAACCAAAACTAGTAAAACATGATTATCATCTATGACTATTTTTTTTATTGCAATTATGATTGTTTTGACGATCAGTAAAACTTGAAGATTTAAATAAAATTTGACAGATAGATTTTTTTTATTAATGCTTTTTTTTAAAAAAAAAAAAAAAAAAGAAAAAGAAAAATAAAATACCTAAACTACACTAATCCATGGTAGGGGCAATATCAAATTGTTCGCTAATCACTATGTAGGAGATAATCAATAATATATTTTTGTAGATCCAAGGATCAGTCGTTTTCAAAAAAGTGTCGCGTTGTTGTTCAATAAAAGGCCAGGATGCCCAGCCTAATCGATCCACTTTTGCTTTGGTGAGGTATTTGTCTATAAGTTGCGACACGGGTGTTTCTTTTTTAAGAGAACCACGAGCAGGAGGAGCCAAGAAGGGATGTTTGGTTCGGTTGTATATTTCCTCACTAATGTATGGTTTCATTGCTTCTTTCAATATCCACTTTTCATTCAATGCTTTGCCATCCCCACGAAGCTTAACAGAACTACGACAGAAAAAAAAAAAAACAGGTCAATATTAAGGTTACCTTGTCTACGAGTTCATTTTTTTAATACGTACGGAGGAAGATGATTAACATATTCACACAAATGATGATCCAGAAAAGGAGTTCTTGCTTCAACAGAGTGAGCCATTTCACTACGATCGCCAAGAACGTTCAATAAGGTATTGGGAAGGAACGTTCGACTTTCTAAATACTATGAATACCAGATCAAAAAGGAAAAAAAAAAGAAGAAGAAGCGATTAGTTGCCTATTAGTTATTTTGTTTATCCTATCATCATATACCAAACTAGCATGAACGGGGTGCCATTTCTTTCGTGCTTTGCTTCGTGTAGTTGCATTCAATGCTTCAAGTGATGTGTTTCCAAAATCAGGGATTCCATAGTTCTGAATGATCTCATCCCGATAGTAACCAGCAGGCAAATTTACCCATTGACCAAAATGATCTTGCATCACAATATTGTTCCAACGGTTAGCAGTTTTCGATGGCACGGTCGGATCCATTTTGAAGCCCAAGACTATTGGATTACTAGTATGTTCCTTGAGTAGTTGAATTCGACGTTCTTCTGTGGGAGTCCCAAATCCACCAGGTGAACACTTGTCGGCCTCACGCAGGTAATCAGTATGAAAGAATTGATAACCAATAAAATGTTCATCACTACCTTCACCAGTCATTACAACCTAAATATGCAAAAAAAAAAAAAAAAAAAGTATAAAGTTTTATTGTCTTTGTTCTAATCAGAGACTTTTTATCATTCCATTACCTTAAAACCAGATTCATAACAATGTTTTGATAATAAGAATTTCCCAACACCATTCATATTTTCAATAGGCTGTTCAGTATGCCAAATGGTTTCTGCAAAGTTATCGACCAGATCTTGTTCAGAAACAGATACCCTATGAAAATTGGATCCACAAAAAGCAGCTGTTCTTTCGGCGATGTCACCTTCATCAAACTTTTCTCCACCTATTATTATTAAAATAAAAAGTATGATCCATCAGTCGATTTTATTTCTTTCTTCATAATCCAATTACCAGGGAATGATATAGAGAAGACATCAACCTTTGCATTTGGATTGTCTTGACGTAATAAATGAGTAGCTACCCCAACAACAGAAGAACTATCAATACCACCACTAAGATAAACCGCTAAAGGTACATCAGCACGTAATCGTAAACGAACAGCTTCTATGAATCGATCATGTACGCCTTGAATCATTTCTTCTACCGTACGTGTATCAGGTACATTCTTATCAGGGTAGTCAGCATCCCAGTATTGTTGGCAAACAATACTTCCACTTGCAGACACAGTCAAATAATGAGCAGGTGGTAACTATCATTACAAATATAGAAATAAAAATAAAAGAAAAAAAAGAAGAGTGAACAACGTGGCAAGTCTCCCTTTATCATCTTATTGTCATACTCTCTTTTCTTATTCTTTTTTTTATTTTTTATTTTTTTTTACCTTGTATACACCTTTGAAACAAGTACGGTAATCACCCGTAACACCACCTTGAATAATAGTACTAACATCCTGGAAGAATAATAAAAGTTAATGTCAATAAAAAAAGAAAACGAGTTTCTTTGTATAATCTTTACCCATTCTGGTTGCCAACCTAAAGGTAAGAATGCCTTGATTTCGCTAGCGGCCAAAAAAGTACCATTGACAATAGTATAATAGACAGGTTTGATACCGAAACGATCACGAGCAATCATCAATCTACTTTTCTTTTCATCCCAGATGGCAATAGCAAATTCACCACGTAGGTTTTCCAAAAAGTCGGTATCATAGTCTTCATAACTGAAAGAAAGAAAGAGAAGTGAAAAATGCGGGAATTAAAATTATATGCCCCTTTTTATGCTTTGTTCAAACTTACAAATGGAGAGCCAATTCACTGTCACTACGAGTCTTGAAGTGATGCCCTTTTTCTTCGAGTTCTTTCATAAGACGATCATGATCATAAAGTTCCCCATTAACTACAGCATGAACATCATTGTTTACATTGCTAAGAGGTTGTTGTCCACCTTCCAAATCAATGATGGACAACCGGACATGGCCTAAACCTAGAAGAACGAAAAAAAAAAAACAATCTAGGTGTCAAGAAAATATCTAGAGGAGAGAACAATGTGCAATTTTTTTTTTTTGTAGATTACCACAACGACCATCCGTTGAAACAAAAGTTCCTCTTGCATCAGGTCCTCGATGATGAATAAGATCAAGTGATTTTTCAAGGTTCAATGTTGGTATATGTCTATCTCCATCTTTGCTGGAAGATGATTGATAATGAAAGTAAACAGAAAAACCGCACATCAAGTAATAAAAAATAAAAGTATAATGATGACAAAATAAAAGTAAAAAAAAAAAAAATGACAACAGGGGAGGTAGAGCCATTTAAATAGATGAGAAACTATTAGAATGAGTTCGGATGGAGGCGAAAAACAAAAGTATAGCGCTAATTCTTTTTTCGCCAAGCATAAATGGATTCAGTTTATGTGTCATTCCACATGTAATAAATTGTACGATGATCATCCTATATAACATCATAAAAGAATAAATCATCATCAAAGTCAATGGAATCATCATAGGACTCACCGTCATCGGAAGTCAAGATCCGCTGAGTATTAATATTATGTATAAGACTATATGTCATATCTACCGTGGGATCAGCTCCATCTTAAAGCGTGCAACGTGAATGGGAAAATAGGTGTAGAGAATGGTTTGTCAAAATAAAATAAAAAAGCCGATACTAGGAACCAAGAGAGAGAGAAAAAGAATACCTTTTTGTGATGCACGGTAAATAGTTTTACTTCCAGTCTTGGGATCTAAGAAGGTTGCACGAAACATTATCATAGATCATCCATCATTATCATTATCATTATCAACATCATCATTATTCACTGATTATTCACTGATCGTAGGAAACGTTGGGCATGTGCATAAATTTATAATTTATCCGTTCGTACTCATAATCATGAATTGTACATTCGTGTATGTCCAACAAAAAAAAAAAAAAAAAAACATCATCAATTCATGCGTACCTTTCAATAATACCACCAGTTCTGGACTCAATATTCTTATAAATAGTGATGACATTCATATTTTAGATCAAGGTGATACAATCCCCCATTCATCACTGCATAAAATTGAAGACAGAGTTGTACATCCACCTATAATCAAAGTATTTACGAGATATATATGAAGGAAAAGGAAGAATGCTTAGTAAGAGAGGGAAAAAAAAAAGAAGCTGATTTAGGAACTTTACTTTCCAATAATAAACAGTTCTTCAAAAAGAGAGAAAAAAAATAATCTTTGATTGACATTTATTGATGAATAAAAAAAGATATATATATATATATATAAAGAAGTTGAAGAGAATTCAAAAAGGAGGGTAGAAAGATAATCATAAAAACGCACAAGCATGCTAAACTAAATCATTGTTCTATTTTTTTTTTCATCCAATCATTCATCCAAAGTTATTTGTTGTTATTCCTTAGTTTTTATAACCGAGTTCAGTCAAAGAAGAAACCAAAGCATCCTTAACCTTTTGAATATGTTGACGTTCATCATCCATGACAGAGATACCCATATGACCAATACGGAAGTACTTGGTAGCCAAACCTTGTAAAATACCACCAGCGATTTGAACACCTTTACCAGCCAAAGCAGGAACCAATTGACTTACTTCAACACCTTCAGGTAACCAGATAGCAGTCATACCGTTAGCAGCGAGCTCTTCACTTTGAGCAACAGTCTTCAAACCCAAGTTACGGACAGTTTGACGGAAATCAGCAGCAACAGCAGCATGTTTCTTGAATCGAGTTTCCAAAGGTTGACTTAAGATGAGCTTTAAGGAAGTATGGAGAGCGTAGACCAATTGGACAGCAGGAGTGGCAAAGTAAGCTGGCTTACGAGCTTCATAGGCGGTCATGACTATCATCATCATCATCATCATCATCATCATCATCATCATAAAAAGGACAAACAATAGTGAATCAGTATCAAGTGTTGTATATTACTGATTTTTCAAACATGTCCATCGACTTGTAGACATACTCTTAGATCCCCCTTTTTTTTTTTTTGTTGTCTATTTCCTTATTGATTTTTTTTTTTTTTACTTACTGGGCAACCATTTGTTCCAGTTAGAATAGTAAGCAGGTATGGGAGATTTGCGATCCTTAAATACTTGGATGGCATAGGGAGAAGCAACGACAATAGAAAGACCAGGAGGGACACCAAGACCCTTTTGAGAACCGGTAATGACAACATCCAATTTCCAATCATCAAAAAGAATTTCTTCCGAACCAACGGAGCAAACACCATCAACTACAACAAGGGTTTCAGGGGAAGCAGCCTTGACTTGGGCAGTTACAGCATTAATATCAGACAAAACACCAGTACTAAAATCAAAAAAGGAAATTAAGGTGAGATTTTTAAGAGTTTTTTTTTTTTTTTTTTTTTTTTTTTGAAAACAAATGAAACTTACGAGGTATCAACGTGGGTAACAGTAACCATTTTGAATTTGGTCTTAGATAAAGCTTCAGCAATAGCTTCAGTGGAAGGACGAGAACCAGGTTCAGAGCGAAGATAAGTGATTTTGGCACCATAGACTTCCAAACTATGATCATCCAAAAATAATAATAATAATCAAGATAGATCCATTCATTAGTCATCCATTTTTTTTTCTTTCTTTCTCTATATAGAACGCGTTTTCTATTATTATTATTATTATCATTATTATTATTTTACCATTCAGCAAAGTGATCACCAAAGTAACCAGTAGTAAGAACAAGAACTTCGTCACCAGCTTCAAGCAAGTTAACCATCATATCCCAACCCAAAGTACCAGAACCAGAAGTGATGAAAGGTTGAGCAACTTTGGATTGAACAACTTGGCGTACCATTTCAATAGACTCACCAAAGATAGGAACAAAGAGAGGGTCAACGTGAGAAGTGGCAGGAGTGGCCATAGAAGTCAAGACGTCTTCATGGAATTCAATAGGACCTATATTTCAATATGAATAAAATAAGTAAAGACAAAAAAAGGGATATAATAAAATATTTACCAGGAATCATGCAAAGTTTGTGAGCAGCCATTATAGTTGTTGTGAGAGTTTGAAAAAGATGGGGAAAGTGAAAGAAAAGTGTAAAACTTGATAAGGCGACAAATATATATCGCATAGACCGAATCATTTTCGTGACTTTGAGGGGGAGGAACTAAAAAAGAAAAAAGAAACAAATAAACCAATCGTATTTTAAGTGTAACGGGGCCCCAAATTGAATTCTGCGGTAATTCAACAAAGGGTATCTTTACACTTTTCCTACCATTCTGATTGGATATTTCATTTAAGCTATAGTCAAAGATATAGTAGATCGAGTTAAACTCAGAGACGCATGAAGAGAGAGAGAGAGAATCATAATACAAGTATTTATATATCATCATCATCCATATGACAAGGATCATCATACTGATTTCATTACTCTTCATTTTATTCTTTTGAATTATAATAGACACGACAAAAAAAAAAAAAAAAAAGGTCCAGTCAAAAGAAGATAGCGGCATTGGAATTACTTTTCTCAGGGGTGGTTGTAATCTCTTACATTTTAAGATATTGCAAAAATAGGAAATAAAATATCGTAAGGATAGGAAATGGATGACAAGGAAAAAAATAAGAGTTGTCGCATAATCCAAATTGAATACAAGAAGAAGAAAAAGAAGAAAAGTGACAATAGTTCCATTGTGTACAAGAGACTTTGAATAACAGAAAATAAAATATATATTTAGTCAACATATCCATTTTTTTATATTTGTTTTAACTTACCTGTAGAAACGCATTAAATACATCCTCATGAAGAAGTGATAACATATGTCTATATGTTGCTGTATACAGATTGATTATTTACTTTGAATTGGAAACACCAAGGGAGATTTCATAAAGAAAAAAAAAAGAAGACAATGATTAATCTACTGTATCATCATCATCATCCTCATCATCATAATCATCATTATCATCATTAAAAGAAACTTACTATTGACGCAAGGCACAGAAAAAAAAAGTCCAATAGGTGTAATATGATTGATGTTGTTGATGCTGGTACAGATCGCAATCATACAACAAAGCAAATCAAAAAAGAAGCAAATAGACCTAACAGCCCGTCTTGATACTGATAGAGTTATAATTCAGAAAAAAAAAAAACTTGTATTGGTGTGGATGTAGATAATATGAAGAAGACCTCAACTCCAACGTTGGTTTAAAAGAACAAATACATGATCTCTATCTCTCTTTTTCTTGTTTAGTGACTTTATATCTCTTTCAATATTATTTATTTCAAAAACCAATCCGTTGATATTTTTCCATTAATTCCATTCAGTACCATAATAACTTTCTTTCTTTTGAATCAAGCAAGCTTAACATCATATTCTGAGTCCTTTTTTAATATCAAACATATATCAGCTTTATTCATCAATCACATTCATGCAGCATAATCAACCGTCCATCCAATCCATTAACCATCAGTATCCTAATTTCCATCATACTATGAGGTATCGTAAGAATCAATATAAATCATTATTTATCCTTCAATTATCCCATTCCATTTTTCAATCATTGACATTTTTATCAAGTGTAATAGATAAAAAAAAAAAAATTTATTCTTCGTTCGAAAATAATTCACAGTATCTACTGCGAATACTCTTCCAATAGCACTAATACTATCCTAATAAGAGACAATAATAATAATGATATATTCTAACATCAAGAAGACAATGCCTTTTTCCAAGTTTCCAACACCAATTGAGCATCAGCAGCATCCAATTTCCCTTCCAATGTTTGTTCCAAAGATTTCCAAAATGCCTCCGACTTGACAGTAGTTTGTGCTTGAGAAGATAAGGTAGTTTGAGAAGAAGAAGATGGAGCTGAAGTGACAGGAGCGGTTGAGGAAGTAGCTTTATTGATCATAAGATGTAATGTAGCGTCCTTTGTCAATTGATAATCACGTAACGTCTTGTCGTCGTTCAACACTTTGCCCTTTAGTAAAAGTCGTTGTTGTTTAGCTGGGATAGTCTTTTGTTGATAGATACGTTGCTTTAGATTCAATACAGTGTCGTCCAAGGACAAACGAGTAATACGGAACTGGGAAGCTGGTTTTAATGTCTTAATCACTAGTTCAAGTGCGTCGCCTGTCTCTTTTGTATTGGCTGTTGTTGATTGGGTTGTGTCAGTAGGAGTTGAAATGGATGCTGTTTGCTTCTTTATAGGTTGACGCTATCCACATGAAAATAAGTGATTCATGTATAAAAATATATAGATAGAAGAATATTAGTAATAAGATTGATGATTCTTTTTTTCTTTTTCTTTTTTTTTTTTTAATACCTTGATACGTAAAGAAGAAGGTAGAGTGCGAGCCAAATAATCTTGTCCATAACGAACAGATTTGGTGGATAATTCTTTCAAATAATCATTGATATAATCTTGCTCGTTGCCTATAGTTGACATGATATATATGAGTGTATATATGAATATGTATCTGTTCGAAACGAAAAAGAAAAAGAGACAAATACACAAACCAAAGAGCAGGAGTAACAAAAAAAAAAAAAATTACAGTGAAGCGAAATTTTCAAATTCATTCAGCCAATCAGAGAGCTTAGCATCATTTTCTTTTATTTTTTTATTTTTATTTTCAGAGTTTTGCTTTGTCTCTTTTTTTCTTTCTTCACTTTTTTTTTTTGTATCCTGTACTCAAGTCATGAATTCCTTATTATTACCTGCCATTTACCTTGGTGGTTGTGTTACTGCCATGAGTATATTCTCTCATTTTTATCGAAAATTCACTGGTAATGTATTCCATACTATGAACTTTTATATTACAATTGAAGGGGAGAGAGAGATGAAAATGGATAATTATCCTTTACTAACACTTTCTTTTTAATTTATGGTTTTTTTTTTATTTTTTTATTTTTATCTTCATAGGATTAAAGCAAATAGATCCCTGGTTCCCAGAAAACGAAGCCAAAGAAGAGTACATTACTTTATTGAACTGCGAAACCTCAGTACCTGAACATCACCTACGTGCTTCTTTGTTGCGACGAGCGATGGAAGGGGTAAGACGATTGGTGCAAGTACAACAAGAAAAGCCTGCATTACAACAATTGATGCGTATGGGTAGTGTTGGAGATGATCTTTGGACTGAATTCACTGTGGCAGAACAAGAAATTATGAATGAACTACAAGCCATTGCTACTGAAGCCAACACATACAAAGAAGGATGGGGACAAACTATCTTCTCAACAGCAGCTCAAATGTTGGAACATGAAAAGCAAAAGAATCTTCAAAAGGAAATGGTGCAACTAAGGGCGACTGAAGAAAAGAAACGATTGGCTCAAGAAAAAAGGGAACAACAAGATCGACAACAACAACAGGAACGCGACGCTGAACGAAGACAAAAGGAAATGGAAAAGGCTCAACAAGACCTCTTGAAAATGGAAGAAAACGAAAAAAAGCAAAAAACCAAGGGAAAGAAATAGGATAGATACCTTTTAGTATTAGAATAGTTGATTGTTAGCGTTTTTTTTTTTGTAGTACTTTTATAGTACTGGTTTTATTTATAATAAAAAAGACAATGATAGCGTACAATGAAGAATGATGATGACGATGATGGATATGACAGTAATAAACTTTGTTAGATCGACTTGGATTGAATATAGTTTAGGGGCTGTTTCAATAGGAAGATGATAGACGGAGGGAAACTACAGAAATCAGAGTTTACGCCCCATATTTCATAAAAGTTTGTTAGGTAAAATGCTATCTATAGTTAAAACAGTAGCACGAGATTTTATTCATTTGTATGATCCACGTTATTGAAATCTGATTAAATCATCGGTTATATATCTATAATCATCCTATGATAAAATTTCACGGATATGTTTTTTTTAAAAAAAAAAAAAAAAAAAAAAGGATTCCAAATTGTCTCCTGTTGACGAGTGTCCGGTTCAACTCCTTGGTTGCTAAGGAAACGTCTTTATATATTCTTATCTTTTACTATATATATATTAGTGAAAACATGATTTGTAAATATAAACCAAAAAGCAATGATATTAGTGATCAAGCGTAAACAATCTATTAATAATGATATATTGAATAATGATCATCAACGAGAGACATTAAAAAAAAAAACCGAAATCAAAGGTTGGATGGCATCAATATGACAGAGGGATGATTGACAACTACAAGTTCGCCACCTAATAAAAGTACTAATGTACCTGTTTAAACAACTATTTGATATTGATCGTTCTCTCATGTACCACAGATAACAAAAATAGGAAAAGAAATTCAATACTGTGAGCTTCACACGCACGCGGGAGCGGACAATGGCTATAAGAAATTGATACCCCAGCTTTTCGTATTACCATATTAGGAAGACGTGATTAGATTAAGCACAAAAAGTCTGATAACACATTCTTTTTTTTTTCTTTTTGGTTGATGTTGATATATAACAAGTCATCATCATTCAATTTTTTGTTTAATTTTCTAATGATGATGATTGTTTTTTAAGATAAAAGAATACAATATAAAAAGATAGTCGAATAGATGTCGTACAGTGAGGTGATGTTAAAATGATGGCAAAAAAAAAAAAATAAGATTTTTCTCCATATTCAAGATCTCTCCTTTTTTTATTGATCTGGTATAAACCTGAAAGGAGACAACAAAAGTACGTCTATGGATAATGATTTGTGTTTGGTTTAAACAGCTTAAAGGAGTAATGATCAAGGGAAAGACGTTCCCTATGAATGGCAAAAAGTACGTGTCCGTACATTTTGTACTTTTTTTTTTGCCATTTCAGGAGGAAAATAGTTTTCTTTTTTTTTATATATGCAAAAAGGATCTTTTTGATCTCCTTTTTTTTTTTTGGAGGATAAAAAGTGATAGATGATCAACATTTTTCTATCATTCTTTTTCTTTTTTTTTTTTTCTCTTTTGAATCATCATTTTATTGTTGCTACAAAAATGAGTACTACTAATGATACCAGTTACATGTTTGTGGAGCAAGGCGTCGTTGGCCCTGACTCAATGGAAATCGGATCAGAACTTATCTCATTGGCATGTATCACTGTACTAGCCGTTGCTTTGGGTGCAAAAACTTTTAATGAAAAGGTTAAATCCTTGAATTATGGTCGTGTATTGGTTATTATTTTATATACTCTCTCTTGGGCTTTTGCTGCTACTTCGGTTGTTGTTGTATCTACTAATGATAGTAAGTTGAATGATTTATCTATATTAACTTTTCCCGCCTAATTCATCCCCCCTCTTTTTTTTTTTTATTGTAGATAATATTGTATCTTGTACTTTGGCAATGATGTCTTGTGATTTCTTTTATGCTGGAAGTAAGATCGCTATTTATGCATGGCTTATTGAACGTGTTCATTTGGTTACTGCTGTAAAAACTACTCGACTCAAGACTTGTCAATACAAATTCCATATCTGTCTCTTGTTCCCTTATTCTGTTATCTTTGTTCTTATGGTAAAGCATTGATTCTCCGCATATGAACAGTTTGCCTGATTTTCCTTTTTTTTTTTTTCTTTTTCTTCTTCTCTTTCTTCTTCTTTTTTTTTTTTTTTTTTTTATAGTTGACTTTCCGAAATATCTACATTGAACAAGATGGTAAATGTACCATTGGTTTACAATATGTTGCTAGTATTCCTCTACTTGTTTATGATTTCGTAAGTAAAAAAAGAAATACTCTCCTTTTCCCTCCTTTTTTTTTTATATATATACTCATTTCTCCTCTTTTGTTTGATAAAGATCTTCAACTGCTACTTGACATGGTTGTTCATGAGTCCCTTGATGAATGTTGGACGAAACTCCCGAACTGACTGGAAACGCTCAAAGTTATACCGTCTTGCTCGTCGTACTCTTGTTGCTTCTGTAGTATGCTTGACTATCTCCTTCGTCAATGTGTTATTGGTCGTAACAAGTCAAGGACACCAGAGAGGTTTGATTTGTTTAACCGCCTGTACCCTGGATGTCACAGTAAGTTATGATTATCATTATTTTTTAATAAAAGATCAGGGGGACAAAAAAAAGGAAGGAACACGTCGAGAAGGGGTGATGGTGAAGGAGAACATAGGTATCTAATGAACTTTATTTTTTTTTTGTAGATCAACGTTATTACCGTTCATTGGGTCACAACCAATTCTGGAAAATCAAAGAACAATGCTACTACTCACAAGAACATGCACACAGCGGACCATATGACTGCAGAAATGACATTTGATGGAACTGACACTCACCACGAAAAGTCCAAGTACGATATGCCTATGGTCAAACCCAATAACCGTCATGATGATGATGATGACAGTTCGGTCGATCTCTCCAATAATGGAAAGCATGGTGTTTATTGATGGCTACCCTAGTTTAGTCTTTTAAACTTTTTTTATTCTTATTTTTCTACTTAGTTATTTAGTTCTCCTTCCTTCATTCTCCTTATTTATTACTTATTCGTACCTGCCTTCTTTTTTTTGTAATTCATTACTCAATCCAAAAACAGACCTTTTACTTTTTACTATTTCTATTTTTTTTTTTTATGAAAAAAAGTGAATAGTTCAATAAAATAAAAAATAAAACAAATTATTATAAACTAAAATTTTCACTAGTGTTGGCGTTTTTATATAATCTCCTATTGTTGAAATGAAAACCTGTTCTTTATCCAGTATTAAAGATTTTTTTTTCCAACCCCAATTATCATTAGGTACCGCTGAACTATAACCAACTATCAGAGCGTCATTATCATCTACATTAGACGTCATCTTTTATCACACTTCATCGTCTATTTATGCCATCGTTCATCATCATTCTTCCTCTATCCATTACAGTCAACACTCACCAACCAACCATGAATTAGTTATATATACTGTATTTATCTGAAATGATTCATCCGTTTTATAAGATAACAAAAAAAAATCCATTGGACCATATCGGCCTTTGAAGTCGTCAAACGTCCCATTGGCTCTTCCTTGCATGAATTTTCGATTATTTATTGAGAAAAAAAAATACTATCTATCTAATCATCATACTACAAATGGAATATTTGATCCCTTAGCCTAAAAAAAAAAAAAAAAAAAAAAAAAAAAAAAGGAAAAAAAAGAAAGAGGAATCCATCAGTTCATCTGTTTAACCAAAGAGTTATACTTACTCTTCAGTAATGTAAAAGAATACCAAGAGAAACAGAAACACACCACCCTCTTCCTATATGAATGTAAATTAAAAAGAAAAATCAGTCAGTTCATCGATCAGGCGTCCTCTCCTTTGCTTTTTCACCCGACTTACAGCAATCAATGGAGGTACCACATTTGGCATTTCATATTCCATATATGTCTTGAAGCAATGCATCAGAATCTATATCATAAAAAATAAATAAAAACATTAGTACATTCATGATTCTCGATTTTTTTTTTCAAGGTCGCTTACTATATCATCACCAGGTAAATCAGGGCTTGACTTTGTCCAACGGTATGATTGCAAGTTATCACAGGAGGCAAGATCTATTGTGATGGAAATAAAATGAAACGAATTTTTTTTTTTAAAAAAAAAATAAATAAATAAAAAAGAGCTCAATGATAAAGAAGGGTCTTACCTTTGATACGATCACATACATACTGCCTTTTAGCGACAGAATCATCATAACCAGGAATATGAACAGCATCACGAATATATTTCTAAAAAAAGAGAAACATAATAAAGAAAAAGTTAGCTAATCCATTGGTATATTTCTTATTATTTTTATCATTACTGTAGTAGAATCAGCATGAATAATAGTAGCCATGATGTTACTAGGACAATCTGCAATCGTGTAAGGATGAATTCTTTGATGAAGGATTGCCATTCCAGAAGCCAAAGGATGAAAAACAACACTTGACAACCACTATATAAAAGTAAGAATAATATTAATCAATATATTATCTTTTTTTTTTTGGATCTGTCTTACCTTTGTCAAGCGTTCACGATACATATGTCGCATACTTGAAGTGATCACTTTTTCCCAATGTTCATTCATAAGTGCTACCTGTTCTTCTCGAAAATCTTCCTCCATTTTGTCAGTTCTTGACAATTGCCATAATGTCTTATCCATACGCTTTGCAGGAGGTCGAGGAGGTGGAATGGATGGTGCAAATGATAAAGAAGGTGCTAGTCGTGTTTGCTGCCTTGCTTCTGCTGCCAATCGATCACTTTCTTCGAGCATTCGCTTCAAATCATGACTAGAGTGTTCTTGATATGTTGTTCCTATTTTTGTAGTAGGTGCTGTAGTTGTATTTTTGTTGATGCCAAAGCTGGTGGCTGATCCGATCAAACGTCCTGTCATTATATCCTTGTTATCATAAGGTCGAAAGTTGTTGTGGTATTTAGGTGGTACTTGATCATACGATCCAAATAAAGATGATGTAGTCGATCCTACACCATGAATAGACATATCATTGGTAGACGTGAATGCTGGTTGGATGTTTGGTTGAAGATAAGAAGGTGTTCGCGCTGGTATTTGGGTTGTAGTCTTTTTCTCCTTGACGGAATGAGTCAGTTTTTGAAACGCCAAGCTAATATAATTCCATAAACAGTTGGTCAATGGTGTATAAACTATGAAAAACATGATCAGTTTGTTGAATTCTTGTTATTTCTTGTTTGTTGTATTACCTGGAAAGTTCAAAAAATGATCTATGAAAGGAATTCCCAAATTGGCCACAATGACAAATACACAATAAGAAATAAAAGTATATACTATAAGAACAAAGAAGAAACTGATTAAGTCATACCATACTAAGAATGTACTATTCTTTTTTTTTTTTTTCTTTCTTTTATTACCACCCAATCGGATAAGTAAGTAATCAAGAATAAAGCCTAAACGGATGAATCTAAGAAGAACATGAAATGCCCAAACTATAAATAGGAGTGCAATATGCTGTTTGACATAAAGTTCCTTGATAGTTTGACATACAGTAAGAGCCTTGATCAGCTCTAACATACCCTAAAGAAAAAAAAAAGAAAGACAGAAAAGAAAAAAAGTGCAAAGAATAACAAGCCAAAAAAATTCCCCATAAAAGCTTTTTGGGACGTGATTCATATCCCGATTAACTTATGTGACTAAGTTTGGTGCCTGGCACCAAACTTCCTTAAGCATTTACATTCTTTTGATTTCTTTAACCTGTTCTTTTCCATTGTACTAAAAAATCCATGGATTTGCATACAAGGAGAAAAAAAAAAAAAGAGAGTGGATTGATTTCCAGATGAGTTCAGTTGAATACAAATATGAATGCTTTGTACATACTGACAGGTCGTCAAGGTTTGCTTGCGGTGATTGAAATCCGGCGTCTTTTTTTTTCTTTTTGTGTAAAAACTGATATAGTCTTTTTTTTTTCAATTAGATTACTATGACTGATCAGGAATTCCCGGTGATCAATAAACGAGCAGCAGTAGTCATCAATGACACACATACCGAAGTATTAGTGACAGGATTTAGTGACAAGATCTTCATTGTGGTGACTCAGTATGGTCGGATTGGCAGCTTGGTAAAAGGACAAAAAAAGAAACGCAATAGACTTAACCTTCTTTTTTTTTTTTAATGGGATAGATTCAAACGACATTAGATATATCAGCTCACTTGGCACAAAATCCAGCTTCAGTTCCTACCACCAGTCAGTTCTTACTTGGTGAATCCATTGGTCCTCAAAGCGACTTGTATAGATTATATGCTACGTCCATCTCTCAAGCGATCGCGGCCATGAACCCAAATGAAAAACGACCAGTCTTACTTGGTATTGCTTTGAAACCATTGGATGATATGACTCAACAACGACAAACATTCCACCCTATTATTGATACCATTATGGCGAATCCTGTTTGGTAATATCTTTGATCACATCTTTTCTTTTTGGTTATTTGATTTTCCCCTCGTCCTCTCTTTTTTTTTTTTTGTATAGTTTAATCATTCTAAAATAAAGATCCAATTTTGTTTTATATTTATATATATATATGTGATTTGTTTGTTTTTTTTTTTTTTTTAAAAAAAAAGAAATATTAGAGTAAAAAAAAAATCCTTCCTTGAGTTGATGATAATAACAACCAATTGTTGAATATTTATTGTAATAATATGGGAAAAGAAATCTATTCTAAATGGACAATGAAAATATAAACTAATATACACGAAGCATTCATAATATTGTAAAAATGAATACATGCAGGGAAAAATAATAATAACGGTAAACAAAAAAAAAAAAAGGAAGCTATTCTACAAATCAAGATCATCATCATTCATCATAGCATCAAAATCTTGTCGAGAGATTTTTCCTTTTCGAACCTTTTTCGCTAATCGTTCTTCTTTTGCCAAATCGTCCCAATCATTGTCATCGAGATCGTCATCATTATCATCCATGGTGTCTTGTTGACTATCTTGTTTTCGTTTCAAATAATCCTTTTTCCTATCCTTCTTCAGTCGTCGATCCGCCTTTCTATCCTTGGCTTCTATTTTATTAGACCATGCCGTTGTCCTGATAATAATAGTAATAATAAAAAAGTAAATCAGAGATTATTCCTTTTCTTCGATATTCTTTATTCTTACTTTTTTGGTCTGCGTGTATCTGGAGTAGGTTTCTTTGGTTTCAAAGCAGCTTCTTCTAGTTCCCTTTTTCGTTTCAGTTCCTTGTTCTTGTCAGTATAAGAATAAGCGTTCCACTAGATGATGATAATAATAATAAAAGATCGTTAACATCGTACTATATTCGGTTCATCATATTCCACATACATCCATATCCACTTCTTCAAACGTCACTTGTTTCGCATTTTTGAGTTCTGGCATTTTTGGAAGCTTTAAATGATATCAAAAATAGACTGTAAGCAAGTCGTTATTATTTTTAATAAAAGAGCTAATTCTTCCTTACTTTGAGTAATCCATAACCAGTAGCCACACGACCTAAATCCAGATCTTTGATTCTAAAGATATAACTTGCTTCATGTTTAGAGTAAGCACGAGCCCATGATACAAAAGCCTTGATACCACGATCATACATATCCCTATCTGTCTTGACCACTTGCCTAAAATCATGAATCAATTGATCCACAGAAGGATCTACTACTTGTAAACTGGTGACATCTTTTTCTGTTTCATCATCATTGTCGGGTATGAAAGAATTGTCCTTGGTCACACCATTCGGTAAAAGATAATTGGCACGGGAAATAGGGATCTTCCTAAGTTTCAAGAATTCAACATAGGCTTCTTCACGACCACGCACCAGTAATACAGTTGCTTTCCCTTTTCGTCCAGCACGAGCAGCACGACCACAACGATGAGCAAAAGCTTTTGGATCTTGAGGAGGGTCAACTTGGATTACATAATCTACATCAGGAATATCCAAACCACGAGAAGCAACATCGGTACAGAGCAAGATGGCAGGAACAGCAGGTGGGAGTTGCGTGAAACTAGTATAAGTTGCTGATCGACGCTTGGTTTCCATTTGACCATGTAAAGAGTGAATATCATAACCAGATAAAGAGGCCTGCTTCTTTAGGAGCTTAAAAAAATAATCCACACAAGCACATGTCGCCACATAGACGATAAACTTTCTTGCACCTTCGAGTTGTTGTAATTCATGTTCCAAAAGTCGTATTACTTGAGTCCATTTTTGTTCAGGATCACATACAATATAGTCAATCTCTAAAGAAGCGGGCGTGCGTTGTGTATTTCCTTTATTTTCCAAATCTTCGACCTTGACCACCACACGAACCGGATTACGTAGACCAGCTTTGACCAGATTCGAAATAGCATCAGTCATTGTAGCAGAGAATAAACCAGTTCTTCGTTGTTTTGGTAATTGTGCAATGATGTGATTGAGTTGTTGTGAAAATCCCATATCCAATAACCTATCTGCTTCATCCATTACCAATACTTCGAGTTCCTTTGTATTAATCAACTTGTTGGATTTCATCAACATTTCTTCTAATCGTCCAGGTGTACCAATAAGAATTCGTGGTTTAGTTTTGTTAAATTGTACCATATCTTGTTGAAGTGTAGTTGTGCCGCCAATATATAATCCTAACTTGAGTTGTTCCGATCGAGAGTGATTTTGTATAAAAGAGTCAAATACTGTATATATTTGTTGCGCAAGTTCACTATAAAACCGTTCATTATTAATATCACATTCATTTATCAATCTTTTTTTTTTCTTCTTTCTTACCGAGTGGGCGTAATAATCATGGCACCAATTTCATGATTCTTCAAAGGATCTTCACGTCCTAAAAGTTTTTCAATGATAGGGATCACAAAGGCTAAAGTCTTGCCTGAACCAGTCACTGCCTAATAAAATAATAATAATAATAATAGTAATAATGAGACCTTTGTTTTCTTCATCTTCCTTTTTTTTTTAATCCCATTACCTCGACCACGACGTCTTTGTTCTTCAAAAAAAGTGGGATAGCACCAGCTTGTACAGGTGTCATGGTATCAAAGCCCATTAGAGAGAGTTGTTCTAGACTATATATAACACATGAAAAGAAAATGAAAGAAATGATGAATATATATATATAAACAATAGATAATTCAATATTTACGTTTCATCACTGAGTGGAGTTGGTAAAGTAGACCATGATCCAGCATGATTGGGCACTGCGGACATGGTATAAAAGGTTAAGAAGAAAGAAAAGGGAAAAAAAAGAGTGAGAGAAAAAAAAATTGAGGGTCGGTTAATAAGCCACTAGCGGGTTTAAAAAAAATTGCATGAAAGTGATCCAAGCTGACCTCGTTCGATAAGAATGGATTATGTACCTATTAATGAATACCATTCTATCTAGTGTGTGAATGAGATAAGTGTTAAGAGCAAAAAGTGTTGATGTAGCACAAACAAAAAGTAAAATTGAAGCATTATATGTTGTTGAGACCATGTGATCCATTTGTGTGTGAATGTATATATGACAATGGAAAGCTATTAACATAAAGTGCATCTCTTTATGAACAAGAATGCACCAAGAGTGAATATATATAAAAAAAAAATAAGAGAGCATATTATTTTGATTTTCATATGCGCGTCAATTGTCTCAAGTTGTTGTTTTCTCATGCTGTAATAACAATAATAAACTGTAGGTTCACACGACCTTCGTCTCCTTAAAACAAACGCGCTTCTTCTTATAATCATGGTTGTTTCAAAATAAATAGTATAAAAGTAATGGCCAAAACATATTCCTAAATATCGTTTGTTTTAAAAAAATTATGATGATCATTTTAAAATCAGGTCTTCTAGCTGAATATCCCACATATTCGTTCCTATTATATATTTACTCAATTAAAAGACGAGGATGATGGTGTTGATTACGGTGATGTACTATATGTGTGAGAAAAAAAAAAAAAAACGGAAATAAAGTTGTTTATTGGAGGGTATAAAAAGACTTGATGATGATGATGATTTTTTTTTTTTACCTTTTTGTTTTTTTTGTTTTTTTGTTTTTTTTTTTTAGTTTTCTTTTTTTTCTCACCACTCACTCTTTTAATTTTCCAGTTCTCCCCCCGTTTCATTAAATGGATACTCAATTCAGTCAACAAGAAGATAATTATAATTGGGTGGATTCAGATACTGTCACTTTGAATGGATTTAGTTTCTGTGCTCGTCATGGGTTAGAATTATGTCACAAAGTAAGTGAATGATTTCCAAGAACAAAAAAAAAAAAAAAAAAAGGATGATCTAATAAAGCAAACTTTGATGATTCCAATTATAGTGTCCAACGGACAACCGTATGATGAATAATACCTCTATAGAGGACTTGCTTACAGAAAAAGTATCAGAAGAAGAACTGGAAAAGAAATGGAAAGGGGATGACCGAGAGCCTTTCACAGTGACCAATCAATGGGTTCGTGTTGGTTCAGGTAAACCAGGTTGTATTGCTCATAAAGAAGTCGCTTGCCCCGAATGCTTCAACTGGGGAGAAAAGATTTTATCTGAAATTCAAGGAAAGAAGAAGGTCAAACGTGCTGCTCGTAAAGCAAAGGATAAATCTAGTCGACTTGAATAGTAGTAGTAGTTAGTATCATCATTTCCTTTTGGAATTAAATAAACACTCGATTGTCCTTTCAATTTTTTTTTTTTGAAATCAAATGTGGGGATAACATGGTTGTTCTGATGATGATGAATGATGGATGATGGATGATCAATTTTGTAAATAAACAAAGTGTCACAACTTCTTTGGATGAGGAAGACATTTTACATGGTTTCTGCTTTGTCTTTTGATTTGAAACCCAGAATTCTCTTACTCATTTATGGTGTACTTCCATTTTTTTTTTCCCTTCTTTCTTTCTTTTTTTTTTTTTTTTTTTTTTTTTTTGAAAAAAAATATTTTGTTTATTTGTTTGTTTTACTGATGGACGGTGGTCAATATAATGTACGAATACGTCGACGGGATCGACTGCGAAATTTAGCCAATGCCACGAGTTCTGTCATCAAACAAGAAATATCCAAATATTATGATCCTCCTCTATCATCTAGTCAGTCAACTCGATCAGTCATGACAACTAATAGTGACGAGTCAACAATTACTGATCCTATCAATGATAAAATACAATGTATCATCTTCCCAACGTATGCGGCTAAGGTACTGGATGACCAACAGCAAATCAAGTGGAAAGTGAAATTATGTGGTTGGACTTTTATAATGCCTACTTCAAGTCGGGTAGATCGTTGGATGTTGGGTAAAAACAAAAAACAAAAAAAAAAAAAAAGGAAATTAAGATATATATTTATACTCATGTATACTTCATTTTTCTTCTTGCTTAGCTGCTGGACGAACGTATGGAGGTGTGGCTGCCAACTCTGCTGAGTATGCTCATTTTACCAATTTATTCAATCAGTTTCGATGTCAGACAATGCGCGGTATTGAAATGGTATTGAGTTGGACAGGAAATCATATTATTGAAGCCATCAACTCTGGACCCAGTGGAAGGTTTCAACATATTCTCTATTTGGATCCAGATGAATGTACTACTCGAATACAACAAAAGTGTTTGGAATTGGAAGCTAGATTTGTTGGATTAGGTAGTGTTATGATAGAAAGAAGGAATACTTGCTTATTTTTTTTTTATATATATATCTAGATCTTGCACCCCATATTGGTTCTGTAGATATGATTGATCCTACTGGCATTTCAGTGATATCAGATATAGACGACACTATCAAAATTACGGACATTTTGGATGGCAAGGATATGGTATTACAAAATACATTTTTTAGAAAAGCAAAAGAGGTCCCAGGCATGTCCAATGTATATCAATCATGGTACTCAGAAGGTGCAAAAATCCATTATGTCTCCAATTCCCCTTGGCAAGTATATCCGGCGTTACAAGAATTTCTTCAAGACAATCAATTTCCAAAAGGCAGTGTTCATTTGCGTTTAGTTTCTACTCAAAGTCTGCTTCTTGGTAAACCTGGAAAACACAAATTAGATACCATCACCGCTATCCTTCAAGATTTCCCTCAACGCAAATTTATTCTTGTTGGTGACTCTGGTGAAATTGATCCTGAAATGTATATATATATATATATATATATAAAAGAGTGGCGGAATGGTTATTAATCATCATCATCATTTTTTTTTTTTTAGATATTCCAAAATTTACCATCAATTTCCTGATCAAGTTATCAAAATATTCATTCATGATGTTACCAGTGAACGTGCTATGCATGCTGATCGACAAGCAGCTTCTCGATCAGATTCATTTTATGATGGTATCAAAAAGTTCATGGCAGGTGACCCAACATCATCATCGTCATCTTCAACAGCATGGTCATCATCATCACAATCTCCAACAAAACCAACACGAGTCAACACATCATCAGAGAAGGCTATAGATGCAATGCTTGCTTCTGAAGTACCTATGGAACAACAACAAGTCATGGATCCAACTATCTCTCTCAAGACTAAATTGGAACAATTTGAACAACGAATGTATAGAGTCTCTTCTGGTATGCGACATGGTGTATTTTCCGTCTTTTCTTTGGCATCGCAACTTTTATTGGTAAACAAATAAAAAAAAAAAGGATATTAGAGATTTTTTCTAGCTAACCTTCTTTTTCATGTTATTAATAGGATCCTGAAGTGGCCGAAGAATTCTACATGAATAAGCAATCCCCTTTAGAATGATATAGACGATTAGTTTAGTCTTGCCCTTTATTATCAATGTATCAATAAATGTATTCTTTTCCACTATCACTAGTATGCCATCAAAAACAACAAGAATTGGATTTTTATTAAATTGAATGTATATACAATAATAATCTAAATAAAAAAATAATAATAATAATAGTAAACTAACTATCCTTGACCATGGTATTACAAAACAATTTCAATCGAAAAGCATCGATACCATTCAAATAGTAACGATAAAGCCGTTTGTCCTTGATAAAACCTAAACGTTGGTATAAGCTCAAAGCGCCTTGGTTAGTGAATTCAGTCTCCAGCACGATCTCATCAGCTTGTTGTTGTTTCATGGCATGCACCGCTCGTTGCACCAGTGTACTCCCAATAGCTCGTTTTCGATAATCTTTGGCCACTGCCAACATGGCGATATATCCTCTTAACCGATCTTTATGAGGATCCAATTTGCATATAATCACCCCAACGCATGCTTCCCCATCCATTGCCTAAAACAATACATCCAAAAATATACATGAGTCATATTGAATCGCTCTCTTTTTTTTTTTTTTTTTTTTTTTTTTTTTTTTGTTACCAAAAAGCAAAGGTGAGGCCAGTTATGAATGAAATAACGATAGGTATAAATGGAGTAAGGTTCGGAGAGATCATTTTCAATCAACCGAATGATGGATGGTAATTGATGTTCGTCTTTGTATGGTACATATTCAATAGGTTGTGGTGGTGTTTCTGACATGATTCTATCGAAAAAAAAAGAAAGAAACAGAGCGACGTATTTCAGATTGGAGTCTCACTAAAAATTAGGCAGCTTGAGACTCAGAAATTATCCTTTTTTTCTCAACAGTAATGCGATATCTTTAATGATAAATATAGCTTTGTTAATAATAATAATAATAATAATAAAAAGGGTCATAGACAATATACACGTATTTTATTAATATTTTTTTTTTTATGTTATGGTTGATCCTACAAAATGGGACTTGAAGATTTCTTTTTTTGAGTGAGATTAGGTGACAGATGACCTTTTTCTGCGATTTTCTACGCATGATCGACAGACTGCTTTTTTGATCCACTAACTAAAGAAGTCATCATAGGTTGTATAAACATTTTTTTGTTAATAATGCTTACACATTATGATAATAGATTTAATCTTAAAAATCTGATTTGAAAGATGATTAGAGCTATTTAGCGTTGTAGATTCATCTTTCTTTTTTTTTGAATATTTTGGATTTTACAGCCAAAATTTTCGAACTCCTCAGCCAAAGTTTGGCTGTAAAAACGAATCGTCAGGGGTCCATCAGGCAATTTTTCGAAAAATGGAAGAAATGTTGTTGGTGATCATTGTACATTAGATGGCAAAATAAGTGATAAAATGGCATTAAATGATATTAGACTACTTTTTTGAGAGGAATCTAATGATAGTAATTTTATTGGATGATGATCGATATTGCATGAGGGATGACGATATTGACCTTTATTTTTTTTTTTAATTTACTCTATAAATTGGGAGATAAGATATAAACCATCATTAATGTAAGCGAAAGAGAATGTTTTCATCTATGTTCAGTCTAAGTTTAATATGATGATGATGACGATATAATATAAGTATGACTTTATTGAAGAAGATGATATACTAGGTATTGTAATATAGATATTACTATATAATTAAATTATTAATCCATCAAAGAGTCAATACGATAACATCCAAAGTGAAAAGTAAAGTGTCATCATCTATTCATCCAGTTGATATCGTTGTCCATATATTATTCACCCTATGACTGTATGTGTTCCATTCCTATTGATTGCCTGTTCATCTACAACAGTTGATCCAGTTGCATCTCCATTCCATCCAGTTTGCTCGTCTTTTACCTTCCGTTTGTTGATTCTGTTGTACATCCATTCAACTTTTCCTATTGTATACCTGTCATAATCGTAGATCTATCTTTCTTTTTTTTTTTTTTTTTTTTTTAAAAAAAAAGATGTCAGTTGCTAGTATTTGTGTATCTAGATTCCCCTTTGATCTTCTTTTTTTTTCAGACTTACCATCATCGTACAGAGAATATCAAATACAAAGAGCCAAGAGAAAAAAGAAGAATAACGGCTAGATGATACTGAACCAATAAAAAGATAAAGACCAGAAGAAAGTACATGATTATATTACAAAAAGAGAAAGAGATAGAGAAAAGAGTAAGGTTAGAAAGAAAAGAAAAAAAATTATTTTTTGTTTTGTAATAAAGCTTACCTTTCATCATAGTAATTGTAGTTTACAAGAACAAAGGGCGAATCTAGTAAAAAAGTTGGAATAGTTTATACACAAAAAGATATATAAAAAAAAAAAGAAGAAAAAGAAGAAAAAGAAGAAGAAGAAGAGGATTAGAAGACAGTCGCATAGTTTTCTTTTTTGAACTTTACACTTTCATAGTCCTATTACAGAGATTGGTGTAAAGGTATTTTAGATCATTATATGATATTATTCGATTGATTTTGATTGTGTTTGAGAAAGATAAATCAAGAAGCTTGCTTCCTAATGAGATAATAAAAGTTAAAAGTTACTTTTATTGATAATTGTTCATTGGTCCAAACTAAAGTGAGTTTACTTTTTGTAAATGTTTTTATCTTATAATAAATATAATTTGATTACCAAAAAGTCATGACAATGATATGACCTTGATAGTTGTTGACTTGTTGAATAATGAAGAAAGAAAAAAAAAAGTAAAAAGATATGAATGGATTGAATAGTTGTAAAAAAAAAAAAAAAAAAAAAAAAAAAAAAAAAAAAAAAAAAAAACGGGCGAAGTGGGTAGTATTTTACGATGTCCATTACTCGGTCCATATGATGTTCATCTCCTGTGTGATATCTCCCCATTGTTGTGTTTCGAGTAACCATCAGGAAACCATCAGGAAACTCTAGCAGCGAAAGAATGAATCAGACCACTACAATCTTAGACGCAACGCCGTAACTTCGTCCATCAATACATCCCACTTCTTTTTTATTTCGACTTTAATAATGTCTTGCTCAGAGGATCCGAAGATCTTGGCACCCAGACTACCAACCCCAGCTATATAAATCCCTTTTTTTATCCTTGATTGCAAATTGTGGTATGGACCCTTTTCACACTCCGATATGCCCTATTTTTACCTTTTTTTAAATTTACTTTAAAACTAGGATAGGTAAAGTATAAACTGTTATTAATACAATTGAAAGAGAATAATTTAATGTATGTTCAGTCCAAATTGGGTGAGATGATTTCCATTTTTAAACGAAATACAAAAATATAAAGAGGTTCTCAGGCTGGAAGATACTTCAAACAGCATTTTTTTCTCATTATGTAATAACCTGATCAATGAAAAGTTATTACCTATTGTTAAAATTACTTATTTGAAAGGATTCTAATGATGATAATATTTTTGGATAATGTTCAATATTGAATATGACATGATCATATCAACCTTTATTTTTTTTAAATTACTCTATAAATTGGGAGGTAAGGTATAAAATGCTATTAATGCAAGTGAAAGAGAATGTTCTCATGTATCTTCAGTCTAAATCTGATATGATGATGATGAATTTTGATCGAGATACAAAGATATTACATTACCAAGAAAAGGGTCCAAATTTTTCAATTTCCATTTTCTCGCTGTGGGATAAGCTGACCAATAAAAAGCGATGATCAAACTTACAGCTACTCTTTAGCAGTGTAGCCAATGGGAAGAGAGTTTGAGATTTGCATTAATGACTGACGAGAAAGGCTGATTATATAGTTGGAGACAAATTTTCTGTTTCCCCTTGCACAACTATCTTTTAGAGAGGAATCCATGAAATGAAACGACAAAGTTTGCTGTCCGGTATGAATGGTGGATGAAAAGTGAGATCCTTTTCTTTCTTTTTTTTTTTTTTTTTTTTTTTTTTTTTTTTTTTTTTTTTTTTTTTTTTTTTTTTTTTTTTTTACTTTGAAAGAAAATAACTTACAATGGATGTTTTATAAAATGAAAACTAGGATATATTTATATGCTGAAGCCGACGTGAATCTGTCTCTCTATTCTCACAGCTTTGGCAAGGAAGACTAATATTCTGAGATGTTGGCTTGCCATCATGCATATCCAACCATAAGCTCTATGTAGTAAAATATGAAACTGATCAAACGGAATTAAAGAAAAAAAAAGATGTGATCATATGTTTATATAAATACAAAAGAAGAGTAGATAAAAAAATATTCTAATAAATCTAATCTATTTCACCATGGAGGCCAAGAAGAGAGATTTCATTATCTTGGGCAATTCCTTGTTTTCCACACAAATATGAGCATGACTTCCAAGTGCTTTCTTCAACCTATTGAATTCGACAATAACAAGATCAATAAATGGCATGATTAGCCTCTTTTTTTTCTTTTTTACTTACTGTTCTGCTTGATCCTGAATGGATCCAATGAATACCATTTGGGCTGTCACACGATCATCCGATTTGAGTACTAAAAAAAAAAAAATACAAGTTAGCAAAACATTGAAATCATTTCTAAATGACTGTACTTCGAGCAATATCCTTTGGATGAATGTTGTATTGAGCAATATTAGCATCAGATAGAATCACAACAAAATAATCATCCCCTTCTTCAGTAACGATTTCCTTAACAGAGTGGGCAGCAGCTCCAAGTGTATTGTCTATTCATAAAAAAAAAAAAAAAAAAGAAGTGAGTTCCTTTTTTTTTTTTTTTTTTATTTCCAATCTTACCTCCACTTAAACAATATTGAGAATGGGCACGCATTTTACTGATAATATCAAATTCTTCCTTTTCAGTCTTTGGATAATTTCCGGGCTTGACAAATTCAATATTGGCACTGTCACCACTATGACCAATAATACGATAGGCAAACTTGTGTTCGAAACCACGGAAAGCTTCCATTAACATCAATGCTACTTCCATGGACCTTTCTAGTCGACGATCATGAGTATTGAAGCGGAACATACTATAGGGAGATCAGTCAGTTGATGAACAATAATCTATTTCTAATAGATCTTTACCTTGCAGATAAATCAAATACAAAATTCATTCGTTTTGGCTTATCTTGGAAAAGTCCAATTTCAGGATCATCTTCACCACGTTTCTTGTAAATAGCACGTTCACCAGTCAATCCTTCAATACTAAAAGATAAAAAAAAAAAAAAAAAAAGGTGTATAAGGTAATGAGCGCCACATCTCTTTTTTTTTTTTCACTTACATTTTTGTATCATCCAAGTCACCAGATGCTTGATTTTTCAACCACACACGTTCCTTATTCTTGGCTTCCACACTTTCCAGAATGACTCGGAGTTCTCGGATTTCACGCCGTACATTATCCAAATAAGTTTGGAACATCTATTAACAATAGAAAAAAAAAAAAAAAAAGAATCAATACAAATTATTACATTTTCCTTTTTCACTTACATCATAATCAGCACGATTCATTTCCATTTTGCTTAGCATCTTTTCCATGGCATTATCATGCATTTCCCTAATAATAATAATCAAAAAAAAAAGTTCATCTAAAAAAAAATAATCTAAGGTATAACTTACTTTTTGGCTTCAGAGATTTCTTTAGTCGTATCACTATCAGCAGTTTTCTATAAAATACAAAATAATCATCATCATCAACGAATAAGAAGAATAATAAAATTGGATAAATCTTACCAATTTCAAATTATTGATATCTTCAAAACTTGCTTCTTCACGACCATTTTCATTGTCACGATCACCACTGCCGTTGAAGCCACCACCTCCACCACCTTGGCCACCTCCACCACCTTGACCACCTTCTCCATCACCAGTGCCTTGATTACCACCGGATCCTTTTCCGTCACCATTTCCATCGCATTTGGTATTGGTATCTCCACCTTGATTTCCATCTTGTTGTTCTTGTCCATCTCGTTGTTCACCTTCTTGTCCAGGTTTCTATCATAAAAAAAAAAAAAAAAAAAAAAAAAGGAAAGAAAAGATAATAATAAGCACATCGATATATGTTTCCATATATATATATATATATATATATATATAAGATTTCACTTGGGATTACCTTATCTGATTCATAGATGACAGAGAGTGCCTTTTGATCCACTCCAACCATTTGTTTCCAAGTAGTCGCAGATTGATACAAGTCCTTGGGATTCACTTGGAATACGCGCACAGTACCAGCATTGTCCATAGTAACCAAATGACCATTGGCTAGTTCACATAAAGTAGCAACCGATCGTTCAATTTGGAAATGAGAGAAACTTGTCACACCATTGATATCACCGGTAGGTTCACCCATAGAAGACAGTGGTAATCGAATACGCCATACTTGATGTGTTGCTGTGTTCAATAAATCCAGCGTGCTTTCTGCTCGACCAGTCGTAGATGGATGAATAATAGCCAACTGTTGAGTACGTTCCAAAAATAAAGCAGATCCCCAGATTTTCATTGGCATTGGCGCATTGGTACGAGTGATATCAAAGTAGGAGGAAATATCAATCACACCTGTCCCATTCAAAAATTGATTTGCAGACCATCCATCGGCTACAGACCCAAATCGGTCAGCCTTGGCATGATGTAATACCTTTCCACTGTCTTGTTGTGTAAAAACATTGGCGATTTCACCCACGGTATATCCATTTTGTCCCATCACTTGAATTGGTTCCACAATTGTAGGTACGTTTCCATTGTCGGCATTATGAATTGCATAAGTGTATCCGTCACGACTACCATTAGCGATCCAAAAGCCAGATTCAGCTACAAGTAGATGATTGATACGAACAGGTAACTTGATAGTATATTGTTTCGACGTGTTAAAATCCAATACGGCGACTGTATCCAGATCGTTTTGGTAAAATACAAGAATACCTGCTGAATTGAGGTTGTTACACATAATGGACTTGATAGGTTCCAATCCACGAATCACCACAGATACCACGGTCTTCTTATTGAAATCACAGCATAACAGTTCGTTGTTGGATGGATTGTGTAAAGCCACATATTTGAGTTCTCCTTGACGATTTTTGATCATAGTGATGCGTAGACGAGGAGGCGAGCGTTGAAGTGGGAAATACTCATAAAGGTCCAGACTGTCAACTTTACGATGATTAGGTTCAATACGATGGAGTGTTACTGGGCTTGTTGTTACTGCAAAAAGTGTACCATCATCAACTGCTGATATATCAAGGGCTTCACCACGAGTTGGAATGTCAAAAGTGTATAATTGTTCGGAAAAGACGGTAGAGCGACCTTCCTTGCGATCAAGTTCACGCCATTTTTTGTCCAGATCCAAATCCCATCCACCACGAATAGCAATGTCAGCGATTTCAACCTTGGCATGTTGTTGAGCATTATTTACACGAGTCCAGCGTTCAGTTAATACAGGTGCTCCAAGATCAATAATATCACCAAGTGCCATGCTAAATTCAGAGTCGAGGCCAATAGGGATACCATGTTTTTCAAAAATTTCAATCAAAAGCTCTTTGGATGCTTGATCATATTGATCAAAATCGAATACATTACGAAGAATTTTGGAGATGCCTTCATCGGGATAATCCTATTATAATTTCAATAATTCAAAATTAGTATTAAAAAAAATCTACTATTAGAAGTCGTCTTTTTTAATTTAATTTTACCTGCAAATGGCGTACGATGTTGACAAGTTCACGAGTTGAATAGGGATATGATATCAATCTAAATAGAAAAAAAAAAACTAGCGTTAAACATTTTGATTAATTCTTTTTTTTTTTTTCAAAATAATAATTACTGACCCTTCATCTGTCAATTTGCGAAGGTCACTGAAAGCACTAGAGAGTTTACGTAACAAATCTTCAGGTACATTGGGACCATATTTTCGAAGTAAGAACATCTACCATACAAAAATCAAATATCAAATAACTAGTATCATACAAATATATATCCATTAAATTTTACCTCAGATTCCATATCAGGGTTATCAATAGCATGACAACTAAAGACATCACCAATTTCACGGTAAAAGTCATTTCCAAGGAAAGGATAACCTAAAAAAGAAAGAGAGAAAAAAAAGGGGTGGAATGTGAGTCAAGAATACATCGTATTTACTTTATCAAATCGTTTTCTTACCAGGGCGATTGGCCAATACAAGCATACGGAAATTAGGATGCACCATGATATATCGATCACTTTCTTGAATATCAGACTCTTTTGAAATAATACGTCGACCATCACCAAGCACCATTTGTCCATCTTCTACCAAACTTTTCAATACGGCTGTGACATAAGTAGGAGCTTTGTCTGCTTCATCTACAACCAGAATAGTACCTAAAAAAAAAAAGTAAACCAATAATCAATTCCCCCTTGAATAAAAAAAAAAAAAAAAAAGCAATCTTTTACCATTTGTAACAGCTTTCACAAGAGGAGAATCTTCAAACAAAAGGACACCTTCACGAATGGCAGGGGTTGTTGTCAAACTTTGTACGGTACTATCACGATGAAGTTGGATATATTCACGAGGCAGTTTAAGAAGTTGTAAAAAGTAGTCAGCCAGTTTGTTTTTGCCAACACCTTGATTTCCAATCAAAAGTAAGTGATCACCTATGATAAAGAGTAATCAAATCAATCAACAAGAAGTTTTTTTTTTCTTCTCTTTTCCTTCTTACCAAGTTGGTAATCCTTGAGCATTTCCATCAAAATTTCAGTATGAGCAGGATTTTCATGGAACACAACGTTTGGAATAAGCATTGGATCGCCACCCCTGAATATTTGTTCTTCAACATTTCCAATACGAATCTTTTCAGGATGTTCTCTTGAAGGTAAAACTTGAATTTGAAGCTAGAGATATATAAATAGTAAAATCATTAGTTCTCGCTTGTTGTTGCCTTCCTTTTTTTTTTCTCATCTTTACTTGTTCAACATGAGTGTCAGTCTTGGGAGGATAGATACCATTAGCAAGCATAATATCATGTAATGCATCACGAGCAACCACAGGCATAAATCGAGACAGAGCAGCTTTGTGAATGGCCTTGTATAAGCTTTCATTATCAAAATAAGAGAGACGACGGCAAATACGGATCAACTGTCGAGTGGATAATGCGCTTGAAAGCATACGGATAGTTTCATCAGTGTCGCGACGTAAACGACGAGCAAAGTTCAAAAGTTGACGTAATTTGTCTTCATCCACACCGGGAGACAAACTGGACAGTACTTCCTGTTCTTCTACTGAAGGTAAAGTGTCGACCACAATGAATTGGAACATGGACAAGATTTCAGCTGTCAACCATGAACCAGCTTTTCCATCATTTTGACCAGTAGTAGCAGCACGAGCCAAAGCAATAATACGAAATGATGGATGAATAGGAATCAATTTCTTCTTTTCCAATTCCTCCACAGATAGCTTGTTCTTTTTCATCAGTTTTTCATAGCGGTGAGCATTGATCAATCGAGTACCATCAGGTAATTGAGTTTCACGTTCAGACACAAGACGTTGAAGAGTATTGAGAGTGCCATAAGATAAAGCTTCAATACCATCCAAAACTGCCAAGTGACCATGAATAGCTGCTTCCACTAATAAAGAGTTCTGGAAAAAAAATAACAATATCAGGTTATTTTGCATGGAAAGACGTTTTTTTTTTTTTATTATTATTACCTCCCACACTGTATCACCAGTTGGAGTTGTTGATCGACGTTGAAGTAAATCTCTTGAAGACATATCACGATAAAGAGGGATATAATCAATGGAATAACCAAGTTTTCTGGCAACTATATTTTTTTTTTTTAAAAAAAAAAAGATAAGCTAACATGTCATATCATATTTATTATCACTTACAATGACGAACCAATGCTGACTTGCCAACACCTTTGTAAGTACCAATTAAACACATATCTTGACCACTTGCATGAACAATCACCATGGATGTGAAGATTGCCTTGTGATAGGGAGTTTCAATAAAGTATTCTGCAGGGCAACCTTCGTTTGGACCACAATAGATAGGAAGACCAATTGGAGTACTAGAAATATGAGAGAAAGTAGCGATGGCCTTATAAATATAATTGTAAGCATCGATAGAAATCAAAGGTTGTTGATTTTGTTCCAAATTCTCCAAAACATATCCAGAAAATGTTTGTCTAGCTTCTTCATGGGCTTCCACCACAGCCGATTTGACTCCAAAGCGTCTATAGGCAGCTTCAATCACACCAAGTTGTTCAAGATCACAGGTAGGTAACAGAGGATAAGGGTAAAGTAGATCCACCAAGAAGCGAGGGTGTATATTTGGTAATAAGGAAAGTAACAATGCAACACTGTTCAATGTCATTGGGAATTCAGGTACTTCTATTTCACGAGCAGCAGATTTATCACCTTGAAGACCTAATACTTGACTAATAGAGACCACCTTCTCCAGTAAGGGTTTGCAAGATTTATTTGTTGTGAGGGTCATTAAATGATCCAATTGACTTGAATAACCAGGTGCTTTGATATCACGACTTTGGAATCGAGAGCGTAAAGGAGGATCCAATGGGTATCCAACATATGGAGGAACAGGTAAGCCTATAATAATAATAATAAAAATAAAAATAATCTATGATTAATACCTCGGAATTTCATGACATACTAATACTATGATTACCCAATGCAAAAACAAGAAATCGGCTATCCACTTTTTCAAACTTTGTGTCACCATAATTATCCTTGACATCTTTTGTTGTTAAAAATCTACCATCATCCAAAGACATTTCACGATTTTCCAAAAGATTATTCAAAATGGGCAAGACATTGCGTTCAGCCTTTTCAATACCATCCAAAACCAGGATTCTACCATGTACAGCAGCACGAACAGCAGCTTGATCAACGTAAAAAGAAGTACCACCGGATAACTCACGCCTTTGTTTGAGATCACCATCAGTCACATCTTTGGATAATGCAACATATTCAATTCTAAAATATATATATATATAAGCATGATGATAATGATAATAGAATCACTTACTCTCGTTGAGTCATTTCCGCGTATTTCATCACCAAGTTTCGGCGTAGAGGACCAGGTGGGCCAATCAAGAAAATATCTTGTCCAAGCTATGTATCCCAAAAAAAGAAAAAAAAAAAAAAAAGAAGAGAAAGAATGAAATGATTATCATGTGATTGAGGATCATGATTTTTTTTTTTCTACCTTGTCCTTTTGCATCATCCTATATGTAAAAATTCAAGCAAAATGGAGTTAATAAAATATGACAAATACCAATTTTCTAGCCCAATAAAGATATCACTTACCATCGCAAATGTCTTAATATTTCCTATAATGACAAAAAAAAAAAAAAAGAAAAAAAGAAAATGAATTTATCCATTGTTGAAGGTGTATCCAATTCAATATGTACCTGAGAATCGTCATAGAGAGGACCTTCATGTTCAGGAACTAATTCAGGGTTTAGAGCTGGTTGTACAGGCATCACGACATCACCAATTCTAACAGACTTAATATTCACTGAAAAGTATCCCAAAAAAAAAAGAAAAGAAACAATTGTTGGTTTAGTATCACTAGATAAAGACAGATCGAAATACGTATTAATTAAAAAATAACTTACCTTCTTGAACAAGTTCGTCTTCTTCTGAATCAGTCCAACCATCATGAGATCCAGTCAAATTCTTTCCAAGTTGTTTTAATCGTCTTCTTGCTTGTCTATGAGGTTGGTGAGACGTCATTGATAAGCAATATAAATAGCGGAAAGAAAATAAAAAAAAAAGAGTGTGGGGTAAGGAAGAGAGATAAAAAAAAAAAAAAAAGAAATGCTCAGGCTAAACCACTTAAACGATGAACCTTTTACATTGCACTTTTTGAAATTCCGGTGGGATTTCGACTTTGTCAGCAGCAACGTGGAAAAAAAGTAGCATGAACGATACCAACAAGATAAAGAGAGAGAGAGAGAGATATAATACAGTTCTTTATTTCATACACAATGAAATAAATAAATAAAAAGATGAACAATGGGTAAAGAGTGATATACAAGAATAAACACTAAAAGTAATGATTTCTAAAACTAAGTCAAATAATTACAAATAGCAAAGGCAGAAAAGAGGGAATAATAAAGATAATAAATAATAGTAAGATGATGCTGATGCTGATGCTGATGATAAATGATGTGGGATTGAAATCAAAAATTAAATAAAATAAATGATAGGACAAGTGATGATAAAGGTAATGTATAAAATGCATGAGGAAAATGGAATAATAATAATAATAATAATAATAATAAATAAATAAAAGAAGAAAAAAGTGGGCCTAATAGAGGAACACCAATGGTATCAAAGTAAAAAGGATAGGTATTGAAGACGTATCATACAAATCAGTTATCGTAAAAAATAAAAAAAAAATAAAAAAGATTATTGTTGTGCCATGGATCCAATGGGAGACTGATTCATAGTTGAAGATAATTGTTGTTGCTGTTGTCGGGAATGTGATTGTTGAGCAGCTGCCATTGCCATTTGTATTGCCGATTTGTTTTGATGACCACTGTGATTAACAGCTGCTGCCATATTTGCAGCCATCATACCATTAGCCATTGCTACAGCAGCTTGTTGTGGTGTCACTCTACTTCGACTATTCTGTCGTTTGATGATTGTTGGTGAAAGAGCGGATGAGACACCATTAGTACCATTTGTAAGTGGAGATCCCGTTGATGTTGTTGTAGTCGGTGATGAAACAATGGGTGCACTGATCGATGAAGATGATGTAGATATTGATGGTTGATGTGAAGATGATACTGTCTTTTGTTGAGTCATACTGGAAGGTGTCAAGAATGGTATAGTGATGAGATTTCGTATATCCCCTTCAGATAATAATTGAGCTCGATGTTGTAAGTAACTAATATATATATATATAAAACAAGATTAGAACCTTAATACAAAATAGATATCTATATATTTTAAGTTCATACCTATCTTGCATCATATCCACCTCTATAACATCATTGTCTTTATTATACTCGTCATCATCATCATCATCAAATGCATAATCAGTATCAAATCGATATCTTTCACGTGCCTTGAGATACATTTCATATGGTTTGGATTTCCCTTTCAAGTCATGCAATGATCTACAGTGATATCCAGTACGATCCAAAAACAATCGGCCATTTCGTCCAAGTCTTCGTCGAAATTGAGGCTGTGATGCTGAAGATAAAGAATCAGGAGAGAATAAAGGTGTATAAAATAGTTGAGGAATAGGTTGAGGAAATGGTTGATATGGACACTAATAGATTATCATCAACAAATAGAATTAAGTACAGTAATAACAATAAAAAAAAAAAAAGTTATATTACCTCTGTAACATCTTCGAAAGGAGCATCTTGTTCTTTTTTCTTGATAATTTCATTTTCGATAGCCAATTGTATAGGTGATTTTTCAATCCTTCCTTCAAATGCATCTCGCTTAAGTTTATTGAGAGGTATCTTGATGGTAGTTCTATAAAGTTTTAAGTTTATATTAATAAAAAAAAAAATCAAACATTTCTATTTCATTTGTACTTACCCAGATCCAGAATCGATAGACATTCCTTTTCGTTTCTTTTTTGGTGTTGCCAATAAATCATCATCTTCTTTGATGCCAAGAATACGTTGATATTCACGAAATTTACACTTTTTCTCAAAGATAGTTTGTTCCAACATCAAGCCTTCTTTTCTTATTTCTTCACGTTTCAATACCATTTCTAATAGATTGCGAGCCATTTCCATTTCATTTCGTAATCGCCGTAATCGTTCCAATGATTGTTGATCAGTACGTCGTGTTTTTCTAACAGATTTGGTTTCACGGCGACGGAAACATACGTAAGGATCCACTTCATTTTTCACCACATCTTCATATTGGAGAACAGGAATAATAGGTTTACCAGCACGATGAGCACGTCGTTGTCGCCAATGTTCAAAGATATCATCAAATCCTGGTGTGGATAAAAGGTCGGATTGAGGAGGTATTAGTGATTGAAATGCATCATAATCAGGTAATTGAGAAGGATCCTATTGTCATCATCATCATCATAATAATAATAGTGTAAATGTCAATAATAATAATATTAAAAAAAAAAAAACTTACCACACTAAGATGAGGTAATTGTTGTTGAATGATTGTTTCTAATGCCCACATGATTTCTTCAAACCGATCTTCAGTAATAGTATTTGATTTACGTTTTTTATTGAATTTCTTCAGAAAAAGATCATCATCATCATCCATGACATAAGGACAACCAGTACAATCTTCCACTGTAGAAGAGAATCGAATCAATGTAGATGGTTCTTTGAATTTCTTGATATATAGAGAATTGTATGCTTTAGTTGGGATAACACGAGAAGCATCAGGAGTTGGGATATATCTTTCGACTTGAGCTCCAGTGGTAACAGCAGCTTGAGCCGCGGAGATGGCAGCTTGAAGATCATGCTAAAAAAAAAAAAAAGGGGGGAGTAAACAATAAGTATCAATGTTAGCTGAAATATAAATATAATAATTGCTTTGTTAATAAAACTATCCCCCCAATAACAAAAAAAAAACCTCCGAGTCCAATCAAAATCACAAGATCTCTCCCATTTTACTCTCCCCCAACCCCCCAACCAATATATTTCACAATCACATATACATATATAATAATGTATATACAGATATATATATGAATAGATAATAATAATAATAATAATAAAATAAAAAAGAGAATAATATATATATAAAAGTGACTTACTTCTTCTTCTTCTTCTTTTTCTACACCAGTTTCAATTTGAGGAACAGAACGTTGAAGGTTTGTAGGGTCAGTAAGGTCAGGAAGTTGAGACTCTTTATAAACAGGAAGTGGGTGTTTTGGAGAAAGTTTCTTAACTCGGAATCGAGACACCATCTGACTGGCCATACCCTAAAAGTAGATGTAATATAAAAGACAAAGATATATAGGTCCTTCTACTAAAGGATAAGTGATTGTTCAGAGAAGATGATGATAATAATAATAATAAAAATAAAAAAAAAAATTGGGCAAGGGTGAGTATTTTTTCCAAAACGGAGAGTTGAACAAAGGCGATTTTTTTTTTCTTTTTTCAAAAGGGCTTGTATATTTTGTATTATAAAATTTACATTATTGGATGATTCGGTCACGAGGTTTTTACGGAGTTTCATTTTCGAATAATGTTATGTATGTATTGATGTTGTCTAAACAATATTATGTAGTTCATCTCATATAAAATAAAAAATTATTGTTTTATAGCTTGGAAATATATAATCAATTCTCATCTTTTTATAATAAGTTTATTAATAATATACAGTCTTATAATTATACAGTATGATTATATAGTATATATATATAAGGATAATATCATATCATTCTCATTAAGTAATCTTGTATTATATTGATTTTTGTTTTTTTTTTAAATGGATGATTTACCGATGAACGGAAGCCGGTCAACCGGATACTTGGAAATCTGTCAAAAAAGATATTTTATTTGATACACTTTTTTTGAACTTGGGAGTTTGAAACTAATAGCCAAAAAGGTTGAAGTTTCCAAAAATGGAAGAAGACAAAGAAATAAAGAAAAAAGACGTTTTTTTTAAATCTCCGTTTCTAGTGTTTCGTCTTTTTTTTTAAGATCTGTTCTTATTTCTTATTTTTCTTTTCTTTTTCCTTTTTTAATATTTTATATACTTTTTGGTTTTTTTTTCTTTTTTAAAAAAAAAGTTAATAAGAAATCTTTATATATATATATATATATTTTTAGTAAGTTTATATATATATATAATTATTTTTTTCTTTATTAAAGAATATTTTTTTATTATTTAGTCAACTATGTGCACACAACACGTTGATACTTCTGACAGACAAATCCTTCCTACTAATGTCAAACCAGTACATTATGACTTATCATTACAACCTAATCTAGAAACTTTTGTATTTAAAGGTCAAGTCAAAATAAAGTAAGTCATAATATTCCTTATTTATATATTATTTATTTTCTTATTTCTTTATTATTTCTTTATAGTTTGGATGTAATCGAACCAACACGCGTCATTACTTTGAATTCTCATGAAATCAATATCATTTCAGCTACTCTTATAGTCAACGATTTTAGGTAACAAAAAAAAAAAAAGAGTTGATATATATATATATATGTTGAATAGGTATCTCATTCTTTTTTTTTTTTTTTTGTTATTGATTTAGTCAATCCTCTATTGACATCACTTATGATACCAAGAAAACTGAAGTTAAATTAACTTTTCCTCAAGAAGTTTCTGCTCATACAAAAGCTTTATTGGATATCAATTTTGAAGGGATTTTGAATGATCAAATGACTGGTTTCTATAGATCATCTTATAAGGACGATCAAGGCAATACAAAATATTTAGCAACAACACAATTTGAACCAAGTGATGCTAGAAGAGGATTCCCATGTTTTGATGAAGTAAGTTTCGAATGATATTAATTTAGTTTTATTAACAATATTTTTTTTTTTTTTTTTGGATGTTAGCCTTCTTTAAAAGCAACTTTTGATATGACTTTGGTTGTTCCTTCTCATTTGACTGCCTTATCAAACACTAATGTGATTTTTGAAATCAACATCTCTGATGATCTAAAACAAGTAAAATATGCTACTACCCCTTTGATGAGTACTTATCTACTTGCCTTTGTTATTGGTCCTTTTGAATATATTGAAGCTTTTACCTCTGGTGAACATAATGGACAACCTATTCGATCTCGTGTTTATACTTTACCTGGATTGGCTGAACAAGGTCGTCATGCTCTTAATGTCTGTGTCTCTGCATTGGAATATTTTGCTAAAGTATTTGGTGAACCTTATCCTCTTCCCAAATTGGATATGGTGGCTGTTCCTGATTTTGAAGCTGGTGCTATGGAAAATTGGGGTTTGGTTACTTATCGTACTGTTTCATTATTGTTTGATGAAAAGCAATCATCTATTGTTTCCAAAAAGCGTACTGCCTATGTTGTTTGTCATGAATTAGCTCATCAATGGTTTGGTAATTTGGTTACAATGAAATGGTGGAATGAACTTTGGGTAAGTCAACGAAAAAAAAAAAAAAAAGGTGATGGATTCTTATATTATTTTATATAGTTGAATGAATCTTTTGCTACCTGGGTGGGTTGGCTTGCTGTGGATAATATCTTTCCAGATTGGGATGTATGGACTTCCTTTGTCAATGAAGATATGCCAAGAGCTTTGAATTTAGATGCTTTACGATCTTCTCATCCTATTGATGTTGCTGTCAATGATCCTGCTGAAATCCATCAAATTTTTGATGCCATTTCTTATTACAAAGGTGCTAGTGTGATACGAATGTTAAGCTCTTGGTTAGGTGTGGAAACCTTTTTGGCTGGTGTTCGTCGTTATGTTCGTAGACATAAACTTGGCAATGCATCTACTGATGATCTTTGGATGGCTCTCAGTGAAGAAGCGGGTGTAGATGTTTCTCAATTTATGGACTTGTGGACAAAACGTGTTGGAGTAAGTATAATATATATATATAAATGTGAAATAGGACTGATTTTTAATCTCTATCTATAGTATCCTGTTCTCAATGTTACCAAAGAAACTGGAAACTCAATCAAAGTAGTACAATCTCGATACCTTTCCACAGGTGATCTTCAAGCTGAAGAGGATGTGTAAGTTTTATAAGATTCCTTTTTCGTTTTATTCATCGTCATCATTACCTTTTATAGCACTGTCTGGTGGGCACCCTTGGGTATGCTTGTTCCTAATCAAGTAGCTTCTTACACATTGACTGAAAAATCACAATCTTTCCCTATTCCTGATGATGGTTTATTCAAATTGAATGCTGGTCAAACTTCTGTTTATCGTGTAAACTATCCTATTGAAAGTATTCGTGTTTTGGCAGAAGAAGTGAAGAAAGGATCATCTGGATTATTGACAAATACTTCTGATCGTGTTGGTTTGATTGCTGATGCTGGTAACTTGTGTGTTAGTGGTGAACAAAGTACAACCGCATTCTTGGAACTTGCCCAAGCTTTCGTTAATGAAGATAATTATTTGTAAATATTTTATTATTGGGAAAAAAAAAAGTGGATATATAAAAAGAAAGAGAGAAGGCTAACTTTTTTTTTTTTTTTTTTTTTTTTTTTTAGTGTTTGGTCTCAACTTAGTACTCATCTTAGTAATATTCTTGGTGTTTGGTATGAACAACCTGAACATATCAAAGATGGTTTGAAAGCTTTACGAAAAAGTCTATTTGCACCAGTAGCTCACCGTCTTGGATGGGAATTTGCGGAAACGGATGATTATTTAACCAATATTTTACGTGTACTTGCCTTGACGAATGCTGGACGATCTAACGATACTACCACTGTGACTGAAGCCAAAAAACGATTTGATAAGTTTGTTGCTGGTGATATGGATGCTTTACATCCTAATCTTCGTGGACCGGTATATGGTATTGTCCTATCCAATGCTGCTAATGTGGAAGAAGAAAATGCAGTTTGGGAAAAGATTCTTCAAATGTATCACAATGAATGTTTGCCTACTGATCAACGTTTGATTGCTTTGAATTCTTTGGGTGGTGCTAAGAGTGAAGCTCTTATTTCAAGATATTTGCTTATGAGTTTGGATGAAAAAGAAGTCCGTGGTCAAGATTCTATTTATGTATTTGGATCGTAAGTTGATATAATATATATATATATAATTACCTAACATATGTGCTCTTATTATTAGATTGGCTGCCAATCCTGATGCTCGTTTACTCTTCTGGCAATTCTTTACACAAAACTATGATCTCTTGTATTCCAAATTCTGTAAAACCATAAGTCTATTTGGTGCCGCTGTTCGATCTGCTGTTGGTGGATTCTCCTCTTTGGAAAAACTCGAAGAAATTGAAGCATTCTTTGCTGATAAGGATACTAAGGAATATGCTCGACCATTACAACAAGCTTTGGAAGGTGCACGTGTGAATGCCAAGTGGTTATTACGGTCCAAAGAGAGCGTTGCTTTGTGGGTTCAAAACAATGCCGATCAATTCAAATAAGAAAATTTTATTTTATCTCCCCATATCGATACAATTTCATCACACAACAATCATCATAGTATCGTTTATTCTTTTTTTTTTTTCATTCAATATACATAGTTTATTATATCATTAAAATAAAAAAAAGAAGCCTAATGGTATCTCTTCATCTTGAATCTATTTCATAACTAAACACAAGAATTGAACAGTTTCCGTAGCTGAAAAATAGTTCAATGCATCAGTCAAAAGTTTCATATGGTATCCAAATCCGTCCTCCAACTTTGTTAATGATCGCTGAACTGTTTCAAATTGTGTACTGCTTGATTTGCCATCCAATCCAGGTTTCGGCATACCAAATAACCCTGATCGTTGATCCTCCATAGATTGTAATAACTGACTATAGCGTTCCGCTTGACTGGAGAATTTGACACAAGATCCCATCAATTTATTGTAAACCTATATTTTCAATATTAAAAAAAAAAAATCAGTTAATCTACTACATACTTTCTTTTTTTTTTTTTTTTCTACCTACACGTAATAATTTGGAATTGGTAAGCATACATTCTTTCAAACAAGTATCCAGAAAGTCAGAATGATATTGTAATACTTCATCTACAGTAGATACCTATATAATTTTTTTTTTCAAGGAATGGTAAATAAGGAAAGAAATGACTTAGTCCATCTTCCTTCCCAACATATAATAACTCTTTTTTTTTTTCTGTATTATTTATTACCTTTGAGAGATTAGATTCCAATTGTCGCCAATTAGGTTCCAAAACTTCATTGGTAACATAATAAGTAAATTGTCGAACAAAGGAAAGCATTCGATTTCGAAGTGAATAGACACGGAATTTCCATCGTTCAGTTTCAGCACAAGTAGATGATTGTCGCCATATCATTCCTTTTTGATCCATCCAAGTTTTGCATAATAAATCCTCCACATGTTTCAAATAAAGCAAATGACGGAAAAGAAGTTGATATTTGGTAAGTGCTTTTCTTGATATGACCAATGATAAAGGAAATGTTACTGTATAATCCAATGTCAATGCATCATAACCTAATTAGAAATAAATCAATGATCAATCTAATTGTGTATCTTTTTTTTTTTTTCTAATTCATTCATTTTGTACTTACCATTCAAGACATCTTTCGGTGGGGCATTTGAATTAGAATTGTTGTTGCCAAGTACCACACTTCCAGATAAGCTTTGAGACCGATCAAGAATATAAATAGAATTGGACATACTATTAGTGCCATCTTGTCCACCAGGAACCATATCAAGAGGTGTTTCTATTCCTGCCACATTGATAATACGTAAGAGTTGATCAATCAATTTTAATGGACTAAGTGCCACCACTACTTCTTCCTTGAATGGGTCATATGCTGCTACTGAAGATGAGTTTCGTAAGACAATATCCAATAAAGATTGTAAACGTGCCAAAGGAATATCTTGTGCTGGTTGTTTCAATTCATCCTTTGCCAAATCCAAGAAGGATGTCAAGAAGTCAGATTGATCCAAGAAGAAGTAGTGTTTGAGAGATCTATTGTCCAACAACAACAAAAAGATTCAATGTTATATATATATAATATGTTATTCTTACCTTAGACGAGGAGTTAGTTGTTGTTCTTTCAATAATAGATTCAATAAAGTATGATTAGCATATCTATAAGCGATATCAAGATTCTTGATAAATCTAAAATAAAAAAATAAAAATGCAAATTAAAAAAAAAAAAAATTGAGAAGAAAGTACAGATTTGAATCATTTGTTTAAAAACATTCAACTTACTTTCCACCATCGACGGCTAACCAAACATCGTTTCGAGCAGCAACTTGAGAGATATCCGTATTTTTACCAGCATTACTACCCCGGAATATAAAAGGTTCTTGATGATTCTGCTTTGGCGTTCCGGAACTTGATAATGATGAAGATGATAATGATGATGATAACTGAAGTTGTTGTTGTGGTTGATCTTGAGACATGATATCCAACATTTCTTCAGGTTTGGCAATATTAACACCACATTCTCGTACGACATTCAAGTATTTCCCAGCTAGCAAGATCTGTTGTTTCAGAGGTTCCAGAAAACAAGGTACAAATTCGCCTTCCCGTACAGTATATCGCATTTCCCAATAGGCATCATTGAAATCCTCCTTGATGTTTTCCTTCTTCACATTTCGTTTTTCCAATACCATGAATTCATTATAGGGATCCTTGATTTCACCACGGTATATCCAAGCATTTAATATATCAAAATAAGGTATAGAAGCCTGTGACAATAGAAATGAATAAATTTGTTTGCATTTGGGATCCCTAACAAAAAAAAATAAAAAATAAAAAATAAAAAAAAATAAGTATATATATATTAAGCATTTTTTTTATTTTCTCTTTCTACTTACCCACTAAGACTGACTAATCGTTCTGATAAGATATTCAAAATAGCTGCTCCTTTTTGTCGATCAGGAATCACAATACCATCAGGATCATCATTGGATGATTTTAGACCTTCTAAAACAGCATCAATATCATCCTCATCGTCATTCATTGATTGTCGTTGTCCAAGTCCACGAATTGCTGTTGCCAATTGATGTAAAATCTTCATTTGTTGTAAGGTGTCTTGAGCATAAAACCAGAATCGATGTAGGGTAAATTGATTGGAAGTTTGGAATTGATGTTCAAGCTGGGCAACAAAATTGATATATTCTTTCAAAAATACGCGCATGGCGGAACAAAGAGCATGATTCACTGTGCCATATTCAAATCGAGCAAATTGTTCCACAAATGCATCCACAGACATGTAATAAGTAGCGAGAGGAAGTAATTTTTCCACCATATGTCGAAGACTAGGATCTAATATCACCAAAAAAAAAGTCAATTATTTTGTTTTTTTTTTTTCATGTTCTTATCTTTTTCACACTTCTTCTTTTTTTTTTTTTTATTACCGAGAGTTGAATCTATTTCATATTTGATTGTATCCCATGAATTGGTACTTCCAATAGAATCTAAATCTCCCATTGGATCATCATCCAAATCAGCAACTGCTGATGGATATTCAAATTTGATAAAAGTACCTCTGATACCCTAAAATATTATATAAAACAAAAATGATTTTAATACTTGGGTAGGAAACGCGCTTTTTATAAAACATCTACGTAATTACCGTCAATATATATAAGAGGTCTTCGATAACAGCATATTCTTGAATATGTTCTGGAAAGGCACCAACATATTGATCGTCTGTAGCAGGCTATATCATTTTAAATAATAATAATAAAGGATGAGTTTGTGTTTATATTTCAGTTGTTTCATTTACCAAAAGATCAGTGGTTGAATGTTGAGTATTAGTTGGTAATGAATTGGAGTTTTGTGAAGTCCATAATTCCCCTGAAGACGCACCTAAATAAATAAATACAATATAAATAAAAATTGTAAGAGTTTTAACTTCAATGATAACAAAATAAAAGGAACATTACTTCTAGGCATGCCATTAGATGTAGTCAAATGAGAAGTATGTAGTTTAGGTGAAGACATGGGATCAGTCGCTATAGACATATCATTCATAAAGGAAGGTCGTTTTGCTGTTGGACTAAGTGGATCTGATCCTGCTGAGATAGAGTTGTGACGAATATTGGCAAGGTTTTGATTGATCTATTTGTTCAAAAATTAAATAAACGATTATGATATAATTTTACATTTGTTCATTTACCTTGTTGAACTGTCTTTCTGACAATAGGACACTTGTTCTATTGCTTGTCGTTGATTTTCGTGATTCTCGTCTTTCTATTGTAGAAGAACGATAAATAGGTGACGATGGTGGCGATGAGGAAGTATGTGTATGGAAGTGTGACATAATCTGTTTGTTATCAATTAAGTTTTTAAAACGGAAACAAAAAAAAAAAAGAAAAAAGAAAAAAGAAAAAAAACCTGATGAACACGCTTTGTTGAAAAGAGCGAGCTGTATTTGAATTCCAGAGAAAAAGAACAAAAAAAAAAAAAAATCAAAAAAGGGGGAAGATCATTTTCATTAGTTCGCAAGCATTATCAAAAAAGGAAAAGCTTTCTTTTGGGTCCAAAGAAAAAAAAAAAGATAAAAAAAAAAAAGTCGGGGCTTTTGTTTCTTTTTTTATTTCACTTTCTCTTTCTCGTTTTTTATACTTATTCTATATAATTAACCAATGGCAAAACGTTGTTGTTGTGTTATTCCTTTACGAGGTGGTTCTGCCTTGATTGGTCTTATAGTAGCAGTAAGTGATAGGAGATTAGGAACTATTATTCTTTTTATTAACTTATTATTTTTTATAGTTGGTCTCTGTTCTACTTCTCGGACTTACTTTTACAAAAAAAAACCGTAAGTGAATCGATTTGGTTGGTTTGAACCTAACCTTTTTTTTTTTTTATCATTAGCTATGATAATGCATTTGGCTATCATCAATCCTGCTCTTCCTTGGGTTTATGTTATAGTGATAGGTAAAGAACTAAAAGGTATGATTCATTCATAAAACCGACTGACAACTACTTTTTTTTTAAATGATATATATATATATATATAGCTGCCTCGGCAGTGGTGGGACTCTATGGTGTGTTGGCTGGTACAGTGGTAAGTTTTTTTTTTATTTTATATTAATATATATTGCCGGATTAATTAATGTTGATATATTATCTATTTCAGGGCAAACTTGCTTTGATGAGGCTATACAAGCTTTTGTTCTGGCTACTCTTCTTTGTCGTTTGTATATGGCAAGCGGTTGATTTCGTTTTGTCCTTGGTCTATAGAAGTCAATCCATTGCTGAATGTCAAAAATCATCTGGAACAACATCAACTGGTGGTGCTGGTAACAATACTGAAATTTCTGTAGGTGGTTATACCACTACTTTTCTGGGTATGGAAATGGGAAACACTTATGGATTGGCAAATTGTGATCAAGCTGCTCAAGCTGGTGTGATTGGTTTAGCTATCATGCTATTTATCGGTGGTCTGTTTATGGTAAAGCACTTTATTTTTGAGATCCACTATTTTTTTTTTTCGATCGACATTTTTTTTTTTAATTATCCATTTTATTTTATAAATAGTTTTATTTTGGTACAGTGATTAGCGCTTATACACGTCGATTAAGAGAACGTAACTTGGGTCACCGACTTCGTGATGATGAATGGGATAGTAACTTGGATGAATTATCAGCAGCCTACAGGGCTGATGCAAGGAACGCTCCGAAGTATCCTCTCCAACCTTTGAACAAGAAAAAGAAATCTGGTATTATGGGTAAACTCAAATTCGGAAAAAAATAGTCTTAGTATTTCCTTCCCTTTTAGATATATTTTATTATTATTATTATTCTTTTTGTTTTTTAAAACAACTGTGTATATTGCAAAACAAATAAATCTCTATATTATATATATATTATTATTTAAAAAAAAAACAATAGATAAAAAAAAAGACATTTATTGAAATTGAATGTAACTATAATCAGTGTACGCGATTGCATGAATGGTGCTGTTGGATGTGTATGATAAAAGGGTATTCAATTTATTCTGCAACTACTAATCATCATCCTCCATAAGTTCTAACAATTCTCGTTCTTCTTCCTCTGTCATTCCGTTACTAGCTGCTTTTTCTTGTTCCAATTTCTTTTTTCTTTCTTCAGCTTGTTTTTCATATTCCTTGAGTGCCGCATCTAAAACATATATAAATGAATAAGAATAAGGAAATATAAAGAAGGTATGTATGGTTTGTTTCTTTTACTACATGTACCTGTCATTGACCACTTGCGAAGGGAATTATCTAGTGATGCACTATAAACAGTAGATCCAAATGTATCTAAACATCCAACTTCATCAAAGTGACCTTCAATCGTACTCTTGAGCTTCCCAGTCTAAAGACATTTAAAAATAAAAGATTTTGTCATTATTGGATTTGTTTTTTCTTTTTCTTGTTTTTTTTTTTTTCATCCCTTACCGCAATGTCCCATACATAAAGATTGTCATCACTGCTTCCAGTAATCAAATAAGGACCCAATAATGTTAGTGCTTTCACCCGATCAGTATGAGTCAAATTAGTGTCCACAACGCCAGTCTATAATAATAATAAATGAATGATCTAGATACATTAGACATGTTTTTTTTTTTTTTGAACCACAGTATGATATTTCCCTTTTTGACTTTTTCTTACCTCCGTATTCCATCTTTTGACAGTTTTATCCGCAGAACCTAATTCACAAAAAAAAAAAAAAAAAAAAAAGAAATGTTAGCGAGTAAAACCATTGATATTTGTTTTTTTTTTCCTCTCATATACATCAAAATAAAGGAAATAACGTAACTATATATTTTCCATACCTGACCATAATTCATCATCCTCACTAATATAAATACAAGTAACATTGGTATCATGACCGAGGAAAGATTTGTTGACCTGAAGAGTTTGAAGATTCCATTGTAAAATAGATCGATCAGAAGAGCCAGAGTACAGATAAAGACCATCATTAGATTTGGCCAGTGTTTCTACGGCTCGAGTATGATGTTTCAATGTCGCAAGACATTCATGTGACTCAAGATCCCATTGCCGAATATGAGCGTCAGAGCTTCCAGAGTATAAGTGTTTTCCAATAACCAAAACACACTTGACAAAGTCGGAATGGCCTTGTAAAGTAGTCAAACATTCACCAGTCTAAAGCAAAAAAAAAAAAAAAAAAAAAAAAAAAAAAAAGAATTGTATATTAACCACTAGGCCTTGTCCTTTTTTTTTTTTTTAATACAAGAGGTACCTTGGCATCCCACTTTTTGATTGTTTTATCCCAAGATCCAGTCCATAAAATAGTGCCTTGATGAGATAATGCTAATGAGGTGACAGGACCTGAGTGGCCCTTGAAGATTTTGGTGGTCTTGCCTGTCTATTTACATAATAATAAAAGATGATATAAGCAAGAAATGACAATGAATATGATTCACTTTTTTTTTAACAGATGTTATTTCTTTCTTTTATTTACCTCGATATTGATACGTTTGACTGTTGATCCAGATTCAGCTACAAATGCATACTTGCCGTCTTGTACCACTAATAAAGCCAAAGCCTTGGAAGATAGTTGAATCGCATCACCAAGTGTATAATTGTATTTGGCTTGTTTTTCCTTTTCTTTCTTCAAATCAGCATCAGATTGAAAGAAACTACCGGCTTGACTGGATACGTTGACCATCTTGTTTGTTTGTAAATATTAAAAATAAAAACAAAAAGTAAAAAAGAAATGTCAATAAAAGAAATCAGAGAGGGGCAAAAGATTCGTGTTTGATTTCAACTGCCGCCAACAGAGAGATTCATTAGATGCTATTGAACTTAAAAAGGTTTGACATCATGAGCAATCAATTAGATCTATTGTACCTTCTAATTTGGTTTCAAACCAACAATATAAAGTAATCAATAATATTGATAATGATGATGATGATATATTTATGTTCGGATCTGTAACCATTTCGTCAACATGGACAAAGGTCATCAAACAGTAGTGTGATCACCATTCTTTCAACTTTGCATAACATACCGTAGACAATAAAGAAAAAGAAGTAGATAAAAAAAAGGTCAAGATAATCATAGTAATAACAATTTGTATATGATGATAAAATAATTTCTTTATTGAAGAGATATAGGTGTGTATACAAAAGGTGGGACCAGTAAAAAAAAAAAAAAATGGAGGGGAACGCTATCATACAAGATAATATATATATATAACACAATGGATATTACTGTCGAAGGAATGAGGTTGCTGAACGATGTCTGAACAGACGAGTGGTATTGTCAAGAGGTGAATCCGTAGAAGAGGTTGAAGTTGCTAAAGATGAAGAGGTTGGAAATGGAACAGAGGATGAAGTCGAAGATGTTGCGAATAAGAATGCCCCTTGTGTCATAAATTGTTGTTGTTGTTGTTGTTGACGTTTTTGATCGACTTTCCCACTATGTTGACTTTGACTTCGTTTCAAAACTGGTTGATTGCGAGCATAACGAGGAAAAGAAGGTTTTGTTCTTTGCGGTGGTACAGGTGGCGCTGGTACGTTGCTTTTATTGGCTTGCTGATTGATACTGTGTGATGAAAATGCTAAGTTACCAAGGGCTGATAATGTTGGTGTCACAGTGGTACCAGTTGTCATCATTGGAGGTTGTTGTGATGGATTGATATCTTCATCAGTATCGGTATTAGGGTATGTTGTTGTATTCAAGGTTACTATATTAGATATAAAAACATTGCTATCGTCATCTTCATTATCATCAAAAGGACTTTTCGTCGTAATTTGTTGTGATTGCTGTTGTTCCAAAGGTTGAACTAACTTTATATTGGTCGTGTTATCATATCTGATTTCATCGTTTCTATTGTTGTTGTTCCTGTTGCCACAATTATTCCTATCGTTATTATTGTCATTTTCATCATCACTGTTATCATCATCATCATCATCATCGTTACTGTCTTCAAAAGGATTGGTTGATTTGACTTTACTGGCTGGTGGTACAAATTTTTGAGTCAAAAGTAGAGATTGGCCTTGATCCATCATTGGTTGTTCTTCTTGTATCAGTCGCTGTAAAGTAGTGGTATCCATAGATGATCTGCTTGACGTTAATACTGGACGAGAATGATCTTGTTTTGTTTGAGTTGCAGTGATGGTATCAAACACAAAATCAGTTGAGGAAGGCATATCTTGAGAAGCATATGGCACAGACCGCGATCTTGAGTGAGAGTATATATTCTTTGATGTCGTTGAGGTATTTGCAGGATTAGACTTGAATAATGGATGTTGATTAGGCAACTGTGGATATGAGTCAGGAATAGTCGAAAGAGCCTGTTCTGCCCATGCGAAAGATTCAACTTGGTTTAAAGCCGATGAAACAGGTATCAATGGAGTATCAGGAGAGATGAGATTATTTTTGTCATTATTGGATGAAGACCAAGATGGAGTTGGTTGGTAAATAGAACTTACGGCCGGTTGTTGTGATTGAATAGCAGGTGATACAAAGGCAGGCGTAGAATACGTGGAGCTAGCATATGAATGTCGATGACTGATAGCATTTGGAAATAACAAGGGTTGTTGTTGTCCTTGATGTTGTTGTTGCTGCGGTAATGGTGAGATGAAATCCTGCGTATCTTTTGCATGTAAAGATGACTGACCCCACCAAGTATTTCGAGATTGATCCTTTGCTGTTTTGGTAGAAGAGACAGTGGAGATTGGTTGAATAGGAAATGATTCTTGGCGAAATATATCATCAAGAGCATTTTTATTAAGCTGAGCCAATGGCGCTAATAAAAAAAAAAAAAAAAAAAGAAAAGAAAAGAAAAGAAAAGAAATGAATACATTTGTGATGAAATTCAGATGATAATTGATAATCAATATTTACCACCAAGAGCTACAAGATCACGGTTGATTTTTCTACCACATTGTCCATGTGAAGCAAGTCGAATTATGGCATAAAATTGTTCCTCCATGTACTTTGGTTCGCCATCATATAATGTTGTAATCTAGTCCAAGAAGAGAAAAAGATGAAAATTCGAGAGGGTAAGATTAATATAATGGATATAATGTATTGTATTGTATTGTATTTTTAAATACCTGTTGAAGTAAATCTTGATCTAAACCACAAGCCATTAAGAAACGATTGATATCTTTCTCGTGAGCAATACCAAGACCAAAAGGATCTAGTGCGTTCCACCAGTCTACATATACGTCAGATTCGGTTGGTGAGAGGTCAGATGCTGATAGAGTGGGTCCTGGTACTTTATCAACAATACTAGGTGACGTTGTCGAAGTAGTAAGTCGTTTTGCAAATTGATGGCTTCGTCCTTCATCGTCTTTTCTATTTTGTGACCGACTGAAAGCATTGATGAATCTATCCATAATTCAACCAAGCTTCAATTGGTACTACTGTAAAATAATATAATAAAAAAAAAAGAGAGAGAGAAATTATAACAAAAGGGAAATATAGGTAAAATAAGAAAGGAGGAAGAATAAAGAAAGTGGAAGAAATGGACAACGAAAAGAAATAAATAAAACCTGCTTGGCAATAAGCTGGGTTTTATTTTGATCTATGCACAAAAAAACAATCAAAGAAACAAATGAAAGTACAAATAGGATAGAAAGATTTTATTTCAAATGTAAAAAAAAAATAAAACTATCTATAAGTTTCAACTATCATATATTATACATCATGCTTCGACTTGTTTCGTTCTTGATAATCAACAAAACCTTGACTAATAGATAAACAAAAGTGAGTGGTATCCAGAGGTATTTTTTTTTTGTCTTGTTTCTATTCTTGATAAGTAGATATCATCTAGTTCTTTTGTACAAATTGATACATAAGTTTTCTAACAAATGAGGATAATACATCTGCTTCTTCTTGATAAAACGACTATATATATATACACATATATATATATTTAAAAAAAATGAGATCTCTATAACTCTTTTTCGTCTTTTTCTACTTACCATAATGATCCCCATAGCAACACTGCTCATAATCACTTCAAAATGTTTGATCTTGATCATCATATGCTTTTGATATAATATTTGATAAAAACTTTGGACAGCCTTGGGTAAAACATATAAAGCTAATTCACTACGTCGTTTCTTGTCTTCCAAAAAGATAGATGAATAGGAACAAACAAAACCAAAGATATAATAGAGATATTTGTGATTGAATCGAATCCATCCAGCATCAAGTAGATTCCGATGCATACAGACTTGATATTGATAAAGTGTAACAAATGTTGCCAAAAAAGCACCTGATTTCAGAGTAGCCCAGGTAGTTTTGGAGATCATTTTTGTAGGACTATCAAGATATTAAACATTAGATAATAATAATTACAATAATAATAATAATAATAATAATAATAATAATAATAATAATAATAATAATAATAACTTGAACTCACTTACTCGCTTCGTAAAAGTTTGCGACGGAAAAGTAACATGGGAATAAAGTGAAGAGTTCCATAGACAGGCATCATACTTTTGAATACTTTGGTAAAACGTTCAACAGCAATAGCGTTGCAACTATCCATCCAGGGGTGAAGTGTTTCACTATATATCAAAAAAAAAATAGAATTTAATCTAATAGTCATATTATTCATATTTATATATTTACCAAGGTACAGCAATAGGATGAGGAGTAATAGTAGAAGCAACTGCCAAGGCACGAGGTGTGGGTCGTAACTTTTGAATACCGTTGAGTACTTCTTCTGGTGTAATAGGTAATCCTCGTACGTTCTTTGCGTTCAACTTTAAACCTTCTTCTGGGCAACGAGCGGCTTTCAACATGAAAGAGTAAAAGTCTGGTGGAAGAGTTGTAGGTTGCATCTATACAAACTTGTATTAGTTTATCAAATCAATATATTATTTAAATACACTTACGGTATAGCTATAAAGTACTTGTGCAGAGGTAAGTCCAAAGAGTAAAGCATCGCCATTTTTGAAATGAAAAATGTCTCTTGCCTTTCCTGCATTGTAAACAGCTTGAAGTGCTCTAAATAGACAGAGAATAGATTTGAATGACCGTGGATAAAACTTGATGGCCCCTTATAGAGGACTTTTTTTTTTCTGTACCTGACCAATAATTGTTGAGCAATATCCACCCGTCTATCCTTCTTTTCAAACAGGATACTAAGACCAGCAATAGCACCACTGATTAAACCATTCAATCTATCATCCTTGCCTCTATAGATTCGCATTCCATTGTTGACTAATTTCCATAAGAAAGCAAAAGATCCAAACATTGCCCCAAATCGAACAGAATCCAAGTTTTTAAAAGAAGCAACCAATATGTTTGAAAGAGGAGCTCTGATAAGATAATAATGATAGGTTAAATAAAGAACTTGTTTCTTTTTGTTTCTTCTTTTTTGATATTACCTTTTCCGCATAACCCGTAAAAGATATAAACAAAAGTTGACACCAGCACGAAGACCATAGGCTAATAAAAAAGATCCTAAAGAAGAAAAAAAATGATAAAGACGTCAAAAATCAAGGGGCATGCAGAATCATTTCTTTTCCGATATTTACTTGCGCCGCCTTTGATTGCATGATTCAATAATTCTGATACGTTTTTCGGTTGAGGCCAGTCTTTTTTTTCGATTCTTTCCGATGGATTCCTAGCAAGTTTTTCTTTCAAGCGTTGATAAGATGACACTCTTGGTGGCGGTGGTGTGTTCATCTTTTTGATCTAATGACAATGGAATGAGGAGGAAGAAAAGAATTACGAGCAAGAAGAAAAAAAAAAAAGAAAGAAAGAAAGAAAGAAAAAAAAAGGGAAGAAAAAGAAAAAAAGAACTCCTTCCCTAACGACTGAAATCAAGCCTTAACATCGGAGTTCCTTATTTGGTGATCTTTATCGACATTTTTTGGGGGAAAACAGTGACTTTTTACCCCTCGTGAAAGTTTAAATTCATGCTCATCATTTCTCTCTCTCTGATTTGTTAATACAAAATATGTTTGGAATCATTTCATACTTACAAATAAGACTTTGATTTCTTTTTAAGAGGGAACGTTGGATCGGTAGTTAACTTGGCATCATTTCATCCCTTCGTCATATAATATGAATATTATCGTCAAGGAAATCAGGATTACTTCATTTTGTTTCTACAGTATTAGACATAATATATGAATGATTGACATTAGGATATATGATGATGCGAATTACAGTCTATGATGATTGGCTTACAATGGATAATATATCATTCATCATGGACAACGATCTTTTCTTTATTCATTCATTTGATATGTATGACCAGTTTTATTGTATTTGCTTCAGTAAGTACATTGTCCTTTTATAATCCTTTCAAATAGCCATGATGATGTTATAGTAGAAAGTCATGAATAGTTATTAAAAAAAACATAAAGAAAACTTTATCGAAGTTTGGAGAGTAGTAAACAATATGATATCATTAAAAATCATCTATTAACCATCATCATCAGCTTCATTATTATTATTAATATTCTCATCGTAAGAGTAATAAGAGAAAGCATCATGGGTACCAGTTTATGCAGATCTTTAATGCTTCTTGATAACGATAGGAGAAAAATAACCAATAGAAAAAGCAAATCAATAGGAAAAAAAAAAAAAAAAAGAAATAGACACAATCATAGTAGAAATAAAAAGTAAATAATAAAAAAAAAAAAAGTATAAAAGAAACAACTGTTAATTTAATAAAGAGGTAAGTTTCCTTTTTTGTAACAACAATCCATCTACCTTTTGCAAGTGATCAATGGCAGTAAAAGCAATGGGCAACTTAATGGGTGCGATGAATTTGTTTAAAGCACCGCAGGCGAATACAATCCGGATTTTTTCCCCTCGCGACGTGTTTCTTTCACCATGTTCTTTTTTTTTTCAGAAAAGAAAAAAGGCACTGATCAAATCAAAATCGCATAACAACATGAGCTCAAATACATACAATATATCTGATGATGATGAAGATCTTGCTAAAGCCATTGCATTATCGCTACAGGAACAAGAGAATAGCAATAACTTGAAACGACTACGAGAGCAATTCGAAGAACAACATCAAATAGATGTCCAAGAGCAAGAAGATACGAAACTCGCACTCGCCTTATCCTTGGGAAAAACAGTAGATCAGTTGACAGCACGTGAAATTCTAACTATGGAGGCGACAAGGACAACACAGAATGATAGCAATAAACGACCACGGCCTAAAAGCAGCATTCTTATTGACGATGATAATAAGTCACTAGCAGAAACTTCCGGTTCCTCCAGAATTATTAAAGCTTTAGAAACAATCAATACTCAAAAATACTGGAATGGTGTAGTGAAACTAACTCATATTCAAGGTTTTGTTGGACCTAGCTTTATTCGCTTTGAAGATATAATCCAAAAGGTGACAACAGAAGAAGAATAAAGTTTTTTTTTTTTTTTTTTTTTTTTTTTTTTTTTTTTTAATACAACTATGTAACTAACGTTATGTATATATGTATATATTGGTGTAGGCTACATTGAAAAAAGCTTTGGTCACTGCGTTTGTGTGGAGTCAAGATTTCATTGAAGAACATTTTCCTTCTGACGTTAATATGTGCATTGTATCTCATGGTCGACCAGTATGTATTAGAAAATATATGACTTAACTTTACCTTGATAGACTGATCTTATTATTATATCTTTATAGGCTATGCGCAAACAATTTCATCCCAATAGGATACTGATTATTCCTCCATTGAAAGATGATAGATACGGTTGTTTCCATATCAAGTTGATGCTTCTATTTCACCAAGACTCTATGCGTGTTGTCATTGGATCAGCTAATTTGGTAATAAAAAGAAAAATGGTTAAATTATTTTTTTTCCTTCTTCTAAACAGTTTATGTAAATTTTTCTTTTTATTACTATTATTATTTTATAGGAATCATATGATTACAATGATCTGGAAAATGTGGTGTTCATTCAAGACTTCCCAAATCGTTCTGATGATAAATCTCATAGCAGTGATTGGAAAGACCTACCTCGATTTGCGAATGATCTATGTGAGTTATTGGATGAAATGCATGTACCGACTTCAGTGAAGGAAGAAATGGCAAGATATGATTTTACGAAAGCATCTGCTCATATTGTGGCATCCGTGTCTGGTATTTTTGAAGGGGACAATAAGCATCGAAAGTATGGACATACTCGGCTGGCTGATATTATTACTGAAATGGGTGCGGCGGATCCTTCAAGAAAGCCCAAAGTCGAAATGCAGGTAATGAAAATAATGATGATAGATGACAGGGTTGTCGTTGATTCTAACAATTGTTTTCTTACATAGACATCATCTCTTGGAGCATTATCGAAATCATATTTACAAGAACTATATACCTCTTTCTGTGGCATTCATCCTCATTCCGATCAAAACAAGTCCAAACGAAAAACTGATTCATCGTTCCCACCAATAGATATTATCTATCCTTCCATGGACACTGTCAACTCCTCACGATTGGGCCCGTCAGTATGTGAATGGTTATTTATTGCAGCAAATGAATGGTCTCATTAAAAAGTTTTTTATTTATTTATTTATGGAGGGTGCAAGTACTATCTGCTTGAATAGAACAACATGGCAAAAATCTACTTTTCCCAAGGAAATTATGTGTGACAGCATCAGTCATCGGCCAGGCACATTGATGCATTCCAAGGTAAGGAAAAAAAAAGATTATCGAAGAGTATGGGCTTATTTATCTTTTATTTTGTTTTAATGGAATATATAGTACATCATTGCAACATTACTAGACAAGGATGGAAAAACTACAGTGACGAATCAAACAAAGGAATCAATACTAGGATGGATGTATATAGGGTAAGAACGTAACTAACGACCTATCCTTTTTTTTTTATTGATTTCCTACTTTTTTATAGAAGTCACAATGCGACTACTTCTGCTTGGGGAAAACTTACTTTATCTAAGCAAACAAAACAACCAAAAATGAATATTAGGTATAGTTTGAATTATAGTTAGATTGAAATAACTGTACTCATGCATCAAAACTTTTTATTAGCAATTGGGAATTAGGTGTCGTTTTACCTATTACTGATGATAGTGATTTTCCATCCCCTTATATACGACCTGCACCAAGATATAAACCAGGCCAACAAGCATGGACTCAAGATATGGACTATTGATTGAATTTTTTATTTATTTTAAATAAAAGTTTTTTTTTTTTTTTTTTTTTTTTTTTTTTTTGCATGAATCTCAGCTGTTAAGATGTATTGTGTTTTTTCAAAGATTTAGATGGAGCATTACTATTGGTGGAAGTTGGTGATTTGAAAGGGTAAAAGGGCGGCCATCGAAAACTCATATTAAAAAATTGGATCGCTGAGCGAGTCTTAAAAACATTTTTCGCTTTTTATCTTTATATTATTGTTCTTTCTTTGGACGTATGCTCAAAACTTTTCGTCAACTTTCAACTTCAAGTATCAGAAAGATGCCATTCACATACACAGTAAGTAAAAAAAAAAAAAAAAAGGAAATTATTATAGCTGAAGATCTATAAATCTATTTCGACATTGAATCTGACAGCTTATCATTCACTTTTCTTTTAATAGGAAGCTATCAATAAACTCAATTCGCTACAAACCAATGCTGCTCTTTTAGAACAACTAAGGAAAGCTGGACCAAGAATGAATCAATACAGTTTACCAGAAATGCGTCATTACTTTCAACGTATTGGATATGAGGTAAAAAAAAAAAAAAAAAGATAGAATAGATAAGTAAGAATACAAAGTGATATATTAACTTCTTTATATTGATTTAGCCACATGATTTTAATCATCTTCAAATTATCCATGTGACTGGTACCAAGGGAAAGGGAAGCACATCAGCCTTGACTCAATCTATTCTACGCCACTATCCTTTGGATCGACCTTTAAAGACCGGTTTGTTCACTTCTCCTCATCTTGTAGCTGTACGGGAACGTATTCGTATCAATGGAGAACCTATTAGTGAAGAACTCTTTGCCAAATATTCAGAAGATGTATGGACTCGATTAGAAAATACCAAGGACCAATATATCCCTTTCGGACAAGAATTATTGGATGATCCAAAGAAGGCTATCCGAGATCAACGAACTCATCCTGATAAACCCATTTACTTTAGATATTTGACTTTATTGGCTTTACATGCTTTTGTACAAGAAAAGGTAACAATCAAATGGCAAAAGAAAAAAGGGGCGAACTAAAGGAAGGAAGTAATAGTACATTAATCAATCTCCTCCTTTATTTATTTATTATTATTATTATTACTTACTTACTTATTTAATTTGAATAGGTGGACGTAGCTATATTGGAAGTCGGTGTAGGTGGTGAATATGATTCTACAAACATCATTGAAAAGCCTGTAGTATGTGGTATTACTGCTTTAGGATTGGATCATGTTAGTGTTTTAGGAAATACCATTGATCAAATTGCATGGCATAAAGCTGGTATTATCAAGGTAAAACAATATAACAATAATATTTCTTAAAAAATAAAAACTTTTTTTGTTATTAGCAAGATAGACCTGTTGTTTGCTTTGATCAAGTTCCGGAAGCCATGGAAGTGGTGAAAAAACGTGCTAGTGACAAGAACGTAAAGCAATTAAAGAAAACACTTGATTGATATACATGCATCTCATTAGATCACTCCCCCTTTTTTTTGTTGTTGTTATTAGGCTTCGTTAGAAATCATTTATCCCTCTCAAGTAATTGACCTAAAAGACATTGAAATTGGTAATAACTAGATACAACAAAATAAATACTTGAGACTCATTTTTTTATTTTATTTTGTAATATAGGTTTGGCTGGTATTCATCAACGTTATAATGCTTTGACTGCTATAGCACTTTCTAAAAAATGGTTGGAAGAATGTCGGAACATCAAATTTGACAAGGATATAGCTGTACCTGATGGATTCCGGGAAGGATTGAAGAAAGTAGTATGGCCTGGTCGTGGACAAAAGTTACCTTTGAAAAATACAAAATATGCATCAAAATTAGATGATAATAAGGATATAACATGGTATTTGGATGGTGCTCATACGGTAGAAAGTCTTGGTGTATGTACTGAATGGTTCAAAGAAGCTTCCATGGTGAATAATCGTAATGATGTCTCTCGTATTTTGGTGTTCAATTGTACCAATGGTCGTGATGGTCCCAACTTGTTAAATATTGTATCTCAATTACAAGGGTCATCAAGTGGATTTGATCATGTTGTCTTTACTACCAATGTCACTTATCGGAAAGGTTATACTACAGGTAAATCAATTTTTATTTTTATTTTTATTTTATGATGATGATGGTGATTCATTTTTTTTTTTAATTTTTAATTTTATATATATATATATAGATAATACCAACAACACAGTATCAATAGCCGACGCTTTGACCATGCAGAAAATGTTAGCAGATAGTTGGAAAAAACAAGTATCTGGATTTAATGAAGAGAATATACATATTGTTGGGACCATTGAAGAAGCTGTAGATTGGACTGTGAATCATGCGAAGAATGATAAGAATAAGATCATACAAGTATTAACAACAGGAAGTTTGATTTTAGTTGGAAATACTTTGACTGTACTTGGTATGTCACCTCAATGAATAATTAGTTTATTATATATAGATTTAGATATATTATGAAGATAATAAAATGAAATAGACTGTTTGATTGGATCATATTTGTTTATATAGGACAGGATTTTTTTTTTAATACAGGAATGAAAGGGAGAGAGAAATTGAAGATTTACTTTTTTAAATTGACGTGAAACAGGGAGAGAAAGAGAGAAAAATTATACTCCTAAAAAGAGAGAATGGTAATGATATCGGGAGACGATTGGTGCCTTAAAAAAAAAAAAAAACTTTACTGGTTAAGGAGTGTGTTGCACATTTTGATGAATGGAGTTACCATTATGTCTTGTCCCATTATTTCAATCTCAGTAAGATACAGTGTAACGATTGATTACTTTCTGGTCCCTTTTTTCTTCCCTCTCTTTCTCTCTTTTTTTTTTTTTTTTTTTTCTCTCTCTCTTTTTTTTTTTTGTGATTTTACATCGTTTCAAGGATAGAAGAAACAAATTTTCTTCCTTTTTTTTATTTTATTCTTTTTTTTCTATTTGTTATTGTTTGACACTTTTTTGTAATTAATAACATCCTTCCTTTTGGTGCGTCTTGTACGTACAATTATTTTTTTTTTTACCTTTCTCTTCTTTTTATACGCCATCTCCACATTCATCTCCACAAAAAGTACATATAAAGATTATATATTGAGTTATATATCTCTATCATGTCACAGCATGCTGTCACAGCACTCCATCCTTCGACTGGAACTTCACCACCTACGCCAACACCTCAGCCACATCAACCATCTCAACGTGTCTCGAAAGCCATTTTGAAAACTGCTATTCAGAAAGCGAACTCTGCTGTCGTTTTGGATAAAGCCAATAATCTTACTGGTGCTATTGAAGCCTATACCGAAGCTATCAACTTACTCGATCGTGTACTTTCTTCTGAAACAAGAGAATCTGATAGACAACGGTTACAAGAAACTGTAAGTTATCTCCTTAAACAACAATAAAAAATGCTAATGACCTTATTTTTTTTTATCATTATTATTTTTTTTTATCATTATTATTTTACTTTGAACTCCTAGTATGACAAGTATCTCAAACGCATTGAATATCTCAACACTTTAAAGTCTGATGCCGATGACCTTTACGAAACGTTTGAAAATGGTTCAAAGAAAGACAACGAAAAACTCTCCACCACTAACACAATAAAGCAATCATTACACCAACAAGGGAAAGGAAGAAAGGATACATGGGTTCGAAAAATGGCATCTTCTTCGTCTTTGGATAGTAAAACAAATCGGTTAGATATGGGTGATACTTCTTCCAAGCTTGGTTCTACTACAACTGCAACGCGTTATGGTCTACGTATGTCTGATGGCGCGGTACCAAATACAACACGTTGGCAACAACGGCAGCATAGCGTTGGGACAAATAGTACTACCATGACGACAACAGGAACAACAACAACAAATTCTTCCACTACACCGACTTCGCCTTCTTCTTCATCCATATTGATGTCATTAGATGTACCACCTTCACCAGTCTCTTCAGAAAGTACACCATCAAGACCTTCTTCTCACCGCAAAAGCAATGATACCATCAATCCTTCTACGGATCCTCCTCCTTTGGAACCACGCTCTATTCATCGTCCAAGTCCTCGAAAAAGCTCTCGTACTGCTGCCGCTGCTGCTCTCTCTCAAACTTCAACCACTTCGACTTCATCTTCTGGTACTACCTCATCACCTGCTGGCCAAGTTGTTACTACAACTACTGTTGCTACTACTGCTGCTACGACTGCTGCAGATCAAGACCAACCATTACATAGTCCTCGACAACGATCATCCATGTCAAGCCTATCCTCTACTTCGTCGGCTGATTCGGATATCATTTGCGTATCAAGTCCTCATCAACCAACCATGGCTCTACCGTCGCTTTTGCACACCAAAATGGAAGCAACCACGGAAACAACTGAGAATAATTCACCAACTGTAGAAAGAAACAAGATCGACAATAATGATGATACAACTTCTCCACATGAAGGTTCACTCAAATTGAATTCGACGTCATCCATGTCTACAATGACTCTATCACGCCAAGACGAAACACCATCTTCATCAGGACGATTGCGTACCAGTAGCTTACCTCGTAAATTACATTTCACTCGACCTGTAATTGGCTCATCTTCTCGTACACAACGTTTAGCTTCCAATGCCTCTTCTATCGATTCCAATCCTGACAATTCATCATCCACTACTCCTACACGTAAAAATGGAAGTCAACCTATTTCATCAACCATAGGAACTTCATCATCATCATCAGCTATCGATACGGACAACTCTGTTACAAATCAAACACCAGTACAAAGACAATCAAGTGGACTTAGTATGCGAAAGAAATACAACAGGTTATCAAGATCAAGTATGGACGGTGTATCTGGAATCATTAATGGTGGCAATGGAAACAGTGGTAGTGGTGGACGAAAGGATAAATCTGGACCTATCTTCAGTACTCTATTTGGTGGTGGTGGCAATAATCCTCAATCTGTTAGTCATGGTCAGGAAGCTATGAATTATTTTGGCAAGAGTACGACAAACACCGACACTATCAATCAACAAGGTCTGGACAGTACAAATCAACTTATGGAAGGCAAGACTGGAACAATGGCGACATATCAACCATATCGACAAGAAGGATCCGTACCACCTAGTAGATATTTGGATATTCATTTGAAACTAATCATTGCTTTGGAACATAGTATGAATTATGGTGGCTATATTACTCCAAAATTGTTTATACCCAAAAATTTATGGTAACGCTGTGAAAAAAAAAAAATTAATAATAATAATAATATGATATTAATAGGATTAGAAAAAATAATACTTTATTTATTTATATAGGCACCAAACCAATATACGCTTATCATCTATGGATGTTAAGGTGGCAGCCTGTGAAAGTCTGATTTTGGATCTAAATCGTATTGAAAAATGGAGAAATTTGGATGATATCCGAGGCAGCTTACGATTGATTGAATCATTGGAAGAAGTGGTGGATGGATTACAAGTGACATTATCTAAGAAATTCAAACGTGACAGTCTTGCTGATACCAATGATGATAACAATAGTATATTATATTCATCTGATGGACCTGGTGCTTTTCAAACCATTGGCAATCAACAGTATTCTGGTATCAATGGTGGAAACAACAATATGAACAATAATGTCAACAATGTCAACAAACGTGCACAATTCATGTCATGGGGATCAAAATTATCAAAATCTGTGGAACGTATGAATGCTTTTAGCCTCACCAAAGTGGAAGATCAACATCGACATTATATGGAAGTATTACAAAAACTTTTCATCAAATTACATATGCTCGAAATGTGGTTCCAACATTACCTTAAGAAAGATCGACAAAAGAATCCTCATTATGATGCTCTTCTAAGCAAACTTGGCAAAGTATGTGATGGTATCAATCGAGTGGTGGGTGGTTTTGTATTACGTGATGTGGCTATTCTACTTGGCAAATGGTTAAAACGTGGTGGTGTTTGGGTTAACGAATGATCCTCATTTTATCCTTTTTTTTTTTTGTATATTTCTCTTCCCTTCCTCCTTTTTTTTGTTACTATTTCTTCCATCTCTCTCTCTCTCTCTCTCCCTTTTTCAATATTATGATTATTATTATTAGTATTATTATTATCTTTTTTTTTTCCTTATTCAATATTTTTATTATCATTTCCATTTAGTTATTTATTTAGTTTTTATCTTATCTTCATTCCTTTTATATTTTTATATCAAATCCAATAATATCTTATTCATTTCTTTTATCTGTATAAAATGATACGTTACACTTCAATGATGAAATCCTTTTTTTTTTTTTTCAATAAATCTTTTTTTGACTTGATTACCGTCTAGTTTAGTCGATGTTGTATAATTATCAATACTAACATCACATTTCTCAATTTCAATAAATGATGAGCAAGCCCAAATGTATCCAATAAGAAATTACAAAAAAAAAAAAAAAAGAAGAATGGTTTTATTGAAGAGTATTGGGTAAATCAAGAAGGCTATATACAAAAGTAAAATAAAGTGGGTAATTGTTTCAAGGTAAAATATCTTTATCACTACTTGTTAATTCCAAAGTCAAGACTCGATCGTCTTTGGGTTTTGATGATGAGGTAATGGTGATCTCGTGTTGAATCCTAGCTTCCATAGAAGTGCGGGTCCTACTTTTATGTCGTCGTCCTCTTCCTTGGCGGTATTCGCTTACAAACAATGCTTCGTTCCATTCAAACCCTTCATGACAACGCATCACTACAGTGACAGGTGAATGAAGAGAATGACCATAGATTGTTTGTTCTGGTTGATAAACAGCATATTCATAATCTTCACTGATGGATGTCGGTCGGTGATGAATAATGGGTGGTGAGTCTATTGATAGTGGAGCTTTCTTATCTGTCATTTTTTTTCTTTATCAAATTTATATAAAAAGAGATAAAATATATATTATAGGAAAAAAGGAGAAAGAATTTTTTTTTTAAATTATCATTTTCCACCTGTCAGCTGGTCATTCTTTTTCACAGAACTTTTTTTTTTATAATGCTGCAAAGTTCCTGTTGTACGAATTTTCATTGGATGGCGGACTTTCTAGTATTTTTTTTTTTTTTTTTTTTGCAGAGTGGGGTCTCTTCTATTTTCTCTCTTCTTTTCCTTATTTTTTTTTCTTTAATCGAATAGTTCAATTGAATATATTGACGTGTTGATATTAGAAATGATACTGTTCTTTTTATTCATTGACATTCCTTCTTGTTGATGTAGCACTCCTATATTCCAAGCTCTTTAGCTCTTACTTGGTTTCAGGCAGGCATAAAAAAAAAAAAAAAAGGAAGAGGAACGACTTTGCTTGACACATGAACAACGATATGTATATGTGATATCAAATATTACTAATAGACTTTTTATTGTTGTTATTTTTATAGCGTAAAAACAAAGATTAGGAAAAGAATACGATGATAATTGAAATGAATGAGGGTATCCAGTGGTGGAAAGGTCAAGCAAGCAAGGATTAAATTGGATTAAATTAATATATATTGTTTTACATATAGAATAGGTTTCGGTAAATAGGCGAGCGTCACTTAATGTTTGAAATGCTTTTTGATTGGAACAATTTATGGTCTCAAAGATATTTTTGGTATAAACGAAACTAGTAATAGAGGTAGTAGTAATAGTTAGATTAGATATCTTTTATATGCATCACGTATCATCATTTAGAAAAAGTATTATATTTCAATAAAAATCATACGGTAGACCGAATTACTGAACTGGAAAGTATGTCCATTTTTTTTTTTTGTAATCATTCTAGCGAACCATTTGTATCGATAAGGATTTCTATATTGAATTGATCCATGCAAGATCAGTGAAACAAGAAGCCAAAAGTTCCTATACGTTTATGCACACAAGACATTCAATGCTTATGAACTGGATGTCATGCAGTCAAATGAAAAAAATCATTTTGTGATCGAGGACCTTTATTAGTTTACGCTCCGATCTATATTTTGTTCACAGGTTTTTCCTATTTTCTTTTCTTTTTTTCCTTTTCCTTTTCCTTTTTTTTTGTTATCACCCTTGTACTTTTTTTTGCTTATCTATCATTTATGATCTTCTCTTCAAGAAACAATAGACATCATGTCAAATCCTTTGTTTTAAAGGTCTCTTCAGGAGCTTTGGAAAAACCTATAGCTTTTGGTCCTGGTTCAGTTGTCAATGGTAAGGAAAGAAACGAAGAACTTTTATATTATATTTCTCTCTCTTTCTCTCTCTCTTTTTTTTTTTTTTTTTTTTGGATAACTAAATAATTCTCTCCATTATACTTAGGGAATGTTGTTGTACAAGTATCTAAAATGCAACGAGTACGACAACTCAAAGTAGTGTTTCAGTGTACTGAACATTCTGGTAAACATTCCAACACCATCTTCTCGGTGGCATCTACTCTTTTAGGCAATGGAAATAGAACTCAAGGTAATTTAATAACTGAAACTGTCTTGATTTCAAGCTGATCATCTTTTATATGTATTTTTAGTCACTGAACTTCCTGTGGGTAACCATATGTATCTTTTTGCAATTAAACTACCAGATGTCAATTATCCTCCAACACTTCGGGACAATTATATCGATCATAAGGTGAACTATACGCTTCAAGGATTTTTGGATATGGTTAGTCCTGAACAAGAAATACAAACGCAACCTGTACATATCATGTATCTACCATTGGTTACTTGTCAATTACCCTCTTCACCTATCCAACGGAAAAAGATATATCAAAAAGAAGGCCAACTCGTTGAAATCATTGCAGAATTGATGAAACCAGGTTACTGTCCAGGTAAATTTTTTTTTTTAAAAAAAAAAAAAAGAAAACAGTGATCATTATTAGGAAAAAAAAAAAAAAAAAAAAGGAACCATCTTTGCCACTTTTGTTGTACATACGTATGTTTGGGAAAATTATACTCATTTTAGATATTTTTTTCTCTTTTTAATTTGCCGACCTTGTTATTATTTAGGTGACATGTGTACCATTAAAATGATCACACAAAATCAATCTGACTTCAAAATCACTCATGTGGATCTCACCTTTATGTCGACAACAGCAAGTCATATGTCTACATCACAACTAGAAGGCTTCCGACGAAATCATACATTGTACTCTGAAAAGTTTTACACAGCCATCAACAAACGTACTCATGATCAACACACCTTGCTGCAATTCAAAATACCTCCATCATGCGCCCCATCTACCCAAACACACAGACATATTGATATCTCCTACCAGATCATGATCACCGTCCCACTCTACTACACCTCATCTTCATCCTCGTCTTCTTCTTCATCTGTCGCTTCTTTGATGATCTCTCTTCCTGTGACTATTGCAACTGTACCCTATACTGGTCCCTTACCACCTTTACTGCAAATCCCTCTACCGTCTTATCAAGATAGTCAAGACAATCGATTAGCATCGGATATGCCAAGTTTTTTGAACCAAAACGTCCATGATGATTCTCCTTTACCAAGTCCTCGTAGTGCCTTTTCTGTAGAAGGAACAGGTAGTTGGTCTGATCCTGATCGATGTTCGGTCTCACCTATGATGGAAGAAGCAATCGATTGGCCAGTTCCCTCTCTTACGCTTGGACCTGTTGTCAGCAACAACAATAATCTCGTGCCACAAGATGAATCGGGTCATCTTATGGTCCCAGGTAACATGAACCGGCGGCGTTCCGTAAGCTCCAATGCATCCTCTGTCGTCAATGAATGTAGTTTAGAAGCCAATGCATCCAATCCATCCTCTCCTTTTACCAAGGTCAATTGATCCCCCTCTCTTCTTTTGTAGTTTTTTTTTTTTTTTTGTATTATTATATATTTATTTCAATCCATTTACTCTTTATTTTTTTTATGACAATATACCAATTTTTTTTTTTTGTATCAATAAACACTTTTGTACCAATAGAATGGATCAAGTTAAAAGAAAAAAAAATTTTTTTATTGAAGATATGGCTAAACTAGAAAAAAAGAAAACAAACTAATATCTACATACATACATAAAAAACTATTCACCCATCCATGCATCATCATCATCATCCATTTGAGCTCTGTTTTCCTTGTCCTCTAAAGTATCTTGCATCACCACGTCGTCATCTTGATGAGGGGAGAACGGGGGAGAATGCACCATTTCACGATCCACCACAGTAGTATCATCTTCTACATTGGTCCTAGCATCCTCTTCATCAGATTCTTGAGGTAATACATCAGGTGGTAATGTGTGTTGTTCATCATGTTCAAGCAAAGCTTCTTCTTCCTTGTTATCCTCCAAAACATCCACCTCTTGCTGTAACACATCATTATTACTATTGCCTATTTCTTCGTCTATCAAATCGCTTTCCATAACATGTGCCTTGTCTTGATCGTCCCTATCTAAAAAATCATGGTGGTTAGAAGTTTCATATGGCTCGATGTCGTTAGCCTCGTCTAATATAGTGTTGTTGTCATCCACTTGGCCCAATGAATCATCATTATCTTTATTGTCGATAGGTGGCTGATCATTGGATATTTCTTGGTGATCGACAAGCGGTTGATCATCATACTGATCTAGTGATCCATCGTTGTCAGTGTCGTTTTTCTCAACTGCATCTGGTTGATCGTTGTTGCTTTCCTGTTGTACTGTTCGAGTTTGGCCGTCATTTGAATAAAGTGGTTGCTCAGTGTTGTCTATTCGTTCTTCATTGTCACCTAGATCGTCATCTTGCTTTTCATCATGAGAAGTAGCATTATCATGTTGTTCTTCAAATTCATCATGATTATCCAGTAAATCTTCGCCAACACCACCAAGTTGTATTTCTGTTTCATCACCCTCCAGTATATCTTGTTCGTTAATAGTAGTGTCGAGTTCATTCTCCTTGTTTTGCTCATCATCTTGAATATCATTCATGTCTTGATATACTTCTGCAGATTCATCAGACTGATCATGCGATGTCTGAGTGCCCGTAGTAGGTAATCCAGCCATGGACACTTCCGTCTTTGTTTCCATAGTGTCATTTACTTCTTCTTCCAAATCAATATCTTGATCCACAGGTACTTCAGTCATTGCCGTCTCTGCATACTTGTCTTCTTGTTGTTGATCGTCATCTACTAAAGCTTCTTCCACTGGGCTCACATCATCTAAAGTTGATTTTTCATGAACTGATTCTACTTCATCAACAGTAGTATTCAACTTCTCCACTGATTCATCTTGTGCTGTAGATATAGGTAATTCAATACTTTGATCTTGTTCGGAAGATTGCTCTTGGTGATCGGTCATATCGGTTGTTGATGATCTACAAAGCCAAAAAAAAAAAAAATGGGATAAATTAGTTTACGATGATATCGGTATATCGACATATATATATCAATAACCTGTTCATGCTTACCTTTCAATAACTTCGCCTTCTTCTAATGTTGGATGACTGTCTTCCTTTTCTGTCTCCGAGGTACCAGCTAGTGCGCCTATGTCCACTTGATCCAAACTAGTAGGAGTCGATATAGTTTCGTCAGCAACGATGATAACGGGTTGTACTTCGTCCGAGATTACTGATTTCTTTTCGGTGGTGTCAATACGTTCAGTAAGAGATTCTGTCGATATATCTTTATTATCTTCTTCATCATGATCAGCAGCTTGTAAGTGAGTACCATCACCAGCGATATCTGTAACTATTTCTGTCGACGCACCAGGTGTTGTAGTATCTAAATCCTCCAATTCCATTTCTTCATTCAGTTTGCTATCCTCTGCCTGGTCCAGTTCCATATCATTCACAGCATCAACATCAGCGTCAACATCAGCATTCACGGTAGTGGTTGCAGGAGTAACATCGGCCACAGTGACTTCAACAGGTACTGGCGTTGATTCTTCCAAGTTAATATCATGTTCCTCAGATATCATAGGTTCCGCTGTAGGTGCCTCATTCAACTGTAATTCATCACCTTCTATAGTTTCTTGTTGTACAGATTGGTCGGTTTCTTCTACAAAAAAAAAAAAAAAAGATTCAATTCATTGTCATAATTTAGGTGCATCTATTGTATGATTGGCAAATGGCACTTACCTTCTTCCACCAAAAGTATATCATCAGGCTTGGCTGTTTTGATATCAGATATGTTGCTCTGAATTTCTGGCGAAGACGTTGTAGTTATACCTTCCTGTTGGTCAGTAGTTTCCTGTTGACTAGTAATCTCTATTATTGGACTATATATAGAAATGAATAGATCAGTCATCATGTTTTTGTTGCACTTGAACATAAACAAGTAATTTTCTTTTTTTTTTTTTGTTATCTCACCTTTCAGCATCAGGTTCCAAAATATGATTTTCTTCTGTCTCTTCTTGAGGAATAACAATTGGTGTCCCGGTATCCATCAAGTCCAAAGCAATAGGTGTTGACACATCCTCGCCAAATGGTGTACCCATATCCACTAAATCCAAAGCCGCAGGGGTCGATACATTTTCACCAAGTATATCACCATTTTCATCTTCATCAAGTTGATCCTGCTGCGTATTATCTTTCAATTCATTTTTATCGAGCTCTTTGACCAAAGTAACTACTTTGTGTTCAATAGTAGGTTCAATCTGTTCCGTAGTAGCAAAGATATCCTTGTCCACGACTGTAGTAGCGTCTTCTGGTTTGGTGTCTTCCTTGTTGGTAACACTTTGCATATTTGTAAGCTGATCCATGGTATCTTCAGTAACTATCAATTCTTCTTTTTCTACAGCTTCCATACCTGATATAGGATGCGCTTGAGCTGATGATATTGCTGGAATACTGGAATCTTCCGTTGGAGCTATTGATTCTTCTGTCGATACTGGTTCTTGTAGTTGTTCCGGTTGTAATTGTTCTGGTTGTAATTGTTCTGGTTGTAGTTGTTCTGGTTGTAGTTGTTCTGGTTGTAATTGTTCTGGTTGTAGTTGTTCTGGTTGCTGTTGTTCTGGTTGCTGTTGTTCTGGTTGCTGTTGTTCTGGTTGCTGTTGTTCTGGTTGCTGTTGTTCTGGTTGCTGTTGTTCTGGTTGCTGTTGTTCTGGTTGTAATTGTTCTGGTTGTAATTGTTCTGGTTGTAATTGTTCTGGTTGTAATTGTTCTGGTTGTTGTTGTTCTGGTTGTAATTGTTCTGGATGTAGTTGTTCTGGTTGTAGTTGTTCTGGTTGTAGTTGTTCTGGTTGTAGTTGTTCTGGTTGTTGTTGGGATGGCTGTGAAACATCCATACTTTCCCCTTCTTCTCTTTCAACTTGCTGCTGTTGTAATGACGGTGAGGTTGGAGTAGTGAGTGTTGGAGTAATTACAGCACTGGTGCCAGGCTTTTCTTCTTCTTTTTCTTCTTCTTGAGATTTTATTTCAGGACCCTGTTCTTCATCATACGTCGTCTCCATATCAGTTGAAATAATATGTTGTCGCTTATTATTGATATGTTCAGTATCTTCAGTTTCCGAGGTATCTGACCGACTTCGTTTCATTGATTTTGCTTGTGCATATGCTGCTAGGTCTTCCGTCATCCATCTTGTGCTGGCAATCGATGTTGTCAAATAACGTTCAGCGTTTCGTCTAAATTCATCATGTCTGGGATGTTTTTCATCATCAGTTGTCAATTGGAACCATTCCTTGCATACAATTTCCATCATCCATTCACATCCATTGAGAGGCTGTTTTGAAGGTATAAAGAAAGAATTCTTGAGACATACACGGGCTATATCGCGATTACGCCAAGGACAGTAAGTTCGATGTTCGTTGATGGGGTGGAATGTACTTTGAAGACATGCAGATCGGGTGGAACGAGTAGGCGTTGAATCGTTTTGTTTAGAGGGTTGGTCATTGAGCTGAAGATAATTCGGTACAAAAGCGTGTCGGAAACAGCATAAGCATTTCAGTAGTCGTTGATTGTGTTTCTCAAAATGGTGCCAGCCAAACATTGGTAATAAGTAAGCGGTTTCTTGTATATTTGTCAATTTTTGTGGTGGATAGCCAAACACATCAATATTTTCAATTGCTTTGATAACACGATGAATCATTCGCATTTGTGAAGCATCCTATAATACAAAAATGAAACGATCAGAAAACTATTATTATCAAACTTGAATAAAATTTCACAAAACTTACGTATGGATTGTCGACCAATGGTAATTCATTTTGCCATTGTTGAAAGAGTTTTCCTTGTGATTCCAATAAACTATATGCATCAGAAGTGGTAACCAAAGGGAAAGCGCATACAGAGACTAAATATGATGAATAACACGAAGATCACGAAACATAATAGTTCAAATGAGCACAATATTAAATAAGTATGATAGTTCTTTTCTTTTTCTTACCATGACAAGAATTTGTTCGCCAGAAACATGATTCAGAGTGGTTCTTGTTGAGAAAAATAGGGTAAAGAGAATAAATGCGTTTGACAGAGGTAAATTCGGGATTCACACCGGTGAGATTGGGTACATCTAACAATGCAGAACAATTCTTGCAAGAAAGACGAAAGATTTCCGAGTTGGCAATAATATGACGTTCATGAGTATCTGACCAACCATGCATGGCACATTGATCAGGACTGATGGGAGTAATATTGGTAATAAAAGGTGCAGAGTAAGTTGATAACCGTTCTAAATATCGTTCTCGTCCTGTATAAGTTTGATCTCTTGAAAGACTTTGTTCCTTAAGTAATTGTCGTTGACTATGTAGATTCATTAAAAAAAGAAAAAAAGTATGTTAGTAAAAGAAAAAGTGATGAATAAGGAATAATTTACAGTATGAGATCGTCTTTTTCTTGTTTCCAAGCTTGGTATTCTTCAGGGTGTACGTATGGTGGTAAGTCAAATTGTTTTCTTGAAGCTTCCATTAATTGATTTAGTTCTTCTGCAATGGCAGTACTTGATTCCACTGAGGGAAGTAAGTTGTCAGTCATGATGCGTTGGTAAGCGTGAAGGTGGGATATAAAGAGAAGAAATAGAAAAAGAAAAAAAAAAAAAGAAAAAGAAAAATGAAGACGGTGTTTAAAAATTAGCCTCCTGGTGATATTGTACAGCTAAATGTCAGGTGCACCTTCTTCTTTTCTTTTCCTTAAAAAAAAAAAAAGTGGTGTATGCTTTTTTTTCTTTTTTTTTTTTCTTTATACTTTTGTTCCCCACGGTTTTCTTTTTCTTATTTATTCTTCAACAAAGAAAGTCTATCTATATAGAATACTATGCGACTTGTTATTCGACAAGATTATGATGAAGTATCTGATTGGGTTGGTAAGTTATATATTTTATTTACTTTTAAAGAGAAACGCGTTTCTAATTATTATTATTATCATTATTATTTATTAGCTCATTATATTAAGGAACGTATCATACAATTTCAACCTACCAAAGAACGACCTTTTGTTTTAGGTTTACCAAGTGGATCTTCACCTGTAGGTTGTTATCAAAGATTAGCCAACTTTTGTAAAACTGGTCAACTCTCCTTCAAACACGTCGTAACATTTAGTATGGATGAATATGTTGGACTACCACGGTAAAATAATAGTAATAATATATAATATATAATAATGTATTTATTATATATTTTATTTATAATGATAGTGAACATAGCCAATCTTATTATAGTTTTCTATGGAAACATTTATATCAACACTTGGACATTTTACCAGAAAATATCAACATATTGGATGGAAATGCAAAAGATTTGGATGAAGAATGTCGTCGTTATGAAGCTGCTATTGTGAAATTAGGTGGTATCGAATTATTTGTGGGTGGTATTGGACCTGATGGACATATTGCTTTCAATGAACCTGGTTCCTCTTTAACTTCTCGTACTAGGGTCAAAACTCTTGCTTATGAAACAATTATAGCAAATTCTCGATTCTTTGATGGTGATGTTTCTAAAGTTCCCAAATTGGCTTTGACTGTTGGTGTCGCGTAGGTGAGAAGAGAAGGGGAAATACATTGAAAGTATACATATCTGCATTAATCTATTCATGCATTTTTACTTTTTTTAGGACAGTCATGGATGCTCGAGAAGTATGTATTATCATAGTGGGTGCTCATAAAAGGTAAAAATCCATTTTATTTATTTATTTATTTATATATTTATTTATTTAAGAATACTAATCAGAATTTTATTATATATCTGATATATAGTGTAGCTTTGGCCAAATGTGTAGAAGAAGGTGTGAATCATATGTGTACAGTAAGTGCTATTCAATTACATCCTAAAGGATTGATTGTATGTGATGAAGACACTACTTTGGAACTCCATGTTAAGGTAATGAACAAAAATGGAAATCAAGGGGTATAAAGGAGAAAAAACTTATATTTTCTTTTTTTTTTTTTTTGTTAGACGGTCAAATACTTCAAATCAATTGAACACGTGCATCAATCACTGATTGGTACAGAAAATCTCTCACTTCAAGGACAAGTGTTATCAGCCAAAGCGTCCACTCGACGATGGGATAATGACAATGAATCTGATCGACTTACTTCTCCTTCTTCCAAGTCTAATGGGAACAATGATGATATTGAACAGCGACCAAGCAAGAAAAAAAAAGGAAATATAATAGGTTGATTTTTTTTTTATGATAACGTAGTTCTCACGTTTATTTTTATTTTTATTTTTTTATTTATTCTTCTTCAATTTCTATTTTCCTCCCTCTTTTTTTTTTCTTTAATAATAAACAAACAACTCTTCTTCTTTCTTTGTGTTATATATCTTTATTTTATCTTTCTTGGGCGTTGATCAGTCAAGGTAATAATACTATACTTTTTCTTATTATAACTTCTAACTTGTTTCTTTATTCTACTTCTTCTATGATAGCGCCCATCAATTGCAAAGCAGCACTGGACAAGTTCATTGTACTTCTTCTTTATTCTTCCAATTCTATTCTTTCCAAACCAATAAAAAGGAAAAAGCAGTTTTATTCTCTCTCTCCTTTTATTTGTACTTGGAATATATGAAAACTATGCTTAGTACCGATACCGAAAAGTTACCTTCTATACCTCTACAGTTCGTGTCCAATCCACAACCAACCACTCTTTTGACACCAACTCATTTGATGAATAAGGCCATCTCCAATAAGACCTCTACTGACACTATTAGTGAACCAACATACTTTCATCCTCCAAGTATTGATATTGTTACTGTTTCCAAGCGTAGTAAAGGTAACAACGTTTCTTTACAAGAATTATTTTTCTAACACTTTATTATTATTATTATTATCTTGTGATATAGGGGATATATGTCACTATCTATTTGGTACAACCTTGGATCATTCAGTGGATCATATCTTAGTATTTGCAATAACAAATAAACAAATCCTTCTCAACCTTCAAGCTTTTGTTCATCAAAACACTATTTTTATGATGTTTCCTGATCAACCATCGGATGATGATGGTGGTATGCTTACTTGGCCATCCACTCAATTTCAATCATGGTATATCAATCCTATTTTCTATACGTGTTTATTCATCCATGCTTTTTTTTTTTTTTTTTTTTTTTTTTAGTTTCACTAGTTTGATCGAAATTCTTGAAGAAAAGACTGGATGTCAATATTTTACCATAGCAATCAATAAGAATCAGAATGCAGGTAATAATATCCCTCTCTCTCTCTCTTTTTTTTTTCCCTTCTTCTCATTATTATTTCATCATCTGCCCATTTCTCACTATTTGTTACAGTGGATACTGTTTTACGCGCTTTTTATTATATAGGATTTCAAATAGTCAAACCTTCCGTCTATGGTCAGTCTGCGGATTACATACTTGTTGGTTATGAATTGTAGTTTCCCTTCAACCCTCTTTATTTTAGTTTTTCTCGTATCAAAATAGTTATGCAAATCTTTATTATCATTTTTCCCCCCTCTCCTAGTCTATACCAATAAACATAGTCTTCAATAATAATAAAAAAAAATATCAACCATATGTCAATCAAAATACATATTGTAAATCCAAGGTTTTTTTTATTTATTTTTATTTTTTAAAAATCATTAAAACTATTCTAACATACTAATCATAAAGACCTAACAAAAGTAAGCAAATAAAAGACTTATTAGCTTTCATGATTGGTTCGTTTTATTGAATAACAGATCATCCTTTTGTTTCGTTGTTGATCGTTCAGGCTCATTAAATCAGTATATATTTTTTGAAATCAACACGACTTGATTAAGACGTTAAATGTTTTAATCCTTACGATCATCAACGATAACAAAAAAGATGATGATGATTTTTGTTTTAAACTTACCAACTAGCCTTGTCAAGAATAAAATAAAAATAAAAGGAAGAAGAAATGTTGTAAAAAAAAAAAAAACTTTTTTTCCACCCTTCTTATAGACAAATGGTACGGTGGCTGATGCAATATCCGATTGCGAGTCCGTTTTTTGTATGTCACACTTCGGATGCTCAATTCGTTTAGAAGAAGTAGGTTGCATGATGTCGCATACAAACCATATGTGATAACGGATGATGGTTGGGTTGATATACGATGATGGATTATGATCCAGGTATATAATAATAATGATAAAATATGACTTTATTAGGGAAGAATATAAATAAATATACGAACACTAAAAAAATATAATCTAGCCAAGAAGATACGTTTTACATGATTGATGTTGTAGGCATAATCCACTGTCAAGCCATTCTATCGTATGTTCATCTCCATTTTTAACCCACCGTATATTCATCTAGTCTATTCATAATAATAATAATAATAATAATAATAAAGGGAAAGGTCATCAATATAGAATAGTAAATAAGAACTATATAAATGCATAGATACATAGTTTAATTCATTCTTGACATTACTATTGTCGGAAAGTCCCAATGGAAGGAAAGAATAGGAAGAAAGAGAATTGAATTAGTGTTTTATATGCAAAAGAGACTTTTTTTGTGGGCATGAACATCCAAAAAAAAAAAAAAAGAGAGCGGACATTCAAACCTATACCAACAGGGAAAATATACTCGAGCCCAATCTGTAAATTTTGTTTTCTCTCTTCCTCTTTGCATCTAATATCGTTCATCATGGTAAGTTTGATGATGATTTTCCTTTTATGATAGGGAAGAGAATTTTTCTTTTTTTCTTTATTAATGTAGAATCGATCGTTACGAAAAGATAATTTGTGGATGGATGGATGGATGGATGGATGGACAGAAAGAAAGAAAAATGAATGTATGATGAATGGATTTTAACTCAATTCTTTTTTCTAATGTAGCCCAAGCAGGTTCTGGACATTAAGCAATTCCTTGAAATCACCCGTAGAAAGGACGCCAAGTGTAAGTAGACAACATTATTGATTCAATCATATGATATTCATTTTTTTTTTTATGAATAGCTACTCTCGTCAAGAAGAACGGTGACAAATACAAGTTCAAGGTCAGATGCTCTCGCTACTTGTACACCCTCGTCGTCAACGACAAGCAAAAGGCCACCAAGCTTAGACAATCTCTTCCCCCTGGTAAGCCAATATTACTTTTGCTATCTCTCTCTATATATATATATGTGATACAGATCATCAAAACTTACTCTTCTTCTTTTTTTTTTTGTCATAGCTCTCCTTGTCAAGGATATCTAAAGGAACCTACTTGTCTCATTCTTATCAATGTGTTATTCGATCTTTTTTTTGATTTGTTATATACAACATGATGTTATCTGCTGTTTGAATAAAAGAAAAAAGTATTGATTCCACAAAACTTGATTGTTTATTGTATTTTCTTTTTTTTTTTTTGGACTAGACTGTTGTGTATCAAAAAGATATAGATATGTATGAGTATATATAAAAATGTGAGTGTATATATTGAATTGGGAAAGGGGAAGCATAAATGAATATAAATACTGTTTATATGGGGGAATCACTATCTGGAAAGAAATATTATTCTAATCATCATCAAAGAAAGGATCCAAATCATGGTTGCTATCTTCGGCGTCGATATCATCTAGTATTGTTTGAGCAGTTGTTGTATCTTTGGATGATTTTCGAGTGACATGATCAGACACATCAAACATGACTTGATTAACTGGAGGAGAGGGATCATCCTTTTGAGGTAACAATGGAGGTGAATCATGAGTGATGGTAGATGCTGTGAATGTATGTTTTGTATTGGTTGATAAAGTCGTTTCTTGTTGTTGTTGTTGTGATGTAGAGTTGCTACGAAAAACATTCAAATTCCATTTTGGATCGTCGACACTGCTTGATCGCATAAATGACATGATACCGCGTTTCTTATTGTTGGAGAGAGAATCTGAGCCTTGAGATGATGATGAATTGGCTGTTGTATGTGCATAATCAGTTGCTTCAGGAACTACTAAGGGACTGGCTTGACGACGTCTTTCACTATCGGCATGTGCTTGTAATGTGGAATCAGAGAAGATGTCGTCATAATGCTTGATCATATCATAGGTTAGATGAGTTGGTACCCGACTTGTCAATGTCACCAAAGATTCTTGTTTGCTTCGTATCACAACAGATCCTAGCGACTGACAAATGGCTGTTATTGTTTCATCAGGTATATTGTTGTCCTTGACATATCTTGTCATATAAAGGATTATGAGTCATGGAAGAAAGGAGGATTTATCTTTTATAATTACCTGCTGACATGCTGCATAATCAACTTGAGAGTTTCAAAATGAGGGGCTGGTAGACTAGCTATCAAATTGCTAACAGGTAATCGAAGCAGACTTGTATCTTGACCATCTAAATGATATAAACACAAAATCAATATCATATTCTGCAATCCTATATGGATGTACTTACTGTTACCATAAAGAGCATATGCAGCATCATATAACTCAAAGGTAAAAAGACACTGAGGGAGTTCCAATAAGTAGAGCCTTAATAGAGCAACCAACAACCCAGGTTCCTGCTGAAGTAAAAGATCCATAGTGACACGATCACTTGAAATATTGATATCTGTACGAAGGCTATGAACTTGATCCAGGGGAATTGGGGTAGACCATAATGATTTTTTGATTTCAGCATCCATATCTTTTGAACCTAAAGAATAAAGTCAGTTTATATATATTATATGATGATTATTCTTATTACCTTGTTCAATAGCATCCAATAATCGTCTAATAAATATAGGAACATTATCTGAACCATGTTTTGCCAATTCTGATAATGGTACACCGAATATTTGATCTATAAAAGAGAAAGAGTAAATTTGTCGTTGATTAAAGATCTATTTTTTTTTTTATTTATTTATTTTGATTTACCGTGAGCAACGCCGTGATAATAATTTTCATATAAGATGGCTTTTGGAGAAAATCCAGCTACATAGTATTGTTGAACAATATATTGAATATCTTGATCAGGCTTGAGAGATTCTTGATTAGCTACTAATTCTTCAATCATTGACTTGTCCACGGGTAAAGAGGTTGATAAACATGAGGTGTATTCAGTAAAGGCACGTTTGATGGTATTTATCCGGTTGATTTCCACTTGTTCCATTTCAGCAAAATGAGCAAACTTTTTTTTTTTTTTAAAAAAAAAAAAAAAAGTTGATATGAGAATAAGCATGGATTGTTTTTCATTATATATGAACACACTTACCAAAGATTCTTCAATAACGGTTCGCATCTGATCCACTCTTTTGATTGCTGTTCTATAAGCTTCATCGGCACGTTCGGCTTCGCTTCTTGCCTTTTTATGAACTTCTTCACCGGTGATGGAAGATGTTGTTGATGTTGATTTCCGATCGAAAAGACCACCCAAAGTCAATGTACTGACACCGTTAGTCACTGATACACTGTTGTTGTCATCATCCATTGTTTTAGAAGCCACAATACCACGCCATTGATAAAAGGAAGTAGGAGAAGCAATGAACTTGTTTCCACGTTGTCCAATCAAACGAAGAGCACCATAGGGTTGAATTAATTGTTGACCAATGACATCAGCCATCGCAGGAGAATCTTTGCATTGAGCCAAATGTTGCTGAAGCCAAATAGCGATACTTTCACCAGTTGAAGTATTTGAATACTTGCCAAGGATAGGAACACGATGATCTTGCATTGGAATGGAAGCATGCATATCTTGAATTAATTGATCATATTCTGATTTTGATAGGACCTGATTACCAAGTTGAATGGATTCACTGTTTGTTGAAGGAAGAGATGTTGTATTATCATTATTATTTATACTATCATCACTAGTTTGTTCTGATAAAGTTGTAGGTGAAACTGGAGGAATAGTATTGGATACATTCTGGAGAGCTTGTTCTTCGGCTTGGTTAGCATCACGACATTTACGATGATACAGTTGTTTTGCGCGTTCAGCTTCTTTGACTAAACCATCAAGTTGACGAATAGAAGATTCCATGGCTTGTTTGCTTGTAGAGATATGTCGTTTATATTCCTGTTGAAATTGAACTAATGGGTCCAATACAGTTGTTCGAAGAGAGTTTGTCATAGTATTATGTTGTTGACTTTGTTGAATATTTGTTTGCTTGAGTAAGTGAAAACAACTTTTGAGAGTAGCACCATCGTCAGCATCAAAACCAGAGGCTTGAAAGGGTCTTGTATTTGCCAAACGAATTGCATATTGTTCTTCACACGCAATACGATCCTTGAAAAACTGGATGACTTCATCGTTCTCTACTTTACTTTGGTTCAGTTTCTTATGTAGTACTTGAAAACCAGTTGTAAAATCAGGTAACGTTTGTTCTGGTTGTTTCTGTGACCAAAAGGAAGTTTCAAAGTGAAAAGAAGACATGACTTGAAGTAAAAGAAAAAAAAAAAAAAAAAAAAAAAAAAGGTGAAAAAAAAAATCAGGCTGAGTGAAGAAAACTGTATACAAGAAAAAAAAAAAAAAAAAGTTACACGAATTTCCTTACCTGGAGTTTCTCGACTTACACTTCTTTTAAATATTTTTCTTTTTCCTCTCTTTTCTTTTTCTTTTTCTTTTTTTTATTTCTTTTTCCTTTTTCTTTTTTTCTTTTTTTTTTTTTATTTAACTTAACCTTATATATATATTTTATAGAATATGTCTGACCCTATTGCTCCTCATTCTGCTCCTATTGCTGCCTACATGAGTGTACATCAAGGTAAAACATATTTATATATATTATTATAAAGTGTTCTTTATTAATGGTTATTATTTATGATTAGCTACCAATTTGGCTTATGTTAGATATTTTGGTAAAATTGATAATGCTACTTCTGCTACTTTTCAAAGTCTTGATTCTCAAGGTTTCCATGTATCATATACTTTACCCGATAACTCTTCCAGTCAAGTATATATCAAATTCAAAACTCCTCTGACTAAGCGAGAAGATATCCGACCAGTTTTAGAAGATATGGCAAAAGAAGCCGAAACTGCTTTAGGTTTAGTAAGTAAATATATATATATATATATATATAATTAACAAAGTTATTATAAATAGCCTAGTTCATTAGTTGGTCCTCCTCCAGTTGCTGCTATTGCCAAAGCTTTATATGCTCAAACTACTGATATTTATACTCCTCCTACTCCATCTGTTCCTTTGGATGCTTTTTATCCTGTATCTGTATCTGAAGCTTTAAGATTTGGTGTTTTCCTTGGTTTCTTTGCTCTCTTTGGTTATGCCTCTGATACTCAACTACCTCGTTTATTACAACCCATCCGTCAATCTATTATCTCTCCTATCATCTCTAAAAAGATATTCAAGGCAGTAGTCTATATCCATCTTGCTGAAGCATCTCTGGCTTTCTTTATGTGTCTTCGTCGTGGATGGTATGGTCCTTCTAATATCCTCAAATGGACTGCAAGTACTTTTTTCTTTGGTTTCAACTCTATGCGTTTACTTCGAAAACATGCAAAAGACGTTCAAGGTATTTAGATTTATAATTTATATTATTGTATTGTCCTTTCTTTTTTTTAAAAAAAAAATAAAGAAAAGTTGTATGAAATACAATGATGTCTTTTATCTAGATGAATTGTATCGTAATTTGTTCCATGTTGAGAAATTGGATGAAACTGGATGATTGTTTAAAAGTTATGGTGATTCTGTACAATGATATTGCCCATAAATGGAAGTGTGCCTGTTGAGTGGGAACCGACAAGCGGGTTGTCAAAATGCCAGAAAAAAAAAGAACCCTTACTGAAAAATAAATATCTTTTTCCTGTTCTTTTTTTTTTTTCCTTTTCTTTTTTTTTTTTTTTTTTTTTTTTTTTTTTTTTTTTTTTTTTTACCTTTGTTGATCATTTTTGTGTAGACATTGAAATCATCCAATATTGTTTCAATGTCGTTTTTCAACTGGTTTTCAAAATCTTCTTCAACCTCTTCTACACCCAATGCTGACGATATTGTTAAAAAGGATGTTTGTTATCATATAGTAAGTGTTTTGGTTTAAATCAATTATGAGTTGTATTGATGATTCGTTCTGTTCCATAGGAAGGTTTTTTAGCATGTTCTTACTTCCATACTGCCACTGAGGCCGCCGATCGACTTGCAGCCAAATATCCTAATGTCAAGATAGATGTCAGTGCTTATCCTCGACAGCAATGGCCTGAACGATCTTTGGAATTACAAAAAGTATGGAAACAACAAAGGACAAATATCTGATGATATCTAATACACTTCTTTTTCTCTTTCCTGTTTGAATAGGAATTTGATACAACACACCGAACTTCTCCTTTTATCTATGAAGGATGTAGTGCAGGAAATCAAAAGGTGGTAGGTGGCTATACCGATTTTGCCAAACTGATTAAGACCAACTATCAAATGATTGTGCCTATGGATTAAGAAACTTACAATGGAGATGTCGATGTTGGTTTAGAATAATAGTAGACATAGAAGAACATTGTCATTCCACAATATATCTTATATTCTATTTAGACTGTAGCGATAGTAGAAGTAGTAATATTATAGATCCTCTCTTTTTTCTTATTGTATATATATATATATCAACTGTACAAATAATAACAATAATAATAAAAAAAAAAAGCTTTAACCACTGTCATCGTCACTACCAAAATCATATTCGTTTGTATCGTCTTTTTATTTCAAAATAAAACAAAGCTATAAATTAACATCTACGATTTTTTGATAATAAGACCCTTCAACATATCGAAGCTATTTCCATCAGGTTGTAAAACATATCGTTGATTGCTATTGTCTGCATTCACCACTTCCAACATGCCATAGTCGGTAGTAATACCAATGATTCTTGCTCGTACATTATCATGTGTTGTCAAAGTCACCAACTTGTCACTATGTTATTGGAAAATAACAAAAAAAAAAAAAAAGTTCATCAACATGGATGGTTTCGTTATTCTTTTATCCCTCTTTTCCATTAATACCTATGTAACCATCGCTTATAGTAGATATCCAAAAACCAGGATCCCATGCCTTCTTCACAGAATTGATTGTAAAATCGTTCAAAGGTTACTAGGATACCGGCTAATACATCTTCAGGAGTCAATCTTGCTAAGGATGGATTATGTTCCGATATCACATCATTGATGGATACGGTAGGTTGACTATTGGATAAGTTGATACCACATCCTGATCATATCGTGGTTTTGTTGTATTTTCCAAAAAAAAAAAAAAAAAAAAAAAAAAAGAGAATGAGTACTTCCTTTGTATTGACTTTTTGGTTTTTTTCATCAACTTACCAATTATCAACAAAAATTCATTTGATACAAAACTAGAATTCACTAATAATCCACCAACTTTTTTCAAACCTTGACCTGGTACATCAGCATAAATATCATTGGGCCACTTCAAACGTAAAGGAACTTGCTCATAGCCAGGACGACTTCGGATACTTTCCACTACAGCAAGGGCAATGATATATTGAATGAAAACAACAGGTGCATGTGAAAGTTGAAGACTGTGTCGAACTTCCAAACTGAATTGTAATGCACCTGATTGAGATACCCAAGAGTTTCGACCTCGACCTATAAAATGTATGTATATATAAATCCTTTTGTTAGAATTATACTCTTTCCAGTTATCATCCTGATCACTATCTTTTTTTTTTTAGATTTTTCATACCTCGACCAGCAATTTGATTTGTAGCAAGACACACAAGACCAGAAGGAAATGCTTGAGAAAATGAATAATTTCTATTCACACACACCCAACAAAAAAAAAAAAAAAAAAAGAAAAGTGTTCAAGTAAGTGATTCGTTTTTTTCAGTCATTATTTTCCTGTCATTTACTTGTCCAAAACTGTTTGTGTACTAGTAATCACTTCCGAATAAAGCATAGCATTTCCAAAATGATACCAATTTCCACCACCCCATTCCTTTGTTCGATGTTGTTTAAGAGAAGAAAAGTAAGCGCCAATGTCAAAGAATGGTGTCATAGTTGATGATGGATATTGTGCCTTCTCTTGTTCAGTAATAGTTGAAGAAGGATGATGAATCATTAGTGAAATTGTATCATTGGTATTATCCAAAGCAGCTGTAGTGTTGGAGACAGATAGTTTTTCCCATTTGGCATTCAAGTCGTTCAAAAGAATATCTTCATCGTCCTTATTGTTTTTGTCGTTATTGTTGTTGTCAGACCAAGGAGTGAGATAAAATTGATTGCTGGCATCTTTGATCACCCGACCTTTTGCTAGTTCAAGTAAATTTGAAGTAATAGTATCCGTCAATGCACGAGTCATACCACAGAGATAGATGGGTGTGAGTTGGAGTGATGTCGCTGTCATGTCAGATATAGTGTTGTTTGGCGTAACGTTCAGTCCTAAGAAGCTAAATTGTTTTCGTAAAAAGTCAAGACAAGAAACTCGACTCTCTTTGAGTATTGCAATCAGTTGTTCACTATTATCCGCTTCCTCCAAACCTGGTGTCGTTGTCACATCATATTCAGGATGTACAGCCGATAATAATGCTAATCCATTTCCCACTTTACACATCACCACTGCTGCTGCTGCTGCTGCTGTTGTTGTTGTTGTTTTTTCATCATCATCTTTGTTATTGGAATAAGTTGCTACCACTGTCACTTCAGGATATTGTTCAGGATTGACGAAGAAACCACCTCCATTGTAAAACATTGCAATTGTATTTTGTTGTTGATTCCCTATATGAATATGAACTGCACGTGCACCTTTGTTGCTATTGTAGACAAAACCAGGATACATTGTACCGCGACATTGACCAGGATAGAATCCAAGTTCCCTAGGTCCTTTGACTTCCATTGGTGTTCCCACTTCAAACGCGATATCCGAGGATGCATAGTAAGCACCGGCACATAATCCAAGATAACGTCCACCACCATAAACATAGTTTTTGACACGTTGATTGATATCTCCATTCATATCTTTGCAATATGGCATATCACGTCCTCCAGGTATTACAAATAATGAGCAACTATCTTCCCAGGGTTCCGTACGTAAGGTATTGGCATCTACCTTGATGATATCATAGGCATGTCCAAGTAAAGTTTTCAATGTTGTATATGTTTGTTGAATAGCATTAGGTGCGGCACCTTCCCCAGTATAGATAAGTATATTCATCAATCAAAGAAAGAAAGGAAAAAAAAAAAAAAGTGTGCAAAAGAAAAAAAAGACTTCGGAGCCACCTTTTTTTTTTTTTTTTTTTTTTTCTTTTGACACCACCTACATGGGTTAAATATTTATGCGACTGGTGAGGCCTTCCCCTTCAATTGCCCAGTTTTCCACTATTTTTTTTTTCTTGAATAGAATTTAGTAAAGCGGCTAGTACATATTTTAAAACTGATGGTAATGATTACAATGATGTTGATCTCTATGACGACAGTGAACGATAGACAATTTATTGATGAAAATCTTGTTATTTAGTAAAAAAAAAAAAAAAAAAAAAAAAAAAAAAAAAAAAAAAAAAGGACTGATGATGGGTGAATAGGGAGATATGTGATGACAGATGATGATGGATGGTGTTGTGATTTTAAGAGATGATTAGACGATAATACTGTATGATAGTATGATGGGTAATGGATGATCGTTTTTAACAGGAAGAAAAGTCGATAATAACTACTAAAAAAGTAATCCCACAAATAGGAGTTGTATCATTCAGAAAAGTAGATACAGTTTGAAGTGTCACACAGAGGTTTTGTCATACTTGGCGATCATGATGCTATATAAGTAGAATGGAAGAATAAAATAGTTTGATTGCGGACCGTCAATCTAATATTCATTTCATCTATAAATCCAACTTACAAAAAGAAATGACTGGTGGTGAGCTTGAAAAAAGCATCTTGGTTGTCAAAAATCTAAAAATGGTGAAATGATATCTGATTTAAGATCTCTTTTTTTTTTATTTATTTATTATTATTATTACCGGAATCACTCTTTATTTTTTCTTTTTTTTTAAAACAAATGAGCAGATGTAATGTAGATATGTTTTTTTTTTTTGTGTCATTAAACATATTCGATATTAGAAATGAATAATCTATTTGTAAACATGAATATATAAAGTAACTTGTTTATTAATTGTGAATAAAACATATAAATATGCAAAACACCCAGAATATTCAAGCATCAAAAGAACAAGTGATCTTAAAATCTTATTGGCTGAAATGCAAAATCAGAGATGCTGGGCTACGACTAAAATCAATCCTTCATTCTCATTGGTTTAAATATTAGCATAACAGAATCTCATCTTTTTTTTCTCTTTAGTGCTACTTTTTTTTTTTTTATATAAAACCCTTTCATTTTTCTTTTTGTTTCTTTTCTTTCTTCTTCTTTATTATTTTCTCTACTTTATTTTTTTTTAATTCTTTTATATTAAATAAATATGGTTACTGCCACTAATCTTGGTTTCCCCTACGTCGGATCTGAACGTCAACTTAAGAAACTTGTTGAATCCTACTGGTCTGGAAAGATTACTGAACAAGCTTTACGTGAAGGTTACTCCAAGATTCAAGAATCTCACTGGAAAGTACAACAAGAAAAGGGTCTTCAACATATTCCTTCTGGTGAATTCACTCTTTATGACAGAACTTTGGACACCATCCAAATGCTTGGTGCCATTCCTCAACGTTACCAAAACATTAGTAATCCTCTTGATCAATTCTTCGCCATGGGTCGTGGTTTACAACGTGCTGCTACTGAAACAACTGCCAAGGTGGATGTTCCTTCTATGGAAATGAAGAAATGGTTCGATACCAACTACCATTTTATTGTGCCCGAACTTGAACAAGATCAAACTTTCCAATTGGAAGCTAATCCTCGTGTGGTGGAACAATTCAAGGCTGCTAAGGCTCTTAACATTCATACTCGTCCTGTTCTTGTTGGTCCTGTTACCTTTTTACGTTTGGCCAAAGCTGCTAAAGGTGTCCAAGAATTTGATACTTTGACCTTATTGCCCAAGGTGTTACCTCTCTATGTACAAGTTCTTAATCAATTGAAGGAAGCTGGTGCTGATTGGGTTCAAATTGATGAACCTATTTTGATTTTGGATTTGGAAGATAAGGTCAATGCTGCTTTGGAAACTGCTTACAAGACTATCAATGCTGAAACTTCTATTAAGACTTTGGTTGCTGCTTACTTTGGTCGTGTTGAAAAGAATATCTTGTCTGTGAAGGATCATGTTGATGCTATTCATTTGGATCTTGTACGTGCACCTGAAGAATTGGATACTATTTTGCCTTTGTTGAACAAGAATCAAGTTTTGTCTGTTGGTGTAGTGGATGGTCGTAACATCTGGATCAATAACTTGGAAAAATCTATCGCTTTAGTTAAAAAGGCCGTTGATGCTCTTGGTCAAGATCGTGTCTTTGTTGCTCCCTCTTGTTCTTTGGCTCACTCTCCTTACTCTACCTCCTTTGAAACCAAGATCAAGGAAAAGAATCCTGAATTGTACAGCTGGTTGTCCTTCTCTGTTGAAAAATGTGCTGAAATCGTGACCATTGCCAAGGCTGTGAACGGTGAAGATGTCAAGACCGAATTGGATGCCAATGCTGCTGCTGTCGAAAGTCGTCGTACTTCTCCTCAAACTGTCAACCCTACTGTCCGTGATCGTGTGGCAAAGATCCCTGCTGAAGCTTGGAAGCGTCCTTCTCCCTTCAACACTCGTCGTGAAGCTCAAGTGAAGAAACTCAAGTTACCTCTCTTCCCTACTACCACCATTGGTTCTTTCCCTCAAACCAAGGAAATCCGTGTGGCTCGTCAACAATTCAACAAGGGTACTTTGTCTCAAGCTGATTACGATGCTTACATCAAGTCTCAAATGAAACAAATGGTTGAAGCTCAAGAAAAATTGGATCTTGATGTCCTTGTCCATGGTGAACCTGAACGTAACGATATGGTTGAACACTTTGGTCATTTGCTTCATGGTTATGACTTTAGTGCTAATGGTTGGGTTTGCAGTTATGGTAAGTGAAGGATAACAAACATTCTGAAGTTAGATGGATGGTACTGATTTTTTTTTTTTTTTGCTATTTGTACGTTAGGTTCTCGTTGTGTCAAGCCTCCTATTATCTTTGGTGATGTTTCCCGTCGTCAACCTATGACCATTGATGAAATCAAATATGCTCAATCTTTGACTAGCCGTCCTATGAAGGGCATGTTGACCGGTCCTGTTACCATGATGAAGTGGTCTTTTGTTCGTGATGATATCCCAGCCAATGAACTCTGTGCTCAAGTTGGTTTGGCTCTTCGTGATGAAGTCGTTGATTTGGAAGCTGCTGGTATTCCTTGTATTCAAGTCGATGAACCTGCTATTCGTGAAGGTTTACCTATTCGTCGTGCTGATTGGGATGCTTATCTTGAATGGTCTGTCGGCTGTTTCCGTTTGTCTACCTCTGGTGTACGTGATGAAACTCAAATTCACACCCATATGTGTTACTCTGACTTTAATGATATCTTTGATGCTATTGCTGCTATGGATGGTAAGTTAAAAATGGATAGAAGTGGTATATATATATTTATTTTATTTTATTTTATAGCTGATGTTATCACCATCGAAAACTCCAAATCAGATGAAAAGTTGCTCAAGATCTTTGAATCCAAGAAATATCCTAATGAAATTGGTCCTGGTCTTTATGACAGTAAGTAGAAAAAAAAAAAAAAAAAGGAAGACAAAAATACATGTATTTATTTATTATTATTTTTTTTTCTAGTCCACTCTCCTCGTGTTCCTTCCGTTGAAGAAATGAAGCAACGTTTCGCCGATATGCTCAAGTACATTCCTCCTCATTTGTTGTGGGCTAACCCTGATTGTGGTTTGAAGTCTCGTCAATGGTAAATAAAAAAAAAATTATACATAAAAGAAAATCTATGAAGAAAATAGATGATGATGAATTGACCATTGATTTTTTTTTTATTTTATTTGAATAGGCCTGAAACCAATGCTGCTCTTGCCAACATGGTTGAAGTTGCCAAGTTCTTCCGTGCTCAACATCAAGCTTAGGTTATATATATATTTTCTCTTTTCCCCCCTCTTTAAAAAGTTTATATAGTTCATCCATCAATAGTTAGTTTTTATTCTTCATAATCATACTTACAATTCAACATTTACCCCCCTCAAAAAATTACCTTTTTGTTTCAATTAAAAAAAACTAGCATTCAACATGTACATACAATCACAATTTTTTTTTTGTCTTCTTTATTTGTGCCTCAATAAATAATAATAAAAAAAAATACCTAAAAGGAAATTGGTGACTCTTTCCGTGTGTTACTTTGTTCATTTTCATTTTTCTTTTATCAAGTTTTAATGTAGAATATATACCAAAACGCCACATATCTTCTACTTTATAAAAAAAAGTACAAGGGTTGAAGTTGATTGTGAACGCAAGGAATAAGTCTTCTTCTACATGTCCCGCCTCCTTTAACTATATATGGAAACTAAGGGGCTCTAGCGATTGAATTTGAGATACTGTGAAGGTTTAAAGAGGAGAATCTATTTGTGACCTGATGGTCCTTTTTGGAACCTATTACCATTATTACCAAGTTGTGGGTCACGTTTTTTTTTTTTAAAAAAAAAGAAAAAGTAAACATATAACTAGATGAAGGTTGCATAAATCTTTTTATATTTCTTACATCTCATGTAATTGATACCCTATTTACAATCATCATTCCTTTTTTTTCATTCTGTCATAGGTTAGTACTGTTGGTTACCTTTGATACTATTAAATCCTGTACATACTTTTAAATCCTATACAATGATAATAATAATGATGGACGATGAGAGACTCCTTTAGGATATTCTATCTCTTTTTTTTTTGGAGTATCAATTTCCAAAAATTGAGGACTGGATCCAATTCAGGCGGAGAGGAAAGATGAGAGACAGGCTATTTTGGTAGCATGCAGTCAATAGTATCGATTGTTTTAGCAAGATAAAACTGTTGGAAAAGTTTCGAACTAAAACTTTTTCTTTTTTTCTTTTCATAAGAAGATAGATGCCAAGAAAAAAAAAAAACGTATCATCATTTATCATAAAAAAAAAAAAAATAGTAAGATCCCTATTTTCGGTTCACTTATCGGATATACTTTGCCGTATTTTCCTGGCTGACATATAAAAAAAAAAAAGTTCATTGCGCACGGTAATTACAATCTCTTTAGTTAGTATCAGTTAGAATGCTTTCAACCATGATGTTGCTTGTTAAGAGGGGTTTGAAATCTATATAGTGATCGAAAGGGAACCTTTTTTTTTTTTAAAAAAAAAAAAAGCAATAGCTGGACTATAAAAATGATAATAAAAGATTTTCCTATCACAAACACATCTCTTTTCCTTTTTCTTTTTTTATTTCCAACTTTTTCTTTCTGTGTGTCAATCCGGGGGTTTACTTTTTTATTATTATCTATTTATTTATCATATCATGAATAATAATAATAATTCATCACCCCCACCTCTACCTCCACATCATAATTATCCATATAATCCATATATACAACCATCTCCAACATCAACTGCTATATCACAATATTCTATTGATGATGAAAAATATCATCATCCGACTGGTAGAGGAAGCAAGTAAAAAAAAAAAAAAAAAATTAGTTCTTAAACTATTTTTAACTTACTAATTATGATCTTTACCATTTAGATGCAAGGCCATCAGCACGAGGTTTATCAAGATTGCAACAAGACATTGAATCGACTTACTCCAGCGAAAAACATGTACAACGACGACGGACGGCATTGAAGGACCGGCACTGTTGTATTCGGTGTTGTTGTTGTGCCTGTTTTCCTAAATGGGCTCGATATGTTATCTGGACTTTTATCATTGCCATCCTTATTGTCATCATCATCATTGGTTCCATCTTTGCTACATTTAAAATGCCCACGTTTGGATTTGTTGGTTTGGCCGATAGTAATTCATCCACTTTGTCCACTTCGAATTTCCAGGTCAATGATGGTCGATTCAACTTTAATTTTGGTCTACGCATCAATGTTTACAATCCAAATATCTTTCCTTTACATTTTTCAAATATGAATGCAACGGTAAAAAAAAAAAAAAAAAGTTTAGTAATGGGATGACAAAAAAAAAAAAGACTTTTTTTCTATTATGTATTCACCTTCCTTATTTGGTGGACCTTTTGGTTAGGCTTATTACCCATCCGATAACAATCCAGACATCAAAACACTCATTGGAGGTGGATTCTTACAAAGTCAATGGATTCCTAAACAAACCAATTTGACATTTACTTATCCTTTCCAAATTGAATACGATCCTTCTCTTGATGCTGATCAAAGTGTGTTGAATAGTTTGACAGACAAGTGTGGCCTGACTGGGAATCCAGCTCAAGATCTTTCCATTGATTACACCATTGAACTTGCCGCTTCAGCTTTATTTGTTACTCTACATCCTACCATTGCTTCTTCTGCTCAATTCCCATGTCCTCTCAATGTAAGTTGAAATCGCTTTATAGGATGACGGAACTAATATTTTTTTTTTTTTTTTTTAGTCTGAAATGCTTCAAGGTGATACCTCTGGATAAAATATTGATGAATGAATTTTTGAATAGATAGATATATAGAAATGTAAATTTATTTTTTTTTTTTTTACTATTATTATTTTGTATTCTTCATTTTTTCCTGTTGTGCTCATCATCAGATACCCCCCCCTCCTCATTTGAAATGACAAAAATAAAAAACAAACAAACAATTACTGCTATTTTTTTACCATGAGTAGATAACATCCTCCATCACCATCACTACAATGTAGACCAAAGCATGATGGGTACATAAACATGACCGACAGAAAAAGGGGGGATGATCATACAACTCGCCACTGTTGACATATGTTAAAGACTTCCCATCTATGTGTATTCTAAAAAAAAGGGTCATCTTTCCCAAAATGGTTATCATTTCAGTTCCCGTGATCATCCATAAAAAGTAAAGTGATCTAAATCCATACAAAAAAAGGCTCTTTAGAAAAAAAAAAAAAAAAAAAAGGAGAGAGAGTATGAAATGAAAAGAATCAAATACACAACTATGTCATATTTTTTTTTGATATGAATGAATTGATTTTATTTGAATGAATAAACAAAAAAAAAAACATTTATGAAAAAAAAACAAGAGACAGGAAAACAAGGGAGCAATGAGTAGGGAGAAAACAAACAAGGGGGGGAGAGGAGTGTGAATGAAAGAGAATGTCATTGAGAAAATAAACTATGAGTGAATGTAAAGTGCAGAAGTGAGATATGGAACAAAATAATAATATATAATAATAATAATAATAAAAAAAAAGAGAGAATGAGGGCATCAATCTAATGTATAAAGGAACCTATTTCAATAACGACTTGTACTTTGTCTACGATTTCTTGATTGATTAGCTGTCATAGGTCTTGCTAAGGGTACATCATCATCCTCTTCATCATCTTCTTCCTTCAATGGTTGATTGTGGTTGATCATGCCATAATTGCCATTGACGGACCATGGTTGCATCATCATAGGATTCATCATCATTGGATTCATCATCATTGTGTTCATCATCATGGGATTCATCATCATTGTGTTCATCATCATTGGATTCATCATATAAGGATTGTTCATCATCATCTATATATAAAAAGATAAGAATCATATTTATCTGAATTTTTTTTTTTTTTTACCTGTTGTTGAAGTAATTGTTGTTGATATAAAAGTTGATCTTGGAATTGTTGTTGTTGTGAAGATGTTGACATAGTTGTAGAGAAACGATTCTTTTCTTTTTCACGTTTTTCATCCTCTAATTGAGAAATCATGCCAACTAGGCCAGATCGAGGTTCTGAGGGTTTGGTTTCCATATGCACAAGAGGTTGACCTGGCATCATTCTTTGGTAATCATCTGCACCACCGTACATGCTGCCACCACTACCTCCTATACCACTATACATGCTTCCACCACTACTTCCTACGCCATTATACATGCTTCCACCTTGACGATACATGGCAATCCTTGGATCAATACCTCCTCCAACATTTCCATTCATAGATGCTGTTTCCATAGAGGAGCGATATGATTGTTGTTGTTGTTGTTGAGGTTTATATTCATAAGAAGCTATCCTTGGATCAGTTCCCATTAAAGAGCCAGTTTCCCATAATGATTGTTGTTCATGAAGCTGCTGTTGTTGTTGTTGCTGTTGTTGCTGTTGCATATAATCAATTTTATGCACAAGACCCATAGATGATGATCGTCTTTGCTGTCTTGATAATGATGTGGCGGTGGATGTTGATTTCATAGGTTGCGGTGGCACGACAGATTGTCGTTTCATTTTTCCATGAAGTTGTTGTTGATACTGTTGCTGTAAACTGTTGCCGCTTGTGCTTGTATTACTACTGCTACTACCCTCACTGTTGGTTGCCGCACTTGATCGATTGGAGAATGTGGTGGATGGTGTTGTTGCTGCTGTTGAAGAAGATAACATGGTGGTAGAGAGTGGTCGCCCAGAAGATGAGAATGAACTTGATGATGTAGATATCTTCATCTTTCCCAATGCTTCTATATATCCATGTCCATCGTTTTCATCATCATGGTTATTATCAGAATCTTCATCGTCACTTGGTAATTGTGCCACTGACATTCTTTTTGAAATAGGTATTTTGTTGTCAATCACTACTGGTCTTGTTGGTACATCATCGATATTAGTCGCGGCTGTAGGTAAAGGCGAAGCTGTATGTACTGGTGATAGAGATTGTGAATTAATATTAGTGAGAGATGTCATGCTATTGTTGGATGAAGTTGTTGTTGGCATAGGTTCGGTACCAAATGTTGAAAGAAGATTTTTTGCAAAGTCCATCATATTATCGCCATTCTTGTTCTGATACTCATCATCCGCAACAGATAATATTTTTGTGGATTCCTTTGATGGATGTACAGAAGTAATTGGTGAAGGTGTACTTGGTTCCGTTGCTGATTGTAGTTCCTAACATAATAAAAAAAAATAGTTGAATCAATAAATATATGTCATCCATCCTTTTTTTTTTCTTCTTTTCTATACCTTATTGCTATTATCATTAAGTGCCATGAATTGAGGAGTAGAGGTGCTAATAAACAGAGAATCGCCATCACTTTGATCATCGTCATCAGATTCTTCAGTATTGTCTTCATCACTGTCATCACTTGCATAAATCATAGGGTGAGATTGAGATATGGACATAACCGAAGCACGATGGGGTATTGAAGCAAGGCTATTGGATTGGGATACCTTATGTTGTTGATTCATGATGTGGTCAGGTGCCATGTTGGATAAAAGAGGAGCACTATTTGCCCGAGGTTTGGAGGCACTGAGAGGCATAGTAGGACATGATGAAGCAGTTTTCAACATTTTTTGAGCCATCACTTTCATAAATGCAGTTTTGCTGTCGAGTAAGGTAACGTTTTGAATAGGTAGATGCATGACATCACTAGATTCCAAAAAGAGTCGAGAATCCGTGTTTGATGTTTCACCAAAATTGAGGGAACTAGGATTGCAAGGATCATCTAATAAGCATGTTGGGCGTCCATATAATTTGAAGACATCAAAAACAGCCATCAACCATTGTACGAGTTCTTTGGTATTGGATGCCATGAGTAAAGTACCAGTTGAATGTTGAGTTGTACCTTGTTCGCCAGATTTGAGATCAGTTGTTGTCATGGTGGTACCTTCTACTTTAAACATAGTCGCCATATCAATGAGCTGAGGAGTTTCAGGATAAAGAGTATATGCTTGAACAATGTTGATCATGGTGTAGGAAGGATATTTGGATTTTTTGGATTGATAGAACAAGAGTTGTCCTTTGCAGGGTACAGATTTCGTCTTTCCAAACAAACGCTTTTCATCCCGTTGATCACATACCACAACCCAGTATTTTTTCCATTCAGTATCACCAGTAAGACGAGCTTGAACAAAGCCTTCCATACGTCGTTTTTGTTGTTGTTGTTGTTTTGTTGAAAGTTGTCGTACATGTTTGTAAATAGGTCTTAAAAGAAGGGATCGTGTGTATATTTCAAATAGTCTTGCACATTCGAAACAGGATAATCGGATGGCGGTAACCCATTGTTGAGCTGCAGATGAAGTACGGGGTTCAGGGCGAATAAGATATTGATTACGTCCGGCTGTATTGAGTATCACCATATCAGTTGTATCCTTCATCAAATTGACAGTTGCATCCATAACATTGATATAATGAGGCAAGATGGTACCAGAAGTGTTATTAAGATCATTCAATTTTCGACCATCCCATAGTGAAAGAATAGGACCAGATAATTCAACGTATAATTTTGACCATTCGTCTTGACATAAAGAACCATCAGAGTTGTATTCGGTACGTTTGAAAACAAAACCTTCTATATAGACTTTTTTTTGATATTGATCATAAAGTCGTTGAAATGAGATCATATCGTCGGGTACAGTATAAAGTGAAGAGACGTTAGCGGGAGCAGGTTTGACAAAGTTTGAAGGTCGTACTGTTGTTGTTGAATGTTCCATGAGATTGAAAATGGATCGAGGACGTCTGTTCGTATTATTAGTTAAGGCAAAATAACTATAAGATCGTGGTTGCATAGATAAAGGTCGATTGTCATCGTCGTCATCGTCGTCTTCATATTGAGTAGTTTTCCATTCTGTTGAATTGAGACCATATTTTTCAGCATAAAGGAGTTGAGATTGTCTTCTTGAAGTAACAGTAGGTTTGTGAATTTGACGGGGACGAGCAGAAGCAGGAGTTTTGACTTGAGATTGATCAGATAAAGAATCCACAGCAGAATGAATACTATTATCCTCAGAATATCTAGTGGAAATCATAGTATTCTTTCCTATAAATTTATAAGTTAGTTTGTTGAATGAAATAAAAAAAAAAAAGTGATTTATTACCAATAAGATATGGAATAAGTCAAATACTAATAGTATACACTTTGGTTCAAAAAGAAGAAAAAAAAGTAGAAAGGAGTGTATCTAAAAATAAAAATATATAAAATAAAAAGAAAAAAAGAAAGAAGAAAAAGAAAAAGAAAAAAAAAAAGTTGAGTTTTTTTGGAACACACACACACACATACATATATATACAATAAATATAGGCTAACTGGAGCCCAAAATAGGGCATTTTGCTAAAAACAATATTATTGCCACACGTGAAGCTCCCTTTTGAATGTAAGATCTCACCCTGTCATTATTCCCTTTTAGAACAATCTCCTCCTTCCTCCCCTTTTGAAAAAAAAAAGAGATTCTCTTTCTTAATGATCAAAGAAGTTTCGGACATTCAATCCTTCCATGGTGCCTTTCTTTTTTATATATATATATTATTCTTTCTTTTTTATCTCATTTGTGTTGTTTTTTTTTTCTTCTTTTCATTCTCCATTTGAATTAATAAATGTATTTACCATGTCAATTTGATATTCTTATTCATTTTCATTCATCCGAACATCCTATATCAAATTATCATTTTACTCACAAAAATAATACTTTGACTTTAGATATTCTTCAAGGTAAAAAAAAAAAAAAAGAATTAAAGTTCTCCCTATAAATAAAAAACCTGACCTTTTATATATATATTTAACTTTTTTTTTGTTCTTTTATTTTATTTTATTTTTTTAAAGGGGAACGTCAAATAACATGGGTGAATTCATATGTTTTTACTCGTTGTACTATTGTTCATGATGTATGTCATGCCATTACTCATTCACGTCACTTACATTCTTTAGTTACAAAAGGTAATAATAATAATCTATGCAATATTATTTTATTTCTCACTCTTTTTTTTTTTATTTGTCTTACAAGGATATAATGCCGCTTTTCTTTTTATGGAATCAAGGTAAATCTTTTTCTTCTTTTTTTTTAAAAAAAATAAATATTATTATTATTATTGCTATTATTTACTTATAATTGTCATTATTAGTTTGGATACTATATCATCATCATCATCTATTATACAACAACACTTAATATTACTTGATACTTACGTCAAACATGAAAATCAGAAACATGTGAACCGACAATCCAATCTTATTATGGAAATATGTTATATTGGTCTTACAGATTTTCAATGTTTTGACCTTTTATCAAATAAAAAATCAATATCAAGTATATGACAAATATAAAACTTTTTGTTTTTTTTTTCTTTGAAATTAATCATCTTTTCTTTTTATTATTATTATAGATGAACAAATACTAAGTTATGGATTAGATCGGTATATGAAACCTTGGACAACAACTTTAGATTTAACTCATATTCTCACAACCGATGACAACATACCCAAGCTTCTGGCTATGAAAATCACTGATCACGTTTCTGTCTCTAGTTATTTATACTACCTTGATTTACAACAACCTTACAACAATACCTTATATCCACTTTCTTCAAGCTTTACTTCTTTAGGTAATTAGCTATAATGATGTATTATCGACTCATTTTTTTTTTTTTAGTGTCATTTTTAGATCAAGTGGAAACAAGAAAAGAAAAGGTTGGATCTAATAATGACTGTGTATTAATCTATTTATTACGGGATTATTTGGTTGGACGACATCATGCTATTATGTTCTTGGATTTGGAGGTAAAAAAAAAAAAAATGTGGTACCAGTTGTCATTACCATATTAGGATCTCTCATTTCACATGTTTAACAGAAACATCCACACGCCACCGATCTTCCAAGCATTGACCAATCTCTTTCTTTGATCCAGCGCCTTTCTTCTATACAAGGATTTACCTCACAAAATCAAATCAATCATTTTACTATACAAATAAATGAACAGCAACTGCATGATGAACAAGAAGTAAAATGATCAAAAAAAAAGAAAGAAAGTTGACTTTATGTTAATCTTCTCAATAACCCTAGCGACATGCTTTTGAAATTCAAGCTCTAGAAGAACGATATCATGAACACCAAATTGCTCAAAAAGTATTAAAAAAGAACATTTACATTTTTTGAAGTTTACAACGTTATTTTTTTTTTTATGGATGATGGTAGGAAAAGTTATCTGTAGCAAACAGCATCAATAAACGCAATGAAAAATTACTCCTTTCCGTATATGAAGCTCAAAAGCAATTGAAGGATCGTTTGGATGAAGAAATGAAGGAACGGAAATATGTGGAGAAAGAATTGACAAGCAGTAGATATCAAAATTTGACATTACAAGAAAAATACCATAGCCTCCAACAAGAACTAACAGAATTGAAATATGGTCGTACCTTGTCTAGTGAAGAATGGAAGCAAAAAGAAATTTATATAAAAAGACTGGAACATTTATTGCAGGAAAAAGAGGCAAGAACCGATAGAAAATATTAGTAAATTTCTAATTTGTTCTTTTTTTTTTTCTCTTGGTTGTAGCAAAATACTAAAAGTTTGGGAAAACTGGCTCAATCGGAAAAGGTAATCGGTAAACTATGTTATACATAGATATATATATATATATTGGTATTGATTGTTCAAATGTCTATTTACATTTTTTTGTACGTCTACGTACACATGAATAGAAAAAATTGGAAGAAAATCTACGTGCCACCAGTGAACAACTCGAAAAAGAACAAAATGAAACAGTTTACCTTCGTGATCTTCTTCGACAAGAAAGAAATCAAGTCTTGCTAAAGCGACAACAACTTCGACAGAAAATCGACATTGACTTGGAAGAACGAAAAAAAATTCAACAGCTTGAAGCATTGATTGATCAACAGCGCAATAAAATACAAAACTACATGGACGATGTGAAAAGACTACGACATCAAATCACCCAGCATATCATAAGTGAAAACAAAATGAAGCTTCAAGTCAAAGAGAATATACGTAATGAACAGGAACAAATGGAACGGCACAAACAAACTCTGGAGCACGAATACAAAGAAGATATTCGCCAATTGAACCTTAGACTACAAAAATATCAACAACGAGTCCGTGGATTGGAAATAGGGAATACTAATCTATTGGTAAATGTTAATACAATAGGGAAATATATTGATCTTTTATTATTATTATTATATATCATAAATAGAATCAAAAATCGATTTTGGAAAGGGACATCATCAATCACCAAAAAAGCATAGATGAAATGAAGGTAAAGTGTAATGAGGAGGATATCACAGCAAAGAAAAGAAAAAAAAAAAAGAGAGAGAAGAGGGGTCATTCTCTTTTAGGATATTGTTAAAACTCTATTTTTTTTTTTTTTTATATAAAACAGGATAAAATCAAGTCTCTCCAAGAAGCTGCCCTTGATACTCAAGTCACTATGGAAAAGACCAAGGTACTTGTATTTTATGTATAAGGGGGGATAGATTGAAGGGGGGGAAAGATGATATGAACAAATGAATTTTATTATCTATAGATTGCTCTTCAAACTGAACAAAAATGGAATACTGATCAAGAAATGATATTGCAAAGTGAACGAATGATCTTATTACAGTGGATTGAACTTGTACGAATGAAATGGATGGAAAGTATGACAAATAAGAAGAAGAAGGATGCTCCTGATGATGGTGATGAAGATTATGTCCCCTTTACTAGAGTAGTTGCTACTCAATTCCCTGATTCCTTACTTCCTTCTTCTTTACGCAATCGTGTCCCCATTTATGCATTTACAAATGATCCCTAATAAAATAAAATCCATCGATTCCGATCTCCAAAACGTTCATGCAAATTGGGTGGAAGAAAGTCACAGCATGGTTTTTTTTTTTTTGTGTGTGCCTATTTTCATGTCCGCCAAATGTCTCGTTTCTATTTCCTTTCTCATTTCTTTTAATTGGAAATGACTACTGAAGAAGCACAACATTATAATCTGACAAATCCTCCAGAAGATGGTATCACTAATGTTGTATTTCATCCTACTAAACAAAATCTCTTATTATCTTCATCTTGGGACAAAGTAAGTCAAAATAATAATAATAATAATAATAATAATAATAATAAAAAAAGAGTAGTGTATTCATACTTTTTAATTTATTGTTAGACTATTCGGATACATGATACAGTAAGCTGTCAAATGAATACAAAGATAGATCATGATACTCCCATGTTGGATGCTTGTTTTGGGAGTGGCGTCAATATCTTTAGTGCTGGACTTGATGGTCAAGTGAATTGGTAAATATTGAAAAATAGATCTTCCTCTATTGTCGCGTCTCTTTCTCTCTTTCTCTCTTTCTCTCTTTCTCTCTTTCTTTCTTTGGATTTAACATAATACCTTTTTTTTTTTTCTTTAATTGTGATTAGGATCGATATTGTCAAAGAAGAAAAGCAAAAGTTAGGTAGTCATTCAAAGGGTGCAAGAAGTTTATGCTGGTCAAATAATACAAGTAAAGCAAAAAAAAAAAAAAAAATATATTTTTTTTTTTGTACTATCACTTTTTTATTATGAAAACTCATTTAAATTTCTACATAGATATGTTGTACTCTGGTTCCTGGGACAAATCTATTTGTACTTGGGATCCACGTTCTAAACATCATTTGACAGGCGAATACAAATTATCTCAAAAAGTGTACAGTATGGATATGAAAGAGAATACATTGGTAGTGGCCTTCCCGCATCATCGATTGTTGGTCTATGACATACGTAAAATGGATAAACCGCGCAAAGTTCGGGATACAGCATTGAAATACATGTTGAAAACAGTTCGTTTATCACCTGATGGAAAAGGTAATGAATATTGATGATTGGAAGCAAAGTTTGGATAATATACTTACTCTTTTTTTCAAAAAGCATTTGCATGCTCATCTATAGAAGGCCGGGTTACTATGGACTTTTTTGATCATGATAATGGTGACAAGAGATACGCTTTCAAATTACATCGACAACGGTTAGGTGATACTGAAGTGGTATATCCTGTCAATTCTTTATCTTTCCATCCAATGCAAGTTCATTAAGATAACAAAAGAACATCATGAACATTCGCTAATATTTTTTTTTATACTAGTCATGGTACGTTTGCTTCAGGAGGATCGGATGGTACAGTCAGCATATGGGATGGAGTGAATCAAAAACGCATTCGACAATTTCCAAAATATACTGAAGAAATCTCTGATGTGGCATTCAATTGTGATGGTACCCAACTAGCGATTGCAAGAAGTTATACATTCGATGAAGGAGAACGACCACATGCTCCAGATGCTATATTTATTAGAACATTAGGTGTGAATGATTGCAAACCAAGACCTGATTGAACGGCTCTATATATATGATGGCTTTGTATTGTATGTATATATTAAAGAGGAAAAAAAAATTAGCTAGTTAGTTAGATTTTAGTATTAGCTTTTTTTTTATATAATCTCCAAAAATAAAAGAGTTTGTATTTTTACCTTTAAATATTTCAGTACCAGTTTGATTTATTTTGTAATGGATCGGTCTATTGAAGAGTATATCTATTTTATAAAGGAAAAGTTTCATCTTTATTTTCATAAAATGAGATTTATATAAATCTAACTGTCTATCTAATAGGTGACAAATTGAGGAGGGAGGGATATTCTAAACAAATGCATCGATAGTATGTATATATGTTATGAATGAATAGATATGTGTGTGTATACATGTGTGAAATAAAATTAACTATGGTATAGGTTATTGCTTGATTCCAGCTGCATCGAGTATAGACCATCGCAATTGAGCCAAATCATGGGCAACTGTATCTTGATTCTTCTTGCTTCTTCTTGCCATACCAGTGGACAGAATATGAGGGTAACAACAAATAGCTTGCTTGATCAATTCAGTTTCAATCTGTTGTCGTGAAGAATCAAAGGCTGCTTTTGATAATCGATCCCTTTTGGTCAATATGATTTGATAAGTCAAGGCATGTTGATCTAGATAAGTCATCAATATACGATCAGTTTCCTTCAAACCTGCTGTTGGATCTACTAGTATAAAAAGACGTTTCAATCTTTTTTTTTTTTAAAAAAAAAATATTTAGTTCAAGTTCAATCCATATATTATCAAAACTTACTGTTTCCTATTTGTTAAATATTTCATGATTAATTCACCCCATTCAGTTTTTGATTTGAAACCATAACCAGGCATATCCACCAATGTCAATTTTCCAGCCAGATCGAAAAAATTCAGTAATCTAGTATGACCCTACAAAAATAAAGATAGATCGAATAAATAAATAAATAAATAAAAAAGAATAGTTATATTAATGGACTGATAAACTTACGGGTTTACTAGAAGTCTTTACTAGTTTGTGATTGTTTGTTAGTTGATTGATCAATGTTGATTTCTATATGATCACAAAAAAAAAAAAATTGATGAATATGGATTATTTGCATAAATAGATTGTCCTACCCCAACATTACTTCGGCCTACAAAAGCAACCTATCAAAATAATATATATAAAAAAAAAAGGAAGGGAGTACGTTAAAAAAAAAAAATAGGAGATATAAAAAAATGAAAAAAAAAAACGATTCTAACCTCTGGTAAGTTTGTTTCAGGAGCTTGTTCAAATTGTGAAATACTTTTGATAAAAGAAGCAGGTCTAGCAAACATTTTATTGGCCCAAATACGTTGACTAGGTTGTAGAGGAGGAATAGGTGGGAAAGCTTCAAGTGTAAACGATTTATGATCTTTGGTAGATAAATGATCTAAAGATCGTTGTCTTTCTAAACAGTTTAAGGTGAAATGAATATATCTTTTAAATATAATACGAGTCAACATTGATGTATATCAAAGATAAATGAAAATAAATAACAAGAAAGGGAAAAAAAAGAAAACAAAATGGAAAAAGGGAATGGATCCACATTTTGTATCCCCGATTTTTTTTTCCTGTATGGCTAAAATATATCAGAGTCTTTTTTTTTTTCTCTCTCCTTTTTTCTCTCTCTCTCTTTTTTTTTTTTTGGCTTCTCTTTTTCTCTTCTTTATACATATATTTATGTTTTCATGTTATTCAGTAGCCCTAACAAAGTCATACAAATTACCAAAGAAATAGATTCTGCACGTTGTAAAGGTCATTGGCATACTATTCCTGACCTTGCCCGACGTTACGTTAAATACAACCCTGAAGGCACAGGTAAAAAAAAAAAAAAATAAATAAATAAAAAAAGAGAGAACGCGAAAAGAATATTGTTATTCTTTTTTGTACTTATCATATATATATATATATATTATATACAGCCTTAGAACAGATGATCTTAGCAGAAGCAACTCTTGTACGACTTGGTCAAACAACAAAACCTTGGGAACAGAAACAAGTCAGTGCTCTTCAAGATCAACTACAATCCGTATTTGAACTCCTTGATAATACTTCTGATGAACTCAAAGAGGTACATTGTATGTGTGTGAGAGAGAGAGCTTTGTCTTTTATGCTAACTTATATCTAATCTTTATAGTCCGCCAAGGTAGTACTTGCCCGTCTATTTTTTGCTTGTCAGGAGTATGATCAAGTCTTAGCTCTTTTGGATGGTATCTCTCTGTTAACTCCTCAATCTTCAGGCTATACTTTTATATTGTATTATCAATCTGTTGCTATCAAAGGTAAGTTTAATTTTATTTCTTTATATCCAAATGGTTCATTGTACTGATGTCTTTTTTATTTATTTATTTTAAATTAGCCATGTCCTTCGAAATGACAGGTGACATAGAATCTTCTTTACAAGTTTATGAATATGTTGCCAATTTGTTGGAGGATCGAATACCTACTAAAGAATTGACACTAGCGGAATGGGCTGAACAAACTTTATATCGGGCAAACAAATTGGTATCATGCAACAACAGGTAATATGGAAACATTCCATTCACCACTCTATTCTATAAAAATCATTCCATTTTTTTTTTTTTTTACATAGTGTGACTACCGACTCTAGTAATATTCTTTTGTTTTTACGTGCATACCATAGAGCAACATATTACCAATCAGTATCATGGCGAACAGAACGACGAATAGATATCACTCTTTCTATGATCAAACTTTTATCAAAACAATACCGATCTGGCAATTATATCCCTTGTCGCAACGATGTCATTTGTTTATCTCCATCAACAAACGAAAATGAAAATGTTCAAGACTACCGGAATGCCTTTGTCGAAGAAATGATTGAATTATATACCATTTGTGAACGTATGCTACAAGTTCCATTTAGCAAAGGACAACAACAATCTGATCTCTTGATGGATTTTATTGAACATTTGGCGAAAGATGTGGATTTGATGATTGAAACCATTGACGATTTGAAAGGCTACAAGGAAGTATGTACAAAAAAAAAAAGAAAAAAAGAAAAGAAAAGTTGATATCATGCTAATCGATATCTTTATCATACATAGGTTTTAGACCGTGCCTCTGAGAAATCATTCAATTCTCCTGGTCTTCTACGGCATTCCTTCTTGACTTTGATACGAATTGGTGACTATGAAGAAGCACAACTTGTATTACGGTCATACCTTCAACTTGTTGGTCTTCTTTCTCATGAACGCCTCGATGCTCGACAAGATGGTGAAGTAATCATGCAAGATCATCATGGCCGGTATATACCACAACGACCAGTAGCAACAACTACCAATAGCAGCACCACAGCAAAACGTTTATCTCTACGAAATACCAATGATCATCCACCAACAAATGTTGAGTCTGTATCTTGCCAACTGTCTGTTTTAATCGAGGCTATCAAGATGTTTTGCAAGCATTTAGGAAAAGGCGTTGATGCGGTTGAATTAGCAGAATTGGCATTGGATTTGGTCAAGACATCGCCAGCAACAATCAAGGATGACCGACTAATATCAAATATATACCGTACAGCAGGTGTCGCCTATGGATTATTAGCTTCACAAAGTAATAAACAAAATGGATCTATACATTTACAAATGCATATATATGAACTAACGAATTTATCTATTTCTAGCCATAAATAGTGCGAAACGACCTGAATACCACGAAAAGGCTCTCGAACTATTACAGCAATCAAACAAGATCTTACCAGATGTATGGGAAACTTATTATTATCTGGCTCATCAATATGCTGATATGCGAAATATAAGCACTGCTATTCAATATATCCGGCAATCATTGACTCTCAATTCAGATCATATTCCCTCATGGCACTTGTTGACTTTGGCACTTTCCTGTCCTGGACAAGAAGGGTATTCACAGGCACTTTCTATTGCTTCAATGGGAATTCAAATTGGAAAAAAGAATATCTATACTTTGGCATCAACACGATCCTCGATATTGGCTACAACCTATGATGATGAAGAACAACTACTTTTATTACAATTGACACACAGCAAGTTGACGAATGTTTGTGAAGGGCCAACACAAGCCTTGGAAACGCATCCATTACTATTCAAGCTATATGGACAATGGGTGACAGAAGGAACAAATTATGATGATATAGATTTCTCTGTACTTGATGATAGGAACAATGATCTCCCATGGAGTGGAAGACTTTTTTCTACTGGCGATCAATCTGATAAGGTACCTCGACCGTTGATAATATCTGGATCCTTTGGCAATCTTCGATCCATGTCCTCTTTACCGAACTATCCAACCTCTACGACATCTTCTTCTTCTTTGATCTCATCATCAGCAGCATCAACAACAACATCAAAACCACACAAGTCTCTTCGACGACGCAGTGCTAGCAGCAGTATGATTAGTCATTTTCTCAGTCCCAACGGTGCTCCAAATGGGGATACTGTCTCAGTTCTGTCAACGAAAACGGTCTCCAACAATGATCATTACAAATCAGATGACAAGATTTCTTTCAACATGGTTCAACGTAGTCCATCCTTGCGAAAATATGCGTCCAATTCAATGCTCAAGGTACCTACTACTGCCACTACTACTACTAGTGGTCATTCACATTGGCATGGTCTTCATCTCTTTCCCTCTCGGAGTACCAGTCGTCGTATACCCAGTCAATCTCAAAGTGGTGACGGATTTTCAGTCATAAAAGATAGTATCAGCAACGATTCCCTCAGCAAACAATCTGGATCAGGTAAAAAAAAAAAAAAAAAAAAAAAAAAAAAAAAAAAAAAAAAAAAAAAAAAAAAAGTCTTGTTATGTGTATATAGAAAGAAAAAACATTATAGAAACATACTGATCATGATATATATATATATATATATTAGAAAGAGCCATTCGTTACAATTCAAGTTATTCAATGCAAAGTAATACTGGAGCAGGAGGATTAGCAACACCATCGATTCATGATTCCATCAATACCAACCATTCACCACCTCCAATGATACCCTCGCTTTTTATTCCTCAACAACATCATGTCATGTCGACACGTGCTTATCTTCGACATCAACGACATCATCTAGTTTTATGTGAACTTTGGCTTGTGTCTGCGGAATGGTTTGTAGCTCAAGGTCAATGGGAAGAGGCATCCAAAGCTATTTCTGAAGCGGAACAAGTCTGTCCAGGTCATCCAGATGTATGGAGTCTCTTGGGTCAAATTAGCAGGATGAAACAAGACAGTATTATTGATCATCATAAGGATGATGATGATGATGACGGTGAGCCTGATGATATCAAAGAACGATTTCAAACAACTATGGCAAGATACTATTTTGAAAAAGGGGTATCTATTGATTCCTCTCATATGGACTGTCAAATTGGATTGGCGAAATTATATATGGAACAACAACAGACTTGTTTGGCAGAAGGTATCCTGATTTCTCTTACAAAAAGTGTTGGTTGGCATTCAGCAGAAGCATGGTAAGAAGTCTTTTAATAAAAATAAAAAATGGCTTTGTCAAATTGATCCCAACTTTTTTTTTTTTTCAATCTAAAGGTATTTACTTGGTCAAGTTTATCAACAAACTGATAGACAACTTGAAAGCAAGAATTGCTTACTTTATGCTTTGGATTTAGAGGCCAGTCAACCCATTCAACCCTTCCATGTGTTACCACGTTTTGTTATTGATTGATATTCTATTCAATTAGTTACATCATAGTCTTACGTAAACAATATATTTGTTATCTATTTTCAATAAAGAAAACATTTATTAATACAGAAAATCAAGAAACAACAAATGTTACACTGAGTGTCAATGGTACTTTATTTAGAAGATGCTTTTGATTACTTTTTTATAAAATGGGGGGGGGGGGGGTTATGTTGGATGAATAAGAAAAACTATCTACAAGAATAAGAATGTATACACAAATATATGATGAGAAGAATGATTGATAGATAAATCTATTCTAGGTATCAGCTTTGAAATCCAATTTACGCATTTCATCAAAGGCACGAGAGAAGAAAGGTCGAATTTCATTGATTTCCATAAATGACAAGTTGTGCATCTATAAAAAAAAAAAAACAGAAAATAATGATTAGTTTTTCTAACAATATATATATATGTGTATATAAACAAATTTACCCCTAGCCATCGATCATCTAGAGCTTCTAAACCAACACGAGCTTTTGATTGACGCGTTTCTCGTAAATCTTTGAGTAATTTTCGTACTTGTTCTGCATTAGGAATATCGTCTGAAGCACTAAATATAAAAAGAAATAGTTAAACCCACAATCTTAATAAACAAATATTATTCTAACCTTTCCAATAACATGTGTGAAATCTCCATATAGTTAAAAGGTAAAGAACAAAATTCATCCTTTGTTTCTTCTTGTTCCAAACGTTCTTTGAGGTGTTCTATCATAAAAAAAAAAAAAAAAAAAATGAATATAAAGTCGTATAAATATTATATTTTTACCTATAGTGAGCCAAGTGGGAGGGATCAATTTACACTTTTGATTTTGTTTCATACTAAGAGCAAGCCATAATGGTACTTTAGTAGGTAAAGGAGGACGAAAAGGACCATAAGTAGCCTATATATAAAAGTTAAATAATAATAATAATAAAAGGAATAATAATATACCTGAATCATTTTCAAAGCAGGCATCTTATAAAGAGGTACAATACTAATAAGTTCGTTTCCAGCAATAAATTCAATTTCATCGGGAGTAAAGGCTGCTCGATGTAATCTAGGAAGTGCCATATTTTTGATACTTTAGTATAAAGAACTTCCAAAAAAAAAAAAAAAAAAAGAAGGGGGGGGGGAGGAATACAACAAGACAAATGAGAGAGGAGAAAACAAAAAAAAAGTTTTCAATCCCAGTACCTGGTGCACTTTTCTTATTTTAACTTTTTTTTTTTATTTTTCTTTTCTTCTTTCTTAACTTTACTTTTTAACGTTACAACCAAATTAGAAGGAACGACAATACTTTCTTCTTACATTTCTTATTTACTGTTGATACATATACTTTTGAATGGAAGGCAATGTTTCACAAAGACGTCTCTACAACACACCTACAACGTCTCATTCAAAAGAATCACCTCACCTTTTTATTCAATATGACAAGCGCTGGCGCTGGTGGCATATCTTATTTCTTATTATTGTATTAATTGGTTTGATAGAACTTATTCTCATCTTGGTTGGTTATATTTTTTTACATTTCAAATCCTCTCCTATTCGAATAGGTATTAAAAAAAAAAAAAAGAAGTATGATAATTATTCCTGCATAATAAAAAAACTAACTTGACTATTTTTGGGTAGAATTACGACAATACCCAAAGATCAAATATCAACCATTGGATCAAACAACTTATCCATCTTTTTGGAGAAATAGTACCAGTGTATATCATATTACAAAAGAATTTGGACCTGCAACTATGGGTGGGATGGGAATGGTATTAACTGCACTCACTACTGAACAACAACGTACTGGACAACTTGATGTCAATATTGTTTTACCTTATTACTCTTATTTGAAACACAAACAAAAAGGCGATGAGCTTCATCGAGTCACCGATCTAGTCATGTATATTCAAGATAAACATAATACTTATAGCACTTTGGATACCAATCAAGCATCTTCATTACATTCGTCTTCATTGTCAACAGCAACTACATCAACTAAAAACGAATCACCTTGGGTTCCACTAGAATTTCGTGTCACCAAATGGAAATATACTTCAATCCCACCTCCACCAGCTGTCAATCAAACAACATGGTATATAGACGATCGTGGCAACAACCAAACACTTCCTGCTGATATGCAACGACCTTCTTTGAAACATGAACAATTGACTGTTTATTTAATTGGCCCTGGTAATCGCTCTCCATTTAGTATGGCTTTCCGTGCACGTAATCCGGTTGGCATCTATAGTTCTCCCAAAGGTTTACCTCAAGAATGGAAAGATCAATATTTTTTAAAGGCGGCTGCAACGTTTCTCTCCTTCCAAGCTAGTGCTGCTAGTCATGATCAATCTTTATTTGCGCCTACAAGTGATCTGGTATCTCCTGCTGGTGTGGATGTGGTTCATATTCATGGTGCGACCAATGCTTATCTTGCTCATTATCTTCAAGACCCAACCCTTTGGAATGCTGCTCTCCCTCGACCTTCAGTGGTGTATACAATGCATGATTATCTGGATGAATTACAATATACCAATACTATAGCCAATGTACATAAATTCGATCCTACACCACCACAGACAACAACTATCATTCATGGCAACAAGATGTTTATGTCAAGTTTAGCAATCGAATTAGCCAATGTAGTCACCTTTGTCAGTCAAACAATGGCGATGGAAATGGTGGAAGGACAAATGGATTTTTATTTGAAGGAATTGGTGATGGAAGCCATTTTGCAAAAGGCAGATCAAGGTCGATTCTTTGGGATCAGTAACGGAGTGGATTATCGACATGCACATCCTTTCCACAGCAAACGATTAACGAAATCCAAATTAGCGTATCCTTCTTTTGCATGGCAACAACTGGTATCTCACAAGTCATCTTTTACTCTGTCGAATCATTCTACAGATTATATCTCAATTCATAAGGATCGTGCGAAACGTTGGTTAGTTCGAAAAAAGGTATTAGCACACAAGGATAAACAACTGGTACTGTTTGTCGGTCGATTCCAATACAACAAAGGATTAGCTAGTTTTGAACGTGCGATTGCGTCTTTTATTGAACATGACATGGTGCTTGTGATAATTGGTCAACCCAACAACTACCCCTTGGCCCAAGTGAAACAATGGCAAGAGGATTACCCGGATCATGTGTACGTGATGACGACGGCTCAGGAACAGAAACGATGGTTGATGTATGTACGTGCGGCGGCCGATCTTGTGTTTGTACCCAGTGTCACTGAAAGTTTTGGCCTGGTGGCGGCGGAAGGCATGATGTTTGGCGCTCCCGTGTTATCGACAGGTGTGGGTGGTTTGAAAGAATTCTTGGTGGATCGAAGTCTAGACAATTACAATGCCTATCTCTATCAATTGGATAATAAGGATCATTCATTGGAAACCGCTATTGCCCAGGCTGCCCATGATTATCGTTATTTTGTTCATCATCGCTCGGCCCGTGAATTGTTTCTTTTACGACTGATCAAGCAAGCTCTGGCTTTGGGTTGGACAAGACCTCCTTCTTCCATTCATCATCATCCTTTGGCTGGTCCTGTCTATGATTATATTCGTGTCTATGCAATGGCTATTCAAGATCAACACAACAAAATGGAAAAAAAAGAACAATAGATAATTTATTTATTCATTGACAATAAAGATTCCTTTTTTTTTTTTTTATCATTTTCTTTTTTTTTTTTGGATTTTTTTTTGAAATGGTAGACAACTATTTTTTTTTTTTTTTGTAAAAAAAAGTTTATTGTGAAACATGGGAAAAAAAATTAGGTGAAGTAAAGCTATACAAAAAAGTGTGACAATAAAGATGATAGATAACAAAAAAAGTCGTGAGTATGTTGAGAATGATGGACATCGGAAGAATAAGGAAAATTGTATACTATGATTGAGGATCAGTATGTAGGAAACTATTGACCAGCAAATCTACAAAAAAAAAAAAAAAAAAAAAAAAACTTTAAGTCCATCATTTCCTTTTTGGAATTTTTTTTTCTTTGATCTTTTTTTTTTTTTTTATTTACCGTAACCAGGTTGATTTAATAAATTATCCCATGGCTCTTGTTGATCTTGTTGTAATGCTGTTGATGAGACTGATCCAGGGTGATGAGTCATGGTTGGATTGACAACAGGGCTTTTGGGTTTTTGGGGTAATAAGTATCCATTGGTCAATCTGACAGGTTCGAAAGAGTCGTCTTCGTTGAGTTGTGATAATGGATGTTGTAATGGTGAAGTGGGTATGTCTAAAGAAGAAGGCTGACTATTATTATCTTGAGAATTCCTTTGTTCTTGTTGCCGTATCTGCTCCAATTTACTGAATTCCACTCCAAGATAGGATGATAAATCAGCAAGACCAAAACTAGGTTCTATGGATGATGATAAACCAGTGAAATTTAATGATTGTTGATTTTCCAATGGAGGAATACCAGCTAAAGCGGCTGTATCCATACTATTCATTGATGATGTTTTGTCTTCTTGTTTGTTGTCTTTTTTATCTATCGTATCTTGTTTTTCCAAATCAGATTCCAAATCATTCAATCCTTGTAAACGTCTCCATCTATTAGTAGTACGGCGTAATGTATAATCAATAGTCAAAAACCAGTATTTTTCAAAAAACACCTTGGGTAGTCTAAAAAAGGAGAAAAAACTATTCAGTCATCGGTTTTCTCAAAATATATATATATATATATATACTTACTGCCAATTAGCAGCAATAGCAGGATCACCACCATGAAAGACAGACCCACTTAATAAACACTTGAAGCAATCATCCAAATCAAATTGTTCACGAAAGAGGATCATGCGGTCACGCATATGTGGAGTAGGAATAAGATCAATTCTTGGATCATGTGGAATAGTCAACTAATAAAAAAATAAATAAATAAATAAACCGATAAATTGCATACAAAACTTACCTGAAGAATAGATGGTTGAATGCTAAAAGGAACAGAATCCATACGGGCACATGCAGATTGTAGTCGTAAACGTAACCGAAGAGTTTGAATAGCAGCGAGATTGGAAGTGATCGGTTCATTCTGAAGACCACGTGGTATAGAGGCAGTTGACATAGAATCCATGAGAGGTTGTTCTACTGGTGATAAATCTGGCATGGTAATATCTTCATCTTCGTCCTTTTCAGAAGTGGATGGATGAACATTGATATCTTGACAAGAGTCAGGTGATAATGGATGAGAAGTGAAACCAATTTGAGATTGTTGTTGTTGTTGTTGTTGAGGAGGAGGAGGAGGAGAGGTATGTATAGAAGAAAATTGTTGTTGACAGACATCATCCTTTGTGACGACAATGGAACCCACAGATAAATAACGATCACGTTGCTTAATAGAGTGTTGATAACCAGATAGTTGAGTAGGAGTAGGTATCTTGCTATTGGCATTCACATTGAGGTAAGCAGCAATAGGTCCAGGAGTAGATTGAGCCATAACAGAGAGAGCTTGATCATTGACAAAAGGACCATGTTGAGGAATAGCCAAGTTATGTTGATAGCAAACCAATTGTAAAGTTAAAACAATACCCTTGAGATACCAGTTTTCAGATCGATTAATTTCAGCATCAGCTCGAAGTTGTTCATTTTCTAAGAATAATTTATCTCGTTGTTCTCTAATTTGCTTGATGGCGACTTCCAATTCTCGCATATGTCGTTCTTTTCGTTCACGAAATGCACGTTGAGCTGCCCTATTTTGAGCTTTCCGTAACGCTGGTGATGCAGGATTAGGTTTACGTCCAGGTTTCTTTCGTATTTTAACTGGTTGTTCTTGAGGTTTCTCCATAGAAGGCATATCATCCATATCCATATCATTCATTGTTATTAAAAAAAAAAAATCTGGGGTAATAATATAGAAAAAGAAGAAAAAAAAAAAAAAGAAAGAAAAAAAAAAAGGTCTGTTTAGCAAAAAAAAAAAAAAAAAAATATTCCATACTTTATTTTTCTCCGCTTCAATAGGATGGGAAAACCTTCCACTGTTGCACTGGCAATAAACGCGGGGGTTCCTTTTCTCTGATTCGTTGATTGATAAACCCCCCTTTCCATGAACTTACACCCGCTTCTTTCTCTCTCTCTCTTGTATTCACTCTTTTCTATATCCTTTTTTATTATTATTATTATTATTAACTACATGATTATTTTCTCAATTATATAAAACGGGTTTAAAAATGGTTTCCCTAATATGGGTTTAACAGACCAAAAACCTTATTGAAAAGAAAGAAAAAAAAAAGGTGGGGTAAAAAAAAAAAGATTCCACCATCGGAGATCATTACATTTATAAAACTTAACATATTTTGTTCTCCTTTTATATATTTATATATATATATCATTTAATTAGAGTGCATACGATAATAATGATGATGACAATATCAAATATATCATATTATCCTATCATTGTAGTAACAAAAAAAAAAAGAGTATCTCAACTTATATAAGTTTCATTTAATTTTATATATTGAAATAGAGATGGAAAAGGATTACCCGATTTTAATAATTCCTTTTTTACCCGCCTCTGATTTTTTGGACGAATCAATATCATTTCATACAAACCATTTTTCCTTCAGATGATTGTTTCTCTTTTTTATTTCTTCTCTTTACAGCAAAACTTAACCTCTGAATTGAATCAACTTTTTTTTTATATGATGAAAACTGAAATTTGATGATCCTCTGGGAATTTAATGACCATCTCTACTCTGGTTCAACATGATTGGCCAATGTTAATCAATAGATATCAATAACATGTTCGCTTCTATTTTTTTTTTTTTCAGAAAGAGGAAGAGACAGAAATGCTGGGCACGATCGTATACCTTGATTGGTGTAACGATGTACAAAAGTATGACAACTCCGTTTCATATTTCAATACTAAAAAAAATGGCAGATCACCATTACAATGAAAAAGAAAAAAAAAGTTCAAAATGATTGTTCAAAATAATCAATATGCTTTATTGGCAATAATAATAATAAAAAAAAATGTATAATATATATATATATAAACCGATCATCTATGGACACAAAAAAAAAATCTATCTAAGCTTTACATAATCCAAAACTATCTATCATAGCAATTGAAGCACCAAGACACCAACCAGTTTCTACCCCATGAATCTTTTGAGCAGTTCTAACTAATCGTTCAGGAGGTAAATCATAACCAGTCTTCAATAAACTATAAGCATAGGTCAAGTCCAAACAATAATCAGGTTCCGATCGTAAAGTTTCCAAAGCGTTAGGCACATGTTTGACCAAATCCGTAATATCACCATCACATACATGACGAGTCAGTGTTCCTAATTCCATCACAGAGAATTCCAAAGGCATGCCCATGGGTTGAGTGAGATCAAAAAAGTAAGAAAAGACATATAAATCCCGAAGCTTGAAAGTATCCACAAGTGAAGGTTGATAGACACCATTAAATGCACAAGGTGAAGTGGCACATGGAAGATCCTTTCCAAATAATTTTTCCACAACAGCACGACATTGAGTAGAACCAGCCCCTGTACCGATAAGTTGAATATTGATAGGTTCAGAATGATTGGTTGATGTATAGGCAATTGTTTCCGTATGATTGAGTGGTAAACATGGATGATATACACGTCCTGTCTTGATGGCTTCATCATGCCATAAACTGATCATTGCTTCTTTTACATGTTTTCTAGCTTCATTCAATCCAAATCCAAGATATGAGTGCTGATATAATGAATAAGGTTCACCTTTTCCATAGTCGAGTTGATACTTGTGATCTCCATCTACCATTTTTTCTAATGTTGTAGGAAAGACAGGTTCAAATACAATTTGTGTTGATGCTCCACCCAAATCAAAAACTGCTGCTGAATTTCCACGTTGCGAAGGTTGAAGTTTTCCAAGTAAATAATTCACTGTGATCCAAGCATAAACACCTAATATCATGAAAGTATGAATTTAATTTAATTTTTTTTTTTTAAAAAAAAAAAGGAAGATTGTCTTACCTTCATCACTACCATCCATGATTTGTATACCATTTTCACCCGCAATAGGGAAGGGATAATTGGTTTCCAAATGAGATCTTACTTGAGCTAGAATTTTGTCACTAACATCTTTACCCAATAATCGTAATCCAGCAGTTGCTTTGACGGCAATAGGAGTACAATGATGAAGTTCAGTAGGAACATTTTCAACCGCCAAATCCATTAATTCATTCAAAGATCTAGCAGCAGCCATAGGATCATCTTTATAACTTGATAATCCAGGTTTGAGCATATGGAATAATACTTCATCTTCTAATTGAGGTTCTTGTTGACAATAATTAAATCGATAGACATGAACACGAGAGCCTGAGGAACCAGCATCAATCATTACAGCATATTGTTTTAATGGTTTTCCTGGAAAAGGTTGAGTACATTCATTGTTATTGCCTGGAACAAAAAAAAAAAAAAAAAAAAGGATATTCAGAATGTTACTAAATATAGATTATTATTTTTTTGGTTTTAGTTGGTTTTCTTTTTTTTAAAATACCTTGATCTAATGAAGGAGATAATGGTGAATGATTTGGGATCAAGAGCCATATAAGAAAGAAAAGTAAAGAACAAGCAACGACGGATTTTAATAATACATTCTTGCGAGTCTTGACAGAAGTCATCATATGAGTTGTCCAAGTTCTATGACGATCAGGTTGGATGACTATAGTAGGAGAACGATAAGATCCAATAGGGATGGAAACTTGATGAGTTGATGGAGCCACCTTTGTAAGTTCTTGTTGTTTAGGTATAATGATGAAATAATGGAACTTTTAAAAAGTTCAAATGTTAAATGAATGAAAAAAAGAAAAGATGAAGGAAAGATAATAAAAAAAAAATGCTATCTAGTTTAAAAAAGAAAGAATGAAAAAAGAAAGAAAAAAAAATAAAAAAAGGGGAACACTAAAAATATGAGTGGGCTACATTTGAGCGCCGCCAATGAGTTGATTCCCTTTTTCAGTTGCTCACAAGACAATTTTCTCTTTCTTTTTTTTTTTTTTCCTTTTTCCTTTTTCTTCCTTTTTATTATTTCAGTTATCTATGTTAAACATAATATGTCATTATCTGCTTTTAGTCAACTCAAATTAGCTTCACGTAAGTTTAAAAATTAAATAAATAAACTTTATAATTTATTATATTATGAATAGAATTAGGTGATGTTATTGATAGTGTACGAGTAATACGAATATCTGCCAAAGAAGGACAAACAGATCAAGATATTGAATTGGAATATATTAAACAAAAAGTAGTTGGTTCTGGTACATTTGGTGTAGTATTTCAAGCAAAACTTATAAATACTAATGAATTAGTAGCCATTAAAGAAGTACTTCAAGACAAACGATACAAGGTAAAAAATCATTTTATTATTATTATTATTATTACTATTACCTATATAAACATATATATATATATAGAATCGAGAACTTCAAATCTTACGGACTTTGAATCATCCCAATATATGTATGTTACGATCTTACTTTTATCGTCATGAAGAAGAAGGAAAGGTAATATATAATGAATAGAACTAGGGAGGGTAATGTTACCCACATCATCATCATTTACAATAAAGATCCCCTCACGTGTTGATGCGGTGTTTGTTCTGATGATGGTAATGATTGTATTTTTTTTTTTTTCTCACAAACTTTACTTGTTTTTTTTTTATCAATAGTTTACCAAAAGTCTCAAGAAGGAAAAACTGTATCTCAACCTGGTGATGGATTATATGCCTGAAACGTTATATTCTTTGTGCCGTACTTATTTGAAAGCAAAGCAAAAGATTCCTTCCCTGACGACAAAACTTTATATGTATCAAATCTTTCGCTCTCTTGCCTATACCCACCATCTTGGTATTTGCCATCGTGATATCAAACCTCAAAATTTACTTATCAATCCTAATACTGGTGTATTGAAATTATGTGATTTTGGAAGGTAAATAATAAATGGATGATTTATGTTTATTGATAGATTGACTTTTTTTTTTTATATAAATGTAAAAGTGCCAAACCACTGGTTCCAGAAGAACCCAATGTAGCCTATATATGTTCAAGATATTATCGTGCCCCTGAGCTTATTTTTGGTGCAACTCAATATACAACAGCCATTGATATTTGGTCAGCAGGTTGTGTCATGGGCGAATTGATGTCAAGTCGACCTCTCTTTCCTGGCAAATCATCCTTAGATCAATTAGTGGAAATCATCAAGGTACTTGGAACTCCCACCAAACAACAATTAACCAAGATGAATTCAAAATATCCAGCTCAAAAATTACCTCAAGTTGAACCAAAGTCATTTTCAAAAGTATTCTAAAAAAAAAAAAAAAAAAAAAAAAGAAAGAAAGAAAAAGTAAATATTGATTTCTTTATAGATATTTCGATCTTCTACATCACCTGAAGCTTTGGATCTTATTAGTCAATTACTTGTATATGAACCCGACAAAAGGATCACAGCTATTGAAGCATTGGCTCATCCCTATTTCGATGAATTACGATTATCACCATCTTCATCCTCATCATCATCATGTTCTTCATCATTTGTATCAGAAACCAAAACCAACATTGCTATCTCGACTGAACCATCTATGCATTGGCCACCTTTATTTGATTTTACTTCAGAAGAACTGATGATCCGACCTGACTTGAAATCAAAATTATTGCCGCCTCATGTCAACGATTTTAACGATAAGAAGAATGAAAAGAACGACCTAGTTCAACGATGATTTATTTTTTTTTTTTTTGTTATACGAAAGAATGATACCAACAAGGAATGATACCAACGATGATTATTATCTTTATTGAACAAGGATAAACGGCATAGTTTAGTTATTTTTATATCTTATTTTTTTTTGTATTACCTTCAATTCAATAAAATCTACGAATACCTGCTTTGTTACTTATATGTATCATCTTTATGTTTTATTGCCCCTCAAAAAAAAAAAAAAAAAAAGGAACGTGCTACAATCATTCAATTTGATTCGATCATGAAATGATATTTTATGCATTGTCTAGAAAATAAATTGGATATCCTTGGTTTTTTTTTTTCTTTATTTGTGAAGTGCCAAAATAAAAAAATTCAGGGAGATAAAAAAAAAAAAAAAAAAAGAAAGACATATACTACTAATAATCATCATCCTCTATCACTATTATTTTTTTTTCTTCTAATATCTATCACTATGACTTGATATTATTACGATTAATAGTATCCATTTCAATCTTGACTTGTTCTTGATCCTGATGTTCATCCGTAGTAGCGTTCAAATTACGAGTTCCCCAAGCAACTTCATGTAAGGTGAATAAGGCATATAATTTCATGATGGCAAAATAATAATTAAAGATCAACCAACAAGGAAGTACCCAGATATCTTGAGGTCTTTTGAGGAAATGAGGAAAGAGCTTGAGGAACCGAGTAGCCAATAACCATACCACATAAGAAGCAGCAATATTCCAACCAGGTAAAGGAGCATTCGTAGGATGATGTTCTTGAGTGACGGCAAACTTGGTAACAAGGAGAGGACCAGCCAACAGAGTCAAGGGATTGAATATCTTGTCTATCATGGTAAAAGCAACATAAGGGTGACGATACCAAATATAGCGTTCTGTAAACAGAGACCGAAAATCAGATCGCCAGGTATTTCTAGTCCAACGTAGTACTTGTTTGAGAAACCGCCAGTTATTCTTGAATGTGGAAAACAGTTCAGCTTCCTTGCACACCTGAGCATATGTATTCCATCCATGAGACACCATCCACCTTGTTAGAAATTTGTCATCACCCGAGCTAAGTAAGTATTTTCCCCTCCAATAATCGTTTGTAAAACAGTACTGGAAAGCCGGGTCCTTTAAGATCAATGTTCGATAAGCCGCCGTTCGTCCTGATAAACAACAAATGCCACCATCAATATGTGTCGATGCTGCTATTTCAATATTTCGACTCGTCAATCGATAACCAGCCAATATTTCCCATAATGTTTGATGTCCGTTTGGATCCACTGCATGTACCGTTTGTGAAGTGCCCACGCCACCCATTTGTAAGTCTTCAAAACAAGCTAATATGTATTCCAGCATTGTTGGTTTCCAAATCGCATCATCATCCGCAAATACTAAAATTTCTGTCGTTGTTGCATTGATACCTTCCACCATTTGTAATCGTTTGTTTGCCTTGGGTACCGTTCGTATTTTGATTTTTGTTGGATCCACTTCATCTGCAAGTTGTTGTAAAGGTTGACGCATTGATGTTTCAGTAATAATGATGATTTCTTTGGGTCGACATGCCAACCAACTTCTCGCCGCTATCTTGAATTCTTCACCTGCATCAATAGTAGGCACAACTATAGTCACATCATTTTCTGGTGTATAAGTAGGTTGTTGTTTTGGTCGTCTAGGTTGATATACCATCCATGCTGCAATCTTGATAAAAAACCAGAGGTAACGATAAAATCCAATGATGCCAAAAGGTAAAAAGAAAGGAAGTAATCCTATATCATCGGTAAGATATAGCATATGGGAAAGGGTATAATACTAAAAAAAAAAAAAAAAAAAATACGTATGATATTTCTATTAACTAAATGGTAAAAATAAAACAAGGAGAAGTAAGAGAAAGGAAAGAAAGAAGTACACAAATAGATCAAGAAGACAAAAAAAAAAAAAAAGGAGATCCGTTTTTCCCTTTTCATAAAAGAAAAAATAATGTTCAGACACCGCAATCATCACAATACAACAAACTAAATAATAATATAAAAAAGATCTAATAATAAGCTTTATTTTTTCATTTTGATTTTTTCTATGATTTTCTGTTTCTTATTCATCAATGCTACCTTGTTTCTATTTTCTAAATCTGGTTGGGAGAAATCATGTCGGATAGGTCCATTTTTGATTGATCCAAAATGATAATAATCACATATTCTATTGGATGATGGTGTCATGGTTGATAATGATGATGATGATGAATAAGGTGAATGCTGGATATAATTGGCAATATTTGTTTCTTGTTCAAGTTGTTTCAAATAATCCATGACTGTTAATAATTCCTGATCGCCTTTTTCCAAAAACTCTGTCGAGTTGTGGTTGAATGTTGATATATGAATACTGTTATAAGGTTGAAGTACTGACTTGGCAGGAGAATCATCGATAATAATTGTATTGTAAGCACTGTACTTTCTGAGATCCAACCATTTGTCATGATTCCATAATTTGTTCAAATCCTTGATTGTTTCCACATCACTGTTATACTGTGCCCAATCCAATCCAAAATGTCGACGGTCCAACAAATAACGAAGTTCAGTTTTCCGAGAACCAAACAAATGTGACATACGCTTCACTGATACACGCTGTGCAGAGGACCATACCATCACAATAAATTGACGAAAGATGTAATCTAGAAAAGTGTCCATATGAGGTCGTACATACATACCAGTTCGTCGATTCGTTCTTGATACTAAGGTACCGTTTAGATCCAAGATCAATAGTTGTTTTTCCTTTTGTCGTCGTGGTCTTCTCAAAAGAATAGACGGTTCATTGGCCACTTTAAGATATTCTTTTGATGGTTTCATTGGTATTGTTGTTGATGGTGAATCTGATATTGTTGTCGTATGTGTAGTTGTTGATATTGCTTTTTGCTGTGAATGCTTTTTCATAATATCACTACCTAAGATCGTAGTAACCGTTTTTTTCCCATGTCGCTTCATATTACTTAAAAAATAAAAATAAATATCTACTTTTATATAAAAAAAAGATTAAAGAATGAGAAGAGAGAAAAACAATAACAACCGCAGTTGTATCAAAAAAAAAAAAAAAAAATCGATAGAGCGGTATCCCAAAACACTAAAATCTTTTTTTTTGCAAAATGAATTTACATGAATTCGCTATGAATTTATCCAACATTTTGATTTGCCGAGGAAAAAAGTATATTTTATAAATTCTGTTCTGAATAACTTTTATAATAGAACCAATCCATCAACATGATTACCTTTTAATTATAACGCATAATGTTCATTATATTATCGCGAAGAGTGGACAATCAAAACGAGGCAAGCCTTTCACTCAGGATCTCCTTCTTCCAATTTCTAAAAATGGTCTTTTTTTACATGGAGGGTTCCTTCAACCGTTGATATTTTCAGATTGTATATTTTTTTTTATCCTTTCTTTTTCTATACAGTAAATGATGATGATTATAAAGGAATTACATATCGTAGAAAGTTAAGGAAGAGAGAAGTGAAAAAAAAGGGAATTTCATCCATCCATCCTTAAGTACAACGAACTTTCTTGTAGTGCCAAACCACATATAAATCATTGTTTTCAAAAAGTCATCATCAAGATAACACAGCTCTGCCAATAACTATTTATAAACTTTATGCACAAACTTCTCTCCTCGAAAAAAGAAAAACAAAAAAAAAGAGAAGACAAAGGACGGTGTCAAAAGGAAGAGAGGGGGGGCTGAGAAGTAGCATCAATGGAAAACTACGGAGTGTTAAAATTGCTTTTAATCGTGGTGTAACGAAAACTAAAATGATATCATCAGGACAAAAAAAAAAAAAAAAGAAAGGTGATTTGTTCCTCAAGAGGTTGGTTAACAGTAAAAAAGGGATTGTCTAATTAAAGAAAGTTATATTGATAATCTGTCATCAATGCTGTTCATCATCCTCTTTGTACTAAACAAAAAAACAAACATATTGTATAACTTTATCATTAATCAAAATGATTGAACAATAAGAGGATTTTCTATGTGCCTGGAATCATTTAATTTCAGAATGGATGAGCTGACGAATCAAGAAAACACTTTTTTTTTATTTGCAATATTCATCAAAGATATGATGATTCTATTATTTTATTTTATTCCTTTGATTTTTTATAAAGTGTATAGATATCTATATATATTTGTTATTGCTTGGCAAATAACTAATTTTACATTTTTAAGTGTAACTGGACATTACCATAAATAGATTAAAGTGCGATTTGCCACACAAACTTTTTCAGAGGCTTTCACTATAAACTTTTTTTTTTTGTTTTTGTTTTCTTTTTCTTTTTCTTCCTTTTTCATTTTCCTTACTTTTTCATTTTCCTTATTTTTATATTAAACTTATCTTTTTTTTTTTTTTAATAATTACCATGGGCAAAGGGTTTACATTAGAAGTGCCTGTCAATGTACCAGCCAATATGCCTTGGCTTTCACGTGTGAAAACGGGCTTTCACTTTGCTCAACTTGCAATGATATTCTTGACGATATGTGTGGTGGCTCCTCTTATTTCTACAGAAAACAAATACTATGTAAGTTCAAATTATAATAAAAAAGGATTATTTATTCATAAGGTATTTTATATAGGGTGGTAGCCAACCTGGACCAAATTATACTTTAGCGATATGTATTCTATCTATTGTTGTTCCAGTCATTCTTATCTATTTTCCTTGGGCTTATGAACATCAAAACAAATTTAAAAAGATCGGCAAATTCGCTTTGAAGCCACGTACAAACATGATCTTTACTTCTTTTAATTCTGTTGTTTGGGCTACTTGTGGTATCGCTATGAGTGTACATGCTAACAATCCTTCTCACTGTGCATTGGATAGTAATCTTCAAAAAACATATGGTGATGATTATGTGAGTGCATGGGCTACTCAGGTAAATTATTTATATATATATAAAAAAAGGAAAATATAAGTTAATGAAACCTTTATATATTTATTTTAGTGTAATCTAGGCAAAGCTACGGCTGCATTCGCTTGGTTGACATGTATCATGTGGATTGGATCATGGATTTGTACGATGATTATCTTTTGGAATGAAAAACAAATTATTCAACAAAATATTAAAGAAACCAAACAAAATCGATTATCTGTACTTGAACAACAACAACAACAAGAAGTAGGTGGTAATAGTACTTATCGTACTCCTGGATATTATGGTGATGAAGAAGATGATATTGGTGGAATGCGACCTCAATCTTTTGAACAAGCCAGACCTTTACATACAGCCACTCCTCCTCCTCCTCTTCATCATCAAGTCCCACCACAACATTATGAATCATCTCCTTTTGAAGATCCAGCTTATTATCAACCTCCTCAACATCATCCTAACACTTATGATCATCAAGTTCCCTATGATCCTCCAATGCAAAACACTGGTTTTTCTATGCCTGATCCTAGTCATTATGGTTCACCTGCTCCTGATCATCGATTCTAAGTATCATTATTTTTTTTCTTTAGTGTATATGTATACCAAATTCTTTTAGTTTATTTTATCATCATTCTTATTCTTACTTTTATTCCTATTACATATATATATATATCATTCATTGTATAAACTTGTTCTTCTGTCTTTTTTATTTTTTTTTTACATACAATAAAAATGAATTCTTTTCCCTCATCTTCTTTCTTTTGTAACAATTTGTTTAGAACTCAGTTACTACGCTTCGCTTTACTTTCGCGGCAACTTTTTTGTATTCTTTTTTTTTTCTTCCTTCCTTTCTTTCTCCATTTTAGTTTTTCCCCCTCTCTCTTTTTAATTCAATATAAATTACATTATATTTTATCAAATATGAAGACCTTTTTATGGTCTTTTTTTATTCTTAATGTGATATCCGTCTTTGCTCGTCCTCCTTTAGAGCTTGAAAATGACGAACGAAAGTTAGTCGAAGTGGCAGAATTTGGTTATTTAGCTGGTGGACAATTGAACCTGACAGTAGAAAACTATAAGGTAAGTAAATTAATTTATTATTCAGGATAGTATTAATAATTTTAACCTTTTTGTTTTGTTTGAACTAGTTATCAAACGAATCATCTCCTGGCATGGTCGCTTTTTATATACGAAAAGGTCACTCGGTAGGCAATGCATTCAGCGATGAGAATCATATTCAACCCTCAAGAATTGTCAGGTCTTGCTATTTAGAGAATAGTTTTGTCAAGGATGAACAAGATGACCAAGTTGCGGAAGTTCGAGAAATACCATTGTCAGGTCTTCAACCGTAAGTCAAGAAACAGAAAACATGTAAAATATATATATTGATGATCTCTCTTGTATATTATAGGTGGACAACTAGTTTGACTGTAGGTGATCATGAAGAAGGTGTTTGGGAAGTGTTACTGGTGAACTGCAAAGATTCTTTGATCTCCTTGAAAGTAAGTGATCATTATTTATCTGATTCCATATTTATACATTAACTCTTTTTTTTTTTTTTTTTTTTTCTCTATCTACCTTCATTCACTGTGATTTTAGTTGACTGTAAATGAAGTTAATCCGGGAAATAATCATCTTCCAGCTGGTGATTCACCTTTGCCTTTGGTGTATGGTCTGTCCTCTTTGATTTACTTATCAGCAGCATTGTATTGGACTACCTTATTAATATTTGGGAAAGATACAAAAGTATTTCGCGCGCATTGGCTCATGTAAGCTAATAAAAGACATATATATATATATATAGACTTAACCGATCATTCTCTTCTTTTATGGTTTCAGGTTAATCTTGATGATTACCATTGTCATCAACAAATCCTTACAATCGGTATGAAAAATAATTATTTTGAAAAAATGCAACAGAATCTTAACCATCCTTTTCTCTAATAGGCAAAATATCATTATATGAAGATCGGATTACTTAGCGAAGGTTGGAGTATTGGCTTTTATGTGTTCGCATCGTAAGTTGAGCGATCAACAGAGGAAAGAAGTGGTACATCAGAATAACTCACTTTTTTTTTTATTATGATAGTATCAAAGGCTTACTAAGTGTCTTTATCATTGGTAAGAGAATCAAACAAATTTATTTATTTTTCAAATGATCCTATATTTTTCTTTCTTTCTTCAATAGTTTTACTGGCGTCAGGATGGATGTTTATCAAGCCTTTTTTATCGACAAAGGACAAACGCGTTATTTCGATTGTGGTACCATTACAAATTCTGTCAAATGTTGCCTCAGCAATAGGAAGCGAAGCAGCTATTGGATCGGTCGATTGGCCATTCTGGGTAAGTCATTGAAAAGACTTAACAAGTCGAATGATATAGCTCTAACTAATTTATTTGATTATCCTAAGAATATGATGTTTCCTATCGTCGATTTGGTTGCATGTGGCATTGTATTATGGACTATTCTTCAAACACGGAAAAATCTAGGTGCTGGTTCATCTGCTGATGGAAAAGGTAAAAAAAAAATCATTTATCTTGATGTATTAATAAAACCTCTCTTAAATATTATCTTGATTAGAAACTGATGTGTTGGAAAAATATAAGTTATGGTCCACGTTTTATGTTGTTACTTTGATATACTTTTACGTTACAAGAATTGTTGTTCAACTACTACAATTTGCTCTGCCTTTTCAATATGTTACTTGGTTAGGGGAAGCCGTCAACGAAGCTGCAACATTATCATTCTATATTTTCATTGGGTAATCATACAACAAACTTGTCAATATTTTCTAACTTGTTTCTTTTTTTTCTAATCAATAGATGGAAATTTAGACCTTATGCAAATAATCCTTATATGCAAGTGGCTAATGACGATCTTGATGAAGAAGAAGACGATCATATTGTGAACTCCCATCAACAAGCTTCCCTTAGACTTCAACCTGTGAACCGGCGGGATTAATTGGCTGGATGTACATCGTTATTATTATTATTACCACATATTTCTCTCTCTTACATATACATGTATCCATATATCATCATTAAAAACAGCACATTACGCACATTCATTCCATTTACCCTCTGTCACGTTTTGTCATACTTTTTCTTTTCTTTGATTGTACAAATATTTATCATTACAATAAAATACACTTTATGCACTACTTTATTTCTATTACCAAAGCTTTTTAACATACATAATTATCATATACCTATAATAGGATGCGTTCATCAATTGTCAAAGAAAAAAAGGTTGCATATAAAGAAAGGAGGAAGATATATGAGGATGAAGATGTTCTTTTCTTGCCACGGATTTAAGCTGAGGAGTTTGAAGTGTTTGGCTGTAAAAATCAAAAGTGTTTTTTTTTCTTTTTTATCCTATTTCTTTTTTTTTTTTTTTTTTTCATTCTTTCCTCTATTTACTTCAATGCCTCTATTTCAAAAATGTCTTTCTAGTCATCCATATCCTATGTTTGTTTTCCAAGGTATTTTTTTTTTAAAAAAAAGGAACGTTATTACAAACTTGATTGATATTAACTTACAAAACATATTCATCTTTATATTCACTAGGAACAAGGTATCGACAGTTGTCTATAAACAACAACATTCAAAGAAGTCTACGCACCAAAGTACCTAATACACCCAAACATAATACCCCGGCTATAGATCTACATATGCCTTACTTTGACTCGGAACGATTTGCATCTTTATTGGAAAAGGAAGGATTTTCAGCATCTCAAGCCAAAGCTGTGATCAATGCTTTGAATGATGTGGTGGATGAAAGGTAAAATAGAAAAAGAAAGAAGTGGGATAAATCACATATCATTGAAATGGGCAATCTTTCTCTGACAAAAACCCGATCTCATCTCTTTTATTATTATGATTTAGTACAGTGAACGTGACAGACGATCTTATCACCAAAGAGGAACAACAAAAGGTAAAACGAAATAAAAGGAACTCTCCTTTTTTTTTTTTTTTTATTACTTTGGTATTTAACTTTTTTTTTTTTTTTTTTTTTTACTTTATTATATAGACAATTGAACGATATAAGAATGATTTTCGACAATTAAAGACAGATATTCAGCGTATGGAAAAAAATGATGTGGAAGATGTGAAATCAGCGAATGAACGACTCAAGGCAGATATCGACAAATTAAAAAAGACATTACAGGATGAACTGATCCGAAGTCAAGCTGGGGTTCGTTTGGATCTGAATTTGGAGAAGGGACGTATTCGGGATGAAACTGTGGAACAACATGATAGACTAAAAAACACAGATGAAAAGATCGCCAATGAAATCCAAGCACTCAAGACTCAAATGCAAGGCATCAAAATGCAGATTTTACGATATATGATCGTAAGGAAATGAACCTCTTTGCTTTGACTATATCTAACTTGTTCCTTTTTTTTTTGTAGGGTACAATCACAGGGGCTGGCACTTTGGTACTAGGTAAAAAAAAAAAAAAAGAATTTGAAATAGTGTTTGCGAGCTTTTTATTGAATGATACCGTTTTATTCTTGTATTATAGGCTACATCCATTTCTCTCACTAGAATATTTTGTTTGAATGTATATTTAGATTATTTTGATATAATAATAAAAAAAAGAACAAATTTTCGTGTTTGAATCTGCGTTGTATTTGTCTGACCGTGGGAAAAAAAGGATTCGATCTTATTTTTTTTTTTTTGATGGAAACGATAGATACTTTGCTTTCACTTCGAAATATACATGTATGTTACTTTTTTTTTATCTATACAACAAGTCTTAGTTGTAAATTTTGTCGGTCGTGTTACTCATAGTGAAATCTAATGATATTGTTATTCATTAAACTTCCTATGAAAGCTGATGGAAACTGGGAGAGTAAAGTACAGTTGATTCAAAGTCCGGCAATACCAACGTGAAAAATAAAAACGTTTCCTCCCTTTTTTTCTTCTTCTTTTTCTTTTTAACCCATCTCTTTTTTTCTTTACTATTCTCTAACAATGCTTCGTACTTTCTTCAGCTCTTCCATCACCAAGCCTCTTACTGCTCAAAAGACCATTCATACTGGTGTCCGTGCCTTCTCTACTGGTTTTGTTTTGAGACGTAAGCATCACAAAAAAAAAAACAAACAGGATGAACGCGTCTTGTTATCATGAAATAACTTTTTTTACATATTATATAGAAGCTCAAACTGGTGACAAGTCTTATACTCATATTCTTACTGAAACCCGTGGTAAGGTTGGTTTGATTACTTTGAACCGTCCTAAGGCCCTTAATGCTTTGTGCGGTGATCTCTTTGTGGAAGTCAACGAAGCTCTTCGTAGCTATGATAATAATGATGCCATTGGTGCCGTTGTCATCACTGGTTCCGAAAAGGCTTTTGCTGGTAAAAAAAAAAAAAAATTAATAATCATCATATTATATAGAATTTACTTAATTCTTTTCTTTTGATGATAATCTTATAGCTGGTGCCGATATCAAGGAAATGAAGGATAAGGCTTTTATTGAAACTTACAAGTCTAACTTTTTGGGTCATTGGGCTGAAATGACGGAAATCAAGAAACCTATCCTTGCTGCTGTCAATGGTTATGCTGTAAGATTTATCTGTTTTATTCAATAGAATCTATACTAATCCTTAATCTTTTATTATATAGCTTGGTGGTGGTTGTGAATTGGCTATGATGTGTGATGTAAGTCAAAAAAAAAAAAAAAAGATGAGTGAGCAGAAAAGCGGAGCATCCTTCCTATTTGTTTAGCCGATATGTGGCTAACTTTATTTTACTCCACTTTTTTTTTTTTTTTTTTTTGATAGATCATCTATGCTGGTGAAAAGGCTATTTTTGGTCAACCTGAAATTAAGCTTGGTGTCATCCCTGGTGCTGGTGGTACTCAACGTCTTGTCAAGGCTGTTGGAAAGTCTAAGGCTATGGAAATGATTCTTACTGGTTCCGTCAATTTGAATGCCACTGAAGCTCTTTCTTTGGGTAATGAACCTTTGTTTTGTTTATTCAACGTTAAACTAATTCGTTTCATACAACTTTTTATATGAATAGGTCTTGTTAGCAAGGTTGTTCCTGCCGCTGAACTTGTCGATGAAACTGTCAAGACCGCTGAAAAGATCGCTAGCATGGGTCAACCTTCCGTTCAAATGGCTAAGGAAGCCGTGAACAAATGTAAGCCAATAAAGAGAGAAAATGCATGATGGATACTGATGATCATTTGTTTTACTTTTACTTTTTCTAATAGCATTTGAAGTTCCTCTTTCTGCTGGTTTGAGATGGGAACGTATCCTCTTCCAAGCTCTTTTCGGCACTGTAAGTAACAAAAAAAAAAAAAAAAATAGATACCTGTTTTAGACCATATGACATGACATAGTATTGACGGCATTTTAATCATTTCTTCCATTCTTGTAGGCTGATCAAAAGGAAGGTATGACTGCCTTTGTTGAAAAGCGAAAGGCCAACTTCACCAACCAATAAAGAAGAAATAACATAGGATAAACATATCATTTGGTTGGGTACCCTATTTTGTGAACGTTGAATAGTTTATTTACTTTGTGATTCTTTTGTGTAAATGGATGAAAAATAAAAACTACATTATTTAATCCTTTTTTTTTTTTGTTGCTATGTAATGTATGTTTTTTGAGTTGACAGTACTCAAGAAGTCGTGTTTGGTTAAAAGAAAACATAAGGATAGGACGACGTTTCTATAACAGTTGATAATGACCATTGAGTCTCATAGGTATGATGGCTGAAATCAATTTCAATTATGATCGTAGAGGGGGTTATCTAGGAACCTGATGATTCTTTCTTGTACTTGTTTATGATTTCTACTGCGTATTATTCCAACCAATTGCATGCGGAGTTAACAACTCTCTGTGCTGTTTGGATAGAAGTTTTTTCTTTTTTCTTTTTTACCCCTTCTTTTCCTCTCGTTTTCCCGCTTACTTTTTCACTCTATGTCACAACAACCAAGAAGCAATGCTTTTACAGGTATTTCTATGAAGAAAACGGGAAATGGCTGTAGACCAAAACGTTAACCGGTGTATAGACTAATCTTTCCTTTTTTTTTTCTTTATTTTCTTTATAGATATTTGCATAATGATATCAGGTGAACCTCATTCGATGCAAAGATCCTATCTCAACACTTATTCAAGTCGTTTCAATGGATGAAAGTATGCAACCTATGTAGAAGACAGATATCCGATATTAAGCAAGTTTAATTCACTTTCCTTTTCCTTTTTTTTTTTTTTTTTTTTTTTTTTTTTGTCTAGGATAATATGCTCCTTGAACCTGACTTGTTGTACTGACTTGGCGTACTGTTGAAATCAAGAATCAAGGATGACTCACGAAATAAATGCTCAATAACTTAGAATAGAAGCTTCAATACTCTCAAATAATGCATTTTTTCTCTTAGTCTGCAAACATATCGCTAAAGAAATGAACGAAATGAATGTATATCTCTACAGGGGAACCATATGAATTAAGCTCAAGCACTATTTCCGATAGCTTCTCTTTATTACAATAATGGATGATCCACCAATGACTCAAGACAAAACCATGTAAGATTAAAAGTGACATGTCGAAATTTCCACTGACATCACTCTAATTGTTTTGTTCCTTTTTTTTTTATCCATTTGATTTGCAATCAATTCATCTGAACATTGAAGCAACAGTCGATGTACAAGAACGGAATAGCAGCAAAAAAGGCAATTACTTTTTACAACATGGAACGCCAACAACAATAGTAACCATTCATATTGAAAATCATATGATGCCTCACAACTGGTAATGCTACCTCAATGGGAGATGATGAAGGATCAACAAAGCAATTGAAAGAACAAACAATAAAGCGGAGTTGTGCCAACAATGGAACTGGACCCTTTTGCATGCACATTGATGGACATTTGGTTGTATGGTAGTACCCATTTAACAACTGTAGTATATGGAATTAGATGAACCTGATAGATAGACTCAATGGTCGGTGTCTTTCGATATATATATCTTTTTTTTTTTTACAATAAAATTTTTTAGATGTCGACATCGAACCTTGATGACCTTGTACAATCTGTTTATACCTTTTGACATGTGGTTTTATTATTTGTTTATATATCCATGGATATCTTTACATATATACATATGTGTGTGTGTATAAGATTGATCATGATATATAGAAGAAATCAAAGGATGATAAAAAGTTGATAATATTGACATAAGGGTAGGATGGAAAAATTAGATAATATATTCTCTTTTGAACAAACAAGTTAGTGACATTAACAAAAAAAAAAAAAATAGGATATGGAAAAAATAGATTCATGTGGGAAACATCTGTTTGACAAGCGTTGATGTTTTGTACCACCGGAAGTTTATTGTTCATCAAGTCTTAACGATGTGGATCAATCTAGTGTTTGATGTTTGTGATTCCTTCTTTCTTATTACCTCATATGGCCATGTTGATACAACGTATTGTGGATGATAGAAATGAATTAAAAATAGACAGAAAAAAAAAAAAAGATGAGATTAAAAAAAAAAAAAGCTCACTGTGCAACCAATGCCATATTAATGAAGAAATCAGATGTTTTGTTCTGTTTGCTTCGGAACGGATACGCTTTAAGGTGTTAAAAAAAAAAAACTGACCGTTCCCGACCTCTTAACTATATTTGTCTCCATCCGCTTCTATTTTAATAGGATCCATCGTGGAAAAAAAAAAAAAAAAGATAAATAATAAAGGATGATTTCATTTTACTGAATAGAGAGCTTTAATATAGTTTGATAACATGAGTGAAAACAAGTGAACATATCCCTGAAAAAAAAAAAAGCAAATGTTTATTTTTCCTCCATCCAACAACTAGGTTTTTTTTTTTGAGGGTTCTTGAAAAGGAAGATGATTGATAAGGTGTAACCCATCGCAGAAAGCGGTACTGCCTTTCAAGGACAGGAAATCATTCAAACTAAGAAATATGCCAATTTGATGGAAGGATCCGATTTTTCGTTTCTTTGGTAACCACAGAAAAAAAAAAGGGTGTTATAAATAAAAAAAGAAAATATATCATCCTTACTTTAGTATACTCTCATTATTTTTAATTGTCATTATTGATGTCTGCTGGTTGATTCGTACGAGAAATAATGATATGACGATGAAATAAATGAATGACGAGATGATGATGAAGTGTAATGATCAATCAATCAAAAATAATAATAATAATAATAATAATAAAGTAAAGTGTATACATCTACTGGTATATAAAACATAATTTCATATCAGGGATAGATTCCTTTAATGATACTAATCAAACAAATAGAAAAGACAAATGAATATCTTATTAGATCAAAACTAAAAAAAAAAAAAAAAAAAAAAAGCACGGACAATCATTGTATAATAAGATAAAAAAAAAAAGGATTCATCAACGGTCAAACATGTCATTTGAACGAAAAACGACCTATTAGAATTGCTAGTTGATGATCGTATAGAGAAAATCAAAGAGAACCCGATCCAAAGATATGTATCAACTCATCCGCCGTATTTTCATCTCTTTTAATATGCATTATGGCTTCCTGATGATGATGATAATGATGATATACACTCAAGTTGTTTTGTTTATGCTATGGCAACAGAAGAAGAAAGTTTCATGTATCAAAACATCAACAAAAAAAAAAAGAAATCATAATCCATAGTTTGATTTAAATCCATTTAGACAATTCCCTTTTTTTTATATATAATCCATCAGATCTACTTTTTTTTTTTCTGTTGAAAGGATTGCCCAGATATGGTCAAACTACACTGACGAGAACAATCATATTGTTTATTTCAAATGTGTACCAATCAAATGAGAAAAAAAGGAAAAGGAATAGAAAATAAAAGGGCGTAAACCTATTTTTACTGATATATAAACAAAAGAAGAATGGGCGTTATGAAAGGTCGGTGCGAGCATAACCATCATGGTGGAACAAAAAAAAAAAAAAAAAACTTTCTTTCCCCCCTGATTAAACTTTTGGTTCCCCTTATTTGGAATGGTTTCAAAATCGGTTCTTTCTATGTATTACCCATGTGTTGAGCATCAAACTGACTTTATATGGTAATGATATTCTTTTTTTTTTTTTTTACGCCTTAAATGAAAAATCATCCATAGTGTTGCTATTCAGGAGTAAGTAAAAATAAAAAAAAAAGAAAAAAGAAAGAAAGAATAAAAAGTACCTTGTATGGGAAATTTAACTGGGGCATAGATGATGATCTTAACTGAGAAAAAAAAAAAAAAACAATCACCATCATGAACATCATGTTTTTTCTTTGATGTTTAAAATAAGAAAAAAAAAAAGTAGGATGATATGTTCTGTACACTGACAATCACTTCCTTATTAAGTCGAACCAAATCATAGGACTCGCGCGCTACGACTTTTTTTGTTGTCCTGACTAGACAGTTGTCAAAAAAATGTAACGCGGTGTTTGTTCATCCGGTAGATGTAGCTCTTTTTACAAGAAAACTGTTTCTCGGTAGCGCCTTTTTTCGTTTGAATCCGATAGGATGATGGTCATCCTTAGTATTTTTCGATTTGCATATATAACTGATGAAGTGATACAGCCATTCTTGCATAAATAAACAAAAAGTGCCTCTCGTTGGATCTCACCCGACCGAGACTGAACTAAAAGATTCCCTCCCCGTGACAGGTGTGATTGATTGAAAAAAAAAAAAGGTTTGGCATTTTAGTAGGACATTACCTTTCAACTATTGATTGTACAACATAAAAAAAAAACGGGGTGATTTCAAAATTAGCCTTGGATGATGGTCGTTAGGCAAAAAAAAAAAAAAAATTGAATATATAAAAGTCCCTTTTTTTTTTTTTTTCCTTCATTCTTTACTTTTTCTTTTCATCATCTCCTTCTTTTGTTGACAATGGGCAAAAATATGAATCAATCACTTGTGAATATGTCTTATGTGGCGCCTAAACCATTAAATCTTCAAGGAGGTCAATGGTAAGTAAAAAAAAAAAAAAAAAAATTGGTGATCATCATTATTCAATTTTCTTTTTTATTAGTTCATGGTGTGGTAAATATGGTCACAAGCGTATTATTTGTCCTCTTTTGAAGTAATCATCCACCCATTCATTACTATACATCATCGGTCTGATTATCAACATCAACCAATCATCATCATTTGTTATCTTCATGCTTCATCAATATAATCATCATTATCATTGCAATTCATTATTATAAGCAACGTTAGGCAATACAGCATCTTTACAACGAAAAAAAAAAAGTTTCTCTTACCTATGATATTTCTCTTTTTTTATTTTATTTTTTATTATCTATGTATATCCCACACTTCATGTATATATAAGCATTTTTTTCCTTTTATGATGATGATGATGATCCTCATCGTGTTTTTTTATCGTATCAACTTTATCAATAAATCGTATCAACTTTATCAATGAACATTTTTTTTTTTTTACTTTCTCCATTTCGTGTCACGGTGCGTTCATCCCCCGCTTTTTTTTTGTTTCTTTGCGGAACCACCGGATGCCTATCCGAATGAGAATGCATTATCCTCATCTTTTGAAGTAGAAACGATGGCAAACTTGTCATAACAAATAGACGCGCCTTCAACATGCAAGTGACATTCTCATTTTTTTTTTTGTTATCATTTTTTTTTTTTTGACAATGATGACCCGTAAAAAAGTGCGGGTATTACATAGGCGTGTGGATATTGTTATGTTGGACAAACAAAGAAGGATGATTATAGTGAAACAACAAACTTATTTTTAATGACCGTCCTAGATAAAAAAGGGGGAGGATGTCTTGATTAAGGAGACAGAAAAAAAAAAAAAAAGAGACATATGTCATAGACCAACAAATGGTAGAAAGTAACGAGGTTTATTTTTTTTTTTTACAAAAAAAAAATATAATTTATCTATCATCCCCCAAACTATCCATAGCTCCTTGGCGCTAATAAGTTCAAAGGAGGAGGAAAAGGAGGGGGGGGGAAGATGACGAAGCTGTACTTCAAATGTTAGTAGAGGGGAGACGAACCAGTTTTTCGTTTCCATACCCAGAATTAAACTTTCAGGGGTCATGCTATTCTGACTGGACCTCCAAAGCTCATTTCCCCTTTCTTGGTGAGTTTATTGTTCTTATGATTTCATATTAACTGTATTGACAAAGAACCTATTATCAAATCCAGTTTTTCTTAATAAAGGAAACAAAGTTATTACCAAATGTGGGGAACAAGGATGTCGATGATGATGATTTTTATATTTTATATTTTATATTTTTGATAGAAAATGTCAATCATCATCATCTAGAAGATTTATTATTCTTTTTTTTTTCATATATAAAATCCAAATAATAAATAAGAAGAAGAATAATTAAACATGCTTGCTGGACAGTGCTTTCTCCAAATAATAAAGAAAGGGGTGATTGGATGATTCATCCATGAGGTTTCTAGGGGTTAGTTAAAACAGTTGTTACGTAGATCCTGTGGTAAAATGACAAATGATGAAGAAAAATGATAATGATTCAGGGGTAAGAGGAGATATCACTAAGTAATATTAGTCTTTATACTATCATCATTAATTTACTAGTATAGATTAATCATATTAATGATAGTAAAAAAATAGGTAATCTATATCAATGTGCAAGGAAATGAGATGAATGCAGCATGGGTCCATTCTGGGTTCATTCTCCGGTCAGCATGAAAAAAGTTTCTTTTTCATGAGAAAAAAACTTTAAAAAAAAATAGGGGATAAAGGCTGATATTTAAATACTGATTTATATATTCTTTCTTTCTTTTTTTCTCTTTCTTTCTTTTTCTTCTTTCACTTTTCAACAATATGGCATTTAATCGACAAAGTGGGAATGATCAAACTTTTCATACCACTATGCATCCAACTAGTAGTTTGAATCCTTCCAGTATGCATGCCTCCTTGTTTCAAAACAATATGGGTTTATCTTGGCCACCAGCTTTGAATCCTTCTATGGATCTTCATTCTGTTACATCACCTACTTCTCCAGATGGTAGTTCTTTATCTTCTTTACCTGTGGCTTCACCAAAACCTCATGATAATAAAAACAACAATGAAAATAATAATACAACACCGCCTGTCGATTTATCCAAACCTTATCATTCTGAATGGGGTGTTATGAAAGAACAAGACTTTCATCCTTTGACTTTGAAACATCAACGAGATTTGGAAAATATATATAATACAAATAATCCTATTGCTGATTTTTACTTTTGGCAAGCTAATCTTGGAGGATATTGTATGGCGGATATGATTCAAAGTAAGTAAAAAAAAAAAAAAAAAAAGGGGAAGTATGTATGTCTATGCAAAAAGATGCAGTTATGTCATTAGGGATCACCTTATTCTCATTGTCCTTTTTTTTGAGTAGATATTGTGGTATCTTCTGAAGGTGCTTTTCCTTTAATTCGACGCATTGTGGAAGGTGCTCCTCATCCTGGTCGAAGAAAGAAGAAACGAGTTCAAGCATGAATGGAGGAAGGATAAAAAATCAAGATAGGAAATGAACGGACTGGTACCATTTATTTCTTTTTATTCTTTGTCTTTTACATAGTATAGATTTTCCTCTACCATCTTTTATTAATACATACAACCTCCTTACTCTTACTCTCTCTTTTTTTTAGTGTATCATATATGATTTTACTTTCTCCTTTCCTTTATATTGCATTTAGTAGTAGTAGGTCTTATACATATTTATCTTTTCCTTTATTTAGCCCATTATCTTCCCGTCCTTTTATTTTATTTTTATCATACACAAACATATACAAACTTTTAAATAATAAAAAATGGATTTTTTTTATTAAAAAAAAATATATAGAGAATGAATAAATGACAATAAAAAAAAAGAAAGATATATCTGTATATATAAAAAGTAATGTAAAATAAAATAAAAAGAATAGAAAAATACAAAGTAGGAATGTTAAAAAAGGAATGCAAAATTTCTATGTTCTATGTAAAAAAAAAGTTTTGTGTCAGATTCAAGTTTGTTCCATGGACGCCAAGATAGGGTAAAAATAAGGATGTTCCATAGCCTCCTTGCATGTGTATCTTTCACCATGATCATATTTCAACAATCCATCCAAAAAGTCCCATAATTCTTTTGACATATAACGTTGATTGGCTTCATTCACAAAGTTTGACCAAGATTTCCGTGTTTGCCTATATATATATGTTAATGAACGTTTGTTTAAAATCATCTCCTACTTTATTTGTTTTTATTATTGTCCCCCCTTTTTTCCATCTATTTACCTTGTAATGAGTTTTTGAAGACGAGGAGGTAATTCCAGAGAATATTTTTCAAGATAAGCATAAAGATCCTCGGTTCCTAGTACTTGAGTGATTTTTCGAAGTTGATCGTCATTATCCACACCATTAAAAAAAGGTTCCTTTCTAAAACACTATAGAAAATCAAATAAGGTTCAATGCATCAAATATCTTTTCTTTTTTTTTTTTAACTTACCATGCCAGCTAACATACAACCAAAACTCCATAAATCCAAACTATAATCATATAATCGATCATTGACCAGTAATTCAGGACCTTTGAAACATCGAGAGGCTACACGTACATTATATTCTGTTCCAGGATGATAAAAATCAGCTAAACCCCAATCAATTAATCGTAACTAAAGAAGAAGAAGAAGAATATAATCAAATTAATTTGGATTTTCTAATTTTTTCTTTCTATTACCTTTTTGTTTGCATGATCAATCATGACATTATGAGGTTTCACATCACGATGCATAATTCCTTTAGAATGACAATAATCCAAAGCCTAGATAAACAAAGATAAGTAATTTTTTTTATATATTTTATTTTTATTTCCATTTTACCTTGAGAAGTTCCATCATATAGTATCGAATTTCCAAATCAGTTAACATTGGATAAAGATGTTTAAAATCCGTATTGGCCACATGTTCAAAAATAAAAGAAGGTACCCGTGACTAAAAATAAATCAATCATTAGGATGACATGTCTATCTTTTTTTTTTTTCATTTTTTACCTGTTCATCTCGAACAACATCTAAAAGTCCAATAATGTTAGTTCCACCTGTCAGATTTTGTAAGATCTTGATTTCTCGTTGAATCTTCATCTTTTTGACAGGTTTCAGGACCTTGATCACACACTTTTCTTGATTCACTGTATTGATGCCTTCAAATACTTCTGAATATTTCCCCCTACCAATCTTCCGAAAGATTTCATAATTGTTTTGTATTCTTTAATCATCAAAAAAAAAAAAAGTTAATAACTAATTCACATGTCATCCTTTTTTTTTTTTTTTACCCCCATTCTATTTCCAAAGCTTCATAATCATAATAACTTTTAGGTTGACCAACATTGGCATAAGTATATACTTTAGCTACACTCATTATTGTAACTAGAGATCGACCAAAAAAATAAAAACTTTAATAGGAAAGAAAGAAGTAAAAAGAAGTGACAGAGAGAGAGAGAGAGAGAGAAAAAGAAAAAAAAAAAAGAGAGGAACAAGTCAAAAAAGAAGCGGTTGTTGAAAAAACCTTTTCCTTTCCTTTTTTTTTTTTGTTGGGCACAAAGAAGTGGATATCTAAAAAAGGACACTACCTTACCACCTTCATTGACTAATTATTACAAATACTAATGATTCTTATGCTTCTATTAAAGAAAACAATTGATGATCTGATGAAAAAGTACACATCTAACTTTATCCTCCTTTTGTTTTAAATAAGAGGATGACATGAGTAATGAATAAAATGGTGTTCTTTTTATTTCGCATATTTATATATATGAGAAGGGAAATTGTGATCAAAATGTAAGAGTGGGTATCGGTATACACATAGTGAGAAACATACATATAGGTGTACTCAAGAAGTAAAAAAAAAAAGTAACTAGTCTAAAAAAAAAATATAAAATATATATAAAAAGAATAAGAGGGACGTTAACAAATGGAATCATCAATAGTACAATAATGATGATGAAAAGAAAAATGGAAGACGAGTATCTAACATAAATGATTAACAAGGGTCATGACCAGAATAAAAACAATAGACTTGAATCTTGCATCATACCAAACAGAAGTAGCCCATCGTTTCCATCTTGAAGGAGTTGGTTGCCAAGTATTCATTTCTTCTTCCAAACTAAGCATATCTTCCACTTCTTCTTCTTCTTTATCTACCATTTCACTGCTGGTTCTGGTTGCCAATAAAGGAACAGCTTGATAATCACCATGATCCCGCACAATGAATTCATCCTTACTATTAGTGTCAGTTGTTGTTGTTGTCGTTGGTGTAAAAGTCAAATACCGACAAATCCATCCTGTCAAAGTACCAGTAGCTTGACTGAGATAGTCACATATACATAAGAACAAGATACTAGATATTACAAAGTTGAGCCACCATCCCCAATCAGTACCACCCAAATGATGAATCCAATCAGATGGAATCACTACAAGTAAACCTTTGGTATCAGCTGCCAACCACATATGAAATTGTCCGATAAATGTTTCCAAGGAACATTTGCCGATCCACATGAAGAATCGAGATTGTGTGTTGCGTAAAAACAAAGTAGCGTTTCGAAGAAGGATAAAGGCCAAGATGGGGATCCATGAAATATAAGGATGTCGTGCGTTGTAAGCTTGTTTATTGGGTTGTTGTAGTTCGAACCAAAAGTACCATATCATGCTGAGAGCGGCTATACAGACCGTGACCCATTTGAGCACAAAGAAACTGGCTGTTGATTGTTCCTGCACAATCTTGTGTTCTTTGATTTTGATGGTTACTAAAGCAAATAACATACCGACATAAACAATGTAAGCATCCAAACCCAACCTGAATCGCCATTCTGCTGCATGCCAATGGATGTTTGCCACCTTGGATAGGATATCAAATGTTGTTTCAAGCACACCAGGCACATGAATCATTGTTGTTGTAAGAACACACATCACAACCATCTTGATCAAAAGGAACCAGACCTTGTGATTATATGAATGACCAACATACATCGTGATCCAGATCACCAGGAACCAGAGTGAGACTAAAGGTGTGAAATAGTAACTAAGATAGTCCGTGTTCATCAAGTACATCAAGACAAAAGTAAGTAGATTCAGACGCACCATCACATTAAGAAACCGAGCTATATCAAAATCTTTCTTTTTGTAAAAAAAGAAGAAATGTCCATAACCAGTTTGAAAGAGATAAGCTGCCACTAAACTTCGTACTACATTGTAAATCCCTGGTGTACCGGAAGCACCAGTAAAATGATAAACAAGGATCACAAGTTGCATCCATCCTTTCCATTCATCTGTTTGTCCACGATTCAAAAAGCCTTGATCACCCTCTTCATCAGGTTGTCGAGTCATAGAGATCAATCCAATCAAACCAACACAAAGCATTTGGATTGTAAATGTCACCGGGTCAAAGTCTTTGTGCATTTTCGAGAATAGTTGCGTTCGATCACCCATATACATGTAAAGAACACCCAAACCAAAGATAAAAATAGATGTCAATGTTTTGAGATCATTGGAAGGACATAATCTCCGGATCCATGTCTTTGTGGAATCTTTAATAATAATAATAATAATAAAAAAAAAAGATAAAAAAAATGAGTTTACTTAAAAATAATCATATCATATATACTAAGAATAAATCATATGATCACTTACCAATGAAGAAAAAGCCTAGAGGTACCCAAACCAAGAACAAAACAAAAAAGATGGATTGATACCAACGAGGAGAGGGATAAATAATACAGCAGGTGGTATCGATAGGATAGTGTTTCGGTAATTGTTGATTACATCTATAATTCAAAGCGATTTGAGCTTGTGGGGTGGTAACAGGTGATAAATAATGTAATCCATCCAAAGTGATGTTGACAGTAGAAGTAGCAATAGTGTTCCATACAAAAGCAACAGCAAAAGGTAATTTCGGACGGACGGATAATTCGCGTTGATGCAAGTAGTTGTTCATGATGGTTGTCTTATCCAAAGTGAGTAAACGTTGTCTATCAGCGTTAAGACGGTCAAATTGAGGAATTTCCACAGGAGAAAGCATAACAGCATCAGCAATAGTATCAGTGGATTGCACTCCATCAAATACACGATCAACAGCACGTTTCCATTCATCCAGATAAGTATCGTCAGACAATCGTCGTTCGTACCAAATACCAGAACCAATAACGAGTAAACTTGGTTTATCACCTGTAGTATCTTGTCCTTTTAGTAAATCTATAGTACGTGTTTGATTGATATAAGGATCCCACCAAAATTCATATACCAGACCATGCTTTTCTGAAATATATTTGCGATCAATATGTAAAGGACCTTCAATATCCAATGAATGCGTAAGTTTGTTCATCGAATAAAATTGTTCACGCATAATAGAGTCACCAATATAAAGTACACGTGAATGGTTCAAACAAGTGGCTATTTCTTCGGCTTTGTAATTGTGAATCATACAACCTGGTGATTCCCATTGAGTATAGTTATCACCTTGAAACCATCCATCATTGAGTAAGCCATGACATTTAGTTCGATCGTTCGGTGCTATATAATATAATTTTTTTAATCTTTGTTTCATATAAAATAATAATATTATTTTTATTATTTTTTTACCTGTAATAAAGTGTTGAATAATGGCAGAAAATAATACGATACCAAAAAGAATGAATATACCAATAAGACTAAGTTTCGATAGTATATTTTTATTAGTTGAGTTTGTGACAACACCCATAAGAATAATAAAAAAAAAAAAAAAGGAATGGAAGGGATTGGGTAGAAAAAGTTATGGAGTAATAAGAGAGAGAGAGAAAAGGAGGGAAAGAAAGAGAAAAAGATCAATTTACTAGCCAATTATTTTGTTTCATAATGGAAAACTGGGAATACAGATATTGAACTCCGTTTCCAAATAAGGTAAGTCAAAAATGAAAGGAGAAAGGGGGCGATCCTTTTTTTTTTTTTTCCCCTTTTTATGTTTAAACTTCCTCTTTTAAAAAATCATCATTGATAAAAGATATATATATATTCTCATATTGATAATATTAGTTTTTTTTATAATAAAGAAAAAACATATATAGATATACACAAAACTTATATATTATTATAACTAGTCTGTTTTTTTATCTTTACCAGGGATTCATTTAATGATAATTTAGTTTTTAGATCATCATTTTCTCTTTGTACTCCACATTTAAAGTTCAATATTTTCTTGGCCTTTCTTTCGGTCTACAAATAATTTGACAAACCGCTCTTCAAGAACACTCATTTCCCAATCATGGTCTAGTCTAGTTTTTTTTTTTATTATTATTATTATTATAATCTATATATCAAAAAAAAAAAGGAGAAAACTAAACTAAACTAAACTAAACTAGACTAAACTATATATATAATTTTTATTTCACTAAACTATACTAAATATCAAGTCAAATGGAAAGAAGATAAAAAGTCATTTTTGTTAGAATAAGTATTCATCATTTCTCTAAGTACTCTGTTATCATTCACAAACAGTGATCTTCGTTGATTTGTCCTTTGTTCCCGTTGATTGGTATGACTAGTTGATCCCGTCGATCCATTTTCATCCACCGATATACCTAAAATACGATCCAACCTGGCTGTCTTGAAATCAGCACGTTTCTCCAAGTAAGGATATAAAACATTAGGTTCCAATCGAGCGAGATATCCTTCAGATAATATAGATCGTAAGATTTCTGGTTTGACCACAAAAATATTTCCAAGTTGTCGTAACATTTCAAATCGATCATTCAATGTAGGTATCTTGAACATCATAATCACTTCTTGATATTTGGCAATATCCCTATAAACAACCAAAATATTAATATGATATCATATTTTCTGATCTTTTTTTTTTTCCTTACTTGGTCACCAAAAGTCCTCCAGTAGGAGTAACATAATACTTTTTGAAGTGTTCCACCAATAACCTATATTATTATTATATATAAAAAAAAAACAACAACTTGTGAATTTCTTTCTTCTCCTTTCCTTATCTTTTTTTTTTTTTAATAAACTTACGAATGAAATTCACTACCCACGTTTAAAAGATAAGATTCCAGATTTTTGCCTTGTAACGTTTTAATTGCTGCTCGGTAGATCTTGGTCAGGAATTCTACGCTATAAACACATGGCTATCCAAAAAAAAGTATCAATTAAGTTCAATATATTTGATTCCTTTTTTTTATTATTATTATTATTGTTCTTCTTCTTACCATAGTACCGTTGCTCATCATCACCACTTCTTCGTCCTTTGGTCTAAAGTCATTTTTCTTTTGTTTTGCCAAGGTTTCATTCAACCAGTAAGTAATAGCTAGAATATCATATATAAGTATCAGTTAAATCTACCTTATTCTCCATCAAATTTAATCTTTACCTTCAATACTTCGGGTCACAACAGAGTTAACTTTGGTTTCCAATGTAGATAAAAATTTATTTTTGTTGACAAGACTATCACGATGAACCGACGGTGTTCCAATAACAAGTGGTACCTATAATAAAAAAAAAATGAGAATAATGAATATCATTATGATACAATGATTCTATCTGCTTACCACTGCAGTTTGGAAATGACGCTGTAATAATTGACTGATATTTGTGGATGCTGATATCACTGGGAAGCATACAAGATCAGGTTCCGTTTTGCCACCTAATTCATCGTAGATTCTAAATGAAAATAGTAATAAAAAGAAAAAAAAAAAACATCAGCTGTTAATGATTTTACTTATCAAAAAAGAAAAGAAAACTTACTCATCCAAGACAATATCCAAGTATTTTGATCCAACAAAATCCAATAAAATATCATACAATTGCTTCACAGACATTGATCTAATTATCAAAAAAAAAAAAAAATCAATATATAAAGTCATCATGATCTTTGTTTCATTATTTTTCTTACAATTCCTGAGCATTCATCAATTCTACACATCGTAAGATGGCTTCAGAATGGATTTGAATAATGCGGAGGATGGCTTCAGGAGAAATAAGATAAAATCCACTGTCATCGACTTTGATTAAATTGGATTGCATTTGTTGAGCGGATGTTGTAGTATTTGGAAAATCAAGACCATGAGCGGATGTCGCACTAATAGGAGATGGATGTTCTGATTCAGTAAATGAGGAAGGTGATAATATCGTGGATGTTGTACTGGCAGAAATCTGATTTAGTGTTCGTGTCAAGACTGATTGATTTCGAGCTGATGTTTTCTTGTACTGTTGCTACATAGAAAAAAAAAGTTCAATCGGTCTCATATCATTTTTTTTTTTTTTTTACTTGTATTGTTCCTGCTTACCATAAAATTCAAAAACTCTGTGATCATGCCACCAAATAATTCATTCAAACACGCCTTTTCCTTATATAAATAACGGTTGCCCTCGGTATATGGTACAAAAAGATCATCCATACATCGATCCAGAGTTTCTTCTGAAGATGCCACCGAGACAAGTCCAGTATCATCATTGGTGGTTGATTGTACCCGTGCTTTTTCACAGTAAACCTTGAGACTATCCACTAGTTGTTTTGTTGCAGCATGAATTGATGCCAAAGTACGAAGGTAAGCCAGATTGGATATATTTTGTGCCCGCGATAACAATGTTTCTACTTGATCTTGTATCTAGATTCAAAAAAAAAAAAAAAGATGATCAGTTTAAAGATTATCATTGTCATTTTCATACCGATTGAGCAAAGATACGTTGTAAAAAGACTTGAATAACAAGAGCCGGTTGAGGAAAAACAGCAGATATGATTGCAACTTCTCGTTGTACTGTAGTTCGAATTTCATCGTAAAGGTTGATCAAACTTGTATCAACTTCAGGCGGAGGTATAAATGGATTGGATAAAGCAGCATCACTATAAATTTATATATGTGTGTGTTTGTTAATATGGAGTCATTAAGTATACCATCACTTACTCTTCTGAAGATACTCGTTCACTGAGATCACTTGTTTGCATATTAGAGATAAAAAATTCATGTTGATTCACATATGTTTGAACACAAGAAGAACCACCATTGAATTCAAAAAGTACTCTTGCACAGTGCTAGAACATATAAAATCAAATAAAAACTTTAGTATCCTTTTTTCTTTTTTGTTTGTTTGTTCAATATGGTCTTACCGCCATAACACGAGGATCACCTTCCCTATAAGCCTTGTCAAATTCTTCCAACATTTCCTTTTCAAAACGTTCACAAAACTTTTCAATTCCAACACGTGCCTAAATCATATAAATATAGAGAGGAAAAGAATGAGTCTTATAAAAATAAAAATAATGATAAAGCATTGTGAGATTTTTTTTTTTTTTTTTTTTTTTTTTTTTTTTTTTACCTTGGTATCATTTTTTACTTCTTTAGCTGCAGAATTTAATCTTCGAGCAAGAGAGGCTGCCTGTTAGAAAAATAGAAAGATCATTAATATTCTTTATTCTTTTTTTTTCATATGATCTTTACTTTGAATTGTCCTTCATCTCCACTTTCATAATACAAAATATCCAATCGTTCTGAATATCCAGCATCTTGAAATTCCATATAATATTCAATCACATCCCTACTTTCAGTTGCTCTTGAGCGTTGTTTGTCCAATGTTTCCAATTGTTCACCAATCCTTACTGCTGTTTTGCCAACATCACCAATTCTAGTTTCCAAACTATCATAAGATTGATAAACATCCTAAATAAATAAATAATATATAATAAATAAACCAAGTATTATGCTGTTTTCCGTTTCCTAAAAAATATGTTCTACCTTGAAAGCATCCTGCATATTGACAATATTTTGCTTGTACTGTTGTTCAGCTTTTTGGGTTCCCAATTCGAGTTCATCACATTGATGCTGTACACGTATCCGTAATTGCTGAAGTTCTTCCAATACTTGTTCAAAAGTGCGGACAAAAGGTTTTGGATCCAGTACAACTATGACAGACAAAATAATAATAATAATAATAATATTATTATTATTGCTATTTTATAAAAGGAGAATTGGTTGCTTGATTTCTTTATTACCTTTTCCACTATCTTTTTTCATTCTTTCCATAAGCGTGGATGATATTGCTTCTATAAAGTCATTGGTCGAGAAGTCTTCCTATTATATGATAATATAAGATGAGTTTATGTCTCATTATAAACATGATATTACCTTAAAGTTGTTGATAGTGAGAAGTTCTTTAATTTCAGGTTCAAGGTGATACATCTTGCTCCTTGACCCCATTGGTATAAAATATAGAAGTTGAAAAAAAAAAAGAAAGAAACGAAAGAAGAAATCTTTAAAAATGTTCTTGCGTCCAAGGAATTGGAACTCCGGATTTCTTTTTTTCTCTTTACTTATATATATTTCCTTCCTTTCCTTTCCCTTTCCTTTTCTTTTAGTCCCCACTCTCCTTCAATAATATTATGGATCATCCAAAAAGAATATTAAAGGAAATCAATGATATTAAAGAAGATCCTGAAGCTCACATAGAAATCAAATTTACACAAGATTTAGGTAAATAAAAAAAGACGTGTTTTTTTTGATTCTATTACTCACCTTATTTTTAACATTATATAGATCAGTTTTATGCTACGATTGAAGGTCCTAGAGATTCACCGTATGAAGGTGGTATTTTCTTAGTTGATATTAAATTACTGGTAAAGTATATATTAGATAGAATCATATTATTGAAAGATCAAAGGAAACAAACATTGATCTTTATATATTGATAGAGCGATTTTCCCTTCAAACCACCAAAAATGCGATTCCTCACTAAAGTATATCATCCCAATGTTAGTTCACAAACGGTAATATTATAATATGATATGATTTTATGTTATTATTATTATTTTTCTAATGATAAATATATATTTATTTATATGCATTGATTTCGAAGGGTGCCATTTGTCTGGTAAAAAATATATATATATATATATTATTCCCTTTCTCTTTGACTAATATATATATAAATATGTATTTTATAGGACATATTGAAAGATGCATGGAGTCCAGCTTTATCTTTACGTACAGCTTTGCTTTCTTTACAGTCCTTATTGGCAAGTCCTGTACCAGATGATCCTCAGGTAATATATATTTCTTTTGATCATCCTTTTTTTTTTTTTATCTTTACTCATCTTTTTCATATCTTAGGATGCACAAGTGGCTTCTCATTACAAATCTGATTACATAGATTTTAAAAGGACAGCAAAACAATGGACTGAAGCTTATGCTAATGTAAATCTAGATGATTATGAAGATATATAGTTATTTTTTTTTGATCTAAATTGAATGATTATTATATTGGGAAATAAAAGTTTTTTTTTTTTTTTGATTTGTAGTATGATGCTTCAAATTATTGTTTTTTGATGCTCCGGTTATTTTTATATGGTAAAATATTCTTTTTTTTTTTTATTTCTTTCTTTTCCTTTTTTTTTTCAATATTATACGACAATGGCTTCTCAATTACCAAAGCTTATACCACCTTTTCGCTATGCCATGGTAGAAGAAGATCTATTTCGAGGTGCTTATCCTAAACCACGGAACTATCGGTTTTTAAGAAGGTAATAGATTCATTAAATATTATACATTATTATTATATATTGATCACTCTTCTTTTTTTTCGATAATACAATTTAGATTACAACTCAAAACTATACTCTCGTTAATTCCAGACATGCCAACTCCAGAACTACAAGCATTCTGTAAAGACGAAAACATTCATATGTTACGTTTAACAGTGGATCGAATGAAAGAAGATAACATTCCTCTCAGTTACAACAAGACCATCTTGGCATTACAGGCAAGTCATGAATGACTTTCCAGAATAAGAATATAAACTCATCTTTTTTTTTTTTTTTTTTTTTTTAGATCATTATTGACCCAGAAAATCATCCGTTATATATCCATTGCTTAGATGGTGCCGACGTTACTGGTTTGGTTATCGCTTGTCTACGAAAATTACAAATGTGGAGTTTGTCAAGTGCACTATTGGAATTCTCAAGGTAAAAAAAAAAAAAAAAGAAATGTTATTAATTGGTCGCTCATATATATATATATATATATATAGGAATTTACATACCAGTGTGATTAGCTCTGAAGAATCCGAATTTGTGGAACATTTCAAGAACTTTGAAGTCACTATTCCAGTATCAATTCGATCATGGTTATGGGGTGGCAAGGTCAACTTTAGAAGACATTCAAGTCTACGACTCAAGTTTTTAAATCCGGAAATGATGACAGATGAAGAAAGGGAACTTAAACAAAAGGAAAAAAGAAAAGAAAAGGAAAAGGAAGATTTTTACAAGAAAAGGAAAAATGGTAACTATTCAAAAAAAAAAAAAAAAAAAAATAGAATTGATTTTAACCCCTCTATCTTTAGATTTGTTGGATAATTTGTTCGATTCACCCAGTTCAGGTAGTTCAAGAAGTCATCATCGTGCTAATTCTATTTATACTTCCAGTGCAGCCAACAGCAATAATACCAGTAATAGCAGCATTAACAACAATACCAATAACGAGAATAATAATTCGACCCATTTGATGAACAAATCCAGTCATAGTAGTAATAACAGCAGTACTAGTAGTCTTAGTCTTGTTGCTATTGGATCACACAATAACTCGGCGCCAGGTAGTGGGACAGGAACAAGCAAAGTAGGCTCCCCTTGTATTTTATCAGAGGATACTTCAAAACGATCTCCCAAGGTAACCATGACAAACGACAAGGATGAAAGTCGGGAGAACAACGATGATCTGGTTGGTAGACGACAACAAAGACGCAACAAATCCAGCAATGACCAATACTTGGTGGACGTCGATGTGGATATTGAAGGTGTGATGATGGATGGGTTGGATCAAGTATACTCAGGTTACTATGACAATGACAATTCGGATGGTTTGATGGTCGATGATCTTGGTATCATGTACGATGATAATTCTACTTCAAGATATATGGAACCCATCAGCAAAACGTTGGAGGCTCTGGCTTTGGAAGGATTAGATTAGTTTTGTATATATTTTTTTTTGTAATGTAATAATAATAATAAAACATATGTTTTTGATCATATTCTATTTTCTAGTTTATTAATATATATTTGGAGGTTGTGTGTCAAAAATTCCAAGGGTAATGGTAGTGATGATGATTCTATACGACAACTATAAGATAAAAGGATGGAGGAAAGGATATATATATATATATGTATGGATGGGGAATCATTCTACTTGATATTGCATGATCATACCATGAACACCTTGTTCACCATTGAGATAACCAAAATTCCAAATACCTTGATCATGAGGAGTAAAAAGCACGGTTCGAAAGGAGGCTGGTAACAGACGTAGATGAGTGATGGATTTTCCGTACAATTCAACCTGGCCATTTTCCCAACGTAAATCCTGAATATCCAAGAAAGAACCCCAAGCCAATAGATGCCATGTCACTGTTTGTCCACGTCGAAATACCATAGATCGATCCAGCATCAAGCCATTGATCATCTGTTTCACATTTGATAAATAAAACGGAGTGGGATCCCCTGTCATCTTGTCAATCGATTGTTGATCTAATCTATCAATACGTTGATCCATTGTCTTTTTCATGTAAGGTGAAAGGTTTTCATCACTTCCAAACACAGTTGTTACCACTTCGTTGTCGGATAAATCAGGAGTCCAATGACCGTGTCGATAAATGATGATGGCTCCATACAGTCCAGCAAAAATATCGTATTCTGTCATGTGTGAATGGTAACCCCATACTAAGGAATGACCATCGTTCGGTCCAGGGCCAGCACGAGGATGTACTTGCCAGATATACGTATGACGACCACCAGGATGAATAAATGAATCATTTGTTGTACCTTTGTAAACCGCTCCTTCCATTTCAAATTCATAAAAGACACCCTGTAAAGAAGTAAAGTCATCAATATCAATCTATTTTATCAATGAATTTTGTTCTCTTTACGTGAGGATGCATTGTAAAATTGTATTGAGCCCGGTTCCAAACATGAATCACTAAAGTATCACCAACTTCAGCTCGGAATATAGGACCCATACCTCCATGCCAAGGTTTGACTTGTTTCAATTCAGAATAACTATCATCGGTATATTCTCTATATTGTGCCTTGTAATATTGTGTTCCTATACTGGTAGGTGCTGTCAAAAAAAAAAAAAAGTTCAGTGGGAAGGATGAATCCAAATATATAACTTTACTTTGAAACATGTACAAATGAGCAGGTGATTCTTCTAAGGAAGTGTTATGTACATGATCTTTGCCACTTGGTGCATAATCCCATATTACTTCATCAATAGCCACATAATAAGTACGATTTACACCATCAAGAGGATATTGAATCTCTTTGGCAAGTTGATCAAACTGGTCAATAAATCCTTGTTCTTGACAGTAATAGGAAGAGATTGAAATGAAAACAAGGTATATGATAAATGTAAGTGAAAACGTCATGACAGCATAATAAAAAACGGAAGAAAAAAAGTGGGAGAGAAAACAGAATGTAATGTAAAGAAAAAAGAAAAAAAAATCAGGCGGTTTTATTTCCAAAAAAAAAAAAAAAAAAAAAAGCTTGACAACGGAGTCAATTTTTTTTTTTCTTTCTGGAGCCACTTTGGATCTAAAAATACATATTTCGAAAGAAAAAGTTTGAAGATGATTTTTATTAGATACAATTTTGATAATAATGAATATGTGCTATACAAAAAAGAATTTCATCAACCAAAAAAAAAAAAAAAAAAAATCACTATAGTACTCTATCAATTCAAAAAAAAAAAAAAAATTCCCTCCTTAAAAAAAAAAAAATGATATCTATCAATGTTGTGTGGGTCGAGTATATGGTTGGGATATGGAGGATGTTGGTCGATGATGAAAATCCGAAAATGCTAAAGTTGTGTTACCAACACGTTTCCGAGGATCCCTTTTCGAATTGGTTGTATGAATGAGTGTTTGTTGGTTGGTTGAACAGGATGATTCTTGTTGTTGTTCCTGACGTTCTTGTTCCTTTTGTTGTTGTTGATCTTCCAAAATCAAATCCCTTTCAGAAATTAACTTTTGCATAGAGTCATGTGTTTGTAAAAGAAGAGCATTTCTTTGAAGTAAGTGTTTCAATCGCATTCTATACAAAGCTCCATCCAGAGGTTTCTATCAAATATAAAATAATTCATTAATACAAAAAAAAAAAAATCACTATATAAAAACTAGTCAATTGGATCCATTTTCCCACCCATGTATGTTTATATTATTTACCTGGATAGCTTGTTGATAACTTGATTTATCCTGGGTATATTCTTCTAATGTATCTTGCTTAGAAGTGGTGTCTTCTGTTGTTATCTCTTCCGTTTGCATTACAAATTCCATAGCTTGCATGAATAATTGTTTGTTTTGTCGAACATATTGCTTACCAGTGATGAGTCTATGATGATCCATCATCGGTCGATCTGCTGGTAATAAGGAAGGATCTACTGATTGCCTACATCGACTGTGTAGTTGAATAAGTTCGTCGGCTTGTTTCTGTATTAAACGTGCAAGGACTCGTTGATGACGTTCTTTACACATACGTCGACGATGTTTGTAGATCTTGAGTGAATTGGGAGGTGTATCTGCTGGTATAAAGAAATTGTCGTCACTATATTAAGACAAACAGAAAAAAAATAAAACTTTATTAGTCTTTGAATTAAAAAAAAACAATAAGATGAATACTTTTTAAGTTCTTCTTGTTCCAGCCAAAAAAGTACTTGAGGGGATAAAATATCTTTATTCATCAAGTGGAAACCAAAAAAAAAAAAAAAAAGTAAAACTGCAGGAAGAATACAAAGGCGATACAAACCTGGAATAATCATAATAAAAAAAAAAAAAAGACGGGATTCCAAATTTATACAACCATATATATTTTCAAATTGAATTGAGACAACATAAAATAAAAATAAAAAAGAAAAATGTCTATATTATTATTATAGTATACAAAATAAAAAAAAAGAGAAAGTCAACACTAAAATCTATAATGATGGTGATAATGATTGAGAGGAAATATCCACATGCCAGCCTTTCATACGACGAATCCATTTCTTGCCCACGGGTTTCTTCGGTCGAATTGTCTTTTGATCTTCAACATTCCACGAACTAGGGTCACTGACGGCTGCCGCAAATGTTGGAGGAGACATGTTACCACGGAGAGAACGAAATGGCTTATTTGATGATTGAATTAACCAAGTATTTGATCCATTTACCATTTCTTCTATCAAGCTGGTACGTGTAGGAGGATCTTCTGGTGCCGATGCCATGGGTTCTTCCATCTTGACCTTTTCCTTTGACGTTTCTTTCTTCTCATCCTTGATTTTCTGTATCTTTGTTACAGGTAAGATTGTTGGTGGTAATGTTTGATTCTTCGATACAGTCACTGTTTCATTGTTGTTGTTTTCCATGTCGTTTGCTGTTCGTTTTATTCCATGAGTATCCTTTTCCTTTGATTTGGTTTCCACATTCATATTGGGTATCGATGATTTGTCTGATGAATAGAAAAGCATATAAGCTTGTTGAGATAACACTTCTTTCAAAGAAACAGGAGTGACCTAATAAAAAAAAAATAAGTATCGATAGTTATTTTATTCTTCTTTCATTTTACCTCTTCATCATCCATGCGAAACCATTTTCCATCAGGAGCCTTGACATAAGCAAAATAATGACCAGAATCACATCCATAACCCAAATGAACCAAGACAGCATATAGATGATACATAGCAGTAGAACACTTGATCTCTTTACTAACATAAGGAGACATATCCAAACGTTCAGTATATTTGATATCCTTGGTCACTTTCCTCATGTAGCCACGCATCATATCAAAAGTAAATCGTTTCAAATGGACACAAAGCATAGATGGTAATTGATGTATAGTCATTTGTTTCCCAGCATTCACTTTTTGTTTACAGCTTTCAAAAAAAAAAAAAAAAGAAAGAGATAAGCATTCATTCTTTTAATTTCATTAACATTTTACTTACGAATCACATCTATATTTGGTATCTGGGTCATTTCCACCAATCATGTCGACTTTAATAAAGTTTTCCAATGCACGTTGAACTGAGTCCGCTTGTTGTAAATCCACACTTAGATCCAAAAAGTTATCAAAAGTATTCGACTTTGCATTGCAACTATAACATCGTAATTGTGATTGAAGTTGACCACCAAAGATTTGATATATAAAGGCAGATCGTTCCATTTTTGCATCCAATTTTCTATATAAATATACAAGATCAGCTTATGTCTTTTTTTTTTCTCTCTTTAATCACTATGTTACTTACCCATAACTTTGAACAGTACATTTATGCATAGAATCCAATAAGAACATCATAAATTCATGTGCATCTTCTTGACGACCAAGTCGTAGTGTTTGAGAGAAGGCTAAAAATAAAATAAAAATAAATCATGATCATGGGGTTCAACACAGATTCAAATACACCTCTAATGTTGAATTATGTTCATTTTTTTTCTTGTTTTGAAGGTTTTTTACCTCGTAAGTTACTTGTAAAAGCTCTTGGAAGAATGGTTGCACCTTTAGTTAAACTTTTTGGTTCCTTCAAACATCGATGAATATGGTCATCCATAGCACACATAGAACAAAATCTTTTCGATGTACCTATAAAATATGTATCATCAGTTATAATTTCTTTCATCTTTCCTTAAAAAATTAACCCTTTTTTTGTTATTCTTTTTAACTTACAATGCTTACGATGTCCTTGGTATAAGAAATATTGAGCCAAAGGTGGAGTATATGTCAAGCATTCCAATACCGAGTTCAAAAAGCAAGTGTTTTGACCATTCACAAAACCTGGACCAATAGTACGTCCTTGTTTCCAACGTGGTATCAGTTTCGACCGGTCAAAAAGAGGGCCTTTGGGTAACGGTAATAACTTGATAGATTGTTGTTGTTGTTGGCCATGCTTTTGATGATTAAATCGATGATGTACTTTGTTGCCATTATGAAGTGATTGGTTGTTGTTGTGATGTCGGTTTTTATGGTTGATTTGAGACTTGAAGTTACCCTTGTTCCGGTTATGATGTTGAAATGGTCTATTCTCTCTTGCTAATCGTTTTTGTTTTTGAGACCGAGACATGATAAACAACAATGACTATAAACGAACGAAGGGTTAAAAAAGAAACAAAAAAAAAAAAAAAAAAAAAGGACAGGAGTGACAAGTGAAGAAAAAAAATTGGGAAAATGAAAAAAAAAAAAAATAGGGAAAAGCCACTCTGTTTTCTTCCTGCAATTTCGATAAGTAACCAATCGTTATGATTTATTGTAACCCCGCTAACGTTTTTCTAGTTTCTTTGACAACGTTTGCTCCAAATACGAAGAAACACGTTTATATCATTCAAATGAATATTCTTTCTAACTTTTCAAAATACAAATAAAGTTAAATAATAAATAAATTCAACTATAAAATCTGATAAAGTAATATCAAAAATAAAATAAAGCATACAAATATAAAATAATGGCAAGATGAGTATCTGTTAGGTCACCGAACTTTTTTTTTTTTTGATATCCATAATACTAAGTACGTTTCTTTATTTGAAGTTACGTATATAAAACTAATTTTTATTCAATAATCAATAACACTATCTACACAATACGTTCTAATTCTCTTGCATATGCCAGGGTACGAGTAATGATTTGTTCTTGAGGGATTTCTACAGCATCCTTGTCATCAGCTACGAATTGAACCATGTGTTCTGCAGGATTGACCTTCCATCCACGTTCATTTGCAAAATCCAATAATTCTTGAGTGTTTTTCAAAAACAGTAAAGTTCCAGCATCTTGTAAAGGAAGAGAATCGTAAGCCTTTTCACTACAGCTAGCAATTTCGTTTCTAAATAGTGGAAAAGAAATTAAAAAATGATATCCCAACTGACCCCCCACTCTTTATATATATATATATATATATATATATATATGTATCACTTACCGAATGGTATTGATCAAGATATCATAAAAGAACATGAATTCTTCCCCTTGAACCGTGCTTCTTGTACTCCAGACTTTATTGTAACTACCTTCCATTAAGAATTGCTCTAGAATCAAAAAAAAAAAAAATCAATCCATCCATTTTTTTTTCAAATCTTTTCATATTCATCCCCTACCTAAATCTACAGCTTGTTTGATATATTGATTTGATTGTAGTTGTTCAGAATCGATGGTTTCCAATGATGTATGAAAGTCTGATAGGCGATTCTGTGATAAAAGACGAAGTAAATTGAGTCCAATCAAAGGATACATTTGAGGTGAAGGAGGAAGTGCCGATCTATATATTATATGATAAATATAAAAACATCAATATATATATATATAATCCAAAGTAGATAACTTACGCAAGATCATGATAATAAGGATGAAGTTGAGCAATATATCGTTCAAAAGAGGCAATGTCCTTTACACGAACACTATGATAAGCACCCATTTCAAGAATATCCCCTATAAAAAAAATATAGAACAAAATTAATCAATACGTATTATTTCATAAATCATTACTATCTTAAACATACTTGCTACTACCAAAGCATTGGGGTCCATTTGTTGTGCTGTAGGTGTATACGCACCAAGTTGAATCATGGCAATCTAAGATAAAATAATAATAACAGAAATCAGAATACAAACATATGTATTGATATTTTGATACATCATAATGATATTAAAAAAAAGCTTTTTACCTTTGACTGAACTAAAAGTTGGTTACATTTTTGAAGATTAGGAGAAGATGAGTGTAATTCTGCTTTAAGTTGATCACGAAGTGCTGATAAATTTTGAGACATTATATATAGGTTGAAATAGAGAAAAGAAAAAAGAAAAAGAGAAAAGAAAAAGACGACAAAGGGAAAAAAAAAAAAAAAAAAGAAAGAAAGGTACGCGTGGCACCAAGAAGGTTGGAAAAAATAAATTGGTTCACCCCCCGCTACTCCCAAAAACTCGAGTGACATCCAAAAGTCACCCAACTTTTGCTTTCTTTTTTTTCAAATACCGCATGTTAGAAGCGAATGATGATGGAAGACTATGTGATGATTGACATGATGGAAAGTTGATATATATATAGGATGATGGAATGATAGATGGGGATATGTGATGTTGGATAATGCGTGTTCTTTGGTACATGGTAGACTGGATGTTCTTCAATAGCAATCCTTTCAAACAGTGTAAAATACGTAATGAATGCAATCTTTTTTTTTTTATTCCAATTTGCGTAATAATAATAGTCATAAAAAAAACACAAATAAGAACAATCATAAATAATAAAAAAGAATAATCATAACAAGAATTCCTATTTGATCATAATACTAAACTATCTATCTTGCATTGTGTATCTAACTATCTAAAATAGGCAGGCGGTGCTTCCGAACCACTATATTCATGTTGATGATCATGATGTTCTTGTTGTTGTTGTTGTTCCAATATTTGTTGAGAATAAGCTGGCAAATGAGGGGCTGCAGGTTCACTTGAAGTTGGTGGTGAATCATCTAAAGAAGATCTTGGTGATGGTATAGAGGTATCATTGAGTATTGTTGGTGAGACACTGGTAGGTGACGAAGGTGACAATAACATATTGGAAGTACTAGAGGTTATGCTGGTAAAGTTGTTCATAGAAGAAGTAGTAGATGAAGATGATAAGGGCGGTAAAGAAGGATGTACCATACCATTTCCACGAGCATTTGCAGAATATTCCGGTAAAACTCCATTTCTTTCCACATTGGCTACATTCGATGGCGTCACTTCTAATGCATCATCCACTGTGACCCGTCCACTTGTTTCTGCTGCTGCTGCCATGATTGCTGCATTAGATCCCATTCGTAACATTGATATTTCACGATCCAAGTTGATATTTTCCAAACATCCATTTTGTCGAAGTAAATCCTCTAACACGATAATTTGTTGATCAATCCATTCAATCGATTTTTGTTCATGATGATATTTGGTCATAGCAAGTTGGCCTTGTAGTTTGTTCAATCGTGGGTTGAGTTGAGTGCGTAAAATAGTTTCTATTTTCAATCTGTAACCGCGATAAGCTGTCAATACATTAACCACATTGTCATCTAATAAAAAAAAAAAATCAAAGAAAGCTGAGTACTTTTTTTTTTTCCTTCCATATCTACTAAATTGATTTTTTTTTCTAGATATCTTACCTCTACTAAAGGTTGAGCTCGGAATCAAAGGGACATCTTTACACAAGTTGGATGCTTGAAGTTCCAATTCATAAGCTTCTGAAGCTAGTTTTTCTGCATCTATGGTAAAAAAAAAAAATAGATATTATCAAAATGAATACAGAGTTTTACCTTTTTTCCTAGATTTGCAAATATATTAATCTTGATTTGATATTATATATATATACCTTTCAAAGATGGAACAGTAATATCCACCATGGTAGATAAAACAGATGACTTGACAAATAAAGAGTGATGACCTGAAGCACCATGACCAGCTAATGCTTGCCTATCCAGAAAAGTAGATGCTCCAGGTAAAGTCATCATGGCCTTTTCCATTAATTCCCTTGATTCGTAGAGTTTCTTCTGGGCTTTTGAATATGACTTGATATCGTTTTCAATCTACAATTATTAAAATAAAATATTCAGTAAAAATCATGATAATAAAATAATGGTATATAGTTTCATCATACTCTTGGAATGTCGTAAGCCAACTGTAGTACTTCGTTTTTAAGATGTTGTTCAATAATATGAGATGGATCATTCGGTGATGCAGGGACAATCTATAGGAATATTACAAGTCAGATTTTCAAAGATAAGGCAATACAAGAACAAATAGTTTACCTGGTCATATAAGGTATGTAAGCTTGAGCAGTGGGTATCCAGAGTATTCTTATTTGCATACAAGTCTTGAAGCTATCAATAATAGTCATGGAAAAATATTATATATAATATTAATATAAAAAGATAAACCATGTTGCATAATATTAAACATAACCATACAACTCAAAGTTTCTCATCGTTTTTTTTTTTTCCTTACCATAGTTTCTGCAGAATTCATTTGTTTTTTAATGTCTTCCAGTTTTACTTCACAACGTCGTAATCGTTCAACCAAATCAGTATAGGAAGGTTCGTTCTTTGTGTCATTATTGGAAGAAGTGGAGTTTCGCCTTAACATCATGAGAGTAGAAGAAGCATCCTGCTTCTTGCGGTATTCTAATCTATTAAAAAGAAAAATGAGTATCAATATCCATAAACCTATAGACTATTACCCTTACATTTGTTTTTGTAATAAACTTTGCATATGAACTTCTCGTTCATGTCTTTGTTTGAGACCATCATAGTATTTTGATTGAACTGGTAAAGATTCGCGCACCCATTGTAAATTAGTAATTTCTTTCAACAAGTGAATGAATTGTTCTTGAGGTTCGTCTATAAAAGGGATAGTTCCATTAGAAGAGTGAACAGCTGCCATTCTTATTTCTTTATGGATATATCAAAAATAGCAATAATAATAATAGAATAATAGTGATAAAAATAAAAGAGAGAAAAAAAAAAAAAAGAGAAGCAGGAAAAGGAGTAAAGAGTTTTCATTTTTGGAGCGGGAAAAAAAAAAAAAAAAAACTAGCGATAATCATGGGATTCTGAGTGACGCTCTCCTTTTAAGACTTAGATTACTGATCTTTTTATTTTCATCCAACTGATCATTCATAAAAAAAAAAAAAAAGAAATGTATATAAAGAACTATGAATATTTTATATAATCATCATTAACCTAATGAATTATATCATTGTTTTTCTTATTGTCTACTTTCTAATGCTAGTAAATGCTATGGATACAACACTTCCATGGTCACCTTCAGATAATCTTCAAAGTGTTTTACCTTCTGCTCTTCCATCTCCTTCTCCTAAGGCTTCTGGTGTTCAAGGATTACTCGGTGATTTTGGTAAAGCCAAACTTGGATATGATGCCTATAAAGTAGCTAAAACTCAAGTCGAACATGCTAAAAGCGCAATTCATCATTGAATTCTCCGTGTTCCCCCCTCATACTTCTGAGAATCTAGATGTACATGTTGCACTAACAATCATTGCATAACTTTTTTTTTTCTTAAAGATTGGTATCACAAATAAAACACTTTTTGTTTAAAAATCATAGAATATTTTTCTATAGACATTCCTAAATGTCTACAAAAAAAAAAAAAAAAAAAAGATTTCATTGAATCAGTAAGTTACATCTGTAACATTATTTCCAAAGATATATATATATATATATCAAGGTATAAATGATGGTGGTACATGTACAGAACGCCAAGAAGCATGATTATGTATTTTGATGATAACGATTCAAATAGTAATCCCTATCATTTTCCATGATGATTATAGTATTGATAAAACTGATAATAAATGTAATGGCAGTAATTCTAATACTAAGTATGAGAGAAAAATAATGTCTTTATTAAAAAAAAATAATAATAATAACTAAACTAACACGAATATTGATAAAGAAAAAAAAATAATAATCATAACATAAGGCAGATGAAAGATAAACCAAGCAAACCTATAAAAGTACTATCCAATTGTCATTATCACGTTGTTGCATCCTATCAAACTGTATTTTGTGTATCCACTCCGTTGATCCTGGTGCATAAACGTGTCCAATAAAAAAAAAAAAAAGGGGGGAGCTGTTGCATAATCCTTCCACTTGATCCTATTGAATATTCATCGAGTTCTGTTCACATACAGTAAATAAAAAGGGAGTATTCATCTGGATAAAAGACAAAGAGGGGACATATACATATCAGTACTGAAAACAAAATAAAAAAAAGGAAGACGCATTGTATTCATTGTCTTTTCACTAGGAATCCTAAGAGGGAACGTCCTCGCTAAGAAAGAAAGAAGAAAAAAAAAAGAATGTAAAAAGTATATTAGAATGATATTCAATTCAGTATTTTATAGTTTGTTTTTACTTTTTTATGAGATTCCTAAGGGACGTGTCCGAAGAGTACCGATAAAGGTCATTACATCCATATACGATAAACCATGTAATTGTATAAAGAGAGAGAGAAAACAAGTGACAGGGATATCTGAAAGAGTGTGTGTGGAAATGGTATAGAACGAAAACAAAAAACAAAAAAAAAAAAAAAAAAAAAAAAAAAAGAAAGAAAGAAAGAAAAGAAAGAAAGAAAGAAAAGAAGGTCTGAAGGAAACTACACAACATTTTTTTTTTTTTATTTCCAGCATAGGGTTTACCATTGGTTGGATTCTTTTTCTTTTTTATTTACTGTTATGAAGAGGAGGATAGTTTAATAAAAGTCCGTCAAGGCATCATAGCTTGGATGATGGACTTCTTTTTTTTTTTTTTTTTATGTAGTGATCATCCATCATTATCAAAATAAAATAAGAGAAGTAAAGGAAGTTTATTGATTTGTTTCTACTAAGTTTCTGTTTATAAATACAAAATAGTGGATATGTTTATGAAGCTATGGTAGGAGGATTTTCCATGTATAATGAACTAATACGTTTACCAGCGGTGAGAGTAGGTTGATCAGAGACAGCTAAGGAATGGGATGATGGATTGGCTTGTTCTTGTTCAGGGGTCACACAATGCTTGGGGAAGACACCTCTGGTTTGTCCTCTTGTCAGATTGATACCAAGGCACCATCCATCATCATATTCTTCAAAGATTTGAACTTGATCATTGGGTTGTACATCTATTTCATCACTTAAAGTAGGTGTGTAAGTAGTTAACACTGTAAAGGTACCAATAGGTGGTTGTTGCCAAATATCACCAGGTTGTTGTTGTTGTTGTTGATCAGTGTTACCAGATGTAGCAATACCGGCAGCAACAGCAGTAGTAGCAGCAGCAGCAGTAGCAGTAGCAGTAGCAATAGGAGCAATGGTATTATCGATAGTTGATGGAACATTGGCCATTGTTGCAGGTGCATTTGAAGAAGACATAGGTGGTGTACTAATCATATTGGGTGCAGTAATAGGATAGGTGGATGGAGTTTGATAATGATAAGATGAAGGCGGTTGTTGAACTGATGATTGTTGTTGTTGTTGTTGTTGTTGATGTGCTGATCCAGCAGCAGTAGAATCGTTATAGCTAGATGATGAATTGTAGTTGGAAGTAAAAGCCATGGGAGCAGGTGGTGGAGGAAATGTACTAAAACCTTCATTATAAGGATCACGCATGGCACCAGCACCAGCACGAGCAGTGATTCTTTTTTGACGACGACGGCGCATGATGAAGAAAGCAGCAATACCACCAATGACAATAATGATCACAGCAACAATGGCACCAATAGCACCACCAGATATTCCTGAATTACTATCGGCAGCAGATGATGAACTAGGACTGATGGTTGGTGTAACACTTGAGGCAGAAGAAGAAGAGTTGTCTGTTGGAATGGGTGGCAAACTTGCTGAAGTAGCTGATGATGTTAAAGAAAAGGATGAAGAAGAAAGATTGTTGCTACTGGATGATGCTGATGAAGCTGATGACGCTGAAGAAGAAGCACTACTGGCAGGAGAGGTTGGTGTTTGTTTTGCCGTACCTGCAGGAAAAGAAGTCTTTTGTGTAGGATTATTGGCAAATCCTCCATTGGGGTTGGATGATGGATCAACAGCTAAATAAATAAATAGTATAGTTTAGTTTAATTTTTGTTTGAATGATGATTTAAAATATATTTACCTCTTTTCATCCAATCATCATGTTGATTTGAAGATGATGATATAAAAAGAGTATGGAAAAAAGATGACAAATTGATCATTTATTTTCTACTACTACTACTACTAATACTACTATTAGAAAAAAAAAAAACTTAACATGATGAATATTAGATCATAAGTTAGTTTTCATCATATTTTAATTTATTCTTTACCTATTACTATTCGTTTTTTTAAAATAAAGAGGAAAAAAAAAAAAAAGAAAAAGGAGAAAAAGGGAAAAGAAATTCTTTCATTTTCAAAAAGTATATGTATCACTGTGTAACATCAATATATTGGATCTGACTTTTGAATGAACGTGCTTCTTCCAACAAAAAAAAAACCATTCATATGTATTTGATATATATATTTATATATAGGATCATTATATATATATAACATCAATGCTTCTTTTTTTTTACTTTTTTTTTCTTTTCTTTTTCTTTGTTCTTAATCATTGTCATTTTCTTCCTTTTATATCTATATTTAAAAAAAAAAATAACAAAAAAACCATATCGGTAATCATGACGATGCTTTTGAATTCCGCCATATTAGGTTCTTAAGTTCAACTATAAAGTGTACAATACAGATTGTGGTCTTACCTAACGAAATATGAATCTATTATTTTCATTTTTTAATGATGATAACTAAATATTTTCTCTTTTCTTTCTTTCTGTCTTTTTTTTTTTTTTTTTTTTTTTTGTTCGAACTACCCAAAATACATTGTTTGAACTCCGTGATGATTAATTCCTTCCAATTTCTTTCACACTGAAAATAGATCAATCATATCTATTTTTGAGTTGTTGATCATCGTATTACTCTATAAATATCAATGATTTGAACTAAAAAAAAATATGTCCAAACTTTTAGATTGTAAGGGTCCTTTGTCTTACTGCACTCTTTTATACGAAAAAGGCATCGATATTGATGCCTATTTTTTAATTTACTCTATAAATGTAACGATCATCTATAAATGGCATAAGGTAAAATGAAAGAAAATGATTTCTTTTATGTTATGGTGAAATTTGGTGTGATGATGATGATGACTGAGTGAGAAAGAGAAAAGTGAAATTTGTTCCCATTATGCAGGATGAAAAATGGAATGAACCTTTTTTTTTTTTTGATTTTGCAGCCAGAAGTTGGAATTCCTCAGTCAAATTTCGATTGTAAAAAAAATCAGTTATCATGCGATTTTTTTTTTTTTTTTGAAAAATAGATGAAATTTTTTGACACTGATTACAAACTAAATGGAGATATAAGCGATAAAATGTTGTTAGATGATGTTAGACTATCTTTTTTTTTTCGAGAGGAATCTAATGACATAGTTTTATTGGATGATGATCGTTATTGGATAAGAGATGAGTATTTTTATTTTCATTTTTTAATTTTTATTCTATAAATTGGAAGGTAAAGTATAAAGTATTATTAATCCAAATGGAAGAGAATGTCTTCATTTATGTACTTTATATATTTGGTGCGATGATGATGACTTTTGAGCGAACTGTGAAAGTGTAAAGAAGTACATATCCACTCCACATGATGTTACAGCGTAAAGACAATGGTTCGAATTCTTAATGAAAAACTCAAAAGAGAATTGGTGAAGTTACCAAAAAAAAAAAAAAAAGTGTCTAGATGAATCAACCAAAGGGGATGAATGCGACTTTGAAAACCTCCACGAATTAGTGTCCCTAAATTTACAAGTTTTTGCTGATCCTCGGTACCGGTGTTTAAAAATAGACACTTAGCTAAGTTTTTTCTAATCTCTTGTTCTTCCTCCTTTCTTTTTCCTTCAAGTCACTTTTTCAAGTATGGATATAAGGTAATAAAGATGACAGCTAATAAGAAATAAATTTAAAACGGGTATATTAAATGAAAGTTTTTATGTTCTTTATTTTTTTTTTTCATGATTGCTTTCGATAATAGGCTAGGCTCATTGAAGGATCAGCAAGGTAAAATATCACTCAATGGAGCATCTCGACTGGCTGCTTCAGATTACGAAAGAACTGGTAAGACATTGAAAAGGATAAAAAAAAAAAACATGAAATATTCATTTGATCTATCTCTCTATTAGACAGTGATATTGAACAAGGGAAATCAAGTACAGAATTAGAGGACGACGAACAAAATGCTCCAGATGTTCATGCACGTTTATTACATACAACACAACCTCAACAAGAACAAGGACAACAACAACAACAGGAACAACAGGAGCAACAACGATGGTGGCAACCTGCTACTCCTGCTTATGATACCACAGACTCTTCTTCATTATCCTGGAAGAATAGGATCTTTAAAGAAGCACGTCAACTTTATCGACATATACGACAACTAGATAGACGACAAATTATGGAATATGCAATTCGATGGCGTTGGGTACTTTTATTTTTTGGATTCTCTTTTATTATGGGAGCAATTATGTATCATTGGCGAAGTGAACTTATGAATGCATTAGAAACTCTCAGCAATTCAGTTAGAGACATGGGACCAAGGTAGTAAAAAAAAAAAAAAAAAAAAAAAAAAAAAAAAAAAAAAAAAAAAAAGATAGTATATTCTTTGTACAAAAGTCTTGGCTTTAACATTGTTTTTTTTCTTTCTTTTGTTCATTATGAATGATCATTAGTGGATACCTTTTGATTTCATTCCTTATCTTCCTAAGTGCATTCCCTCCTATGATTGGCTACGGTACTTTCCAAACTCTATCTGGATTCACATTTGGTTTTGCCAAGGGATTCCCTATATCCTATTTCAGTGCTTTATTTGGTGCCATTGTTTGTTTTATGCTGTCAAGACGTTGGTTAAAAAAACGAGTGCAATATACCATGGCCAAATATCCAAATCTGGAAGCAGTGGTGAAGGCTGTAGAGAAAAAGGGTTTCAAGGTAAATAAATATTAGAAACAAAAGTATTATCAATTATATATATATATTTTTTTTCTCACTCACTTTCTATTTAACTTGCATAAATGTTTAGTTATTTGTATTGATTAGATTATCACCTTATCCATTCAATTTACTGGTAAGACAATAAGAATAAAAAAAAAAAAAAAGAAAGGGTAATCTTTGTTAGAGGTACGGATGACAAAGGTGAATTTCTAATTTTTTTTTTATTTTTGTTATTAGAACGTATTATTTGCCTCAACAGATATCCCATTATCTCATTTTGCTTTGGGTACAGCATTATCTTTGATCAAGATTGCATTACATGTGTATGTGGGCGCCAACCTTACGTCATTTGCCAAACATGTTCTAGGGGAAGATGACGACATGCCAGAAAGTGAAAAACAAGCAGAAACGGTTAGGGAAATTGCTGTAGTGATTGGCTCTGTGCTTGCTACAGGTGTAATGATCTACGTATATTTGGTTGCCAAGCGTGCGGTGGAAGAAGTACAGCGTGAAAACGAAGAATCTGTTGCGTTCTTAGGTGGTAGTGCAAACATAGGTGGTGAATCCTCATATGAAGAAGAAAATCAAATTGCAATGGAAGAAGCTGGACTCACTGATGATTGGATTGAATGGAACGGAAGTGATGATGATGATGATGATAATTCAATACAACCTAATCATCCTTCTGGTGGGAATTTATAGGATGAACACCCTTATTATTCTGTTTATTTTATTATTATTTTTTTTATTTTCATCGTGCATCTTGTATTTATTTATTTAGTTTTTTATGTAGTTTGTACTTCAATACAGCTTTATTATTTTACTTTTATCCATGTGAATAAACTTCTTCAAAACTTATAAAATATATGAATACCATTGATCGATGAAAAATGAAAAAAATAGTGTAATACTTCGGATATTCAAAACCTAGAGGATGAACCCGCTTATCATTCCCATGATACAATATAAACTTTTAGTTTTCAGCGCTGCAATCAAAAATATATACCAAAATGGAGCATTGGGAATGAAACAAAGACAACTAATGCGGAGTTGCATTGTTACATTTGTACCTATCATATTAATGTATCCCTGGTAAAAAAAAAGACTGATAACGGATGATGATTAACAGAGTTCCTTTATTGTTCAGGGTCGTGCGAAAAAAAACAGAAATATTTTATATCTTCTATGTAGAAATGAATGAATTTCTACTTGGTTTCATTCTTTTCAAGGGCTTATAACAAAACTTTTGAAAAAAGAAAAAAGAAAAAGATCTACATCAATGGCGTATCTTCAAAAGATCATAATAATAAATATGCAAAGTAGGCAGGTGGATTTACCTTTTATAATATATTTTCCAGTTCCACTGCTTCTAACCGCAACCTGCTTCAAAATGGAAATTTAACTTTACCATTGACGGTTTCATTTTCCGTAGAAAAAAGAAAAAAAAAATCCCTCTATTCCCAATGTCCCTTACCAGCACCGCCCCACATTACCGCTCTAGTTATAATGTTTATGGTTCCTTTTCAATGACCGCTGTGTAACCTGCAGGTTTTCAGAATAAAAATGATCCTCAAATTTCCTTTTCTCTTTCTCTCTTCCTTTTTTTTTTTTTATTATTATTAATTTAATATAATAATATGAAGGTGTTTTCATTTTCAGCCATTTCTCTTGGTATCCTAGCAGCAAGTCAATTGGTTGATGCTGAAGTTATTCATACAAAAGTGGCCATTCTTGGTGGTAAGTTATTTAAAAGGTGACAATAATGATTTACTATATTAATATTTCATTCTTTTCAAAATAGGTGGCGTATCTGGTATAAGTGCTGCACTTAATTTAACCTTGAATGGCATGGATGATTTTGTGATGGTAGAAGCCAGAGATGTCCTAGGAGGTAACTAGTGAAGAAATAAAATAAATAAATAAAATAAAATAACTAGTGAAGAAATAAAATAAATAAATAAATAAAATAAAATAAATGATGGATGATTGATTTTTTTTCTTATTGTTTTATTAAGGTCGCGCTCAAAATGTCAAGCTTGGTAACACCACTATTGAATTAGGTTGTAATTGGGTCCAAGGTCTTGGTACAAATCCAATCAATCTACTTCGTCAAAAATATGATCTCAAGACTGCCGTTACTGATTATGGAGATTTGACTTTTATTGATGAAAATGGTAAAAAGGTGAATGCCACAGCCAAGAACAATGAGTAGGTTTTCAAAAAAAAAAAAAAAAAAAAAAAAGCGTCATTATTGCCTTTTTCACTCATACTTGATTTTATTGCAACAATAGATTTAGTGATCGTTATTCTAAATTGGAAGACATGGCTAGTAAGTGAGCACATAGAAAAACATTATATGGAATATATCTGAAAAAAAAAAATGTTAGATAGCTAAACCTCTTCATTCTTTCTTACTATATTGAAATGTTGTAGTTCGTCGTTTAAAGGACAATCAAGTTGATTTTTCTGGTCGTACCGGTATGAGTTTGGCTGGATGGTTCGCAAAGACACCTATGGAAGAAGCTATTGAATACTTTGGTTATGATTGGGAAATGGGAGAAACTCCAGAAGTAAGCAGCTCACTTTTCTCTACTTTGAATGGTTTATCAAGTTATCAAACTGATTTTGGCCCTGATTCGGATGGTGACCTTATGAATATTGATCCACGGTAAGAATCTAAAAAAAAAAAAAAAAAAAAAAAAAAAAAAAAAAGAATTGGACGAATTCTAATATATCAATTTTTTTTTTTAGTGGTTTCCGTTACATCTTTTTGGAAGAAGCTAAACGCGTATTCAAGAAGAATGACAAGCGCTTACATCTCAATACCAAGGTCAAAACAATTGAATATAGCAAGGATAAAGTCACTATTCATACTGATAAGGATACTATTGTTGCTGATTATGCTATCTCTACCTTCTCGTAAGCACAACAACAAAAAAAAAAAATTTAAAAACTTATTTTTTTTTCTTTTTTGTGTATAGAGTTGGTGTTCTTCAACATCGTGATGTCGAATGGAAACCTGAATTACCTGATTGGAAAATGGAAGGAATCTATGGTTTTCATCTTGCTACTTATACCAAGATCTTTATGAATTTCCCTACCCAATTTTGGGATGATACTCAATTCACTTTGTATGGCAATCCTGATAGTCGTGGTCTTTACTCTGTTTGGCAAAACTTGAATGCAAAAGGTTTCTTCCCTCAAGGAACAAAAGATAATATCTTCATGGTGACTGTAACTCAAGATAACTCCTATCGCGTTGAAAGTATGACTGATGATCAAGTTAAAGATGAACTTATGACTGTACTTCGAACAATGTATGGTAAGGATATCCCTGAACCTACTGGTATGATCTTCCCCCGCTGGCATTCCAACCCTCTCTTCCGAGGTTCATATTCTAATTGGCCCATTGGTGAATTGGATCAACATCATGAAAATATGAAAGCTCCACTTCATAATCGTGTCTTCTTTGCTGGTGAAGCCATGTCTAAGAATTATTATGGTTTCCTTCAAGGTGCCTGGATTACTGGAGGTAATGTTGCTGCCACCGTCAATCAATGTATCAAGTCCAAATGTCCCCGAGCTACTTATTACCCTACTCTCTACAATGGTAAAGCTAAAGGATCAATCATCAAGCGTGAAGTTGTAGTTTAGTTTTGCTATAGATAGATATTTAATTATTATTTAGACATTTCTATCATTAATCGTAATTTGAAAAATTTAATAAAACTGACGCGCTATCCGTTTTCTTTTCTTTTTCTTTTCTTTTTTTTTTTTTTTTTTTTTATATTTTCCACTCTTCTTTCTATTTTTATATGCACTAACGTTGCTTTTATGATCTCATGTCCTCAACACCAAAGGAGACAAGGCCTTTGAATTTAGAATCATTGTCCAATTTTGATCGCTCCCCTACTGTTGCCTCTGTCAAACGCCGTTGTCAAAGAGAAGGCAAGTACATAACGTTTATAGATCGTCACTAACTCTTCTGTTCAACTATATTTTTCTTAGGTATTACAACATCACAATCACCTATAAAAGGTAGGACTCCGTTATTATCACGGCAACAACAATCTAATAATGGGTAATAGAATACAATTATTTATTGTTATGAAAGGATATTTTATTTCTTTCTGGTTACTGATCGCTTATTATTTTACTTTGTACATATAGATTAGAATCAAATGATTGGTCTGGTTATCAGATTCATCCTCAACAACTGCAGCAAAAGTTTTTACAACGACTACACAACGAGGAAGTTCAACGGGATCCTGATTTTACACACCAACTTTCTGACTGCATTCCAGCTCGATCTTTTGTCAAGACAACTGCAACTTGTGCATCGACTTCTACTAACAATAACAACCATTGCGCCGATGCCTCTCTACAATCAAACGACTCTTCTATGTTTGGTGATGATATCCCATCAGCTCTTTTGGATGAAGTACTCAATGTGTCCCAGAAGCAACCACCAGCACCAATAGCGATGGATCACGTACAAAATGAAGCAAACATCATGATTGGACACTTACCGCAACAACAACAACAGCAGCAGCAGCAGCAGCTTCAACAAAAACAACACGACGCTAGTAGTATCAATAAGGAAAACTTCAATTATGACGATGATGACGACATGTTTGGAGACGATATTCCGATTGAGGACCTTGAAGAACAACTTGGAATGGGTCGCGATATATCCGTTCCTTCTGGAAGTGGACTACCTACAATCAATCGAGAAGGCCTGGATGCTACGCTTGAAACCAAATTCGAAACCTCTGATTCATGCTCAAATATTAAAGTAGGACATGATTTACACTGATATCACTGTGTGCAATCTATTCATAATCTACACATTTTTCTTTTTTGATTTGATTCTAGGATACAGCAACTGGTCAAAGAAATAACTCTAGATCAAGATATCAACGGTTTATCATTGTTGCTACCCGTTTGAAAGGATACATGGTCGATGATTCTCAACGATTGGAAAGGGTATGAATAGTTAAATAATAATAATAATAATAGATTGATTATCTTATATTCTGGTACTAACTTTTCATAATTGATATAATTGCTTCTAATATAGGAATTACTTCTTGTGGGTGAAGAACATGAACAAGTTACCAAAGCATATTTGAGGCAAGATTGGCTTCATATACGGGTGGCTGAAGGTAAAAGTTTGACCCTCTTCATGGAAAAAAGAAAAAGCTTCTAATCATCCAATCTTTATTTAGGTGACGCTATCAATATTGTTTTCACCAATCGAAATGGTCATACGAAGAATAATTGGATTATCGATAATGAACAAAACTACCTTATTCATCATCCAGATCATCTGATCTCCTGTACAGCTGTGGCCGAAAGTTTTTTTTGTCTACGGAAATCAGTACTTCAAATGACTTCCAAAAGTATCTCTGAAGTTAGCGAACCATTGATCCACGGTGCTATCATACATGAAACTCTCCAATATTGTTTGAAACAGAAAGATTTTACGACGACGGCCATCCAAAATGCCATGAAAACTATTATAAAATCGACCTTGGATCCTTTATATGTAATTGGACAAGATGAAACAACCACATATGAACTTTTGACACCCCACATTACAAGTATACAAACATTCGGATCTATCTATGTTAGGCAATACCCTATACCTGCTGCTACTATCAAGAGGGATATTGGACCATCTGATACGGAATGTTCATCTTTGGCGATCCGTGATATTCTGGATATTGAAGAACACATATGGAGTCCTATTTATGGTTTGAAAGGGATGATTGATGCTACTGTGGAAATGATCTTGGCTCCCAACAACAAGGTGCTGACCTTACCTTTTGAACTCAAAACTGGAAGGGCAAGTAGGCTCATTAGTCATCGTGCTCAAACTATTTTATATACATTATTGTTAGGTGATCGTTATGGTAAATATATAGATAAAAAAAGAAAGTTTAGATATATATACAGATATACTAACAATCATCATCCTTTTTTTTTTTTTTGACATCTAGATTTTGATGTCAATGTCGGTGTGCTATATTATTCCAAAACCAACAGTCTTTATATGGTACCCGCAAGTCAATCTGAAATAAGATCTTTGATTATCGCAAGAAATGAACTGTCAGCAGCATACCAGCGACAAGCAACAGCATTACCACCTATGATCAAGAACTTTCATTCTTGTCAATATTGTACAATGAATGATGCCTGTACGCTCTACCACAAGACAGTTGAGAGTGGATCAGCAATGACAAGTGGACTAGGACAATGGTTCAATGATCATACCGACCACATCAATGACAAGGCGGCCATATTTTATCGACAGTGGATTCAGTTAATTTCTTTGGAGGAACAGGACTTGGACTATCTCAGAAAAGATATTTGGAATGATTCAGCAAAAGAACGAGAATTATCTGGCAAGTAAGTTGATTTTAAATATAATTTATGGTACGTGCAGTTATTTAATTTTTTTCTTCTTCTTTTTTTTTTAAAAAAAAAAAAATTAGATGTCTCAAGAACATGATGATTGTGACCACTCAAAACAACGATATATTCGACGACCTGTATACGTTTGAAAGGGATCAAAATGATACTGACTGCATACCTCTTTTGAGTACTGGCATCATGGTGGGTGATAACATTGTGATTTCTTCTATGGAAGGCGACTTACTTTTGGGAACAGGAATGGTGACGCACTTGAATGTCAAGACTATTAGCATCAGTTTGACAGCACCTTTACGACATTCACCACGAAAAGATGTGGATTTTGATCAAGACAACCGACAGGTTTTCATCAAACGGGAAGCAACAATGAACAAAAAGCAACAATATCAGAATATCAGATATCGATTAGATAAGGACGAAGCAGCTGTTGGATTTGCATTGATGAAATCCAATCTAGTGACCTTGATGACAAAAGATTCCAATTCTTCGGCATTAGATGACACTCGCAGCAAACTACGACGGTTGATTATTGATTCTGCGAGTCCCAGCTTTTCATTGTTGGAAGATGCCACGCTATTGTCTTATATTACTGATCTCAATCATTTAAATATTGATCAACAGAATGCTGTCAAAAAAGTGATGACATGTAAGTTAAAAATATCAATGGTATATGGAACAGAGTGGATAAGGATGAGCAACTAATAATCCATATATCCTCTTTTTTTTTTGGTTTATTTATACATAGGTGCTGATTATGCCTTAATTCTTGGGATGCCTGGTACCGGAAAAACGACAACAACAGCTGAAATCATCAAATGTTTGATACGTCAAGGCAAGTCTATTTTACTGACGGCTTATACTCACAGTGCTCTGGACAATATATTGATGAAATTGGTGGACCAAGGAGTAGATGTCTTACGACTGGGGAATCCTGAAAAGGTAAATTTATTTTACAAAATATACTTCAGAATGGACTTTGAAACTCTTTCTTCTTTTTTCTTTTTTATCCGTCCTATTAGGTGATGCCTAGGATTCGGAACTATATGCCTCAATCCTTTCCAGAACTTACCACAGTTGCTGCAATGACTGAATTCTATGATTCGAAACAGATAGTTGGAGCTACTTGTTATGGTACCAATCAGTAAGTGTGTTGGATATATTATCTGAAAAATGGTTTTAATGTAACTTGTATCTCTTTTTTTTTTTTTTTTTTTTTAGTATTTTATTCCGCCGACGTCGATTCGATTATTGTGTTGTGGATGAAGCATCGCAGATCACACTACCAGTCTGTGTTGGACCCTTGCAATATGCAGATAAGTTTGTACTTGTGGGCGATCAATATCAATTACCACCTATCGTAAGTGAATACAAAAAAAAAAAGGAAAGAAGAACATATAAAAGAAAACTGTCTTTTTTTTTTTTTTTTGTTACATAGGTGAAGGACAAGGATGCTCTTGATGGTGGATTATCAGAATCATTATTTAGTATGCTTGCCAGAGATCACCCTGAGGCCATTGTCTTTTTGGAATACCAATATCGAATGAATAAGGACATTATGATGATATCCAATCGTCTCTTTTACGACGACAAACTGAAATGTGGAAACGAACTGGTGGGTAACAGTAGCATGAATTACCCTCATTTCACTCAAGGAATCAACTCTTTGCATGACAATGATTCGCCATGTCATATGTTGGATGAATGCTGGCTTAAAGATATATTGGATCCTAGGTATATCGATGACAATACCGGACTAACAGTGTTTACTAATCTATTTTTATTTTTATTTGTATTGTTATTTTTTTTCTTATTTAATGTGTATCAGTCGAAAAGTTATTTTTGTCAACACCGATCCTATACCGGCTACAGAAAGTCGCAACAATGGCAAGATGCTTCAAAATCATGCAGAAGCAACTCTTGTATATCAGGTAAGTACATGACTGCGGGAAATAAAATAGATGATACTCATAAACACCTTCGACTAATCTGATAGACAACGGAAGCTTTAATACGATGTGGAATTAAAGAAGAACAGATTGCTTTGGTGTCAGTCTACAGGACCCAACTACGACTGATTACTCAAGAATTTGGTGGACATCGACCTGATCTTGAAATAGCAACTATCGATAAATATCAAGGACGTGATAAAGATTGTGTTTTGATATCATTGGTTAGAAACAACAGGAATGGCATGGTACAGTCAAAATAAAGAGAATTCTCTTAGTATTCGTTATACTTACTTTTTTTTTTATTTTTTTTATTTTTATTTTTATTTTTTTTTTTTTTATTTTTTTTAGACTGGTGATCTACTGAAGGATTGGAAACGACTCAATGTTGCATTTACTCGGGCCAAACGCAAACTGATACTTTTTGGTTCATTATCCACGCTACAACATTCAAGTATATTCAAAGATTGTCTAGATTTACTTCAAAGTCATGACTGGGTAAGACAAGGGAGAAGCAATTTAGTACACTTGATGATCTTTTTTTTTTATATTATCAATATAGGTCTATTCAATGAAAAAGGATGCACATTTATTTCATAAATCTCAATTGCCAACCAAGATACCGCTGGATCACCCACCATCTCTCAACAAGGAACAACAGACAAAGAAACGTTCACCAAAAATTTTCTCACGTAGCAAAATAGATATAGACAATCGGCCAATTCTTAGGGATATTTACAACTATGCTACTCAGGAATAGTAACCTTTCCCTTTTCCTTTTTTGTTTTATTTATTTATCATTATATTCTTGTATATATATATTTATTCTCATTCAACGTATTATCTCTCTCTCTCTCTCCCTCTCTTTTTAACTTCAATACTGTGCTTTGACTTCTCTATCTCTATCTTGTTAGTTACACTCATTCTTCGCCTTATATGTTTTATTCATTTGTTTATACAATACATCCATCCATTAATAAAGAATACCAAATTGACATTCCTTTTTTTTTTTTTTTGTCTCGATCATCTTCTAATCAAGTAAGATCATGCCCAAAGGATTTAATGCAATGATATGCAGGTTTGACAAGTATGTTTATACTGAATTGTGGATCAATGATGAAGACGATGACGATGATAATGAAGGATATGATTATTTTTTTTTTTTGTACGAAGTGCTATTTTACATAAAATGGAAGACGTTTACTATGGTGACTAGCAAGAGAATGGGGATAATATTCATGCTGGGTAGTTTAGTAGATTCTTTCATCACATATAATGTAGCTCAAGTTAATATACTTTCAGTTACCATTCATCCATCCATCATGTATTGATGATGATATTATATCAAAAATCACTTGATGAAAGTTTGTTTTGCCACTAAGATGATGATTAGTTAATTGCATAGCTACTTTACTATTCATTTGGTTATAAAGTCAAAATAATAATATATCGCCGATCGTTCCTGATGATCATCGGGTGTTTTTTTTTTTTCTAGTCTTTAAATGATCCATTATACAAATTACTTAAACTTTTTCATTCCCTTGTACATTATACCCCTTTTCATCTGACTTTTTTTTTTCTTTTTCTTTCTTTCCTTCTCTTGGTATAGAAAAAAAAAAAAAAAAAAAAGGATGTCGGATTATCCAATAGTTCGAAATCCTTTGTTACCTAGTCCACCACCACCACCGTCACAACGGTTTCGTATGCTTCAACAACTATCCCATACTACTACTAATCCATCGATCAAATCATCCATTTCTTCCCTATCCATCAGAAACGTTGTGAATAAATCATTTCGTCATCTCTCCCAAGCAGGCCATATACGAACATCCAAAAGAATTGCTCCTAGTAAAATTGATACCAATGTCTATGAAGAATTGAAAGAGACAGATTCGCGTTTTTTTTTACCTAAATCTATTTCAACATTTTCCTTCATGTCTTTAAAGAAACGTACACCTCCAAAATCAATATCCACCAACATGATCAAGAAAATGGAACCGATCGTACATTATAATGGCCCACATCATATTTTGGAACAATTGCCCGATGAAAAATGGCAATGGATTAAACAACCTTCCCTTGCAGAATCTCAACAAGGCTTACAAAATCCTTTGGCCAATTGTCCAACATCTATTGTCCTCCGCAAGCCTCATCGACCATTGTAAAAAAAAAAAAAAAAAAAAAAAAAAAAAAAAAAAAAGAAAACACCGTACCGTTCAATCATCATACAACATTCAGTCTTTACTAATAATTCTATTTTTTTTTTTTTATCGAGACAGTTCACCAGTAACATCGCCTACTGAACCATTTGAAATGAAACCAAAAGCTACTTTCTATTTAAGAGGTAAACATCATCATTATAAAAATCATCCATCATATGATTGATTCAATATATTATGACATATAGTGCTTCAAATAACAAGTCAAGATTCATCTAAAGGTAATTCATATTTAAAAAAAGAAAAAATGATTGTCTATCGTTTTTCATCTTTCTACTATTATTTTTTTTTAAAAAAAGTAAGAGTGTTCCGTTGCGGAGTGAAAATCAAAGAGGAAACATGCATGAGTGGTTATGCCAACAGTGAAAGATGTGGCAAACATAGTGTCCAAGCCAATTTGGATGAAACCTTTTTATTGTAAAGCACATCATCCCTTTTTTTTTTTTTTTTTACTGATTCTTTTTATGTTAATATGTATATATAGTGATGTTTCTGAAGCTTGTACTGCAACATTAAGTATTTATTCCCAACATAAACCAACTTTATTTTATTCAAGATCACATCATCATCATCATCATCAACAACAAGATAATTTTGTAGGCAGCCATGTTTTCCAAATTCGTATGTCCCCTGCACAAAAACATGTGCAAAGACATATGATTACGGATCCAACTACTGGTCAAAGTTATCAAGTATTAGTAGTATGTGGTATTTATGTCAGTCATCGATCTCAAACTATGGTCAATAATTCTTTATTACTTGAAGATTATTTAACTGTACAAGTAAGAGGAACATTTACACCGGTAAGCCAATGATAATTATCCGGAGATTGAAACAGTAGCATTAAAACCCTTTTTTTTTTTTTTTTTGTAGAGATTGGAAAGATTTTGGGCAGTAGTAAGAGGTGTTCAGCTTGAATTATATGATTTTGATTTCAGAGAGGTAAAAAAAAAAAAAAATTATATATATATATATTCATAAGGAATCTCATTTTTATTTGTATTTAAAAGACACGACCGCCGATCTATGTGATTCCTTTACATACTTTATTGGAAGCTTATCATAATGATATAGAAGAACAAGAAGAACAACCAATTGGAACAGGGGGATTGATTTTACAATTCTCCGAAGAGACTCTTGATTCAGCGTATCGACGTAGTATTCTTGATCATCCTGAATTTGAGTGTCGTATGTATGTATTGGCTGAAACAATGCAAAGATCTAAAGAATGGGAACATGTCTTGAATTATATGGTATCTATTTTTGATGAATGTCGAGAGGAACAAGTGGGTAATGATGATGATAGTAATGATGATGATTATGATGACGATTTTCCATCATATCAACAACATGGTAGTATAGTGCCTACTAAGTTTTTATGGTAGCGGTATTTGAAATAAAGAAGAACTGTATGGATCAATGACTTTTTTGTTTTTTTTTTTTTTTTTTTCTTTCCGCTTTTTTTTTTTTCTTTCTTTTTTTTTTTTTTTTTTCTTTTCTCTTTGCTATTCCTTCTTTTTATGGCTTTCCATCTAAATCTTATTATTACTCAACTCTTCGACACTAACGCTGGCCCATTCCCTTGTGTCGTACTATCACTTCCATAATTCTTTGATTGATTTACATTCATACAGTTGTTATATCCTTTTCTTCATTTTTCACACACACACATACACACATTCTTTCCATCTTTTTTTTTTTTTCCTTTTTTTTATTATTATTGTTATTCTTTCTTCTTATTCCATCTGTTTATATTCTTCTTCTCCTCCTTCTTTCAATACAGCCTCACTCTTTTGTCTATATTTATATCCATACATTGACTTGATTTTTTAATATTAGACATGGTCAACATTGCCGATAAACGTTTCTCACCTACAGTGACTAGATATGAATCACCTTTAGGAAGGATGCTGACAGTGATAGAATGTCCACATACACAATTACGATATCTTATTCTGGATTGTCCAACGGAGAGCACACTTGGATTTTATTTGGATGAATTCAAACATTTATGTGTACATACGGTAGTACGATGCTGTCAACCTACCTATCAAGCTCAACGATTATTGGATCAAGGGATTCAAGTATTGGATTTACCTTTTAAAGATGGTGGACTTCCTCCGGCACAGGTGATTCAAGAATGGTTACAACTTGTGGAAAAGATCAGAGGAATACAAGTGGATGATGATAAACAACAACAATCTCCCATGATTGCTGTCCATTGTGTCGCAGGTTTAGGTCGTGCTCCAGTCTTAGTGGCCATTGCTTTGATTGAAATGGGAATGAAACCTTTGGATGCTATTGAATATATAAGATCGAAAAGGCGCGGCGCTTTTAATAAACCTCAAATCATGTTTTTGGTAAGTTGAAAAAAAAAAAAAACTTCATTGTTGGGATGAATAACGTTTTTCTTGTAAAATAGGATTCGTATAAACGTATATTGAAACCAAAATCCTCAAGCAGTAATTATTCTCTTCGATCTTCTCTTGGCCGTATGTTTAAATTGGGTGGTAGTACAAATGGCAAAGCTAATTCTACCTCATCATCGACAACAGATCAACATTGAATCCATGGCAGTTATTATTATTTTATTCTTTTTATTATTTTACTAATTTACTTGATTATTATTTCCTTTGGATTCTTCCTTTTTTTTGTTATTTATCTTCTTTTACGGGTTTTTTTTGATACTTTGGGCGAACAATAAACAATATTTATACAAAATATGCTTTATTCAAACAAATAGAAAATGATTTATTCTATATATTATTTTACAATATTGGAGAACCCTTCTATTTTCATTCGACACAATGGACTATCAAAAAAAAAAAAAAAAAATGAATTAAATGCATGACATCTATTTTATTTTTTTTTATTTACCATGATTCTAACAATTTTGCACAATGAGCACCCCATCCGCCATGACCACATGGTATCAAAGCAGTATCCTTTGGTTCGGTAAAACACATGGTACATAACGGACCATCCCAATCGACTTCTTCCATTGAATCATCATTGGTCGGTTTTTGATAAGTATGATTGATATTTGTCAGCCATTTTTGTACTTGTTGACAATACGCATCTGTCAGTGTCCCAGCTTGATTGATACCCTTCCATCCTTGACTATGAGATAACAAGACTTGTGGTACACATGTCCATGGTTGATCTCCAAAGTTGACAATGATATGTTGATGTGTCGTCAAACTGAACCCCGGAAACAAATCCTCCATGTTGTTGCCGTTGCCATGTTCAAACGCTACTGTCATTCCCAGGTCCTTTCCATTCACAAAAAAGGAGCAAATCCCTTGTTCCAAATCCAAATAACTACCCAGCACATCACCACTACGACATCGGAATTGTGAACTGCATTGTTGAGGATACACCGCTGATCCATTGGCCTAAACAATATTCATCCAAAAAAAAAAAAAAAAAAAAAAAAGAGAGATGTGGATTTATATAATATATATATATATATATATTGTCAGATCATTTACTTACCCACACTGCAGATCTATAAGTATCAAACGCAAATCCATGCTAAAAAAAAAAAAATCAATGGGTTAGCCTCTTAGTTCCTTTTGTATATATATATATACCTGATCATCACCAACGCCATAACCTTCTTCAGCAACAAAACGACATCGCTTAGTACACCAACCAATTTGCATGATGCCTTCCGTGACAAGCAATACTTCATAATACCATCTGCCTTTTTTGACCCCTACTGTGGCACGAATGGATTCAAAATGAAGTCGATCATTTCGTAACTAAGAAAAAAAAAGAAATAATATTACTTACTAGGTTTTTCTTTTTACTTTTTAATTTTTTCTTTTTTTATATCATACTTCCAAACCATTGCTACCGAGTTTCCAATGTTGTGTTGCATCCAATGGATTCATAATGACATTCAATCCTGTCAAATCCCAAATCGCTTCATTCTAAAGAATAAATAGAAATGGTATCAGTACATACTTTTTCTTTTTATATACTTTCCAAACATATATATACCTTGTTCGAAAAAGAATCTATGTAGTTTAGAAGAAGAAAGTAACATGAATTAGAATTTATTTGAAGATATCTTTTTTTTTTTTGGAATGCTTACTAAAGATATTCCGTAGAGACCATTCAGCACAGTGAGCTAGTTCCATTCGTTTCATCAATTTGTCTGGTGTAAAAGTCCTACTTCTTGCCCATGGTTTGTCATATATATGATCATAATTGTCTCCTACCTTGGATGATACAGAGGATATGCGGCGAGACTTGATTTCTTCTTCATCTTGTTCAGTCAAGGCGAAACATGATATAGAATCATTTTGTTCGTCATCATGATGATGACCGCACTCATCTATTTCGTCCTGCTGTTGTATACCAATGCTGCTGTAAATAGAATGAGAGTTTTCTTGCTGTGACACAATATTATTCTGTGCCGTTCGCTTGGATATTTTCCTCACGCAGGCTGACATCCAATGCATACAAGGTCGTTCATGATGTTTCCGGAAAGTATTGAATAATCCAGAGATACACATAGAATGAGGTTCTGTCGTCGACATCCTATCTTGTGTTTTGATTGTTGTTAATGATGATGATGAAGATGTAGGTGTTAACAAAAGAATATCGTTGTCTTTCTTGATATCTTGTTCATAATGATGACTGTCATGGATCGCCTTTTGTAATGTACTTTGTATATCTAGTGGGTGATGCAAAATATGAGTTTTGATTTCTCCTACAAATTCCAAGAAAAAAAAAAAAAAAAGAGTCAGTACTTTCATATATTCCTTACTATGATTTTTTTTTTTTTTTTTTTTTTTTTTTACCAGTTAAAGCAAATTTTTCCAAAGTCAAAAGTGCTGATACACGTACTGTCCAATCTTCATTTGTATCTCCTAAATAATGAAATAATGTTCTTGCCACATCAGGAGTCCAGAAAAGATGTACCATATTACCGGCAAACTTTTCTGCTAGAATAGCCCAAATCACCAGTGCGTTTCGTTTCATTTTGGCATCCACGACCATAGGACCATTCAAATAGTGTTGATGTTTTCGAATCATCGCTGATGGAACAACATATTGAGCCATTCGAGTACTCCATTTGCCACGACCTTCGTTCCCATCTTGATAATAGATGATTGATTTACTGTCACTTTGATTGCTACATTTGATGTTGAGTTTGGCGAGGATGGCTGGTGAAATACATCTCATAGTATCTTTACTTGGTAGAGTTGCACGATCAATAACATGAGATAGAAATGCCATAGAGACTGGACATTCAGGATCTAATAATTGTACCATGTTTGTCAAAAAGATAATGTAACCTGCACCTATAAGTCGTAAAATAAGCTACATTAATGTTTTGATTATTCAAGTCATTGTTTTTTTTTTCCTTACCTTCACATGTTGCAGAGAATAAAGTATCTAGAGCTTGTACCATAAGTCTTTCTCGATCATATAATTCATATTGCTGTTCAGTATTATTTGGATTTCCAAGTTGCTGTGATAATATCCTATGTTGAGCATGTGTTGTATTGTGATTACTGCTATTTCCATATATGGGTGAGTATTCCTGTTGAGACATAGAGTGGTCGTTTTGATAAGGTAAAGTCGTATGAATATCGTCCAATTGATTTCTAGCAATAGCCAGTACTCGTTTCCACGATTGTTCAATGGCTAAAGAAGTATATCTATCGTAAGAGTCTGATTCATTGTTACCTCGTTGATAAACCGCTTTTTGTCGTGCAAAAATCGTCTATGATAAAGAAGAAGAAGAGTGGTTAGACTACATGTGATTTTTTTTATAACTATTATTTTACCATTAAAAGTTGATAGAAATGTAACAACTATTGTAATTAAACAATGAGAAGCAGTTTATCAAAAAATAAAAATAAAAAAGTAGAGAAAGACTAAAGACGCGAAATAATATGTTGTATTGTGTTGTGTGTAAACGAGGTGAGACCAGTAAATCATTTTAACATGATAATTTTTTCCTCAAAACGAGCTTGTGGTGCATGTTGATAAAACTTGTATAACTATATTTCTTTTCTTCCGTCATCGGTGTATACGTTTCATTAAACAAACAAAAAGAAGAAAAGAAAAAAAAAAAAAAGAGGGTGACAAAAAAGAAGAGCAACGGAAAACATTTTATCCGTTATCCTGCATAAAATATCAAGTCCGCTTATGCCAATAATATTTATGTAGTAATAATAATAATAATATGATATTAAGTAGACAGTTCGGGTGGTAGTGATCATGAGGATTATTGTTATAAAAATAACCATTGTACAGTAATAACTTAATGATATGATGATCTTTTTTTTTTTTTTAAGATAAAAACATCAAGTTGATACAATATGATATGTATGAAACATTTTCTTTATTATGATAACTAATCAAATAGAATGATTGACTTTTTTTTTCGAAACATTCATTATGCAGGGTAAAGTTGTAATCGGTGGTAATCTTTTATAAAGAAATCGGTTGATTTTGGACAAATAATCTGCAGCATGACGGGTACATATCGTCCAAAAATGGAAATTATCTGAGTTGATTTTTCGTCTGCTTCGCCTGTTGTTCTCTTGAAATCACCTCCTTTTTTTTTTTCCTTCTTCTTTTTTCTTTTTTTTTTTTTTCTTCTTCTCTATTATCTGAATAAATTCATTTTAGTATTTTTTTTTTTTTTTAAAAAATATATTCTTCAAATGACTCTAATTTCTACCACCAACACTCTTCAATGTGGACAAGTAAGTAATAGAGTATAAAAGAATCTTATTTTTAATAGATGTTATATATTACTATGTAGATCGCAGAACGATTAAAGATTAGGTTAGACTTGGCCAGTTTCAAATGTCGACACGGTTATGAACATATGGATTTGTGCACGATCGAGTCTTTTGTTTTACAATATACCAAACCAAAACAACGTCATCGTTATTACCCAATGAAAAATGGTAATAATATACGAAAATCACCCATTTGTTTCAAGTCAACCAAAACTCATTTGTTACAATCAACGCCACCTTTATCCGCCAAACGAAGTACTTCTCCCAGTCGAACAGATGAACTTACTGCGCAATTACTACTTTGGATGTATCGCCAAAAAAGGACATCCTCCACACCTACCATGATTTGAATTCTATCTCATTTTTTTTTTATCTATATAGATTTAACCAAGCTAGATTTTTCTTTTTTCTTTTTTGAATATACCATTTTATCCATAGATCTTTCATTGACTTTTCCTTTTTGTCATGTCATACCTTTCCCAAATAGATATAGATGATTGATTTATTGATAACATATAATAATAATAAAATCTAATTCTATATTTTTATTTAAACCAAACTATTGTCTATGATTATTATTGATAGATCTAAATACAAGCCAATTATGGACAAAACGCCCATGTACTTTGACACCAGCCACTGCAGAAGAAAGTAAAGGAGAGACGGAAGACGTACGAGATACTAGATGTTGGACAATACTGATATGAACTGGTGAATGATCTAAATAAGTCATCCATGATTTTGGTAAAGAGGATCCCTCTTGGATTTCAAGATGAGCTGGTCGTAAATATGGCTGTATTGCGTCTAAAGGTACAACAAATATATCAGACTTTTCTAATCTATCAAGATATATATATATATAAAAATGAGTTTCTTATATTTTTCTTTTTTCTTTCTTTGTTATCATTGACTTACCTTCTATCGGGCTGTACTGAAGAAATGATCCATGATGATGAAGATAGAATTCGATAATAATTTGAAAATAAATAAAACAATCAAAAAATAAGGTATCAATCAACATATAATATATAAAATATAAAGAAAAAGTGAAAACGATATTAGTAAATTATACAGTTTATAAAAAAAAAAAAGGATTTGAATCAAAAAAGAATACAACTGAAAGGGAAATCTATTCTAGATATGGAGGAATTGGGGGGGGGGATGTAACAAATTGTATTTCTATATAGTTTTCTAAAGGTAGAAGGGTTTTTTTTTTTTTTTTTTACTAACCTCCAGTAATGATGTATCCACCTTCTAGACTCCGGGGAAGCTTTGTAAGTTCAATCTTCAAACCAGAAAGAGACTTGGATATCAGACCACCCATGATATCAATCAACTTGGGAGATGCTTGACGATAGGCTAGTCGGTGATCTTGACCAAAAGATAGTTCAAACGATCTTGAATTGGATAAAGGCGAAGTACAATAACCTTCACGGTATAATAAACGAGGTGATGATGAAATCGTTGTGGTATTCAGTCGATTTCCAGTTAGTTTGGCAGCATAATCGGAAAGGGGTAAATATGGTATAGATGTCATATCAAAAGTTGATGATCTCTCGATGACTGATCCATTTCGTTGTTGATGTGTAGATTTTCCTGCTGTTGATGTTGAAAATGCGGATGGTTTATATTTTCGACAATGGTTGCTAAGTTTGAGTGGCGTTGTTGTTGATGATGATGACGATCGATAAATTATAGAATGTTTCAAATATTGGCCTGCCAATGGAAGAAAATGACCCTCTAACATAAATATAGATATTAAAAGTTAAGTAAATCGAAGAAAACTGAAAAAAAAGTTTTTATTTTTATTTTTTTAACTTACCAGTTGTAAAAACAAAATTAGAATCCATACGGTTGATAGAGTTGTCTAATAAACAATATATATATTTAAAGTTAACCCTATTTATTTTTATCATCCTTCAATTTCTTACCAACATCAAATAAAAGATAAAGGTATTTCAAAGTCTCGGATAACATGAAACTTTCCATCCGGTCATCTAGTTGTCCAGTACGAAGATCGCTAATGCTTGCAAATCCACAAGGTAATCGAGTTCGGTTGTTCAAATCTTCCATGATCATTTCACCCACCTGGAGATAGAATGGATCTTTAGTTGCTTGGTATAAATAATAAGTCGATTCTACAAATTCAGGTCGTAATGGATAACTGTGTATATCTGCTTTCTGCTGGAAAAAGTCGAATCGTTCAGGGAGTGCATGGTATTGTTGCCAAATATTATAAAATACCAAGTGACCCTTAATGGCTGATTCCAAATCTCCATATAATACTTGTACCCCTGGCATAAATGCACTAAGACTATCGATCCAAGTAGCCATTAACATCCCTGAATCCATATGCACATTGCGATACAAGTAACCAGATCTGTCCACGATGTGTTGCATAATGGCCTCATAGGAGGTTTCAAACATATCCAAATAATCTTCTTCACCAAATAAGATATAAGCTTTCAATAGATATTCAAAAAAAGAATCGATGCCTGCTCCTGTTGAAGATGCTGTATGTATCCATTGTCCAGTTTGAATATTGATGACGTTGCCAACTAAATCAAGTTCTGATCTTCGTTCCCAAATTGCTTGTAATGCTTTTTTGGCCACTTCCTGCAAAATAACGATAATAAATAATAAGTAATTTAAATTCCTGGGATTGTTACTTACTTCATATTGAGGATCACCTGTCAAACGACTAAGAACACCAAATTCCAATATCAGACTACCCGCACCAGCAGTACACGTTTCAACTGTTTCTGTTTTCGGAACACCATGACGAAGATTGACCTTATATGATAGTCAAAAAAAAAAAATAGATAAATAAATAAACAAATAAATAAAATAACAAACTTACCCTTGGGAAGGGAATGCCCGATTTTGAATGTTTGAAGGCAGGTAGAAATCGTTGAGCCAAATCTTCTGCAAGTCGTAGTAACCCACCATCGTAATGTTCAATTTGATGTCCAAAAGAAGGATCTGAAGCTAATATATGAGCTGATAACTAATCAAGTAATAAATATTATGATTAGTATGATTTCATCTTATCTCAATTTCTTTTTTTTGAGATATTTACCAATCCACCTAAAGCCCTTATATTTAATTCAAAAACTTGTACTTTGTTGTTTTTATCAAAAGATACTTCATTTAAAACTTGATATACAGCTTGCTCAAATTGTTCTTGAGTTCCAATAATCTATATTATGTATGCAAATATATAGAAGGAAATAAAAAGTCAATTTGGAGACACTAATACATAAATATATATATGAGTACTTACAGCAAGAGTATCCAAAACATCTACCAAGGTCAATGAGTAATCACCCAAAACATCATTGGAACTATCATATCTATTAAAAAAAAAAAAAACAAGTTATTAAGGTTAATATATTTTACAAGTTAATAATATATATTGAGGGCTTACGAGTATTTATTGCTCCCTAAACCTTTGCAAGATAGTGGTTTGAGCTATAAATATAGTATTTAGTTATTTTTGATAAATATATGAATATTACTTACTTCATCTTCTGGAAAAGCATGTTGCATATAATTGTTCCAACCATGAAAAAACATTTCCTATTAAAAAAAAAGATGGATCGTCAATTAAATGTTAAGATTTCATTTGATTTAGGTTTACTTACTTTGGTTTTATCTCTAAAAAGTGATTCAGACAAAAAAGAGCGTGAATAGATCAATTTAATCGATACAACGATGAAATTTAAAAAAGGTGTTTACCGTAGATGTAATCGTTTCTTATCAGTCATATAAGGTGTTTGAAACGCATAACATATGGAAGTTAGAAACAACAGACATACAAAGAGACATGGTTGAAAAGGATATATAATCATGAATAAATAAAATAAAAAAAAAAAGAATAAAGAAAGAAAAGGAGGCGAGGCGTACAAAAAAAAAAAAAATTAACTTTAATATACAATTTTTTCACTTTGAATTGGGACAAAAACTAAAAAAGATATAAAAAAATCAGATGAATACAAAACACCAGTGACCTTTTGTGTGATAGTGAAGAATGAATGATATATCCTAGTGAAAAGGGAGAGTAAATATTTGAACTTTTTTGATCCGGAGAAGAGAGAAGAGTACAAAACAGAAAAAAAAAAGAGAGACTGACCACCAGGAGTTCTTCTTCTTCTTGTTGTTATTGTTGTTATTGTTGTTATTGTTGTTATTGTTGTTATTGTTGTTATTGTTGTTATTGTTGTTATTGTTGTTATTGTTGTTATTGTTGTTATTGTTGTTGTTGTTGTTGTTGTTGTTGGTTGCTGCGATCAAAATGAAACACCATAGGTCTGTTTTGTCCAGTCATTTCTAGTCTTACCAAATAATAAATGTTTCGACAGGCATTCACATCACGATTCCATGTTGTACTACAACCGGTACAGACTTGTACAGCAAGAAGAGTGATATTGTTGTCTACTTGCTTTTGATTGATAGTCGGGGTAAAATAATTTTGAGCACACTTTGGACGTAAAAGATCCCTCGATTTCAATATACAAGAGCTTGTAGTCTTTTTGTGCCTTCTTGAATGCCTTTCTTGCAACAGTTACCATACCAGTTGGACGGCCACGCATCGTCGGATTGTTTCCTCCATTTCCAATAACTAAAAACTGGGATCTTGTTATCATCATAGTCGAATGCTGCTTTTTGATATCTACTTCGATGTTCCTCTTGTTGTTGTGGAGGTTGTTGTGGAAGTTCTTGTGGAAGTCGTTGTGCAAGTAATCAAAGAGGTCGTTGTTGATTTTTGTCTACAGTCGCCGCCCTAGATTTTTGTCGAGTTCCTTGATTAACCATTTTCTACTGATAGTGCTTGCAACATTATGATTTGCAGTGGTGATCACTCTTTCATTTTCTTGTTCCAAACGTCGTAAGATTCGATACCAGACCTGAATGTATTCGTTCACCTTTGATACCAGATTTTTCGAGGACCAAAATCTTCTTCGTTTACAAGTCTATTGATGATCAGTTCCACATAATCCGTCTTGATCATACTATATAGCCAATGGGGAGAGGTTGCTCCAGCGATAAGGTCGTCCACATGCAGAGCTAATAATTTCACTTCTTTCTTTTTTCAAAAATCTATGATACGATCAACCAAAAAAAAAAAAAAAAAAAAAAAAAAAAAGAAAAGGTTGTGAATAACAAATGCATACACTTTCCCAATTTGGCTTCCCTTACATTTGCATCATCTTGATCAATAGACTGTATTCGAGTTTCCAAATAAACAATACATATGTCTTCAAAATTTAATGATATTCGTCCATTGTTGGTTGGTGAAAGGAACAGACTTTGGAACGCGAGTTTGCATGTTCTGCAACATCTTCAGGACCAGTGAAATCGTTCGCCTATAGACATTTGTTGCATTTCATGGAATCAGGATTAGACTGTTTTCTCTTCAAATCTGATTGGCCTTCTTTTTTCTGCCGTTTGTTGTGTTCCTTTTTCTTTTTCAGTGAGACGTCGCTTGTTTGTTCTTGGAGTGGAAGCTAAAAAAAGGAAAACAAGAGTGTTAGCAGTTATATTCGAATATTATTGGCTCCTTTTGAAACCGACCGTTTTTTGCGCATTGGACAATGAGAGGAAAGGGTATCAGCATGACCTCGGCTACCACATTTCGAACAGATCACTAACAAAAAAGGAATTAGAGACGTCAGCACCTTTTTCGTCTATGGATTGCAAAAAAAAAAAAAAAAAAAAAAAAAAAAAAGAATCTACTTACTAGTACCAGCTACACCTTTTGTTGATGTTCTTCTACTTGTTCTTGCTCTTGATTGAGACGAGTGAATTTGTCGTGGATTAGCTTGAGAATCTTCTCTTTCTTGGTCAAATGTTCAAAAGGATCAGCCATTACACAATGTGAATAAAAACGGTGAAGAATAAAGAAATAAATGGAGAAGAATAAAAATAAATGAAGAATAAAAAAGAAAAGAAGGAAAAAAAAAATGTCAGAAAACCATGCACTGCCGAACGGAGACCAAAAATCGATGAACTTAACAGAGAAAAAAACTAAAAAGGAAATTGATAGATAAGTTTAAAGTATCTCTTTCGTCTGGATGGTCTCCGAAATACAATAGAAAGGAGCTTGGAAAAAAAAAAATTATTTATTTTTTTTTTTTTTTTTGATTGATTGAAGTCATAAAAAAAAAAAAAAAGAAATCCCAAAACTAAAATAACATACTAAGAAGGATAACTATCATGGCTATACTATAATATAAAAGTGGTTGTAAAGTGATTCCATCATTTGGATTATTAGTAGGAGTTGAAGAAGTAGAAGTAGGACCTTGAGTACTTGAAGATGTAATAGTAGCTAATGATGACGACCCACTTGTAGGAATAGTAGTAGTAGTAGTAGTAGTAGAAGTAGCACTATGGTCACATACAGCTACAGATATTTGAGGACAACATTGGTCAGGAATTATCTTACAATTTGAAGGACAATCAGAAGGACAAGTAGGTTGTAAAGAAGCAGAAGCAGAAGGACATACCATTTGAATACATACAACTCCACTAGATGTAGGTTGAGGAATTACAGAGAACTTTGGACTAGTTGTATGTTGACCTAATACTAATGTTACTATCAATAAAAGAAGAATAAAAGTAAACTTATATTTCATTGTGTTGAGAAAAAAAAAAAAAAAAGGAAAGAAAAAGAAGTTTTTTTTTTTTTGTGTACAGTCAAGAAATAAAGTACTGCCTTTGCGTAACAACCAAATTTGGCATTTCCTTTCTTTTTTTCACTCTAACAATTTTCAATTCTGAGTTTAAAGTTTAGACTCTTGTTTTTATTTTATTTTTATTTTTATTTTGTGAAAACTTATGCACTATTTTGTGTTCTCACTTTCTATTGTTATAAAAAATGGAGCAAGCTTTGGAAGATGCAAAAAAACTTGATCATGAACAAAAGGAACCACAAAGAAAACGTACTCGTCTTATTTTTCGTTCAAGAACACAAACCAACGAAAAACCTGTTTTACCTCTTGAATATTTCACCAAAGACGTCAATCAAAATTCATCTATTCCATGGCCCTCTATATTTCCCACCACCGATACTATTGCCGTTCCTTATCCTTCGATCTTACAATCCGATCAAACGTCATCCAATTCAAATAGTTCTTTATTCGAAAACTATACCAAGTCATCAACCAATGTACAACAACAAGTTTCTAAGCAAGACAGATCTCCTGTTGTTCTTGATGTACCAACTACTATTAATGATTACAATACTTCCACATTGACAAATAAAGTCTCTTTGTTACCTTCACTATCGGCATCGGATATCAACACTACAACATCAACGGACAATCAACTTTATTCTCAAGTATCGTCAATATCTCAATCTACTGGAATGTCAACTTCAAAAACAATCAAAACAACAAAAACTCCAACATCGCCTATACCAGCCCCAACCTCAACACCAAATAAGCTACCAAGTCAAGATGAAAATAAAAACGGGAATGATATCAGAGTGCATGATAAGGATACCTCCATGGAAACTGATTTTACTCATACAACTGTGACCGACAACAACAACAACAACAACAACAACCATGACGATAATACCTCTGACAGTCATGATGATGATAGGGCTACCTTGGCTATAGGAAAACAGGGCCAAGTCAATAGTAGTAGAAAGATGGAAAAAGTAAACAGCAGCAAAGAGGAAACGACTACAGCTATCGACATTATATCCTTAGTATCACCAAAATCAACAACATCAGAGAAAATGGATACGACGGAGGATAATGATGGCTATATGTATTTGGATATTAATGATAGTGATGACAGTATTTTATTTATGGATGCAGCCTCTGACTTAGCTAGTCAACATAGTACCGTATCAACCACAAACTCACCAGAATCTTCAACATCTGATGATCACATCAATGCAGCAAGACATGATATCCAATCAAATACCAATGATGAATTACCAACCATTCCTATCAACGCTCTATCTCACAATGAAGATCCTATCTATATTGATCCTCACTTTGTTAAAATACTCAAGCCACATCAGGTAATTGGGTGGATGATAATGACAAATTGATAAAAGGTTGACTGTTATTTTCTCTATCTAGGTCGAAGGCATCCAATTCATGTGGAAACAGCTGATAGAAGAGAACAATGGATGTGTGTTAGCTCATTGTATGGGATTAGGTAAGCAAAAAAAAAAAAAAGAGAAAGTGATGAATGACAGACATACTGACTAGGTTTAATTATTAGGAAAAACATTACAAGTGGTAGTATTGGTTACAACCTTATTTCAAGAAATTGAAAAAAAGAATCTAAATATACCAAATGATCTCATAGTAAGAAAAAAAGAAATAATGATATTACAAAGTCACTAACTTATAAACATTATATTCCCATGAGTAGCATAAACGAATATTGATCCTGGCACCCTTGATTACTCTTTCAAACTGGATGAATGAATTTGATCTATGGATACCCCCTACTCAATCATCAAATCTATCACATATTTTTAACTTTGCTGGTAAAAATATCAAAAAAGATTTATTAGTACCTATTATTGATTTTTTTTTTATATATAAAGATATTTTCAATGTCAATGAGGATAGGCGTGTGGACTTTGTCAGACGGTGGTACAATGATGGTGGGATTATGCTAATGAATTATGATCAATTCCGAATATTGCTTACTACTTCATCGCGAATGGATGATTATGGAGTGATGTTATACAAACCTTCTTTAGTGATCCTGGATGAAGCCCATCGTATCAAAAATCCTGCTGCCTCTATTAGTCAATGTGTGAGCAAGATTCAAACCCTTCGAAGACTATGCTTGACTGGTTATCCTCTTCAAAACAATTTGAATGAGTACTATTGTATGTTGAACTTTGCATTTCCTGGATTACTTGGTGAAGTCACTGTGTTCAAGGCTATTTATCAAAAACCTATCGAATCAGTTTATGCTGACTCTACTCTTAATGTACGACGCTTGGCCAAATTCAAACTTTTGGAACTTCAACTTATGACATCAGATATTATTCATAGGTAAATAATAATAATAATAATAATAATAATGGGAAAGGAACTGACAATGGTTCTATATATATTATAGGAAAGATATCTCCATCCTTGCACAAGAACTTCCTGGAAAAACTGAATACTATATTCAATGTCGACTTACTCCTATGCAATACTCCACTTATATGACTTTTTTGGAATATCCAAAGTTGATTCGAACAATCATGACTCAACTCATGTTATTTAGGGCCATTTGCAATCATCCAGCTATATACACAAGAGTAAGACAAAGAAAAAAAAAAGAGAACCAACGTATTCATTATTTGACTATAGATGTTGACAAATTGTAATATGATATCAAGGCATAAAGCTGTGGGTAATATCAATGATGATGGGGATGATCTGGAGCCGGTTGATCAAGATGAATATGGTGCAGTTAGAAAGTATGCGAAAATGTTACCCCGCGATTGGCAGAAATATGGATTTACTGAAGAAGGTAATGACAGAAAAAAGAAGAAAAGAAAAGAATAATGCCTTATTCATGACGTATATTATAGATGTGAAACATTTGGATAACTCTCATAAGGTTCAACTCGTCTTGGCCATTAGCAAACTTTGTCGATCAAAAAAGGAAAAACTGGTCATTGTATCTCATAGTTTGGTATGCTTAGGTAAAAAAAAAAAAAAAAAAAAAAATGAATGTATCAATTATAAAAATATTATATTTATCTTTTTTTTTTTTTTTTTGGGTGAAATGACTCAGATTTCCTTGAAGAGATATTAGAGAAGGAAGAATTCAATATCTCTAAAATCGATGGACGCATCAAGGTAAGTGAATAAAAAAGAGATTAGGGTTAATAAAAAGTTACAATTATTGATATGGGTTTATTTCCTCAAAAAATAGCAACGACAACCCATTATTGACAAATTCAACGATGATCCAGCTTGTGAAATTATGCTTTTATCAGCAAGGGTAAGATATATATTGTGATCTACATATATTCCTTGATTTTCTTTCATGTCTTCTCACAATAACGTATACTTTTTAGGCTGGTGGTATAGGTGTTAATATTACTGGGGCCAACCGGGTAATTCTTATGGATAGTGATTGGAATCCTTCGCATGATGAACAAAGTATTGCTCGGTTATATCGTTTTGGTCAAAAGAATCATGTGTATGTTTACCGACTATTGACTTACTCGACAGTAGAATCCACTGTGAATACATTAGCTCAACAAAAACGAGGATTATCAGGGTAATATATATTATATATCTTTCTTTGTTGCGTTGGCATTGGACTCATATTTTTTTTCTTTTTTTGATTAGTCGTGTTGTGGATAACAAGAAAGGCAAACTCCAAGAAGAAACCGCCACTCGATCTTATTACAGGACACCGGAGAAGGATCCAGTATGCCAAGTGACAGATCAACAAATCAATGAATTGGATGATAAGATCTTGCAACAAGTACTTCAAACTTGGAAAGCATCAGTAGTGGCGATGAATGTGGAAAAAACCAATCACGGAACCAGTAGCAGTTTGGACCCTATGGATGATCATGTACAACCCAGCGACAGTGATCTGGCTGACATGCGCCGAACAGCAAGATTCACCCGAGCCAATGCCAAATCTTATCATCAAGTTCTCTTACATTCTTTCTCATCCTAGAATATAGTTGTAGTATATTTATTTTCAACATTTTTTTTTTGTATATTCCTTTTTTTAGTGTTGTACCCATTGTTTTTTATCTGTACATAGTGTTATGAAATATAAAATAGAAATAAACATGAAATTTCCATTGGAACTTGTTCAAAAAAAAAAAAAAAAAAAAAAGGAATCCATATCAATAGTAGTAATACTAATAATAAGAACAAAAATTGAATTTTATTCATAAAAAGGGAGTCATCGTCCAGGTTAAATAATCACCCACAACCATACGAAGTAAATATCTAAAGTAACCCATTTCATTTGGTATTTCAGTGTAAGGAGAAAACTGTTCTAATTTATCCATGGGAGCTAATGTCAATGTCGCAAAGTGTTCTTGAATTAAAGCCATCACTTGATCAGGACTGGGGTACTTGATTTGTTGAGCAACTTGCCCTTCTTCTAATGCAGGTTTGAAGTGATTACAGATAGTCCGGATGTTAGCAAAGTTATTGGAAGACAATGGAGGAGAGCGGTCGCTGGATGATGTTGTCATTGCTGTTTGTCCTTTTTTTCCGGCTATGCTGCTTTCAGTTACTATAAAAAGAATAAAACAAATAAAATCCAAAATCATCTTTATTCCTCTTTTTCTTTCTTTCTTTACCATAATGAGATAATGCCATAAAATCATCAGAGGACCGGATAATCTCATAGAATAGAGAATCGAAACTTTTGGTATCATGTAAAAATACTTCACCATGAGTTACACACATATTAAACACAGTAAGTAGCTGAGAAGAAAAAAAAAAAAGTAAGTAAAGAATAAAATTCAATCTTTTTTTTTTTTTTTTTTTTTTTTTTTTTTTTTTTTTTTGGTACCGATGCCAAAAAGGGATTAAATTCTTGAGATTTAAGTTTAAGTTGATCTAAATGTACTGATGTAAAATGTAATACGGTTGTGAGCGTACACCAAAGCTCCGTCCAATGGTAATCTACATTGAAAAAAAAAAAAATAAAGATGGTTCAGATTAAGTATATCGTTTTCTTTTACTTTTTATTCCATCATTTGGTTTATTACCCAGACGAATACGACGTTTGTACAAGAAAGAGAGTATTCTATGCATGACCGATAATGATAACCTATATACACAAAAAAAAAAAAAAAAGGGAAATAGAGAGAATACAGTCAATTTTAATGAGTAAAATTCACCATCGTCATCATCATACTTATAAGTCGCCATATCCAATTTCTTTCGCATGTTATGTTTGAGGAACAAAACGAGATCATCTATGATAGCACATAATAAAAATCTTGGTTTCTTGACTTTTGGTAGTGGGGGAGGTCGCTAATATTGTCATTTTCATAAAAAAAGAAAAAAATATGTGTAGTCAGTACACTCTTATCAAACCATATGCAAACAACTTTTTGAGTTTTTACCTGACGACATAATCGAACCATCTGTTCCGTTTCCTGACCCACCATGGCAGTCAATAATCGTGTTTCTTCGCAGAATCGCAATAAGATCAGCATCACCAACTTGGTATACACAAATGATCGATCATTTCTGTTGTGTTGGAAAAGGTAAGAAGCAAAGGTCAGTAAGCTTACTAACAACTTGGAGAATGGTTGTATTGCTGCCGTAGTATTGCCACTGGTATTGTTGTTGCTCTTGGTGATAGATCGTGTTATCATTGATATAAAACGGGGATTCGTATTCACCAAGTCATAAAGTAAAAGAAGCATGGCTGAATCTGCTGGAGGGCTATTATGATGTTATTGATTATCAATATGAAAGGATACAAATCAATGTCAGTTCCAAGTTAATAACCTTAATTTTTCTTTTTTTTTTTTTGACATTTCACTTACAAATCTATCAAGGTATGGGCATTGTCGATGTCAATAAAGGGAGTTTTCGAAGATCCAGGGAACCAACTAGACATATAGGTCACCACGCTTTTTGTGATGGATTCGTCTTCATCCTTAAGAAGCTGATATTTTCTACACATATATATATATAAAGATCATTGTCAATACTTGTTTCTTTCCTATAGTCTAAACCATGATCAATTTTTTCCTCTGTAACTTACCGTGTCATGTCATTCAAGATGTCGGTATATATCGTAGCCAATTTCTAATAAGAAAGTATGCATAGTAAGAATGAAGCAAACGATCATGAGTACGTTTCCTTTTTTCTTCTTTTTTTCTTAACTTACTTCCAAGACACTTTCTTGCTTGTATTGAGATAATACATGAAGATATGGATTTCGGGTTTCATACTTGTTGTAGTTGGATAACATAGCCAATAACATAGTTGCATTGCGAACTTCAACGTCAGAGGACAAGTCATCTGCAATCACCTGATATATATAGATTGGCATAATAAAGAGAAGTATTAGTAAACTTACTTTTGATCAATTTCCCCTTTTTTTTTATCATAACTTACCGAGAATAATGTTGTTGATAGATCATGATGCATAAAATATCTAAGAAAAGATGTTATGTTAATAGTTGGTTCTATTCCATTCCATTTCTTCCTAGAAAAAAATTATCAATAAGTACATACCCGTTGAAACTGTTTTGATTCACATTGTCATTGCCAGCAGATAAGGTGATAGCTAAAGAGAGACTATAAGACTTGGTGACTTGTTGATGAAGTAAAGTATCAAGAGCAGAAATAAGTTTTCCCAAAGAAGCATCCGCCTTGTCAAGACCAGTAAGTAGATCAATAATGTTGAATTGTGAAAGACGTTTTTTCTTGAAGAGAGCTCGAACAAGACAAGTAAGCAAGATGATGGCGTTGATTTGACGTGTTTGTTCTACTGCTGTTGTAATATCGGAAGCTGTCATCCTTTCCAAACAAGCAGAAAAGATGCTATTGATGTTATTACGTCGTCCTAGTAATGACTCTTCTGAAGTTGTTTCGATAAATTCAAATATACATTTCGTGTTGATAGGTAATAAAAAGTAAGTATCCCAAAAAGTCGTAGGATCATTGGTGAAAGTGGTTTCGCCCTATCCAAAAAGAACAAAAAAAAAAATAATAATAAAGAGATAGTTAGTATGTTTCTCTTGAATAGGTGTAGTGATTCATTCTTTGTTACGTTTTTAATATAACCTTGAAAATAGTTTCACTAAGTTCAACGAACTTTTCCTTAAATACAGGCTTGCCACGTTGTTGCATACAATTTTCTTAAAAAGGTAGAAGAGAGAAAGAGGAAAAGAAAGGAACGGAAACCGAAAACATCATTTTTTTTTTTAGGGTGAGAGTTTTTTTTTTTTTTTTTTTTTTTTTTTTTTTTTTTTTTTTTTCATTTTAAAAGCGGTAATCCAACCAGATTTTTCCCTGAGCCAGTTTAGATTAGATCAAATCTAACCTTTGGGAATAACCTATGAATTGTAATTTAACAAATGATGATTTTTTTTTTTTTAGATCATGATAAAAAGGAAACCCACATGCAAATATTTGACATGAACCTTAATATTACAAGGTATTTAAACTCGTAACGTTGATCTCCACTTTTCATCCTTTCTCATCAATTTTCTTTTTATTAAAAAAAAAATCAATGATTATCAAGTTATATTATTCCATCTCGTTAGCTATTTTAGCCATCCTTGCAGGTCAACATGCTGATGCTGCTCCAGCCAAGTCATCTACAGGATTCCATACTGTTACCCTTACTCTAAATCCTCAATATCAAAGAAATGCCACCAGAGCGGTCTCCAAAGTCCATTCCAAGTATATGTCGTTGTTGAACCTGGTGCAACGTGATCTTGATTCAAGAAGTACTCATCCATCAAAAAAAACGGGTGATGTAATAATGACCGATTATGAAGATATAGAGTAATGCCTTGATAAAATACCAGATGCATCTTTTATTATTCTTATTCTTATTCTTATTATTTACCGTTACTAACCCGTACTTATATATAGATATTTTGGTACTGTCAATGTTGGTACTCCAGGTCAACCTTTCAAGTTGATTTTTGATACTGGTTCATCTGATCTTTGGTTTCCAGTAAGTAGATGCTCATGAAAAAAAAAAATAGATACTGCTTACTGATTCCTTCTCTCTCTCTCTCTTTTTTTTTTTTTTTTTTAAACAAGTCCAATTTGTGCCTTCTCTGTGGAAAACATGCTAGATTCAATCCATCCAAGTCGTCTACTTATTCATCTGGCTTACTACCATGGATAATCCAATATGGAGACGGTAGTTCAGCTACAGGAATCATTGGCAAGGATAACGTTGATATTGGAGGTATTGTTGTCAAGGATCAAACCATTCAAATGGCTTTACATGAATCTTCCAGTTTTCAAACCGGTCCAAACGATGGTCTTCTTGGTCTTGGATTTAGTAGTCTTGCTACAGTGCCTGGTACCATTACTCCTGTGGATAATATGATCAAACAAAAGTTGATCAAAGATCCTATCTTTGGTGTTTATTTGGGAAAACAATCTGCACATGGAGGTGGTGGTAAGATATACAAAAAAAAAAAAAAAATTATATATAAAATAAAAAAAAAAATAAAAAAAAAAGGTTTACTAATACTTGAATTAGAATATACATTTGGGGGAATCAATCCTGCTAGATATCAAGGAAAATTGACTACTGTTCCAGTGGATAACTCTCAAGGTTTCTGGGGTGTGGACGTTACATCCATGGTTACACTTGGAAATTCATCATCATCTGCCAAGACTCCCTTAACTGGCTCTTTCCATGCAATTATTGATACTGGTACCACTTTGGTAGTATTACAAAAAAATATCGCAACCAAGGTAGCAGCTCATTATCATGCTCAAGAAAATAGTGATGGTACATATACTATTGATTGTGATGGTTCTAAACTCGATCCTTTGGGTATCACTCTGGGTGGCACTGTGTTTGAAATTCCAGGTATGTATATCATCATCATCATCATCATCATCATCATATTTTTCTTAATCAATTAATTCATATTCTTTATTTATATTTTTATAAAAAAAGGGGAAGACTTGGTCTTTCAGAAGCAAGGAAGTAAATGTATTGCTGGGTTCGCCTATGGTGACTTCTCCTTTTCTATTCTAGGTGATGTTTTCATTAAGAATAATTATGTTGCTTTTAATCAAAAGGTGCCTCAAGTTCAGATTGCACCTATTAGACATTAGATATACTTTTCTTTTAAATAAAAAGTTTTTTTTTTCTTTTTTTTTTTCTTCTTCAGCTGTCAAAGCCATTTTTGGTATGATCATTTCACTGACCGCGGGGGAAGGGAGGAAAAAAAAAAAAAAAAAAGCGGTCATTGATCTCGGTTCTGAAAACTTTTCCCTTTCCTATTCTTTTTCTTTTTCTTTTTCTTTTTATTTATTTATTTATTATTATATTATATCCTCACTTCAATAATAATGCCTGGATTTATATTGGAAGAAGGGTTTCCACTTGCTCGATTCCAAAATACCATTGGATCAACTCATATGAAGAATAAATTTATTGTCGACCTCAATCCTTTATGTTCCACATTATCCACTAATAACACGATCGAGCAATCTGACACTGAAACTGCTACTGACGCTGATCAAGTGGTTGTCACCATACAAGGTGAAGGAATCAAGTTATACGATGTAAGTCATTAATCATGATTTAACTATTGAAACTCTATACTAACCAATATCATACTATTTCTATAGACAACCGCTCAAAAATGTTTGAAATCTTGGACAACCCCTCCTGGTATAAGTTTTGCCCATCCTGCTATCTATTATCCTGCTACAGGAGACGAAACTTTAAACTACACTTATGCTTTGGTTGACTCTGGATCCGATATTACACAAAAAGAAGAACGTAAAACTATTTGGATGTGGAAAGACGCTCAAAACAATGAAGAGATCGCTTCTTCTGCAAATAGAGTATCAAAAACAGTAAGTTAACAAATGAATTGACTGACTTCATAAAGGCTATCAAGTAACTAATTCTTCTTATTTTTTTTTTTGAATTAGTTCGAACAACGTATTCAGGCTATTCATGTTTCTCCATCTCTTCGCTTCAATACTATCTTTGTCTATGAGAATGGATCTATTGATCTAGTCACCAAAGATCTTGATCGATTCACTGCCAATTACAAGAACGAAAGGTAATATAGAAAAGTGATAGTAAAAAAAAAAATCAATGTAATAGTCATATTCATTTTTGATTTTGACTTTATATCTATCATAGTAACGAAAATGTAATGTGGTCAACTGTATTCGTTACTACAAGTTCTCATATTCGTCCATGCTGTATTCCCAACTCTATGGTACCCGCCAACTCTACCATTGTTGTCACTATCTGTCAAGCTGAAGGATCAGATAACTATTCTGTCAAATTGCATTACATCAACGAAGAACGTAGAAGTATTAATGTTGCTGCCGAGATCGATTTGAACCTCAAGGTAAGGAAGACGAAAAAAAAAAAAAAAGAATTCAGGAAAAAGATGAACGATCGACTAACTATGATTTCAATTAGAACAAACCTGTTTCTTTCACTTTGGACTCTACTCTTGGTATTTTGACAATTTTAGGTATATTTATTTTGTTGAAACCAAGGAAAGATGGCTGACTCTTTTTTTTTTTTTTTTTTATTTCTATTATAGAATCTGATGGTATGTGGACAGTTTACCATTTATCTCTCAAACATCGTTCTTCCAACAAAATTGCGGCTTATCTCGAACAAGGTTTCCAAACACAATTCAAGCACTATCAAGTTTATAACAAAACAGTTGGTAATGTTGCTTCTATGGCGGCTTTGGCTGATAACTTTGTGGTATTTGTGGCTCCTCGCATTAATGAAAAAGGTAAATAAAATATCACGGACTTGACTTTGATTGATATCTGTTACTCATTATTATTATTATAAGGATCAAATTCGATTGAACATGTCGTTAGTGTTTGGGATGTGAAATATGGTACTCTCCAAGCAGAACAAGTGATTAAAACTTCGGAAAAGCAAATCACTTCTGGCGATTGGATCTGCAAGGTAAAAGAAAAAAAAGAAAAAAAAAAGACGTTATATATATATAGTTATTCCTTTTTGATTCCAATCATATATATCTTTAATCAAAAAAAAAAATGATTCTTATTTCTAGGTGGATGTCTTAAGAAACTCACATATCGCTGTTACTATTTCCTCGATTCAATTCAAAACTACTGGCAATGGTAAATCTTCCAAACGTGTTGCTGACACAAAATCTGTAGTGACACTATGTCCTTATTACAATCAACCCATGTCTCTGATGGCTGCCATGAACAAGATGAAGTCTACTGCTACCTTTTTGGGAATTGATATGCACTCATTAACAGACAAGACAAATTTAAATATTGGTCTCACACGAAGTGGTCAAAGTGCTGTGTTACGAGGAATAAAGGTAAATATGATGTGTAAAAAAGAAAACAATACATATTGACAATCTTTGGTTTTTTTTTTTTTTTTTTTTTTTTTTTGGTTGTAGCCGGGTAAATACGACAACGAGGTCATTTTAGAAAAATGGAACACTCTGATCGAAGAGAATCAAAGTTCTGAAACGGCATTACTGAAATCATTGATGGACGACAAGTTAACAAAGGAAGAATTCTGCAACATATTCATGAATCATGTACAAATGAAACAAAGATCATTAGACAACGATTTGGTATCATCATCTAAATATACAAAAGAAAACCTTGAAGCAGATCAAAAACTTTGTTGGAGAACCTACTTTAGTAATAAACGAAATGAAGAACGAAGGGTAAGAATATCAAGGAGAAAAAAAAAACGAAAACAATGACAAAAGAGAAATACACACTAAATTTTCTTTTTCTTTTTCTTTTTCTTTTTTTAAAATAGACTTTGTCAAGTGAACTTTTATCGGTTGTAGTGGGTCGTATTTTTGCAACAAAGAATGGAAAGCCAGATTTGACTTTCTGGTCACCTTGTATTCTCGTATATTTAATGGCCATGAAACAACTTCGTAGTGGATTTATCAATGGTGGTTTAATGCGTGGATTAGTGGACCATAAAGCCTGGTATTTGGTTCCATTGGCTCTCGAAACGGTGATTGACATTCCTGAAACAGATCTTGTATTACTTATCAAGGAATTAGTAGCTTTATGTATTCAAGAACAAACTGCATGGTGGCATGATAGTTTCCCTCACTACTTGAAGATGGTGATGCAAGCTCCTAGAAATGAAATCTATCTACAACATGCTTTGAAACGATTGACATTGAAGGAATTACCGATTGTACTAAATGCCATTGTCCAATGGTTGAATGGGAAGGGATTGAAATCCAAAGGTCTCAAGTTACATCATAGTTCAAATGATTCACTTAGAAAACGCAATAATGTATATATGATTTTTTTTTTATTTTTATTTTATTTTTTTCAAACACTGAATGACTCAACATTTATTTTTATTTTTCTTCATAGATTGTGGAATTTACTAGTACTCTTCTCGATATTCACTATCCCACAATTATTTTAGAACCTTCTCTTCATGATATGGTGACGGATTTGGTGAAAGCTTCTTTGGCATTAACTGAACAAGTGGAAGATTTAGAAGAACTTTCAGGTATTTTGGCACCATTTGAACGAACAAGAAAAATCAAGACAAAGGAAGCAACATTACGAGCAGAAGAAAAGAAATATCAAAAGGGTGCTCCTCGTGTAGACAAGAAATTAGCACCAACGAAACTCAACACGAAATATGGTGGTGAAGAAGGTGTACCAGTATATAGAGTAGAAGTATTTCAATTTTAGTTTTGTAGTTTAATCTATTTGTTCTCATCCTGTATTTTCACATCTTTTTATTATTATTATTTACCAAACATTTTGCATGCAATAAAAAAAAAAAAACGATTCATCACATAGAAGAAAAGAAGAACATTTATCATTGGCTGCAAGATTTTGCCACAGTTTCTACTCCGCGTTTTTATTTTTATTTTTTATTTTTTTTCGTTTTTTCCTATTTCTTTTTCTTTTCTTTTTTATATTTTTATTTTTTTCCATCTATTTTGTATTCATACGTTGTATTCCCTTTATACAAAATATATATAATTTATTTGAATTCACCAAATATTACCATCTTCTTTTAGCCAATGTAATGAACACATTTGTGGAGTTATATTGAACATTTTATGTCGGGTATGAAAAAAACGGCGGAAAAAAAATTCATGGTTTTGTCACCGGTGACTATACTAAAAATTCGAAAATCTGATTCCAATAGGTAGGATGTTCGAATATGGGAAACTGGAATGACCTAATTCGGGGTAAGAAAAAGAAATAGAAAAAATATTGGATTGGATTTGTTTGAGAACAAGAGGGTTTTTTAAGATGATGATATTATATTATAAAGTTATCCCTGACTGAATGATGTGGCCTCTTCGGACGCTATCTCGTTGTTGAAAAGTCATGGTTTGAAATATCTGATTTTATTTTATTTTTTTTTATTTTGAAAGGGGATGGGGAATGAAATAAAAAAAAAGCCTTGTATATTATACACTTGTACTAACTTGTTTCACTTTTTTTTTTTTTGACAACCCTTTTTTTTTATATATATAATTCAGGGGATATCAAGTTCATTTTTAACCAATTGACAATTTCATCATGGTTATGGCAAGAATCCTTCTTTTATCATCATAAGGCTATGTTTCAATGTGAATCATCAAGAACCGATGAAATATAATCTTTTTGTTCTGCATAATGGTAAATACAATAGATGCCCATGATATATTTGTAAAACTAACCTTTTCTTCTTTCTTTTTTCTTTTTTTCTTTTTTTCTTTTTTTTTCTTTCTTTGGTTTGGCATATTTGTCCTTTATGTTACTTAAAACGCTCTTACTTGCCGCTCTTGGTGTGGTTGAAATAACTGCCCAATTAACCAACAGCACTTTGTTGAGCATCTTGAATACAACACAACTCAGTCCTTCCTACAAATTTATTCAACTTTTACAAAGTTCACCTGAATTGAAACCTGTATTGGATGTACTCTCTAAACCTGGTAATGTCACCCTTTTTGTACCATCTGATGCTGTATTTGATCGTTTAATTCAACAATATAATCAAACCCAACAACAACAAAATGGTGGATCCTCCTCTGGTGGAAATGGAACTTCCTCTTCTGGTGGTACTGGCGCATTAACTGAAGGAACTACTGCTACTGATGCTATTGAAACAGACACTTCATTGTCTATGGCTGCTGCTGATGCTAGTGGAAACAATAGTACAGCTTCTCAAGGTAGTGGTAATCAAGGTCAAAGTGTTTTCCCTCAAGGTTTCCGTATTTACCAAAATTTCACTTTATTGGATGTCATTAATTATCATATCGTAAATGAAACTGTGCTCTTACAAAATGAAACGAATCAAACTGTGATACTAAACTCCTTGTTAACCAATCAAACCGCGGACAAGTTTGGTTACGGTATGCCTCTTATTCTTAACAGCAACACCACACAACAAAACTCATCATCATCATCATCGACTTCTGGCGGTGGTGGCTCAAGTGGATCCAGTTCTGCTGCTACATCAACTGGGACTTCTTCCACATCTGCGTCAGTTTCTGTCACATCACCCGCGGCTGGATGGATTTCAAGAATCAAACAATTGGTGGATAATCAAGCATCAAGTTCTTCATCAGGTAGCAACTCTTCTCAGACCCCTGTTTATTGGATTGGAAATGGATTGGCAACCGCGAATGTCACATTACATGATATTCAAGCATCTAACGGTGTTTTACATGTAATTGATGATGGTAAGAAGAAGAAGAAGAAGAAGAAGAAGAAGAAGAAAAAAAAAAGAAAGATGGATATGAGTGTAGTTTGGCATTCTTTTCTTATCATATTCTTTTTTTTATTTATTCTAGTTTTGATCCCACCAGGCAATGCTACTAACGTATTTTCAAACATCTCTGATGCATCAGCTCTTTCTGAAATGATTCAAGAAAATCCTCAAGTTAGTCAAGCTCTCAGCAATGCTACAAATGTAAGTAATCATGAAGACAGAGAGACTGCTCCTTGTAAGATGGCATCTAGCTCACAGTTTTTTTTTTTTTTTTTTTTTTTTTTTTTTTTTTTTTTTTGAATAGGTGACCATTTTTGCTCCAAATGATAAGGGTTTATGTATGGTATGTATTGATCAATTAGGTCAGGACAAATGGCGAGGATTGGTAATGAACCACGTAGTCCCTGGTGTCTACTATACAACAAATTTGACGAATGCCTCTAGTGGTGGCTCTTCATCCTTCAGTTTGACTACAGAGGCTGGTGAACGTATCCCTATATCAAGCAATAGTTCTGGAATTACATGTAGGTGACATTGATATCATAACAAAAGAAAAAGTATGACTGATCATTGATTTTTTTTCTCTCTTTATATATATAGTGAACCATACAATCAAGGTTGTCACACCCAATATCTTGTTTAACGGTGGTGTGATTCATCTTATTGATAAAAGTAAGTGAAAGATCTGAACTTTATTGATTGAACTTGCTTCCACTCAATAATTTTTTTCTTTTGTTATAAAATAATAGTTATTTCTCCCCCAGCAAATAGTACGGCATCTAATAATGGTACAGCAGCAGGTTCTTCAGTTTCATCTCAAGTAGCTGGTCCAACTTCTTCCATGTCATCCTCTCAAGCACCTACTGCTGGTCAAACTGCTCTTGCTGCTCCAGAGAATGATCAAGACCAGACTCAAAGTCAAACAGACACCACTCAAACGGATGAACAAGACTCTGTGAAAGATCCCTCTCCAGCCTTTGACAATCCTTTCCCTCCTACTTATTATTAGTTAATACTTTATTTATTTTTTTTTCTTCATATGACAATATTAATAAAATGATCTCTATTATTATTATTATTATTATTATTATTAGTATTATTTATGTATCTATCTTGACTTTTCATGTATTTAGTCATTGGTCTAACGTAAAAGAGAGTTCCAACATCCCTTCCCCTCGAGATATTGCAATCTGAATTCATTCCATTTATGGAAGAACCTTGAGTTGATTGTATTAAATGTTAAATTGCACTTGCATAACATCAAGTTATCTCAAGCTTCGTCATGTCAAGATAAATACTATCAATGAAAAGATGACGGTGTATCTATTAATAACAGTTGTCATTGAAAGGATGTAAGCCTATGGATGATGACCTTGAAACTAGATGAGGGTTTCATATCCTTTCACCTTATATACAAAAAACTATCCTGTTTACTTGCTAAAGAACTAGATCTATTCATGATTCATCAACTCTTTTATTTCCTTGGCATCTCATCCGATCATCCTTTTTCACTCTTCCTAATTCATTTTGCTTACAAAAATGATAATGTTATCCCGAATGAATGATATACAAAATATTTAAGATACATAAATCGAAAGTGTCATACCATCAGGTTACGTCAAGAGTAACTATCACCTGAATAATGATTTGGATAATAATAAATAGACAGTAGTGATATGAAGAGCCATATTTTCACTAACTTCGAAGAGCATATATTTTTGATGATTTTTGTTTATGCCATTTTTCATTTGATAGCTTTTTTTTTTATTTATTTATTTCTTTTTACTTTAATAGAGAAGCGGAAATAATCCGAGCAGTGGGTCTTGCATCCATAAATGTGGATTTCTTTCCTTGTCTTGGCCTGTGATTGAAACTACGAAAATGGTGAAATTTTTTTTTTCTCTGTCTTTCTCTCTTCTTCTTTCTCTTCTCCTCCACTTTTTTACTTTAAACCCTTTCTTTCTTTCTTTTTTTCCTTTTTCCTTTTTTCTTTTCCTTATTATCTGTTATATATAATGCCTCCACCAGCAAATTCAACTCTTGGCGAACGTGTATCTCAATTAATACAGGTAAATCTTTATATTGTTACCTTGATGGTTTGATTTCAAAATGGTCCATTTATGTGGACGAGATGATCGTTTTACATTCTCATGACCTTTTTTTTTTCATTTGCTTATTTAGTCTTTACAATTCTCTTGGTTTGTTGGTCATGTATTGACTTTGATTGGTACATTTGTCTATGCTCTTTCGTATATCACATTCCGCGCTAATGTCAAGCCATACAAGATTGCCTACTTGGGTGCCTTAGTATCTTATGGTGTGGTCATCTATAAAACTCACGGAGTAAGTGAACGAGGAAAAAAAAGGATAAAGGATGTCGAACATGACTATACAAAAGAATCTACTTGGTAGTGGGACGAAAAAGCTTAATGGACATATTGGTTTCACTTGGTTTTTAATTTTTTCTCTCTCTCTTTCTTTTTTTTTTTTTTTTTTTTTTTTTTGGGGTGAAAATAGATCCCTAGAATTAATTCTGCTTATGTTCAACGTATGGTGGTTGATGAAAATGTTCAATACTTTCTTTTGGCTTTGTACTGGTTCTTCTCTAGTCCTGTTGAAGGTATATAGAATAGTTGACTCAAACCCCTACACTTTACTAGGATATATAATTTACAGGTGATTGACCTTTTTTTTTTTTTTTTCTTATTCGACCATAGTCACCTTGATTCCATTCGGTAAAACATAAGAATATGATATTACAACGATAGTCATCGCAAGTCATTAACCCTTTCTTTTTGCTCTTGATAATTAGCTACTTTCTCTACTTTCCACTCTCTTGGTTATATTCGCACTAATATCATCCCTACCGTGTTCCCTGTACCTCGACAAGCTTCTGGTTCAAATACACCTGCTACGTGGCAAGCCAAGACCCAACAAGCTATCAAATCATGGACTGACAAAAATTATGGATATGCTATGCGATTTGTGGCCACAGCAGAAGTTACCATTATTATGCCTCGATTAGTGTTGGGATTATTTAGGTAAGATATATATAAAGATGGGAATAAGTGATCTTACTGTTTTTTTTTCTTTCTTTCTTAAAACAAAATAGACTTAGACTTGTGCCTGTATTTTTGTATGCTCAGTTTTTACGTTTCCGATTCCATTTATCCAGTTATACTCGTCAAGCTTTCGCCGAGCTTCGTACAAATATGGATCGAGCTTTACTTCCTCCAACAGCTAGTGCTCATATTCCTCCCATGGTCAGTCAATTGTATACAACCGCCAAAGCAATGGTAATCAAATATGGTGAATCCGCCGTTCAAAGACAACCTGCCCCTGGTCAGCAATAGATAGTGTTCTTTTTTTTTTTTATGATAGTTTCTTTATTTTTTCTTTTTTTCTTTTTTTGCGATATTTGACGTATTTTGCTCTTATCATGATACAATAAAGAATCTATCCTTTTTTTTTTAAGCTCAACCTGATTTCTATTCTTATAAATATTTGTCATTTTATCCCTTTCTCTTTCTTCTTTCTATCAACTTTTTATTTTAGTTTATCATTGAATCAACAAATCGTGTTACCTCTATGTCTGGTATCTTCTCTGACTATTTGCAACGACAACCAATCTATCATGAACTACTTCAAATATACTTACGTAGGTCATTGGTGGTAATCTATCAAAAATAAAGACCATACCAGGTTATTCTCTGTTGATATATTGAATTATGCCAAAGGCTTATCGAACCACTTTGGTAAGTTAGTTTTTTTTTTAATAATAAAAAAAGGCAAAAACATGATTTATGCTAATTTTTTTCTTTTCTTTTATTTCTTTTATAATCAAAAATAGAGAATGCCATCAATCGTGAACTCCCAATTACAATGCTGATACTCAAAATAACGTTGATGATATTCTCTTGGTAGCTTTCTCATAGGGTTTTATACCGTGTGTTCGACAATAAGGAATATTATAGCAGAACTTGGCGAACAATCGACAACCAATAAAAAGCTGAAGAACAACCGAACGAAATAAGGCAGAACAAGAAGGTGCTGGACTCTCACCCAACCGTGCGCAAATTGATATCTCAATACAAATGATAAAAAATTCTACTGGCAACACACAAAGGTCTTGTCTGTCCGTTACTGGTATTATACTATTTCTCCTGTCACATTCTTGACACTGACGGGAATGATGAAATTACCAAAAACTACTTCGGGATATGCTCACGTGGATATCTTTATGTACTTTTTGAATATACAGTTACAGTTAGGCATTTTATCACACTTTTATTCTTATTCTTTTTTCTGTACACAACAATCATTCTTTACCGCGAATCGATGAATGTTTGGAACAACTCTCTGGTGCAAGGTATTTTTCAAGCATTGATCTAAAAAAAAAAAAAAAAAAAAAAAATGGTACCACCAAGTACGAATTCATGAAGATGATGATCCTAAAAACTGCATTCATTGCTCGATATGGATCTTTTGAATTCAAGGTAAGATGAATCTATTCTGGATGATTATTGATGTTATTTATTCCTTTTTTTTTTTTATGACACATATGAAATTCTTTGAAGAAGGTGGGCAAAAGAATCCATACAACCAAGACAGCAGATCAAGATGTTCCGTTGAAAGTATTGTAATGTAAGAGACATAATACAGCAGCGACAATTCAGATTGTACCAGTAGACGGGTAAAACAGTTATTTAGATTCTTAAAACGCCTACTAGCAAGAAAACCAGTGTCAACGGATGTAGAAGAATTACGACATCAAGATACTTCGTTGGATTTGACGGATAAGGAGGCGAATGTCTAGTCATTGATAGTCATTATCCTATGGATTACCATTACATATCTATACTTTTTTTTTAAAAAAAAATACATTTTAATATTAGATTTATCTATCAATAAAAGAAATTAGGATCAATCATCGTCTTTTTTTTTTTTTTTTTGGACTGCTATCGTAGAACTTCTTTTGTTATGATCACACTCTTCTGATCCTCTTTTTTGTAGAGCAATCTGTCAGCATAGCAAATATGCCACTGGAATGAGCGATCTCTTGTTTTCGTCATCTGGATATGAGTGGAGAGTGGCTTTATAGACGATATGAAGAATGTACCGAACAAACATTGATACTACTTTAAAAAAGAAGTTTTCTTTTTTTTTTTTTTCTATGAAAGGTAAAAGAATAGTTAGCATGTCTATTATCTCTTTCTTTTGATTCATTGTACATTAAATGAGATCATCCATCATTTTCTATGTTGTTGTGGCAATTTTTTTTTTTCGTTAAAACTATATAATCACCCGATATGTAATGTATATCACGTACATCATAAAAAGACAGCCAAGTCTTTAATTCCATCTTAAACCGCCTTTTTTTCCCCTTCTTTTCTTCGTTCAGAAATCATCATTCCACGCGCAAGAAGGGAGGGATGTTCTTATCTAAACTCATTTCTCTTTATATACTTTATGGTATCCATTGTGTCTTGGCAATCTATCCACAAGGACCAGGTCTAGTACATTACTGGGGACAGGTACAGTCGTAAGAAAGAAAGAAAAAAAAAAAAAAGAGAACGGGATCATCATCATCTCCTTGTTACCATATTTAGCATTCGTTTGTTGAAGATCAAAAAAGACAACAACCTTTGGCTTCTTATTGTGATGGGGTTTCAGAAGCAGTGATTATAGCTTTCATCAGTGGATTCAATATGCAAGGGGATGGTTTACCATTGTTAAATTTGGCAGATAGTTGTGATGGACCTGTTTTTGAAGGGACAACCTTGTTAAATTGTCCTAACGTTGGGAAAGGTGAAAAAGAAAAAAATCCGTGCAAGCGGTCATTGAAAAAAATGGATATGTAGAATCAAAAAAAAAAAAAAAAAAATACACTAGCCTTATTTCTCTTTTCTTTTCTCTTCTTTTCTGAAAGATATACAACAATGTCAAGCCAAAGGAATTAAAGTACTTTTATCTCTTGGGGGTGCTTCTGGAGTTTATGGTAAAAAAAAAATAATAAAATAGAAAAGGAAGAACATAACCAACAAGCTATTGTTTTCTTTTTTTTTTATATGGATAGGATTTAGCTCTGATGCTCAAGGAGATGCTTTTGCAACTACTTTATGGAATGTGTTTGGAGGTGGTAGTAGCCCTACAAGACCATTTGGATCAGCTATTGTCGATGGTTTTGATTTAGACATTGAAGGTGGATCTTCGACTGGATATACTGCTTTGGTTCATCGACTAAGACAACTGTTTGCCACTGATATGTCAAAACCCTACTTCATTACAGCTGCCCCTCAATGTCCTTTCCCCGATGTTATCCTTGGCCCAGTCATCAATTCGATTGCTTTTGATGCGCTCCATATTCAATTCTACAACAATTATTGCTCAACGACAAGTGGCCACTTCAATTTTGATATTTGGGACCAATGGGCGACAACCGAATCTCCCAATACCAATATTTCGTTGTACCTGACTGTCCCTGGTTCCCCAACTGCTGCTACCACTGGTTATGTTTCTTTGGATGTTCTCGCTCCTATTATTAAGAAAGTCGCTGCAACATACTCCAACTTTGCCGGTATTGGGGTAAGTTATTTTTTTACGTTATTATGATATTTACAATTAATCAACTCTTTTTTTTTTTCTTTCCACTTCCAATCCATGTATCTCTTTATCTATTTGTTTATCTACTTTGGTATCCTGGATGTCTGATAGGTTTGGGGTAAGACTAAAAAAAAAAAAAGGAAATAGCTACCATCAGTTACATGATGATGATTCCATTTTTATTGATTTCTCTTTATCTTTATTTGTCTTTTAGACGCATCTCAATCGTATGCCAATAAGCAAACATTACCTAGTTTTGCTCATGGTCTCCAACAAATGATTCTCCAACTCAAGGCGGATGGATCCATTGGCAACAACAACAACAACAACAACAACAATAACAACGGACTCACCAGCACTACTGTCTCTATTATACCATCAACTCCTACGGGCATTTCTGCAATACCTTCTTCTACAACATTGGGCAATGAAGTTACTCCTTCTATTCCATCTGATGACGAGTGCATAAAGGAAGGTGACAGTTGCGCCTTGGATGCTCGACCTATTTGCTCCGAAGCTCATTATGGAATATGTAATCAAGGAAAGTACACGTTTTTACCATGTCCACAAGGCACACAATGTTTTATGACAACCGACAACAATTCTATCTATTGTGGCACTGGATTACCCGGCAACAGAAAACAATCTCAATGTACACCTCGAGTACGACATAACCGTCTTGAACATGCTATTGATTTGGTAATGTCTCTCATTGATCATGCTACCCACTTGCATGATGAGGATCCATCTCATCGAATCCATTTCAGGAATCATCATCGTCAACATCTTCAGCAAAAGCAACAGCTAGCATACTCGCAACAGGCACTGCAATCATCCAATTTGCCAACACATCCCATTGATGTCAAAGCTGTATCTACTCAAATCAGTGTCACGCAGTCCAATGGTTCCAATTTTACTGCCACAGTGAATACTCGACGTCTGGATAATCGACCGTTTGGACCTAAAGTAACGATGAAATTCAATGTGGCTCAACATATTCATGTCACTGGTGTGGAAAATGGTCAAGTTCAGCAAGATGATACGAGTGTGTTCTTGACGGTGGCCAATCCAAATAGCAAGTCCATGTCCTTGGTGTTTGATATCTTTGGAACTCTTGATACTGATATCTTTGTGGCCCCTGATCCAAATTCATTAGTATTGTTCTCTTCTTCCTTAAGATGATATCTCCGTCATATTTTTTATTTCTATCATTTTATTTTATTTATAGTTTAGATCGCTTTTTTTTTTTTTTTATTATATACAAAAATTAGTCAATAAAACATAGCTTGGATCAATATTTTTTTTTTTTTTTTTGATATTATCAAATGGATCATCACTCATTCGTCTGACGATCTTTCTATTCAGTTATACAGTGTTTTCAAAGTTTTTTGTCGGGTCACAAGAAAATGCTTTTCGTGATGTTATAAAATAAAATATCGTACTTTCCCAAAATGAATGGCGCATTACCACTTTTTCAGATATCGCTCCAGAGATGGCGGTAGAGTACGTTAAAAACACATAACATATTGATGATAGCTTGTTTATTAAAAGTAAAAGATACAAAAGAAAAGTAACATATGCTTTTCATATTTTTAGCAGCTTTGGGTGTTGCCCATTCTTTTTTAGGTATCAATTGATTGATGATTGATGATTGATGATTGATGATTGATGATTGATGATTGATGATTGATGATTGATGATTGATGATTGATGATTGATGATTGATGATTGATGATTGATGATTGATGATTGATGATTGATGATTATATGTTGGATGATTGATGATGGATGATGGATGATGGATGATTATATGTTGGATGATGGAACATCGTAGTCAGTCACTGTACAAATTTCTGATAAAATACAAAATACTTCATTCTAGTTACCTTCTGACAGAACAACATTTTCTTTTTCTTTTCTTTTTTTCTTTGAAAAATGTCAAAACACTCTTTTATCAGCCAACATGATAAATCAATATAATAACGATGATTCATCAAACATCTATGGAAATTAAAAAATACAATAATAAATGTGCTGTACACAATCATACTACCATTTAAAATAGAACAACTAAAAAAAAAAAAAGAAAAATCTAGTCATCAAACTAAAACACGGCAAAAACAAGTCAGTATCATGTATCACTTGGTACATGGATATTGTAATAATAGAACTTAATGTAGAACATTTATATAATTAACTTTATTATAAAGAGAGAAATGTTGCTAATACTAAAAACAAATGATGTAGATACTAAAAATAATAATGTAGATACTAAAAAAGACAAATGATAAATTAGATACAATATAAAGAAAGAAATGTTGTTAATACTAAAAAAAAAAAATGATGATGAATTAGATACGATATAAAGATAGAAATGTTGCTAATATTTAAAAAAGATGATAAAACTCGCTTACATCTTGTCTCATCATTTTATCAACTAAAATTAGCTCATAATTGCAGGGGTGATTCATTTTCTTATAAAAGGATCTCTTTGATTTAACTCTTTTTTTTTTTATTTCTTTACATTATATTCATCTTACGGGTCTGCCTTTTGGCTTACCTGCCTCCATTTTGGCCTACCTGCCTGCTTTTTGGTCTGCCTTCTTCTTTTTTTTTTTGCCTATCTTTTTCTTCACAAGTATTCTTTAATGGTTCAATAGCCGTTGTCTATAATTTTCTTCACAAGTATTCTTTAATGGTTCAATCACCGTTGTCTATAATTTTTTTTACAAGTATTCTTTAATGGTTCAATCACCGTTGTCTATAATTTTTTTTACAAGTATTCTTTAATGGTTTAAGCACCGTTGGTTCAATTAATATAACAACTTAACAATTCAACAATTTCCGGGATGGTTATCGCCATCCTACTTTCGCTACGGCGATCTCGTTACACTTAAATGGTAAGCTAGTGAAATATTTTTATCTGGATAAGTATTACTCATTTTTTATTTTTTTTTTTTTTATATGTTAACTTGGTGAACTCAATTGGTGGATTTCTTTTTATTTTTTTTTTTTTTTGATTGCTCTTTTTTTTTCATGATATCTATTTTCTTATATTCTCTATTTGATTATGCGACAATTCTCTTTTTTATCTTCTGTCATTTATTTTCTATCCTTACGATATTTTATTTCCTATTTTTGCGCCATCTTATTCTTTGAATTCCGTCATTTTTTATTGAATAAAGTGTACAATAATACTGGATGCAGAGGTTTTTTTTTTTTTTTTTTTTTTAAAAAAAAAAAAAAAATAATAATGATAATAATCTGTTTATTTGCTACGAAATGATATGTGACCTTGATTAGATCTGAAAACTCCTATAAAGATCCATTTTCTTTTCATTGATTTAGTGATGATTTCATACAAAGAACAAAGGGTAATGATAAATAAAGAGGTCTTTTTATTTGAATGAAAGGGGATATCAATGTACATAATACTAACTATAGAGGGGATCCTATCTAAATGGTATCAGGTGATTTGTACACATGGAAATTGATGACTGGGGAATTATTACTGGAGTATTGCTTGGTGATGATAAGAGGGTAAGATGGATGAGGAATCATGATCGACAATCGACTAGATGAAAAAAAAAAAAAGATATATCAATCGAAAGAAGGTTTTTTTTTTTTTTTTTTTTTTTCGTTATTCGTCATCTTACCGACTAAGATTTTCTGATGATTCGAAATCGCTAGGAGGTGGATTTGGATTGATTTTGAACATACATTGATGATGATAGCTTGAATAAAACTTGACTATTTGATTTGCAAATTTGAGTTTCCTATAAACACAGTAGAATGAGAAAAAAAATTTACTTTTTTTGATCAATACATACCTATCTGTTGGAGAAATCAAATTTTCATCATAAGCAAATAAAGACAAATCAAAGTAAGGAGAGTCCATATAGGATTGACAAGGGATAGGTAATTCCATAGATAGTTTTTTGATGGCTTCCTTTCGACTACAGAGATAAAAAAAAAAAAAAAAAAAAAAGAATATCAATGAAAGATCTCTTACTTTTTTTTTTTCTCATTACCTTCCTTGATTTGATGATGACCATGAATGTACTTGTTTCATTAACATGGCTTCAGCTTCTGGATGATTTCTACAATTGGATCCAAACCAAACAGTTCCTTCGGGAGATCGGCCTTGAATCGTATCTGCATAATCCTTGAATAGTTCCAATACTTTTTCACTTGATTGATCAAATAAATCATCTATTTGGTTGGTCTCAATATTGAATATGACAAACAACATGAATGGACTTGAACAAACAACTGTACCATCAGGTTTCTAAGGAATAATAATAAAATAATAAAAAAAAATGAATGTTAGATTCATACCTTCTCTGGTATTATAGTTCAACTTACTGGAGTGAGTGTAGCAGTATCAGGGGCCAATTTGATTAAAATATGTTGTTCATCCAAGAATTGCAACCGCCAGAATTTCATCCTTGTATATACATTATAATTTCGGAAAAATTGACGAGAAGCTATACCGCCATCAGACTCTGACATACAGAACCGGTGGAGCTTGGATAAAAAGGCTTGTTGAAAAGATCCATACAAAGGACATTCCTATAGATAAAATACAATGGGATCGTCATGACCAAAAAAAGAAAAAAAAATACTTACTTGTACGTCAATGCCAAAGTCGATTAAAACTTGCCAAGGATCCGTATCGTCATCGAGTTGCTCTCCACCCATCATTGAATTGATTGTCATGTCCATTCTAGCCGCAGTGATAAAAGAGTCAAGTCCTTGAACATCGTCTTCTAAATGTGATGAAGGAGAATGTAATGATGCTTCATCCATATCGTTTGTTTCTATTGCTCCTTTTGGTAGTGCTTGCTTTTTCAGGTTTTTCCATTTTTGTAACATATATGCTTGATTTTGCTGTTGGTGTCGATGGATAACAAGTTCATCATCAGGATTTAAGAATCTACCAATGGACCTTAGTTCATGGAAATTGCCGTGTACCTGACATTAAACAAAAAAGAAGTTAGTTATCATCCTTGATCTAAAGCATAATGAGATAATACATACGTCAAGTAAAATCAATTTGATGGTTTGATACTTCAACGACAAAATAGATAAAACTTGACCATATACACTAACACATGCATGATGGTTGATATGTAGGAAATCAAAAGGCATCTTATACTGGCTAACTACCTAAAGGAGGGGAAAAATCATATCGTTATTATATCGTTGTCATATAAGATGTCAATCATCTTTTTTTTTTTTTCTGTTACCTGACCAGACTCAATATCAATGCTGTAAAATACATAGTCAATAAGGACATTGAAGGATTCAAGGGTGCTTGGATATACTGGATTTCCATTGGCTGTTGCATACAGTACTTTGGTTGAAGCCAATACCAACTTGATTATATAAGATGAATACAAAAAAAAAAAAAAAAGGTACATTAGCTTTCTGTATACTCCTATTTTGTCATTGGATAACCTACATAATTTGAATTTATCACCAAGCAAAAGTCTTTGCATAAAATGTGACCTGTGGGAACTTGGACAGTTTGTTCATATTTGAGACGAAAGAAATGAGAGAAACAGAATTGTTCTTCTGCAGGAGACAAGGGATTATTTGTTGCTGACCAAGGATAGACACAAGTTTTGGTATAATACAAGATAATCTTGTTGGAACTTTTGGATAAACAAATGAGATACTAATAATAAATAAATAAAATTAAAAATTTGCTTTAGTTCATAAACATGTCTTACCTTTCCATCAAAAGTGAATCGTAGAATATGAATGTCAAGGGGAATATGCACTTTGTAGATGATATGATTTGGTACTAAATCCGTATAAACAGAACGAGCATTCAACAAGGAAATTCGTTTATCTTTTCTACCGTTTCTAAGTTGACGTTTTTGAATGTGATCATATAAAATCATAATATTTGGGGAAGGTTACCAAGGTCGTTGCTATGAGACAGAATGAGGTTTAGTATTTATTTTTTCATTGAATTACACTTTATTGTTATTACCTTGAATATTTTTTGTAATTTTTTTATTTATTTATTTGATGATACCCCGTTGTCAAGGTGAATACATTATTTAGTTAAAGAAGAAAAAAGGAGAAAAGTACGCATTGAAATGCCTTTTTAATGTGAAACGACCCTCACTGTAACAATTTTAAGCGGCAATTTCAGCTCAGCAATAGTGAATTGAAATCCGCTGACGAATTATCATCAAGAGCGACGCAATTTTTTCACCTTTTTTTTTTTTTTGTTTTTTTTTTTTTTTTTTTCTCATTGACACAGTTTTTCTTTCTTTTTTTCTTTCTTTCTTTTTTTTTTTTTTTCTTTCTTTAGTTTCTTTCCCTCCTTCTTTTTTTATTTTTATTATTATATACACCTTTCTTTTTTTTACCTTAATTGTTTCTTTCATCTCATATCATCTTTTATCATCAATATGCGTGAGCCCAATTTCAGCTCTCCAGCTCAAAATAAAGCTGCAATTGTTATCTCATCTACGTTATACGATCGACGGGCCTTGGATTGTACAGCTACACTACCTTTGGTTAACTCTCTTACTCATCTTGCTTATATGACATCTACTTCACCTCGAATTCGTGAAATACTTGCTTCTGATGGTGGTCTAGAACGATTAGTCAAGATACTTGCAACTAGTCATAATACTGATAAGCATTCTTTATGGAAATGGTCTTTAGCTTTTCAGTGTGTAGTTAATATTGGTGTACGGGGAACTGAAGCCATTCGTACTCGTGTGGTGGAAGTTGGTGCTGTCCATGTTGTTTTAGCCATATTGGAAAATTTCTTACGAGCAATGGAACAAGCTAAATTGGAAAAAGAACAAGAACGTACAAAATCTGCTCACCATGTGGTGTTCAGTGGAAATAACAACAATACTACAACAACTACCAACACTGCTGTGTCTTTACCCACAATGCCTTTACCTCCTCAATCACGATCAACTCCAGTGACTCCTTCTAGGCAATTATTCAGCATTTACCCACCTCCCTTAGCCAACAATACAACTACAACAGGCAATGAAAACCCAGTCTCTATTACTACTACTACTACAACAACACCTACAATGTCTTTGACTTTCCCAACAAATTCACCATCATTGCCCATCTTGTCATCATCTATATCTTCTGGATCAACTATTCCTTTCGCCATTCCGAAACGACGTACCTTCTTATCCCATACCGTCAAAACCAAATCAAGAAACAAGAATGCTAATTTATCCTCTATTCCACTTCTCAACAGTCTTGCTTCTGATGTTGTTCTTCATCGAGAAGATGATATTTTGTTATCCTTACAGTTGTTGGCTTATCTTTCGAAATACCCTCATATCCGACATACTTTTCACAACAATCATCGGCATAATGTCTTCTCCGTGGTGGAAAAATTTACTCATCGTTTACTTCCTCAAACTATTGCTTACTGGGCTGGTGTCATTATGCGAAATGCTTGTCGAAAAGATGAATCACAAGGTGGTATTCGTCAGTGTGCTTCTATGGATTGTGGGAAATGGGAACGATACCCACGTGAATTCGCTAAATGTCGTCGATGGTAAACAAAAAAAAAAAAAAAGTTATATATATTTTTCTTTCTTTTTTACTCACTCTTTTTTTTTTTTTTTAAAAAAAAAAATGTCATGATGATGATTTTAGTCGAAAGGCCAAATATTGTTCAAAAACATGTCAATCAAAAGCTTGGGGTGACGGTCATCGTTGGTGGTGTGTAGAACGAACTCATTCAAGTCATCCAACAAATACAATTTCAACAACAACAGCAGCAGCTGCAGCAGCAGTAGTGGCAGCAGCACCTCCTCCTCCTACAAATCCTTTAACTGATACTGAACAAATAGGTTCTCTAGATGAAGCTGCAACAACAACTACCCATATTCCCATCAATATTGACGAAACTCGACCCATTGATCAGCAACAACAAGCAACAACACAACGTCAAGATTTCGATATAGATATAGTACCACCTCAACAAGACCAACAAGATATGTCGACGTCGGATGAAAATAGTAGAGGCACTGGATTAGGATTGGAAGAAGAAGATCAACCACGACGTTCACAAACTCAACAAATTTATCGACGATCTCCTTTTACCAATGAACAATCACCTCATCCACAACAACTGTCGCAACAAGATCGTCAACAACAACAACAACAACAACAACAACAACAACAGCGAACACATACACATGGTGATGGAATGTCTGATCGTCTTGTAACACAACAACCATTATTATTTTATCATCGTCGTCGTCGTCATTCTCGATCAGCTCAAAGTTTGGCCTCTGGATCTTCCACCGAAGTCGAAGTAGATACCTCAGAATCGTTACAATCCACACAACAGGACCTGATGGAAATTGATTAGATATATTTCTTTGATACGCATTTGGATTTCCCCTCTTTTGTCTTCAATTATTATTATTATTATTATTATTATTATCTTTAGTCTTCATCCATCTCATTCTCTTTATATACAATATATATATATTATATCTATCTATCTATCTATTTTATGCCTCTTTCTTTTTTTTTACTTTATTATCTCTTTGTGTTTTCTTTTTTTCCGTCTTGATTTCTATTTAGTCTTTGTTATATTTTTTTTTTTAAAAAAAACACATATAAACCATCATTTTGACAATCAATTCTATTTTATTGTCTTTTTATTATTATTATTATTATTTTAGTCTTTCAACATACCATGCCTCACTTTTTTTTTCTTCCCCCCCTTTTTTTTTTATAGTTGGTTAGAATGATAGTTCAATAATAAAGATTTTACTCTCTCTCTTTTTTTTTTTTTTTTTTTTTTTTTTTTTTTATTTTGGCAAAAGCATATTGCTATTGATGATGTATGGTAAAACGATTGTCTCTTTTTGTTTTTGGTTTGTATAAGAATGGTATCACAGTAAAAAAAAGAGCGTTGTGACACGAAGAGGTCATCCTCCCCGATTTCATGCATGCATGGAAATATAAAGAAAGAAAAAAAATAATAGATCGTATGTATATATATATATTGTTATTTTTTTTTATTATTATTATTAAAGAGTATAAATAGTATTAGAGAAAAACTATACAATATGTAATCAGAGATGTAAACAAAGAAATAAAAAGAATAAAAATAAAAAGAAGAAACTATTATAAGACTCATCCACCAAAAGCATTTCCTAAAAAGTTGGCATTTCCACCAATAGAAGCAAAGAAGTTCACATTGTCGACAAAGGTACGAATATAGTTTTGGTAACGAGACAGATGGGTGCCAGGAGCAGGAAGAGAGCCTGGAATACCGCGTTGTTCCACAATCAAAGTTTGTTCATCAATATCCACCTTGCCCTTCTTTTCTTTGTTACGGAACGCCGTTGCATAAGAGTTGAGAGAATACACACCAAGAGATTTCAGCTCGGCCATTTCTGCATCCGTGATACCAAGTTCATCTTGAGGAAGCCAGACAGGTGGCTGGGTATTATAGCTGGCGGGATGCATGTATGCTTCGGTTGCGTAGAGTTGTTTGACAGCTGTAGCCACCACTGGATTCTTTGCATCATCGTCGTCGGTGTCCTTGGTGACTTCGGATTCCAATTTCAAAAGAAGGCGATGATGTAAGGCTTCAGTATCTGCATCATCTGGGGTTTCATTTTTTTGCTGTTCGTTTCGTTGTCGCACTTGTTGAGTTGACATATCCGTAGCCGTTGTCATACCACCTCCACCATTATTACTATAATCAGACGATGTCGAATCTGGTGAAGTCAAAACACGACGATCTTCATCTTCTACATGGTGTACCTTGGCTTTGTTTTGATCTTTTTGTAAATGATTGTCCTTCAATAAGTCACCATCATCCAATTTGATGTCAGTTTCCTTGTCTTGGAAGCTATCCATAGGTAAATACTTGAATAAAGGTTTGAATGATTTGTCATAAAGACCAAGAGCAAAGGCTGTCACCACCAACACCACAATCATAATCACTAATTGTCCAAGTGCTTCATTTCCACGTACAGCAAAAAGTCCAATCATTGTCAATTGCCAAGTGTACATACCAATGTAAACATGTCGAATAGCCCTTGGGAAAGCTCGTCCTCCAGTTTCATATTCCAACTCGTAAACATACAAGAATTGATAGAGATAGACGAAGTAATTCAAACAGAAGAATAGGATCACAAATGGGAGAATCAAAGGTGCGATGGTTGAATATTCAATGCCCAATACAAAGATCACACTATGCGAAGGAATCAACGTACCGATACTGATACCAGGTAATGTTGTCTTTTGTTTGTAAATGTCACGAGGTGTTGTGGAAAAGATCGGCATAACAAAGGATAAGATGTAAGGCACCAATTGTAAAATCGCTTGACCTGTGGCGTTGGTCGATTGAAGCATGACAAAGGTAATAAAGAAAGTGGATGCCTTTGGAAGATTTTCAGCCAAAATATTGATGATCGTTGTTGGATTTTGAAGAAGTTGAGGCAAAGTTTGTAAGATACCACCAGCAATAGTTGACACCAATACCACGTCGACAAACTAGGTTAAAGAGAAAGAAGAGTGTGATTAGTGATCCATTTAGTTTAAAATTTATTATTATTACATACCTGAAAGAAGAAGTATTTGTGGAGAACAGATAAATCAACAAATGATTTTTGGGGAATACCTTCAAGTTTTGATAAGAAAGCAAAGATAACAGGCACCAAAGCGATTAAAATAGCCAAAGCCACAGCTGGAAGAATACCTTGAATAATACCAACCACAGTAGGACCCAAATTATTCACAGCACTCAAAAAAGGTAAAATTTTACTGAGAGATTGTAAACTTGAGATAGACTGGACGAATACAACTATATAACATAAGAAGGAAGTAACATTAGAATCACTCATCTTTTTTTTTTTTTTTTTTTTTTTTTTGTAATTTCTTACCAGGAATAGCCCAAAAGATCACAATAGCAGTAGTGACAGAGATACTGATCATTCGACGAATTAAACGTTCAAAAGATTTGATGTTCATATTATCCCAAATAATATCAGAAGGAGCAATTTGAACATAACGAGGAGACATTTGAAGTTCAGTATGATGGATCAAAGTTTGAGCAGCCATTTGAGCAGCAGATTGATAATGGAATTCGATAAAGGCAGAATTACGTTGTTTGCGATTGGGAATATCACGTTGTTTTGCTTGAATTTCTTCATTGAGACGAGCGATTTCTTTGTTGTAATAATCAATAGAATCTACTTTGCGACCAACAAGAGGAAGACCAAAAGGCATAAATCCAGGCTTGACACGATGTGTAGGACGTAATTTCTTGGGGATGGTGTAACCTCCAGTATTTTCTTCTTCATCACCAGATTGATCCTTGTTATTGTGTTTGTACGACGCTAAGATTACTTTGGTAATAGCAGTTTCCAAGTTACACACATTTTTTAGACGTTCATCCACTTGATCAGGTAAATCCTTGAGATCACTGAACACCAAAAAAAAAAAAAAAAAAAAAAATTAATTTTTTTTTTCCTAGTTTCCTTTTTTTCTTTTCTTTACCGATTGAGCCAAACATGTCGTACTCCACCAGGGAATTTACTGAAGAGTCGTTTCAAATTTTCCACAGTATTAATATCTTCAGGAATAGAAGGAACATATAAAGTACGAGCCATAACAGAATTCCTATATTCATCACTCATCAAGTAAGCGCGTCGTAAAACAAGATACCGGCGGGTTTCACGGAATGTATAATAAATGATACCAGCTAAAGAAAAAAAAAAAATGAGGTTTCAATTTTTTTTTTTTTTTTTTTTTTTTTTTTTTTTTTTTTTTTTTTTTTTTTTTTTTACCTGTGAATACCACGGATAAAACAAGATGAGCCCATAAACGATGAGAATCACGAATGTTACCAATAGTAAGTTTATTGAGACCAGGGGAATCCAATTGATTGATGATATTAATAGGAAACAAAATAGGAATAGCCAAAAGAGAGAAACTAATAAACACCACCATACCCATACGTAAAAATCTAAGAATCATATAACGATCAAGACCCATTGTACGAATCAAAGTGTCATCCGGTATCTGAAAGATTTCCCATATCCATGATATTGTTCCATCTGATAATGGAGGAGGTCGTTTTCTATAAAAAAAAATAAAAAAAAAATCGTATCAAAAAATGTCAAAAAAAAAAAAAATAATTCAAAACTTACTCAATAGGAGTAGCATATGTTCTTGGTGCATAAGTTTGAGGTCGTGATTTTCTTAAAATAAGAAAAGCACCAAAAAACCCAATACCTAGAGCAGCATTAAACCATAAAGCTGAAGTAAAAGTACTGACGGAACTATCCGCACTATTTATTTATTTATTTATATATAAAAGAATAAATATTAATATATATATTTTTTTTGTAAGTTTTCAATAAATCAATTCTCTCTTACCCTAATTGATCTTGACGAGTATCTGACATTAAGATCAATTAACCAAATAAGTGTAAGTTAAAAAGATACTGATTGTCAGAAAAAGAAAAAGATCGCGTAAGAAAGAAAAAGAAGAAAGAATAAGTATATAAAAAAGTAAGGATAAATGAAAAGAAAAAAAAAAAAAAAAGAAAAAGGAAAGAGAGGAAAGAAAAGGAAAAAAAAAAAAAAAATCCAAGAATCCAATACCGCTGTTTCAAAGGCATGCATGGCGGACTTAACCATCTATTGTACCCTCAGGTTCGGAACACTTTTAGTGATCCTCACTTTTAGAATCACTTTTTTTTATTGTTTTTTTGATTCGCCTATAAAAGACTGGATTTAATCTCACATGCTGAGAGTAATAAAATAATATCTATTTCAAAAAAAAAAAAAAAAAGAAAATAAAATAAAATAAAATAAAAAAACTACTAGGGATGACTGATACTGCACCTTTCCCTTTTCTTAGCTTAATTTGGCAAATCGCCAGGTGGATTTGTTTGTATTTTTTTTTTCTATTTTTTTAAATGACTCCCGTTCACCAAAATGCGCTTTTTAATTTCTTTTTTCATTTCTTTTTCTTTTGCTAAAAAAGATAAAAAGTGAAACATAGCAAATCATTATTATATGACTGAGACAATGGTTTTTTATTATTTTTTTCATTTTAATATACTAAACTATATTTGACTAACCCATCTATCTATTCCGATGAGTGTTAACAATGGCCGCAATTTGTTCCAATTCAGTAGTTAGATCCTAATCAAAAAAAAAAAAAAAAAAAATTAAAACAAAAAAAAAAAAGGGTCAATACTTACTGTAAACATGCTGAAAGTTTCGTTGATCATCATTGCATATGCATTTTGCCAAGTCCCCTTAAATAAAAAAAGTTAAGTTGGAAGACACTGCATCAATATCCTCCCAAAAACAGTATTTTTAGTCTTACCTTATTATTGCTTTTTTGATCTAACAATGCCGAAGAAGATAAAAGTGATTGATAATCCACCGTCATCTTTTGCCATTTTTCATGAATATCCATCCCCATATTTTCAATGGCTCCTGCTACTACTTCTAAGACTTGTTCATGTTGTTGTTGTTGTTGTTGAAGATAATGTTGAGACATGGATAGCTGTCGTTGTATTTCCTATTATGGTTAAGGTTAGTTTATCATTTCTATTTTTTTTTTTTCGTCCCTCCTCTTTTTTTCATGATCTTACTTGAGTATCATCATATTCATCCATCGTCTCTAGACTTGCTACACTAGAGTTTTTTGTACTTGTACTTTTAAATGATGATAACGTATCCGATCTGCAGTGACTAGATGTAGAGAGTCGTCGTTGTTCACCAATACCTAAATCCTGTATCATAGATGAATTGGAAGATTGTGTTATCGTTGTTGTTGATACGTTTTTGTCAGACGGAACAGCACCGAGGTTCTATCATTATAACGTAATGATGACGATGATTAATCTTTGAGTAACACACCATCCATTTTGAGAGGCAATAAAGTAAAAAAGAAAAAAAAATAAAAAAAAAATAAATAAACAAATCATTCTCACCTTGTCAACCTTTGAAGAATATACCATACTTTCTTTGTGTCGTCTATGACTATCTATAAAATAACAAAAATATATGAATAAACGTCATCCAAAAAAAAAGGTTTATAATTTACCAATGGCACTACAGGTAACTGGTCGTATGGGTACTTCATGATTGGATGATCGTTGTAGTGATGATGATAATGTTGAAAATGAATAGCTTCGCGTTCTTTCGTTCCGTTTGGTCATATCGGTTGTTGATATTGGTGGAGATGGTGATGGTGTTGGTATAGATGATTTTGTCGAATTTTCTGATATATTCAATGATGAAGCCTTGTTATGTACTGATGAAGAAGAACATTGATGATGATATGTTTGATCATTCATGTTGGCATTTGTAGAGGAATCATATCGTTTGCGAGTTGAGTATAAAGCATTGGATGATTTGCTGGCGAAACGACGTAGCACTGGTGGTTTCGTTGACAATGATGATGTTGTAATGGATGATGATGAAGAAACTGAATGTGAACTGATAGCAGAATCATTCCATGAAGAGTTGGAAAGTGTTGAAGTTTGTTTCGACGTTGATGTTGTTGAAATGGACGATAATGGTGTGCGATCATGTTGTGACTTCATCGGCATTGATTTGGATGATATTGGTGTTACTTGGAAAGAAGAGGAGGCCCTATAAAGAAGAGTGAGTGTCCTTGCCAAAAAAATTTTTTTTTTCTTTTTCTTCTCTTACCGTGGAGACGTTGGAGAAAGTGGTAATGCAATCCCATGATTAAATAATTTACTGATAGTAGTCAGACTAGGAGGTCGTGGTACAGATCTTGACTTTGATTTTCGTTGAATTTCATTACGAAGGACTTTGTCATGTATGTTGGAAAAGACAGGAGCCAGTCGTAGTCTACGTTCGCAAAGTAGAATATTGTTCCAAAAGACACGTTCAAAATCAATAGTTTGATCTGGGTATAATGTTGAACTAGTTTGTGATGATGATGGTGTAGTAGATGTTGTATTGCCAGAAGAACTGATATCCCCGGTAACAGGTAAGGATGTACGACTACAGATATGAAATCGAAAACCACGTATATCAGATTGAACAACAGCAATCACCCATGGTAAAGATGTTAGATTGCCAAATAATGTTTGTAATTCCAAATCATCCGAATCTTCCATATATAATATAGTCATATTGTTCTAAATATAAAAGAGAATCAAAACGAAATGAGCAAATCATTTCAACAAATCATTTCAACTATTTTTTTTTTTGTCTTTTCGACAAACTTACTCTTGTTTTGGCCATCCTATAATCGTCTACATTGTAAATGTTACTGTACACATTGATACCATCCCATTGTCTTTGATAAACTTGATCATTTTCGGCTACGAAATATATGATAGAGATAGATGAATGAGAAAAAATGTAGGCTCCTCTTCTAGTAGGTCTTGACTTACAATATTGCTTTGCCAGTGCTTTTGCTTTCTCAAATGCTTCTCTAAATCCTTGAACTGTTGTTGTTGTTTCGTTGGGATGTTGAATAATACTGAATAGCCTAGGACATTTCCTAAAATATTTTTCAAAAGTAATGGATGATAGTGAATCCCGTCGTTCAGATTTTGGTTGAATAGGTGTGATGGTATGTAGTAGAAATGAGTCTTGTAAATCTAATAATAGTATGATAGAGAGAGAGAAAAAAAAAAAAAGAAGTTTGCATTCTGGTCAGATTATATATATATATTTACCTTGGTTTCCATTAAATATTTCAACATGTTCCAAATCAATCCATCCTTTGAATTTCATGTTTGATTCTTTTTTCGAACCAGAGGATCCAGAAGAAGGAGAAGAAGTTGAACTATTTGTCAAAGATACAACACCATGGATACTATTTCTATTTGTATTCTTTTTCATATCAGGAACACCACAAGGAGTTCGTGGGTCATCTTTCCAATTATCTAATTCTTCAGAGGTACGTTGATTTGGTGGTCGAGTCGCTATCATGATTTTGTCAGTAAATAAGAAGAGAGTTACTGTTCTTGCCGGTTTATTGGTATCACGTTGAATTTCAATAGCATCAACAAAAGTAATTAAAGATCGATTAGGATTGATCAAAGAACACTACAAAATCAAATATTTTTTTTTAATGAGACATTGAACTTTTTGTTTTCATGGAAGTTTTCCCCACTTACAGGACAATCTTTGACAGCTTGATAAAGATTCAAAAACATAGTGGCTACCTTGGTGGGAGTATCATCATCCATTATTGCTATTTCTTGTACTTTCATGCTGGCATCCTTCAATCCAATAAAATCAGGGTGATCTTGAGGTGTCAGTTGTAATATATCTAGATAAAAATTATGATAAGTATTATATATATATATATATAATAAATTTTACCTTTAAACATCATTGCATATCTACTAATACGTTGAACAGGTTCCAAAAGAATATCTTGAAATCGTCTTCGTTTGAATACAGCTTGTTCCTTGGCTTGAGTGACAAACCGTCGATACAATGGATTAGACTTCATTTCCTTTGTGTGCAAGTTTTGTGCTTCATGTTGTTCAAGAAGATACTTTCGGTAACAAGAGAAGTGAGTCATCTAAAAAAAAAAAAATAAAAAAAAAATTGGTTTAATAAATAATTATATTCTTTTGATATATTTGAAGTTTTATACTTTACATGGGTTGAGCATATATCACCAAAAGTTTTACCAGAGGAGAGTTGTTGTAATTCATTTAAAAAGTCTTGATTGACTTTATAAATATTGGATAAGTTGAGGAAAATCTTTGAACATTTATAAGTATTAAGAATGGTCTTGTTGGTTTCCGTTAAAGGTCGTACAACGTATTTCAAAGCAGCGCGTATAGTTTCAACATAAGAGATTTCTGTTTCAATGAATTCTTGTATACGATAATTGCGTAATTCATCGTCAAATATAAACTAATACGAAAAAATAAGAATTATTTTATAAAAAAAAGAAGGAAATAAATAATAATAATAATACCGAATGATAAAATGGAGAAGAAGGAGGGGAAATGTTAGCTTGATCATCTTGAGGTTTAATTGGGTTTCCGATAATGGTAAGAAATTGTTGTAACTGATAAAGACGATCTATTACATAAAAGAAAAATGTCAAAGATTTTTTTTTCTATTTCTTTTTCTTTTTCTTTCTTTTTTTTTTTTTTTTTTTTTTTTTTTTTTTTTTTTTACCAGCAGTTCTTTTTTTCTCTGGAATAACAATATCAACATTTTGACACTAAAGAAAGTGTAATAAATAGTTGAATATATGATTATTATTATTATTATTATTATTATTATTATTATTATTATTATTATTACCAGTGGTGATTTTGAATTGGAAAGTAAAATTTCTGATGGGTCTAATAAATTGTCATTTGTAGAAAGAAATAAAGAAGATATTTGTTTTTCTTTATTTAATCTACAATGATGTGTATAACCTAATGAATCGAGTTTTGTTTTCGTATTCTAAATAATAATGATTATTATAATGGTATAAAATTAAAAAAGAAATTATTACCTTCAATTGAGCCATAATGAATAAATAAAAAAATAAAAAAAGAAAGAAAAAGAAGAGGGAATCCAGGGTCTGTAGTTATTTTTATTACAATAAGACAAGATGGTCGCACAGATCTGAACTGGTGTATATTCTTTCAAATAGAAGTTTTGTTTTTCTTTTCATCTTTCAAAATAACCATTTTTGTAATTCATCCGTTCTTTTATTTTAAGTTTTATCATCAGAATAAACGAATGATAACCATTTAGTGTTTGTTCATTTTCATAATTCTATTTAAATCATGAATAGCATGAAAAACCCTTTCTACATCCGAAGAACAATCACAGTCCGCGATAACATCCCTCGTTGACTTTTACCATATTAGTAGTCAACTATAAGCCAAACCACATGAATCTACCATACGATTCTTTTCAAATCCGATCATGATCATTCATTTTATTTAAAGTGCCTGGAATACAAAAGTGCATAAAACAAAAAAATAAAATCACTTTTTTTTTATTTATTATAAAACAATATTTGAACAATGATTGATAATTAAGATACAACTATATATACAAAAAAGAAAATAAAAAAAAACATAAACAATAACTAAATAGTAAAAAATAGATAAAAAAAAAATAGATAAATAATATTCAAAAGTTCGATCGATATTGAACCAATACAGCTATACTATGGTATCCTCTCTTCATATTAACTTTGGTATTCCTTCGTACTTGTTCCTCCCAAGATAAATCTGTTACAAGGTCATCGTCATTGTCGTTCTTCAAGTTGATAGAATTAATGTCGTCTGTAATATATTCTTCATTCCTCCGTAATTGTTGTCCAATATCCACTTCGCCAAAATCATTGGAACCTCGATCATAATCACCACTACTATATGTATAGTATATAGAACTACAGGAATCAGAAAAGTGTACTGACTTGGCACTAGAAGAGCTAGAACCAGTACTGCGGTCCGTAGGTTGGTTTTTCAATCGTTTGTTGTATAACTTTTTCCAAAAAGGCGTTCCTAACATTGAATGCATGCTATAATTTTCGTGTTTTTTTTTTTTCCTATTGTTGACAATATAAAAGTACAAGTATTTGTAACGAGTCGTATGATTGCAGAGAAAGAGAGAGAAATAAGAATAAAAAAAAAAAAATAAAAAAAAAGATTAATTTTGAGGGATTATCGGGAGTTGAATGAATAGAAAAAAAAAAGACTCTTTCCTGCTGATCTTTCTCTTGACTTTCTAAAAAAAAAAAAAAGCATGGGAGAGAGAAATCATCATCAAATCACTAGCCATCAAAAGGTCATACCACTCGTACAGTCCATATACATTGGTAACATGACAGTCACTTTTTCCTATTTCTTTTTCATCATCTACTTTCCATTATTGTTCCTCTTGTTCTTTTCTCTTTTTTTTTTTTTTTTTTTTTTTATTCATCCTACATTTATACCTCAAGAATTATTAAAAAAAAAAAAAGATGAATCGTATGTCATTGACAAAGAAAGAATCATTGCCTCCTATAGTGGATGAATCATCCATCCTTCTACTTGGAAGAGGACAAGATATAAATGAAGCCATCGATGATAAAAATGAAGCTGTTTTACTTTCTCCAGGTATTGAAGTTACAGGTTATGAATTACCAGATTCCATGTTGGTACCATTTGTTGTACGGGAAGAAGAAATAGTTCAGGTGATACAAAGAAATCCTGGATTTATCACTCAGGTACAACAACAAGTGGATGATCATACTTTTACTAGATTCAAATCCACTCTTTTTGCTCCTCGACATGACATCAATGATCATGATTGGTTATTACGCATAGAAAATTTACTCTCCAAACTCTCCACTCCTATCTGGGAAAACTTTCAAGCCCTTGTGGATCATTTTCCTACATCAACTAGTTCTACAACAGATGAAAGTGATCATCAAAGTAGTCCTAAAAGTCCAATGCCTATATCAACTACACCCCTATCGACACCAACCTTGTTATCAGCTCGTCCTCCATTATTAGCGCAATTAAAGGAACAACGATATGATAGAGGATCATCCACTTCCACTGCAACTTCAGGTGCTTCCTCTTTCAGATATTTATATGATGATCATGGTTACTTTTTCGATCCTCGGATTAGAAAGAGTAAGACCTGGATGACGGATTTTGAACCACTGTTGAATGAATGTAAGACTGTCATGAAATCGGATGATTATCGACTTTTTGTACATTGGCTCTTTGTATCCCCTTCTCATATCACTGATGATCATTGGGAATCAGCTTTATATGAGTGTTTAAATCAGTATCCTATGTTATTTTTAAAGTTAAAGGATTGGATTGATCAAAAGATAGAAGAATAAAAAGATTATGCGGTACTTAAAATGTAGTCCAAAATCAGGGCGACTGTCCAGTCACGGTTTTTGGTATTTTTGTGTTTTTTCGTTCCTTTTAATTTCGCGTTCCTCTTTCTTTCTTTCCTTTTTTTTTTTTTTTTTCTATTCTACAAAAAAAAATAGTTTATTTGAACAATATCTATTATGGTAAATTGAATAATAAGATAGTTCAAGTTCATAGATAACTTTAATCAAATTTATACTCTTCTATCACTCTAACCATTCTTTCTTTCTTTCTTTCTTCTTCTTCTTTAGTCCAATCCCGATCGTAAACGAAGAAGAGATAGTATCAATCGACCTTCTGATTTGGGTCATGTCGATTCACCTGGACCTTCATCTTTTCCACCTTCATCACCAGCACCTTTCTTTTCTGAAGCTGATTTCCGAAACGATGCTGAAGAATTAGAAGAAGAGAACGACGATGGTGAAGACCTTTTTGGATCAGATATGGAAAGGTAAAGAAATACACTCAAGCATTTTTTTTTTTTTTTGACTTACGAAATTTTATACCATAGAGATTACGCTGTCAATCCTGAACAAGACGAATATGAAGACGTTGGTGTGGATAATGAAGAATACGATGCTTTGGATATTGCCTCTCGTCGTGCAGTCGATGCTAAATTAGGTCGCCGTGATGCTGTTCTACAACGTCGTGAAGGTAGAATGGCTGGTGCTCTTTTAGATGGTTTAGACGATGACGAACCTGAATTTAATGTGCCTATGGGACGAAGACGACGTCATTTATATGATACTCAAGACCTTGCAGAAGATGGATCTGGCATGGTAACACACAGTCGAAATTAGGAAGAAAAAAAAAAGGGGGGATTTACAATATCATGAAGATATTGACGATTTCTTTTATTCTTTTTTTTTTTTATTTATAGGCCGAATTGACTATTGAAGATCTAGCAAATGTAAAAAGTACAACCATTGGTGCTTGGATCAATCAAGAAGCTCCTAGACGTGCTGTTAAACGTGAATTTAAGGATTTTTTACAAACTTATGTGGATGAACATGGTATCTCTGTTTATGGTGAAAGAATTCGTGATATGGGTGAACGTAAGTTAAATATAAAAAAAAAGTGAATAAATAATGTATTTGTTCTAATATAATTATCTTTAATATTGTCATTTTCTTTTTATTAGGCAATGGTGAATCATTTGAAGTGAATTATGAACATTTAACTTTAAGCAAAGCCGTGATCTCTTATTTCCTTGCCAATTCCCCAGTTGCAATGCTCAAAATTTTGGATGAAGTGGCTCTTGAAGTAACATTGATGCAATACCCTGAATATGAACGTATCCACCGGGATATCCATGTACGAATCACTGATCTACCAACTACCAGTACTCTCCGTGAACTTCGACAAAACCAACTCAATTGTATGATCCGTGTTTCAGGTGTAGTTACTCGTCGTACTGGTGTGTTTCCTCAATTGAAATGGGTTAAATATAACTGTGGTAAATGTAATCAACTTTTGGGTCCATTTTATCAAGATATTCACAATGAAATCAAAATTAATACTTGTCCAAGTTGTCAAAGCAAAGGTCCATTCAATGTCAACATGGAAGAGGTAAAGAAAAATGATGATCATTTCAAATTATTGACATATGTTCTTATTTGCTTTTTTAGACTGTCTATCGAAATTATCAAAAACTGACTATTCAAGAATGCCCTGGTACTGTTCCTCCTGGTCGTTTACCCCGTCACCGTGAAGTTATTTGTCTTTGGGATTTGATTGATAAAGCTAAGCCTGGTGAAGAAATCGTATGTTAAAAAAAAAAAATAGAATGGAGGATAACCATTATTAGAATATACTAAATATCCCTTTCACGTATTTGTAGGAAATCACTGGTATTTATAGAAATAATTTTGATGCTTCTTTAAGTACGAAGAATGGATTCCCTGTTTTTGCAACTATCATTGAAGCCAATTATATCAATAAAAAGGAAGATATGTTCTCTGCTTATCGGTTAACAGATGATGATAAGAAAATTATTACAACTATGGGTAAGGATAAACTTATTGGGAAAAAGGTAAAAAATAAATATAATATATAGATATATAAAGAATAGTGAATCAGAATGGAGAAATCATCAGACTGACTCTTTTTATTTTATTTTATAGATTATCAAAAGTATGGCTCCTTCCATCTATGGTCATGATGATATTAAGCGTGCAATTGCTCTTTCCTTATTTGGTGGTGTGTCAAAGAATGTACAAGGCAAACACTCCATTCGTGGTGATATCAATATATTGATGCTTGGTGATCCTGGTACTGCTAAATCTCAATTCCTGAAATATGTTGAAAAAACTGCCCATCGTGCAGTCTTCACTACTGGTCAAGGTGCAAGTGCTGTTGGTTTGACTGCCTCTGTTCATAAGGATCCTGTCACTCGTGAATGGACTCTGGAAGGTGGTGCTCTTGTACTTGCTGATCGTGGTGTCTGTTTAATTGATGAATTCGACAAGATGAATGACGCTGATAGGTATTAAAAAAAAAAGCAGTATAGATAGAGTTGATTGAACTTAAGATGAATCAAATTAATTCTTTATATTTTTTTTTTTTTTGCCTTTTGTCATTAGAACATCTATTCACGAAGCTATGGAACAGCAATCTATCTCTATTTCAAAAGCTGGTATCATTACTACTCTTCAAGCTCGTTGCTCTATTGTCGCTGCAGCCAATCCAATCCGTGGTCGTTACAATGGATCTATTCCTTTTTCACAAAATGTCGAATTGACCGAACCTATTCTCTCTCGTTTTGATGTACTATGTGTGGTAAAAGATATTGTGAAACCTGAACAAGATTACGTATTAGCTACGAATGTCATTGCCAGTCATGTGCGAAGTCATCCTCAACCTGAAGAAGAAGATGATGAATTTGCTCAACCAACTGCTGATGATCCAGATGTATGTCACTAAAATAGATAGGAAGTTTTATAATGAATCATTTGAACTCTAATATTTTTTTTTATTATTATTATTTTTCAAATAGATCATTCCTCAAGATCTCCTTCGCAAATATATCATGTACGCTCGTGAAATGGTTCATCCTCAATTACAACAAGTCGACGAAGATAAATTATCACGTCTATACTCTGAATTACGTCGGGAATCATTGGCTAGTGGAAGTATTGCTATTACAGTGCGTCATTTGGAATCCATGATTCGATTAGCTGAAGCAAACGCGAAAATGCATCTACGAGAATATGTACGATCGGATGATGTAGATATGGCGATCCGGGTGACATTGGATAGTTTCATCAGTGCACAAAAATACAGCATGATGAAGGTTTTACGTAGGGTATGTAGCACAAAAAAAAAAAAAAGAAAAGTGGATATTCACTAATGATTTCTGTTTTTATAGCGCTTCAGCAAATATATCTACGATGTGGACAAATAATCAAAAAGAAAGTTAGCCCTCAAAGTTTAATTTGTAAGTGTAGTAAACTCTGCAAATGATACTTGTATTGACACATCTTTTTTTTTTTTTTTTTTTTTTTTTAGGCTAGACAAATACATATTCATAATACGTAATTCCTTCTTATATTCAAAGCTATTAAAAAAAACACATATACTCTTTGAAACCAACCCGTGGAATCATCATCAAGCATTTATTAGTTTTTTTTTATTTTTATTTTTTCCTTTATACATATTTTACCATCATTTTACATTATTCATCCCCTTTTATGATCTTATTCTACATTATGAAATAATAAAAAAAAACGAAGAAGAATCAGTTATCATCCATCGACTTTTTGTTGTTCAAACGTGGTGTGATGATCATGATTTCTGACAAAAGTACCAAAAGGTAAATATCTACAGTGCTGTTACATAAAAAAAAATGTTATGGATCGAATTTCTCACTAAGGAGCAACCTAACTAACAAAGTGTCATTATATATGATGAGGCTACTTTTTAGAAGTATAATGAATGGCAAAGAGTGATAGTGGCTCATATTGATGTTAACAGTGTTGTAAATGGAGATTTTTTTTATAAACTGTCAAAAAGCATCCATAGGCGGAGTTGGGTTCCTATTGGAAGGTATACAAAAAAAAAAAAATTATGTCTTTTCTCTTTCTCTTTTTAACAAATCATGATCACACCCACTTTTAAAGTAAATCAAGACACCGATAGTATTACTATTATCATCAACACACCATATGTCAGAGTAAGTAGTTAAAATAAACCAAAGGGATCATAAATTCATTTTACCTTTTTTTTTTTTTTTTTTTTTTTCATTTCGACAGGCTCAGGATGTCGATCTTCATGTTCAAGGCAATGAATTTCGGTTTTTCTTACGACCTTACTTTTTACGGTAAAATAAATCAAGTTTTCTTTGTAAAGTGCGACTCATTTTTTTTTTTTTTTTTTTTTTTTTTTTTTTTTGGTTATAAAGACTGTATTTGCCTGGATCCATTGTAGAAGATGACGACTCAAAAGCTTCATACGATCCGTCGTCTGGTCAGTTTACTGTTCGTGTGTCCAAGGAAACCAAAGGCGAAGTTTTTCCTGATCTTGACTTGTTAACTAAACTTCTTGCTCGAAAGGGCGAAACTTCTCGTGATGGTCCCAAGAAACCTTTGATCGAGGTGATCTCTAGTCAAACAAACAATGATGATACCATGGAAGATAATATGAATGATACGGCCCCTACTGCTGAATTACAGGATGGTAACCAAAAAAAAAAAAGAAAGTGGATAGAATAGAAATTGATGTTTTTTTTTTTTTTTTTGTGTCATTAGCTGTCGACTTTAATTGGGAATTACCACAAGCATTACCTCAAGATGATCTTTCGATCCACACAGCTTATGGGTTCAATAATCAGTACAATGGATACTTTACACATGTCAACGAAACGGCCAACGAAATCAATGCAGTACGTGAACCAGAAAAATCAAATATGGAATCAAGGCGTAATGATCGTTTAGAACAAGAAAATAATAAATTTGATGAAGATCATTATGCAATGGACTATATCAATCAGGACGAAATGCAACATGTTCTTCAATACAAGACAATTTGGGCAAAGGAACTGAAACGGATACAAAAGCTAGCGAAAGAATCTGTTGGGCAAAACAAAGGTAAATTAGATGATTATATCATAATCAATCTTATTTTTTTTTTTTTTTTTTTGGTAGCACCTCTTATACAAGAAATTAGCACTGAAGCAAATATTGGTGATATTGATATGGGATCATTGTCCATTGTTAATAGTCAAGAATCTTTAGTGAAATTATCGGAAAAGGATCAAACTATGATGCGGGATTTGCCAAACAAAGAATGTAAGAAAGAAGAAGAAATTATAAATGCGTCCATTTAACTTTTTTTTTTGTGTGTAGATCTTTTATCTAATGAAAAAACGACCTATCTTGGTTTAGTGGATCTTCTTTTTGCTTATTCTTATAATCATCGTGTGTCTGAAGGGGAAAACAATGTGGAATCTGTATGGTGTATTGGAAAACTGAGTTCAACCTTGGCTTCACTGGAGGTAAGTGGTTGATAAAAAAAAAAAAAAAAAGACATGTCTCTCTGTCTGTCTACTTTTTTTTTTTAACTCTTCATGCATCTTTTTTTTTTTTTTGTATGTTCATTATTCTAGCAATTTTCCACCTTGAAAGATGTGATGACGGCATGCTATCGACGCGCATTGGCATATCCTTTGTATAGAAATTGGACCTTGTGTGAAAAAGTATTACAAGATGTATATATCTTATTTAAATTGGGCAAGCGTGCAATTTTGAAGGCGTTATTGGAAATGAAGGATCTCTTTGATCATCACGATATTTATTATGTTTATAGTAAGATTTGGTTGGATGATTATTGTGTTTGGATTCAACATGCAAGGTAAAGGATATAGATTTTTTTTTTTTTTGCCAATGACTTGATTACATTTTTCCTATTTTAACACAAATTCTCTTTTATATATGTATATAGTGACCCAGTATTACGGACCTTGGCACACGAGTTACACCATTTCCATCTACAGAAAAAGGATATAGAGTGGGACTTAGAAGAATTAGAAGAGGTATAAAATACTGTCTACCATGTGTATAGTTCTAATTTTTTTTTTTTTGATCCTAGGTTGCACGTCAGATGAAAGAAATGGAAAATATGGATCAATAAATCATTTTATAGTTTAGCATCTGATAAGTGTATATGAAATATAGAATAGAAATAGTTATTACATGTTGTTTATAATATATTATTGTATACATTGGAACTTTTTTTTGGAAAAAAAAAAAAACATCTGACGATGTGTGTGTGTGTGTGTGTGTGTGTGTGTGTGTGTGAAAGATTGATACTGTTTTGATAGTGATGAATGATGTAACTTATCTATTATGTTTTTTTTTATTTATTGGTGAATGTAAGATGAAGCTTGGTATTTCGGGAAGAACTGTGATGAAATGTAATAAAAAGGATCTTGGCTACGCTGGTGATGGTTTGTCAACGGTGATAGGTAGTAGTCACTTGGTTGGTTTGAGACTAATGTTGGCTTGATAGTGATTGAGAATACAGTATCATCCTGAAAATGATACACAAATATGATTTTATTAAGAAATGCTAAAAAAATGATTTTTCTATCATAACTAACAAATGCTAAATATATCGTGACAAGAATCAAATGAGATAAGAAAGTTCAAATCAGAGAAAGATGATCAAAATGATAATGTTTCTATTGTTGAAAATATAGGTAAAGAAAAAAAAAAAAAAAAAAAAAAAAAAAAAAAAAAAAAAAAAAACTATAATAAGAATAATAATAGAACAAAGGAGGAATAATAAAAAAAAAACGTAGCGGTATCAGATTCATGCATAAACTTTGTGTCACTTTATTTCAAACAAAATAACAGTAAAAAAAAAATAAAACTATGGTAGATATAATCATGGTATGATGAATAATGAAGACTAACAAATGCTTGATAGAGAGTAGTAAACTAAGTTGGAAAGGAATTATATTAAAAAAAGAAATCATCATCTTGATCTCTTTGGTCGGCCACGTCCTCGAGAGATGTTTCTTGAACGGTCCAATGCGTCTGTAGAATGTGAGCTGCGATGAGATAGATCATCAAGACCATCCGGTGATCGAGATGAGGATGGTGTACCTTGTTGCCAATTTTCCCTTCGTTCCTTTAATTTTCTTGCCATTTGAGCTTCTATATCCTGTTGCATATGTGGTATCCTATTGAGTCCTTTATCTTGTCGCATTTTATTGACTTTTTCTAAGGAAAAAAAAAAGTTGGAAGCAATATAATGCATTATTAATATTGCTGTATTTTTCTTTTTTTTTTTCTTATTTACTTACCATGTAATGGTTCATACTCTTCGTCTCGTAATCGTTGAGCATTTTTCTGTAGATCTGCACATTCACGTCCAAGAGAATCTTCCAATTCAGTGATCTTTTGATATATATATATATATATAAAATAAAAATAAAAGGAGTTACAATCATTCACTAAAAAAAAAAAAAAGTTGATAAGTCCCTTACACTTTCAATATCGCGTTGTACTTCTTGGATCATCGTCAAAAGTAGTCGTTTTTCCTTTAGTCGTTTATGTCGTTGTGCTGTCAGTTCTTCCAACATATTCGTTTTGCTTTCTAGTAATTCATTTGTTTGTAGTAAACTGGCTTTACAATCTACTAACTGTTGTGTCTTCTCCCTAGATATCAAAGTAATGAGTAACATAAAAAGTGTAAGAATGAAACTTTACCGTAATATTCCAAGAGAATCGAATTGTTGTGCAAAATCTATTTCAGAGAGTTCACTAGAATAAATAAAATAGAAATGAATAGGTGAAGGTAAACTTTAAAAAAATGGTTATTTATTATTTACCTTGACATATTTTTATTGTGTGAAGGCAGAAGTGTGAAAAGAATAAAATAGGAAAGGAAAAAAAAAACCGCAAAATCTCCAAAGCCGTGACTTTTTTTTTTATCTGTCAAGGCAAATTCCTAGTTTCAGCAGCCGATTTGTTTTCTTTTTTTCTGTCCTTTTTTTTTTTTTTTTTTCTCTCTTTTACCTTTATAATATAACCATGTTGACAGCATTAGGTAAAGTATACGAAAAGCAATCAGTTGAATACATCCATTAAAAAAAAAACTTAAAATATCCATATATATGTTTACTAACATTAGATATATCTATGATTGATTAGGCTTCTTGAGTAAAACATCACTTTCTCCACTTGGACAATCAGCTCGTGGTATGGCTTACAAGTTAAAAACACATTCTGGTGCCAAAAAAAGGTAGTAAATAAAACCATTCATTCTGAATGTCGACTGAATGTCTTTTTTTCTTTCTTTATTTATTTGATATGACTATAGATTCTTACCTACAAGCAATGGCAATTACAAACGTTGGCAAGCAGGACTTCGGCATTTGAATCAATCCTTCTCTGCTGAACGAGTCAATCGTCTTAGTCGAACTGTTTTGGTGGACAATACCCAAAAGAAAATGTTACGAAAGGCCATGCCTTATAGTTGTTAATCCTTGTAGAAAATAATCATTCATCATAGATCATCATCATTTATCATCATCATCATCATCCTTATTTGTTACAACGTATGTATAATAAAACTTTATTCTTTTCATTTTTTTTTTTCTGTGTGTGAGATGTAATCATCATTATCGTTTCTTTTTTTTTTTTTTTTTTCTGTTGACATTTAACTATGCAAAGAAAAACCTTCGAATGTGATACCATTATTACTTATCGATGTACTAACTATGACTTTTCACGTGTGTATATTAAAGCAAAAAAGAACTAAAAAAGAGCAATTTACCAGAAGTAAGGTTAATGATGTTTAATCACCGATTTTATGGGGCAAGTGGATTAATGGGAGATTTTAGTATCAGGAACATCGTTCACCAACTGACACCATTTTTTTTTTTTTTTCCTTATCTTTCTATCAAATCATTTGTTATGGGTAACAAGTTTCTGCGGGGTTTCATCCAAGGCTTTGTATTGATAGATCTCCGTTCATATCCAACCAACTATCAACGTTTTCCTTCTATATAATATCATGAATTCATGACCCGCGAGACTAAAGCCTTGATAAAGGAAGGGGGGCCCTTGAGCGGAGACATGGTTCAACTACGTCAGTGATTTCCACTTTCCTTATCAGGATGGTCCAATAAAAAGGTAATCGATGATACCACATGAAATATGACGATGATCTGTCACTCAAGTAACTTTATAATGAAAAAAAAAATAATAATAATGAATGAATTAAAAAGGATTCATTTCATATAAAAACAAATAATAATAATAATAATGGATATGTGATCATATCAAAAAACCAAATCTTTTGCTCAGGTTACTTTTTTTTTTTTTTTTTATTTTTCTATCTCCTGACTATTGAAGGTTTCGCTGATATTGATCGATGGCGGTAGACGAATTACCTCCTGGGTTTCAAAGTGTCAAAACTATAAAAACTGAAAAAGAATTCTCGCATGTCAGAAAATGGTAACCCTTTTTTCTCTTTTTTTCTTTATCATTATATATTTTAACAATTGATACCAATTAACGCAATGGATCTTGCTATTTTCCCTCCTGAAATCACTCAAATTATTCTCGAATATCTTCCTATAAAAGACTTGGTTCGTGCTGAACGTACTTCCAAGTTATTACAACTCTTTTGTCTCTCGGAAATCGAACGTCGTATTAAAACTGGTGCTTTAAAAGATGAATTTGGTCTTTTGGTAAAAAGCATAAAAAAAAAAAAGAAGGGAATTTTTTTTTAAATGAATAGAATGCTGATCTCTTTTCTTTTTTTCTTTTTTTTTTAAAAAAAATAGATTCATATTGGTCAAACGACAGCTCAACCTCAACAATTTGATCCTATCACCAAAACTGTCCAATATATTATTCCTATGGATCCTATCACTATCAATACAATGTATGATCATCGTCGACATATTCAATGCTCTTTATTACGGAAACAATTAATAGGTAATAAATATCTTTCTCAACATGGTTTTACTATTCCTGTGGAAAAAGGTATGGTGGAAGGAAAGACTATTCCATTTGCCATTCAAGATAAACATTATCAACTCGATGGTTCATTGACTAGAATGGAACCTGTCACCAACAAGAGTTCAAAAAAGTTATCTTTGGCCCCAACCCCTCTGTCTTATTCTCTTCAAGTCACTGGAATGCGTTTACCATTATCTACTATTGCTGCTTAGAGTTTTTTTTTTTATTGTGCCGGTAGGCTGGTACTACTGACATTATCTATACCCACCTTTCTCCTAACTACTATAGCTAGTTATATCTTATTTACTGCATCATCATTTAATAAACAAAAATACAATCAAGCATATCATGACATTTTTATTATCATTCAACATCCATTGTCTTCTTTTTTTTTTTTTTACAAACATATATATATTCAAAAAAAAACATGTTTTATTCATAATCAACATCCAAAAAAAAAAAAATTCTAATCTATAACTGAATGTAACGGAATGATCAAGTTATATATTGTTTCTTTTTCTTGATGGTAGATGGTTGTAAGGATCAGTCATCAAGACCATATAGGATGCAGATGCTTGAATCACACCATAGGCAAGAAAGTTAAAGATAGGTACAATTTGAATCAATAAATATGCCATCGCAGAGAATCCAAACAGTATATCCCGTCGTCCATCGCACCATTGACGCTTTTCTTGATGTGTCATTCCCATTCTTGAGAAATAAGGCTCTAACAATTCGCGCATCAACACTCGCATACCAAGTAATCCACGAATACAAAAGGATGACCATGATGGTATATATAGAAAACATAATCCAATAAGACATCCTTGTGTGGGTCCAAGTGTCTTGAATGTAGCCAATCCACCTAGTGAAGTAAAAAAAAAAAAAAAAAAAAAAGAACTCATGAATATCCATACATATTATAAAAAAAGAATGAATTATTATCATTACCTGCCAATGGAAATACGAATAGCCCAAAATATGGGATCATGGATAAAACATAAAGGATCAATCCCAACCGTACTTTGTTCCAAGTTCTAGTACCTGTATCTTTCATATTTTGCCAAACCCTGGATCGTTTTTTCTGCATCGATAGATATTGAGCAAATGTTAGTTGGTTCATTTTTTTTGTTTGTTTTCCAAGGCATTGTGGTTGTAAATGTTGTTGTTTTTCCACAAACACGAGTGCTTCCATAAACAGAGTATCCAAAGGCTGAGGGTAAAGGTATCGCATGAAAAAAAGTAAAACAAATGGTAAAGCACCTATCAGGTCATGTAATGAGGAGTGACAAGACGTGAGCATGGCATCCATGGAGAGGTGAACCGATGGTGAAAGCATCCAAAAGAAAAGTCGAAGCAGGTGGATAGGTAGACCAACCAGGATATGTGCAACACCAACAAGTAAGAACGAGAGGATGGAGAGTTGTAAAAAGAGTCGAAGATGGTGTTTTTGTCGTAACATTGGGTTTTGAAGAACAAGGTAGGTGCCTTGTACTGCATACACCATACCGAGCCATAATCCTTTCAAAGTTCCCATCATAGATATCAAAGATAAGAAAAGAAAAAAGAAGAGTTGAGTTCAATTGTTAAAAGGATCACCAAGAAAACATATACTTACCAAGAAATTCTTGACAGGAAACTGGAAAGAACAAGGTGCGAAATGACTGGTCCAATGCGAATATTTAAAAAAGATAGACGGCATTTGAACCTTTTTTTTTTTTTTTTTTTTTTTTTTTTTTTTTTTTTGAATAGATGATATTTAGGATTTGAATTTTTATATGATACAGAACTACTGAGACGGGTGGATGACAGAGATACTGGACTTTGAAAACGCAAGTACACAGAGGAAATTACTCATATTTCGTCAAAATTATATCTTTACTATTATCATTATCAATAAAAGACAAGTTTATTTTTCCCTTTTACAATTTTTATTATATAAACAAAATATGTATGTGTATAGAAATCTGTAGTATGACTAATACAGTATGTGTGGTTCTTTTTGTAGGAAGGTGTGAAGTCTAAATGAAAGGCTATGATAATAAAAAAAAAAAAATGAACAATAAAAAAAAAGAAGGATATATACAGATGTTGTATGTGTGTTGTAACAGAGGAGGGATAATGATTGTTATTTGTTGAGTGTTTTTCCTACTTTTTCATTTTGGTTTCTGTGAACAGGACATGTTGTTTAACTAAGAAAGAAAAAAAGAAGATTAATTTTGATTGTTTTTTTTTTTTTATTGACTTACCCACAGGATCATATTTCATCATAGATAACTTGGGATTAATACGAGGTCTAGACTTAATATAGTTGTATCCAGTACCAGCAGATGATAATAACTTGACCAAGATCACTCTAGCTTTTGCTTTCTTTGCCATGTTTGATTAGTGAAAAAGATAAAAAAATAAAAAAAAATAATAATAAAAAAAAAAAATGAAAAAAAAATAAAAACAAACGCCCCTCAAAAAATCCCAATCATCCAATCCAATCCCCGGGTAATCGCCAATATCAACTCAGTCCATTTTTTTTTTATTGTTAAACTACACAATACTATATATCAAATTTGTAAAAGTTTGTCTATAAACTTTTCTCGTTTCAATCTTGCTAATGCTGGATTAGTTTCCTTGAATCCAACATGGGGTCGTAAGAGTACAGTAAATGTGGACACTATAGACAAAACAAACTAGTTGAGAAATTACTTCTTTCTTTTTTTCTTTCTTTCTTTTTTTTTCGTTACCTATATGTTTTCTACGTTCTTCTTTGAAAGAAGAGGGAGCATATTTAATAGCATCTGTCAAGAAACTTGTGATATATAATAATACGTTGAGGTGGAGATGAGGGAGGTCTTCTTTCAACTACAAAACAAAAAAAAAAAAAATGAATAATCATGATATCAATCATGCTAATAAACTTTTTTTTTTTTTTTACCAATTTCACTTGATCATCAGAGTCAGAGGCCGCCAGGGCACGACTATACATATCAGTTGGAATCACAGGTTCAGGTAAACATTCCAAGAAGGCTACCAGTACATCAATCATAGAGTTTGCACCAATACTTTCATTATTGCTGTTATCGATTTGTGTGGATTCTAAATCACTTGCCACTACACCCAATAGAATCGATGTATCGAAAGAATCACCAGAGTCTAGGCATTTTCGAATATATTCAGATATAACTCGATCACCATGTGCCAAAAATAAATTGTCCTATATCAAAAAAAAAAAAAAAAAAAAAAGGATGTTACTTTCCTGTTTTCCAATTTTTTTTTTTTCATATCTGCTTACCATAGAAAGCATATTTTTATTCCAAAGGAATGTTAAGATGCGCCATAATTCTTTAGGTAGGTTTGCTTGTTGTTGTATGTGACCTTGTTCACTAGATGAAGGGGAACCTGATGATTTGCTTGCCGATTTTTTCAGAGATGGAGATAAAGAGGATGATAAAACGTCTTGAATAGGGATAGTCATCTGAGCCAGACTGTCCAGAGGTACACCAAAGCAAGTAGGTATATATTTTCCAGAAACGACAATAAAGAAATCTTTTCCATTTTCCAATCGTAGAACCAGGATATCGTTAATTTCTTGTTTACCTTCATTGAATGGAGCAGAGATGGATGCATCAATCATCAATTCAAATTGAATCACTACCTTTTCACCAGGACCAAGCACACCTTGTTGAGGACTAACTTGTAACCAAGCAGGGCAAACTTGTTCTTCATCCATCTTTGATATAAACCGGAATGGCGCTACCACTTGTCCAATATTTTCCAGTACAATCGTTTTTTCTTTGTATTCCATAAATTGAACATCACCAAATTCAATAAATGAGGTCGAGATTTGTCCTTTTGTCAAATTATCTGTGGTTTCAATCAATTGTCGAATCAAACTTTGTCGTGTATCCATCTGTCTTTGACTATCAATATGTCGAACCTATCATGATATATATATAAAAGATGAGTAAGAATCATAAGAGAATTCATCCATTTTTCTTACCTTTGCATCAAAGATGGCTTGAACTGGCTTATGATCACTTAGCATCATTTCCATACAATTATTATAAGATAATAATTTTAGCATTGATTTATGTTGATCCAAGGGTTTTTTCCAAAGAATACGATCCGTCCAAGAAGGAGCACGACGTTTGGCACTATAAAAAGCAATCATTAGAACTGATTCAATCAAACATGTTTTCCCTTCATTCTTAGGCGATACCTTGTGTCATATCGATTTGTACCAGCATCATACTTATAAGTTGGTAAAAAATGAATAGATCCTTCTTCAAACATTGGGAATGTTCGACCTGCTTGTCGTTCAATGGAAAGCTAAAAAAAAAAAAAAAAGAAAGAACGAAAAAAAGGTCAACAATAGTATATCAGTACCTATGATATTGAATATGAATAATAATGTCTTACTTGATCATAGTCCAATAACTCTTCAAGATGACCTTGATTGAGTTTGATCTTGATTTCAGATTCGGCCATATTGATACGATAATTGAGATCTCCCATCCAAATAAGGTGACTAGAATTTACAAAAATTCAAGTTAATACATATAGATCCTTCCTTTCTTCTTTCCTCTCCTTTTATTTACTTACTCTGCATGGAATATCGAAGCTTCTGCTGACCAATCATTAGTAACACCCTTGTGCTCCAAGTACGCAACACCTTCATCACCACCACTATTCCAAGAATGAGTTACATATTCAGTGAGTTTATCAGCTTGTTGAGTAAACATCAGTCGCTTTGAAATTTCAGTAAAGTCTTGATTTCGGCGTTCAGAATTGGCAACAAATGCAGCAAGATGACTTGTTACAAAGCAAAAGTAAGAATCATGGAATCGGAATCGTACAGCACATCCACCTTTATTACCCATCATATTCATCAATCCAACCCCACAGTAACGTGATTCCACTTCAGAGATATATGGCTGATGACTCTTTTTCGCAATGACTATAATCAATATGGTGACTAATTGTAAAGAGGCGACCTATCATTGGTAATATGATTAAAAACATAATCTCTTATAACTTTTCTTTTTTTTTTTTGTTAGCTTGCCTTGTAATAACTGTTTCTTCTTTGACCCAATCCATTCAAAACTTCTTCTACCCAATTATTTTCTTTTGTAGGATCATGATAAAGGTATGCTTCGGTGTTTGTTTCCATTTCTTGTAATCTAAGACAAAAAAAAAATATCATAGTTTTTAGTTTTCTTTTTTTATTTTTAATTGTTACTCTTTTATTTTACCCAATCACATAAAAGTCAGGATCCACTTGATTCCCTTCATCATCCTTAGAAGTACCTAATAACCAAGTGGAGAGTGATTCATTCGGTAAACTTCCATGAACGTTCCAAGTACCAACGAATATTCTATGTAATATCAATTAAGTATAATCTTGATTCATGATAATATGTCAATAACGCTTACTTTGAAGTTTCCCAATCAACAAAGGCATCTTCCTGATCTTGTAATCGAGCATTCACCCAATGGGACTTTGCATTATTTGATTCCACTATTGTATGTCTTGAGATAGAGGAAGTGGTGGTTGTCGATCGTCGTAATTTCATATCAGCAATTGTTTGAGCCCGTTGAAGAGGTAAGACATGTGAGATGGCACTATCATCCAGTTTTCCGGGAGAACGTCTTATACTCAATGATGCAAATGATTCTTGGCGACTGGTTGTATTACCCAAAGCTATTCCAAAGAAGGATATATATATATAAAAAAAATAAGAAGAGTTGATATAATATTAAAAATATATATGTGTTTACCTTTCATATTGATATAATTGTTTGTCCAATTTTGACTAGCAGAAGAATCTAATAAGTGAATTAAAAAAAAATCAGAGTGAGTAGAAATGATGAATATATTTTATATATTGAAGTTATTACCAACAGCAGAGTTGATGGCACCACGGAGCTTCAAGAGAAAATTAGACATATCATCTTTATCAGGAAATATAATATGGATAACTTCTTGTTTGTTTATAATTTTGACCAAAAGACCTTTCAAGACGAATCATTTTCAAAAATGAAAATCAAAAAAAAAAAAAAGATCAACACGTGTGAGGTGAGGTACAACTTTAATATGATTTTCATTTCAGTTACCTGGTTGAGAATTCTTGTCGGTGGGATTTGTCTGAGTAATTTCCAATTTGGTTTCCCTAGTGATATGTACAATTTCAATTGGTATCAAAGAGACAAATTTTTGGAATAAAATAAGACTATTATATAAAGAAAATAGAAACGAGTTAATAAAGAAGAAAAAGAAATTTAACAAAAAAAAAAAAGACATTACCAAGATTCATCTGTTGTTGAAACTTTTTCATCGAGAAAATGCTTCACCAGAGCTAGATAATATTCTTGACTTTCTTCTTTGTTATCCTGTAAATAAACGCGCACACTGTAATAAATAATGATAATAAAAGAGTTAAAGAAGACATATATAAGATGAAAGGTTATATATATATATATATCAATAAGAAAAGGATATAATATCAAGTTTATCTTCTTTGTTCAACAAAGAATTAACTTGTTGAGTATAATCTTGTTTTTTTGCTATAGCCATCAAAGGTTTTTTACAGGTGTAAAGGAAAGAAAAAGCATAAAAAAGAATAAGAGAGAAAATAAAAAAGAGAATAAGAAAAGAGTGAAATGATGAGATCTCGGACTAAGAGAGTGGCTGATTGGTTCTCCGCTATTGATATTGATCCAAAATAGACTGGTTCGCGTTTTTTTTTTCTTTTTTATTTCTTTACTCTTTTTATTTTATATAATGTCATTAACTTTGAAAGAAGAAAACTTTGTAGTCATAGACATTGGTTCATATATTACAAAAGCTGGTATTGGTACTCAAGATACTAATAAACCTCCATCCACTGTAAACTATCCTTCATATAATAATAAAAAAAAATAATAAAAAAATAAAAAAATTTAATCTATTTTTATGTGTATAATAGTTTGTCAACATGGCTGATTACAACAATCCGATCAAAAACAACAATATTGTATCTTGGGAAGATTTAGAAGCCTCTTGGTAAATGAATATATATGTATAATATTTTTTTTATAAAAAAAAAAAAAACGATTGTTACTGAACATATGGTTTATTTATTATTTCATTCTAGGCAACATATATTATTCAAGGAACTTGGTATTAAAAAAGCACGCAATGAACATCCAGTCTTATTCACTGTACCTGTACATTGGAATAAATTGGAACATGAACGACTGACTCAAATTGCTTTTGAATATCTGAATGTACCTGGGCTTTATATTGCTCCTCAACCTCTTATGGCTTTATATGGTTGTGGATCTGTCACTGGTCTTGTTGTAGACATTGGTCATAACACTACAGGTAAAAAAAAAAAAAAAAAAAAAAAAAAAAATGCAAAGATGAACTTATTATTATTTTGATATTAGATATCAATGTAGTGGTAGATAGTATTTTACAACCATCATCGAACATGACAATCCACATAGGTGGTAATATACTTAATCAATATTTACTGCAATTGTTACAAGGTGACAACAATTTGGTACAACAATGTGAACAAGCAGGTGTGAAATTAGATGAAGAGTTTGCAACATTTATTAGGGAAAAATGTGATATTTGTTATGTGGCGATGGGACATGAATTACAAGAAACAGCCTCTACAACAGATGAATCCAACCTGGCTGGTGGTATTGCTGCTGCTACTTCTGAAGAAATTACTGACAATGAGACTACTGTGGAGGAAGAAGAAGATAATAAAGATATTCCGGAAAATGTAGAGATTGAATATCAAGGACACAAGGTAAAAAAAAAAAAAAAAAAAAAAAAGTGATGCGTTCATTTACTCAATTTTTTTTTTTTTTTTGGATCTTAGTTTACCATTGGACCTTATCGACATAAAGTATATGATCCATTATTCAAACCTGATCTTATGGGTATAGATACACTATCATTACGAAATGCCATGTTTTTAGCTGTCAATAATTGTGAACCACCTGAAATTCGACCTAAACTTTGGGAAAATATTGTATTGACAGGAGGTTGTGGACAAATGCGCGGATTACAAAAACGAGTGAAAGCTGATCTTGGGCATGTGTTATCAATATCTGAAAATGCTGGTGATACTCAAACACGATTAGTTGGCTTTTTACGAATACCTGATTATTTTACTGTGCTTAAGAACAAGGAATTCCAACAATATTCTACTTGGCTTGGTGCAGAAATTGTGGCCAAGGTACAGAAAAAAAAAAAAAAAAGAGGTTACATGGAAAAAAAATATTATCATGTTGATCAGATTGGGTCTTATCTTTTTTTTTTTTTTTTTTTTTTTTTTATCTATATAGCTCGTATTTACAGATGCCAAGAATTATGTTAGCAAGGTGGATTACAATGAATCTGGTCCCTCCGTTTGTCACACAAAAAGTTACTAGTTATACATAGTATCATTTTTTTTTTTGGAAAATCACCATTTCTTTTTATTCTTATGTTGTTTTGTATGCAATAAAATAAAAATGTTCATATCCTTTATATATACATATACATATATGAAATGGTATTGAGAGAGGCAGATTAGGCTTGATGGTTTTTATGATGTCTGCTTTTGGCGAGAAATATTCTCCACGAGGATTATAAAGACAACAAAAAAGGAGACTATTGTTTACATAATACATTTGCTCTAGACTCGTTGTCTGTCAACATTGACGACAACAACAGATTCCACGTGTACACAAACATCTCCTTTTTTTTTTTTTTCTAAAAAATAAAAAAAATAAAAAAATAAAAAGAGAAATAAAAATAAGAAATAAACATGAAAAAAATAAAATAAATATGAAAAAAATAAAAAGTGAACCAAATACCTTGATGCATTCCGTGACAATTGTTTTATTTGATCCAAATCGATACATTGTAATGAAAAGATATCCATTATTTCATTCATTTTGAATATGATTATCATCCTAAATTAATTCCTTGATTATACCATAGATTAATGCAATAAAAGGGAGAGGGACAACGTGGAAATCGGCAAAAAAAAAAGGGTCAAATGTAAATTTCTATATGTAAAAAAAAAAAGGAGGCATAGCAAATCAGGGTATATAAAAAGGGGGAGGGAGGAGTGATGTGAAATCTAACTAAAGGGAAAGAAAGTATAATCCCAATGACAATCATAGATAGCAATTGCATTTATGCATATATGTAATAAGATCTCAACCATATTACATGATTGTTTATCTTTTTCCATTGTATTTGATCCCATTGATGAATCCATTGAACACTTAATGATCAAAAAAAAAAAAAAAAAATAACTATTTATTCAAAGAACAATCAAAAAATGTCTTCTCCCTACTTCCTATCATACCTTTTTTTTTTTATTTTGTAGCCTGTACCTTAGGAAAAAAAAAAAAAAGGAAATCTAAAATAAGTTTGTTATTTATCATGATGCCACGTGCGTATTGCTTTTCCCTTTAGTTCTTCTTTCATACTTATATGTAGTAACTCTAATCAATACTATACAAAGTTAGTAGTCTATTTCACTTTTAAGATATTCCATACCTTACAAAGCCCAATACAAAAGAAAAACAAAAACAATTGAATAAAACAAATAGCCTGATATCTAAATATATATCTTTTCCCTCATAAAGTTAGCTGTTCAATCAATATAAACGGATATATGTATATCCATGTTTAAAGAAGACTAAAATAGAGATTTGTATTCGGGCATGAGAAAAGAAAAAGACTATAAAACATCATCAGCAAACAAGTATATACACATATATTTATAAAAGATGGTCATTTTTATTTTGACAGATAAAAAAAAAAAAAAAAAAAAAAAAAAAGAGAGAAAGAGAGGGAGGGAGAAAGTCTATAAAGTTTGTCATAGTACTAACTAATGAAAGGGTAAAAAAAAAAAAAAAAAAAAAAGGTGACAAAGTAATGTTTGATACAAAAAAAAAAATCATGAGAATGTATTTCTGTTTGAAGGTCTAACAAGATGAATTCGAAGATGTCGTCGCATATTGGATTGAACACTGAATTTTCTTGGACATTCAGTACATTCAAAAGGTTTTTCACCAGTATGGGAGTAAGTATGAATACGTAAAGAGGATGGACGAGAAAAAGCCTTTTGACAATATGGGCACAAGTACCTACCAGTAGCTAAATCCCTTGGCAAATCCATTCCATTGACAGTAGTATGTGATCCAGTCGTATACTTGATAGGTGTTTCAGTTGGAGTCATTGTATTTGATGATGATGATGTAGATGATAATGAAGGAGTTGGTACAGGTGTTGTAGAGGATATAACATTGTCTAATTTGTTGCGTGGTTGTTCAATAAAAGGCGCCAATGGTTCAGGTTTGGTTGTCTTCAGAGAGAGATGTTCTTCAGGAGGACTATTTGAATGTGCACGATGATAAAATGGAAGTGGCGGTACAGGTGGTACGTTTGATGATGATGATGAATGTATCATATGATCGACAGTATTAGCAGATATAGCTCTACGATGAGATAAATGACGTTGTCGTTGTTGATGATGATGATGATCAATGGATGGTGAATGAGTATGTAAATGATTGGTATGATATGATGATGATGATGATGAAGATGACGGAGTTGTAAGAGAAAGATCAGATATAGATCTCTGATGATGATGATGATGATGATCTACATTATGCTGTGGAGTATTTGGTAAAATAATAGCCGGTGGAGGTGATGGACCAGTCATCCAACTTGGTCTAGGTTGAATTATATGTGAATCATCCTTGGAAGGAATAACAGGTGCAGGTTGAAAACTTGGACCATCCAAGGAAAGGTTTTGTAATTCAGAAGGAAGAGAACTAACGCTACGAGTGCTACGATGACCACGAGTAAATTTTTTATCTAAAAAAGAAAAAAGAAGGAATATTTATTGTTATATGATGTTCCATCTTTTAAAGATTTATTTTATTTTTTTTTACCTTCAGAATTTTGTTGAGATAAAAGATATTGAATAGAAGGTAAAGTAGTAGGAGGTGATGACATTACACTGAATTCAAAAAGGAGAATCAAAGAAAAAATAAAAAAGAAAGAAAAGAAAGAAAAAGGAGAGAGAAAAAAAAAAAAAAAAAAGAACTGAAGAAAAGTAGGAAAAATCACACTAAAATTTTACTTTGCGCAGCCAATCAAGTCTAACAATGCTTAACAGTGAAGAACAGAGTAGACAAAAGTCCAAAAAAGTCAAGTCAATCTTTCATAACTCAGCTTAACTTCCCATTGCATTACCGAAAACATCATGTTGTTTATTATCGTTGTTTACTATTAATCTTCTTTTTTTTTTTCTTTTTCTTTTCTTTTTTGGTTTTTTTTTTTTTTTTTTTTTTTACTTTTTTTTTTTTTTTTTTTACTTTTTTTTTTTTTTTTTTTACTTTATCATGTTTAATCATTTTATGGATCAATTTAGAAATAACAATAATAATATTGATCAACAACAACAAGGTGTAAATCCATGGTTAGCAGCAGCAGCTACTTTTTTAGGTAGTGAACTTCTTCAACACCATGACCAACGAAATGATAATGACGATAATGACAACGATGAACATCATCATTCTCACCTTTTAAGAAATGCTGCTTTATCCGGTGCTTTGGCTTATGGATTAAATAAATATCAACAACAACAACAACAACAACAACAACAACAACAATTACAACAAATTTTACCTTATCAGGGACCTATCAGTAATTATTATTATTATCCTTTCAATTCACCTTACCATTCTTCCTACTCATCTTATTATTCTCAACCAAATATGTATTATCAACAACAACCTTATTATTCACCTTACTATATGAACAATAATAATATGATGATGAATCCTTATTTCCAACAACCCTATCCATCCTTTATGCCTTACTCACAAACTCCGTACTCGTCTTATTATTATGGCGCAACTCCGCAGTATTCACCCCATCATCATCACTATACCTCTTTTTCCCCATACCACAGACTTCATCATATGATTCCCTATCAACATCCCTATAGATACATGTATTGATTTCATATATTTATTTATGTATTATTTTGACAATTCAATAAAAAGAAAAACATCATTGATGAATTTATATATATACTTACTTTCTATATTGAATGAATAAAACCATATCATCGGAAGAACGGAAACATCAAAGGGGGTGGAAAAAGGCCCAATAGGTGTTGCTGTTGTTATTATTGTCCTCATGATTTTTTTTTTCTTTTTTTTTTTTTTTTTGGTTGATGATGATCTATAGACCGTTTTAACGGAGATGATATCCATACATTGATGCAATAATGACTCCATAGTGCCAATGATAAATGATGATCATCATGATCCCAAATATATATAATAACAATAACAAAGAAAGAAATCAAAGAAAGCCTAAGCGGAGATCGACCTATTTGGTTCTTCTTGTTTTTTTTTTTTTTTGTGTGTGTCTTGGCAGATCATCCAGAGAAAAAAAAATGTCAATCATATTTGATAAAGTCTTCCGGTTTCAGAATCATTTGCATATTTCTAACTTTGACTCCCGTTCATCCTTTTTTTTTTTTTCGTTTTGGTTTGTGTAAGCCTCGGTGTTCCAAAGAAGTGGTGTTACGTTCGGATTCCAAAGCCAAGACAATCTTGCCATTTTCATGCAAAAAAAACTCATACAAGCGCGGAAATATCATCCAAAAAAAAAAATTATCGAGATCTTGTTTATTGTATGAGTGTAATATGGGTATGATAACTAAACTAAATCAAGGGAAAGAAGAGATATACAAAGGAATAAAAAAAAAACATATTAATGAAACTAAGGAATTTATTTATACATCAGGAGGAGTTGAAGGAGATCGACCAAAGACACGTCCAGAACCAATAACAAGTTTGCTATTTGTCGAAGGTGTATTGAAAATACTCCTATCTGAAGCTTGTTGTTCCCATTCATTAGTATCTTGTTGTTGTTGTTGTTGTTGAATACCATCATCATAGCCAGTTGTACCATGAACCGATTTCAATGTCATAGCATCTTGTTCTTGTTGTCGATATCCATTATTTCTAAATTGAATGCCACGGATACCTGCCAACATATTTTGATTTTCTCGTTCCATTTTCTTACGTTTTTCTCGCCAATATTCCGCCAACGTTTGGTTTCGTGCCTGCACATGTTTCTTGGTCAATAGAGGTTTTAGCCATTTCTCATCAAATGACATGAACCAATGAGGTTGATCCGGTTCAGGAATAGGTGTACCAAGAGGCCCAGAGAGTAAACCACCAATAGAAACATCAGTCTGTTCTTGCCGATATTGTCGTTGAGAAGAATTCACCATGTAATCCTCCTCCTCCTCTAAATCCATATCATCATCATCATCATATATAGCGTTGCCACCATTCATATCTAATAAATGTTCTTGAGAAGAAGATCGACTTTGATCATTTTGTTGTTGTCGTTGTGAAATTGATAATTGTCGTCGTCGTCCTCGTCGTCTAATATTGTTCCGGGTTTCCCAATGTTGAGGATCCACATCTTCTTCATCTTCACTACAAGAATCATCAGGTTCTACTACACCAGTTTTGATTTCCAATACTTGAAGCATACGATTGGTGGTACCGCCAAATATAAGAACGGTAAGGACAACCACTGCCAAAATAGTTGTTCTCATAGCTGATCCACTTTCTCCAGAAAGACTTGAAGCCAAAGCAAAAGCCACTGCTCCTCTTAAACCCGCCCAGAAAAGCATTAGTTGATGAGATCTTGGTAATATTTCGGGTTTTCCTACTGCTCGACATATTCCGTTGATGATAAACGATATAGGGGCTACCGATAAATAACGTGCAACACAGATAAAAACCTGTAGATAAAAAAAAAAAAAAAGGATCAATGAGCTTCATTTTATCTTTCTTTTTATTCTTTCATTTATTTCTTACTGTAGTCATCATTATAAAAATGGGTTTGTAATCCAATTCTGTTTGTGTAAATAGATTGACTCCAAGATAGATAAAGATAAAGTTTTCCGACAGTTGCGACAAAATTTGAAAGACATAACGTGTAGCGCGTTTGGTTCGTAGAGACATATTGTCGTAGGCATAATGCTTGAGTGTAATACCAGTAAAAAGAAGAGTGACAATACCAGACATTTGAGCAGCGTTTGAGAAAAGGTAACTACTGTAAGCCATCAAACTGATCAAACAAGCTTCAATATTTGGTAATCGATAAAGTTGGGAGTACTTGAGCATCAGAGCCACTCCTATACCAAAGAGTATACCAATAAAGGTGGAGGCTGAAAATACACCCAAAAAAAGACCAATACCTTTGAATATATTGACAGCATGCAAATCTTGACCACGGAATTTTCGTAAAGTTCTAAAAAAAGAATAAAAGGAAAAAAGGAACGATATTATTAGTAAATATAGATAATGATGATTAAAGAAAAAAAAATTACTCTGATAATACAATAGCAACAGCATCATTGAGTAGAGATTCACCAGAGATAATGGAAAATAATTGAGGATCCACATGTAATTGAGAAAAGATGGCAAGAATGGTAACAGGATCAGTTGCTGATAATATAGATCCAAATATCATACTATCCAAGAAACTAATATTGATCCCTTCCAAATGAAGCAATGCGAACAAAAAGGTTAGCATCCTAAAATATAGATATATATATAAATTAATCAATACTATTTATCATCATATCTATAAATATATTTATATATAAATTACCCAGTAACAACAGCTGCAATGAAGGTTCCCACCATGGCAAAAGTCAAAATAGTTCCAAAGTTGAAGAAAAAGTTCCTCTAAAAAGAAAGTAATAAAGAAAACCATAAGTTTTATATATAAGTTGGTGTATTCTATAACTTACCCTTTTCAATTCATAGCCAGAATTGAGAATAATGGGTGGAAGTAGTAAGTTGAAAAAATAACCTTGATTGAATTGCATCATTTTTTGGATAATAGTTCCCGGAGATAGTTTGATGATCAAGCCAACAATCATTCCTATAATATAAAAGAAGACAATATATGAATTAAAATAAGTGAAAAGTCAAATAGCTGAAAAAGTGAAGTACCAGCCATAATAGATATCACCGTTTCATGTATTGCTCGGATTTTTCGAAGTTGTAAGTAGTAACTTGCCCAAAGTGCACCAATCAAAAGAGTCATAAGAATCAAAAGTGCCCACGCCGAGTACATTTCTTCTTCCATGGGTTCATCTGGTAAAGGCATTGAAGGATCCGTTTCGTTCGCGTTCATTTCAGCAAACTGACAACAGAAACAATAATAAAAAAAAAAAAAAAGTAGAAGGAAATAAAAAAAGAAAAGAACAATTTGGAAAAAAAAAAATGCCAAGGACAAAAAATGAATGAATGAATTGTTCCTTTTGAATGACCGCTTTGGAACGAACTGCTTTGTTATCCCAATAGTAAAACAGTTCCCTCTTTTAAATGAAAAGATTCTTCTATTATATTCATGATCAATAAAAGCATCTATTCATCTAATTGACTAACAAACTGATTTTATAATTTTAGTGTTATATGTCAATAAAGTATTCATAAAATAAATAGATATTATTTCTATTTTTGGTCAAAGAAGGATATTTGATGATAAAATACTATAAGATAAAAACTTTATTAAAAAATTAATATATGTATTTAAACAAACTATATTAAACCAGGTTTCCAGGGGCATCTTTTGATTTCTTCAATTCAACCATGATTTCCTTCATACGAGCTACGTTACTATCCTTTGATGATCCTCTTGTATTATTGATTTCCTTGAGAGTACGTTCCCAAATGTTAGTACCTGTTGTCAAATCATCTTTTTCTTTTTGTCTTTCTTCTTCACGTTGCCTAGAACAAAATATCATCAGTATTCATTTTTATCACAAGCTTTTGATTGATTTTACCTGTTTCTTTCAATAGATTGTTGTTTCTTTTCATTGTATTCCTCATAAAACCTGTCGATATCTGTATGAGCTTGTTGAATAATTTCCTGTCTTTTCTTTTCAGCCTGTTGATCACGTTCGGCTAGGATTTCGTTTTGTTTTTCACGCCATTGCCTAGATACAAAACATATATTTTTTTTTTTTTTTTTGAATCAAGCAACAAATACAACTTTTTCTTTTTTTAGTAATACCTGACAGTTTCTGGTTCTTCATCGGGTAACATGGCTTGTTGGAATGCCTATGAATAAAGAAGCAGAAGAAGAAGAAAAAGAAGAAAAAGAAGAAAAAAAAAAAGAATGAATGAGTTTTGACTATTGTTGGAAGATCTCCTTTACCTGAGAGGATTCCAATTCATCAGGGTTGGGATAACTTGTTTCAAATTGAGACACTTGGTTGCTTTGTTGAATGAGATCTTCTGTGTTTAATGTAGCTGAACTAGGAGATAAGATACCAGTAGGTGAAGGAAGTGCAGGTGATTCAAGAAACGAAGGCGATGATATTCCCGGTGGTAATGGAGTTATTGCCACATGATCGTCTGTGAAGAAATCGGCATCTTCACCCAAAGCTGCACGTTCACGAGCAAGAAAATCAGCAGTAGGATCTTCAGTGTTAGGACTTCCAATGTAGTCAGACATGGTAATTATAAAAAAAAAAAAAAAAAAAAAAAAAAAAAAGAAAAAGAATGGAAAAAAAGAAACAAGAACCAATAAGAAAAAAAAAAAAAAAGGAATTCAAATAAACGGAGACTAAATGCTCTTTCATGCGAAATCGACATTTTATTGATAATATAGGTATAAATCTAACTATCATCATCAGCATTCATAGCATCTAAATAATCCTTGACTACTGGGTTTTGCATCAACTCTTCAGATAATTGAGATAATGAATCCACAGATTGTTGTAATCGTTGTCGTTCTTCATCTCTGTATCGTACAATATGACAAGTGAGATTGCGTTCAGATAGATCGTCACTTTCTTCCAATATCGTGTCGTGGTCTGATATTTGTTGTAAATGATATCGAGATGCATCTAATAACATCATCACCACTCGCAGTTGAATCACAGGTGCATGAGGTAAAACTTCCACTGCTGACGACAAATCATTCCATGTTGTTAATTTCTTTCCTTCCAAAGATAGTTGTACTGAAGATGATTCTGTTTTTGTTTCTGTTGTTGTTGTTGCTGAAGATAGGTTGAGTTGTTCTAATTGACATGATGTATCATCATCATCGGCAAGTTCCATTTCGAGACTATCATCTTGATCCAATGCTGCCAGATACATCATACATATAGATTCAAAAGTCCAACCTGTCTGTCCAAATAAACCAGATTGTGAGGGTTGGGTCAATACCAATAAAGGTTTGAATTGGTCCAATTGTTGAAGCCATTGACATTTGAGAGCACTTTCTTCATCCATACCAGGGTTCAAAAAGGGAGACAAAGAAAAAGTAGTTTGTCCTACCACTGGATTGTCTTCCAAAGTAAATCCATGTAAAAAGAGTAATTCTTGATTTGGTTTTTGTCCATAGGATAAACAAAGTTCAGTACCATCACGTATGGGCACATCAAAAGGTACAAGATCAAGTCCATCATTCGAGAGTTGCCATCGTATCGTTGGTTGGGTGCTATGATTAGCCAAATCAAAAAATGGAATTAATGCAAGATCACCAGTACCATCATCATCATCATCATTGTTGGTGTCACCATTCGTCAATCTTACTACGCGTGACCAGAAGAGAGTATCTGCCAAAAGCCAATCTTCAAATGTCATATCCCATAGAGCGTGTAAATGATCCCATTCACGTTTCAGACTTGCTTGTTTTGCACGGATTGACGAGGCTATACTTGTTCCTTCTAAAAGTTGAAATAAAAGATCGTCAGGGTCCAAGAAGAGTACATGGTTTTCTTGAAAGAAGGAAAGACTAGGAAGACTGTGAATATAATGTTGCCAAAAAGAAGATTCGTTATTTTGTTTTTTGTCCTGATTTATTTCGTATGCCAAAAATAAACGTAAACTTGTTCTATCATTCCCAGGTAATTGAATACGTTGGTCCAAAGGAAGCGTAGAAGGTGATAAAGCAGTATCCAAAACGTTAACAAATTTGGTTGATAATGTCAATAATGTGGAAGCTGTCAATACAAGGTTTTGTGGAATATGAACAAGGGAAGAAGTAGAGTCGTTCCAAGTCGAATTGAGGAATAAACCGTGTCCAGCATAGTCTGTTTGTTTGATGTCGACATTGTTATAACGTATCCCCTGCTCCTGACACCAAGTGAGAAATTGTTGCATGGTCAAGACGTAAAAAAAAAAAAAAAGAAAAAAAGAAAAAAAAAAGCGGAGTTGTATATCAAAAGGAATGAATTTTTTTTTCTTCTACCTTCTTTTTTTTTCTTTCTCCTTTTCTTTTTTTTTTTTATATGTACATGTCAGTATGAGTGAAGCCAATAGACTTGAAACATGGGGCAATGAAGAAACCATGAATATGAACCCAATTATATATCAAAATATTTTAGAATCGCGTTATTTCAAAGCTCTATAGTAAGTTCAAAGTTTTATCTTACATTTATACATATTAATAATTTTATTATTACTTGTAGTGAAAAATCTACCTTTCATGAAGTCATCAACGAAATATACAACGAAGGTACTGGCTCGCTACCAATTTACTTTGTAAGATGTTTATGTGGTGACATGTGGAATGATGTTACATGATCAGACATATCTTAAGAAAACAAAACTATAAAGACTATTTTTTTTTTATTTACTTGTATAATTTTTTTTTTTTTTTTAGTGACGAATATGGCACCTTTTGTGACTGGAACAACTCCTTCCACTGCATTTTGTTGTTTATACAAGTTATGGACTATGCGACTTACTATCAAACAATTGGAACATATGATTGATCATAAAGATTCTGTGTAAGAAGAAAAAAAAATATATATTTTTTGTCTTTTACACACTTTGATTGTAGTAACCATATTTTCTTATATTTAGATATATTCGTGCTGTTGGATTCATGTATTTGCGTTATGTTTGTGCACCCGCCCAATTATGGGATTGGCTTGGATACTATTTGGATGATGAAGAAGAAATCAATGTTGCCAATGGTCCCAAACCTCATATGATGTAAGTGAATTAGCTTTCAATATATATATATATATATATTTACTCATATGATTTTTTAATAGGACAATTGGTGGATTGTGTCGTATGCTGTTAACTGAACAAAAGTATTTTGGAACCATGCTACCTCGTATCCCTGTACCTATTGCTCGTGATTTGGAACAAATGTTGATTGCTTACGACAAAGAAAAGACAAGGTAGGAAAATAAAGATGATGATTTTTTTTTTTTTATGATTTTCAGAGAATGTTAATATTTCTTTTATATAGAGATACAAAGGGTGATCAAGGAATTACCAGTCGTCGATCACGATCTCGCTCACCTTCTCGATCTAGTCGTCGTGATCGTAGTCGTAGCCCCTCTCGTCGCCATCGCCGAAGAAGTCCAAGTCCTTATCATCGTCGTCGACATGACAGCAAACGACGAGATGAACGTGATGAGTTAGATGATTATGAAAGACGGTCTCGACGTCGACATGATAGTCATAGACGACGGGAGGAACGGGATGAATTGGATGATTATGAACGACGACGACGACGATACGAACGTAGCCGATCTCGCGATGATAGACGTTCTCGATACAGTGATGATGATAGTAGTGATGATGATAGAAGACGGCGACAACGACGAAGAAGTCCAAGTGTTACTAGGGATCGTCAAAGTGAATATAGAGGATCAAGAGACCGTCGATATTGAATGACCTGAATCTTAGTTAGTTAGCTAGTTTTGTTTATTATTTTTTTTTAAAAAAAAAAACTTTAATGATAATAATAATAAAAAAAAGCCTTTTTCTATTTTTTTTTTTTCTCTCTCTCTCTTTTTTTTTTTTTCTTTCTCTTTATGGTTTTCTTAAAGTACAAACGACTCCTATGGAATTGACAACAAATTTTGAACAAAAAGAAGAATCATTATCCCAAAATACGTTAAAGAAATCCGAACCCAATATACCCGTTAGATATTATACACCTCAACCAGAACCTAGACGTACCAGTCTTTATGTACAAAGTAAAAAAAAAAAAAAGACATCATTGAATCACCGCCTACTAAGGTTCATATACATATAGACTATACACCCACTCCAAATCCTGAAACAGTAGTTGTTCAACAACATGGTATTGCTTCTGACAAGTATCCATGTTGTATTGGATGGTAAATAAGAAGAAGATTATCCATGTTTAGAAAACTGACTTATTTTTTTTTTTTAGTTTATTGGCTTGCTTTTTTTGTTGTATGGTAAAGAATGAATCATCTAGTTTTCAAGAAAAATAAGTCATCCTAGAACGTTTCACTCTTTTTTAACTCCCCCCTTTTGTGTCGGCCAAACACTTCCATGATATTACATTTTGCATTCTCACATTAATAATAAATTCATTTTAGAAACAATCCCTTTTTTTATTATTTCAACAAGTTTTATTGATCAAATTCTATAAATAAACTTATTGTAAATGTTCCAAAATATCCTTAATAGCTATTTTTCCTTGTTCTTTTTCTAAAAATGGTTGTCCAACCAAAGTCCCAACATGTTCAAGTAACTTGGCCTGGTCTTGTTCAGAGGCTGTTTCACCATCTTCCATTTCGGATCCTAATTTTATTTGTTCTTGTAGAGCAGTCTCTTTCGCTTCCTTTGAGATTTGTAATAATGTATCCTACCAAAAAAAAAAAAAAAAAAAAAAATGAATCCATCTTTGTTTTCTTTTTTTTTTTTTTTTTTTTTAATTTACCACTAAAGCTTCTTGGCATTTCCTAGCACCTTCCAATTTCAATGGACTTGTACTACTAAGAGCATGTTGTAAACAATTTTGATCATAAAACTTGATATTGGGCACCACAAGTACACGAGTGACTTCTGTTCCTAGTTGAGAGAGTCCCTTGATTGCACCATATTGTGTTGTCAGAGGTTTTGTTGGATCCAAGAATGCGCGTAGTAAAGCTTTGGCAATACGTGGTTGTAAGGTATGATATGATTTTCCATATTGATGACAGATAGATGCAATCAAAGATGCTGCTCTATCACGTGTACTCCAGTGATCTTGTTCCAAAGGTTCTTCACAAATAGTTCGACCAACCAAACATGATAAAATAGATGGGATCAATTGATGTAACTATACATATATTAAAAAAAGAAAAGTAAATAGGATGAATCAAATTATGTTTTTTTATTATCAACTTACGTAGGGTTCCACGAATAAATGTTTATTATTCAATATGGAATAAACCGTTGATAACATGGCATCCAATACATCTAGATTCTTATGATTTTGAATCACCTTCTTTTGAATATGTTGCACAAAGTATGGTAAAAGTTGATGTAATCCGGGATCATTCCGTAAACTTTCAAATGCTTGGGATCGTAGTCGTTCATCTTCGCTGACAATCGCATCGGTGATCCGTTCAAAATACATTTGGAGTTCCTTGGATAATATATGCTTGACAAGAGGTTTGACATCGACTTGATCTGTTGATATACCGTTCGTTGTAGTTTGTGTCTTTGTCTTTTTGGTCAATAAATCAGATTTGGCATCTAATAGAAAAAAATAAGAAATTCATATATATGTTTTAATAAAAAGTATAAATCAACTTACCGCTTGGAGTTGGATTTTGAGGAATAGCCGGTTGTACACCTTCAATAGCTAACCAATGTGCAGTAAATGAAACATCCAATGGGATCTTGGGTAGAGGTTTATTCAGTATTGTATCGAAATCCACTTCTTCGTCTTCTGTGAAATAAATATTTTGATTGTTGACCGTAGTACGTCTGAATTTGCTGGCATCTCCATAACCATATCCATATAATGGTTCTACATTCTTGACGCGTAATGCTGCATTGATATCTTCCACCATAAGTTTTGATCGTTTGGAATGACGCATAAACTTGGTTGCTTCCTAAGTTATTATTTTCAATATTATTTATTATTTTGATCAGTCAAATAGTTTATCCAGAAAAAAAAAAAATAAAAAGTGCATCATTTTTCCTTCTATTTTTTTTTTTTTTTTTTTTTTTTTTTTACCTGAATAAGTTCCTGAACTCGATAATCAACATCTTGTCCTAAAGCAGTTGCAACATCGTCTTTCAAATTCGAAATACCGAGTGATTCGCCTATATTCTATTCATTGTTTTCCAAACAAATAAAAACAAAAAGAGAAAAGATACCTGTTAGTAAAGTTAACGTGACTAGTTCACATAGTATTACCTTAATAGTATCTTTAGGTATTGCGCTCATGTTTGAAAATAGACTAAAATAAAATAAATGTATTTGATGGTTGAAAATGGGTAAAAGAACAAGTAGAAGAAGAAAAAGAAATAGCTTGGGGAAGAGAGAGAAAAAAAAAAGGTCGGCATTTCAAATATCCAGTCACTTGGGCATATTACAAGAAGACCTTTTCTTCCACACTTGTTCACTTTTTGCCAATATGTCTTCATTGGGCCAGCAGATTGAACAATGTATTGATATCATAATCAAGTCAAAGATGGATACTAAACTTGTCTATTTTTTTTTTATTATTATTATTATTATTTTCAATAGTATTTGCGAAAAAAGAACATTTGGCTGAAGAGATCATTATTAACAAGCAAATGGTAATATCAAAGACCAAGAATACAAAATAACAAGAATTAATCGTACATATACTTTCTTCATGTTGAATTTATTATAGCTGATAGATTATGATCGAAAACGTAATAGTAACCGAGAAGCTTTAAACCAATTTAAAAAGAATTTGAAAGATGGTACGGTTTTTTTTTTTCAGTTATATAAAGGCATAACTCAATTTTATATTCTCTTTTTTTTTTTTAGAAAAAAAAGTTTGGATCAACTTGGGTGATATGTTTATCAGATTACCAACCAAAGAAGCACAACAAGTGATTGAAAAAGGTAAGTTAAAACAAACAAAGGGGGTAACTGTGAACTGATGTATTATACTTTTTTTTTTTATCTAGATCAAACAACACTGACAGAAAAAATGGATGAAACAAGAAAAATCATCAAGGACATGGCTACAGAATTGCAACAACTGGAAGGGAAGAAGGAAATGCAAGGATTTAATTTGACAGGCATGAGTGCCAAAGATTTGTATTCTATATAATTAGATTTAAATTTTTATTTATGATTTTTTTTTTTTTTTTTTTTTTTTTTTTTTTTTTTTGCATTTGTACATATTAAACACTTCTTTTGACACTCTCACTTTTTTTATTTGATGTACAATAAACACTATTTCAATACTTAGCATCTTCCTCTAGATATTCTATTTTTGAAAATGTGATGGTTTATTCTTTGATGATTCTCTTTACTGGTATTTAGTGTTAGTCTTAGTTATCATCATTACATTCTTCTTTAATAAAGTCATATTCTGTTTCATCACTATCATTATTACTTTTTATTATTTGACACTCTGTCCTAGTGAATGACACGCATCAACCATCCAAATTCATGAAAATCATCAATTAGAGTTGTAGATAAAAAGGAATCAATGGTATACCCTCACTTGGAGATGACCACTTTTTTTTTTTTTATTATTATGACTTGTTAAATGGTAACTATACAGAGAGAGAGAAAGAAGAGAGGAAAAACGAAAGGATAGTCTAAAAAAAGAATGGATTGTATTATGCATGAAACAAAATAAAAAGAAGAGTTGGATCATATAACAAAAAACCAGGTAGAATATATAAAGACAATGGATATAATACGGGCGTTCTAGTGGATGGAACTAGTGTTGATAATGATTAAGTGTGGGAGGTTCAAAATTGGCCATGAGTTGGAAAACATATTGATAATCAGGTTTGAAAGGATGAGCCATACAACCATGAATCACAGGAGAGAATGCATCGTTTGTAAATTGAAGACATCGCATATGAACACCAGCAAGAATTTGAACCAGCTCACCCTATGAATAAAATAAAATAATTTCATATGAGTATATATATATAAAATGGAGAATGATCTTTTTTTTTTTTTTTTTTTTTTAGGAACTTACAGTTTCCACATGACGAATTTCAATAAATCGAGCATCAAAAGCAACGACATAGGGATAATAAAATGCAATAGCTTGAGGAGTTCCTTCCCAGGCAATCCATGCATAAGCTTCTTGTACAAAGGAACCATGAGTATCCACCAAAAATGCAAAAGCATCGTAACACAATAAATAATGTTGACGGCACTTGAATAAACCAAGAGGTTTGAGATCGGCACGTTGTTGTACAAAAGCAAAATCAGGATGTTGAATATCAGGTAGATTTCGATTCATGCTCAAGTTTTCCAGATCAATCACTTCAAACCCACGGGGACAAACAACAACGATACGAGCTTTCAAGAAATGCACAGCAGATGAATCAGCTCCAACATAGAATTCTTTGTATACCTTGAACCAAGATGGTACCTTGCTGAAAAGTCCAGTCTTCGCTGCCAGGAATTTGCTATTTGCAGGATCACGCAAATCTCCACACACAGGTTCATAAGCCTTGAAATGACTATCCAATCCACGTTTCTTCATTGCAATCACAAGAGGTCGACCATGACAAGTTCCCGCATTGAAATATGAAATATGTTGTGCTACCTTTTGATTGGGTTTATAACTTGATTCTTTATTTGATGTAGGATCCAATGCTTCTAATGCATACGCATATAACGTTTTATCTAAAAGAAATAATAATAAATGGATTAAGAAGAAGAAGAAAAAAAAAAACAAACCTCTTTTATTATATGGATAGATTGTTTTTTTTTATTATTATCACTTACCAGCCAAGATCATGAGTATATGAGGTTCAGGAATCACTGCCATTTGATTAACATCCGGAAGTGCCAGAACTTGTCGAATACTGTTTGTATCACCTTCAATACCCATCCATACACCAGCGACTGTTCCTACTGCAATCATCCTAATCCCATTTGATCCTTCTATTAAACCAAAATAGAAAAAAAAAAGTTCATTAGTTTTTCTGTCTCTTTGTCATCCCTTTCCTTTCCTTTTTTTTTTATTACCAAATTGTACAGAACATGTCACCTTGCCATATTGAACTTGACCACCAGATCCTCTAAAAGTAGTATCACTAAGAGATCTAATTTCAAATACTTGACGAGATAAATCTCTTTCTTCCAATACCGCTTTTGCTTCCACAACCTTTTCCTTCCAAGTGAGACGAGCTTGTGCATTTTCAGCAAATAAAAGATGATCACCACCAGAACGACCCAAATGATGAAATAAAAGAGGATGATTGTTGTTACCAAATGATGTTGCTGAGACGAGCATTCCAGTATGAGAAGTGACAGTACTTGAATATGTACTGCTCATAGATCGCATTCCCAAAGAGAATCCTTCTGTTGCTTCTTCCAAATGTAGTAATGGCATGGGTATGGGACGTTTGGAGATGAAATATTCGTATTCATCATCAGAGATCTTGCTATTTGAATTGTTGCCTTGCATTTTCTTTCGTCGTGTCATCACCAGCATATGATCGAATAAAAAGACATAGATTTCAGTTGATTCCACTACCACATGATTGCGTCGTGATAAGGCCCCTTCATGTAATAACAATCGACCAGGTTCAAGTAGTTGGAGATCGTGAGGTTCAGTTGGTTTGCATCGAATACGATCGTTGATTTCATAAATACGCAGAGTATTTTTGCTACCCACCGTACCTTCATCCATCGCTGTAGCAATTTGTCGTAAAATATCAGAGCATTCAGTCAAAGTAGCCTTATCAGGGTGATCATCCGGTGTTTTCTTGAGAATGGCGCCGATCAGTAGAGGATAACGTTGTAAACGAGTGACAGGCAAGATGATAAAATGGCGAAAAGGAAGTTTTCGTGTTTCTGCTTGTTTTTCCCGTTCATGTACAAAGTTTTGGAAAAGAATATTGTTAACCATTTCCTTCTTGATAGCATATTCCGATAAAACAACATGAGGTCCATACTGTCGATAGGCTTCTTTGAATCGTGGTAAATGATGTAAAAAGATATCCCCAATTTTGTCGACGAATCCAGATACATTATTTGCTTGACATAGTGATTGATGATCCCGGAGATCCCGATACAAGTCTTTGTGTATAGCCAAAAGATCCAAATAATTATTGAATACATTATCACAGAAAGCATCCCGTCTTTCAGGTTCTATACATTGAGCTTCACGTAAAGATTTGGCGAACAACTAGTAATAATAATAACAATAAAAAAGTATTAGTTTTTTTTTCTCTTGATATCATCTTTTTCTTTTTTTTTTTCTTTTTTTTTTTGTATTTCATATTGTACCTCGTCCAGCAAATTGAGATCGCGCACATAATCTTCTTCGGTATAAATAAGTTCATGGATTGCTTCTTGTCTTGCAATTTCTGAAGGAGGAGTGTTTTGAAGTACATCCTTTGCAACCGTTGCTGACCAGGCACGAGACATTGTCTATAGAAATAAGAATAGATAAGTTGAATGTCTATCGAGATATAGACACATATATATATATATATATTTTATTATTATTTTTACCGTATCATGAGATGATGCCACTGATGAAGACATTGATCCACGTCTTTCTAATCCATTTTGTTTCTTGTTACAATAATAATATAAAAAAAAGGATTATTAACCTTCATCCATATTTGATTACCATTTTTCACTTACGAGTTTTTCAGTTTTGGGTTTGTTTGGACAACATGGAGCATAACAACCACCTTGACCAGGTAAACAAAAATGAGTATAACATCGAGTGAGATGAGTATAGACACCTTGAGGAATTTCATCATCGACTAATAAATAGACTTCATGATTGGTTTTATACAAAGTGTTCCGTCGTGCTGATTTTTCCGAATAGGTGATTGGACTAATAACAGGAGGAGACGTATGCATCAAAGCCCGAGTCACTTTTAAGTAGAGAGAGGAAGGTAGACCAGAAGGTAAAATAGATCGTACGATTTCCTAAAAGAATGAAAATAAAATCAGATTAGAAATGAATATATATATATATATATATATATATATATATAAAAAAGAAAACTTACCACTGCTTCTTCACCATTGAAACTAGTTGGATATTCAGCTGTTGTAAATATTTTACGTCGTTTAGTTACCCTTTTAACTTGATCCACAAAATGAGTAGCTAATTCAGAAAGTAATGCATAATTGGGAAAGGTCATTGTATCATCATCAGGGTCAAAAGGTCCATACATAAGTTCGTGAATAGTAGGTGGTTCGGATTCGATGATTCTTGCCAAAGGAGAGCTGGGAGTGGAATACATTCTAGGACTCAGGAGAGGAGTACTATTAGTTTGTTGTGATTGATGACTACGATTACTTGAAATACTATCAGAACGTTTAGTGGACATGGCGACTTCTCTTGTCAATGAACTAGTACGTGTTGTCAATACTACGGTGTTTTTGTCTACAGTAACTTGTTGTAATTTTTCACGAGGTGCTGAAGAACCTAAAGAAGTAGAACGACTAATGCTGAGCAAAGAAGAAGATGAAGGAGCCAAAAGTGGACTTGATCCTGCTGATGAGCTACTAGAATTGGAAGTAGTGGTGGAAGTTGATCGTAGAAGGTAAGCTTTTGTTGATTGTTGAGGAGTAGAAGTAGTTGCTCTAGGAATAGGTGAACTATCATTATTATTATTGTTGTTGTTGTTATCATTATCTTCGTCATTATTGTCCACTGAGGCTTTCTGTTTGTGTCCTATCATACAAGTATGTAATTGACTGTTGCTACTAGATGCACTATCTGTTTCTACTTCGATAGAGCTAGAGGTATCATGTTGATCATTATCATGGTGATAGTTTGTACTAATGTCGAATTCTTCTTCATATGTTGAAACACGATCTTCGTCGTCTTCTTCTTCTTCTTGTTGCTGTTGTTGTTGTTGTTGTTGTTAATGATATATAGATATAAATATATATATATATATAAAGAGAGAGAGAGAGAGAAAAAAAAAGAATAGAATAGAAAAGAAAAAAAGGTTTAATAATAACAATAAAGAATAATAATAACTTTTTTTTTTACCTGTATTTCAGTTGTAAAAGCTTCAGTACTAAAATTATTATTGAGAGGTGAAGAAGGAGAGTCAAAGGATAATTCTTGTATAAAGGAGTCCAAGTCGTCATATAAAGAAGTTAAATTTTCATGGCGGTTTTGTTCATGATGAGAAGGTTGATATGATGCCATAACAGCAACTTTATTATCATTAGAAAGAAAAAGAAGAAAAAAAAAAAGGTACAAAAAAAAAAAAATAAAAAATAAAAAATAAAAAATAATAGTAGAATATTTGTGTAACTAAGTTTGATCTTGATTGGCTGACATTGCAAACCCTCTTTTGATTGCAAGATATTAAATCCAGACTCTCTTTTTACTATTATAATTATCAAGGAGAAGTATCTGAGTTATTATTATTTTTATTATTATTTTTATATATATGATTCATGAATGATTTTTATATCAAATATATCAATGGATTATAATAGCTAAAAAAAAAAAAAAAAATCAAATATTTGCTGACTTTACTAAACCAAAACTATTTTTAACTTTTTTCGTATCACGTAAAAATTGTAGCACTTCTTTTTTTTTTTTGACTCCTAAGGATAACAGTGTAAAACGATGATATCTAAATTAGGAAAGAAAATTACCCAACCATCTTCATCTTCCATACAATCAAAAAATTTCAATGATGAAAGAATAGTCTGCATGAAATCACACTAAAAGATTTCATCTAAAAAGTTTACGTATGACAAAAAAAAAATTTCGATATTAAAAAAGAAAAGACATCAGCACTTAATTGTTTCGTTTCTTTTTCTTTTTCTTTCTCGTTTTTTTTTTCTTTTTCTTTTATTTTTTTTTTTAATACAAACAATATCATGTCTAGTGAACAAAATAATAATATGGGACCTGTTCTCCCTGCTGATGATGATGCTAAGGCTGTTTTTCATCAAGTCAAAGAACAAGTTGTAGCTCAACTTCACAAGGTAAAATATATTTATATAGTATGATGATGAAGTAAACTGAAATGATTCTTTATTAATATATATATTAGCTTCGTCATGAAGATCAAGTTCATCATCTTCATGAAATTGATAATTTGGAAAAAATCACTATCTACAAGCTCTATCAATATGCAGTAGAAGAAGGTAAAACGGAACAATAATAGAAAAAGGGAAATTGAAACGCGCGCATTATGAATGGTAGGACAAAAATAGTGACCTTTTTTTTTTTTTTAGTCTCATACGGATGGAATTATTTTGGAAAGATTGAAGTGGATGATGATAAATTTATTCATGCTAGAGCTCATAAGTATCATGATGGACGAGTAGATTTTTATTCTTTACATACTGAACCTGAAAATGCTATCTGGACTCGTGATGAACCTCTCAAATATTTTATTGATTAATTTATTATATATATACACCAATAAAGAAAATCTTTTTTTTTTTTTTTTTTTTTTACGATGTCATTGATCGACAATCTAGTGTTTTGACGCGTTGGTTTGAAACCCAGATGATCATGCAAATACTGTTCATATATGAAACAAGAATTTCTTTTTTTTTTCTTGGGAAAGATCCAACTTGATAATAAAACCAAGAATAAAGAAAAAAAAAAAAGGATACTTGCATCCTATTTTGATTGGTTCATTCTATAAAAACCGATTTCATCACCGTCTTATGAATTTATAATTTTATGCCGTTGGTTTGTTTTCTATAAAATAAGGAGGACAAGTTTGAAAACCTATATTGATCATGCATATTCATTTGTATATTGTACAACCCATACATACACACCTCCTTTCTTTATTTTCTTCCGTAAAATAATAATAATAATAATAATATATATAAATAGGATGCGTAAAGACTATAGTCACTAAATGATCCACGGGTAAAAAAAAAAAAAAAAAAAAAAAAAAAAAAGAAGAAAAAACTATGTATAAAAATGAGAATATATGTAAACATGTATGCTAAAAAAAAAAAAAAAAGGAAAGGGGGAACATTCCATCATAGCCACGTTGATTGTTTTTTTTTCTCTTTGTTCATTTATTGATGATTCCTATCATTTGATCCTAAATCCATTTCATCCGATAATGAGTGTTGATCATCGAATAGATTATCAGAAGTTGATGTTGTACGTTGAACCATAGGTTGATGATGCGGATGACGACGTAATCTTCCAAGAGAAAAAGAGGAATGATTTGGTGCAAAATAAACTGGAACCCACATTGGTGGTGGTAATGCGTTTCTATGATGATCCATCGTCATACTATCGTTGTCGTCATAGTTGCTTTCATAATGTTGATTATCCCAATCCATAGATGATGATGAAGCACCTGTTTGATAACGATGATAGTGACTTTCTTCTAATAATCCTCTTATTTGAGTAACAATGGCATGTTCATATTTTGGTGGAGAAGGATCAGGACTAAAATAAGAAGGTAAAGGCTCACCACCTCTAGATGATCTAGATGATGATCGAATAGAAGAATTGGATTGTTGTTGTTGTTGTTGTTGTTGTTGTTGTTGTTGTCTTCTTCCTTCAATAGAAGTTGTAACACATGTCATTTCCGGTATTGTTGTAGATCTAAAAGAAGGTGGTGCTGAATTAGGAATGGAATGGGTTGATGATGATGATGTAGAAGAAGGTAATATTTGTTTGAGAAAAGGAGGAGGCCAATATCTAGAGCGTTTCCAAAGTCGAAAAAGCCAAGCCAATATACCAACAAAAATCAAAGTACAAGTAACAGAAAGAGCAATGGCAGTAGGATTGTGTTCTTCAGATTCAGAATGAGATGTTGGTGGTTGTGGGATATGATGAGAAGAAACAGGATTATATTGATTAGAAGAAGAAGAAGAAGAATCGTCATTTGGTGGAAGGGCACCAGGAGTAGGAGCAGGTTGACCATTATCAGTAACAAGTAGACAACTGTTTGGATCACAAGTTAAACTTTGCCATATATAATTAGTAGATGCATTACTGTTTCTTCGATATTGATAACATTCTGAACTTGTTGCACAATAATCTCCACTATTGTCGTTTCCACTTGATAAACAATAACCGTACCAGTCATATATGTTCGTTGTTCCAAATTGTGTAGCGTTGCATATTGGTGTGTTACGATTAGAGGTAATGGATTTGCTTAAAATACAAGAACTTTGAAGACACATGGCACAATACTTGCAAATACCATTGTTGTCACAATTTTGACCAGAGATGTAAGCACAACTATCGTCGTCGTCATTTCCATCGTCAGAAGTATCTTGTTGTAAACTGTACTGAATAAACCACCACAGAATTAAACCATAATATAATACGCGCTTCATATATATATAAAAAGTGGGTATCAATAATAAGAAGAAAAAAAAAAGGAAAAAAAAAGGTATAAAAGGAGTATATATATAAAGAAAGAAAGAAGTGTAAATAACAAATAAAAAGGGAGAAAAAAAAATTAAGGGGAAGAAAGAGTTGCATAGAAATAAAGAAACACCGCCTTTTTTTCCACTTCTTGAGAAAGGTAGAAAATTTCAAAACAGAAATATAGATAATAGGCGGAAAATGAAATTATCTTCGCCTTGATTTGATGTCATTGAACTTTTTCACTGGGGAAAAGACTGGGGGGAAAAATAAGAAAGAAATTTGAAAATTTTCTTTTCGATTTCTTTCTTTTTTCTTCTATTTTTAAAAATTATGTCTTCTAACGAAACAACTGAAACTGAATTAAAGCGTATTGATTCTTTTGTTGAAAAAGTTCCTGCTGGTTTTTATACTATTGACCAAAAAGAACGTGAACTTTGTCGACAACTTGGTGGTAATCAACAAGATTGTATTAAACTTAATTTAGAATGTAAGTTTAAATATAATTTTTTTTTTATTTCTGATCTTATCTTTTTTTTTTTTTATATCTTTTCTTATATAATTTAGATTCTGAAATGTTCTCTCAAATGCAAAAACTTGGTTTCTTTTGTGCTCTTCCAATGGATCCCACTTTAACATATATGGAATGTCGTCGTGTATAGTTTCTCTCTTTTTTCTCTTCTTTTTTTTTTTCTTCTTCTATGTATATTACCTTTGTTTTTCTTTTTATTTTTTATTATTATTATTATTTTACTTTGATTTTATAAGTATACATTAGAGTTATTATTCATATCACTTTTGGAATAAATTATCAAGCATACATATTTTTTTTTTTTTGTGTATATATCTACCGTTTTATTTGGGAAACACGAGTCTTTTTTAACAAATTTAGTGCGGGATGTGAAATGATATCTTCAAAGGCGAGACCAAGTTTTTTTTTTTTTCTTTCTTTTCTTTTTCTCCTTTTATTATATACAACTTTTATTTTTTTTTTTTTTTTTTTTTTACTATTTAGTATGCTTAGCAATGATAGTCAAGACATACAAGCAGCTGCATTTGTAGAATGGGTAAATATATATATATATATCATCCTTTCTTTATTCATACTTGACGCCTTTTTTTTTTTCTTTCTTTTGTTATTACTGTTCCTAGATCAATACTTGCCCGGATATCTCTCATCCTTGTAAACACATTACTGAACTTAGTAATGGTATTCTTTTATTCGAAGTATTAGCTGAAATGTAAGAAAAGAAATAAATAAATATAATAATATCAATCATCTTTTTTCTTCTTATTTACTTTTCTGTTTTTATATTAGTGATCCTGTTTGGTTCAAACTTATTCGTTCAGCTGATGTTGGTGAAAACTGGGTTCTCAAGATCAACAATTTAAAAAAAATGTATCGAATGGTATCAAGATATTATGAAGAAGTACTTGGAATACCTTTTGACAAGATGCCTCAAGTCAATCTTACCGAAATAGCAAAGGATTCGAATGTACAAGAAATCTTCAAACTTTGTCAACTTGTATTATTTATTACTGTCGAACATGAAAATAATGCCGTGGTGGTGGAACGTTTACAAAGATTAACAGAACAGAGTCAACAAATGGTCATGCTCTATATTGAAGAAGTAAGTTATTAATTTTATTTACTTGATAAAGTTCTAATTTATTTTATATTATTGATAATAGATCAATCGTATTCGTATGGCAGCCACTGGTGAACCTCATTTGCAACCTGCAGCTTCATCCTCATCTCTTCCTGTTGATTATACCCGTGGTAGCTCTTTTGCAGAGTAAGTGAATAAAAAATAAATGAATATTGTCCTCTTATTATTATTATCTTTTTCTTATTTTTTTAGTGATAATCTTTATCGAAAATACAATGATATGATCCGTGAAAAAGAAATATTGGACAAATCACATCGAATCCTTATCAAAGAACATGCTGATCTGCGATCCAGTTATGTATGTATTTATTGAATAAACATTAAATATATTACTTATGATTTTAACTTTTTTTTTTTTTTTTGTTATATTGTAGGTTGATCTTGAAAATGAAAAGGATGCATTGCAACATCGATTACAGGAAATGGATAGAGCAGTGACTCAAGCGAATGAAACTGGCCGTGCTGATTTTATTATGAGAACTGAAATTGAACATTTAAAGCAAGATTTGTAAGTCATTTTGATATATAAAGATAGACATGATCTATTAAAACTCACTTGATATATTATCTTTATTTGACTTTTTATAGGCAAAAAAGTGAAGATAGACGACAAGAGGCTGAAATGCTTTTGGAAGAACAAACAATCGCTATTGAAGAATTGACTCGAAAGGTATCTATTTCTATATAAAATGACATCATATTCATTCTTTTTTTTTTTTTTTTATTAGGGTGAAGAATTGAAGAGACATCTGGAACAATCATCTAGACTCAAGGATCAATTAGATGAATACAGGCATGCAGCAGAAAAATTACAAAAAGCTGAAAATGTCATTGAAAAGTTGAAAAAGAAATTGGAAGATAGTGCTGATCTGAAACGTCAAATCAAGGTAATTGAAAAAAAAAAAAATGTTATAACGAAAAAAAAAAGATTGAATTAACTTTTCTTTGTTTCTTGTTATAGGTCTTGGATGAACAAAATCATAGTCTGATGGAACGTAATCAACAGATTGAAAATGAATATCGCAAAGTATTGGCTTTCAAAACTTTGATGGACTCATACAAAGATCAAGTGGCTATGCTGGAAACCAAGAATAACGAGTTACTCCGTGAAAAGAACAAGATGGAATATGACATTCAACAAATGACCAAAAAAGTGGACTTATTAGAAGTGGACAAAGCAAGAGATTCTGAAAGAATATTAGCATTGGAGGATCATTTACAAGAAGCTCAATTGGGTGGTACGTATCTATTTTTAAAAAAAAAAAAAAAAAGAAAGAGAGATGAAACTTGAACTAATGATCATAATATATTTATATATAGTTGGCAGACCTCTTAGTCAAGGTTTGGAAGGAAGTAATAATGTGGACGATATGGATTTGGATGACGATGATACTCATTTGGATGGATCATTAGAAGATTCACTCAAAGAATCTAATGTGACCGAGTTAAAATTATCCAAACGAAGATTGGAACGACAATTACGAACTTTACAACAAGAAGGCAATGCAACTGACAAGAGCCAAAAAGCAATGGTATTACAACATTTATTGGATGATGCGAATCGACTCAAATCTCAATTTGAAAAAAACTACTTGGAGGTCTCGCAAGAACGTGATATTCTACAAAGTGATATGGCTCGCGTCCGTGAAGGTATTCCCGACGCTCTATTAGATGAATCAAGACACACCATGTCGTTACGACTACATATTGTTGATTTGGAAAAGGAAAGCAAACAACTTAGGGAAGATATCAGCAAATTGGAACAAAAGATCAACGACGGACGCTTTGCAAACAATGGTGGTAGTTTGATTGACAAGTTGGATGGTGCTGATTTGGATACGTTCAAAACACAATACAAAGATATGGAAGCAAGGACCTTATTGTTGGAAGAGCAGACAAAGACACAACTTCGAGATATCAACAAATTGCTATTAGAGAAGGATAGGTTACAAAATCAAAGTGTGGATCAAAAGGATTTACTCTCATTCCAAGAACAATTACACAGGTACGTCCATAACAAAAAAAAGTCAAATATACTTCTACTTACCTTTTTTTTTTTCTATGAACAGTGAAATGAAAGCCACATTGGCTGCATTTGAAGCAAAGGATGATGAACCATTGAAACAACAAAATGCACAATTACAACAGCAATCTATCAAGCAACATGAACAGATATGGGATCTTGAACACAAAGTGAAACACTTGAAAGAGGTAAGTAAATGATAGTATTAATAAAGAAAAAAACTCACTCTTTTTCTATTGTAGTTTATTAAACATCAACATGCCTTGCTCGAAGAAGAGAAGCACAAGCACACATCCAATAACTATAATGAAGCTGTTACTTCACTGAAAGCGGAACTGGTGCAGCGTGATGAAGAAAATGAAAAACTCAAGGTAAGAGGGAAAAGATATTCTTTATATATATATATATATATATTTTATTGATCTTTTTTTTTTTTTTAATGACATGAATGATAGAAACAACTTTATGAATCTCGGTTACAAGCCAGACGTGAACAACAACTTATGATGTCAGCTTGGTATGATATTGCTCGTCATACAAGAAAAGATCTACTCAATCCCAAGGTATACCCTAGCGGATGGCTTGGTCAACACCGCAACACTCATTGAATTTATAGTTAAGTTATATTTTTATTATTCCCCCCCCCCTTCTTGTTAACTTTTTTCTGTGATTTTCCTTTTTTTTTTTTTTTTTTTTTTTTTTATTCCTTGATATATATTCTATAATAAACAATACCGAATATTTTTCTTTTGATCATAGTGTTACAAGTATTTATGTTTTGTCGCTTTGAAGACCTTTTTTTTTTTTTCGTGGATGACAAGATGATGGGGCGATGAGTATTGCGAACAATGCAAAAATGTATGATAGAACAATGAAGAAAAATGTTGTAGGATATAATTGAATCCATAAAAGGCAATTGCAGGATGATCGAAACACGCTACAAAATCGACCATTCACTATGTATTTAGGCTACGGTATAAAGAGGTCCCCCTTTTTATGTATCTTCCGCGCAAGGAAATGAGAGTTTTCATTATCATGAACCTATCATCACAATATAGACTCATTACTATAGAATAATCATCACGGGATGCTATGGAATTATCATCATCATATACCATTCTGTACTTTTTTTTTTTTTGGTTCCTGAATCACGAGAATATATATATTTTTTTTCAAAAGAAAAAAAAAGTGTGACCAATCACTTGGCTGGAGCAATACGTCCGGCTTGACAATTACGACCAAGCGGCATTTAAAAACCAGGCCGATGTTAGTCGTAATTAAGAGAAGGTTTTGGGGTTTTCGTTTTTTTTTTTTTTCCTTCCCTCTTTTCTCATATACTTGATCAGTAGCATGGTACGTACATTTGAAACGAAATGACTTTTGGATATCATCATCATTAGTAGAGAAGTTACTTGTCAAGTCATCTATGACTGTTATACAACAAAGAAAGGGATGGATGGATGGATGGATACATGTACGCAGAAAAACGATATTGATGACTACAACAACAATTCGATATTAGCGAATGGCTATTTGATAGCATTATACCGGTCAATTCACAACAACAACAACAACAGCATGGCAAAATCGATGCACAACTTATACATGGCTTGTAACATTACCTTCATGATGATGATTCCATTCATGTCTTTCTTCCATGATAATAAATTATATAAATCGTTTGAAATACTCATCACTATTATTTTTTATTTCTCCTTTTTTTATTTAGCCTTCTAACAAGTCATTCATCACCAAGGTCAAGCTTGGCAAGGCCCAAAAGCAAAACCGTCCTTTGCCTCACTGGTTCCGTCTCAAGTCTGACACCAAGATCCGGTATGTTTTTTAGGAATTTGTTACATAATTGATAAAATAGAAATGATAATCTCTTCCTTAACTTTACTAACCATTATTATTTTTTTTTTAATATATAGCTGGAACGCCAAGCGTCGCAACTGGCGCCACACCAAGTTGAACATCTAAGGATTCAAGTTCATTTTATTTACTGGCACTTTTTATGTGAAGAACAAACTGGTTTTCTCTTTTCTTTTCAATGATCTTGATTTTACTTAGTTTTATTTGGAAATAAAGATGAATCGTTTGAATATATATACTTTTGTTTGATATGTCCTTTTTGTCGAAATCATAATGAATTAATATACATATATTTATATGTTTGTGATGTGTGGTTGGTGGAATTCAAATTCCGGGCATGGCATTTTTCTTTTCTTCGACTTTTTTTTTCTTTTTCGTTTCCTTTTTTTTTCCTTCTTTTCTATTTTATAAACATGTCACTTCATTCTTCGCCTCCTCCTATTACTGATAGTCTTACTGATGGTATTGGATTGACCCCCATGGTCCGCATTGGTACACATAGCAATGGTAAATAGGTTTTTCTAAATACTTTTATTTGATGGACAATAGTATCAGTAATTTGACAATTTTTTTTTTCCCTTGGTTTTATGTCATTCATATGAATAGTGGAAGTTTTAGCCAAATTGGAATATAGTAATCCAACTGGAAGTGTTAAGGATCGTGTTGCAAAGCATCTTTTAGAAGGTAAAAAAAAAAAAAAAGAGATGACGCGTATTTATCGATATCATACATTTTTTCTTCTTTAGAATATGAACGTCGTACTCATGTTGAAGGTTCTAGTACTCGGGTCAAGATCTTGATTATCCCTACAACTGGCAATCTCGGGATTTCCCTTGCAACATTTGCAGCTCGTCACCGGTATCATCGTGTTATTTGTATTGTACCAGAAAGAACTTCCAATGATCGCATTGCATTACTGAAAGCCCTTGGGGTTGAAATCATTCGGTCTCCCAATGAAGCCCATCCTGAAGCTCCAGAAAGTGCAACCTCTGTAGCAGCTCGTCTTGCTGACCAACTATCTGCCTCCTCTACTAATGTGGCTATTTTGGACGAAACAACGTTTATTCAGGGTGCATTTGATGATTTGGCTGAAGAACTGATTCAACAGACACATGGACAATTAGATTACTTATTTGTTGGTGTGGAATCCGGTGCTACCATTTCTGGTCTTTCTCATTATCTTAAAAACAAGTTGCCCAACTTGAAGGTAAAAAAAAAAAAGGATGTTTTTTTTTTTTTTTTTTAACTTTTCATACTTTATTCATTGTATTTTTCAATAGGTTATTGGTGTTGAACCAATTGATTCCATTTTAGGTGATGACTCTCCTGTACATACTACTAGTAATAGTCGCATTGTATGTCTATATCTTTGAAATATTTCCCCAAGTACATTACTTATCTTTTTTTTTATGACAATAGGATTGGCGTATAGAAGATTTAGGAAATCATGTGGTACCCTCATCTTTAGATAAGAAAGCGGTGGATGCATGGGTGAAAGTATCGGACAAGGAAGCTTATTCAACAGCAAGACGATTAATTCGGGATCAAGGGATTCTATGTGGACCATCATCTGGTGCGGTGACGGCAGCAGCTATTCAATATGCCAAACAACAACCTTCTGAAAACCATTCCACTCATGAATATAGATCCGTTGTGATTCTGAACGACAGTGCTCAAAATTATACTTCAACTTTACTCAATGATGAATGGATTTTCGAAAATGATTTGGCAGATGAAGTGATGATCAAGGAATTGGAATATCTTTCTTATGATCGGTACCGAGCAGTAAGTGATGAGAATACAAATCATATATATGGACATTATTTTTTATATTTTTTTTTTTTTTTTTTTGGTTAGGCAAGTGTGGAAGATCTTCAACTACCAGCAGCAATGACCATTACACCATCTACAACCATTTCACGAGCTTTAGATTTGATGTACGAAAGAGAATATTCGCAATTACCTGTTGTACATGCCAACAATAAGAAATTGGTGGGATATGTATCATTAGCATCGTTGGAAGCTCGATTGAATCAAGGGACAAGTCATCCTAATGATCAAGTAGATTCCTGTATGTTCTCATTCAAAAATGCAAAATCATCTGGTGTCGCTTATCAATTGATCACTCCCGATACAAGTTTGGCAGATTTAGGTAAAAAAAAAAAAAAAAAAAAAAATTCAAAACCATAATATTTTTTTTTATTTTATAGCCAAATTCTTTGAAAAGAACTCATTTGCAGTGGTAACAGATGTGAATCGAAAATGGTGTCTTGGAGTGGCTACGAAATATGATTTAATTAGTTTCCTTCATCGTCGACAAATTCTTTAGACTAGTATCTGTTTATTTTGAATCTCTTTTTTTATTTTGTATATGAATATGTATAATAAAAAAATAAAAAAAAAAAGAAAACAATGAATAAATGAATCTTTGTTTGTTTCACACAATGTCCTAATAATGTGTATGTGTGTAGGGTCCAGAAAGAAAGAAAGAAAAAAAAAAAAAAGGTGATAGTTTCTATTTCAACTTGTCCAACAAAGCAGGTAAGACTTCACGTCGCCATTGATCCTTACAAGCCTTTTTTGCCCTTCCAACAGCTAGAGAAATACGATCCCAAGAAAACGAGGTCATGTCATCCAATTGTTTTTCCTTGACAATGGCCTTTAATAAATTCTTCCGTTCAGTTTCTTGCCATCTAGGTTTGACTGATGTTAGATCATCGACTTGATAAGGTTTGAAAGTGACGGATGATTTTCTTGACAACAATTTTGTTTTTTTCGTGCGTCTTGTATCCATGGAAGTATTGTAGATCGTCGAAGAAATGGAAGGTAAAGGTTGTTGTTGTGTTTGACAAAAAGTAGAGGGTGAACAGTGATCTATGGATGATGATGTTTCAGGTGTCCAGGAAAGAAGTGAGGAAAAGGATGGAAGTCGACAGTGAGAGGATGATGGATGGTTGCAAATAATAGATGCATCGGGATAACCCGGATTTAATGTTAAATCATTATTTGTTTGTAAACTACTTTTATCGTCTACAGTATGACAATATCTATTGGGACACATGAATATAAATATATATAAAGAAAGAAAGAATGAAAGAATGAAAGAAAAAAAGAAAAAAAAAAAGAAAAGGTTTTCCTTTTTATATACAAATCAAGGAATATCTCTACTTGATCATTGTATGTACCTGAAAAAAAAAAAAAAACCATCAGTACCGTTGACTTGGTTAAAGAATTCATTGTTTCCTTATTCAAAGAAAAACAAAATAATAATATTACTTTAGGTACAACACAAAGAATATTAGAATAATCAACTCATGATGTTTTGTCAATGAAATATAATGAATATCATTTGAGGTCTAGAATGATAAAAAATTACTTTTAGATAAATAAATACATGGATTCTTTTTCCCATCATAACTTTGGTAGGATCAATGGAAGGGGACTGTGAACAATCAATGACATCGGTGAAGGTCGGCTATTCAAATTGTAGGTGTTGCATAAAAAAAAAAAAAAAAGATTTCTCTCTCTCTCTCTGTCTGTCTCTGTGTGTGTGTGTTCTCTATATTCTTAGTGCCGCTTTAACCTGTATCCTTTTTTTTTCCCTTTTTTCCTTTCTTTCTTTCTTTCTTTCTTTCTTTTTTTTTTTTTTTTTTTGAAAGGAGAAAGAAAAGCATAAACAAAAGTATGGATACCAATATTTGTCTTTATTGTGAAAAACCACTTGAAGAGGTAATCTTTATTTATTTATTTATTTAAAAAAGACATGCTCAACATTACCATTCTTTTGTTAGACAACAGATGATATCAGCTTTTGTTCACTCCAATGTCACCATATGGAAACTCTCAAAACCAAGATCCCAAACTGGGCTCATCTTTACTCATCAGTTTCTAGACGAAGGCATCACCTACCTTATATTGTTGTTCCTTCCACCTTATTGAAAAGACCTGGGCCTTCTTACAATATATCATTATTTTCATAGCTCTTTTTTTTTTTTATTAACACCTTTCCATTTTGTATGCAACTCCATATATTTTATGATATTTTCCTTTCCTTTTTTATTTTATTCCCTTATGTTATTTTACCAGATACAAACAAACAAATTTAAATATGCTTTTATTTTCTTTGTTTTTGTTTCACACACACACACATATCCCTCACCTTCCTTTATTACTTTTATGAAATAATAAAAATGAAAAAAAAGAAGGATGTAATCAATGACCTCCATATAATCTTGTCCCATGATTTATCTCGTTATTGAATATATATATATATACTCATCAATACCCCCCACGTGTTTTTAAAAGAGAACCTTATCTCCAATATCATCGATCATAATAAAAGATCGTCCTGCGAATCATATAAATAAAAAAATGTTGAACTAAATCCGTATGTTTTTTTTTTTTTATTATTTCACACGTAAAACAGCACGCACATCCATCAATAAAACTAATAAATTATCCTTGAATACTTGAGCCATTTCCTTGGTAGGTTGTTGTTGTTTGGGAGTAGCTTGATCCAGTTTTCCAAATGCATTGATCAATCGAGGTTGTAAATCACTAGATTGTTGTGTAATGATTTGATTGACCAATTCCATATAAGAATCATGTTCAGCGGTCATCAAAGCCAATAAAGCATCCGATGCGGCATTCACTACCGAAGCATCCAAATGTTGAAATAATAAAACATTTAACAATGCTCCAAGTAATTTTGATACTGCACTTTTGAGAGTAGTATTGCTACCTAATAACGGGAAACAAACAGTGAATGGATTTTTCTTAAAAAAATTTTTTTTTTTTTTTTACCTTGAGTATATTTTTGATGAGCGGCCCACATTGCCAAAGGAGTAACAGCTTGTAATGTAAGAATATTGATATCAGCAATAGGATGAGCAATACCAAAGTCTAAACTTGCCATCAAATTGTCAAATAGAGGGGTTGGAAGTCCTGCTAATTTATCAGGGAATTGTTCAATCAAATGAGATACTAACTTGATATAGTATTGACATAGATTGGGAATCTAAATAAAAAAAAAAAAAAAAAGGTTAAGTATCATTTCCTGATGATCATACAAAAATCAAACTTACTTGAAGCATATTCATATCAATCATGGGTATGATGGTGTTAACACCAAAGAGAACCACATCAGCAACACCTGGAGTCAATCCATCACCATTAGAAGTTGTATTCCCATCATGTTTTGCTTCAAATTCGGAAGCCATCACGTTGATCAGTAACACAAGAATAGTACAAATATCTTCATAAGGACGATCCGCTTCTTCTTCTTGCGTATGTACACGTTTTTTGCCATGATTGAAAGTACCGTAGAGTCGAATGATTTCCATGATGAATTGATAAAGACCTTGTTTTTGTTCCTTTTCTAAAACTGACATATCCAAACGTTCAGTCAGATCTGCAAGTATTTGTAAAATAGACAATTGGACTTCAGGTACATTTTTGTAGATCTCCATCAGTTGGTGGAAGCTTTGGAAAAATCGACAAGTAAACCCAAAGATGGATACTGTGTTGTTAAACTGACAGGATAAAGCTAGACCATCAAACATCTATAAATAAATATATAAATATATAAATATATATAAATGATTAGATGAATTTGTTTCTTCTATCCCTATTTCTTTCCTTTTTTTTTCTTTCACATACATCTAGAGCGTTCAATACTTGATTCATAACATTTGCTTGTTGACATTGTTGAGTAAAATCAGGTTTATGAAGAATGGCACCTAGTCGTTCCTAAAATATTATAAACAAAATGTTCAAAAAACATAATTCTCACTTCTTTTTTTTTTTTTTTTTATGTACATACTTCAAGCATCACAAAGATTAAATCAAGGTAGTTGTGTCGCATTGTAGAATCTTGTACACCACTGGCAATAGTACCCACTGTTTGAATAAGATAACTATGAAAAATAAAAATATCAATGTTTATCTTAAACATCAATAAAAAGAAAAATATAACCTACTTGTGTATGGCTTCTGGTAATTGTTCCAAATTGGATGTGATAAACTTGATCAATTCAGGGAAAGCAGCTACATAAGGAAAAAAAAAAAAAGGAAGTGTTAACTATTTTTTTTTTTTCAGAAAAACATCATTTTCTTATACGGATAAACTTACGTGAAACGAGAAGTCTTGATTTCAAATTAAGAGGAGTACCACAGGTATTGAGCCATCGTACCAATTGAGACAATACATCAGGATCAGCATTCCATAACATAAAGTTATTCTTCATTTGTTCAATAAAAAATTCTATGATTTGTACCCCTTGTCCATCAGAAGGCCCAGGCTGACCAAAGGATTTTGCAATGTTTGGACTCATGAACCCGTAATCGTTTTCGTTCACTAGTAAATAAGTCTTACTCCATCTTTCCATGAACCAAATCAATGTTTCAGCAACACGAGGACTACAATTAGATGCCTACAATTAAAAATAACAATAACGATTAATATATTATATCAAATCATTCTCTTATTCATTTTTCTTTTCTTTTGGATACCTCTATTGTATTAGGGCCAAAACTTGAGTAAAATCGTAGTAGTTCCAATACTTGATTTGAAAGTTGTACTATTTGATCTTGTTCATAACTCTACAGAAAAAAAAGAAGATGATGAATTATATTTTTTTTTTTCATAATATGTTTCATCTACTTTTTCAAATCTTTCAATACCTGAGAACTAGATAATTGCATAATAGATTCAGGAATCATAGGTTGTTCACCATTTCCGGCGTCAGCCAAAACGAATGCTGTCATCAAGATAATCCAATGTAATTGTTCATGGAGTAATAATAATTCTGTCCATAGATAATCCACAAAAAAAAAAGGATGATTAATACGATATGCTTTTTTTGTTCGCTACACCATTATTTACATAAATAGAATACATACCAAGATTGGCAGTCATTTCATTTGTGAAATATCTTTGGAATCGTTGAGTTCTATCACTGAGTAGATGTTGTAAATGAGATAAGCATTGATGAGGATTCAGACGTCCAAGAGTACTAATACAAGTCAGTTGATCGCCATATGTATCCCAGTCTTTTATACCACTTTCTATTTCATCTTCTTCATCTTCATCATTTAATACAAGTTTAGCCCGTTCCAATTGCATTTCCATATATGTTTTAACCACTTGATACGCCACAGATCGCAAGTATTCAGCAAGATGATGAAGGTCAGCATCCGATAATCCCTGTCTTGAAGATATATCTCGAGGATCGACTGGTTGAACTACATCAGCTACATATATATATATATATATATATATATATATATATATATATATATATATTGAAAAATATAAAAGTGAGTGTTCATTTCAATGTTTTATATTTATGTACATACCAAGAGTTACCCAAGTTTGTAGACATTCATCACTTGCTTCACCAATCCATCCTTCATCAATATCACTAACTGTTCCGTGTATACAACATAGGGTCAATTTGTGTATTTCGTTGAGGAATTGGAAGAATTCGGGAATACCACATAAAACACCAGCAGATATGTTCTCTAATAACCGATGTACCATTTGAACGGTACCAAGTAATTGTGGTCCTTGATCCGTTAATTTCTGAGGTGATGTGCCTTCGTTATTAATGCTAAAAAATAACAACAATAACAAATGTTAGTCTATAAACAATAATTTTCACTAAAGGTTGTATTACCTATTCATCATTTTCATGATACCATGAATCACAGTGGTTGCGTATGATTTGATCGCATTTCCATCTTGATTGAAAAAATCTTCCTTGAGTCCAGCAAGTTTGATTAGACATTGTAAGCATCGGTAAGATAAAGCATCATCTGTCTTTACCAAATCATAAGCCTATATAAATATATATATATATATATAAATATGAGTTTCAAGTCCTTTTTTTTTTTTTTTTTACCATAAAAAAGAGCCAGATGACTTCATTATTGCCGATGACTGGTAACCAATCTTTTGGAAAATTGGAAGAGGTTGCTTTAGCAGAAGTAGGACCATTTTCTTTTTCAAAATCATCATCCAGACCATCATTAATAGTAAAGGTTCCAGGTAGAGATGGTTTTGTATTTGTTGATTCAAATTCCCAATTCATTGTCTTTTCTGCCAAAATCAACAATTCCGAGAGCAATGGAGGAGTCGGTGATGATAAAGGAGAGGAAGTAGAGTGGACAACAGTATGTAACTTGGTGGCAAGTTCTTGAAATAAAGGATATAGCATATGAAGTTCGAAGAATACCTTTGTCTTGTGATGAAATTCCCAATTAAGACCAACAACCAATGATTTCATACTTGAAAATTGATCTGTCAGTGCATTTGCCAAAGCTACTCCAAGTACTTGCTATCAAAGAAATATATAAATAAGAAACTATTATTTTTTATTCCTAAGATATACTTACAGCATGTTCTGTATCAAAAGCAAGTAATTGTTTAATATGAACTATGATAGCTTGTTTATCTTGATCAGTAAAGTCGAATAAACTTCGTTTAGTGATGAGAGAGACGGATGATAAGAGTTGATCACGTACATATTTAGGTGCTCTATTAAAAAAAAAAAAAAAAAAGAGATTACTTATAAGGAACATATTTCAATTTATGATTTTACTTTTCATGATGAAGACAATATTCTATTAAATAATTCTTCAGTTGGACAATATCTTCAAGAGAATAAAGAGAGTAATCCCGAACAGCTACTTCACCTATAGCCAAAGCAACTTGAAATTGAACCATAGGACTGGTAGTATGATCTGAAAATACATTATAATAGTTAGATAAATAATATATATATATATATAGAAAATAAGTTTATTACCTAGTATATAACGACATATCGGTAATACCTTTGGGATTTGTCGGAAGGCTGTCAAGATATGTTCGGCAGCAGCACGAGTAGCTGGAATCTAAAAAAGATAAATAAGATTAATAGATCTAATAAGATGTTTAAATATGAACCTACTTGAAAATCAGAACATGCTTCTTCAAATTGACTTGCAACAACTGAAACGTCCAATGTTTGAGGGACGTTATTCATTTCTTGTTACAATGATAACCTTCAAAAAGAAGAAGAAAGAAAGAAAAAAAAAAGAAATACGAAAAAACTACAAAAAAAAAAAACATTAAAAAAATCGGATCACTTTCACATTCCGCATGTAGGCATAACTTCAAGCCAGAATAAAAAGCAGTAGTATATACAGTATAGATGATATTAACCTTTTTATGTTAAAACATCATCATTACTGATTAATTGCATATTTTAATCAATTTATAAATTTATTTATTTTTTTTTTTTGAACAATGATTTCCGATGTATACCACAATTTGCGGTCCTATACTAAAACATTCAGACAACTCAATCAAACACAGAAAATAGAAAAAAATCCTTACCTACTTAGAAACATAATAAAAAGGCGCTGTAACTTACCAGTGAGCATTTCAAATACCGTAAATGCGATCTCAAAATGATCAGTCGTCAGAATATATCTGTGTGATGATTCATAATATTGAAGATTGTAATGAATATCTTTTGATTCTGAATAATTACACAACATTTCTTTAAAAAAAAAAAAAGAATGAAAATAATAATAATGATAATAATAATAAGAAGTAATCTATAGTTTATTCTCGAGATGATGGTTATTATGTATAGAAAAAAAGTATAAAAATGACATTTCTTTATACATTCGTTGATATATAGAATACAGTTATATTAACAAGTTCTATATCGATCACAACTGAAGAGTGCAAAAAAAAAAATCTCCATATTTGTAACTCAGACAGGTCTTTCTTGATAGTCTTTTTGCCTATATAGAGTTTTTTTTCACACTGTTACTTCTAAACCTTGATTTCTTTTTTTTTTTTCCCTTTTCTCTTTTTTCTTTTTTTTTTTTTCTTTTTTTTTTTTTTTGTATATTCGTTTATACGACATGGTTAAGAACGATGAATACTCAGAAAAAGAACAATATAACGAAGAAACGATATATAAAGTATATCCTATAAGGTTTTACGGTCTAACTCTTATATGTCTTTTGAATATTGTCTCCTCTATTAATTGGCTTTGTGTAGCTCCTGTTCCCGATTACGCGAATACCTTTTTTTCCAACATTGGTCTCACTACCATTAACTGGTTTTCCAACTGTTTCCTTTTAATCTATATTGTGGCTGGTCCTATATCAAGTTATGTATACTATCGGCATAGTATCAAAACTGGGGTAATATATATATATATATATATATATATATATTGAAAAATACCAATTCTCCTAAATAATCTTTTATTTCGTTCCCCCCTCTTTTTTTTTTTTCTTTTATTAGTTACTAGTTGGATGTATTCTTCAAATTATTGGTGCTTGGCTTCGATATTTTTCTACCTTTATAAATACTACTGGTGGACGTATTGGTTTGGCAATGTTAGGACAGGTACAGTAAATTTTTTATATTTTTAATCAATTGAAATAATATGATTGATGGATTCTCTGATTTATAGATATTTTGTGGATTTGGTCAACCATTTATTCTCAACGCTTCAACTCCAGTAGGTTATCTTTGAATGATAGAATCAGAATTTTATAATGAATCTCTGTCTTTTACTGTATTTAGTATGCAAGTCTTTGGTTTAGCTCAAAAGAACGAAGCACAGCTAGTATGGCTGGTGGATTAGGTAAAGAAAGATTGATGTATATAGTACAATAGTTTGTTTATATCTATTTATATATCCAATTTTTTTTTTTAATATGATAGCCAATACCGTGGGTATGGCCATTGCTGATTTAATTGTCCCTTCCATCGTGCCTGATGCATCCAGTATTCAACTCAATGTAAAATGTCACACAAAGTCAAGTGTTATCTTCTTTTTTTTTTTTCTGTTACTAACTTGGATACACAAACTCTCAAATTTTTATAGTTTCTCATTATAGCCTGTATTACTACCGGATTTGGAATCCCTACTGTTTTCATCCCACATCAACCAAAAACCCCACCTTCTTTCAGTGCATCTACACATCACGAACGACGACAAGGTTTATTCAAGACCTTATGGGCTCTGGCAACGAATTATAACTTTTTAATCATTTTCTTTGTGTTTGGTGTTCTTTGTGGTTTGGCTTCTACTGTGACTTCCATGCTACCTCAAATTGTTGAACCTTATGGTGTATCTTATGATAATGCTGGTTATCTTGGTGTGGCTTTTATTGTCGCTGGTATTATAGGTGCTATAGGCACTGGTCTCTTTATTGATCGAACAAAATTACATAAATGGGTACTTCGTCTCTATGTACCAATTGTTGGTTTTTTATATTTGGCTCTGTTAATGGTTGGTAAGTTACAAAAAAAAAAAAAAAAAAAGGTAGCTTTATCTAATGAATTTTCATTGTGTTCATTATTTTATAGTGAAAAAAGATAATTACAATGTGATTATTGCTATTTGTGCTATCCTTGGTTTCTTTATGTTTTCACTTCTTCCTGTGGCTTTAGAACTTAGTGTTGAATGTAAGTTGTGTCTATATATAAAAAATGAATTGAATAATATCTCATTACTTTTTTTTTTTTTTTGATTCATTTGAATATAGCCTCCTATCCTATCTCAGAAACCATTTCAAGTTCTTCTTTATGGATGTGTTCCCAAATACTTGGATTGATCTTTTTGATAGCATTCAATGATTTACGTGACGATAATGCGGATCCTCCTGGTAATCTCCGTCGTGGATTGATCCTTGCGACATGTGTGGCCATGCCTATGATGATATTCACCTCCCTTTACAATAGTCCTAACAAACGAATGGATATAGAAAAGGAACAAGAAATCATTGAAGGATAGATTATTTGATTATTTATTCCCTCCTTATTATCTCTATTTATTTGAATTAGTCTTCCTCTCTATTTTATTACTCTAACTAATAAATAATTGTATTTTTATGAATGATGATGATTCCCATCTATCTTTATGTTATATTTTTTTTTTTTTATTATTCATTGATTCTAGATGAAAATGGAGAAATGTCAATTCTCGGCGCCTCTTAATTTGTATTTACATTAAGGTAATCCACATGACTTTTGCAATATACAGGTAAGATGCTTGGCTGCGACAGTCAAAACGTTCTATTTTAGGTTATATGGTTTATTTTTTTCATTTTAAAGGCCGGGTAAATCTCGTACCGAGTATTATTTATTTTGATCTGCATAATTGAAAAAAAAAAAAATAGAGGGTCGGATGAGGTGCCGTTTTTTATAGGAAAAAAAAAAAGGGTCATCACACCCACCCCTCTCTTTCCGTATGTATCTTGATTTTTTTTTTCTTTTTTTTATATGTCGTCTCTCTCTGTCTATGAAATTACTTGATCTGGTAATAGTATAATAGAGTTTTTAAAAATGGTAAAAATTGTTGTTCAGCAATGTAGTCAGTATATTTATTATTATCAAATCAAAAAAAAAAAACCAGATATCTCTTTATGTATCATCATCATCATAACAATGATCATAATAATTATTATATAACGGATGATTGGATTCCCTTTGTTTCCCGTGATTTGATTGATGTAGGTTGGTGTGTGAGTCAAAAATTTAGGGAAAAAAATGTGTATTTGGATCCCCGATCCGCTTAGATTTGATGAATAAAAAAGGACCATCTTGTTTCCATTTCTATCTTTTTTTTTTTCTTCTTTTTATTATTTATTATAAAACAATGGTTAGTGGAACTCTTATAAAATCAAATTATGAAGTACCTTTACAAATGTTGAAAAATATATGGCAAAATACTCAATTATTTCCAACTGGTACATCCAATAAGAAAAAGGCGGTTGCTTTGACACTTGGTGCCACTGTTGCTCTTGTCTGTCGATTGGTCTTTACTTTCTGTTATGTACCTAGAAACCTCCGGCACTTACCAACTGTTAGTTGGCTTCGATTATTTTTATCTATTCTCAAATTGGAAGATGCTACTCAGCGTGCGAAATATGTATATGGTCCTGCTATGAAAAAAGGCAATGGGGTTTATTTGGTAAAAAAAAAAAAAAAAATAACGATAAAATAAATCTTATTCTTTTAAATTGATGATGTTTTTTTTTTGGATAGATCAATTTCCCTATAACATGGACTGTCTTTGTTTCTGAACCCAAAGCTGCCAAGGCCATTTTGATGAAGACAGGTAGTTTTTGATCTATATATAGTTAGATACATTCATTGTTGATTGAATTTTTTTTTTTTAAAATAGATAATTTCCCAAAGAGTAGAGCTGTTTTTGATGCTCTTGGCAAAAATAGTGCAGTTTCTAAATTTTTTGGAAATGAAAGTGTAGCAGTGGTGAATGGTGAAAAATGGAAGAATCAAAGAAAGGTAAAAAAAAAAAAATAAATAAAAAATAAAAAAAAAAAGATATTAACCTATTACAAAATATATTAGGTGATGAATCCAGCATTCCATAGGGCTATGCCTGTCAAACTATTTGGTCGCTTGATGCAGAAAGGATTTGCGATAATTGATAAACAACCTGATCATGAAGTGGGTGCTTTGGACTTTTTCCAACGATTGACTTTGGATGCGCTTGGTAATGCTGGTTTTGGATTTGATTTTGGTTCATTGGAGGATCCAAACTCGGTCTGGACGACGACTTATGAAACTGTCAGGATTGGATTGAGAAGTCCATGGACATTCATGTTTCCTCGATTGGAATGGCTGTTCCGTAGGATCATCCCTGCTCGTAAACGCATGGCTGATAGTGTTGACAAATTGAATGGATTACTTTTGGAAATGATACAAAAACGACGACTCGCTGTACAATCTCCTGATTATGATGCTTCTGGTCCTGAACATGAAAAGGATTTATTGACTTTGATGCTTGAAGCCGAAATGCGTGGAGAAGGTTTCACCACTAATGAACAACTAAGAGTAAGTTTTGAAATATGGCATTATATCATCTGATGTTCTTTTTTTTTATAGTCAAACATAGCTGTTTTCTTCTTGGCAGGTAAATTACAAAAAAAAAAAAAAAAAAAAAAAAAAAGGATTGAATGAAAAGGAGAGGAGTAAGAATAGAAAGGAACAAAGAAAAGTTGTTCATTGTTTTTATTTTTTTTATTATTAGGTCATGAAACAACTGCAAATACCATGAGTTTCTGTCTCTACAATTTGGCTATGAATAAGGAAGTACAAGAAAAGGCTAGGCAAGAAGTCATCAAAGTATTAGGTGATGATCCTGTGGACGTATTACCTTCCATTGAAGAACTTCGACAGATTCCTTATTTGGACATGGTGCTGAAAGAGGTAATCAAAGAAAAAAAAAAAAAAAAGAGGGAAAATTGATATATGAAGACTGATCTTTTCTTCTTTTTTTTTTTTTTGGCTTTCTTTCTATCTACTTTACACTCTGGATATATATATATATATATATATATAGAATCTTCGACGTTATGGTCCAGCTGCCATGACAATCACTCGAAAAGCGGTAGAAGATTTTGATATGAATGGTACATTTATCCCCAAGGGCACATCAGTGGTAGTGGAAATGAATGCCTTACACCATAATCCTGAAGTGTGGAAAAACCCAGAACATTTTGATCCTGAACGCTTTGCTCCTGGTAATGAACACGATGTATCACATGAAGGAATGACTTGGTAAGTAGAAAAAGATGATATTGTGCCTTGCCATTCATCTATTCTATTTTTGATCACTCTACATAGGATTCCATTCTCCTCTGGCTCTCGAGGCTGCATTGGTCAAAACTTTAGTATGCATGAACAAAGAGTCTTCTTGACTATGTTATTAAGGTAAAAAAAAAAAAAAAAAAAAAAGTAATTTAAAATATTGAGTGATCTTTTTTTTTTTTTTTCATCTATAGAAAATATGAATGGGAACTCCCTGAAGACTCGATCCATCGAAACGGTGTCAAGATTGGCAATTTCCAAAATGCAGCACCTCAATCTCTACGTATCAAATTCCATCCACGATATTGATCCATTTTATAGTTTTTATTCCCCCATGATATAAATATTGAAATAAAAACACTTATTTTAAAAAAAAAATTGTAAAGATTTTATTGAATAAATGAAATATTCCCCCTCTAATCTTCGACTTCATGATGATCCCCACTAAGCCATCGATAAAAGTTGTTATGACTACGATCGATTTCAAAAACCATTTGTCTTGCTTGATCTGTTGTAATTTCATCGGCGGCCTTCATCCCATTCAATACAATCAACCATTTCCTCACCGTTGCCTTGGCTTCATAATCCGGTGATAATCCTGGTACATTGTTGAGAGCTTTGATCAAATCTTCCAATAATGGATGAATGTCATCCACCGCCAGTCGGTTGACACGAAGGGTATCCAATAAAGTAATAAAGTGCTATAAATGATTTATAAAAAAAAAAACACAGTTTTTAAGTTTTTATCTTTTTTTTTTTTTTATTTTTTAATGTATTTACCGAGACGGTTTCCGCCACATAAAGAGTTGCTTTCCCTCCTCGATTATTATTTGTATTTTCCTCTACAGCATGCTCATATGTCGCTGGTACACCTATTTTAAATCTATTGACTGCTGCAGGACAAGTCAACTTTTTTTTTTTAAAAAAAAAAAAAAAGAAAAAGTTGAAATATATGTTTAGATACATGTATTATTTCATTACCTTGTAATCATCCATAAATGTTTCCAAATCCTTAACACTATCTGCTAAAAAGTTCATTGTTGTTTTGTATTTTGCAATCAAATTAGCACATTGAGGTGTATATCTATCAATATATATAAAGTTGAGTTCACTTTTATTTCTTTTTTTTTTTTTAATTCTCTCTATACTTTACTCGTTGGGTGTAATAGAATCTCGAATGAAAGCCTTTTCCAAATGTTCCATAAGTACAATAATGGAAAAGAGATCAGCCATATTATCATACTTGTCCCTATCTTTATTGTTGGTGAAAAGTCGTATTTCCTATATGAAACTTTACAGTTATATAAAAAGAAAGCAATATATTCTATTCATTCATTGATTTTTTTTTGCTTGGCATTTACCTCATCCATATTTATATCTATATATAAAATAAAATATAATATATGTATTAGTCAAGAAAAGAAGTAAATTTCTTTATGAACTTACTTTTACGACCAAGATAATTAGGAGCATATTGTGGTAAATTATGCGGTGAAATAGTAGCATCCATATCAACTGAAAAAAAAAAAAAAAAGACAAAGAAAAAAAAAAGGAAAAAAAAAAAAAAAAAAGAGATCAAAAATCAACGGAGTTTTATTATTCCAAAAAGAGATTTTTACTTTTTTTTTTGTTATACAGAAGAAAAAAATAAATGCCAAAAAAAAAAAAAAAATGAATGAGAAATAAAAACAAGATATCTAAAAAACAATAATAATGAAAAGTGTATGATTTGTATATAATAATAAAAAGATTAAGAGCTAATGCTTTCAACATAAGCCAAAGTTCGTTCCTTAACATGTTCCACACCATCGGCTGATCCATGATCCTTTTCAAATTGTAACCATTTCTTGAATAAGAATTTCATTTTCTTGGATGAGAATTTCATGGATGTCACTCGTTCAAATAATCGCTGTATCATATCATGATCTCCTTGTTTGATTTCCATATCCAAATAAACATTCCATAGATCTACACGTTTCGGTGAGTTATTCATCACACCTTCCATAATAGTACGACCACGTTCAGCTTCACCATGTTTGAATTCCATTTGAGCAAATTTGACAATGGTTTCAATATCTATTAATAAAAAGGAATATTGAATATTGATTATCTTTTTTTTTAAAAAAAAAACTTACGTTTATGTTTCGGTAATGATTTCAAACTTTTTTGTAATAATTCACGAGCTCCTTCAACATTGCCTTGTTGTAAATAATAAAGACCAAACATTGTCCAAACTTTAGTAGATTGACCGAATTTCTTGGTAGCTTCTTTCCATAAATCTTCAGCTTTCTATATATATATATATATATATAAAGGAAAATGATCAGTCCATTGATTATTATTATTATTATTATTATTGAACTTACATTGAATTTTTCACTACGTTCATAAATCTTGATCAATTGAAGATATACCTTTTCAGGATCACAAAAAGTCAAAGCACGTTTAAATACTTGTTCCAATGTAGCATCAGTACCAAATTGATTTTCCAAATTCATCAAGGCCACCCACACATTCATTTTTTCTTGTTCTTCACGGAAATTGATGGTCTTGAGAGCACGTTCACCAATCGCACGAGCCTTGCCAATTTCAGATAATTGTAATTGATAAGCCATATAATTAATCCACAAGTAGGATGAATTGGGTGATCCTACAACAAGTCGTTCAAAATCACCGATCGATTGAGGTGCTGCCGAGTTGAGTTCAGCTGTTTTGTCTTCTACTTGTTTCTTCTTGTTGATCTTCTTCTTTTTTTCATCATTATCAGAGTCATCTTCCGAGTCACTGTTATCTTCTTCATCCTTGCTTTGTAAGATAGCCGTTTGTCCAGACCAATCGAATCCACTTCCAACAGATAAAGCTGGTACCTTTTCCTTATCATCGTCATCTTCTTCTTGTTGTTGTTCTTCTTCTGAACCATCATCATCATCATCAGATGCTTCTTCCATGTCCACATCACTATCATTCATGACTATATCTTCATCTTGTTCATCTTCTGATGAGCTTTCTTCATGTCCTTCCATGGGTTCATCTTCACTTTCCTCGTCTTCGTCTACATCAGGAATTTGTTCTTCATCCGTCTTCTTGGGAGCAGTTTGACTACCACTGATCAGACTTTTTTTCAAGGTAGCTTCCACACGTTTCAAATCAGCATCCACAAACAATACCTTGGATTCTACCAGTTGGCCAATGGTATAAATGGACATCCAATCCTTGACAAAATCATCCGATAATTGAGCAATCTTGACACGAGCATGAATATGACGGCTATAAGCAATAAATACACCAGCAGATGTAATATTTTCCACATAGGCCTTGAGCACATCACCACGATGAATATCGTTAAATGTCTTGATTTGCTTGTCATTTCCATTGATACATGATGGTCGAAGTGATAAATCGATACGCTTTCGTGTGGCATCCACTTCCAAGACTTTACATTTAACTACCTTGTTTGTTTTATGACTCTTAGCTGGATGTTCGATAAATGTGTCGTCAATATCAGTAGGATGTACTTTGCCAGTAACACCATTGGCCAGTTGCACAAATAATCCACCCTTAGCGTCCGCTTTTTGTACCAATCCATTCAACACTTGACCGACTTGCAAAGACTGAATATCTGTCACAGCCGTAGGTACATTACCACTATTATCATCCACCATCACTAGATCCAATTTCTTTTTCTTCAAGTTGACAGAAAGCACAGATACCTTGACAGCTTGACCCACAACATAATGTTTACCAGGATGATTGGCAATGGCGACATCAGAAGAAATGTGTTGTTTGCGTATCATACCATTAGTGTGCATATCAACAGCAACGACTAGATGATCAGCCTTGATATCAGAAATAAAACCTAACAGTTGATCCCCAATTTGAATACGTTTGGTTTGAGATTTGTTGTTGTTGTCCAGTTTGAGCGAACATTCGTAGGCATCAGCTGTTTTATGATGATGGGTGATGACGAGGAAGGATCGTTTCTTGAGATTGTGTAAATCGAGGATTTTTACCTTGAGAGTTTTTCCTTTGAATGCGAGCAATGCATGTTGACGTTCTTCCACAGGGATGTCTTCAAACTTGTCATAAACTTCAGTAGCATGGACACGACCGATAACGCCATTAGGTAACTTGAGCGTGAGCTGTAAATGTTTGACATCAGTCACTTCGACATTATCTACAATGGAGCCAGGTTTGTACACTTCTACAGGCTTATCGTCAGTTGTCTTGTTGTTCTTTTTATCCTTCTTGGCTTGACGTTCAGCATCAGTAAGCATAGTATCACGAATCAAAGACACAAGTAGATTATTGGATTCAGGTTGTACTTTTAATACATAGGCCTTGACAGTTTGACCAGGATGGAAAGTATCGACCAAATTGACACCTTTAGCTTCAGTCATTTCGGAACTAGGACAGAACGCGGTAACGGAGTTGTAGAAACCAATAACACAACCATTTGGTTTAACGCTGATAATGACACCATGAGATGCCATTTTGGGTTCGACTTCTTGTAATGATTTGATTAAAGGTAATTCAGAGTTGATTAAGGACTTTTTCAAAGTAAGAGAGACCTTTCCTTGTTCTTGATTGACAGAGGTAACACGAGCACGGACTTTGTTACCAGGCTTGAAAGTCATTTCAGGTCTTGAAAGTTTAACATCAGCCAAATGATGCAATGGAACAAAGCCGGAAATGGAAGAGGAAAGATTCACCACTAATCCCTTGGAGATCATCTTGCTTACAGTCACATCTAGGATTTCACCAATGGTCACATCCGAATGTTGGAAATACTTGTTGTTCAAAATACTTGGTTTGGTAGTCAAAGAGAAGACACCATCAACAGGACTGTAAGATAATACCCGTGCACGATGAGTTGATCCAACAATGAAGTCACCAGATTTGTGTGAGAGTTTGACAATCCGTTCATCAGATAGTTGAGAAATCTATGAATATATATATATATATATAAAGAGGTAAGATAATAGAATATACCTATTGATTTATTACAAAACTTACGTGAATAAAACCCATAATGTCATCCAAACCATCAATAGTAACCAATACACCAATTGAAGTGACGCGAACCACAGTGACCTTTTCAAAGAAGGAACCATAAGGATGTAATTCAGATAAGGATTCATCATCACCAGAATCAAGTTTGACAACATGAGGTAATAAGGAACCGATAATCAATCTTTGTTCAGTCACCATATCAGAAAACAAAATACGGAATGATACAGTAGAGCCGACACGGTAAGTTTCCTCCACATCATTAGTGAATGGTAAATAAGAGAGACCAATATGTGCTTCATAAAGACCCATAAATTTCACCTTTAATCCACGATTACCAGAATATTCCACCAAACCATTCAAACGTTGACCAGCAGTGATAGAAGCCATTTTTGAGTAAGGTGATTCAAGCTGATCGATCATACATAAACAAAAGAAGAAGAAGAAGAAAAAAAAAATAGAATGAGACAATGATTTCAATCTAAAAAAAAAAAAACTTACTCGAGCAGAGGAGATAGCTTTACGATCCAAAGTCAAATTGACAGTACGTTTATTCTTTGCTACATCCTTGACAAGACATTCAATATATTGACCAGGAACAAGTTGATCTCCACGGTTGTATTTGTCAATATAAGATTTGGCATCATCATGATGACAGAAACCAGCTAATCCATTGATACCCACAGACATAATGTATCCATGATCCTCTACACTTTCCACAGAAGCACCGATAATCTATATATATAAAAAAAAGTAAATAATCAATAGATTCCTCACTGATGATAACTTAAGTTCACTTACAAGTCCAGAAGTTACATCCACTTTGACAATAGATCCATTGACTATAGAGGGTTTCAAGGAAAGTTCGATACGTTTTCTACCATTCACTTCCTCTGCAGCGATCACAGCACATTGTACCCATTGACCAATATAAAAGATATCCTTTGTTTCAGGCAGTTCTACTTCTTCGTCTTCAGCTTCGGCAGCAATTTCTACCAAATTTGTCAAAATATCGGAAACTTCGGTGATGGCAACTGAACCAGTCAATTGATTGGGAAGACTGACAAGGACATTGAGTTCATTGATATGAGTAATGCAACCAAGAACAGTGCTGCCTACAGATAGTTTCTAAGAAGGAGAAAAGAAAAAAAATTTTTTTTGAATCAGTATCCTTCTTGTCGTAAATATATAATCCATCCATATCTATATATTCCATACTTTGAAACTAAAATCTTCAATGGTAGGTCGTTTTTCAGTGTTGGTTTTTTCGTCAGTATCTTTGGTTTTTTTCTTTGTTGCTTTGCGTTTCTTTGCCACGGGTCCATTGTCTTCACTAGAATTCTAATAATAATCAAAATAAAAAAAAAGAAAGAAAAAGATTATTAGTACAACAAAAAACTCAATTTCTTTTCATTTTACATACTTTTGTAGAGAATATATCCTTTGCAGCCTTGTTTGCGATCTCACGATGTTCAAGAGGAGTCAAAACACTAGCACCACCACGAGGGAAGCTTACTTCTTCAGTAGGCATGGTGATCCCTTCATTAGTTGTCTCAGTGTCGTTTTTTCTTTTAACCATAGTGAATCAGGATAAAGAAGAAGAAGAAGAAAAAAAAAAAAAAAGAATGCAAAAAGGGAAAAAAAAAATCTTTTGACATGAAATGCCGAGTGGCTGAGGTGCAAACACGATTAAAAAAAAAAAATGCGGAGAATCAAGCCTGTACCTAACAAGGAAACAGGAACACAGCTTTTTTTTTTATTGATCAAACAGAGTCAGATTGACTACTAACAGTAACATATTGACTATATAATCTTCTAGAGTTTTTGTTCACTCGAAGTTGTTTGAATGCTTGGGATATACCTTGACCATCAAATCGATTGACACCATATAATTTGGATGCTTGATATTCTATTTCATATTGCACACTGTCTTCATAATTTGCTTTGTCCAAATCAACGTAGTATTGTGTCCAATCCAGAATAGTACCTACTGGATTTCTATTAGGAGGTAATAATATTAATAATAATAATAATAATAATAATAAAAAGGGAAATCAGAATAGGATGAGATGATGTGCTACTAAATGATAATGATATAAAAGAAAAGAAAGTATCTTACTCTTTAGTCTTGCTTGTTTCATAGCGATAGACACGGATGGCAGGATTATTGACAGGGATGATAGAAGGAGCGTTGAATAAGACAGTGGAGACATGATTGGCTCTAATTTGACTCAATTCATTATTATTTGCCATAGCAGTAACATGACCAAAAGAATTTCCTTTAGGTACAACAGCTGTCAGCACATCATCTACATCAACAAAAAAAAAAAAAAAAAAGGTTAATTATTTTTTTTTTTTTGATGATATGTAAGAACTTACTATTTGTATGGCCGGTGAAATGACCAAGAATAATATCACCATATTCACCAAGGATTTGATAATATTGATCAAGACAAGTAGGCATAAATAAAGGAGAATCATCATCATCATTGGGAGGAACATGACCCATTACGTAAACCATGACATTATCATCCTTTGCTTGTTCAAGAGCTTGTTTGAGCCATATCAATTCAATAGCACCTGGACTAGAGGCTTCATTACAATCTGTAACAATATGATTCTTTTTGAAAAAGAACATTGAATTGGTATTGATCACTCGTAAACCTGGTACGACTTGGTCTTGGATAAAATAACCACCAGAATGAAATGTTTCACTCAGATTCAACCCCAAAGGTTCCCATATTGACTGTAATGAATTGTAAATACTTGTGTTGAAGGTAAAATCATTATGTTGAATACCGTCATTGTTGCCGATAGTAGGAATCTATAATAATAATAATAATTGGTTGATGATATAAATATTTCTATATTTTTATATTTATTTACCAATTTGATAGAATTGACATCGAATGTTTTTATAAATAAGTGAATGACGGCCTTGTGATCTTCCAGTACATCTGCTCCTGTACGTGGTAATTTTTTATCCCGATCATGACGTGCAGTATCACCAGTATAAAGAATAAAATCAATGTCTTGTAATGAATTTTTCATGAATTGAAAAGATGCATTCACCTATTCATGCAGGTACCAAAAAAAAAAAAAAAAAAGGTATCATATTTAATGCCCGGTTGTATGTGTAACAAAAAGGGAAATTGACCCTTTTTTTTTTTTTTTTTTTTTTTACCAATGACAAAGGACTATCACATTCTGTATTCAAAGCACCAAATTTTCCAGCAGTATTCTTATGAGCCTTTTTACTTTTTCGATGACATAGTTTTTTAGGATCTGAACCAACCAAATAATTAGGATCCAAATGAATATCTATCGAGAAAATAGAAATGGATGATGATCTTCTTGTTTGAACCATTAAATTACCGAGTACAAAAAAAAAAAAATCAATGATGTTTATTGTTTACCTGTGATATGTAAAAACTTTCCTGTCAAAGGTTTTGATTTCAAAGCAATTGGCTTGACATTGTTGCTATGATGTTCACCTAACACTCCTGTGATGAGAAAAAGTATAAAACTATAGATTATGAAGCAGGATGGAGTCTTCATTGATTTATTTTATTTTATTGGATAAATGGAAAATAAAATAAAAAAAAAAAAAGAAGAAAAAAAGGTAGAATAGATAGAGATGACCCTTTATATATGAAAAAAAAAAATAGTATAATTAAGGTTGGCATAGGTAAAATAAGTTTGTACAATCGGAATTCTTCTATCTGTTCATTTGACATTCCCCCTTTTTTTTTTTTTCTTTTTCCCATTTACAAGAATTAGTAGTTACCAATTTAACTTCTTGGAGATACAATGATTAGATAGTCAATTTTATTTTCTTCTTATTATTTTTATTATAATTATCAATCTTACTATAAGGATAATGGTTACTAAAGTGATAGAAAACGGATGAGTCTCCTGTGGTCCCTTTTCTGGAGTTTCACAAAAGGAAAGTCAGTTTTAATTGCAAAGGCACCGCATGTTTGTTACGTGTAGTACAATCGCTCCTCAAAAGTTCAACGTTTGTTACTTTGATTCAACAAATCAAATTAAATAAGCAATCCATGCCATCATATAAACAATTAAAAAAAAAAAAGTCAAAATATATATATTTTATTATCAATAAACTATTCTAAATTCTAAAATAGACAAACTATATTCTATCTTCTAAAATTATTGATAAACTTATTCAATCCATTCGTTGTTGTGTTTCGTAATTCAGAGATCTTGCCCATTCATCTGCCACAGAGATCAATTCAAAAGTATAATCCGCTGGTTCAATAGTATGATTCCAATTTTTGGATAAAGTTGAAGTCAATGATGGTAAACCAAATGAAGACCGAGAAGAAGATGATGACGATGTTGATTTCATTGGATGATGAGTAGCTGCACATACTGTTGAACTTGGTTGTAATAGTTGAGAAACCGGACCATGTAAGAGTGAATTGTTTGGTTTGTCATACATTGGCATCACCAAAGAGGAATAATTGCCCATTTTTGTCGTATGCTGAAGTTGTTGTCGTTGTTGCTGCTGTTGATAAATACTATCATGCAAAGGTGATACCGTTGATAATATATCTAAATCATGATCTCCACCTACTACACCTGTTGCCGATACTACTGCCGCTGCTGCTGCTGCATCCATAGGTATCGTCGTTGTTGCTGTATTAGTAGAGGAAGATGATAAAACAGTATCTACTAAATGTGAAAATCGATGAATATCGTGGGTTGGTATATATTGTAAACATTGTCGAACGTCCATAAGACACTGTCGAAAGAGTATATTTGTCGTAGATCCAATACTATCGTTGCCATTTTCCTGGTGATTATTTGTTTTTTCTGTTGTTGCTAATGATGATGAAATACAGTGATTCAATAATGTCGAAGCACAAAGTAATCCAGAGAATGCAGTCAATGTCATGGAGATCCGGAGTTGAGGTTGATGAAGAGTCCAAGAAACCAATTGTGATATTGATCTGATCAGGTACTTGCCTCTTTCAGTAATGATAGATGGTTGTTGATAGCACATGAGTATAGATAATTCCAAAATAAATGCTAATAAATGAAGGTTGACAATTGCCCAATGCTGACCGCCATTGGAATGCCGATAACGATGTTGATGTTGATGTAATGAGAAGTGATTACTGTCATTTCCATTATTTCCAGTATTATCGTTATAAATGTTGTCATCGTACCATGTAAGATTGTGCGGAAGTCTATTATGCCAATATTTGATTTCGTCTAAAAATGTCATGATTTGTTGTTCATCATCCAAAGTTGTTGTAGATAATCCTGTTATCCATGTTCTATCTTTTTGTTGTCGTTGCTGTTGTTGTTGTTGTTGTTGATGATGATGACGTTGCTGAGAAAGAGTCTTTGATGCAAAATAATTGACCACTTTTTCCAATATCATGACCAAACGACAGAGTTGAGATAGTGCAGAGACAGCCAAACGTTCTTGATCATTATCTTCAGGTAAAGGAGTAGGTAGATCCAAAGAAATAAGGTTTGAAGTTAACATAGGTGGTCGTTCCATCAAAGTGCTTTGTAACTGATCCATCACGTAAGACGCCCAAAGTACTCTTTTACGTAATTCTACATCAAACTGAGTCATTTCGTTGCTGTAATAGTTTGCTTTGTACAGTCCAAGTGCCATTGCCATTCGTACCGCCATACCAGTATACATCCAACATCGACTTGATTTTGTTCCATCATCATATGCCGCCAAATAAAGAAGTGCCATTACTGTGCTCATACGAGGAATATCCAAAAAATCATCCACTAATTGTCGTGCTCGAGAATAAAATATCTTACTACCTTGTTGTCCCCATAAATGGTCGTATTTTGCTGCATGAGCATACATAACATTGAGTAATAGAGGTGTAATCAAAGGACCATTTATTTCCAATTGATCATAAAAGAGTCGTCTTGAGATAGTAGGAAGAAGATGAGAACATTGAGAGAAGAATACGTTGATCAACTGTTCTTGAATCGACTGATTTGGCATTTCCAATGGAACAGAATACTTTGTAGGTGGATATGCTTCGGGTGTCCATCGAACAAAATCACCGTAACTACGCCATGGGGAAGCAGTGTCGCTATTATTGCTATTGGCCATTGAGGTTGAGATGAATGATGATGTAAAGAATGAACCAACTGTTGCTGATGATGGTGCAAATCCAGATGATATCGTTTTATCTTCCCTTTCTTCCTGTTGATGCAATGCAAGTCTTGTCAATCCTTCAGTAAGTTGTTCCACCAAGATTTCTGTTCTAGTAAAAGGTTGCTGTTCCTGTTGTTGCTGTAGTTGTTGTTGTTGTTGTTGTTGTTGTTGTTGTGTTCCATCATGGTGAAGAGTAGTATGTAGTTCGTTCTGACCAATAAACTGGTGGTGAACATTAGACTCAGGTAAATGTGTACTGGATTCTGTTGTGTCCATATCATTACTGTTTTCGTCAAGACTAGCATCCAATCTGATATATGATTCATCGGCATTCTTGACAAATATACATTTCCGTCGTCGAGCTATATGAAGAAAAAAAAAAAAGATAAAAAAAAAAAAACAAATGTCAGTCCATCATACAGAAACAATACGTCAAAAGGAAAATCCATTTACCTTTGCACTACAGATATGCACCAAAAAAAAAAAAAAAAAAAAAGGAATCAAAGTGAACAATAAGAGTTAGAACTAGGTCTAATATAACTAACTTGAAAGTTAGTTACCTGCATACAAGGTTGCTTTCCGTCGCACTATACTCATAGAATGAATTAATAACAATAATAATAATAGTAGTAGATAAGTCTATGTTTTATAACTTTATATATTACCTTGATCTTTTTCATACGACATTGTTGACATGCTCTACCACCTTGTAGTCGTTTATGTCTACTGTCGTCTGGAAGGAGAATATAAAAGGCAAGTGAGTTGAGATAACACAATACTATTAATAATGTATTTACCTCTTATCGGTAATTCAAGAGTGGCAAACATTTCATAGTGGGTATATATATATATCAAGATATAAAAGAAGAAGACAAAAAGAAAAAAAAAAAAGAATAAAATAAAAAAAAAAGTTGACGGATTGAGTGGAGTTAGCAACAAAAAGGAAAGAAAGAGGCAATAAAAGATTCTCTATGGTTTTTTTTTTCCCATGGAAAGGGCGAAGAATTGATTGGATGATAATGAAAGCGGTTTTTTAATTGTACAAAGAAAGAAGAAAAATAATAAAAAAAAAAGTCATCATACAAAATGAACTATAATTACAATAAGAAGAAAAAAAAAGGAGTAGGGGGGGTATCTAAACTATAGTGTACAATAATATAATATAAAAAATAAAAGAAAATCATCATACATCAGGAATATGTTGCATATTACCACATTCTGGTAAATGTTCACCACGATACTTGATTAAATATTCACCATTACCACGCCAGGTTAAAGTTTTGTTGACAGCACAACCCTAATAATAATAATAAAATAAACGTTAATATGTTTTTATTTTTTATTTTTTTTTTTTTAATAAATGATTACCTTGATACTATTAGCACATTTGTAATATACACTCTTGTTTCCAGTTTTTTTCTGTACAGTGTTTCCATTATTACGCCAAGAATGACCATCAATATAAGGATAATCTCTAGTTTCTACGATTTTTGTAATAGCTTGCATTTCTCTTCTACGACGTGGTCTTTGTTGTTGTTGTTGTTGTTGAAGTTGTTGAGTAAATTGATAAGGAGAATAACGTAAATCAGAGACTATATGATGATGATTATCATCGTCCATAAATGAAGTTGTTGTTTGTCGAGAATGTGGTGATAAATCATCAGTAGGTTGTTGTTTGATTGAAATCCTTCCACTAAAAAAAAAAAAAAAGATTTAAAGTTTGAATCTAAACGCGGTATATCAATATGTTTCAGGAAATACTTACTCAGCTAGCGGTAAGAAAGAGGATGGGGAAGATGCGGGGGGTTGGTTTATGTCATCCGAGGAAGTAGGGTGATCATGTAAATTGAAAGAAGTTGGATCATTTGTCACACTACGTCGAATACCATAAGAAGGAGGAGGTGATGGAGGTGCTAAAGATGAAATTCCAGATGATGATACTGATGATGATGTAGTAAATGTAATAGGACTTGATTTTCGATGATGTGGTGAAGATGATATTGTTGGCGGAGAAGTCACATTATTATTATTATTATTCATAGATTGTATCATACCATTAAAAGAAGGAGAAGAAGAAGTATCCATAGATGATTCTTGTTGTTGTTGTTGTTGTATTGAATGAAATCCAAAAGTAGAATAAGCATCATTGGAAGTGACTGATGGACCAGTAGATGATGAAGTAGTAGAAGGTGAGGAAGTTAAAGTAGGAGTCATCATTTGTTGTTGTTGTTGTATTAATAAAAGATCCAATTCTTTCGCTTTCAGTTTTGCTTCTTCTGCTCGTCGTTTATCTTCTTCAAGTTTACTGGAAAGAATCAAACGTAATAAATCAGGTTGTGATTGATAACACATAATGATATCTTGTAAATCACAAGAAGAAGGACTTGTATTATTAATCATCATAGATTGTTGTTGTTGTTGTTGTTGTTGCTGTTGTTGTTGTATTGATGATTGTTGAATAGTTGATTTTCCAGAAGGACGAATTTGAAATGATTGAAAAGGAACTTGTTCATGATGATAAAGAGGTATATATTTTGTTGATGAAATAGTTTCTTTCTCCATCGAAGAGTATTCACATTGATTCATCATTCAAAGAAAAAGAATTAAAAAAAAAAAGGGGAAAAACAGGAGAAAAGAAAGAATAAAAAAGAATAATAAAAGAAAAAAAAATAAAATAAAACAAAGAAAGACAGGGTTCAAAACAAAAAAAAAAAAAAGAAAAGAAAAAGTGAAATAAGAATACAGTTTTCCCGCATTTTCTCATACAATCGGAAAAAATAAATAATAAAAAAAATTTTTTTTTGGCAGCAGCTACTAAAAATGGTAGCCAATCATCGTACCTGCACCCCACTTTTCTTTTTCTTCTATTCTGTGTTGTGGAGAACCTGATTGATTGCCTATAACATTTGTGCAACCTTCATTTTCAGTCTCGTCCCGCAATTCCCCATAGAATTTTTTTTATGTTTCCTTACTCTACCGATCTCTCCGCCTTTTACAATGAACTAATTTGTATAACATAGAATGACGATTAGTCAATCACACACAAAAATTGTATATTTCATTACTTATAAATAAAATCACATGAAATAAAATAAAATAAAAAAAATCATCCCATTTTCATTTCTTTTTTCTTTTTTATTAAAAATAATAATAATAAAAATCAAAAGAACTAATCTACATAAATCGTAATTGTGATACTGAGAAATGAAGTGGTTTCCAATCTAACTTATCTGGTGCAATCACCCGTTTTCGTTTCGATTTACTTCGTTCCCATTGTTCTATAACTTTGTCACCCAAACAGATAATATGTTGTCCCCTATAATATTTCAAAGCACCAATGTTTTGTAAAGTATGAAGAATGTCTTGTGTTGTAATCGAGGTATGTTGAGCTATTTCATCAATCGTTACATCCCCACTGGCTGAGATCAAATAATCCACAATAGTATCCGTCCAATAAGCTCTATATGACAAGAGTCCTAAATCCGAGAGTGGTTTTTCTGGTGATCCTGTCCGTCCTTCTGCCTTGGATAACAAATAAGAGAAGCCGATCAGTAACTTTCCGAATCCATGTCGTTGATATTGAGGTAATGTCAAAATACAGGCAACATTATAATTTTCCGAGGATTCCTTTTCTTTGGAGAAATACCCAATCAGATGGCATCCACGATCGTCCCGCAGAGTCATGCAATAAAAGAGGAATGGATCGACGTCGTAATACAGAGTTTTGTGATCTAAAAACAATTTGGATAATAAGCATAGGTTGCGACACCATGTTCTTTGTTTTCGTCCATCAATTTCGAAAAAGGAAATATCATTGTGTCGATAGATTTCATTGCCAGGAGGATGTTGTAATTGGCATCGCCGTCGATGTCGTTCCAATTGTCGATGAGAAGCCCAGTAAAGTAAACAAAATTCACAAATATAAAGAGTATCACAATAAGCATATTCTTGAGGATAAGGTGCAAAATACCAAGGTTCCACTTCAAATTGTCCCATCTGAATCTTGTCCAAGTTTTTCACCCGAGCTATTTCACTAACACATTGAGTCATCGAGCCTGATGTCCGTAACTTTTCAATTTCTTGATCCTTGGAGAAATGACCATTTCTTTGTGGTTGTTCATCAAAAGCCACTACTGCTGATTGTCCATCTTCATCATCCGCGCCAAGTACCACTTGTTCTTCTTGTCCATCCATCATCATCTCTTTTTCCATTATGTTGCCTTCATCGCTTTCACCACCTTCCAATTTTCGTTTCTGACTAGAAGGCGATGCTGATCCACGTAGAGTAGTTGGTGTAGTTGATCGACCTGCACGATCTCGTTTCTTGCTATATAAGAGTTCCGATACTGGTGGTGTTGCCCTACCGCTACCAATTGGTGTTGAAGCTCCAGACGTAGGTGTAGTTGATTGATCATTTTGTTGTTTCTTCTTTTTTTGTTGTTCAGGTTTGGGGAATTCTACACCACGTGAAAAATCAAGTCGCTCAAAGGGAACCCATTCATCAAGTCGTTTGTTGAATTCCACATAATGCACATAATATTCATATCGTATAGGTCCATTTTTACCATTGGATTCTCGAGCCCATAATACTTCAGCTTTTCGCCATTCACTGGGTTGGTTTGGTGAGAGTTTTTCAACAAAAAGCTTGCAATTAAGAGGTGAGGCTATAAACTTGTTCATATTAGCTGTTTGTTCCGTTGTAAGACTAGAAAAAGTATCCTTTTCGTTGACTTTTTCTTCGCTTTCTTGATTGATTGATGTATCCGACATGTTGTTCGTGATATTATATAAAGAAAATTAAAATAATGAAAGAAAAAAAAAAAGAGAGAAACAAAAAAAAAAAAAAAAAAGACAGAGCTGCAAGACACCAGATTCAAAATTTTTAAGTCCGTCCTTTTTTTTTTTGCATACCATGACCCAAATCAGCCTGTCACTCACTTTTATTGATAATTCAGTCCATACACCTGTTTTATACTTCCATCTTTCACATCAACATAGCACTCATCATTATTGACATGTATTATCCCATCATCCATTATATTCATCACATATCATGACTCAATTCTCGTACTTCTGAGCGGTTGTTGAAATCTGATTGTCCACACCCGGTCACCAATAAATAGTATTTTGGCAGTTTGTTCATTTTCTATTTTTTTTTTTTTATTTTTTTTTTTTATTTCTTCCTTTAATCACAATGACAAGAAAAGTCATTGGTATTACTTCTACATTCTTAACTAATATCTTCTCCAAACCATCACGACTCCAATCCAAACATGAATGCTTTAGTGTGAAAGCTTTTCCATGGTCAACTATACCCCAAGGTCTCGATCCTAAAAAAGATTTTCGAGTAGCTTTTATTACCAGCAAGAAAAAACTTAGTAAACTGGCAGTTCATCGGAATAGAGCAGAACGAAGAGTGAAAGCTAGTGTGTCTATAGTATTTCCTGATATGGCTCCAAAAGGTAAAAAAGAAATATATAAATTTTACAATCTAGTGTCATAATTTGGTTTATTATTTTTATTATTATTATTAGGTTATGATTATATTATTTATATATTACCTTCCTCTATACCAATCAAATGGGAAAAGTTACAAAGCCAAGTGGTTCAAGCTGCCTCAAGGATACATCATCTTTCAAGAAATGAAACAATCAAATCCTCTCGATCTCGAACTACCCAATTGTAATAATTTTAGCATAGCATATAGCATTTGTATATATATTGAATAAAAACGCCGCCACACCTTTGTCTTTTTTTTTTTTTCTCCCTTTTTTTTTTTCTTTTTTCTTTTTTTCTTTTTTTTTTTTTTTTTCCTTTTTTTTTCGTTTTTCCCTTCTTTTATATATATATATATTTATTATTTTGGTTCATGGCAGCAAGCAGTTCGTCATCTTCCAAAATACCTGAAAAATCATGGACTACAACAACACGTTCACTTTCTGAATACCTTTGGCAATCGCCTGTTTTATTCCAATGTAGGTTGACTGAAGATGCTAAACATCATATTCTGACACAGTGTTACGAATCTCTTTGGGAACATGATCAAGACAAGATGCGACAATACTTTTTCCCTACTTCTGAAGCATATCAACTTTCTCTGGCGCGGTTGTCAGCTTCTGAACAAGACAAAGAACACTATATGAGTACTGATCAACAACCATCATGGCACAGCAATGGCTTTGTACCTCAACCTGATTTATCAAGTCAAAGAGGAAGGCAATGTGGACATGTCTTTCGTAAAGGTGAACCTGTTTATCGTTGTCGGTAAGTCTTGAATATCATGTGTTATATTTACAAAAAAAAAAAAAAAAAAAAAAAAAAAAAACGTTGATTACGTTGACATTTCTAAACTTTTGTTTTATATTGGTCATCTTAGAAACTGCGGCTTGGATGAAACTTGTGTATTCTGTTCTACTTGTTTTCACGCTACTGATCACGACGGTCATGATGTCTTATTCTCAATTAGTCCTGGGTCTGGTGGTTGCTGCGATTGTGGTGATATCGAAGCTTGGAAAGTACCTCTCCAGTGCAAAGTACATTCTATGGATCAACAATCAACTCAAACATCAACCTTGGAAATAGATCCTGAATTGTCAAAACCAATACAAAAGACAATTGCCATGGTGTTAGATTTTTTATTGGATACATTTGCTTTGGCTCCAGATGAGGTGGCCTTACCATCATCTTCGGAAGAAGTTATCAAAGAAAATCGTCAAGAGCGAGAAGTACTTGGACGTATGGGTATACGATCTGAAATGGATACAACAATGAACAACAACAACAACAACAATAACAACAACAATGGTGATAATATTACTTCAAATGATTTATTTAAACAAGAATATACGGATACAGGATCAATGGTGGAAGAAGATGTAGATATGGACAAGGAAAATCCGAACACTCATGAAAAAAGCAAATTGGATTGGAATTACGATCATGAATGCTTGGATGAAAACAATGAAATATGTGATGGTCCCGATGAACTCTATGCCTGTATAGCTTGGAATGATGAAGCTCATGCCTTCTCACACGTATTGGAATCTATTATGTCAGCTACTGGTTATGATTGGGAAAAGGCAAAGAAAATTGTAGATGTCATTCATGTTCATGTAAGTTCGAATTTTTTTTTTTAAAAAAAAAAAAAGAGAAAAGATGGTTGATTATAAATTTTACTAATGATGATCAATATTTTTCATAGGGTCGAGAAGTTATTGAATTATCCAATAATGTTGATAACTTACGAAAAATTGCTGCTCCTCTTGCTGCTATCAACCTAGGTGTTACCATTCGACCAGCGCGTGCTACTTTTCGTGAACAAGTATGTGGATTACTAGTGGATTGGTTAAAGGAGCTTGTATGTGGTGAAGTCCGATTTTTTACTCAAATACCTGGTGGTGACTCTGTAGTTCGAAATTTATTATGCCGTGAACTCTGTTCTGAATGGGAATTACGTTTACCTCTCGCTATTCTTACTACTGGTTCACGAACAAGTCGGAATATATCTGATGTGATTGATGTTGTACAAACTGAAATCAGAGTGGAAGATGGAAATGGTGGTCCAAATGGTGCTGATGGAAACTTTACTGGACTCTTCGATCATGTTATACCAACAACCGAACAAACAAATACAACAACTCCTACCATTACTACGACGGCAAATCCTGGAAACGAAGATGTGGATATGTTTGATCCTGAGAGTTCCATTCAATATCAAACTCAATTCAAAGTTGGTTCTCCTGCTTCCACTTCATCAAGTCCTGTGGTATATCGAAATCAATGTGATGTGGCTACTATCGATTGGGATCCTGCTGCCATGGTTCGTGAGTATCAAGCCTTACGTATTGAAGAAGAGACTTTTGGTGAATCTTTGGCTCCAAAACAAGTGGCAGATGGCAAAAAACCTGTGACGACAGCTATACCTCAAGAAACAATGCAGAACGCAAAGAATATGCAAAAGGAATTTGAAGAAAAGCTTCGTATTGATTACTTTATGCTCTATGATCTCAAACTCTGGAAAGAAATTCGAATCTCATTACGGGAACTGTATATCGCCTCTTTAGCTTCCATGCCTATGTACAAAAAAATCCTTGGTAAGTTAAATTATAATTGTAATAATAAATTAAAAAATATCTATATCATATCTAAATCATCTCTTACTATTTACTATTAGGAAAACGTCTCACTCGAAATTATGCTCGTTTGGCAGAATCATTCTTATTAAAGGATAGGGAACCGGAAAATTCAATCATCCTTTTCTCTGTTCAACTTTTGACTGTTCCATCAGTGTCTGACCTTTTGGTGAATGTTTACTATTTCTTTGGACTGATCTGCTCAACATTGACGGCCTTTTTCTTAACAGATCATCTTGGATTGCTGTTACCTTCTGATCGTGCTCGCCTCCCTTATCGAATCAACTGTGAATCTCGGGCTTTCCGTACACGAAGATATTTTAATGCTTTTCATGATTTGCGATACATTATGAACGTGACAATGATCAAACAGGTACTTGCTCAAGATCCATTGTATTTACGACAATACATCGATTTGATTGGACTTTTTCAAGGAATGAATGCTCAAGTATGCCAAAAGGATACTCATGTGGAATACGAATCTGAAATTTGGGTGAATGCATTCAATGTGACTCTTCAAATTGCCAAATGCTGTCGACAATTTGCTGATTGTTTTGGAAACTTACCTGTGGAATCCGAAGGACAACGTGTGTTGGCATGCAAGATCCTAGTGCGTTCTTTAGCTCGTGTCCTAAAGAAAATTGTAGATTGGGGTATTGATATTGAAGAAAACGACAACAATGAAGATACAGTTATTGATAACACTACTGGAAAACCAAAATCAACTACTCCTGTTTATATATCTGGTATTCAATCACATACATATCACACCGTTACATTACCAAACATGGCGCCATTACAAGTGATTCAATATGATGTGACCTCTCAACCTGTTTCTTTTCATCATCCTCTTCATTGGCTTTTGGCTGGATTATTAGAACATGCACATATATTAGATGATAATGTACTCAGAAAAGCTGGTTGGTCTAATGGATTCTATGAAGCAATTTCTTTATTCTCCACATTAAACGGTGAAATGGCTGGACCGGATGTTTTGCTCCCTATCTTGGAATATCCTATTCGTACTATTGTCTTTTCCTCTCAGATTCGTGCTGGCGTATGGGTACGTAATGGATATGGTCTTAGAACTCAGGTATGTCATCAAAACAAACAAACAAACAAAAAAAAAAAAAAAAAAAAAAAAAAAAAAAAAAGAGAGAGAGAAATATACAGAAAAGAATATATTACTCATTTTTCTTTTAATAATAATAATAATAGGCTCATCATTATCGAGAAATATCTCTTCGTGAAAATACTTATGATGCTGATATCTTCCTTTTACAACTTGGATTCGTTACAGTTGGTTCAAATATATTATTGGCTACATTGATGGATCGATTTGACCTGGTAAATTGGTTCCAAGGGAATACAAAACATGATCAATATGACAACACTCAAACGGTATTTATGGCGGAAGAAATTCTCAACATATTGATTGTATGTATTTGTGAACACAGCAACATTTTGGGAGCTTCTATGCAAGATAAGATTCGACGGGAAATCATTCACAATCTCTGTTTGGGACTTTCTTCGTATTCTGAATTAACCAAGCGCATTCCTGAAAGGCTTACGGAACATCCTGATTTTGATATGATCCTCTCACAAGTGGCAAACTTCAAGGCACCAGATGGTATTCATGATCATGGACGATACGAACTCAAGGACGAATGCTTTGATGAAGTCGATTCCTATTTCTGGCACTACAGTCGTAACAATCGTGAAGAAGTTGAAAATGTTCTGAAGGCTCGTTGGAAAAAGGCAAACCCTGGAAAATCAGAAACTGGATTTTTTGTCTTACCCAAAGTTGGTAGTATCAATTCTGGTCCATTCAAGTATCTCGGCTCTATTTTACATACTCCCGTCATGGTACAAATGTTAGCTTACGCTCTTTGGAATGATCGTGGAAAAAGTCACAATAGCGATACCATTCTCGACCAATCTCTCCACCTGATTATGTTGGCTTTGATGGATACCAATCATAGTGTTTCCAAAGAAGATGGATTTTATCGACATGTATTCAAACAAAAATATAGCTTCAGCAATGATGACACAACACAAGAATTGACTTTATTCGACATTATGACTCTCCTTCGTGAAGATGATCAATACAAAGAAGTACATGGACGGTTTGATTGGATCTTCCATACTCTCGAAACCCAAGGGTTTGACATGACAAGAGACTCTGTACAGCAATGGCGCAATAACAGTAGTGTGATGAAACGTGAATTGGCTTCTCAAACGGCAGCAGCGGATAGCAACAATCAAGGTGAAATTTCTGAATACGAAAAAAAGAAACAAGCAGCACGAGAACGACAAATGAAGATCATGGCTCAATTTGCACAGGCTCAATCACAATTCATGGAACAGAACGAAGGATTATATGATGATGATGATGGTGATGATATGGAAGGTGAACCCAACTTTTCTCAAGAACAAAATAGTAGTAATGATGATGCTGACAAGGATGTGATTCATCGCTTCTGTTCTTATCCTGTTGGTACCTGTATTGTTTGTCAAGAAGATGTACATGAACGATCTGCCCCATATGGTTTACTAGGCCTCTTCCAAACATCTAATATTCTACGGGAAACACCAATGGAAAGTACCAAGGTCTTCAATGATGTATTAACCATGGGTCCAACTCTTGATACTCAATGGCCTGATCAACAAGTACTTCCAGATGACCAGTCTTCGATACCTGGATTTCCTTCGCAATTACACAAAACTGGACTATACGCTTCATCATGTGGACATCTGATGCATATCAACTGTTTTGACGTCTATTGTTCCTCCATCGATTCTCGACATTCTACGCAATTGACCAGAAATCATCCGGAAAACCGTAGTCGCAAGGAATTCATGTGTCCTCTTTGCAAGTCGCTGGGAAATGCTTTGCTGCCACTTTTTTGGAAAGGAAAAAAGGAATCTTCAAAAGGACCTCTCATGAATGCAGATGATATGAGTTTCTACAAGTTTATACAATCTGGTGGACATTGTCATATTCAAACACTCAAGCAAATCATTGGTCCCAATAGGCCAACAACATTCAATCAAGGACGACGAAGCAGTGGTGCCAGCAAATTGAAGGAAACTCTGACTACCTGGCTTGTTGGTGAAGATCGAGTATCACGTCGACCTATTACTACTACTACTGCTACTACTACTACTACTACAGTTGCGGCTACTGCGACTAATAGTACTATTACAAACACGAATTTACCTGTACCATCACCACTTGATCCATTATCACCATCTTCTTCCCAACAACAACTACAACAACAACAAGAACAAGAACTAGAACAACAACAACAACTGTCGCAGCCACAAGAATTACAACAAAGTGAACCAGCAACATCATCATCATCTACAACTTTGCCACAAACTACGATCATGGCCAATGGAAGTTTGGGACCTTTTGACAATGATATTCTTTATAGTTCTGCAGTACAAAACATTTCCGCTATCAAAAAATCATATTCTCGATTATTTGATATTCTATCAATTATTTATCAAGAAGTATGTGGTGATGAAGCAGCCAAGGAATTATCAGCAACAGCGAAAAATGTGGATTTATTATGGGGATTATTTGGTTATACGATCAACGGTGTAGAAATTGCAACACGAGGATTACCAAGAAATATTTACAATACCTATGATGATGATACCGACTTTACTGGAACTTTCTTTGATCAAATTCCAGGACAAACGCAAATGTTACTTCGAATCATGGGAGATACAGTCAATGCTTACACTACACTCATGTGTCAATCTGATCAATCAACAACGACAACTACTCTCAATCGTGTCCACATGCTTGCGCTTGGAAGAATGAAACAAATATTTACTGATGCTGCTGTGGATGATTTATCGGCATTCACATTGTCTTCTCTTCAAACACAACAACAACCAACATTACAGCAAGGACAAGAACGTTTGACAATGTATGAAAACATGCCTTTGATAGAAGATGATCCTTTTATGATTTTGGTGGAACTGTCTTTACATATGGTACCTACAACAGAGATGGAATTGTATCCTTTGATTCGTGTTCTCTTTTTGGCAGAAATAACAAAGACGGTGGTGGCATTATTGGAAAATCAGGTGTATGGTACGAATGGACCAAGTTCTGATGATGATCATCAAGTGGGTGAACAAGAACAAAAGGCAATGAAATCATTTGTTCGATTGGTGATGGAAAATACGCAAACAACGATTTCATCACAACATGATCTCTCAGATTCGGATATTAGGATATTATCTCGATTAACACAATCATTTGTACTTCCATTTTTACGACGCACACTATTATTATTGATCACCAAATTTGGCTATATTACAACAACAACAATTGATAATAATACTGGCATGATGATGGAAGAAGAGAATGAAAATAACGGCGATACAGAATTGAATAGATTATTGGTTTTACTCCGGTTACCATCTTGGGAAGATATATTGATGAGTGTGAATCATGGACAAGATCAACAAAAACTAATACAACAATGGTGTTATCAACATGTACGTGAAGTGAATAGAAGAATACAACTAGAAGAAATTGCTAGGACGACAGTAACATCATTATCAGCAACTACAACAACAACAACAACATTACCTGAACTTAAACAAATGAATGATTCATCATTCCGAATTGTTTTGGATTTACCGACACCCATTTATTTAGTACCTTTACCGTCAAGATTAGATCGATTATTTGATGAAAGTCTTCAACGTGTTTGTCAAAAATGTAAAATGGTACCTAGTGATCCAGCTCTATGTCTCTTTTGTGGTACTTTTGTTTGTTGTCAAAGCTTTTGTTGTTCCGAAGATGAAGAAGGTGAATGCAATTTACATACTTTAGAGTAAGTTTTTTTTTTTATTTATTTATTTGGAATTATTTTATTTTAACTTTTTTTTATTAATATTATTTGTTTATATGAATAGATGTGGCGGTGATATTGGTATATTTTTATCAGTAAAACGATGTGTATTAATTTTACTTCATAATGGCAATGGTTGGTTTATGAATGCTCCTTATTTGGATACACATGGCGAAGTGGATCAAGGTTTACGACGTGGAAGACCTCAATATTTGAATACCAAACGATACTCTGAAATTCGAAAATTATGGTTACAACATAATGTAGCTATTTATGTGGCTCGTCAAATTGAAGCTACTTATGATATTGGAGGATGGACTACCCTATAGTATACTTATTTTTTTTTGTTATTATTTATACATTTTTTTATAATAAAGAAAAAAAAATAAAGTTTTCTATGTGTCTTTTTTTTTTTAAGGGGCTCTTTTTTTTTTTTTTTTTCTCTTTCTTTCTCTTTCTTTTCCAACTATGTTGGCCTTTTTTTGAATGGGAAGATTATAATGCACCAACGCAAAGCGAAAACTCTCAAGTACAAAGGTAATAATATATTATATAGATAAGAGCATCACCATGATCCTTTTTTTTTTTTTTTTTAAATAGATAAAAGAGTGGAAAAGTCAACAAGTCAATATCAGTTAAAACATGGTAAGTGATTCCTTTTTTTTATTTATCATTATTATTATTATTATTATTATTATTATTATTATTATTATTATTATTATTATTATTATTATTATTATTATTATTATTATTATTATTATTATTATTATTATTATTATTATTATTATTATTTACTATTATTCTATTTTCTTTTGTTTAGCTCATTATTCAGATTTTGTCAATAATTCATTGATACTCGATATCGCCTATTCTTCTGTACGGGAAAGTCATATTAGGAAAGATGAAAAAGAACAATACGACACAACAACAAAAATCATTTCAGGTCAAAAGATAAGATGGATCAAATCTTTTCATGATATTCACCTTTCTCCACCTTTATTATCCAAACGGTATCCTTCTACCTACATGTCAAGCAAACGGAAGTGAAGCATATGGAAAAATAAGGTAAAACATGATGGATTTTGATCTGATAAAAGCGAAATAATTTTTTTAATTTAATAAAAAAAAAATAGATGATGATTCTATCCTGATGGACAACAAAATCAAGATCCAAGTTCATTGTTAGGTTCCCTTTTTTGATGATGATGATGATAGTTAGTTAGTTCTTTTTGTGAAGTGAATCAAATATGACAAATAAAAAAGATTATTTTTTTTTTTTTTGTGACGAATAGTAGACGGGCTTTTTTTTTGCATGAAATTGGAATTTATCTTATTCGATTTCTTTCTATCTAGTTTCTTTCTTTTATTTCTTTTCTTTTCCTTCTTTTTTTTAAAAAAACAAAATATTGAATTGATTGATTGATCAATTTCATTATAAAAGTGTTTTGATAATGAGATTTTTCAAATGTGAACGACGATATAGTTCTATCACTGTAGCTATTGGTAAATATTATTTCTTTTTTTTTTTTTTTTCTTGAAAAAAAAGGGTACCTCAACTTATGAATATTCATTTTTAGATCGTTTATCCAATCTGCATGAAATGGAATGGTTTACTCTTCAACATTTGATGGAATCTATAGCGATACAAGATCAAGGACCTAAAGAAGCAGTGGAAGTGATTCAAAAACGATTGAAGAAGGGTACATGTCAACAACAACTTCGTTTGTTAGAGGTCAGTATAATAATATTAGATTTCCTTTTATGATCATTACTATCTTAATAACAACAACAATATCATTATTATTATTCTCATTTATCATTATTATTATTAGGTCTTGAACTACTTGGTGGAAAGGAGTCATCTTCGTGTCTTGCGTAAAGTCATCTTTTTTTTTTTTTTGTTTAGTTTCTTATTACACCCCGAGTTTGATTTTTTTTTTTTTTTGAATGTTTGTTTCCTAACTCCATTTTTTTTTTCTATTTCCTTTTTGTGAGTATAGATCAGGTTATAGTGACTTCAAAGTTAAAGTCAAGATTGAAATGGATCATGAAATCAAAAGTAAGTAATCTCTCTCTCTCTAAAAAAAAAAAAAAAAAAAAAAAAAAGTGTACAAAGATGAACAAACATTATTTTTTTTTGTTTTACTAGACAGATGTCAAAGTCAAAGCTAAATTGTTAGTTATGTTGGAAACATGGGTGGAACAGTACAAGCAAGATGAACCAAAAATAGACAAGTTTTCATCCGCTATTTTGGGTCGAAACCAAGTACAGGAAAAGGTATACACTTTTATACAACTAAAATAACAAATTGTATATTCATTTTTTATATAATTATATTTATAGATATGGTTGTATGCACAACAAAATGGATTCAATCAACATGACTTATCCACTAATGATCAAGGAAAACAAACCGAAAAATCATTGATGGATTTATCTCCACACTTCTTGTATGGTTTTCCTCTGTTTTCCCGCCGTTATCATCATCTTTCCTCTAGTCGACATTCTTACATCTTGTAGCAATAGTGTTAGTATTATCACAGTAGTAGTAGTAGTTGTAGTTGTAGTAACATTAGTATAGAAGAAGTGTGATCCCTTTCTTCATCATCCTTCCTTCCTATTTTAAATTTTTGATACAGTATCCTGTCAAAATAAAAACACATTTCAAAAAGTTAATATCTCCCCCGCCATACGATTGATTGTCATGATGATAATGATATAATGATGATTTATTTGGGAGAAATAAAATAAAATATATACAGGATACCGTAAAAATGGTCAGAATTCAATATATAAAAAAAAAAATCTATCTATCTATTTATTCAACAGCTAATTGTTCTTCAATAGTCTTGCAAAGTTCAATGATTGCAGGGGAATGGATTTGGAGACGACCTTCCAAGAGTTGACTTGATCGATAAAGTAATGTTGTATAAAATTGATGTAGATTCTTGTTATCCTATTTAATAACATAATAAAAAAATAATAATCAAATTTAAAATGAGAATATGTCTTTAACCAGTAAATCAAGTCGAATTCTCTCTCTCTCTTTACCTTATCATTTCGTTTTCCATTCAAAGCACAGGTAGTTGCCCAATCAGTAATATAAGTCACATGTTCATTCGTCAAAGCCATATAATATTTTGGATCATAAAATATTTCAGCCAACATCCAAATAACTTGTTCGTGAGCAGACACATCCCATGCCACCATCTTGACCAAGAATGAATCCATGACGGTATATCGCCATCGTCGATCGACAACACAATCCACCAAATGCTTCTTGACAAGTGCATTGACCAAAGACCTAAAGAAAGCCTTATAGGTATAGATATGCATGATCGTAAGTCCATCTTGCAATTCATTCGTTGTCGAGGAAGGTAAGGATGCTAAGATCAAAGGAAGACCTCGTTGTAATGTGCCAATATCATTTTCATACACTCGATCCAAAAGATAATGAACAAATACTTTGCGAGCCACCTCATTCTTGTTCAGCATTTCTTGAATCAATCGTCCAGCGTTGGGATCCAATTCTACCGACGTATTTGCGTTTTCTTGAATAATCAATTTACATACATTGTTCCAATATCGTCCTTTCAAATCCTTGTCCAGTTTTGGGATCCTAGCATTGTTGGCAACAGCAGTTGGTGCATATTGAGCAAGATTGAGTAATTTGGCATTATAACTGATCAATTCTTCTAAATTTTCAGGAGCCTATCAAAAAAAAAAAAAAAAAAATCCATTAGATTGTACATCAGATAATATTCATTTAGATTTACCTCTTCATCAACACTCTTCCGTAACCATCGTACAATACAAGAGGACAAAAAGTTGGAGATGAGAGGATCCATCAATACCATGGCAAAATCACTAATTAAAAAAAGTTGTAGATATCAATATCAAAGTTCAACCCATTTATCTTTCTTTTTTTTTTTTCCAACTTTACCCATAAAGGGCTGTTCCATTGGTAACATCATCAAAACATTCCTTGATTTTGCTGATAATGGCTTCATCCATATTTTGATTTCGTACGCAAGTATCTAATGACCAGATAAACCTATGACATTTGTCCAGTTCATAAATCTAATCATTTAAGAAAGATAATAATAAAGTTTGAGTGTTTATACCAATTGATATATAAAATATATATAAATTTACCTCTGATACATCTTGGTCATGGAAATTCATCAATATGTCAACTCGTAAGGAACATAAACTTGGATAAGGAGTTGCTTCAAACACTAATCGGATCATCTTCATAAACATCACATAGAGTGTAGGATCGCCACCAATGATCTCCATGACACGTAACATGATTGGATGTGAACGCCTGACGATAGATACGATTAGATAAAAAAAAAAAAAAAAGAATCACCCACTTTCTATCTTTGATGATTACCTTTCTTCAATAACTTCTTGGTAACTATCAGGCTTGAGATTCATGGCTAATAACTGTAAACCTTCGTCGTGGTGATAATCATTCAACATACCAAGCATTTGTTGTTGAAAAAAAGATTCATCTTTCTTCCAAATACGTTTTTTGATATTCAAAGGACAATTCTATGAAAATAAAAAAAGATAAAACGCGTGAATTAGTAACCAATTTGTAGTCGTATGGATTTTCAAAAGAAAACAGAAAATGATACTATTCATCAGGGTATTACTTCAAAGACGGTAAGATCACTTTTTAATTTCTCCAATATGTCGTCCTCAATATGTCGTTCAAATTTATTCAATAATGCCATAGGGATAGGTTGCATTTGTCGAATATGGATATATGGGAAAGTGCGGTCGAAAATGTCATAAAAACTATCAAAAGAATAAAAAAAAAAAGTTAGCATTTGCTTAAAAAAAAAAAAAAAAAGAGAGAGACTTACTCTTCAAGTTGAAAAGAAGAAGAGTTGATTTTGGTAATGACCGCTTTGTTGAGTTGATCTAATATAGCAAGGTGTATTTCAAGTCGTGAATAACCACAAAGATCTAATAGAGGATAAGTAGCATCGATACCGTTCAGATCAAGTCCATACTGTTGTTGAATACTTCGAATGGCATCTATTGGATCTTGTTGTGATAAGATCTCCTTGATTTTGTCATCGGCAGGACCAATAAGAACTTGTCGAGACATAATAGAATGATAAACGGGATTTAAGGAAGAAAAAAAAAAAAAAGGAAAAGGAAAAGGGATGGAGGTTGAAAATAAATAAATTTTATTGGCTTTTGAAAAAGTCACAACTTGAATCCACGGATATGATTATATGATAATAGGTCGAAATAGGATTTGTTGTTGATACAAGTGAATATCATGAAGTAGTTTACAATAAGAAGGTAAAGCTTGTAAATCATCTATATAAAAAAATAAAAAAACTAACTATATTAGTGGATACTATACAGTTTTTTTTTTTTTTTTCACAAATACATTCAGATATGATTTTTCCACTTTGAATATAAAGCAATTCAATATAGTAACGAGATGCATTATTGACCAATTCAAAGTGAATACCTAGTTTTCTATCCTCTTTCAATTCATCACTATTATCCTTGAATAATATCTTATTATTGAGTATCCCTGGTGGATATGATTGATCACCTAATAAAATACCAGTAGAAGTAAAATATTTGTTTTTCAAAATAGATTTACTTACCTCGAAGAAAACGTAGCCATTCATCATACCAAGATTTTTCAATAATATAACTCCAACCAGGTCTATTAAACACGGATAATTCAATCATACGTCGATGATGAAATAAAGAAAAAGTAAGATTAAGGTTTAATGTGAGTGGAGTAGCAAAAGCACGGATGAATGACTGAATCAAGTAATATTCACTTGGAAGTTTATCATTGTTTCCTAACTAATAAAAATCGATTTTGTTAATTTGTATTAATTTTTTTTTTTTTTTTTTTTTTTTTACTTGTCTGTTACAAAAAGTACATTCAATGGAGAAGAGATGATAGGGTGAAATCCGTAAACCAATAGGATGTGAGCATTCAAGTTGAGAATCAATGATATTTTGATTGGTTACTATTTTATAATTTTTTTTTTTTAAAAAAAAAAGATGATTTTCCTTTTAGATCCATGTCATGTTTAACTATATTTTGATTTCTTTTCTCTTTACCAATGGCATCACAATGATAATGCAAACAAATATAACGATAATTGGTATTCATGTTTGAAAGAAATGCTAATGCTTGCTTGTGTGACAAATGTTCAAATAGCGACAAATGGAAATGTGGACAAACTTGATACATTTCCTCTGACAACACCATTTCCTTCCACGTGTTGCAAGGATGTCGATAATATATGTGATGAAGTGTACAAAGATCATGCCAAAAATCATTATTATTATTATAGTGATATAAAAATGATGGATGACATAAAAGAAATTGAATAATAGTATTACTTTTTTCTATATAAGATAAGATGAGAATAAGTATTTCATAAGGTAAGTTTAGTAATAATGTCATGTTTTTTAATAATTAAGTAAGAAAAAGAAGAAAAGATAACCGAAGTTTTATTATATGATCATGCCATTTATACGTATTGGTAGGATATGATTTTGGGAAACTTTTCAACAACAAGGCCTAGGATTTTTTATATTCCGCACATTTTTCACTGCCTTGTCACGCCTTCATCTTTCATCTGACTGGACCAGTTTTACACTTTTACTTTTTTCTTTTTCTTTTTTCCGTTTTCCTTTTTTTTCCCTTTTTCAACCTTAATTTTACACTTCTTCAAGATATATTTCCAAAATTATATCACGCCATATATATATAAACTTTTAATAAATGAAATTTCTACAAGTGGATTCACTGGATGTATTGAATTCAGTATTCGAATGGGAAAGTGCAGAAGCTCAATTAACTGGAAGAATTGAAGCCTATTCCTGTAAGTTTTATATAATATAAAATGAAGTATATATTTATTATTATATTGTTGTTAGGTAAAAGTGCCGGTTCTGATAAGAAACTATTCAAACATATGGAAAATAAATATAATATGGTAATGAGTGGCTCAATATCACCAGATGACCATCTACCGATAATATCACCTTTTGGACGACTAGACGAATCAGCACCACGAAAAACATTCTTTTATCTTTTGGCAACGTTGAACGCGGCTTTTCCTGACAATGACTTTAGCGATGTACGACCGGACCAATTTAGCAAACAACCTGCTGTGGATATGGTTATCAATTCTGTCAATACCACTTTATTCAATCTTGGAAATGATTTTATAGTCAACAAATACAGGTAAGGAACCTTTAAACAACAAAACAATAGTAACACCACTTTTTCTTTTAGAATGTGGGATATTTTGGATGAACTAGTAGAATTGAATGAATGTGATGTATACAGTTATACTGCTGATATTGATGATGATCCAATGGTGGAAGAAGGTTACTTGTAAGTTGAAAGGGATGGTTTATGCATATGATTTATAACTCATCTTTTTTATTCTATAGATGGTCTATGAACTACTTTTTTTTTAATCGGAAATTGAAGCGGATGGTCTTTTTCTCAGTGAATAGCAGGTATTTCTAATAAGTGGATCGTATTCAAAAATAGATTAAAATCTCCCCTCGCCTCTTATTCATTCTTCTTTTACCTTTTTATTGTTTAGAATGAAGGAAGATCAGGATGATGATAATGACGATGATGATGACGCTTATGATAGTATGGATCAAGATGAATCAAGGTAAGAGAAGAAAAAAAAAAAAAAAGAGAAAGAGGGAGAGTCGAATATATCAAAACAAAGACAAGAGAAAAGAAAAAGAAAAGAAAGAAAGGTAAACGCGATATATTGATTATTTTTCTTTCTTTCTTCTTCTTTTTCTTTACTGTAGACATCAAATGGTAATTGGTGATATGGAAGTATGAACAAGGATGATCCCTATTTTTATCTATTATTCTCTCCTTTTTACTCTAAGGTGTCCCCTTTTTGTGCCTGAAAAATTTTTTTTGGGTTCCCGCCTATTTTATTTTATTTATTTTTTCGTGTTTCTTTTTTTTTTTTTTTCTCCCTTTCTTTTCTTTTTCCTTTCTTTCTCCTTATTTTTTTTTTTTCTTTCCCTTACATACCATTACTTTGTATCTTTTTCTCTTTATTACTTATTATACTTGAATAAAAAAAAAACAATGCCTTCTCATTCAACTACAAAAAAGCGTATCTTTAGACGTTTAAAGCAATTTCGCTGCGACGGCTATGGCGATTGCGATATGGTGTTTTCCCGCAGTGAACATTTGGCTCGACATATAAGGTACAAACGAATCAAAAAAAAAAAAAAAAAGATTGAATATAACCCCCCTGTATATATCAACTTATCTCATATTCTTTTTCTTTTTCTTTATTTCATTTTTTAGAAAACATACTGGTGAAGTAAGTGAAAAATTAAAGTATAACCACGATTAATTCATGTTCTCATTACCCCCCTTTTTTTTTCTTCTCTTTATTTATGATAGAAACCTTTCAAATGTGAATATCCATCTTGTACAAAACAATTTAGTCGATTCGACAATATGCGACAACACGCTCAAACTCATCAAAAAACTAAAAACAAGTCTAAACAATCTATTGAAGATAATAGCAACAACGATAAGAATAACTCGACTACAACTAATCTGATTGTACATCCTGTGTCTTTTGAAACTGGTAAACTCGGTAGACCATCAACTCTTCTACTACCTCCAACAGCACCATCCTCCATGGCAACACCTAGATTAGTCAACGATGGAAATGAACCAGTGGAGAAATTCAGTGATATTAGTTATATGACTTGTAACAGCAACAATGAAAGTGGTTTGGTATCACCTGTGTCTATGTCAGGATCCTTTGAAGAACAAGGAAAACAAATAGAATGTGATCAAGACCTTCACCGTTTGACTCAAGACGAATTGGATGCTTTGGATGCCCTGAATCAATTTCGACAATCTCCTCAAGCTATTTGTTGATTATAGAAATAGTTTTTTCTCATCTCTTACCCCTTCCCCTTTTCCTCAATGTCTCTCACACACACACTCTCTCCTTACTTTCAATCATGCCATAGTTTTTTTTTTTTCTTATTACTATTCATTTCATCATCTTGTATTCCTTGTATTTTTTTAATTCATTTGTCCATTTTTTATACTTCTTTTTTTTTTATCATCATTTTGAAAAACTGTACATAAAAATGTTCTTTTTTTTTTACAATAAAATTCTTTTTTTTTTAAAAAAAAAAACTGTGATTCTCTAATGATCATGTTATTTTTTTTTTTATTTTTATTTTGGTTGTCAAGTACCAAAAAAAAAAAAGGGGGTACGTGTAGCTCACGCTTGCGTGTAACGATCATCGGAGATTCCTTTTGGCACCATTCGATTTGTTTCGTTTCTGATATCATGTCCGTAGTTTTTTTTTTTTTTTTACTGCTATTGTATTACTGACCTTGAATTTGTGTCATATCTTTGATCTTTGATCGATAATGATGATGACGAATACAAAGTATGATTTGATTCTTAAATTTATATGCGAACTGTCAAAATAGCTTAAGACTAATCGATTATCATTTACTTGCATTCTAAGCTAGTTTAGTGTTCTTTTTGGAAATGCTGAAACGTTCAAGCGCATTTTTGAGTCACCACATTATAGTCTAGACATAGTTGGTTGCACGAACCTTTTCCCTCGGGATTTCAATTGGTCCATTGGCAGACCTGGCACTGTTTATGCATTGATGATGATTCATTGACTGTAATGGAAAGAGATGATAGGGATGATAGCATTTTAAAATGGCACGAATAGTTATTAATGGAATGATAGTATGTTGGATATCGTCTTCAATAAGGTTGTAGAGATCTTTTTTTTTTTTTTTTTTTTACCAAAGCCATCATCAATATCTTTATTCAATTTTAAGTTGCTCCATAAGTAATAAAGATTAGGCTCAACGACTTTTTCACTGTAATAACATATGGGATAGACATGTACCTCTTTACACTCTTACAACTTACACAAAATTCATCATCATCATATCATATTTATACTGGACATGAATGAAAACATTCTCTTTCAGTTAACTTAAGTAGTCTCATATCATCTAATACCATTTTATTGCTTATCTTGCCACCTAATGTACATCAAAAGATTTCTTCCATTTTTCCAAAAATCGCCTGGCAACCCCCTGGCGATTTATTTTTACAGCCAAAATTTAGCTGAGGAGTTTCAAATTTTTGGCTGTAAAAGGTCCAAATTTTCAAAAAAAAAAAAAAAAAAAAAAAAAAAAAAAAAAAAGAAAAGGTGAATCCTCAATCACCTTTCAAAACCCCATTATTCAAATCTGTAATCATACCGTATAAGCATTATGAAACAAAACATGTATATATTATTAATGGCTCTTTTGTTTTGTTTAATGAATTAAAAAAGGTAACCAGTTCGTAAAAGTCACCAGGATCATAAAGGATAAGAATGTCCTAAAACGTTATCTATCTTTTCATTTGATTTTTACATGTAGATTCATTGTTGATATACATCCAGTGTTAACAACTGGTAGATGAAAATGCTGGAGAGACTATATAGCTGTGCATTTTTGCTTCATCGCGTTGAGCGGACTGTGAAAGTGATTCACGACCACCATTTTGCGCGACCGTTGGCACCTTTTTTTTATTATTTTTCCTTTCATTCTCCTTTATTTTTATTTTTTCTTTGACATTTCTCTTTCTTGAAAAGGATATAGTTATCCTTCTTACCACGTCTTTCTTTTTTCCTCGTTCTTATCTTCATTCATCTCTCTCTCTACATATATTTACACAAGCAAAATGAATGATAACATTAGATATAGTGGAGAAACAACAAGACAAACTTCTTATAGCGATACCACTCGATCTTCCCATTTACCTTCTAGCTCACGTTTATCTACAGGTTCAAGTTATTTTTCATTACGACAACAACAACAACAACAACAACAACAAGAAAATACAATGATGACACCAACATCTTTACTAGAACCACGCGTTGCAAATACACTTCAAAAATTGGTACAGAAACTTGCAGCATCTGGTAATGAAGAGAATGTTAATCCCGTACAGCAAGAACGACAACAACAAGAACTATTGGACCATTGTGCTCAAATTATCTCAAGGTAAAATAATAAAAAAAAAAAAGGAGAAGTCTGAAAGTAGTATATCCAACAAGCATGACTAAATTAAATCTATTTATCATGTCTTAGCCAACCAAAACCAACAGTTTTAGAGGATGAAAACCATGTTGCTAATCTCATTCGGAGAAAACGTAAGTATAGAATAGTATATCTTATTTTTGATCTGTTACAGACTTTTTTTTTTATATTCTTCCGTCCTAGTCATGTCCGCTTCGAAGAATTCTGCCAAAGCTTTGAGATTTGGTCATTTGTATAACAAGTTGGAATCACAGGTAAGTTTTTGAAATCAAGGTCACCAGCAAGTTACCGTTTTTTTTTTTATATCAATAAGTATTAAATACTTTTCTTTCCTTTATTTCAATCTTTTTTTTTTAGCAAGTGTTACAAAACAAATGGTCTGTACTCTATCTATTGCACCTACTCAGTGACCAAAAAGATGCTCCTACAAGCTCAGTGGTAAATAAAAATAAAAAAAAAAGGATGATCATGATGGGAATAATTGGGCTCATCTTTTTCTTTTTCTTTTTAATGGAATATAATATGGCTAGCGTGATTCAAATCAATTTTTATCCTCTGGTATTCATTCTATTTCAACACAACCATCACCACCAATACGATCTCGAGATACGGCTAGTAGTTTCCAGCAGGAATCACCACGGATACGACGACGATTAACGCGGGACAATCATCATCATGCATCTAGTTCCACCACTACCTCCTCGGCATCTTCAACGACTTCAGAGCACATAATGAAAGAAAGAACATTACCAGCTTCGATTCAATTAGCACATGCACGAAAACAATATGAACGTCAGCAACAACAACAGAGACAATTATCCGGCATTCAAGATGATAATGTTATGATCACAGTTCCTGAGGCATTACTATTACGCGATTTGATCTATATATTCCAAGGTATTGATGGACAATATATCACGTTTGATTCTGCTAGCAATGAATATGTATTGGATTCTCAAGTGACAATCCCAAAACCAACTCAGGATCTGGTATATCGCTTGACTGAATTAGGATGGCTTTATCAACGTATACAAGCATTCATCAATATTCATTTTGATCAATTGTCTATGGGTTTAGTGGGTCAGGTATAGTTATTATTATTGTTATTATTAAATCTTTACAACTGGAATATACAATATAGTAATTGATAAATTTTTTTGTTCTATTTTTATTTACTGTATAGTCTTTTTGTTCTGCTTTACAATCGGAACTGATGGAATATTACAAACTCATTGCTATTTTGGAAGCCCAGATTGAAAAACAACAATTACCAGATCAAGATTTTATCCCTACTGAGCAATCTCTAACTCTCAAACGATTATTGGTTTGGACCCAAGAAAGTTTACAAAGGTTAAAATTAATGAGTGTATTGGTGGATATGGGGCAAGGTAAGAAATAAAAAAAAAAAAAAAGAAACCGTTGATAATTTATTTTTCTTTTATTCAATAGATCAAAAAGGTGGTGCTTTGGTATCCACCATGCATAGTTATACCAACCATGGAGACCCATTTTTCAAGCAATATATCAGTGATATGCTACAAGAGGTAAATAAATAAATAAATAATATCAAGACAAGGGAAATCAAATGAAAATTCATTAACCACTATGTAATCACCTTTTTTTTTTTTAGGTATCAAAACCATTTTATGAAATGCTCAAGCGATGGATTTCTGAAGGTGAGCTGGATGATCCTTATGGTGAATTCTTTGTGGCAACAGACCCAACAGTATCAGAAGAAGAATTATGGCAGAGGAAATATTCAATTCGTGAAGATATGTTACCATCCTTCATCTCGGCAGAATTGGCGCAAAAGGTAATTCATTGGTTTAGACCTGAAATTATCAACTCAACTGCATCACTTTACATATTAGATCTTCTCTATTGGCAAATCACTCAACTTTATTCGCTATAGTTGTCATGATGAAACTTTGGTGGAAAAGTATTATGCTGAGAGTTCGACAAGTTTACGTAAGTCATAACATACAATCTTTGAAATGATATCTTACTTTTAAAGTAAATCTGACTCGATATGTTTATTTTTTTCATTCTTTTTTTTTGTGTGTGTGTGTGTGTTTTTTTCTTTGGGTTATAGCACTTCATACTTTTCAATATGGCGATATTCAAGGAATCGAACGATGTGTTGATATGATGTATTTGGAAACCAGTCATCAATTACTTACTCTATTAAAGGAAAAGTACAAATTAATGGATCATCTACGAGCTTTGAAACGATACTTATTACTTGGACAAGGTGATTTTATTCAATATTTGATGATGACTCTTGGGTAAAATGACAAAAAAAAAAAAAAGAAAAAAAGAAAAGAAGAATAGGAATTGAGTTTTTTTTTTTTTTTTTAATGAATTAGACCTGCTTTGAATCGACCTGCTACGACATTATTTCGACATAATCTTACTGGTGTATTGGAAACGGCTATACGGGCTTCCAATGCACAATTTGATGATCCTGTTATTTTAAATCGACTGGATGTTCGATTATTGGAGGTAAAATGAAAAAAAAGAAGAAAAAAAATGGAATAGAATATTCAGTTCATTGTCTTTCCTCTTTCTTTTGATATAGATATCCTCACAAGATTTAGGTTGGGATGTATTTACTTTGGATTATCGTGTGGACTCTCCTATCAACACTGTATTCAGTCCTCAAGCTATGAACCAATACTTACGTATCTTCAACTTTTTATGGAGATTGAAAAGAGTAGAATATACTTTGACAGCAGCTTGGCGTCGATGGGGAACAGCAAGTCGTACATTTGCAAAGATAACCGGTAAGATTCATATTAACAAAATGTATATGTTTATTTATTTATTTATTTATTTTATAGAACTCTCACAAGATCTTCATGAAGCTCAATTAGTGATTGCAAGAATGATTCACTTTATTTATCAACTACAGCATTATTATTTGTTTGAAGTAAGAGAAAATAAAAATGAATGATCATAATCTCATCTATTTTTCATTTATTTAGGTGTTAGAATGTTCATGGGAAAAACTAGAAACAAAGATCAATACAAAAAGCATTGATTTAGATTCGGTGATTGAAGCTCATTCTCAATATTTGATGGAAATTGCGCACAAGGGCTTTTTGGCAAGCACGAAAAATCCACCATTATCTTTACATTTGAACTCTATATTTGATGTGATTCTGACTTACAAATCTATTTTGGTAAGGAGATAAGGAGATAGAACAACATATACTAATTTATACATATATTATAGGATCATCTTTATGCATATGGAACCTCAGCATTATCAAAACATCGATCTGGTGATATGATGGAAAAGAATGAAAAATTGAATCAAATTAGATCTAGTTTGAATGATGTATCAGGCAATTTCAAAGTAAGAATTTTGAAAAAGATGTGTATGGAACTAACTTTATCTTATCTTTTAGACTTTAGTACAAGATTTTTTGAAAGCTTCTCAAGATTTAGGATACAAGATTATTAAATAAAAATATGAATAGTGGTATTATCCAATTTTTTTTTTTTTTAATATATAACAAGTGTTTGGAAAATGCTTCTGTACGTTACACAACGATAAAGAGAACCAAGTGAACTGTTTCTTTCAAAATGGAGTTTACTGTTTTAGGGAAATAATGGGCGAGTATGTTGTATCGTTTTTGCCCACCTCCTCCTTTGTCCAGTCTTTCGGCGTTAAAGCTATTAAAATCCGCTTCCTCGGTCCATTTTTTTTTCCTTCTTTTCTTTTTTTTTTTTTTTTTTTTTTTTTTTTTTTTTTTGGTGACAATGGTAGTGACAAATAATGAAAGGACTGGATTAATTTCTTCTGATCAACAGAAACAACAAGGTTACAAAGCAGTCAATGATTCACCTCAAGTGATAACTTCTGACCCTTCACCATTACCTGAAAATTCTCATGATAAGCTTATAGCTAGAAAATTGAATGGTGTGCATCTTTTTGCTATACTTATAGGGTAAATTCTCTATAGTAAGGTCTCTTTCTTTTTTTCTTTTCTAATCTTCTTTTTTTTTAATAGGTTGTGGGTGGGTGTATTCTTGGCTTCCTTGGACAGTAGTATTGTTGCCACTGTTTTTCCTCAAATTGGTACAGAATTTCATAGGTAAAGAAAAAAAAAAAAAAAGAGTATTGGTATTATTTGGAAATTCACTTTTTTTATCTTTGAAAAGATCAAACGAAGTTGTATGGGTAGCCACTTCTTACATGTTAAGTTATACTGCGTTACAGCCTTTATGTAAGTATATAGATATATGCATATAGATATATGAAAAGAAAGAATAACTCATATTTTATATGTATTCCTTTTTTTTTTTTTTTTTTTTAGATGGACGATTGTCAGATGCTTTTGGACGTAGAACAATTTATCAGTTTTCTGTTATTGTCTTTACTTTTGGATCTCTTTTTTGTGGAATGGCAACGAATCTATGGACATTGGTAGCGGCAAGAACTGTGGCTGGTATTGGTGGTGGTGGTTTGAACATTGTAAGTTTTTATTTATATATATATTATTATTATTGGGATAAGAATTTTTTTTTTCTAATTGATCCCTTTTAGATGTCATCAGTGGTAACTAGTGATTTGGTCCCTTTACGTGAAAGAGGTAAATATCAAGGTTATGCAAATCTTTGGTTTGGTACTGGTGCTCTTTTAGGTGCTCCATTAGGTGGATGGTTGACAGATACTGTGGGCTGGCGCGTTTGTTTTTATCTCAATTTACCACCCTTACTTATCTCTCTCTATGTGGGTACATTTAAATTGACCAATTACAATATAAAGGAACAAGAAATGGAAGGCACAACAACAACGACTATGGATAGAGTCAAGAAAATAGATTATGCTGGTGCTGTGCTACTTGTTGCTTCTATCTTGGCTTTTATGGTGGCAACTTCTTTGGGTGGCAATTCTCGTCCTTGGACTGATCCTCTAGTGGTGGCCTTACTCGTGGTTTTTGTGGTATTGATCCTATTCTTTATCGTAGTAGAAAAAAATTATGCAGAATTACCTCTGGTACCTTGGTATGTTATCACTGCTCGAACCCCTTTAGCATGCTCCGTATCAATTTTTTGTAGTATCATCAGCTCCTTTTCTAGTACTTTTCTTGTCCCTCTTTTCTTCCAGGTAAGGAAAAAAAAAAAAAAAAGGGAAAAGTTTTGATGTATTGACTTTCTTTTTTTTTTTTTGACTATGATAGGCGCTACTAGGATATTCTCCTTCTGAATCTGGTATCATGTTCTTACCCAAAGTAATCAGTGGATCTATGGGTTCTTTATATGCTGGTATGCACATGAGCCGTACTGGTGAATATAGAAAATATATGATCGTCAATGCTGGACTTCAATTTGTGTCATCGGTTTGTTACTGGTGTTGGAATGCTGGCACTCCTACGTATTTGATGTATCCTGTTCTGTTTATCGATGGTTTCTCTATTGGATCCAATATTACAGCATGTTTGATTGCTCTACTTTCATGTGTCGAAGCGAAAGGTAAGGATGATTATACATAAAAACTATTCTTTCTTTTATTTATTTATTTTATTTGGTAGATATTGCCACCATTACTTCTATCTCATACCTTTTCCGAACTACTGGTAGTGTGATTGGTGTTTGTGCATCTCAAGCTATCTTTCAAGGTGTAGTGAAAAATATTCTTACTAAAGAAATCACTGGTCCTGACGCAGAAGAGGTAATTTCTCAAAAACGAAAAAAAAAAGGTGAGTATGATTTGTTTTAATACTTCTCTTTTTCCCCATTCAATAGATCATTGATATTGCCCGAAAATCCATGATGCAAATACGACAATTGTTGCCTTCATCTGTTCTCGGTATCGTATTGAAGAGTTATGAACAAGCCATTCAATATGCATTCTTCTTCTGTGCAGTGTTTGCATTCATTGGATTTGTCTGTACTTTTTTTGTTCAACAACATTCCCTCAAGAAATAGAAATCATTGATTTGATTCTACCCTCCCCCCCCGTCTTCCTCGTAGTTTAGTTCTGATATATATATATATACTTTTTTTTTGTATTTGTAAACCTTATTTATTTATTCAATAAAGATAATGATTTTATACAACATGAAATGTGCATATAAATCTAAAAAAAAAAAAAAAAAAAAAAAAAAAAAAAACCTGATCGTCCCCTATCGAGATTTCCTAGTCTCCCGAAGAACGAAGGAAATATGTACACATGGCAAAACTATCACACATGGTAAGGAGCGAGGGACAATTAGAAGAAATGACACGCTATTTGCCCCAGAGGTGTTGCATTAAGCTTTTCAGGGTCAATCTTCTCCTCTTGTACAAAAAAAAAAAAAAAAAAAAAAAAAAAAAAAAAGAAACAACGTTGTCAACCGAAGAATATTAGTTTTGCCTATTGTCTTTTATAAAAAAAAAAGAAAAGAAAAATAATAGTTGGATGAATAAGAACAGAAATGAACAAGTTAGGATGATGGATGAATACATCTTGTGTTTATTTAAAAGAGTAATGTCAAAAAAAAAAAAAAATTGTTCACAAATGACGATTGTTAATAGAAAAATGGAGATCATTTTTTTATTATTATTATTTGATGTATATCTAGCAAAAATCTATAATCTATATCTGTATAAAAGGGAGCGGGCGAGAGAGAGAGAGAGAGAGAGGGAGAAAGAGAGAAGAATAGGGAGTGGCGAATATAGTGTAAAAAGGATATCTATAGTAAAGGGCATACAAAGTCTATATATCAAATGTAATAATGTAAAAGTAATTCTAAATAACGTATAAATGTTGTGTATATGGTAATTCTGTATAATGATCTAATAATAATAACGACAATAATAATAATAATACTAATAATTCTAGTAATAATATGACAATAGTAATAGTTGTAATAAGTGATTGAATGAGAGTAATAAAATGAGAGGAAAGGAAAATGAGAGGAGAAAGGGAAAGGACCAGAAGGGAAAAAAAAAAAAAAAAAAAAAAAAAAAAAGATGTTTGAATTTAGATCATGGTTTGGTAAGCAGAAGAGGCTTGAATCAAATCGACAAGAGCATCATGAGAAAGCTTGTTTGAGGTAGCACTTGAGACCGACAAAGGGGGTGTAGAAGGACAACCCAAAGAGGAGACAGAGGAAGAACTGGAAGAGGTAGAACAGGAAGTAGAAGGGATACGTAAAGGAGTAAGAAGGGTGGCAAAATCATTGGTATAATCAAGAATGGATTGTTGTACGGACTTGGTAGGTTGCATTGTCTTGTTGTTTCTATGATGATGACATGTTGGACGTGTTGCTGGTGAAAAGGTCATGTAGGGTTGATCACGTAAGAAGGTACGACATTCCATAATTCGCCATTTCAATTCTGGTAGAGAAATACGATGAGCAGGTTCCAAACAAAAAATGCGTTGTAAAATAAAATCTAGTTCACTTGAGATGGAAGGAAGAATCGTGGTGAAAAAAGATTCTTTTTGCTTGGTGTAAGCTGCAAAAGTAGTATCATCCATATGAGCTTGTCTCCAAGGGTTGCGACCAGTTACCAAATTGATCAAGATCACACCAAGACTCCAAATATCATTCTGTTGTGTTCCATAACCTTTGATCTTCTTGTTGTTTTTTACCAAACCGGACTGACATTCTATCATCATTATTTGAAAATAAATAAAATATAATTGAATATATAATCTTTTTTTTTTATTTTATGTCAATTCAAAACTTACCAGGAGAAAAATAAAAAGTAGACCCACAACCAAATTCAGAGGAGACAATTTGATTAGTAGCCAAACCAAAATCAGCCAATTTGACCTTGAGATCATCAAATAATAAGATATTTTCCGGCTTAAGATCACGATGACTGATACCATGTTGATGACAATGTTGAACAGCATCCAAAAGTTGTAAAAAAATATGTCGAATCTTTTGATTGTTCCCCACAATACCTTGAGTACCTTGAGTAATAGCAGAAAAAAGATCACCACCAGTTGCATACTCCATCACAATAAATACACGACCAGATTCCTTGATCACTTTCTTGATAGATAATATATTTTCATGATGAGCTACATGTGCATGTAATTGGATTTCTGTTTTAGATAAACGATTATATTCAGCCAATAACTTGACAGCCAATACCCTGTTTGTAAGTTCACATCGAGCAAGATAGACTACACCATAAGCACCAATACCAAGGATGGAACAAAGACGAATAGTATTATTGTCAATGGTTTTATTAAGGAAGGATGTTGGGTTAATAATAGGATGTGAAGTCATTAGAATTAAAAAAAAAAATAGATAAAATAAGAAAATGAAGAAAAAAAAATAAAGAAGGAAAGAAAGAGGAATGAAAAAAAAATTCATCTTTTTATACCTATACGGTGTTTGAAATGATTCCCTTTTCTCGCATAATCCTCATGGCCACACAAATCAAAGCTGCCATGTTTTTTTTTCCCTTTGATTATAGGAGACAATTTACTTACAAGTAAAGAAGGACGGTCCGTGTACTTGCATCCTTATTTGTTCCATTTTATCCTTGTCTCCATATATAGAAAACTGCCACTTTTGTTTTAGTTTGATACTTTGAAAAAGAACCCTTTCTCTCCCCTTATCTGCCTCTCCAGCACTATTGATGGTCAATGATACTGGTGGTGGTGGTGGTGGTGACAGGGTGATATAGGGTGACAGGGTAATAAAGTAAAAAAAAAAAAAAAAAAAAAAAAAAAAAAAAAAAAAAGAGAGAGAGAGAAAGAAAAAAAAAACCTGCAAATACCTGTGATGATTGAATTTCTCCTTTTTTCAGATGATGAGTCTTCTTCTCCTTTAGTAACTGAATCCCCTAACAATCGTACTAGAATAATGATGATTCTTCTTTTTTTTTTTTTTTTTTTTGTGATTCAATGGATTATGCACAAATAGACATAAACAAGTTTTATGATTAAATTCAAAGATAAGGTTAAAATATTAGAGTATCTTTATCATCATCCAGGAACAAACATCATTTTCTTTTTAAAGTAATTTTGGATCTCCTTTCCCAATCATTGTACTCCTATTTTATCCATTTATGACTGTTAAGATGGATATGTCCCTCCTAGATGATGATACCCTTTTTTTTTTTTTTTTTGAATGAGGAGTACAAATGTAAGAACAAAGACAAGGGGGTGTTCTAGTCTGTTTAGTTGACTTCTTTGTGATAACGTGGTCGCACTTACTTTTTGTTATTTTAACATTCTCATTCGTCATTTCTGTTTCACTATTATATATCATCGATATATGTCACACTTTTTATAGTAAACATGCCGCAGAAACGAATCGGATTCATTTATTTTATTAAAAAAAAAAAAAAAAAAAAAAAAAACAAGATCTACAGCACATGAATTATTTTACTTGATCCATCCAAAAAAAATAGAGAAGAATCAATGTTTTTTTATTAGTTCCCCCCCCCCCTCTTATATCAGAATCACAATAAAAAGAAAGAATGATAATGTCAAAACTTTGATGACAATCCTTTCTTATTTCCTTTCTGCGATCACATATAATACCAATTGGTGGGAACTAACTAACTATAGGAGTAACTCATTTATCGTTCGATTATAAGATTATATATTATTATTATTATTATTATTTTCTACAAAGTCAAAAAAAAAAGAAAGGAGATTTCAATAAAATTAAGAAATCACAAACTCTAATCTAATTAACAAACAAAATAATAATCTACAGATATAAATATATAAACTTTTATTTCAATAGTTAAATAAATAATAAAAAAGAGAGAGAGAATCATTGTATATACTAAATGCTATATGTAAAAAAAAAAAGTCGATCTTCATGACATCCAAGTTACCCTAGTTTTTTTTTTATTGTTCAGATCCAAATTTTACTTGCGAGAAGCATTGGTACGCTTTTTGGCACGAGGGGATTGTTTGGGGCTATCCTTGAGATGATGTTCAGGAATCCAAGATTCATCCAATACCATTTGTCCCTTTTCATCACGATGAGCAGCGCGGACAGTAGGTTCATTAGCAGCCTTGGTCTAAGATTAATAATAATACAAACAATCAACATTCATCCTGCCTTTTTTTTTTATTATTATTATTATCATTTAAAACTTACAGGGGTCTTTTTGGAACTGCCAAAGAAAGCTTCACGAACAACATATAATACACCAGCAGCACCAGCAGCCAAAATTGCATAAAGGAAGAGCCTATAAATCAGTATAGATAAGTATACCGATAATATATCGTTCCTGACAAAAATGATTCACTTACAATTGGGCATCTAACAAGGAAGATTCGGGATCAGTCACAGTAATGGCACCGCTATAGCCAACCAAACGAATAAGTTTTTCCTAATAATCATAAAAGAAAGAAATGAACTCCTTTGTTGACCTTTTTCATCCACCCTTAAAACCTTTTTTGTATCACTTACATCCGCCACCAAGTCAACATAGACGGTCAGACCGAGTTCTCCAGGAGCAAATTCAGAATAGAATTCATAAGGGACTTCCAAAGTTGCTTGAGAAGGAAGACGAGTATCATATCGAAGAGCAGTCAACTATATATAAATATATATTATAATTAGTCTACCAATTGAATATTGTATTTCCCTATTACCATCATCCTTTGTTACTCTTTTCTTTTCCTTTTCTATGTATCTATCCAACTTACGTTACGAATAATCTTGGATTCATCATCAACTAGAGTCACTTTACCAGACACAGCAATAATAGAGGCATCCACTGAATCCTTGTTAGTCATAGACAATACAACACCATTCTTTTGACCATTGACAATCACTATATAGTAAGAAAAAGAAAAAAAAAAAAAAAAGTCAAATGAACAACACGAGTTTATTTATTATTGTTATTATTATTATTATTATTTGGATCACAAACTAGTACTTACAACCAAAAGGATTATCAGGGAATTGAGCCACTACTTCAATATTGAGAGTATCTTTGGTGCTGGTAGTTTCATCAGCAAACACTATAGAGTGGAAATAAACAAGTCAGTTTTAAATGTCATTTCTGTACATAAGATATTTCGGGTTGTTCCTAGTCATCATTCCGAGAAAAAAAAAAAGAAACCACCATTTCCATCATATCTAATCCATAAATATATAAAGAATCTTACCCAAGACAGTTGTCAAAAGTAATAAAAAGAACGTCCAGAAAGAAGCAAGTTTGGCCATGATATAACTTCCTTTTTTTTAAAAAAAAAGATTTAGAAAGGGAAAGAACAGCGGTGACAAAAAAAAAAAAAAAAACAAAATTCCTTTGATATTTGTATATAGTGCGTTGCTCAATATCATTGGCTACAGGCCACAGTGACACGAACGCGACCAAAAAAGGAAAGTCTGATCCCTATTTTCAAGAAAAAGTTTATTTTATCCCAACATTGTTAATTCACTTTGAACAAAAATCAAAAAAAAAAATCAAAAAAAAGAGAAGATAATAATAAATACATTACTATCAGTTGTTGTTAAATATTAGTAATGGTTCTAAAATATATATTATCATCATCATTAGTAAAAAAAAAAAAAAAAATAAGAAATAAAAAGAATACAGTCATATATTCTATTCTAATGATATCGATACCAAGCAATAATGATTGATTGATGATATACAGTAGTATTGATAAGAATTCATGATGATTCTTCTTTCGATGATTTTCAATATGAATAGATTTGATTGATTTGATTGATACTTGGGTTTCTTTCCATAAGTGGTATTTCAATAATATTCCATAAAAGGCACCGTTCTCTGGGAATTAAAAAAAAAAAAAAGTAACCTTGCTATTGGTGGAGAAAGAAAGAATAGAACTGTGAGGTTATACTTGTGGTTTTAGTTTCATCGCTACTGTAATAAGATAGAATTCCTGTTATCAAAGGAACTATGCATGGATTATATTTAGTTTTCTCATTAGCAAAAAGTCATCAGACTATAATCTAGTATTATACAAGTAAAATAAGATTTTTTACTCAAACGAAGGAGTAGGTGCTGTGTTTTAATAGGTCATGATGCATTTTTGGGGTCGATTGTTTCCCAGTCCAACAAACGTCTTTCCTTTTTTTTTCTTTTTTTTTTTCCCCTTCTTATCCCCTCTCTCTCTCTTTTTTTTTTTTTTTTTATTTATCTATTATACCATGACAAAGAAGGATGTATCAGAAAACCATTGTTTCTATTGCTTTGATGTTTTAGAAGCATTTTTGGAGAACAAACCTATACCAAAGGCTTCCTTTCCTGATGATGCTTAGTAAGTTACGTATACCTCATTAGTTTTGTTACAAATAAGAAGATAAGGACTTACCCAATTCTTCTCTGAAGTCCACTCTTTATTACATGGCATAGTAAATTCAAAGGACATCGTGAACTCCGGGGATGCATAGGCAACTTTCATCCATTACCATTACGAAAGGGATTACAACAGTATGCTTTAACAAGGTAAGTTTATAGTTATGAACTAATCCAGGATTATTATTAATATTTATTTCTTTTATAAGTGCTTTAAATGATAGACGGTTTTCCCCTATTGAATTGACGGAAATGCCTCATTTGGATTGTGCTGTATCATTACTTACTGATTTTGAATTAGCCAAGGATTATCTGGATTGGGATATTGGAAAACATGGTATTTGGATAGAATTCTCACTAGTAGATGATGATGATGATAATAATATTCTATATGGAAGAAGACGACGAAGATCATCGAAAACAACAACAACAGCAACCTATTTACCAGAAGTTATAGGGGAACAAGGATGGACAAAGGAAGAAGCAATAGATTCATTATTGAGAAAAGGTGGTTATCATCGACATATCACTGAAGCCAAACGGAAATCTATCATCTTGACTCGTTATCAATCTCAAAAGATCACTCGTACTTATGCCGATTATCGTACTCATTGTGCTTTACGTGAAGGTGAAACATTGACCCTCTCCAGCGGTGCTTGAATTACATTTGGGAGCTATCTTTTTCTTAAATAAAAAAAGAAATCCTTTAAAACTATTTTGTGTTGTCTTTCTTTTCATTATATCTTTAGACTTTTTATTATTATATTATTTTATTTTATGGATACTGACTTTGAAAGTGTACTTCTTGTTATTCGAGAATGTTTTGGTAAGGACATAGAATATAATTTATCTTTAGATGCTAATCACTCTTCTTTTTTTTTTTTTTTCATCTTTAGTATATAAAATCCCTCCTCGTACAGCAGCCAGAGGCTATAGGTAGAATTAAATACAATTCAAAAAAAAAAAAAAAAAAAAAATATGGCATTCAAAATAAGAAAAGGAAAAACTAAATATTAACCTACCTCCCTTTTTTTTTTTTTCTTTCTTTTCTTTTTTTCTTTTTTTTTTGTAGAGCATCGGAATGGGGTGATCTTGCCACATCTTTTTTATGGAAAGGTCGACTACGTATTATGAGTAAAGGACAAGCCTGTTTTATTCGTCTTGAAGACAATGAATCTGGTGAGAGAAAAATTTGAATAAATATAAATATTGTTTAGTGACTTGATACTGAAAATTCTTTTTTTTTTTATTGATCTACTCTTTAGGCGAAGTCTTTGCTGTTTGTCCATATGATCCAGCCTCAAATTCAGTAGAAGCAGTACTTGATTCAAGTCGATATTTTGTACTTAAGATCGAAAATGAAGGTAAAATAAGAAAAGAATGAACTTAATGGTTACTGATAATGTGATGACTTTTTTTTTTATTTTAAAGGTCGCCATGCATTTATAGGTATGGGATTCCAGGAACGAAGTGATGCATTCGATTTTAATGTGGCTTTACAAGATTTTACAAAGTAAGTACAATAATATAATGTTGATGAAAATAGTTATCTAACGAATATGATTTTTTTTTCTTTCTTTCTATAGGCAAATCAACGCAGAAAAACAATCTGAACGTCGAGCAAAAGAAGTGGACAATACACCAAAGAAGGATTATAGTTTGAAGGATGGTCAAACTATTAATATTAGTATTGGAAATGTGGGTGTAAGTCATATGAAGAACTTTATATGTTTGTATATATCAAATAGTTTATGGCTGATTCCTTTTTTTTTTTTTCACAATTGGAACTTAGAAACGATCACGAACACGTCCATCCGAAAATCCTTCATCCAATTTTTCTGGTGGTATGGTTCCATTGATTCCTCCTCCTCCTTCTGCAGCCCAAGTCAAACAACAACAACAACAACAACAACAACAACAACATAGCCTTTTTCAATAAAGAATCACGATCTATTTTTTTTTTCAACTTCATTATCTTTTTGCTATCACCAATCACCTTACTCTTCAATCATGGATGGTTAACCCCTATGATACTGGATTGTCGTTTATGTATGTCCTTAGTGTACTTAGTATATTTTTATCCTATCCACTTGGGTTGATGTCAATAAAGGCTTCCTGTCTTTTATCTGTATATATATAGGTACGCGTGTCTTTAGGGAAATGATATGATTGTGGATATAGAGTTTATGTATAAAAGAATGACAGTTGATGTAGAGTTTCGTGTCGTTTTAGATGGTACAACTCATGGTTAAAATCAGAACAAACAGAAATGTTGGTTGAGAAATAAATCTTTTTTTTTTTTTTATTTCATTACACACACACATACCTTTTTTTTTTTTTTTATTAATCCTCTTCTTTTATGATTGGCATATCTCTTAAATAATAATAATAAGAATGAAATTGATTATCTATTTGTATTTACTACTGATAATTATTCATATCACATTTGCAACATTTGGGGCATTTAAATCTGTGAATGAAAAAATCATAAAATTGGAAGATGATGAAATCCATCAGTTTGATCTACATATTACACAAGAATACATCAATCCTGATTGTTCAAATCATACCATTCAAAGTTATGTTGTCAATCATCAGTCTCCTGGACCTGTTATTATGGTGACCAAGGGTGATCGTGTACGTGTTAGGATACATAACGAACTACCATCCACTCCTTCCACTTATGATCATCATATGAATCAATCGGATGTCACTATCCATTTTCATGGCATCCGTCAATACCAATCCATTCAATCGGATGGCGTACCTTTTCTTACACAGTTACCAGTTAAAGCAGGCGAAATATACGTACACGATTTCCGTGTTGTGAATCAATCGGGTACTTTCTTTTATCACGCTCATGTTGGCCTGAAGGAACAAACCATTTTTGGTGCATTTATTATCAAGGATCCAGAAACCATCCAGTATCCATTTCAATATGATGATGAACGTCTTCTTCAATTGAGTGAATGGTGGCATCAATCTGTACCTGATTTCGAACATTACATTATGGGGCATCATTTTGATGGAATACCAGAATCTATTAGTGTCTTGATGAATGGACAAACGGTATTTAATCCTGACGAAATAAAAAATGATGATGATTGTCTGGGCTATCATGTATTGCAAGTGGAACCAAATAAAACGTATCGTTTAAGAATCATCGGCGCGACTACCTTCCGTGCGTTTAGTTTTGCCATTGCTCATCATAACCTAACCATCGTTGAGGTCGACGGAGATTTAACTCAACCATATACCGTCGATGTATTAGAAGTGGCTTCTGGTCAACGCTTCTCCGTTCTTTTACATACTGATCAACCACCGAGGGATTATTTAATGGATACACAAAGAAAATGGGCTGATAGTACAGTGGATCGTAGTAGTAATGGTAAAGGTATATTACGTTATATGACTGACGGTAGCCAAGGGCAACCATCATCAACATCATCACCATCATCACCATCATCACCATCATCACCATCATCACCATCATCACCATCATCACCATCATCACCATCATCACCATCATCACCATCATCACCATCATCATCATCATCATCATCATCATCATCATCATCATCATCATCATCATCATCATCATCATCATCATCATCATCATCATCATCATCATCATCATCTAGTGGATACCAACAACAAAAAAAAACATCATCCATCCTTCCCAATAATCATAATTCTATGAAGCTTCCTCAAGATGTCATCAAAGAATTTCTTATACCCCAAGAAGAAATGGAGATACCAGGATGGATCTGGGGCAAGCTGGATTCTTTATCTGATATTGATCCAGCTTTATTACAACCACCATCAAGAACATTGATTTTTAAAAGTACCAATATACGATTTGCAGATGGCACTGAGCGATGGTTCATCAACGATAAATCATACGTAGAATCAGCCATCCCTATTTTATCTCAATTGGTACATGGCAAAAGAAGAGCCCCATCACACCTTCATCATGATCATCATCCACCACAACCTTGTAATAATACTAATACCACTACTACTACTACTAATAATAATAGTCGACAAGCTGTCATCAATGATGATGACGATCATGATGGCTATGATCCAATGCTAGGTACATATCCATTAGCACACAATGAAGTGGTTGATTTAGTATTACAATCCACACATATTCCAGGTGATCCTTGTCGTTCCCATCCGTATCATACACATGGTCATTCTCATTGGGCAATTGCATATGGTCCAGGTGAATATAGTGATGCAAAATATGGTGATTGGCGATCATCTAAAGTGCCTGTGTATAAAGATATTTCAATGGTTTATCCATGGATCGATCCTGAATTGGAAGTCAATCCTAACGGATCATTAAAAACTACCCCTGTTCCTTGTGGATGGACTAAAATAAGACTTGTTGCTGTAAGTACTCCTTTTTTTTTTTTTTTTTTTTTTTTTTTTTTTTTTTTTTTTTTTTTTTAATTGTTCATGTATCCTTTTTGTAATTAACATGATTATCATCTATCCTATAGGACAATCCTGGTATTTGGGCGGTACATTGTCATAATACACCACATATGATGATGGGAATGGCATTTGTATTGGAAGAAGCACAAGAACTCATCCCTCTGCGAAATGTATTGGCTGATCCTGATTCCCCTTCTAATTTAACAATAGATAAATAGTGAATCCTGATTCATCAATAGAGCCATAAAGTTGTTACTGTTTGATATTGTTGTAGCTGTTTTTATTACAAGAAGTAAAAAAAAAAAAAAATAAATGAGAGGAAATGGGAAGTATATGATAAAAGAGGAAGAAGGGAAGATAAAAGACAAAAAGAAAAAAAAAAGAAACAAGCTATACTATATCCATTGATATCGCGAACCGATCCTGTTGTTTCAATGATTGTAATTGTAAGATATGTTTCCTGATGATGAATGTATATATGTTGTTTGCATGTGTGTGTGTGTGTAGAGTAAATAATAATAATAATAACAGTTTCTAGGTATACCATCTACAAAAAAAATCAATAATCACCACCACGAAGAGCCAATACCAAATGCAATACAGAACCACCTTCAATAGTATAATGATTTGCTGTCATATCATCAGCCCTATCCACCAAAAAAAAAAAAAAAAAAAAAAAAAAAAAGAAAACATCGTTAATGTCTTCTCATCCTTATAACAAACTAAATAACTTACATTTGTTTGCCACCATAAATCAAACGTTGTTGAGGAGGAGGAATACCTTCTTTTTCTTCTACACGTTCTTTGATGCGAGCAATAGTATCGTTGGGTTCAATATCTATTTCAATCTATTTTCAAAAGAAAGTGAGTGGCTATTAGTGATGATCAAATAAACATGTTTTTGAATTAAAAAGAACATACTTCTTTGCCAGTAAGAGTCTAATGAATTATTTTTTTTTTTTAAAAAAAAAGGTCAAGCTATAGTTAATGTATTGTCATCTTCTTTTCTTTTGATAAATTGTTACCTTAACTTTAATAAACATTGTGAATATGGAAAAGAGTTTTTTTAAAAAAAATAATAAGAAATAAAACTAAAAATAAATAAAAAAAACAAATGGAAAGAAAAGGGAGCTTACGCGCTTCCAGTTATCTTCCAATCGTCTTTTATACTTTTGAATCTCCGTAATAACCATCCTGAAAATATCTACGTAAGCTTGTTTGTTATAGATCTATACTTTGATGGATGATAAACATAGTACTAGTAAGTGTCTTCCTTAGGCTATACTATAAACTGATTTTCATTTTAGCTATCTACTTGTAATAATAAGTAAAATGATAGGATTGGAAAAGGTTGATCATTGGGATCTGCATAAAAAAAAAAAAAAAGCTATCTACATAAGCTATTCCGCTTGAGTTTTAAGAGAAATATTATGGTCAGAGTCATTGTTATTGTTATTACTCACTCCTTTTTTAGGTTTGCTTTTCGATTCATCCAAATAAAAAGGATTTGTGTGTCTAAAGATTTACAACCAATCATAATTGACTCTCAGGGACCAAAAAAAAAAAAAAGTATGGCCAGTGGACGCTTTTATCACACTTTTTTTTTTTTTCCTTTTTCTCATTTTCGCTTTTATATACTTTTCTTTTCTTTTCTTTTCTTTTCTTCTTTTTATATATTTTGAATAAACGATCAGTTCCTTTTTTTTTTGTTTTGTTTTATATTCAACTAGATACCCTTATATATATATCAAACTATATTCACCTGTTTGTCTTTTCATATTGTTATCGACAACTGGTTCTATATTATTCCCTTCTTATGTATGGACAACATCACCGGTCAAGGTCATTCTCTCATTTTCCACAAGACTATTCCAATATGCAACAAAATTTTCCTCCCGGCATGGTTGGCGGCATGAACAATCCTCAACAACAACAACAGCAAGAAATACCAAAGCAGCAGCAACAACAACAACAACAACAACAAGCTTCAGGTAGTGTTACAGCACCTTCTTCTCCTTCTGATCCTTCGTCACAACCTAACACACCTCATCCAACCAATATGGAACAACAACAAGGTGGTGGCGTGATTGATAATCTCTTACGACGTATGAGAGACGCGGCTGGAATTACTAATGCTGGAATGATAGCGGCTGGATATAGTGGACCAATGATGGGAAATATGATGATGAATGGTGGTAATAATGGTAATGGTGGTACAAATCCAACAGAAGAATTATTATTCCAACAGCAGCAACAACAACAACAGCAACAACAAGTACAACAACAACAGCAACAATATCAACAACAACAATTGATGATGATGATGGCAGGTGGACCAGCACAAGCAGCATTAATGCAACAACAACAAATGCATGGTATGATGACAGGTGGAGGAATTTTTGGAATGAATCCTTATATGATGAACGGATATCAACAACAACAACCACACCATTTAGGGATGATGAATAGTGCCATGAACTATATGAATCCTTATAATATCCAACAGCAACAGATGTATGGCAATTCAATATATGGTAATTCAATGTATGGTAATTCAATGTATGGTAATTCGTTGTATGGTCAAGGAACTCCTGGGATGATTGGTAATAATTCAATGTATGGTTATGGGAATTCATTGTATGGCTATGGTAACTCAATTTATAATGGTAATTCAATGTATGGAAACAATAGTATGATATCTCCTTACGACTATATGGATAATAGTGGTGCTTATCCATATTCATCTTATTATCGTACAACTGACCCTTATCAATCACATGCATATGGAACCCGGTCAAGTTTTGGTATGGGCTATTCTCCTTACGATACATATTCAAAACGTCTATATTATCCTGAACGATCTTCTTCTGTTAAAAATCTTTGGTCAAGGGAATATTATTAGGTTTTTTTTTTTTTTTTTTTTTTTTTTTTTTTTTTTTTTTTTTTTTTTTTTTTTTTTTTTTTTTTTTTTTTTTACACACTTTTATATATATATCGTAAAACTGAAATAATAAACTCTTTGTTCTCTTCGTTTCAACTGCCGCCTTTTTTTTTTTTTTGATAACCTTTCTCTCTTTATTCTTTACATGGTTTACTTGTTTTATTGTTGTTATCTTTTACGATCTCTTCATCCAAACTATCAAAATAAAGTATATGTAGGTTCTACACCTGATCCCATTAAGCGACTTCGACAACATAATGGTGATCTTACTCAAGGGGCTTATAAAACAGAAAAACGTAGGCCATGGTATGTAACCAAAAAAAAAAAAAAAAGAACGGTTTTCCCATTCTTGAATATTATATAACTTTTTTTTTTTTATTTTATTCTTATAACAAAAGGGAAATGGTACTTTTTGTTTATGGGTTTCCCAGTCAACAATCTGCATTACAGTTCGAATGGGCTTGGCAACATCCAACAAAGTCAAGGCATACAAAACGACAATGTATTTATGAAACAGCACAAAGTAAACTTGGACCACCTGCTCATGCCAATCTCTATTTCACCAAACTACGCGCTCTCTATGATCTTTTATGCACAAAACCTTTTACTCGTTGGCCACTCAAGATTCATTTTATGACTTTATCACATCAAGTATTATTTTTAACTGAAGCTCCTTCTGGTTGTTTGACTAATTTACCATCACAACTTTATTTATCCAATGGACCGATGCAAGATTTAATCAGTTTTATTGATCCATCTGGTAAAATAATATATACATATATATAAAAATATATAGATGAACTCATGTCTATTTTTAAATCTTAGACAGCGACGATCCTTCTGCAGGGTGGTTTGACGATCTACCCAACGACATTGATTGCCATGTGTGCCGATTAGCCATGAACAAAAAAGTAAGTGATTAAATGACAAATATAGGTTATGTTTACATAATTGGATAGACAAAAAACATTCTAACTACTTTCTATTTTCGGTGTTATGTGGGGATCTTTTTTTTTTTTTTTCTCGCAGGCAACGGACCGATATGTATGCTGTCCTGGCAATTACTCTCAATCATGCATAATGGTGGCTCATCTTACATGTTTAGCCAATTTATTTCTATCGAATGATGTTTCCTGCAATTTAATTCCTGTGGAAGGTCAATGTCCTGCATGTGCTACTCGATTGGTATGGGGCGATTTGATTTACGATATGCAATTACGAAAAATACGATACAATAGTAGTATAGCAAATGATGATAATAACAATGATGAGATCAACAAGGATAATGATGATGGTAGTGGTGGTGCTAACAATCATGACTTGAATGACAATGATACTACATAGGGCAAAATTACTTGATGGGAAAATATCAACAAATAGTGATTCAGTATGGAATACATAGATCATAAACAGTAATGATTCATTCATTTCAACAATGGATAGACAAATGATATCTCGGTTTTAACTTTATTCTTATGATACCCCCGCTCTTCTTTTAGAATAATTTATTTACTCAAATACCTATTTTATTTTATTTTTTTTAATAAAGACGTATCTATATATGATGATGATAATGAATGGAATCAGATGATATCAACAGGGATTTACAGAATGATGATGACACTAATGAACGGATAGGATGCTTACTGTAAAAGGAGTCTACTCCTTTATTTATATTGGGGAATTAGAAAAAAAAAAAAAAAGCTTCTGAATAGAATTTCACCCTATTATTTGAACAATCCAAGGATCAAGTGTAGATGTCATAAAAACCCTTTTTTTGACTTATTATAATTAAGGGTATGAATGACTGTGGCTCGTTTCATGTTCAAAAGAGGAAATTGGACAGGATGATCACCCCAAAAGAAATGAATGACAGGACTTGCAGATATATATATATATATAAAATAGAAGGCTGAAGAGACTTTATTGTGGATTTCTCCTTTTTAGTTTCCCCAGTTTTGAAAGGTAGGATGATATTCATACAGAATATGATGATGGCATGATGCACCAAAAAGGAAATAATTTTGTATTTTATTTTAAGGTTCAGGTGGATGAGGAGAACAAAAAGAACAAAGACCCGAAATAATGGTTCAACATCTTTTTTTTTTTTTTTTTGAATGTGGTTTTTGATGGGATGATATCCGGAGCTATGAGCTTGAAAGGTAATTGGCGTAACGTTTACAAAACAAAAACAAAAAAAAAAAACAATAATATTATTCACGACAACAAAAAAAAAAAAAAAAAAAAGAGATGAAGAATGCAAGAAGAAGATTAATATACTATTTGTTTATTTTTTTTTTTTTTTTGTTGTTAGTTTGCACAAAAATGCAGGATAATCATTAATCAAAACGCACGTTCATTGGAATAATCATCAGCAAAAAAGGATATTACGGCAAGCTGACTAGATGTGGTAATTCCACGGGAGCACATCGTTAGTAATGCAGAAAAAAAAGCTTAAAAAAAATAGAGATGCCAAGGGATCTATTCACTTGCCACTTTAGTTTTTACTGTTCTATCTACTCTTTTTTTTTTTTTATAACATTCGTGGCGTATTCGATCTTCTACATATATAATATACATATACACTTTGAGTTTGAGCGGAGAGAAAAGGAGAAGGGATGTTGAGTCAAAAGACTTCATACTTATTTCACTATATAAATCAAATCATCCTTTCCTTTTTTTTTTCTTTTTTTTTTTTCTTTTCTTTTCTTTGATATCATTCAACATTTCATTATTAAACCGTTCTTGGTTTTCCTTTCATTGTTTTGTTTGAAAGAAAAACTGATTGATAATCATTGGTGTACATGAGTTATCGATGGACCAATGATACGATCGATTCTTCTATTCCATCATCAACAATAAATAAATCAAGATCATCATCATCATCAACATCATCATCATCTTCTTCTTCATCATCATCATCACCATCAGCATCACATCCATCATCATCCGTATCATCACCAACACAATCCTCTCAGCATACTATGCCGATTACTCTGTCAACCAGTTATCCTTCTATTGGTCCATCGTCCTTCTCACAAGAAGAACAACAAATTCATTCAGTGGATTCATCCAATCCATTTCATCATCATCATCAACGTGAAGTTACTGTTGTCATGTCCCATCAGTCAAATCCACATGGTTCAAGAGGGAAAAAAAGAAAAGGGGGATCATCACGCGAAAATGTGAATCAGCATCGAATGGATCAACCCTTTGCCACTACTCAACAACAACAACAGAAAAGATCACTTCCACTGACCAATGATGAATCTCCTGATATTCAAGATATGGAAATGGAACTCGATTTTCTTAAAGGGGAATGTTCTACGATTACCATCATTCTTTCCTCTTTACGTACAGCTTTTTTAAGGGATGGCACTGACACATTCAATAACACGTTTTCAGTATCATCATCATCATCTACATCATCATCTACATCATCATCTCCATCATCTTCATCTCCATCATCTTCAACAGTATCATCACATCAAAAACAACAATTACAACTACAATCTCAACGAAAAGCAGATATGGAAAAGGAAATGAGAGTAGGATATGATGACCTTATGCTACAAGTACGACAATTGGAGAAAAAGGTTTATGCTTTGGAACATAAAATACAACAAATCTCAATGGCTCAAAACAAAAGGTCAAAAGCTTGATTGATTATGATTATTGTTACCATCACTCTCTATATATATTATAGTTATATGAAAGCTCTTTATATGTATATATGTATGGATCATCCTTATAAGGTAAGAAATAAGCTTCATTGACCGGTGATTAAAAAAAAAAAAAAAAGAATCGAAAGAACTTATATTTTCTTCTTATAGTAAAAAAATTACGCACCTATTCGGTATCCTTTATGAATCAATAACAAATCTTTTTTTTTTTTTCTTATCATCATTCTCATTATTGTTATTTATTATTATATCTATTGTTTCTTATGATATTTCTAAATACAGAAATCACTTATGTATATATTACTTTTGAAAATAAAATAAAAAAAAAAAAAAACTTATTCACTGAATGACATGTGACGATTGGCTCTTTGAACGTGGCGTCCACTACTACTACTATGTTGATGCGGAAATTGAATAATTTTATACCCATGTCGTCAAAGTTCTCTCTGAAGTTTGTCTCCCTTCTTATTTTCTTGACGGGGGTAGCTGGTACAAAGTTTTTTTTTTTCTTTCACTTTTTACTTGTTACTGTGCGGGCGGTTTCTGAAAATAGGCCATCCTTTCGTTTACACTTCCCTTTTTTTTTTTTTTCTTCACCAGTCCTGTTTTCTTTCTTTTCTCTCTTTATTTCTTTCTCCACAAATTCACAACCCCCCCACTCTTTGTTTTTTTTTTCTTTTTTTTTTTCTTCTTTTTTTCTTTTTTTTTTCTTTTTGATTCTTGAAGGGCAACCATGTTGAAACTTTTACAATCTACCTCTCCCATGACTGTAAGTTTTATGGATCATAGTTCATTTATATCATATTTGTTTTATTCCATATTTTGAAATTGATTTTTTTTTTTACTGTTTGTTTATCCATTAACTAGGTACGCGCCTCACGTATGTATTAACAATATCAATCCAAAAAAGAAAGAAAAGAAAAAGATAAAACCTAGGAATGATACAAAAAAAAAAAAAAAAAGAAATACTGATTTTTTTTTTTATAAATGATTGAATGAAAATAGGTACAGTCGGTCGTTTGGCTATTCGTGGTCTTCACCATTCCAAACCTTCTATGCAAGTTATGGCTTCTCAACCTTTGAATGCTAAGGAAGCTACTGTAAGTTTATCCTACTATAAAGGTATTGTGTATAAACGTAATCTCATTTTATTTTATTTTTTTTCTATCATAGGGTTCCATTGCTAGTAAATACCCCATCATTGATCATGAATATGATGCTGTTGTTGTTGGTGCTGGTGGTGCTGGTCTTCGTGCTGCTTTTGGTCTTGCTGAAGCTGGTTTGAATACTGCTTGTATTACCAAGTTGTTCCCTACTCGTTCTCACACTGTTGCTGCTCAAGTAAGTTAATATATATATTATATAATCATATACTTACTTTGTATTTTTTTTTTTTTTTATATTTTCTTAGGGTGGTATCAATGCTGCTCTTGGTAATATGACCGAAGATGATTGGAGATGGCATATGTATGATACCGTCAAAGGTTCTGATTGGCTTGGTGATCAAGATGCTATTCATTATATGTGTCGTGAAGCTCCCCATACTGTTTATGAACTTGAAAACTATGGTGTTCCATTCTCTCGAACTGAAGAAGGCAAGATCTATCAACGTGCTTTTGGTGGTCAAAGTTTGAAATTTGGCAAAGGTAAAAAAAAAAAAAAAAAAAAAAAGAAAAAGTGCTCCCCTTTTATAAGTTAGAATCATCAAAACCTTATTGATTCTAAAACTCTTAAATTCTTCCTTTTTTTCTTTATTTTATTTTAGGTGGTCAAGCTTATCGTTGTGCTGCTGTAGCTGATCGTACTGGTCATGCCATCCTTCACACTTTGTATGGTCAATCTCTTCGCCACAACACCAATTACTTTATCGAATATTTCGCTCTTGATTTGATTATGGAAGATGGTGAATGTAAGGGTGTCATTGCTTTGAACATGGAAGATGGTACTCTTCATCGATTCCGTTCTCACAAGACTGTTTTGGCTACTGGTGGTTATGGTCGTGCTTACTTCTCTTGTACTTCCGCTCATACTTGTACTGGTGATGGTAATGCTATGGTTGCCCGTGCTGGTCTCCCTCTTCAAGATCTTGAATTTGTTCAATTCCATCCTACTGGTATCTATGGTGCTGGTTGTTTGATTACTGAAGGTTCTCGTGGTGAAGGTGGTATTTTGATCAACAATGAAGGTGAACGTTTCATGGAACGCTATGCACCCACTGCCAAGGATCTTGCTTCTCGTGATGTGGTGTCTCGTGCTATGACTCTTGAAATCAAGGCTGGTCGTGGTGTTGGTCCTGAAAATGATCATATTTATCTCCAACTTCATCATTTACCTCCTGATGTTCTTCATGAACGTTTACCTGGTATTTCTGAAACTGCCGCTATTTTTGCTGGTGTGGATGTCACCAAGGAACCTATTCCTGTTTTGCCTACTGTCCATTACAACATGGGTGGTATTCCTACTCGTTACACTGGTGAAGTTTTACGTGTTGATGAAAATGGTCAAGATCAAGTGGTACCTGGTTTGTATGCTGCTGGTGAAGCTGCCTGTGTATCTGTACATGGTGCTAATCGTCTCGGTGCCAACTCTTTATTGGACATCGTTGTCTTTGGTCGTGCTGTTGCCCATCACATTGCTGAAAACTTGGAACCTAACACTCCCTTGAAACCCTTCGCTGCTGATGCTGGTGCCAAGACTATTGAAAACCTCGACAATTTACGCAATGCTAATGGTAATAAATCTACTGCTGAAATTCGTCTCAACATGCAAAAGGTGATGCAAGCCGATGCTGCTGTGTTCCGTACTCAAGAAACATTGGATCAAGGTTGTACTAAGATTGATAAGGTCTGGCAATCTTTCAGTGATGTCAAGGTGACTGATCGTGGTATGATCTGGAATACTGATTTGGTGGAAACTTTGGAACTTCAAAACTTGTTGACTTGTGCTTCTCAAACCATGCATGCTGCTGCTGTTCGTACTGAATCTCGTGGTGCTCATGCTCGTGATGATTATCCTGATCGTGATGATGAAAAATGGATGAAACATACCTTGTCCTGGCAAGATCAACAATCTGGTGATGTCAAACTTAGCTATCGTTCTGTCACTGAACATACTTTGGATGAAAATGAATGCAAGGCTGTTCCTCCCTTCGCCCGTGTCTATTAGATGATCCCTCTCTCCAATTCTCTTTTTCTTTTTCTTTTTTTTTTTATATATATATAGTTAATTAGTTTACCTGATTAGCTAGATTGTGATTATATTTTTTTGTTCTCTCTCTCTCTCTTTTTTTTTTTTTTAGTCTTCCATCGTCATTTGTTTTGTTATTATCATTATTTTTTTTTTTAAATACAATCTCTCTCTCTCTCTCCCCTTTATATTCACTATTCATACCGTCTAGTTATATATATATATACACTATATAAGAAGAAAGAAATTAAGATTAAAGAAAAAAAAATATTGATACAATAAAAAAAACCATCATTTTGCCAGTATTTTATTTATGATTTGTCTATGCCGAGAATGATCTTGATAGATGATCGTTGATCTCCAAAATAACTTGTTTCCCTTGGGATCTATGTATCTTGACTCCCATTTCGATGTGTGAAAAGAAGAAATGGAAAATAGTTAGTGTCATGATCATCTAAATATTATTTGTATATGTGCACTTACCAAAAAAAAAAAAAAAGAATCCAAACAGCAAGAAGACAGACAATCAGAGGCACAACAAGACCAAGAATAACGAGGAAACCGAGGAAACAAGAATCAAATCATGTGTTTTTTTATTAAGAGCATAATAATTTTTTCGCTTGACAAGACGGAGTGTTAATACAGGTGAATTCAAATTGTTACGCGTTAAAAATATTTCAATATGCTACTTTCTTTTTCTTTCTTTTTTTCTTTCTTTTTTCAGAAAAATGAATCCTATGACTACAACTGAAAGTTCATCGTTAGAACAACTACCCATTGTTTCTTCAATAGAAAGTAATTCTGGACTCTCTATATCAATGTAAATATAAACCGGAAACAGTTTGAATAATATGAACTAATCTAATATTCTTTTTTTTTTTTCTATCTAGTCATCCACTTGTCTTATTGAATATATCTGATCACTATACTAGAAGTAAACTGCAAAATCCAACAACAGGTAATGATGATAAGAATGATTATAAAGAAGGCAAGATCTGAAACGATATGTTGAGATAATAATATTTGGTTTACATACATTTTTTTTCTTTTCTGTTACAGTTAATATCTACGGTGCATTATTGGCTCAACAATCAGGACGGGATATTGATATTATCCATTCTTTTGAATTTTCTCTACAACAGGATGGAAAAAGCATTGATCAAGTTTATATGTCGACAAAACTCGAACAAAGTAAAATAATAATAATAATAATAATAAAAAAAGAAGTACAATGTATTTTTCTTCTCTGATATAATAATATTTAACCATTTGTTGATTGAATTATTAGTGAAACAAGTATTTCCAGAATTAGACTTTATGGGATGGTACACTACTGGTACAACACCTACAGAATTGGATTTGATAATACATGAACAAGTAAATGAAAGAAGAAGAGGATCATATGGATTCATGAATATCTGATTTTTTTCCCTTCTTTTTATATAGTTTTTATCAAGAAACGAGTCAAGTTTATTTTTACAACTTGATCCAAGTGCGATTACTGGAGAACATCACAAATCGTTACCTGTAGGCATGTATGAATCATTGTACGACACGAATCATGAACTTCACAAGCTGATGTTTGTAAAAACACCTTATAAAATTGAAACTAATGAAGCTGAACGGATTGCTGTGGATCATGTAGCCAAACCAGATATGTCAAGTATAGACTCAAGTCTCGGTAGTTCATGTAAGTATTTTTACTTTTTCATTTTTTTTTTTAACTGATGATTATATTCTTACCTTTTTCTTCTTCTTCTTTATTTCTTTGATTTCATTCTTAGTGGCTTCTTATATGACAACACAAAAAAATGCAGTTATTATGTTACATGCAAGGCTTCAATTTCTTCAAAAATATCTTCAAGATACAAAAACTGGTGCGATACCCACTGATCATGATATTCTTCGACAAATCTCCAGTATATGCTCACGATCGCCTGTTATTGACCAAAGTATTTTTGATGACCAGTTTTCTCGGGTAAAAAGAAAAAAAAAAAAGAAAAGAAAAAGAAGGACAAAATTTTGTTTCTCTTTAGCTCATGCAAACTCTACTTTTTTTTTTTTAGGAATACAATGATGTATTATTGGTCGGTTATTTAGCAAGTATTACAAAGGGAATTAATACAATCAATGATTTAGTGGACAAGTTCAACCTTGCTCATGGAACAACTAATTTACCAAGAACACAACAAGCAGGTTCTTCATCGAATCGAAAAGGACGGGTAAGTTTTTGCTTTTCTGGAAGTGGATGATGATTTTTATTCATGTCATCTCATCATTCTTTTTTTTCTTTTTTTATTTCCTTCTTTAGCGTTCACATGTTGTATGAAACCAATGAAACCTAGTGTACAAAACATTTTGGGTGTATATATATATGTATATGTATGTATGTGTGTGTTTTTTTTTATTATTATCTTGAAATAAACTAGTTTTTTTTTTTTTTTTTGATACTGTATTCTTTTTGTGGTTATTTTTTATTTGAAGTTTATAGTAAATGGTTGGATGATCGTACATATGGAAAAGAATGAATATGAACATTTATGATTATTTTGAAACGCAGCCACTCAATTTTTTTTTCTTTTTTGTCAAATGATGCACACTAAAATCGCCAACTTTTTTTTTTCTTTATTTATTATTACTTTTACATGAATACCCCATCAAAAACATATAGTTTATATCAGCAGAATAATAGTGCTAGGTCAAGATCACACTCACCTTTAACAGGACATTCATTTATCTGTCGACAAGATAGTGACATATCTTTATATAAAACATTAGAAGATCAAGCAAAGAAATCAGATGACGATAGTTTACTTGATGAGCAATGGACTCGAAAACAGTGGGAAGCTTTAGAATATTGGTACGATAAGATGGATCGACATTGTCAACGAGCATCAAGTAGTTTTTACAAACATGATAATATCTTATCTGATAAAGGAACACCTCTTTGGTCGAAGGAATATATTTTATGGCGATGTCAATGTTTAGATACCAATACAAAATATCATCATGGTGTTTTACCTAGTGAAAGAAAACGACGAAAGAACTTGTTAAAATCAAGTAAAAAACAAGATCATCTCTTAAAACGTCAACGTAGTATACAAAAATATAAACGAATGGATCATCAACAACTAGATATTATGAAACAAGATTATCTTACAATAAATAAAAATCATGATGATGATAGTTTAGCTAATAGATTAGGCATTCATAGTAATAATAATAATAATAATAATGAATAATAAACAATCATTATTTTTTTTTTTTGGTTTTTGGATATGTATGAATTCGGAAGGATCTTCCAATTGGTAAACAGCAAGCGGAGTATTTGTTACTGGCAGTGTTCTCAACAACCAAAAAAAAAAAAAGTGCCTTTTTTTTTATCTTCTTCTTTTTCTGTTTTCTACATTTTTTTTATTTTTATTTTATATACATCTTTTTCTTTTTCTTTTTTTTTTTTTGATTACTTTGTATTATTATTTATTTGAACTTGTAATTAAACAAGTTTCATTCTAAAGTAGTGGTCATGAATTTGAACAATTTAGATCTTGACTCTGTAAAGATCAATGGCTATACTTTGGATTCTTTTTCACCTCTTGAAAAGGATAGTGATCAAGTATTAGTTGCTTATGGTGAAAGGTAAAATAAAAATAAAAATGAATATATAAATTATTTAATAATAACTTTAATTTTATAATATATAGAACTCGAGACCATCTTCCAGTTGTAGCAAAATTATCATATCAAGGACTTCGTTTGGAAAGAGAATATCATATTGCTCAAAGACTTTATCGATTACCAGAAGCAGATCAACTTTTAAGTCAACCTTTAGAAAAAGTGAATTTACCACAAGGTCTTATTGCAATCATCTTTAGATATGAAGGTAATAACTTTTTTTTCAAAAAGAAAAAAAAAAAAAAAAAAAAAAGAGAGAAAGGAAATGGTGAGACAGTGATGGTGTGACATTGAAAAAAAAAATTGACATTTGTTTTTTCTTTGTATCACTTTTATTATTATTATAAGGTACCAATCGACTTGATAACTGTCAACCCAATGATTTATATTCTGATCAATCTACAGAAGAATCTACTTTGATATCATTATCATCAACATCATCACCTTGTTTGGAACTAGAATCTTTCTTGGAATTTGCTATTCAATGTTGTGATTGTTTGGAATTTATTCATAAACATCAAAGTAAGTTTTTTTTTTCTTTTAGTAAATTATGGAACATTCCTTTTTTATATATATATATAATATTTATTTTATTTCACCTTTTTTTTTTTTTTTTTTTAAAAAGTTGTTCATGGTGAAATCAAACTCAATGCATTCTTATGGCCTGAAAAGAGTACAGTCAAATTATGGAATTTTGGGTCGGGATCTCGAAGCTTGGAAACAAATCTTACTTCAGAAGGTTGGAGAAAAACAGTCCATCGTCATGGTGCTTGCAACTTTTTACAAATGCTTATGTATATGTCACCTGAACAAACTGGTCGTACTACTTTTCAACCAGATCATCGTACTGATCTTTATAGTATTGGTATTACTTTTTATGTCATCTTGACTCAATCTTTACCATTTGTCCATAATAGTCCTATGGAAATTGTACACAATGTTATGAATAGAAGATTATCTGCTGTTCATGAAATACGTCCGGATCTTCCTATGGTTTTATCTGCAATCATTGATAAACTCACAAATAAGGTAGAATTTATTATATACTCCGCTTTATAAGGAAAAAAATAATAATTAATCATTTTTATATATATATATATATATAGTCTCCAGATGAAAGATATACAAGTGCTCATGGATTACGTGAAGATTTAAAAGAAATCAAAAGACAATTAGATGCAACAAATGATCCTCAGGTAATATATATATATTACATTTATTATGGATTTAATTGATTCTTATTTTTTTTTATTTATTAGTCTATTTCTCCATTCAATCTTGGAAAATATGATATTGCAAGTGTATTTACTTTACCCAATGGATGTTTTGGTCGAAGACGTGAAGTGGATTTTGTTACTGGAATTGTACGAAAAACTGCTTATTTATATGGACGAAATATGCGAAATCATTCATCACGATACAATAATCTCAAAACTATCCTTACTCCACTCAATACAAGTGATACAACAACAATCATAGAAGGATCTTCAAATAGAATTAATAATGGAATGAATGCTCGTGGTCAACATCGAAGACAAAATATCAATGCTGCAAGATGGAAAAAACCAACAGAAATGGTAGCTATTTATGGTGATTCTGGTGTGGGCAAATCAACATTAGTCAAAAGTATACAACAAGCTGCTCGAGAATATGGATATATCGCTATCGCCAAATTTGATACTCGACAACCAACTCCTTATGGATGTATTCTACGATGTCTTTCCATATTTTTCAAAAACATTCTTGGTGAATCACAAGCTGAATTTGATAGATTTTCAAGTATGTTGAAAACTCAATTAGGCCCTCAAGCTTCTAAAGAACTACCAACTTTACTCTTGGACAATGTACCTGAAATACGCGCTTTTTTAGGTGAACCTGAAGATGGTGTAGATCCTGATCTTGGAAATGAAATTGGTGGAAATGAAATCAAGATGCGTTTTCATTCGGCTTTTCTAGAAATATTTCAAGTCATGGTTAATTATAAATTTGTTACTTTGGTAAGTAAAAAAAAAAAAAGAAAAAAAAAAAAAGAAATTAGAAACATTCTTGATTGATTATCTTCCATATTTTTTTTTTTTTTTGTACATCTAGTTTCTGGAAGATCTACATCAAGCAGGTAATTAAGATACAAAAATACTTTTTTATCCGAATGATTGGTACCAGGTTACACACGATACTGACTTTTTTCTGACTTTCCCTTATAATTTCTGTTTTTGTCATGTAGATGAGGCGTCGATTGAATTATTGGACTCTTTGATTGCAGCCCGTCTAGACCTTTTAGTGATTGTGACTTATCGAACGGCTGAACATCAAAGTATGATATCAACACTTTTAAGCAACGATCATTCAGTAGTCAATTATGTAAAGTTGGAAAATATGGATCAAAATGCTCTTATGGATTTGGTACGGACGACAATGCATAGACACAAGGAAATCGATCTAGTATTACTCACTCCTTTGGTCGACTTTATCACAAAGAAAACAAAAGGAAATCCATTCTATGCATGTCAATTATTAACAACACTAGAAAAGAAAGGTTTGATCTACTTTACTTGGGAACAATCTCGATGGGAATACAATTTACAAGAAATCGAAAAGGCTTTACAATATGAATCCGTAGAAACAAGCGATGATATCAATATTGAATTCTTGGTACGACGGTTACGTGAACTACCTGCTGATGGTCAACGATTCTTGAAATGGGCAGCTTTTATTGGTGACAAGTTCTCTTATGAAACTGTGAGACATTTGATGATGGATACAACAACAAAGGATACATTTTCTGATGCAGAGACTGATATTGAAGAAGATATTACTACTCCTATTACACCTAACAAACTCGGCAATCAATTGAATGGAAGACCAACATCAGATGCTATCAATGGACTTCAATCGGCATTACAGCAAGGATTCATTCACGCAGCTTCCAATGATGAATTTGGTTTTAGTCATGATCGATATTCACAAGCAGCAATGTTACTCTCCAAACCAGAAAAACGTGACAAGATTCATCTCAAAATTGCTACTTATTTTATGGATGATCCCGAAGTAGATACATTCTGGGTAGCCGATCATCTCAAGGCAGCTTTACACTTGATTCAACTCTTCGACAACAAATCAAAACATCGTGCTATTCTTATCAGAGCTGGCGATCGTGCATACAATTCTGGCGCTCACAGTTTGGCCTTTTCCTATTACTCTGCTGGAAAAGATTTATTACCGACAGATCCGTGGAATGATGGACCTGATGGGTCTTATCAAGAAACTTTGCATTTATATACCCAATTGGCGGAAATCAGTTGGTTCATGGGCTATGATTTGACACAACCTCTTTTAACAACCATTCTTCAGAATGCCAAATCCGCTATTGATCGTGCTGCTGCTTATCGACTACAACATCGACATCAATGGTCTAGTCAGAATATGCAAGGTCGTGCCTATATTTTGATGAAATGTCTCCGTGAATTAGGTGCCAACAATGTCTCCTTGGATTTGACTGATATGGAATTACAACAACTCTATCAAGATACCCATGATGAAGTCTTAGAAATGGGATTGGACAACATCTTCAAATTACCTGTATGTGAAAATCATTTGATTCGTACTCGTTTGTCTATCATGGAAGAAATGTAAGTTTATAAATAAAATGAAATAAAATTGTTGTCTCTTGATTTCTTATTCTTTTTTTTTTTTTTTTTAATAGGTGTATTTGGGGCTATTGGATGAATGATATCAGATCCGTAATGGCTGTTAGTTTATTATTGGTGAAGAAAACGTTTGATCAAGGTACAATCAGTCCATCTACCGGTGTAGGACTTGTTTTTTATGGTATGGCAGCCATGGTACTTTATAAGGATTATGAATTTGGACAAAAAGTGGGCCAAGTTGGCGTGACACTTTGTAACAAGTATGGTGGTAACTCTGAATGTGCTAGGGCGAAACATATGTATGGGGCATATCTTAGTATTTGGAAAGGACATTATCGTGATGCAATGCCAATGTTTCATCAAGCACTCAAACAAGCTTTATTAGGTGGTGATCGGATCTCAGCGACCTTTTCTCATCTTCATATGACAATAGGAATGCTTTTTGGAGGTGAACCTTTATCAGATACTTTACGAGAAGCCAAGATGTGTTTGGATGAAGTGGATGGTTGGAACAAGACGAACGGAACTTCAGTGATGGCAATGACAACTATTCGAGCAGTATTAGCATTACAAGGAAAAACGAAATTGACACAAGATGCTATCTTTGATGATAATAGCTTCAATGAAACTGAATACTTGAACAAGATTGACAAACAAATCAAATCGACTGTACTTCCTATGTATTGGTTCTATGGCATGAAACTGATTATCTTGATGATCTTTGGTTTTCATGAAAATGCTGTTTTGATTGGTCATCAGTATGTGGCCGTAGCTGTTGAACAACCTTCTTTCCGTCATACTCATTGGATGATCTTTTTTTATTGTGTGGCTATGGTACGTTGGATACGTCAAGATCAAAACAAGGATGCCGAATTTAGACCTCTCATCATGCAATACAGAAAAAAATTAGAGGAATGGGCAATGCACTCGTAAGTCCAGATAAAAAAAAAATTGTCATTTATATATAATATATATATATTTTTTTTTTGAATTAGAAAAATTAATCTTCAAATGTTTGTTACTATGATTGTAAGTAAACGATCAATGAAAAATATGATTATATTAATACTGATTTTTTTTCTCTCTCTATATTATACTAGGATGCTGAATTATCATCTCTTTCCGAAAAGGATATCCGAATAACTGAACAATTATATGACCAAGCCATTGATGAAGCCAAAGCTGGAAATTGGCTAATTGAAACAAATGTCATGTACGAATTTGCAGGCGAATACTATATGCGAAATGGATCTCGGCACGTAGCTGCTCTCTTATTGGAAAAGGCTATCACTGGATATCGACATCAGGGATGTTATGGAAAAGCTAATCAATTGGCGCAAACTATGAAGAATGTATTTGGAACAAGAAATGATAATCCATCAAACTCAAGTTATACCAATGGGGATGAACGAACAATGATGGCAAAATCGATTCAAGTACAAACAGAACCTTTATCATCATCATCATCGTTACCGAATCGTGATTCTGTTAGTGATTTTAGTCTGGCTGAACAATTCCTACATACTGATATTTCCAATCAAGAAGCAACACCTGAAGAAACTTTATTGGCATTGGATGTAGTGGACCTGGCGTCTATTCTGAAGAGCTCTCAAGTTATTTCTAGTGAAATGAATTTTGAACTTTTGATGAAACAAATGTTACAGGTATTTTTTTATTTTGTTATATATATATATTAGAGTGACATGGAGATAATGATGACAATTTTTTTAATGATGTTTTATATGTAGATCATTTTGGAAAATTCAGGTGCAGAATCAGGTGTGATTATTATCAAGGAAAATAGCTCTTTTTTGATTATGGGAACTGGTTCACAAACTGAAGGTAAAAATAATAATAATAATAATAAATAAATCACGTTAAACAAAATATGATATTAATTCGGTTTTTTTTTTTTTTTTTTTTTTTTTTTTTTTTTTTTTTTTAGGTTGTAGGATACTGAAGAAACCCAAGGCCTTGTCTGAAGAAGCTGATTCAGTAGTGACCCGTGTAACTCGTTATGCCATACATGCTCAAGAATCTCTATTGATATCTGATATCCAACAAGACTCCCGATTCTCTGATTGTGAAACTAGTGCGAAATCTGTCATCTGTACTCCTATTACTCATAAAAGTGCTATTGTTGGTTGTATTTATATTGAAGGTGGGGTTGGTTCTCTTACTTTCCGTCATGAAGTGGTTCTCCGACTTTTGTCTCAACAAGTGGGCATCAGTGTAACCAACGCTCTTTTATTCAAAAGCATTCAAAAGGTAACATATGCTAATGTCAAGATGATCGAAAATCAAAAGGCGGCTCTGGAAGAAGCAAGGAAAAGCAAAGAAGCGGCTTTGAGGGCGATGAAACTCAAGGCAGACTTTTTGGCCAATATGTCTCATGAATTACGGACTCCTTTCTCTGGTTTTTATGGCATGATCTCTCTTTTATCGGAAACCTCTTTGGATGGTGAACAATTGGATATCGTTCATACTGCAAAAGAAAGTTGTGAAATGTTACTTAAAATTATTGGTAATTGATAGAAAAGAAAGAAAAGAAAAAAAAAAAAAAAAAAAAGAGAGAATTTATATGATTTTTTTTCTTTTTCTAGATGATCTTTTGAATTTTTCAAAATTGGAAGCTGGAAAAGTATCATTGGATCTGGGACCATTAGTGGTGGAAGAAGTGATTGCTGATACAATTGAAATTCTAAGCTCTCTAGCCGCACGCAAAGGACTAGAACTGGCATATATTGTTGATCAAAATGTACCAAAGACAGTCATTGGTGATTCTTCAAGACTTCGACAAATTTTGACTAATCTATTGGGAAATGCTATCAAGTTCACACATCAAGGTGGTGTAGTCATTCGGTGTCATTTAGTAGAAGAAGTACGAGCTGATGATTTGATTCAATTGAAATTTGAAGTGATTGATACTGGCATTGGTATTCGACCTGAACAACAACGTAATCTTTTTGAACCGTTTTCTCAAGTGGATGGTAGTACTACAAGGATGTATGGTGGAACTGGTCTTGGTCTCTCTATCTGTTTACAATTGGTACGACTGATGATGGGAACGATGAATGTGGAATCTCAACCCAACTGTGGCTCCAACTTTTGGTTTTCGATCGTGGTAGAAAAGAACAAGAAGAGTACAACATTTGAAAGTTGTGCTAACCTGGTGTCTCAACTTTCACGATACAATATTTTATTGGCAACATATCATGATCATACTTCAACAATGGTCAAATCCCTACTACCAGAATTGAAAGTCAATCGAACGTCTGATGTTCAACATGCAGTATCCCGAGCACTTCAAGATCAACATGATATTTTACTTTTGGACATACCACCAACACCTAACAGTTTTATAGCCCAACAATTACAAAGTGTAGATGATGACCCTGAATGTGAACTTCATATTATTCTTTTATATGCACCAGCAACTGAAGGACACAAAGTAGCGGCAGAAGCTATCAACGGTGCTTCTGATCGACGAGGACGAACAGTGAAAATGGCAAAACCTGCTCGACGTGCAAAACTCTTACGAATGTTGGAACAATTAGTGGAGCATCCAAGACACAGTTCCCTACTTTTACAACAATCTGATCAACAACATCAACAACAACAGCAACAACAACAACAACAACAACTACAGCATCTTTATTCTAGATCTACAACACCACAACAAGGATCTCGAATCAGTGATTATTCCAACATGGATGAATTGGCCTATTTCAAGGAACGACCGGTATTGATTGCTGAAGATAACATGGTGGCTCAAAAATTACTTCGCAAGCAATTAGAAAAAATGGGATTTGAGGTGGAAAGTGCCAATAATGGGGAAGAGGCCGTACGACTTTATCAAGAGAGACCTGCAGATCATTTTTCAGTTGGTTTCTTTGATCATCATATGCCAAAAGTAAGTATCATAAAAAAAAAAAAGGATAGAATACAAAAATGATTTATTGTATTGACAACGATATAATAATAGTGTGATGGTGTCGAAGCAACGAAGCGTATTCGTGCACTAGAATCAAATGGAACTGGACGACTTCCAATTATTGCTTTGACAGCCGATGTCCAACTTTCAGCTAGGGAAATCTGCATGAATGCGAAAATGGATGGATACTTGACCAAACCTCTCATCACTAAAGATCTTGTCTCGACATTACGTGATTTGAACCCAACCATCGATACCAAAGCAGAAATGGAACCATTATCCCCATTGTCATCCTCTTTATTGACGAACAACTCCACTGGATCAACAATCATGGATACGGCTATAACGACAACTCCATCTTCATCACCTACAATTAGTACTCCAAACAACTTTGTTGCCTGCTCTCCCTTCAAGACACTTCTCACTGACCCAGCGCATACTGATTTGGTCAAGCACAATCTATGATGAACTTATCGCTCATATACACCCATATACATTCATATACATATTCACATACTTACATGCATACATACATTCTCATACATCAATAGCAGTCTCCATTCATTCTGTATAAAATTTTCACTTTTAGATTATTTGTATATTTCTCCATTCTTTTTTTTTCTTTTCATTTCTACCATAAATTTTTTTTTGTTTTATTTTTTTAACTTCTTGTTGTGTTCTCACATGATTATTTCATGCAATTTGATGATGACGCTACTGTATCAATGATGATTAGGAATGATCAAGCTCGTAGACAATCAATTGATAATTAATTGACAATGAGAATTGATGATGAGCTCTTATCCATGTTAATCGATGATGGTTTTAGTTGAAAGCCTTCTTCTTTTTTTTTTTTTTTGCTGGTCTGCGTTCTCTGACTGTTATTGTATTACCATCATATGTCAGACTGAAGATCTCAAGTCAGTGTCACACTACAAAAAAAAAAAAAAAAAAAAAAAAAAAAAAGAAAGAAAAACCAAAATATTTATTGAACAAGTATATTCTACGTTACAAATCTAATGATGGGAGTAACTAGAGGGCGGGTTGGGGGGATAACCAGAAGATGGATTGGGTGGATAACCAGAGGGTGGGTAACCAGAAGATGTGTTAGGAGGGTAACCAGCAGATGGATTGGGAGGATAACCAGAATGATTTGGAGGATAGCTATGGCCAAGTGGAGCAGACGGGTTAGGATATGGTGGTTGTTGTTGACCAGAGAAAGAAAAAGTAGAGTTTCGTTGAGGTTCAGGGAAATTGACACCATTGGAAGATCCAGGTGGAGGGTAAGATGCCATGACTGGAGTGGTAAAATTACCATATTGAGCTGGTGGACCTTGAGGTGGATAAGGTTGATGATGAGACTGACCTTGTGGTGTTGGATGGTGATGAGAAGTAGTAGGAGGATATCCTAGAAAGGGTATAAAAAAAAATAAAACAAAAAAAAAAAAGATTAAACAATATAAATAAATTATATATACATATATCAAAAAAAAAAAAAAAAAATAGGCTATTTCTATTCAATCTCTCTCTCTCTTTTTTTTTTTATTTTTATTTTTATTATTTTTTTTAAAAATGATTACCTTGATTGACTTGACCACCTTGCGAATTCTGAGGAGAATGACCTGGTCGGAAAGGTTGAGACAATAAAGGTTGGGTTGCTCCTGAGTTTGGAGGAGGATAATATGAGTTATTGTTGTTTCCAGGTTGTTGCTGTTGTTGTTGATGATGTTGTTGCAAATATTGTTGAGGAGGACGTTGAACTGAAGGATAACCTGTACTGGTTGAAGTAGATGGAGTAGGAGTCAAAGAAGGTGGCATATGAGGAGTTGCTGAATGTTGTACAGATTGAACTGGTTGGGCTGGGGTGTAAGGCGCAGGAAATACATTGTTATATCTGGCTGGAGTAGATGTTGAAGCAGATGGCGCAGGAGGAAGAGGTCGACCTGTTGTACCAGAATAATTGCTAGGACTAGGTACTGGAGGTACACCTTGATATGATTGAGGACGCATACCAGCACGATATCTTGTAGGTTGACGACGAGGTGGTGGACGCTTATTATACAAATTAAAGTAAGTATATGAAATATATTTTCTCTTGTACGTTATCTTTCCTTTTTTTTTTCAATACTTACAGCAGAATAAAAAGTCAATTCTAAATAAATTTCACCAGCCTTACGCCCCTTATATGTTAAAGGAAACCATCCTAAAAATAATAGCAAATTAGTTTACTGTTATGTCGTAATATACATTTTTTTTTTCATTACCATCTTGTTCGCCTTCTTTGATTACTGTTGAAATATCAATATCAGCTTCTGATATCAAATCTTCACGTTTAGCATCTTCATCAAAAAGTTGAACGCGCATCTTGACTTTGCCTTCTGGTACTATCAAATTGACCTATTATTAACTGTTAGAAAAAGTGTTTCATATTTGACCTTTTTTTTTTTTTTTTAAAAAAAAAACTTACTTGGTCATCCCATACAGGATGTTGTCCACCTCTATAGTCAGTTTTTGTCTTTTTAGCCTCTTCTCCTAATCTAAATACACAAAAAGGATCTTGTTTCCCTACAATCTAATATATATATATGTATATATATATAATAGTAGAGTTGATAAAAAAAAAAAAAAAGAATGAGAGAAAGACCAAAAAAAAAAAAAAAGATGATATATTATAAGGAACGGTACCTCTCGATTGGGAAGATCTTTCTAAAAGAATAATAATATATTAATATCGAGTATTTAATAAAATTATTTCATAATTATTTACCGCTTTCAATGCAACAACAGCTAGTTCACCGATAGTTTTAGCTTGTGTCATGATGAAGAAACAAAAAAAAAAGAAAAATATATGAAAAATTCTATATGAAAATGGACTCGGAGTTTGATTGATCGTTACTATATACAAAAAGAAAAAAAGTAGGCATTTGCAAATGGTATTACTTATAGACTATTGCAAAACTTAAAATTGACAAATAAAGATAGTTTATTTACATATAAATAAGAAAAATGATGTCGTCAGTGGCGTAACCTTGTACTTAATGGGAATAATAATGTATATGATCATGAACAAAAGAAAAAAGGCTCAAAAGAGTTACCTAAATAAGGGGTTGCATTAGCATCAATGAACCAATCATTGTTAAAAATTCTCAATTTCACTCACCATTTTTTTTTTATTCCCACTGATTTTTTTTTTTCTTCTTTTTCTCCTTTTTTTTTTTTTTTTTTTTTTTCTATTATTATTTTTTTTAATTTTGTTTCGCTTATACAAATAATATTCTCTTTCAACTTCTTTTTTTTTTTTTTTTTTTTTTGTTTTTCTTTTTTACTTTCAATGACAAACGAATGGATCAAGTAGTTAAAGGGATTTCAGACTGTACTCAGTTATTACCTTCATACGATCTGAATCCTGCAGCTGCCAACGATAATTCAATACGCGACTTGTCAAAGGAAGACTCGTCATCTCAAGTTTATACTATGACAGCAAATACTATCAAACAACCAACAACAATGGCTACAAATAACAATAATACTCTTGTTTATCAATCAGTACCAAAGTATCAAAGTAGTTCTTCTACTAGTAGTACAAATGGGAAAGTTACAAAGTCAAAACGTACAAGTTGGATTGATGCAAATACACAACCAAGTTGTTTATCAAGTCATTCTGAACGATTCTCAACACATCAACGAACATCGTCTATACCAGATATTAAACCTTCAAAAATTGGTCATAATAATTCTCTTGTCAATACTATGCACAAATCAGGTTCTCTCTCCAAACTCCGTAGCCAACGACTTTCTTCTGTGGATCAACAAGTACCACCATCCTCTTGGACAACTGATACATCGATGCGACTTGCTTCTATTCCTAAACATCGACAACAATCATTACATATCACTGCCTCTTCATCATCCGAATCATCTCCTCGATATCGAACTTCCTCTGTATCTTCCATTACAACTGATTCAAGTCTACCATTTGATGATTATGACCAATCTCCTTGTTCCTCATCTACTTCATATCAACCATCATCTTCTGTTAGTCCCATTATATATACTAATCAAGGAAAAGGTAAACTCAAAAAAAAAAAAAAAAGGATCGTAAATCTCATACTTTATATTTAATAGGAAAATCTCCATTTCTGCATCATGAAAGTATGTCTAGATCATCTTCACCTTCAAGTTGGGATTCATCTACTCGATACAACAACAACAACAACAAAACACGATCATCAATGAATATACTGAAAAATATTCCAAGTACTGAACTTGCCAATATCGTCAATGGATACTCTGGGCGCAACATGAGTGATATCACTGCAAATATACCCTCTTCACAGTCAACTTCAACATTAACAGCTCAATCTCTTGATCCTTCTAGTATGAATGGAATACCGGCCTATCAACATTCACTTCATTCATTTTTCAAACGTCAGTTATCAGCGTCTAACAGTACTGATTCGACAAGAACGAAAATGGATACCACCAATAAGGACATAGTCGCAATCGATCTGGAAAACAACAAAGGAAACAATTGGACAACAACAAACAATGATTATGGTACTGATACACACTCCACAGCCGTTTATCCTGCTTATTTTCTTGGTGAATGGGATCTTACAAGTGATTTGGAAATGTCAACATCAAGAAAACAATCCCTCTTTGTCAACGATTTTGGTTTGGGTCGCACTTCTGCTCCGGAACTTACTGGCTATGATGACTCTTTGGAATACTTTGATTTGCCTCGTATGGAATTCGACAAAGGTAACAAAAAAAAAAAAAAAAAAAAAAGAACCATCACTCAGAGAGATTAATTATTTCCTCTTGTTACGACGTAGATGTTGGTATTCCCTCTTCATCTTTACCATCCAGTACAAACGACATGGACAAATACAATGATCATTTATACTTATCTCGGTTATGGAAAATCAAGAAATGGTGTATCTTTAGACAAAACGATATACAACAAACTGTAGATGTATTTGTCCGGCAAGGATTGTGTACTGAAGAATTCCTTAGGCCACTGATGAAGCTACCCTCTGCGAAAATCATGGACGATAAAAGCTTGGTTAATTCTTTCCCTTGGACAAACTGGAATGATGAACATTCTTCTTTGAAAAATGATCAATTGAACAAAACCAATCAGCAATCCATCAATAAATCCACATATCGACAACACACGACAAAGAAAACGCGTCCAAAATACAACTTGTCATTGGATCTTCAAAATATTTCAGCAATATCGTATTCACAGCATCCTTTGGATACATCAATATCATCATCATATGGTCGGCCAGCATCACCTACATCTGCAGATGACTCGTCATTATCTCACTATCTACCATCTACATCTCAACAAAGTATCACTCACGTGGACACTGGCGCAACCTGTTCTGCACATCATCCTCTTTTTGTAGATGATACAGTAGCTGTTGGTTATTCATTTCAAGACAATGGAAACAGAATGGGTACTTTTGGACGTCTTGGAAAAATTCTGACTGGAAACTCGACAATACGTGGCAAATCGTCTACATCATCTTCTGTTCGTACTAGACATACTATCAAGACTCGATTACAATCTGCTAAAAGTGCTTGCAATGAAGAACTTCGTTTGATCTTGGATGGTCTTAATGAATACGTGGAACAAGGTTTGGAACAAGGATTAACTTCTGATCGACATGACGACAACATTGATCAAAACATTGAAACCAAGTACAATTCAAAGGAATCCAGCAGAAACAATAGTATGGAATTTGTCAAAACTCTTCCATTGAACATTCATACAAAGTCTCATCATGCCTCTCACCGCTCTTCCACTGATGGTTTATCTTCGTCAATACATAGTTATTGCTCATCACCTAGCACTGAATTACCACCACTCTCATCTTCTTCGTTCACTTCATCCAGTACTTTCAACAGCAACAACAACAACAACAACAACAACAACAACAACAACAACAATAATAATAGTATTAGCAACAATGGTATTCATATACGACGTCGTAGTCTCGCCATGAAATTACAAAATATTGAAGAACAAGTTGAATTCAATGCACTTCAATCTAGTACAAGTCAACAAACATCCACGCCTAGTGATGAACGATACCTTAAACAGATGATGAAATTATCTCACAAAATAGTCGATCTACCTTTTGTGCAACAACAACCTCCTGCTGACCTGCTAGCAACATCACATCCAATGCCATCACGTTATGCTGGGATTTCCGAAGACACATACTTACCCACGCCATTTATCCTGGCATTACAAGATCTTATTGGCCTAGCTCAAAATGTTTTGGATACACCTTTGGATATCTATTTAGACAATATAGGTGTTTGTGCTTCTGTGGTATCTCAAATTCAGATTATTGGTTCTCGTTGGGATAAACATACGGAATGGCCATGCCGAGAATGGTATGTACGACTTTTACTCTGTGTAGCTGCCTTGAATCGTGTGATTGAATGGTGGGAAGCTGAACGTGGTTTCTGGTATTCAAGTACTACTCCCACTGGAAATACAGGAACAAACAGTTTTTACTCTAATAGAAGAAGAATATCTTCAACAACTGATGAATACACTAGTGGTGGTGCCATTGATACTGATAGCACGGAAGATATGGATTTTATACAATACCCTCGATGTCGTAATATCAGTGAAACAGAAAGTGCTTGGAGTTGTATGGAATCTCAAGATGAAACAGCATCTCATATGGATTATCTCGACAATTCATCCGATAGCAATAACACAAGTGGAAACACTCTATTACAGCAAGCCGTCAAGCGTAGTCAAAGTAATACAATCGTGATGGAATTGACCCTTGAAACAAACATGGTACAATATCTAAGTCCTGTATGGCAACAACTCTTTGGGTAATATCAAAAATATACATTTATATATGTTGTTTATCAATGCCTTACCTTTTTTTTTTTTTTTTTTTTTTTTTCTTTAGATCGGATTTACAAACAGTAGTTGGTAATGATATATCTGAATTACTTGCTCCTGATGATCGACATGTTTTCTCATCGGCTACTACCTCCCTGCTTGAAGACACTACGCGTATCGTCGATATACAATTCAACATCAATGTTCAACAGAAAGATGTATTGATGATATCAATGGAAGGAAAAGGCATGATCATGTATAATCGTGTTACTGGCGAACCGAATCACACAATGTGGGTACTCAAACCTTTATCTCTGAACAGTATGGATACAACAACAACAACAACAAGTATCAAACAGAAATCAATTTGCTCCTCATCTACATCTCAAGAAACAACTATTCCAATACAATCATCAACAATAGAGCAGCAACAACAGTACTTTTTACAACATGATGACAACATTTATTCTTTCCTTGAACAGGATAGTTCTCCAGTGGTACGAATGCGATCTATTTCAGAGCCAATGACAGCAACAGCAATTCAAAGTGAAACCAATGATCAACGTGATGACAACCAGCAACATCTCAATATAAAATCAACAGCTATGCGAAGGGCTATATCTCAAGGTGGTGTACCGATGATCGACTATACAGTATCTCCTGCATCTCTAATGTCCTTGCCTCCGGTGTTATGTCGTGTGTGTGAAAGACTAGTGGTGGCAGCATTTTTTGAACAACATTCTGAATTATGTGTGGAAGAACATCGCACGGAAATGGATGTCATTATTTGCAACGACAGCTTACGCGAACTGAAACTATTGGTACTAGGACTGATTGAAAAGTCTCGACTTGACAATAACAACACTATTCAAAATCAAGAAAAAGGAACCATTGATTTTGCTGATGATGTATCTTTATGTTGGCCATTATCTATGGAATTGGAACATGATGAAAATGTACTATTGGATGGAAATTTACCGATGGATGATTCTTGTAACAACACTGAAGAACAAAGATTGAATGATATGGCAATAGGCAAGGAATTACTGGATATTTTGGAAGTGGCTCTCTCTATTCCAACACCCAACAGTCAAGCTGATACTAGGAACAAAGATAATGTTGACCAAGATCTGATGACATTGACAAAGTCAAACATGGTACAAATACTTTATTGGCGACCTTCTCCTACCGATAACCCGTCCTATCAATCTCTTATTCATGATATTCAACATGTCACTAAAACAAAAGTGGATTCTGTTAATCGTATGCGTGATCGGCTAGAATACAATAGACGTCTACGGATGGATTTTGAACGAAATATGCAACAAGAAAAAGGTTGGACGGAATACGTGGAAGACAAGAACCAAAATCAAGAAGAGAAAGGATCGTTTTTTGATAATAGCAACAACAACAACGACAATGGCAACAACCATGTAGATCAAGTTTGTGCAGATCCTCTTACTGATGATGGAATACACCCAAAAGCCAAGGTACCAGTTTCAGAACAACCCAGGAAATCATTTTTAGGTCGATGGAAGAGTTGGAAAAACAAGCGCACCTCTGATATGTCACGTTTCGCTCGTCGACGGAAACGAAAAGCTCATTCTCTTGCAGTACAACCTCGTATTATGGAAATGGAAACAATAGACACCCCATTAGCTTCACCAGGCATGCACCCGAAATACCATCATCTCGCCCTAAACGACAACAACGTCAATGACAATAATAATAAAGATCCAACCTTGTCTGATTCTATACAAATTGCAAAAAACCAAGTACAAACAACTTTATCCACTTTGACGACTTTACCAACTTTATCTCATCGATCTACTCAGCCAACCATCAAGGATTATGATATTATTAAACCTATTAGTAAAGGCGCATTTGGATCGGTATTTCTCGCAAAGAAGCGTTTGACAGGCGACTATTATGCTATCAAGTTTTTGAAAAAGTCGGATATGATTGCCAAAAATCAAGTTACCAATGTCAAGGCTGAAAGGATGATTCTCATGACACAAACAGACAGTCCATTTGTTACCAAGCTCTATTACACTTTTCAATCAAAGGATTATCTTTACCTCGTTTTGGAATATCTCAATGGTGGTGATTGCTCAGCTTTGATCAAGGCCATGGATCGTTTACCAGAAGATTGGGCTCGTAACTATTTGGCTGAAGTGACACTTGGACTGACTTATCTCTATCATCGAAATATTATTCACAGGTATGACTCGAATGACAAAAAAAAAAAAAGAAATAATAATAATAATAAAAAAAAAATAAAATAAAAAAAAAAGGGTGTCTTCCATGTTACTTATCTTTTTTTTTTTTTTGTTCCTAGGGATCTCAAACCAGATAATCTTTTGATCGACCAAAATGGACACTTAAAACTCACTGATTTTGGTTTGTCAAGGATCGGCTTCTTGGATCGACGTGTTCGTGATGAACTTGGATATGTCCCGTTATGTAATAAACGTGCACCATCACCTACTTCACCTGCACCATCCCGATCAAACACACCACCATACATTGGATCACCATCAGTATCAATCAAATCGACTTTTTCACCTGTCTTTTCAAACCTGTACAAACATTCTTACTTTAGTGCTTTGTTTGAAAGAAATCATCAACGACGTGGATCTTTTGCAAGTTCAACATCTGGAGGATGCGACTTTGGAAACAGCAACGATAACTCATCAATATACCAACAGCCATCAAGTTTATATTCCTCTTCCTCTACATCTACGCCTGGATGGTTGGATGAACGTACGTTTTTCAACTGGCATCGGTCAAGTAGTCATCCGGTTGTAGGTGGAACATCTTCAAATGGACATACAAAACATCCAATATCTACTTTTTCAGATTCTGTTGATCCTAGTTACCCTACAAAACGACAAGGGAATCATGATCTTCGCGCTATTGGAACTCCTGATTATATTGCTCCTGAAAGTATTCTTGGTACAGGACAAGATTCTATGGTGGACTGGGTAAGTCATTGGAAAAGAGTTTATTCATAATCATAATATTGAACTTTTTTTTTTCCTTTTTTTTTTTTTTTTTTTTTTTTTTTTCTCTCTTCCTTCTTAGTGGGCTCTTGGTGTTATCTGTTACGAATTTATTTATGGATATCCTCCTTTCAATGATGAGTCTCCTGATAAGGTATTTGAAAATATTCTCTCTCGACGTATTAATTGGCATGAAGATGAAATTGTGGTGTCTGCAGAATGTCGCGATTTTATGGAACGATTGATGACTTTGGATCCTGATAAACGACTTGGTGCATCTGGTCCTGATGAAGTTAAACAACATGCTTTCTTCAAAAATATAGATTGGGATAATCTATTGACTAAATCACCAGCTTTTGTACCGCAACTTGCAGATGATGAAGATACAGCTTATTTTGATTCAAGGGGAGCAACTATGGAAGATCATCAAGTTTTGGAAGAAAACCAGCAAGCTCAAGTGGACCGGGCTAAATCAATTATCATGGAACAAAACCCTGGAAATGTTACCTCTATTTTGGAACATCACGACGAGATGAAACATATACAGATGAATGATAATAAACACAACAGCTTTTCTTTTGTGGATGATGGTGATGATTTTGGTGCTTTCGTATACAAGAATCTACCTCTGTTGGAAAAGGCGAATGAAGATACTATTAGGAAAATGAGACACGACAGTATCATAGCCAATGTTACCTCTCCCTCCTTATCAAGTGCTGGTGGTTCAACAAAAAGTGGTTCATCCTCTTCTCCTGTGAATTGGATTTACAGATCTTTACCGGCCATATCAAGAAAGAAAAGAAATTCTATATTTGATTTGGACATGACAACCACTAGCAATAACAACAACAATAGACGCCCATCATCTTCGACTCTTTATCATATACCATTTACAACATCCTTGCCAACAACACCTAGAAATATATCACCATCTACTTCATCAAAAATGTCATCAACATCATCGCCAACATCTTATGCTTCTCAAGGGAACAATGTTCAACCAAAAAATGACAAGGAAAAGATCAGTAGATCAAAGCTAATCGACAATACTCAAGGATCTTTACGAACGCGCTCAATATCATCACCAGGAAACCAAATATATACTTCTGATTTTCAAAACAATAATGGTATAGACAATGACAACAGGATTATGAATAGATTCGACATACCCAATGCTCCAGTAGATGATCATCATCCTGCCCTGCGACATGTTGACACTATTATTCCAAATCATATCAATTCCACTAGTGGCAAACCATGGCCTACTCTTGATTGTTTATTAGCCGATGACAACCCAATTAGCTGCAAAATTTTGGAAACAATACTGGATAGGTTGAATTGTCGTTGTGTGATTGTACGAAATGGAGCGCAAGCTATCCGTTACGCCATGGGAAATGTCCAGTTTGATTTGATCTTTATGGATATCCGTATGCCAATTAGTAAGTAATAGAATAAAAATATGGAATAAAGGTGTGGAATAGAAGTATGAAACAAAAGTACGAAATAGGATACGAATTCACCTTTTTTTTTTTTTTTTGTCTCTAGTCGATGGTGAAGCTGCAGCTCGCATGATCAAATCCACCAAGAATCATAATCAAAAGACGACCATCATTGCAGTGACAGCCTATGAACGAACAGTCCAACTTGCTGATACATTTGACGACGTTATTAGCAAACCTGTTACAAAGGAAATGATTCAACAACGTTTACAGCTTTTTTATCAACGCAATGTCCCTCAGGATGGTGATTCCCCTCGATTATCCCCACATGAAGATTTGGAACAATCTAGTCTGAAAAATATTTCCTCTGTGTCTGATGCTATGCCTATTCCCATCCCCCGTTATTCGTGATTGCCATTTCCCATGACTGTACTTTGTTATTTTCTGTGTATACTCTTTTATCATTACTACTAGTATTACTATTATTAGTACTATTACAGTTACCATTAGTATCATTATTAGTACTATTACAATTACCATTACTATTATTATTATTATTATTATTATTATTATTACTTTGTATTTGTCTTATGATTTTATAAAAAGTTTTTGAATACATATTCTCATTTTTTTTTCAGGATCTAAATATGGAATCGGCTAGTCTTTTTTTTTTTTTTTTTTTTTTCTAAACGTATCGTCTTCATCGTTAGCACAATACATTACCGTATCATATAAAGTAGTGGATATCACATATAATGTAATCACAATACTGCAGTGAAATGAATCCTTTTTTTTCCGTGTCAATTTTTGATTCTACTGTACCATCTTTTGATCCTACACGACTACCGTATGATTTGATATCATATCAAGCACATGTTTGCTTCAATATCATACTGCATGCGATATCGTGGCATATTGACCATATTACATTCAATAAATGAATTTTTGATATCCTTTAATCATCATCATCATCATCATCATGATGGAATAATGCCAGACTATACAATGTATCACTTGTTTGAGATACTCTTAGTAGATGTATAAAAAGTTGATTTTGAAGGACTTGTGTACCTTTTTACCGAATTTGGAATCGTAATCTATCAGCGCTGAAATAAAAATTAGATGCGCCTTTGTTTATTTTCTTTCTCTTCTTCTTTTATCGCCTTTTTTTTTTTTTCTTTTTCTTTTTTGTTATATGTTTATCTTTTTTAATACAAATCAAGGCAAGGCATGGAAGTAATAATAATAATAAAGAAAGAACTTTTTATACGTATTCATTGTATCATGAACTGATTGAATCATTCTCTTTTTTGTCATGTGTGCACACACCTTTTAGTTAGAACAAGCGAACGCAAGTATCTTCAACCTATTATATGCTATATTACTTGCGTTTATTAAGGTAAATCTATTTCGTTATACCACCAGCCTTATATGATATCGATCTCTTCTTTCTTTTTTTTTTTTTTTATTTGAATCTATATCGTAGTTATATCCACTGGTACCGCGCAAACTCATTATTTACATCCTCCTCAAAGGTAAATAGTAGTGATACAAACTGGGGCTGTCCTCATCAACAACTAATGATGATACTTTTTTTTTCTTTTGTTTTGAAATGGGGAAGATGAGAATTCATCTGTACTTCTTTTTCAAAGCATACTCTTTAGCATAGGACCGCCACTAACTAGCTTGTGAATTTGGAAGGTAATAACTGGTTGCCATAAAGAAGTGTTTTTATATAATTCATGATACTAATACTTCCTTTATACTATATTCATATACTGCTCTATACTATTTGTCCTCCACAACATGTGATCTTTATCAACAGTCTTACACCACATTTTATTTCACTTAACCTATGGATAAACGACAAAATATGAACTTTAGGTATTTTGGAATAGAAACAAAGGAAAACATCTATCTGCCTAGAATTCTGTTTTTGCTATACATCTTGTTTGGAATAGATTCACCAGAAGAAACTATATCACATTCCTGGATCAAACTGCTCTCAATAGCCACCATGATAACATTATCAATTTGAGATCTATAGTATCTATCAAGGCAACATCTTCATTATTAGCAAATATGGCTGATGAATTAGGGTAATGATGCAAAAACATGAAAAGGACATTGATCGTGATACTCATCCTGTTTTTTTTTATTGCTGTTATTATTTTAGTCCTTATTTACATCATCATCATCGTCAATTAGTATCATCAATGGTTATATCTTTGAAACTAGAATATGGAGGTAAGTTGGCAAAAAAAAAAAGAAAAAGAAAAGAACATGAAAAGAAATACTGTATTTATAAATGAAAGATTACTTACTACGTCTTTATATCGATAGAATATGACTAGCTGACTTTACAGCAGAGTCAAAGGGATATACAACCGGAAGAATATACAAAAGGATGAATATACAACAGGATGGACATGCAATAGGGTGAATACACAACAGGATGGACATACTGTAATATTTGATAGTCTTTATAAAAGTCAGTGATACAAAAGATAGATGATTTTTATTAAATAAAATAATAGAAGGCTTTTTACTGTATATAAAAAATGGAGTCAGTATAAATATATTATATGAGTATTCTGATGGATCATTGGAGTATTTCTAGATGATGGGATAATGGGATAAAAAAAGAAAGAAAAAGAAGGAATGAATGAATGTAGTTTATGAGAAAAGAAAAAAAAGGGAGAAGGAATGAATGAATGTAGTTTGTGTGAAAAGAAAAAGAAGAAGAAGGAATGAATGAATGTAGTTTGTGAGAAAAGAAAAAGAAGAAAAGAAAAAAAGAGAGAAAGAATGAATGAATGTAGTTTGTAAAAAAAAAAAAAGGAAAAAGAAAAGAAAGAGAAGGAATGAATGTAGTTTGTAAAAAAAAAAAAGAAAAGAAAAGAAAAAGAATGAATGAATGTAGTTTGTAAAAAAAAAAAGAAAAGAAAGAGAAGGAATGAATGAATGAATGTAGTTTGTAAAAAAAAAAAGAATAAAAGTAGAATAAAAGTAGTTTGTAAAAAAAAAGAATGAATGTACTTTGTAAAAAAAAGAAAAGAAAAAGAATGAATGAATGAATGTACTTTGTAAAAAAAAAAAAAAAAAGGAAAAGAAAAAGATGAATGAATGTAGTTTGTAAAAAAAAAAAAAAAAAAAAAAAAAAAAGAAAGAAAGAAAAAGAAGGAATGAATGCACTTTATAAAAAAAAGAATGACTGTGCTTAATTACCTTTTTTGGTAAGTATGATGAATTATGATAAAAGTAAAAATGCTTATAACTTGCCCAAAAGACGCGATATTAAAAAAATAAGAATAGATTTATAATCATCACACAAATCTGCATCCACTGTGTGAGTTTTACTTCAATAGACGCGTTATTAGTGTGATTATTTAAAAAAAGGCACTTGTGACCATATAATATTTATAGTGATTTTTTACGTAAAAAAACAAAAGTCGACCAAATGCGACCAAATTTATACCATGTGTAATCCTTCTTAAAAGGAATAAAATGGATGTTAAATGAGATCTCTAGCGTGATTGGTTGTGGAGATATTCGCTCTGAAAGTGATAAAAAGTACATTTTTTTAATTTTTCTCAAAAAGGAACAAGTGAATCCATAAAAAGAAAAATTGAATCTGAATCAGAAAAGAATTCTCTATCATCTAGAGATGGTTTGGATGAATTAGAATAAGTATTTTAATGAAAAGTTGAAAATTGACTTTTACACAGCCACGATGTTCAGTGTGGCTAATGACCCGAGCTAATGTCAAGCCCTAGAATATGTATAGGGTAAGGCCGCATTGGACAGTTGGCCTAAGGATAGAAAGACCTTGGGGTGAATTCCTTGGGGCAAGTGTGGGGGAAGTTTGAAGGAGTCTGGGAAGAAATTCCTGGAGTAAGTCTGGGCGTGGAGCCTGGGCGAAACTTGAATGGATCTGGGGGAAGTATGATGAAGTCTGGGAAGAAATTCCTGGAGTAAGTCTGAGTGTGGAACTTGGACGAAATTTGACTAAGTCGATGGGATCTGGGGGAAAGTTGCCTAGCTGGGGGGCAACTCTAGTGACTCCTTAGGGAGACTTTTGAGTTCTGGGGGAAATCTGACTTAAGGGGAAAGTATTTCTCCTTTGTCAGAATAATCTGGTAGGGGGGGAGTTTTTTCTCTCTTACTGGATTACTCTGATAAGGGGGGAATTTTGTCTCTTCTGTCAGAATAATCTGGTAAGGGGGGAGTTTTTTCTCCTGAACCAGATTACTCTGATAAGGGGGATATTTTTTTCCTTTGAGTCAGAATACCCTGATAGGGGGGATATTTTTTTCCTTTTTGTCGGGGGTACTGATGCAGTTAGAGTCCATTGCTGAATGTGAAAATATTCAGTATGACACTTATATTGAATCAGTATGAATTAATATTGCCCTTTGACCCCTCTACCCTTTAGTGTGCTCGTCATCACCGTGGGCCAGTGTTCGATTCTCGATCATTGTCCCCTTTGGTGCTCTCACGGGTAGGCTATGCACCAAGGAGTGTTCCCTCAGGTGGGGGGGAACACAGGGGGGGAGGAGGGAACATTTTAGCAAATTATACGAAAAGTTCCGCAAGGAACTTGGAGTGTAATTGCTAAAATATTTCTAAGTTGTTCATAGTCCGCTTGGAGTATAATATATTCTAAGTGGTTCAATGTCCGACTTAGAGTGTGATTCCTTTTTTGGTATTCGGAGTTCGGAAGAATGTAGAATAGAATCAAGAATAGAATCTATGAATAGAATCTTAGAATAGAATCTTGGATGAATCTTGGATGAATCTTGGATGAATCTTGGATGAATCTTGAATGAATCTTGGATGAATCTTAGAATGAATCTTAGATCAATCTTAGATCAATCTTAACTCAATCTTAACACAACTCAGATCAAATTTATTCTGATTTGTATGAATTTAGTTTTTTTTTTTTTTTTTTTTTTTTTTCGATTATTTTATACTTTGGATTTGGGTTTCTATGTTTGATTAAAAAAA